AACCCCAGGTCCGTGGTACTCAATGACGAAACCTGTGCCACCGCGGACGGTCAATTTTCCAGCAAGATGCAGAATAATGTCCTTGGGTGCGGCCCAGCCTTGCAGCTTTCCCTCTAGTCTCACACCTAGAACTCGCGGAGCCTTCAGCTCCCAGGGAGCATCAACGAGTGCGTCGACGGCATCGGCACCACCGACACCAATCGCGATGGCGCCCAGGCCACCGGCGTTGGGGGTGTGACTATCCGTACCGAGCATCATCAAACCAGGCGCTGAGTAGTTCTCTAGAACACTCTGGTGGATGATACCCGCGCCAGGAGGCCAGAACTCAATACCATATCGCTTCGAAGCACTCTCCAGGAAATCAAACACCTCTTTGTTTCCCTGAATTGACGCCGGCAGATCAGTATCGGCACCACGTTCACCGACAATCATGTGGTCACAATGGATACTGGCAGGTACTGCGGTCGATGGTAGGCCACAGGACATGAACTGAAGCAGGGCCATCTGCGCGGAAGCATCCTGCATGGCAACACGGTCGGGCTTCAACTTGAGGTCCGCCTTGCCGCGGATGTCGCGTCCATTCTCGGTACCCGTCAACAATGACTCCTCTGGGTTTGCAAGATGGGAGTATAGAATCTTCTCGGCCAAAGTAAGAGCGCGTGATGTTCCTAGTACCTTTCGGACTTCCTCGAGGTTTCGCACGGTCTTGGAGTAGGGGGGCATGCGTGAGGACGCCGGTGTTGAGTCAGTGACTGTGGCAAGGCCACGGCGGAGGCATGGGGTCAGCTAGAAAGAGTCAATATCGGTGTGCGCGATCAATTGTTCACAAAGCATACCCTGCGTGAGGCGCCCCGCTGCCAGACAATCTGCCTCAACATATTTCACTTGAATCGGGAGAAGAGGCTGAATTGAAGATTGAATTGCGGAGAGAAGCCAAAAGTCGGGGACGAAAATAATTTCGGCAGTATTGTATTGGGTGTGCTGTGATTGGCCGGGACTCCGATTACGGCGATTTGTAAAGCTAGCCCCTGTTGGGAAACTCGCCACCTCAGGCACCAGACTCCAAGTCACGTGCATCTTCCGATCTTATCGGGACACATCCGATCTTTTGCCTTTATCCGCCCCGACTCGGAAGCGCAGCACGCGGGGTTGACTCTGAAGAAGCCGCCAAGAGGCTTCTTATTCGCCTTCTGCGCGCATGCCAGACATGATGCGCTCCCTTGTCACTTGCAACTGCCGATCAGTCTTCTCTCCGCGCTCGAACCGGCACTGGCCGCTCGGAATTGACCCAGGAACGTCATTTAAACCTTGAATTCCCTTTGCAGTTCCGAGTTTTATATCTTGAGAACACTTGCAATATAACAACCAACTACTTTTGTAGGTGAACTTGGATATATCATCCAGGTACATATTTGGTAATCCAACGCACACTGTACTGGGAAAATGGCATCTTATTCGCCTGTTCAAGAGGCAGAGCGCATCTTTTCATTGCTTTGCGACCAAGCTGAGCGCCTCAATCTGCCCGAGGAGGTGGTTACAGGGCAAGATGCCGTATCCTTCAATTCATCCCACAACCAAATATATTTTCCAATTCCGTTCAAGGAGACTGAAACGCTCGCTGCGCTAAAAGGTGTCGAGGGATCCGTGGCTGCTGCAATCGCAGACCTGAGATATGGGCCAGCTGTACAGAAGCGCAATGTGAAGATCAACTTAGAGCGCGCGACAGCGTTCGGCTGCCAGGCGTACATGGCCAAGGTAGATGGGCTGTCTAAACTGGACCCGGAGGTGAAAAAAAAGTTGAAGGGTATGCTCAAAAGAGTTGATTTACAGACGACTTTGCTAATTGGTGTTAGATACCGACTTGCTTGCTGCGCAGTCAAATGGATACCGTCGCATGTCGGCAAACTTGTATAAGACCAAGAACGAGGGTGAATTCTTCCATATTCATGGTTCGCTCGAGGCCACAACCACATTAAACATGATCGGGTTGGAAGGGCACCGTCCAGACTTGACGGACTACGAGGAGGTTATCAAGGTCATCGAAAGCCACGTGCAGAAATACTCGGCAGCGGAATTGGAAGAAATGAATAAGGAACGGAAGCAGGCAGGTGTAACTGCGTTCAAATATGATGACTTTATCAAAACACCGCACGTACGTACCAAGTGAGATCACGGTTTGGGACAACGCTAACTTATCCAGGGCCAACTTAATGTCCAAGAACCACCATGGAAAACCACCAAACTTCCTGGAGACATCGCACCAACACCATTCCCGTCTGCCAATGGTAGCCAGAAAATCTTGAAAGGCATCAAGGTGCTTGAACTCTGCCGAATCATTGCGGGTCCCACCGTTGCCCGTATCTTAACGGAGTACGGCGCAGACGTACTCAAAATCACGAGCCCCCACCTCTCGGACGTTCCTTTCTTCCAAGTTGACGGGAACATGGGTAAGCATGCTGCGGACCTGGACCTCAAGACCCCCGAAGGACGACAGGTCTTTGAAACGCTCCTCGCAGATGCGGATGTCCTTGTGGACGGATACCGCCCCGGTGCACTAGAACGCCTAGGTTACGGGCCGGAATCTCTGGCCACGCTTGCTGAGAAGCGTGGAAAGGGAATCGTTTACGTCAACGAAAACTGTTTCGGTTATGATGGCGAGTGGGCTGGTCGACCAGGGTGGCAACAGATAGCAGATTGTGTATGTCTCTCCGTTTCCGCTTTCTCTCCTTTTACACATGAGAACTCATGCTAATATAAAATAGGTCACAGGAATCGCCTGGGCACAGGGTCAGTTTATGAACCTTTCCACCCCCGTAGTCCCACCCTTCCCAATCTCCGACTACGGTACGGGCTGCATGGGCGCAATCGCGGCATTGACAGGCCTTTACAACCGCGCCAAGTACGGTGGATCGTACCACGGAAAAGCCTCATTGATGCATTATGACCTTCTCCTGTTTGCTGTCGGGAAATATCCAGAATCCGTGCAAGAAGCCATGCGTGCGAGCCAGAACAAGGAGTTTTTCGCCCTGCGACACTGCGATAGCGTCGATCGGATTTCGTCGACCGTGCTGAGGGGCATGAAGGAGCGGTTTCCGCACCTCTACCTGTCGCCTGAATCTGGGGCCGAGGCTTTGACGGAAAAATGGTATTCGAAGGCGTACGGCGCAGACATCGAGGTTGTGAGGCCGATTGCGGAGATTGATGGCGTGGATAACCGGTTTGAGAGAGCAAGCCGACCGAATGGGGCGGACAGACCTTCTTGGGAGGACTTTGGAGTAGACGATGGAGACAAGAGATTGATTTAGGAACACCTATGGAGAAGTGGTCTATAGTCTTGTGTTCAATATAGAAGCTAGCATAGTGTCATGCATCATGTCATATCAGCATAACAGCTCCAAGTCGATCTTTCACAAACAGACTTTGGAAGCTTGTTCACACCGGGACGAGCTTCAGCAAAGATCACTTCACAATATGTAGTTTAATTCAAACCGAATTCAAGTTACGTCTAGTCCTTCTTAAATCTAAATGACAAATGCTATGGCGTCTAGTATATCCCCACCATATTGTGGAGAAGTGGCACACTCCCACTCTCCCCACGACTTCTGCATGAGAATTACTCCGGGGGGAACTTAATATATAGACTACTCTGTGCATGCCCATTGCCCCAGATAATTTGCAAGCCCAGACTCCAGAATCTAGACTTTGCGCGCCAAGATGTCCAAAATCGCAGCCACCTTCTCCCGTACCTCTCCCTTCACCAACCCGTGCCAGATCCAAAACTAACTAATAACTCCAGGCCTCGTGCGCTTCCATCCCAAATCCAACCCCTCCACAATCCTCATCGGCGAACCAGTAAACCCCACTCTCGACGTCGGCCTCGCCATCCGCCAAGGGAATGATATCCCCGTCGCGCTATTCTCCGGATCCTCGGTGCTGAGCCCCGGATCCAAGACCGGTACAACTGAGAGTATCGCTCGGCTACTCTCACCTCTCGCTCAGAATGAAGTCGGGAGTATTAGATGTATTGGGTTGAATGTAATCCATATCTACTAGCATATCAGAGACCTTGTGCGAAATCGGAATGCTAACCTTATGGGCTAATGAATATAGTACGTCTCCCACGCAAGAGAAATGTCCCTCGATATCCCTACCGTGCCCACCCTGTTCCTCAAACCCTCAACATCCCTGGGAAACCCATACCCAACATCCCCTACCATCCTGCCTAAAATCACCCAGGCAGATGGAACGGGCGACTACGAGTCCGAGATGGCGATTGTAATCGGGCGCGACGCGAAAGACGTTTCGGAGGACGAAGCCCTCGAGTATGTTCTAGGTTACACTGCCGCGAATGATATATCGAGCCGCACGAGCCAGATGAATCAGAGCCAGTGGTGCTTTTCCAAGGGGTTTGATGGGGCTTGTCCGCTCGGACCGGTCATTGTGTCGCAGAAGGTTATTGGAGATGTTGGGGGCCTGAGGATTAGAGGGTCGAAGAATGGGGTTGTTTTGCAGGATTGTCAGTTGACGTATGTATTTCCTACCTTCTTTCATATGCTCATATTACCTTCCGTTAGTTTTTTCCATGGGCGAGGCTAACATTTATAGCGATCTGATCTTCTCCGTCCCTAAGCTGGTCAGCTTCCTATCCCAGGGCACGACGCTGTCCGCTGGAACGGTTATCTTGACTGGGACACCTCCGGGTGTTGGCGCGGCGAAGAACCCGAAGGAGTTTTTGAAGGCCGGGGATGAGTTTTCCGTTGAGTTGTTGCCACATGTTGGGACGCTAGTTTCCAAGTTTGAAGACCAGGTTTGATAAAAGATGTGTCTAATATATCTGGAATAGGGGTGGCAAGAAAGAGCTTTCATTCATGTATAGAATAGAATAAAATTGGCTAGCCAACTCTCTATCTAGTAGTTAAATAGATCAATACCGGAAAAAAAACAAAAGAAATCTCTGCCGCTTTTGAGGTCTATGTCTAGAAGATATCAAGCATGATTCTTCAATTATCCAAGATGTCAGAAGGCTCCTCCAACCAGCAGTCCGCGAGGACGCTCATGAACTGGCCTTCTCGGAGGGCAGCGTAGATAGTGGAGATATGCGACCCAATTGTCTTCTTGTCCGAACTCGAAGCATCCTCAGAAGGAGAGACATAAGTAGGATGGTCCACCAGTCCCTTGTGCATAGGCACTTTCAACGTACCGCGGACATACTTGTAGACTTTCGCTGAGGACGTGCATAGTAAGCTTCCCGTTGGATTAGATAGGTATGACTCGCGGTTCGCGTTATATGCTTGCATCAGGATGTCAGTGACACGGGCTTGCCATTTGGTAACCAAGCTTGCGTCGTCTATTGTACCGGCGTTCTTGTTAAGGGTGGCAAACAATGCGCCAATAGTGAGGGATACAGATGTCTCAGCGCGATCAGCAAGATCGAACGTCGAGTTCTGGTTCCAATGCCCCATGATTTCCGTCCACAGGGAATCAGCATCTTGGTCGGTGACAGCAGACCCGAAGATCTCGGCTGTGGCATCGGCCACATCCTTTCGTGCCGTTTCTTCAAAAAGTTTGTGCATCTCGCGGAGGTCAACCGCCTGGCAGAGAACATAAATATGACTCGCCACCATAAGGGAGAAGACCTCGACCGCATCACCTGCATACCGCGCCGCGATTAGTGCGAGGGAGTTGACTGGCTGATTATTCACATCAGCAGTCTGCACGAAGTTGCTAACCGGGTTATTGAGATAACCAAGTTCGGACATGTACGAGGCCATGTTGATATCGACTCCCTTCAGCGCAAAGGACAGGCTTGGGTCATCGGCGCACAGATTAGGGGTAAGACCCTTGCTAAGCATCGGGTTGAGGAGTTCAGAGCACTGCGTGAAGATGAGTTTACCGAGCGATTGCATGGCGTTGGTGGTCTTTTCCATGGCGCTTGTTATTGAGGCTGCTTGGAAGTTGCCTCCGTGATGGATGGTTTGGTTGGCCGCATCGAAAAGCGGATTGTCGGTAGTTGAGTTAAGTTCAACGGAGACCTGCGATAGGGCAAGGGCCATGTTTTCGACGTGGGGTCCGATCCATTGGGATGCGGTGCGGAGGGGGTAGCGATCTTGTGCTAGCTCGTGTGATGAACCAGAGTGTTCGTGGCCCACGGTGAGTCGGGAGTCGGACAAGAAGCGGTGGATGTTGCCAGCTACTTCTTTTTGACCAGGATGAGGACGCACGTCCGAAATGAAGGGATCGTAGTTCTTCTGTGTACCGAGTAGAGCCTCAGTTGACATTGCCGTGAGGACCTGCGTAAGAAGGACAAGCTGGTTGGCTTCGAAGAGCACAAGACTGGCTGCACCGGTACTGAACGCCGTACCGTTAAGCAAGCCCAGAGCTTCCTTAGGACGGAATGTCAAAGGTTCCAGTCCGAGCTGCCTGAGTGCTTCGTCTGATGGTATAATTGTACCTTCTTTCCCGCAGTGGATGTAAATATCAGAGTTGCCCTCAAGCGCACCAGCGATATACGCGAGCGGAGTCAAGTCCCCCGACGCCGAGATACTTCCACGCAACGGGACAACAGGCGTGTAATCCTCCGTAATCATCTTCGCTAGGTTCTGCACAATGTCAATGCGCACGGCAGAATGACCACGGATGAGCGAGTTGCATCGAGCCACCATTGCAGCCTTGACAACAGGGATGGGGATCGAGTGCTTGGGAAGATGGCGGAGAACAGGCGAGCAAGGATAGCCCTTGTCCGACGGCAGAACAACAGCAGTGTTATGATGCTGGACCAACGCTTTCTGGAGGTCCTCATGTGCATCTGTGCGAGTATCTGCGTTGCCTCCGAAGCCCGAGTTCACGCCATATACGACCTTGCCTTCGGACAGCCTATTGTCCAGCAGGGCGACGCTTTCCTGCATCCGGGCTAATATCTCGCTATCATCGGTTACCGAGAGGTGGGCGCCGTACCTAAAAAGGCATGATCAGTGTCTGCTGGGTAGGGCATGGAGGCAGGGTTGGATACTTTGAAATTGCGACGGCATCGCCGAGGCGCAGGGTGTGGCCATCAAGTTGGACGGTGTGTTGCTGCTTGATGACACTCTGCAGTTCGCTAAACGAGGACAAGACGGATCTTGTGTACTCTGAGAGGTCCATACTTAGTACTGGCTGACTAGGTACTGGCCTGTGGTCGTTGCAAAGAGAGGTTTCGCCCATGATCGTGGTGTTAGTGAGAGAAGGTTTGAATGGGCAGCAAGGGAAAACCGCAGGGCAGTATTCACAGTATTTATTGGCACCCGTCTAGTTACCAACGGATTGGATGTATCAACAAAAAACCATAATTGCGCCAAACTCCCAATAGATTGGCTGCCGGCTGCAAGGCAATATCTAAATAGACAAGAACCGGTGGAGTTGCGAGATTCAGATTGCAGATCCTGACTCGCATTAACGTCATGGGATTTACTTCGACCCCGTGCGTTTCAGTGAGTATCACAATTTTCGTCTCAAAAAGTCAGAGATGTTTTTTTTTTCCGTTTAGAGTTTGTTTCATTGGGCGACCGGTATCTATTGGATATTATACTATGCGCAAAACAAGCCACCGTGAGAAAGAGAGAAAAAAAAGTATACACATCATTAATCATAACCTGTAATTAAAGCCCATCCAGTTATCAACTGCTTTCATCTAGCTCTAAATTGATGCCCCTCTCGCGAAGGTCATTGACGGCGTCGTGGAGCTTGGTATCGCCCTTGGAGTCCGTCAGGCCGTCGAGGATTGACTCCCCTCCGTCGGGGTGGAGGGCTCCATGTACAGTGTTCTTGAGCAGTGCGGCAAGCGAGACATCGGCGGTGAGGTGCAGCTCCTGCATGACTTTTGTGTAATACGGGACATCTTCACCGTTGTGCGTAACGGATCGCCCCACGGCGGTGAGGCTAAGGGCTCCTCTATTTAGGGCGTCGCGTTGGGTCTTGAGGATTCCCCCCAGGTTTTGGATGAGATATTCGAGGTCGAGGATACCCCTTACCGAGGCTGAGTGATTACCCGGGTAGAGCATCAGGTTATCGATTGTTGCGTTGCCAAGGGTGTAGTCACCGGCCTTGAGGTCGAGCATAGTGGTTCCCTTGCTTGGTCAGTCGTGGATGCAGGAGCCAGTGGGAAACAAACAAGGCACTTACGATCTGCAGGGTCATCACAGACGGATTTGGGAGGGTTGCGTTCGCAACCAGGTTTGTGCCGTCCTCTTCTTTCTTTATTAACTGGGGCTCATCGATAGAGAAACCCTCAAACGAATTGAGTGCTGGCCGAGTTAGTTTGGTTTATTTATTATTCATGTCCCGGCAGTAGACTCACTGTTCTGATGAATATCCTTGTCTACAGTGACATGTGCCTTGAGAATACCAATGTACGACGTGGTTTTACCCTTCACTGGTAGGGGCTCGTTTTTGTTGAAGACGACCTTATGGACATACTCGGTCCACTGGGGCACGTTCAAGGGAGTAGGGACATCTGTAACACCCAGGCTCGTATTTCCGTCGATTCTCGAGGCTCCGATTGTGGTTTTGAAAATTGTGTCGTTTCCTGTCGCTTCGTGGTTGTAGATAGACAGGGTGAGCGGTTCAATGCGCACGGGGAATACCACCCCAAGGTCTAGAGCAGCCTCGAGGGTAAGCATCATCGAGTCAGGGCGTGGGTCAAGGAGTTTCGCGTTAACCAAAACAAGGTCTGACTTGTCGACGACCAGCTGAGCGACGGCAGGAATGACGACCAAGAGGCTGATCTGGTTAGTCCTCGCCGCAGCATTGAAAGCACAAAAGGGGCACCTTACAAGACTGGTATGAGGATGGCAAGGAAAATTATGTTCCAGAAGACATAGCAGCACCAGAATCGCGCAAAGTGCCGGCGGATCTGGCGTGACTTCTTCTGCTTGACTGGAGGCTCGACTAGAGACACATCCTCAATGCGCTCAACAGCGACATCGCCGCCAGCAACTGGGCCGCGAAAGGCACCCAGCACGTTCTTGGAGCCAGCCTTTGCATCTCCTTTCTTTTCAACCAGAGAACCGTTGGACGACATGGCTTGACACGGGCAGCATCCAGGTTGGCCGGGGGAGGAGGAAGGTCAACTTTTCAAGAAGATAAATCCCCGGAATTGTCGTCCCAGTCGTCTCGGCCTCCACGCTCACGACTGTGGGGAGACGTCGACCTAAAAATCCTGAGAATCATCGGGACAGTGAGTGGGCAACGAAGCCTCGGAGATGGCGCCCCTTTGCAGACCAAGAAGTGCGCTATCCGGGGATCGTCAGGACGATCGCAATGCCCAGTTCCCTCCAACCAACCAGCAACACTCGCCCATTTCACATGCGGAGGACCAGCTCCAAGGACGCTGCTTGTCTGGTCTCACTCCTCGGCACACAACAAGAAGCTGGTAAGCTGTTCTTCGCTTCCGCAGCCACATCTTACGGGGCCCTACAAAAAAACCCCAGAATCCTCTCCAGTCGCCCCCAGGCTTCGCTGGTTCTGAAGCTCCACTGTGGTCGGGCAGCATACCGTTCTGGGATAGTCCCATCATAGATCTGTTGATCGCGTGTCTGTCGCCTCAAAATCCTGTCGGCACTTGCAAGCACCCCTGTCGTGAGCGAGGTAAGTGGCGTCCATGGCGCCCATATGGTGTGCGGACGACGCATGCTAACCCGCCGGAACACAGCACGTTCAGTCCAGTGTCAGCCAAAACGTCTGAGACTCTGAACCTCCTCCGGTCTCCATCCTCCCCAGACTGCAATGTCGCACATCGAAGTCCCTATCAACACCAGCACAATGGCGCTCAATGAAAAGGGGGGCGACGACCAAATCTCTCCCATCTCGTCGCACGCCCCGAGTCCAGCACCGCAGGAAACACAATCTCCAGCACCAGGACAACCGAACACCAAAGATTTCAACCACCCGAATCTCGCAGCTCTCGACGACCTCCAGGTCCTCCCTAAAATTCTCCGGGAGGGCATCCTCTTCGTCGCATCAGGCCCTGCACTTCTGCTGCAAGCTGCGAAACCAAGCGCAAGCCAAACCAGCAACTCCAATCTCACCACTGAGCTCACCACAGCGTTCCATGCAACAATCACCTACATTGCCTGCCTCGTCTTCGGCACGCGCGAGGAAAAGGCAGCGCTACTAGGTCGCATCCGCCTCGGCCAACCACCGCTCCTCACATCTCAGGGCCTCACACGGCAAGATGCAGATTCGCAGCTTTGGCTCGTCGCAACCCTCTACGCAACAGCGACAGACTTCTACCAGCGAATCTACGGCACAGTAGACTACCCGACCGCCGAGGCGGGTTTCGCTGAGTTCTCGACGGTCCTGCGTCATCTGACGCCAACTGTGTTGGCACAGGGGTCGTGGCCCTCATCGCGCAACCAGTTCTGGAAGTACTGGGACGAGCAGATCGAGGGCCTGCGTGTATCCGACGAGGCGCAAAGATTCGCAGCTGAGCTGCCCTCGCGCGTGAACGAGTTGCCCGGTGGAATTAGCTACCTGAAACCGTTGCTCAGGCCTGTGACGATCGAGATGCTCCCCGAGAAAGTGCGGGAGGGGTATGGGCTGCAGAGCACGGCTGGGACGAGGACGATGTATTCGACTACGATTGGCCTGCTGAAGCCCTGTTATCCAGTGCTGCCGAAGACGTGGAGATCTTCTCCTGTGAAATACTATTTGGAGGAGCTGAGGAATCAGATTAATGCGTAGGGACGGTTTTTTGTTTGGCTATAGTCATTTGGTTTTTTGATACTCTACGTTGTTTTGTCTACTCAATAACTGTTAATATGATGTGACGACTTACTGAAAGTTCGGATTATAGTAGAGGTATACTAGACTGTGAACGTAGATGGTCGGCCAACGGTGTCTCGGATCCAATGTACCCATCCATATCACATCAGTCTTCCAAGAATAGCAAAATTCCCGCTCCACACAAAACCCCAAAGACTGACCCCAGACCGTGTCGAATATTTGCGCTGCTCGTGCCCACTGCCCACTCCACGTCCCACGATCGTCGTCAAGAACAGAGCCACGGGTCGGGCTGCAACCCCAAACACACGGTCGCACCGTCGCACGCAGTCCTCGGTGTCAGGTGCGTCAATCGCCACCTTGCAGGATCGCGACTCGACCTATCTCTCTTAGCGAGATTTTTACTTTGCTTATGCTTAACCGCTTAACTTCTTTTGTGACTCTCTCCGATCAGAGACTCGCTACTACCCTCCCCACAAGGGATGCTCCACTCTTCGCACTGGAATCTGTATACGATGGGATTGTCGCCGTTACGCGAGGTTGCCGTGCTCACCCACACCCTGAGCCCACTTGGTCATTCCTCTCAACCCGCAGCTTACGCATGGCTACAGTACTGTCGAATTGTCGGCGCGGGGCGCGGAATAGCCCGCCTCGACTTACACCATGGGGTATACGAGAGATTGTGTCCGGTGTGAATGATCTGCGGCTTTCTTGACTCGACTGCCAATAGGGTTTGAAGGCAAGCGAAAACTAAAGACGGGAGATGTTGCAACTGCACCTGCGGCCTGCCGATGTCACAGCCGGTAGTTGGAGTTTTACCGAAAGTCTGATGGTTCGGACTTTCACAGGACAGATGTCGATGTCGATCATGACGGACCTTGCTGGTTTCTCAACTGCATGGTGAGATCAGTATTCCTCCACCGTTGGGGCATGCAGTTATTGACCATCAATATTCCTTATTCCTTCTCATCCTCTCATTTCGTCATGCGTTGCAGTGGGAAAGATCCATTGACTGAAGTTGCATAGAAACCCTACTAATTGGGTGCTCGAGTAGTGTCGATGTACCGTGCCGTCAGAATCAACCTCGTCCTGGCGGTGAACCAGTGCCTGCTGTTGCAATTTCTCTTGCTCATCACGCAGTTCCTGCTCTTGTTTACTCTGGAGGAAACCGATACTTCCTCTACTGCTGCCAGTTTCCGGTTAATAAGATAGTCATTCCTTGACTAGTCGCCTCCACCATACTCCTTCCTCATGGCCACAAGCTCTTGAATATATCCCAGCGACGCCCCCTCTGTTTCTCATCATATCCAGCTGCTCTTCACACCCCTCCATCTTTCTGGCCATATCCATCCCAAGCGCGCACCGGCATGCGGTCAATATAGTCTCTGATGCTAGACAGGACAAGAGGAAACAGGAAACGCTTACACAGTCTAGTTGCACCCTGCAGTTACGCCATCTTACAAACATCTCAGCTCACTAGCTCCAAGTACACTGACGAACTGGCCAACATAACCACCGATACAGAATACGGGAACCGACACTGAGCCACGCATTAGGCATAGGCCGATAGGGTCTGAAATTACTACCTTACGATTCGCCGGGGTGTCGTAAATGCGTGGAGTGCAATCATACGTTACTTATAACATGCTTAGGGTGCTGTGCTGAGCAAGATCGCCCAACAACAAAGATCAGTTATATACAACCTCTACACCAGAAGTTGACATCCTTTGGGTTTATGCCGCGAAAGGGTGCCTACAATTGCGGGCAACACTGCAAGGCGGTACTGCTGTCGGAGTGCTGGTTACCATCACAAAGTATTCTAACCCAACCAGTCGATGTTAGATTTGAGGCAATTGCAATGATTTACCTACCAGGCCCTAATGGCGCACCTCCTTGTCAATCTAGCCTCAACGGAACTATTTTCCTGAAGGGAAGGGTAAACTAGCCCCACCACAAAAAAAATCAAAGATTAAAGTTCAATCTCCTGATAACTGCTTCATACATCTAATATAAAGCTCGTATTCAGACACCTTGTTATCGGCTTAGCTGGTCTCGTTGCTGAGAAAACCCCTCACTGTTCTGCGCTAGAAGTGGCAACACCTGTCAAACAGTTTTCGGTGGTGGTCTTTGCATACTTCCGGGGATATCAAGGATTTCCAAGCAAAGAAAAGCATCTAGCCAATCACAAACTCAATAGGACGATGGAAGCTCATGGTATGTTCCCAGGGTTCATCATGGAAGGATTTAGCCTCGTTAAAGTTAACTGTAGGAGCGATCACTGACAAAGTGACTCACGCCAAGCATGCAGCTGTCAGCATATAGCGGCGTTTAGCCTACCAAGCTGCTTTATCTCCGCTTCGTCCGAACCATTAAAACCGTGACCTCGACCCTGTGTTTCAACAGCCACCTTTTGTCCTATCCAATTTTCCATTACTGTTAACCGTTCTGGCTGCTATCTCGACTATTGACACAATGGCATTGGCACTGCAGAGCCAGTCTCATTCCACTCAATCCCAACGGGCCGCCGATCCCGGCAGTGGCAACTCCGCCTCTGTCGAGACTGGGGAGAATTGGGCTGGACTGGGCGATCCCAAGGAGCGCCGCAAGATACAGAATCGGATTAACCAGCGCGCTTTCCGTGAGTTTTCCCTCCTGGATGCCAGGTGTATGCGCCCTTTCTAACCAGGCTGTATGCACCAGGACAACGGAGACGCGAGCTTCAAAAGAAAACAACCATCCAGGACCAGATCGAAGAAATGATTGCCAAGGGTGAAGTCACCCTCCTCCCGCGATCGTCACAATCCACATCATCCACATCAGCAGTATCACCTTCATCCACCACAAGCAGCAACAGCCCAAGAGCCGCCACCTGGGAGCGCAGGATGTGTTTTCTCGGCGATGAAATCGACAAACTTCTCGAGCGCTTCAGCCACAGTGCCGTTGAAAGCTATGTTCTTGGGTCCCCGGCCGCAGACCACCTTCTAATCCTCTGCAAAGTCAACGTCTTCCGCGCCTTCATCAGCAACATGCACACTCTGGGAATGTCGCCGGGTCCCGAGTGGATGGAGGATGATGCGCTATCTCCGTTTAGCACCGCTCTCCCGGGGTATATATCGGAGGACAAACTCCCGGTCAGTCTCCGTCCTACATCGATTCAATCTTCGACGCTGCATCACCCTTGGTTGGATTTCTTTCCGTTCCCGCGGATACGGGACAATTTGATAAACGCAGGGGATTTTGATGACCACCCGCTGTGTCTTGATGTCATGGGGTTCTGGAATGTGACAGATGAGGCTTGTGGGCTGTTAGTGTGGGGGGAGCCTACCGACCCTGGGAACTGGGAGGTGTCAGAGAACTTTATACGGCGATGGCCGTGGGTTGTTGCGGGGTGCCGTGAACTGCTATGGTCGACGAACCGATGGCGCAGCTCTCGCGGGGAGAAGATGATATTCCGGTACCTATAATGAAGGGATAACTACGGATGTATCTTCTCTTCTCCCATCCCCGTCGAAGCACGTCTTCCCCCTTGCTTCGCGCACTCACCTGGACTGAGCAGCACTCTCAGCAACAGCACGTCCGTCCGATCCAATATCGGCGCCGGCTCGGTGCTCCCTGAACACGAAGCAGTGACAGTATACCGGCCGTACACAACGCGCCTCCTGGTATTCGCACTGGCACTTAAACGCTATAGCATCGTCCTAAAATTTCCACCGGGCGGATGTTCGATCGAACCAGCAACAGTGGATAACATATCGACAGTAAACTCCCAACGTCGCATCCGGTCTGTTGGTCGGCATAGGGACTGAAAATGGTCGCCTGGGATACCCGTGTTGACGCGGGTAAATATTACCATTTTGTTCATTGACTAGGTCATAGAGAGCACAGTATAGTCAATCTATAACACATATACTATTTACACTACAAGCCCGAATATAGGCAGTCTACTTGTACAGCGAGGATTAGCACGGAATAAAAACCAAGCGAGCATATTAACATGCAGATAGGGTATACGATGCATCTATCATAGTAACAGCTGCCGAAGACAGGAACAGTTCAGTACTACCTAAAGGGGTACCTCAGTAGTAAATATGCCATCGTCCTGCACCACCACAGAATAAAGGTATCACCAGTCAAAGTTTGCAAAGTCAGGAATCTCTAGCCTCACACTTTTCGCTCAAGTCGCGCTTACCGCAAATCGAGATGATTACCGGCGGCCACCATCAGCCTTGTTCACGCGGATACGTCTACCATCCAGACTAAAAGTGCCACGAATACTTGTCAGTATACTGGCACTTTATCAAAACAACAAGGGGCATTTTTTTTCTCTTACTCTTGCTCGTTCAAGCTGTTCTGCGCTGCCTCCGCCTCGGATTCATTGGAGAATGTGACGAACCCGAAGCCGCGACTGCGGCCGGTTTCGCGGTCTGTCATGACGATCTGTTGCTGTTAGTATATAGGAACTAGTAGGATTGTAGCTATCAAGTCAGAAGATGCACATACAGCGTCAACAACCTGGCCGAATTCGGAAAAGACGTGTCTGAGGGCCTCGGTGTTGGTTCCCCATGAGAGGTTTCTATCCCAAATATCAATTAACTGTTCAAATGCATACACGGAAATAAACGTACCCGACGTAGAGCTTCGACATGATCGCGGATTTTTGGAAGGGAGAGAGAGGATGAGAAAGGGAGGAAAGGAGAAGGAAGAAAAAAAGTCAGAATATTCAAGCTGAGGGGTGATAGCGGGGTAATGCTGGTATTTATCCCACCCCCCTTTACTACAAGCAGTTACTCCCGTACCGTATTCAATTCAGCCCAGCCAGCCCAGCCCAGCCCAAGTCACCCGCACCATAAATACTGCAGCAGCTCTGCTCGCTTCCCTGTTCGGCTGCATGGCCCACGGTCACTCCATCACACCATCAGAACACATGCCGCTGCCCCAATCGACGCCTGCAGAGCACGGGTCCTGACGCGTTTGCGAACTCTGTCTGTGTTTCCAGTCTGGGATGGATCTTGGACAAGCCGCATGAGAGGAGCCTAGAAGTCTAGAGGAGCAAGGATCTCCCTGAATGAGGACCCAGGATGGTCAGTGATTGCTGATTAGGTGTCGAAGTGGAGGGCGCGATCTCTGGATGCGAGGCCTTATGCGAGTGAGCAGCCAATACGGGATCTTGTCCACGGGGCGGAGGCTGCCCCGCTATCGTGAGGCTGCTTGGAAGGCCCCTATTCTAACCTTTCATTTTGTATTCACTTCCATAGGGATACGTATCTAACTTGTGCCGAGATATCTTCACTTGCTCTAACACAGTCCCAGTCTCAACATCAACATTCTAGCCCGATTGTTCGCACAAAGCCTCTCCTTGACCTCGTTGGGCGCTCTCGGTAGTTCCTCATGAATATGGCCCAAACACGGAAGTAATGCGATCCGGACGCTCTGCGTGAATCAGTAGATCAATTAACGGGAGCGAAAATTTCCCCTCGTCCAAGTCTTCACAAAAGCCCGTTTTCGATACATACTGCCGAATATTGTTAGTAATGGATTTAATTTTAGGCCTAGGGGGAATATTTTTGAATAGGGCAATGACTGGCATCGCTCGATATCAAATTCAAATAGTCGTTTCTGATTTGGTGGTATCCGCCTCCATAAGTCGCAGCATAAATCGAAAATATGCCTCAGGTTTTGTCGACCATCGCGATATACTCATCTGTTGTTGAGGGCTCACCCATCTGTCTATGTCGGTTTAATCAACGCTAGGAAGGATGCTGTATAAGGAGCCATTTCCAGGTGATTCTTTCTCCTCTTCATGACATTGCCATTGCCATATCTACCGTCTTTCATTGGCTTCCTTGGTAGTCTTTTTATTGTTTGTTGCCGTTGTCAATGTTGACGGCTCCAGCGAGCTGTTGACGCTTTCCAATCCTTTTTGCGCGGGACAAGGAGACATATTTATCACCGCGTAAACGAGTGAGTGTCGGTCTACGACAACTACTTGCATCATACAATCAACGGTACGTGACGACCGGAGGTATTCGGGACGATCGCCATGCTGTGGCAAAGCGCTTCATGTCTCTGTAACCCAACAAGTGCAAGGACCCAGGCTGCATATCACCAAGGGAATGGATCGGCCGCTATTCTCAGATCCAGATCCTCGAGACTCGGTGTGAGGTATACTGCTTATAAGGTCCTTGAGGCATCTATCAAATCCAAAGCAAAGCTCGGCAAGGCGTATGGCCTTTTACACCTTAGAATCCCATAATGAACTATGATACCAAACCATGTTGCGTTGCGCTCTCCGTATGTCAGGTCAAGTCAGGAGCGTCGCGTATCACAATCAGGGGAAATGCAAGTTTCATATTCGCAGGGACCATCCGCACTCTCACCCTTTACGTTTCATCAAACTCACTACGAGCTGCCCATGGATAACGGTGTGATGCAAACTATACGTAGCATGGCGTTGATAGGAACCGGGGACAAACAGATGTGTCGTGCAAGAGAGGCGTCTGGGATGTATTCCTCTCACTGTAGCTCTCACCTCGAGAGACAGATGCACCTTCCTGCAGAGGCCACCCTGAGTGTTCTCCCTATGAGGCAGGTGCGATGGGGACCCGGCTTAAGAAGGAAAGACCATAGTCGCTCTTCCCAATACAAGAAACACTGGGTTTCCCATCGCTCCTTCCTAGGGATAGCCATATTATTATTAGCATAGCTCGTAACGTGGAAAGTGCAAGGACAAGAGAAAGAACGACCGGCGGGAGTCCTTGGTTCCTGCCATTTACAGTCCGTTCGAGGGTTGCACTTGCCCCATTCCTTTTTACGTGGGTGTTTCTTCCAGTATGAAGTCTATTATTATAGGGCCAAGCTGATACGTCCCAGCCGGAACTTCGGGTATTTACCTTTGTCGGTATAGTCATGTCGTACTGCTCTCGGAGCAAAGAAACTGCGGCTAGGTGTGCAACGGATATCTACATATGATTAGCAGTTATACTGTGCACATGGTTGTCGTTTCCCGAATGCATAGGGAGTACTGTTTCGTCCTCAACCTTTTCACACTCACGGATACTGGGCTTGACATCCAAGATCAAATCCGCAACCCAGCTGCATATGTTGAAGGATAGAATATTAGTCATGCAATGAGTTAGGCTTATTATACATATGCCAGGTTTCTCTTCAATTTAGGCACAATGTGGGATGTTATATAATGATATCAATGCAACGAGTCAAAAGCTGCCATTGTGTCCTTTCTTTGGTGACACAGTATGACTCGGTCCTAGGGTGCAACTCCCGGCTACCTAGATATCCAACGGTCATGCGGTAGCATTTTGAACTGGTCCAGCATGAAGGCAGGACAGCCTACATAATAAGGGCGTTGGAGTCATGAAAGTTCCATATTCACAATCGACACGCTTCATCAATCATTTCCTAGAATATTCGACCAGCACAATGAACCCCATACATAACCAGCCACCACAGGAGGCCGGCGAACCCTCCTCCATCCCCCCATTTGATGCTATAAGCAAATACCTCTCGCTCCCAACAAACGACCAAGAACAATGGTGGCATCAAACAGGCTCACTCCTGGCCCGAATGCTACAGTCAGCCCAGTACCCACTCGACCAGCAATACCAGTACCTCACGTTCTTCGAAAGACAAGTCTCCCCCCGTCTAGGGCCATACCCATCTCGATTCCGCTCCAGCGTCACAGTCAGCGGGCAGCCCATCGAACTAAGCGTGAACTACCAGCAGCGCGGAGGCACGCGGCCCATCGTGCGCATCGGGTTCGAGGCAATGGATTCATACTCTGGCAACCGTGAGATAGATCCCTTCAATCAGCTCCCTGCATCGGATGTCGTCAGGGGGCTATCGAGACTGGGGCTGAAGGGGTTCGATCCGCACCTATTTACTTACTTCGGTTTCAAACATACCCTTACCAAGGAAGAGAAAGCCCGGATAGCTAAACCTGAGTTAGCCAGTAGGGTCCATTTGAAATCGCAGTATGGGTTCGGTCTCGATTTGAAGAACGATAGTGTCGTTGTTAAGGGATATACCTTCCCGGGGTTGAAGACGATAGTATCCGGGCAGAGCATGAGCGGACTGATCACCGACTCGATCAGCCAGCTTCAACCGCCAAACGCAAACTGCGTCGATGCCTGGGAAGCGGTAAAGGGCTACATGGACGAGACGAATGGCTTCAATGAGTTCCATGTTTGGTCCTGGGACTATGTTGACCCTTCTGCGTCCCGACTCAAGTTCTACTCGGTATCCCCTGAGCTCACGTGGCGCAAGGTTGAAGAAGTATGGACGCTGAATAGACGCATTGCAAATGATCTTGCGAATATTCAAGGCCTAAAGCATCTGCGTCAGTTGTGGGATATCATCCAGCCCGGCGATTCGAAAAGAGAAGTTCTAGAGGACCGTCCGGCGCATGTTAAGCAGAATGAGACACCGCTGCTGTGGAACTATGAAATGACGCCTGGAAGTCCGATCCCGTGTGCTAAGCCGTATTTCTCGCTGCATGGGATTAATGACCTAGCCTGTGTTGAAAAATTGGCTAGGTTCTTTGAGGCTGTTGGGTTGAAGGATATGTCTGCTTCTTATCCTGGAATTGTCAAGGCGTACTTGTATGTCCCCGATCTGTCTAACACATTATTCAGTACTAACCAAGAAACTTTATCAGTCCTGATCACGATCTGGCAAAAACTTCGCATCTGGTAATGTGGGTGTCGTATGCATATTCGGAGAAGACAGGGGTCTATCTGAGCGTCTATTACCATTCTTCTGGAGATGTGCCGGCCCCTTCTCTATAAGAGTAGCGTGAAGTCTAGTTATGTTGGAATATGATGGGTCTACGGTAAATACCTTCTACTACTCACTAACTACAGATGTTGTGATAATAGTGAATGGAACATTGACTTTGATTGATATCTACTGCCCTAAGCCAGCAGAACAAATAGATGCACTGTAGAGACAGGTCCAACTCGCCAAAGATTCCCAAGCCACACATCGGTAGCATCAAGATAATTTTGCCAGAGGTGTTCCTTTCGTACTCAAAAAAATGAAATGAAATCAAAAACTAAAATTGAAAAGGCGAGCAGGTTATAAGAACCCTCCACTCAAGAAGACAAGATAGCTATCCGCCACCCAGTATCGAAAGACTTGTTTAAAACTCCCCATAACAGTTAGGAGGATTGCAGAAGTGGTTCGAGCAGCAGTGCTTGCCACCACCGCACTTCTTGGGACACTTGTTCTTAGGCTTCCGCTTCTCGTTGCGGCCGGAAAGCTCGTCGAGGACTTCGACTGCAGAGCGGGCTTCAAGGTACCAGTAGTCATCCTGTGTAAGGAAGAGAACGTGTCAGCTAGGTGTATTCTTGGAATAAGGTGGACGTGGAATATACTTACATCCTCCGCAACGACATCACGAGCAGCAAGGTTCATGCTACCGTCTCCGAGCTTACGGGCGACGGTACACCAGTGAGCAACACAGAAGGACCCAACGCCACAGTCTTCATGGGTGCTGCATTCACCGAGGAACTCGTCGAGGTCGCGGGCGGCCATGCGGGCGACAGAGCATTGGTGGTTGGTACAGAAGGAGCCGACAGGACATTCCTCGTGGGTGCTGCATTCCTTTGCTATATTGTCACCAAGATCACGGCCAACGGAGCACTTGTTCTCGATGCAGAATGAACCAGCCACGCAGTCAGTGTCTAGGGTGCATTCGAAGTCGCGGCCCACGGAGCACTTCTTGTTGATGCAGAAAGAGCCGACGGCGCATTCGGCGTCTTGGGTGCATGTCTCGCTGTTGTTGTCTTCGAGGTCACGGCCGACGCTGCACTTGCTCTCGATGCAGAATGAACCAACGACGCAGTCATTGTTGTTGTTGCAGTGGTCATTGTATCCAACGTTACCACGGGAAGCACCACCAGGTGCGGCAATTACACCAGTGACCATGACAGCCACGTAGGCGATAAGAGAGACGTGCATTTTGGTTGATGGTTGAAGACAGTGTTCAAGCTGGAAGTGGGCAGTAAGCAGTGGGCTGAAGGGGGAAGATGGATGAGACAAGGGGTGGTGGTTGGAAAGGGAGGAAGAATGAAAGAGATTAGAGCAGTGCAAGAGGTATGCATTTATAGACAAGAGGTAGGGGCAGAATCAGAGCTCCTCATTCCAGAATCACCAAGATATTCATCAGATATCAAGTGTTATGCTGCCGGGATCTGTCCGGGGTTAGGTAGGGTTGCAGGGTGAAGACCCACATATTAGATAGTAATATAATATTAATGCTCATTTATTCACATTGAACTGGTCAATCAAGTTCTACTGCAGTTCAAGTACGTTATTATTGCCTCTATTCACAATGAAGTCTGGCTATACGCCCGGTGATTGGTCAAAGTGCGTGCTATTCACAACACTGCAGTGGGAGTTCTGACACTTGCAATCTGCAAAGGCTGGAGAGTTTTCACCCAGCTATCTCCACCTTCTAATGGATTATTGGAGATGGATAAGGACAATACACAGGGTGGCGAAGTCGACAGGCGTGGGTTGTGAGTCCATCCAACTTGCAGGTAGTGTTTCGTAGACCAAACTGTAGATTTTACTCTTTTAGGAAGGGAATATTTTAAATAACCAATGAATATCTTCAGTCTCTAAGATGCAGTTATTAATATGTGTTACAAGGGGTATAATGTATCAAGCCTTCTATCAAACTGCATTCTATCGGAAGCTCAAACAGGCCATCCCGCGCCAAAGAAGCAAACAACAAGAAGAACTGCACCGACCCTACTCAGCCTCAGCCTCAGCCTCCCACTATCTGATGTGCCAGTAAGCGTTTCCGTAGCTTGGCTAATAGAAGAAGATGGCGATGATCCAATAGTCAACGACGCCTCCGTCTCCGAAGAAGTCGACGCTGACGCCGTTTCCGAGGGAGTGGCTGTAGTTGTAGAGGGAGTAACAGTCCCATCCACAGTCTTCGTCGTATGCTCCCCATAAGCAGTCGCCTCCATCCAGTGCCCAAACAGATCATCAGAGTAACTCTCATACGTCCAGTAGCTAGTCCAATCCTGCAGCCAGGACCCAGACGGGGTAGATGAGAACGAAGTAGGCGCTGGCTCCCCCTTAACGGTCACAGTGTCGCAGTTAACACCCCCTCCATCAGGCTTTCCGCCGTCAGTCAGGCACATGAAGAAGTCGGACCACCCGAACGGGTTGCTCTCGTTTTTCGCGTCAAATGCTGGGTCGACCTGGCAGAGGGTGGCACAGGTTACCGGGTAAGCTGGGTCGTCGGGGGAAGTTGGCGAGGTGATGTTGTAGACGGGTCCTGAGCAGCATTGAGCCAGGCGAGGCGCGCTTTCGGGGCCTACTGGTGGTGTTTTGCAGATGTATCCTGGAAGGTTTTCAGGCCATTCTGAGGTGGCCCCGTGGTAGATCTCGTTGAAGGTAACATGGCCCGAGCAGTGGTTGGAAGCCATCTCACAATCTTTTTCGCTGAAAGAGAAAAGAAATCTAGGAAACAAACTTTTAACTTGAACTACTTGCTGTTCTGCCTCACTTGAAGCCTGTTGGTTTTTTTCAGCCCCCGCGGTCAGGTGATTCTCATAGCCTGCTCTAGTGAAAACAAGACAACAAACAAAAATGAGGGAAATATAATTTCGTTAATATTTCAAGGGGGTTGTCAGGCTGGGTATTGTCGCGCCATAGATCAGCATGGCATTCTCTTGTACTGTGTTAGGGTGTTGGAGTGGGAGGTTCAGATGTTAAAATATATATTCTCTCAGTAAATGTCCTCGGGAAGAGACGAACCACTAACACCCAAGACCAGATTATTCAATTTTGCTATACTAGAGTAGTTTGAAACGAATGGATTAAAAAGTATAGCGGGAATCCAACAGCAAACCATCACCTCAGTTCTGCGACATCAACCTCACAAATTCCTGGTCTGCGAGAAAGAAAACCATCAGCTTAAACCCTATAGCATAAAGGGAGAATATCGATATCAGATGTACTCACAATCAATGCTTCCATCGCCATTAACATCCGCCAGCTTCAACATCTCATCGACATCCGCATCCGTAACATCGTCCCCGATAGATGTCAACACCTTCCGGAGCTCATCCGCACTGATAGTGCCGTTCTTGTCCTGGTCGAAGACTTCAAAGGCCCCGCGGAGCTCTGCCTCGGGGTCTGCGTCTTTGACTTTGCGAGACATCATGACGAGGAATTCTACCAGCGCATTAGTATATGATAAAAGCATAACAAAGAGGTTTCTCGGAGTAGAAGTGCTCTGAAGAAGAGGAAAAGACAAAATGACAAAAGTAAACAAAAATCGAACAAAAAAAAAAGAGAGAAACAAACCTTCAAAATCAATAGTCCCAGTCCGGTCCAAATCCAGTTCGTCGACCATATCCCTCAACTCGGTGTCGGTAGGATTCTGGCCGAGAGAGCGCATGACTTCGCCAAGTTCCTCGGCACTTATGTCTCCTAGGAATGAAGTTAATATGCGCCATAGAGTACAGATAGCTTACAGATAGCTAGCTGTTGATAACTGACCGTTTCCATCTTTATCCTGTTTAAAGAGATCAAAAAGTCAGTACAGTCCTGGATTGGGCAGATTACCCCGCGGAGCCTTACGAAGATCTTAAAGACATCCCTGAACTGGGAGATTTGGTCTTCGCTGAGAGAGGCAGCCTGGACCAGTTAGAAAGGCTGGATTTGTACGTAGGGTGTTGTTAGTTGGGGATATACCATCTTAGAGACACTCTGCGATGGTCTTTGTGATGGGGGAGGGTGCAGTGATGGAGAGGGGGTTGATGTTTGGGGAGTTGGACGAGCCGCCCCGCCAAGACAAGGGAAGATCGTGCATTGCGAGCCTTGCGATACAAGACCAGGTATTATAGATGCCGTGATATTTAGATAGGGGATTATGAACAGGCCCAGCTTGAATGATGGAACATTAATATAAAGGAGAAGGGCTAGAGGCATAGTTCATGTTTGGTTCTAGAATCTCGGTATCAAAAGCGCATGTTGCTTTCGGATATATCAGTCCAACAGGGAGATATAGGCATAAAAGAGGAAAGGAGAAGACCCTAACTGGAGTAAAAAAGGACAGTGTAGCATTCTATCTTGAAGGTTTACAGAGTACGGCCGAGAGGAGCTGCGAAGTGCAAACCAAGCAACCAGCAACCACGCATCAATAAGGTTGAGCCAAAGTTTGGGTATATTCTAGAATCTTTCAATGAATGATAAATGAATGATACTGTCAGGCTGTCAGTGATCGCTGGTTACCATCGTATGATGTTCACAGGGCTGAGTGAAGATGCCCTGGCCAAAACAGGCAACTTCCTGATTGGGAAAGTAGTGCAATTACATCATTGGAAATGCACGTGATCTGACTCACTGAATTGGAGTCGCGTCTTTGTGTTTTGTGATCCAGACGCAAACGCTAGGCCCATCGGCAATCTTGACTTCTGCCCGCTGCCAGTCAAGTCGGGGTACGTTGTTCTTCATGCTGCGACGCAAAGGGGCCCACGATGTCGTCCCGGACGCGCCCCGGTCGTTTCGCAACGCGAGGAGCTCCCCGCAGCAGTCGCCGGTCCAGACGACCAGATGAAGACGAGATACCGGAGGTCTACAGAGAAATGCTAGCTGAGGCCGATGCACGGGAAACGGGCTCATCGGATAATAACAGGCCGACGAAGCGGTTTAAGCCCACGGGATACAGAGCAACGTCTGCGCTGGCGCAACTCGCGGATCGAGAAACACAAGATGCCATAGATATCGAAGAAGGCACGGCGAAGAAGCCTCAGACTGTATATAATTCACCGTCAGAGTCAGAAGAATCGGATATGGAATGGGAAGAGGTCGACATCCAACAGTCTTCTCTTCCAGGCCCCTCAACTTCTGTTTCTGCTTCGGATGACGCGCCGCTTCAGATCACCCTAGGTCAGCAGGAGGAGCGGAAGCGACGGGTCGTCCGGCGCAAGCCCGTAACGGCGGCCGAGAGGAAACTCAGACTTGATGTTCATAAGACACATCTGCTCTGTTTGCTGGGCCACGTCCAGCGGCGTAATCTGTGGTGCAACGATGAGGAAGTACAGGTGCGTTGCATCCATCCTAGTTTGAAAATCCCAGGTGTATAATTGCTGTAGGAATCCCTTAAGAAGATATTGTCAAAGCATATACGGTCGCAACTAAACCCGCCGGAGAACAAAGCACAGCATACTAGATCAGCTATGTTCCTCGACGGCCTCAACCAGGCTGGGGATGTATTCACCAAGAAATTCAGGGTCACAAAGCCTGGAATTCAGCGTGCTCATTGGGCGTATGACTCTGATTCTCTGAAGAGGAAAACAGTAATACTTCCAGCTCCTCCAACTGGACAGGACGCTGCTGATATGCTCTAGGAGGATATTATGTCGGATGCCGAAGTATTTCTCTCAAAGGAAGATTTCCAGAAACAGGCCAAGACACTGCAAGGCTCTCGTGATTTTGGCGCCCAGTTGTTTTGCGCACTTCTGCGCTCTGTTGCGGTGGAGGCCCGGCTGGTGTGCTCTCTTCAGCCGTTGCCATTCTCAGGGACAATGGAACCCCCACCGAAGCCGGAGCCTCAACCCATCGTCATATCGTCAGACAATTCTGAATCATTAACCGATGGACAAACAAAGTCGGATACTACAAAGCCATCACCTATTAGGCGGCTTGGTCGGCCCTCATTTAAACCAACTCGACCGCACAGCACTTTCCCTGCCAGTACGTTACAGCGAGCTTGTGCAAAACACTACTAACGCCTTCCAGGACCGGCACCAAGGAAATCATCGTATCCAGTATTTTGGGTAGAGGCATTTAACGAGGCCTTTCAGAAATGGATTGTAATCGACCCCATGGTGACGAGGACGCTGGCGAAGCCACACAGACTCGAGCCACCAGCAGCTGATCCGTATAATATTCTCAGCTATGTGGTTGCATTTGAAGAGGACGCTTCGGCCAGAGATGTGACCAGGCGTTATACGAAGGCATTCAACGCAAAAGTTCGCAAACTCCGCGTTGAATCGACCAAGAATGGCGAAGTGTGGTGGAAAAGGGTACTTCAGCACTTTGAAAGACCATTTTTAGAGGACCGTGATGAACTCGAAGTTGGTGAGTTGACGGCAAAGACAGCCTCCGAGCCCATGCCACGGAACGTGCAAGACTTTAAAGATCACCCCGTCTATGCTCTAGAGCGGCATCTCCGTCGCAACGAGGTCATATTTCCGAAACGTGTCACAGGGCAAGTTAGCCTTGGGAAGGCCGGAGCTAAGGGCCAGACAGAACCGGTATATCGCCGGTCCGATGTCCACACCCTTCGGAGTGCGAACAAGTGGTATCGACTTGGTCGGGATATTAAAATGGGCGAGCATGCTTTAAAGCGCATACCGGCGAAAAACAAAGAAATAAACCTGGATGATGAAGAAGAACCTGAAGAAACAGCTTTATACGCATATTTTCAAACAGAATTGTACAAACCGCCACCTGTCGTCGGGGGAAAGGTTCCAAAGAACGCCTACGGAAATTTGGATATTTACGTCCCAAGCATGGTGCCCCCTGGAGGGGTCCATATCAGGCAACTGGATGCCGCATATGCTGCACGTACTTTGGGAATTGACTACGCAGATGCTGTTACTGGATTCAACTTTAAAGGACGCCATGGTACAGCCGTCATGCAAGGGATAGTGGTCGCAGTTGAATACCATGAAGCGGTCCAGGAGGTCCTGAAGTGTCTTGAGGAAGAGAAAGTGCGAAATGAACTTGAGGAAAGGTCTGCACAGGCCCTTCGCACATGGAGACATTTTCTGTTGAAGCTTCGGATTGTCGAGCGAGTCAAAGGCTACGCGGTTGAGGGCGAAGCTGATGACGAAGCGAGTGGCCTCGAGAATAGCGAGGATCCGGAAGAAATGGGCGGTGGGTTCTTTCCTGAGGCTGATGCCAAAATGGTAGTTCCGCCTCAGCCCAAGGGAGAAACAGAAGAGTATGGTGTTCAAGATGAAGATATGGGTGGCGGGTTTCTCCCTGAGTCTGATGGGGAAGCAGCCTCCCCTGTCCACCGGGAGCAACCGAAACAGCATCCTAGCATTGATGTGGAAGATCTTGCTGGCGGGTTCGTTCCTGAAGAAGAAGTTGTACCCGAAAGAGTACCTGGAAGTGCCCCCGAGCGGCGTCATAACACGGATACACAGTCAAAATACAGCCTGGTTGTCGTGCCTAGCAATGCGCCAGATGCGTCTAAGGTCGACCAACCCCCTGCCGAACAAACTGATAAAGACCGCGCAGTTGACCACACGGCGCCAGGCGCCTCAGTCGAAGAGCCGATTACGGTAGCGTCGTCGGTCAACGACTCTGCTTCTGCAAGTGTTGAGATACTCTCCCGAGCTCCATCGCAGGCGCAGTCGCGCACCCAGTCCGTGGAGGTTATATCCGAGCATTCTGAAGATGACAAGGGCTCGTTACTATCAGAGGATCCCGAAGATGAGGATGCGGTTCCCGAGTGGCTGATGTCGGATTGACCTTATGCTGCAGCTAATTCTATCTAGTATACCCACTTTGCAATTGTACATTATCAAGTCAAATCAAACATTCGGAGGACTACAACCGGACAAAGGAACCACAACAGTGTAGTAGTCTAAATGTATGCACCTAATTGGACAATCTATTTACAAGATACAAAACCAAGAAGCCCTCGAGGCCACTTTACCTCCCCATCCAGCCACCATCAACCGTAACCAACTCCCCACTAACATACGAACTGGCCTCGCTAGCCAAAAAGACAACCGGCCCCTTAAAGTCCTCCGGCTTCCCCCACCTGCCCGCCGGAATGCGCGCCATGATACCCGCATTGCGGTTATTATCATTAATCAACGCAACATTCATATCCGTATCAATATACCCCGGCGCAATCGCATTCACATTAATCCCCTTGCTCACCCACTCATTACTCAACGCCTTCGTCAACTGCGCAATCCCACCTTTACTCGCCGCATACGCAGGAACCGTAATCCCACCCTGATACGAGAGCAGCGAGGCAACATTGATAATGGACCCCCTTTTGCGGCCCTTCTCAAAGGAACCTTCAGGCTGAGAGAGGATATATGCGCCGAACTCGCGACACAGCGTGAACACACTGGTGAGGTTCACATTCAGAACCTCATCCCAGTCCTCGTCGGGGAATTTCTCGGATGGGTGGCGCCGCTGGATTCCTGCGCAGTTGAGCAGGATGGTGGGGTTGTGGCCCTGGGAGACGAGTGTGGGGATGATGGATTTCACGGAGGTGCGGTCCGACAGTTCGGCGGGGTGGATTGTGGCTTTGCGGTTGAGCTTGCTGGTTATGTAGTCGTGGGTGCTGGTGTTTGATGCGTCGCGCTGTTTATCATAATTGGGTTAGCTGTCTGCCGTATTGTAAGGACAGAAGGGGGCGGATGTTCTACCTGAACGAGGATAATGTCTGCGCCGGCTTCAGCAAGGGCAATTGCCATTGCGGCGCCGATGCCGCGGGTTCCGCCGGTGACGAGGGCGGTCTTGCCCTGGAGGGAGAAGAGAGAAGGGACTGTGTCTGCCATTTTCTTGATTGTGGTTTGAATAGAGGTGAGAGATTTGAAATTAATGGAGGGGCGAGTGCTATATATCTAGACGAGGGCGCGGGGCATCCAGATTAGGATGTTTCCATTGCCGACAAAGCCCGCTCTCCCCGCATCGGCTATTGGGCGGGTCGGCGATTATCCGGTCGACAGGCAAATGCCGGGGGAGTATATAATGAGGGATTTGACATGGATCGCAGCTTTGGAAGTATTGACAGAGCTCTGATGTATATACATTACAGGTTGTGGAATCTAATCCGCAACCTGAGGAGCTTCGACCGGTTCTTTTCCTTGCTGTCGGATAAATCTCCGCAGAGTCGACCCGCAGAGCCGTGTGCCGGATCTATATGATATTTGAATAATAGAAAATATCTAAGAGCACCGGTCGAGCTTATTCAATTCACCAATCTAGTCTATCAATTGTAGCTCAATACTAACTATTCACCATCTAACATTTTGCTTCCACTCAGATCCACTTACCATACACCTACTACGCTGTACTTCAACATCTCCATGCAGATTTTCTGCTTTTCAGCATCATTTGCACCGATTTTAGCCCTCAGTATCGTCATATTTTATCGACGAGGTGGGGGAGGAGAGGGGAGGAAGATTAATGTTCTGCCCTTTTCAACCCCCGACCCCTCGCGAACATCGCAGCCAATGTCGCAACGCAGCCAAACACGGCACTAGCGGCAAACGCCATGCGAATGCCACCATAATATACCTCCCTTGCTGCGAGTTGGATCTCCGGGTCGAGGTCGTAGATTGCACTGACGGAGTGGCGGATCTCATCAATTACCTATTTTCACGGCGAGAAGACGGATGGTGAGCGGGTTGTTACATAAGATATTATGGGTGGGTAGGGATAGACATGATCAGGGAGGGAGAAGAGAAGTGGAGAGATGAGAGGAGGTGCATGGTTGGAGGGATGGGAGGAGTGGTACTTTCCATTTGTTCGGTACTCCGCGCAATGCCTCAGGCAATGAGCGCACAAGTTCATTTTGTACAATTGTTGACGTGATGGCGACGCCGTAGACAGTCCCAAGCGAGCGGATGAGGTAGACGGTCGAGGCGGAGACAGCGTGGTCTACAGCACAATTAGTTATCCTCTCACCGTCACTGGGCCCAGTGAGATAGCACATACCGTCGTGTCCGAAAGCTGCTAAAAAGGTAAACAGAATAGCCGGATAAACAATACCCTGTCCCAAGTTGGCCGGGATCACATAAACAAAGTACTTCCACTCGGCATCGTAGAACTGCAATGCCATGACGAGAAGATTCCCGACAAACATCAGTGATGCGCCGGCGCGCATCAAGTGGCTGAGCTTCCCGTATCGCGACATGATGATACCCGAGATTAGGCCACCGATGGGGGTTGCGAAAGAGGGGATGACAAGGCGAGCGCCCGCCTTGGAAGCACTGTCGAGGAGGACGACTTGGAAGAACAGGGGGAGATTAAACAGGAACTATTGTTTTTTTAGTTACTGTAAATGCAGTGAAGAGGGACATAACAAAACGTACAGCATATGCAGACATCCCAACACAGACATTCGCAATCTGCGTCGAGACAGGAAGGATACCATGGAGCATTCGTAGAGGTATAACGGGGATGGCGGTCGTTTTGGCCTCGACAAGGAGGAATCCTCCCAGCAGAACGACGCTCCCGACTAGCGACGAAATAACCCAGACGTTACTCCAGGGAAGCTCATTACCGCCGAGACTAAGCCCGACAAGTTGCACAGAGAGGCCTAGGATGAGAAGAAGGGCGCCGGTCAGATCAACCTGCTTCCAGACACTCAGTCCGACTGCAGTGGGCGCCTTTTCTCTTTTCGGGATCACAATACGTCCCACGACCAGCGCGAAGATGGACACTGGAACCTGTAGGAGAAAGCACCATCTCCATCCAATCGTATTTGCGATTGAACCGCCAAGTGACGCGCCGCAGATGGATCCAAATCCGTGAAGCACGTTCTGGGCGGCCTGGTACATTCCGCGGCGCTGGAAGGGGATCATGTCGGAGTTGATGATCGTTGCTTTGGATCGGTTTAGTACTTGTTTCTTGACAGACGGTGTAAGATACATACCCATTGTCATCAGACCTCCACCACCAATACCAGTCAGTGCGCGCATGAGATTCAAGAAGATCACGTCTTTCGCAACAGCGCACCCGAGGCATCCCAGGAGGAAAGATATCGTCGAGGTGAAGAAACAGGTGCGACGACCAAAGATATCGGAGAAGCGGCCGTACAAAGGCTGGAACGCGGTGCTCGTGATCAAGTACGAAGTGGTGAGCCAGGAGGAAGTATTCGCGGCGTTGAATTCGGAACTGATCAGGGCGTATGTGGAGGCCGTGATTGTGCCGTCAAAACCCGAGAGGAAGACATTTGCAAAAATTGCTGCATGCTGTTAGAGCTGTTAATTACCATGAGAGGAGTGGCTGTCAACGCACCGACTTCAATCCAGATGAAGCCCACGGGTGGTTTCCACAAGTCTGGATCGGAAGCCAACAACGGCTGTTCCTCTTGTTCCCGTTCCTGGTCGCTGCCTTCGAGATCGGGATGCGCTTCATGAGCGGGAGCAATTGTTCCGTAGGTCATTTTGCAGACAACTTGCGGTTCCGTTCGAGTCCCTCCGCACAAGGCAGTGAAAATAGCAGATATATGGAGGAAAGACGGTGGAAGTCGGGCTCCGAATGGGGAAAGAGTGCGGACGGCGGGGTTGTCCTTATCGCCCGAGAAAGTCCACTGCACAATTTTCACTGACAGCGTCTTATCGGTCGCATCATCGGGGCTCCAGTTGTGCTCATCATGAGTCTGTTCTTATTGGCGCGTTCCCCTGGAGAGATCTCCACCGTGACCACCACCAACTGTTAGCCCTAACATTGGGCGAGTATATCTCGATTCGCGGAAGAGAAACTCAGCATTTCTGGATTCTGAAGGTATTGAAGACATATGGGGTTTTCAGGTTGAGTGGTTTATAGTAAATTGATTAACTACCAGCCACAGACTGCAGCAGTACAATAGTTCTGACAACAATTCCGAGCTTCCATCGATTGAAAATGGAGCCTCACCGATGGTGATATCGATGGCTGAGGATTACACTCCCATAGCTCCAGTAAAACAACCCAGGCTGATATAGGTCTACCGGACAAAATCCAGTTCGAGATCAACGCAGATATCAATTCCAAATCTGAACCCAGGGGCATATGTGCAATAAACACAGCCCAACTGCGGGTTCTCAGCAGCGCAATAGGCGTATCCGTCTCGACAAATATGCGGAATAATTGCGTGGAGCATAAACTGAACAATGAGGACGCGATCCATCGGTACCTCAATCGATACCTGATTAGTGGAGTCGCTCCCATGGTCCGCATAGCAGGATCCACGACGGTTCTACGCAGCACTGACCTTCTGCACCGCGCAGGTTCTGGTCGTGGGAGAGACCTTCAAGGAGACTGCCATGAGTCACTGACTGAATACTTTGACACCGCGTGGTTGTTCAATTGGCAGGCCAGGGACTACTGGGACCCACCTGTCTTAACTTCCAGATAGCGTTAGCCAGCATGCGATCTGGTGGAGCCCTAACTCTTACATACAAATGTACTTGCTAACGTACACCGGCAGACTTGTAATCTAAGAACCATTAGGCGGAATAGTCGATGTCGGGGTACTTCAAAATCACAAATTCCGTGCAACTGAGACATTCACAATCTGTCAGGTTCTGTCCTTCTTTATCACGCAACCGCCAGGTGATATGAGATCTCCGGTAGACGACGATTGCCCTGAGGGCGGCTGGAAGGCGTGGTCTGTGGTTCTCGGGGCCTGGTGTGCCTTGATTCCATCCACGGGATTGTTGAATAGCTTGGGGACATTGCAAGCCTGGACGAGTACGCATCACCTGAAGGAATATTCAGAGTCGAGCATTGGTTGGATATACGGAGCTTATACTTTCTTTCTGTTTCTGGGAGGCGCCCGGTTTGGTAAGATAGCATCACCTTCCTGTATCAACAGATTATCTGACTATTCCATAATTGCAGGTACGATTCTTGATTCCCATGGTCCTCTATACGTTCTCCTTCCGGGTTCAATCGGGATAGTTCTGTCACTGGTCTTTCTGAGCCTGAGTGAAGGTAGTCCAGCAACAGCTCTATATCCGAATTGATTCAACTAACACCACCAGAATACTACCAGATATTCCTTTCCTTTAGCGTCCTCGGCGGTATCTCCGCAAGCACCCTCTTCACACCCCCCATCGCCGCCGTCGGCCACTGGTTCAATCGCCGGCGCGGCTGGGCCACCGGCGTAGCCTGCACTGCCGGCGGCGTTGGGGGCTCCATATTCCCCCTGATAATCCTCTTCGCAGCCCCCAAGATCGGCTTTGCGTGGTCAATCCGGATAATCGCACTCGTCTCTGCAATCCTGTGCAGCATCGCCTGTGTGACAGTACGCACCCGCCTCCCGCCTAAGAAATCAGCCGCGTCTCTAGACTTCAAAGCACTGTCAGATATCAAATACGCAACTGCATCCCTAGGGGTCTTTCTCGTTGAATTCGCCGTCTTCGTTCCAATCACGTATATCACCTCCTACGCTCTTGACGCTGGCTTCGATGAACAAATGGCGTACGCTGTACTTATCTCCCTTAACATTGGTGCAATCTTCGGTCGTTTCCTCCCCGGCCTGGTAGCAGACCGTCTCGGCCGCTTCAATGTCATGACAGTCAACTGCCTCATGTGCGCCCTCTTCACCCTAATCCTCTGGCTCTGCGGGGCACTTCTCGACACCTCAAACCTCGGAATTGTAATAAGCTATGCGGTAATCTTCGGCTTCTTCTCAGGCGCCGCAATCAGTGTGGCTCCCGTGTGTATTTCACAGGTATGCGATATCCAGGATTACGGGAAGAGGGTTGGTACGACATGGACACTTGTCAGTGTGGGCACGCTCATTGCGATTCCAATTGCGGGTGCAATTCAGCAGGGCAATAATGGGGCTTATTATGGGCTTATTGTGTTTGGGGGTGCGTTGTATTTTGCCTCGACGGTGGCTTTTGCGGTTTCGAGGGGCATTTGTAGTGGGTGGGCTTTGGGGACGAGGTTTTGATTATTTTCACTGTGATCTTAGAGGTTTCTAACTATATAAATCTAGATTATAGACATAAAACCTACTGCGGCAAAATCCACCACCAAAACACCACACCAACAACCCAGTACACCGCAAGCACGACCAAAACCGGCACCCCCAACTCCACAACCCTCTTCCAAAACATCAATTTCAAATATTGCGCAATGAAATTCCCCTCGTTCACTCGGGGGAACGGCCTCGCGGGAACCTCTTTACCAAGAAACTCACACAGCGGCCTCCACCCATCCTTCACGGAGAACTCGAACACCTGTTTCCCGCGCTGAAATGCAGCCCCGCGGACGTGGGCATTGTGCGCCACATACCCAGCTACGAGATTCTCTGGGTCTCTTGGGACTCCGTCTGTCCAGATTGTGAGCGCGGAGCGGATGAGTTCTAGGGCTGGGCGGGTGTATTTCTGGCCATGCATTAGCCATCACACATGACAACATAATTATGGTAGGAAACGTTGCGTAGGTATAGGTACATACCCAGTCGAATAACGCCAGAAGCTTCAGCCGCTTCATCTTGAGGATCGCGTATATACTGTGCTGCATGGATGGGACCCAGCTTTCGAGATCGCGCGTTGTGAGGATTATCTTTGCGTCTGGGTATACGTCCATGAGTTCCTCGATGAAGAGTGTACAGGGGAAGTCGGTGACGGCCTATAGTATCCCATCTCAGTTAATTCACGTATTTAGGGCTGGTATACAGGGGGTTGGTTATCATACATCATACCGCCAAAGCATCAAGTCAAAGTGTCTCTTCTTCAATTCCGTCCCATACCCACGGCGCTTTACATCGATAGCCCTGTTCCAGTGTTGCAGCGAGTTGTTGCGGAAGTCCAGGCAGCATTCGGTCATATGGTAGCAGTTGTATCCAAGTTCGTTGAGTGCGGTGTAGAGGGCTGGACATGAATTATTAGTATTTTGCCCATACTTGAGGGTAAAGGCTAAGTACATAAAGTTCCTGTTCGAGACATTCCTAGAGCGAGGATTTGCATCGGTTTCTGTCGTCGGAACGGTGGTTTCATCGGCGGGTGGTCTGCGGCAGGGAAGGGGGCGTTTGCAGCCATTGTAGATGTATATATTACTTGGGGGATATGAAGGAAGAGCTTCAAAAGTAAGAAATGTTGATGAAGATTATCAAGAGTTGTACACAATGGAGAGAGCGGTTGGCCTCAACAAAGAGAAGCAAACAAACGCACAAACAAGGATCTTTATGCTGGTTTGTTTCAACAGTAATTATAGAATCATCCAAACAGCAGAAATTCGTTTATGGATTCGTTTCAGTCCATCTACTAAACATTAAGGTATCCATCTATCGTACAAAAGCCAGATATCCAACTAACGCCTCTAATCCAAACGACAACAGAATAAAAACACATTAATTCGCTTGATAAACCTTGAACTCACCAAACTCCCAATACGCCTGCTTGAAGCTTTCCGGATTCTTCGCCACATAAACTGGACAGTCACCAGGGCAGCTCCACTGGTCCGTATACACACCAGGGCTGCCGCCCCAGGAACCGCAAAGGTCGATGTTCGCAATGATGCTCTGGTTACTAAAATGCGACGGAATATCGCAGCTCGTATTGGGGAAATCTGCCAATGCCGTTCCCCAGCTTGACGGGTCAGGAGAGTTGCTCGCATTCCCAATATCCGGTGGAATGTCATCCCGGGGGAAAAACCACCCTCTTATGCCTGCCTGGCGTAGCTCAACGGCGTATATCTAGTAACCTTGTCAGTAGCAGTTAAATTTCAAAGAAACAGGGGGACGTACACCACCGCCGTTGTCATTCAACTCCTGCCCATAACTCGCGGGAGACCCCTGGACACCACATCCAGCGTTTTCATTCGTGCTATTGTCGCAGGTCTTGTATGTCGGGCTACCCGTCTGCTTGCGCCGCACGTCCATACTACAACCCGACGTCGTGTGCAGGGTGATTGCGTTCCCATCAGTTCCATTATTGGTTGTTTCCATCACATCGATCTCCCCATTATCTGGCCAGTTGTAGCCATCTGTCAGCCAGAGGGCCGGCCAGGTGCCGCATCCATAGGGGGTGTGGATGACATCGAAGATGAAAAGGCCGGTATCGTAGGACTTCTTGGACTCGATGCGAACGGAGTTCCGGCCCTTGATGACGTCCTTTGTCGTTGAGTCGACTTTAAGTATTGCCGATGATTCAGTGGCAAAGGTAAGGTTCAATTGTTGCGCAGCGATTCTATCGACATATCTACAGAATTATATGTCAGTAAATAAACAAGATAAAAACGGTCGCAGAACATACTGAACAAACCCATCCGTCGGGTCCTCATCTGAAAAATAATCAAACTGATCAAAGAATGAAGCCCCAGAATACGTATCCACAAGATGATAATCCAGCGGCGCATAGTCCGGATACCGGCGTGCTTTGGAGCCCTCGACGGCGCCGACAATAATACCGATGATGGCTGCGATGCCGACAATCCCTACAATCAGTTTTTTCCGCAGCGACCACCCGCGTGGATCGTACCAAGCGCGCTTGGGCGACCCTGCTGAGCTCGAGACTTGCTCGTGCGTCCCACGCGAGATGGGGTTGAGGCCGATGTTCTCGTCCCCAGGCGATTTGGGGAAGTGCGTCTCGGCCATGGTGTTGAGTGATGGCTTAACAGGGACGGGAGATAGCGATAAAAGAGGCCGGGGATGTTGTGGGCGAGACGCAAGGGAGAGGCTGGAATGGAATGGACGATGTTGTCATCGGAATGAAGTTGATCGATACTTTTTGTGTTTTTTTATTTTTATTTATGCTTTTTATTAATATGCATCATCTGTCCCAATTGGGAAGTCTGTCGGTGATCGACGTATACTCAGTATACAGCTTCGATAATCCCATCTCCTTCATCAGCTGGCTCCCAGAACTCAACTATCTGAAATCCGGCGGTCCCAAGAAGCGTGCGCCACTGCGACTTGGTACGTTCCATCCCGCCGCCGAAAGCCATCATTGCAATGTCAGACTGTGCCTGGTACTTCGTCGCTCCTTGCTCAGGCACAAGCATTTCGTTAATCAGAAGCTTCGAATATCCTGGAGTCATTGCCGCGGCCACTCTCTGAAGAATCTTATGACAATAATCGTCAGACCAGTCGTGGAAAATGTGGTGGTAGAAGTACACCCTCGCCCCTATACCGTTGTTAACCTTGGCTGTATTTTCAAAATGAAGCTAGAATACTCACCTTTGACAGGTTGCTCTGTGAAGAAGTCGTATGAAATCTTCTCTATCGATTTGTCAAACTCTCTAATCCCCTCCGTGACTACCCCCAAGTCCTCCAGAACAAGTCGACCAGAATTGGGAAACTTGCTATTGAAGTCTAGTATATCATGACCATCCCCTCCACCAACATCCACCATCAGCACTGTACCTTCCAATGCCCCGTCAAGGACCCGACTCTGCACGGGGTACCACTCCGTCCACTTCATGCGCTTACCCGCTGCAGCCTCCATGGTAATATTGAAGTCCGCAAGCATAGACGGATCAGACCCAATATAATCAAAGGTCGTCTGCTCAGTGTTAAAGGCAAATTGAACCAGACCATCCTTGGGATCGGTAGGGAAAGCATATTGGCCCCTTTGGCGGAAGAAGTCCGGGGCGCTTTGCATGGCTTTGGCGATTACCTGCGAGCTGGACAGTATCATGTTAGCGAGCGGACAAACATAGAATAATACTGGATAAGGGTCTTGCTGGACAAACACCACTCTATGACCGGCTGCTATCCCTTTTCTTGCCATGACTTCGGTGACGCGCGTGGCCTTCCAGGTGTTCACAGCTGTTTCTTCGACGAAGTGTACTGACGATGCAACTCGCAGAATCCGTACTATCAGGTGTCAGTCATTCGGCCTTCTTCACGAGGCCAAATAAGAATCTGGAAGGGTCTGCATACTTATAAACAGCTCCTCGGCGCCAGACAGCGCGGCTAGCCTAGCAGACGTAACAGGCCCGCCACGGACGATATGCTCAAACAAGTTCAGGTCGCTAGCAATACGGACGCTGGTCGCAATTAGAGGCTTTAAAGTCCAAGTTAGCAGATGGTCAATTTCTCAAAGACTTCAATAATCGGGAGTGTACTGAAAATGCCATATCGATGGCTGTGTGCTCTGGTGGCTCCAACTGGGCCGTGAGTGCCTTGGCCAAGTGTAGACATTCGCTCTTTGCCTCGTGGTCTCCATCGTTACCTAGTCTAGAAACGAGTCCTTGGAGCCTGGATGCAAGAGTCGTAAGACCCTCGTGGGTGTCTTCGATTTGCGATGCCATGGTTGGTGATGGAGAGTGAGATCTCTTGGGAATCGTCCTGGGGTGATATCAAGGAGGTTGTGTTTCTAGCTAGGCAGGATTGAGTGAATTACTTCAAGTTTCCCCGTCCCATTTCTCACATTTGCCTGAGTGAGTCGAGAACAACATTCAACCAATGCATGAAACAAAACTGGTGATGCCAGGACTGCAATCTGATCACACCCAAGTGGGACAGTCTGATTGAGTTTCTTTGTCTGCCGACGATCCTGCTGTACGGAAGTCCATGATCGGGCAAGATTTACGCGGAGCCTGTGAGGCTGGACCTCATTCCTTGAACTCCTCCAGGTCAATGCTGAATTCTCTCTTCCGAGGCTCTTTGCCATTTCTACGGCTCTTCTGCGATGCCTGGCGTGCTGCTCATCGGTGTTCGACGCTGGAGTCAATGTGCTGTGCCCTACCTCAATTTCTTCAGTCTCCACACGAAACTACAATTATTCTACGAGTTCGATAAATATAAGTAAATTGTCGTGCCATTCAAGTATAGCTGCCTAATTTCGACCAGCGCAAGGCGTCTTGAACAATATGCAGACAATGATGAGACCGAAACAGAACATAGGCAAAACACATCACAGATGGCACTGTCAACGAACATCAGACTCGTTCCCAGCTACAGTAGATTTGAACAAACAATACACTCCCAGGTGTGCGAGCCATACAGCTTTCCCGCGTGGAAAGCGAGCCCTTAGCCATTCAGCCCTGCTGGCTTGGTTTCGCTTGACTTGGTGGTGACTTTGGAGCCTTTTGTTGTCGTGAGAAGGGTCCTGGGGAGGTTTTGGTTTACCACTGTGGTTGGGGACATCATGCTGGATGAGCCCGTTGGTGAGCCCGAAGACATTGTCCAATATGGGCACGCATCCACAGCATTCTCTTCGGCCACCTCGTCACCCCTTTTGACGATTGGATAGTCATCGCCATTGTAAAAAGTCGGTATCCAGTTATTCGGCTTCCAAAATTTGATGTCCCCAATGCGCTCCACACCAACCCACAGCCGCCATGCTCCCCTGAAATGCACACGTCTACGACCATCGATGGTCATGCGCGTTGCCTCATTTCTCCTGGTCATCTCAAGAATAACTTTTTGGTAGGGGTTGCCCAGCACCCCTGGACCCCGCACTTCTCGGTCATATGCTTTGATTATCGGCCGCAGCTCTTCTTTCGGGTATCCGTCTGGATAAATTAACTCACCAAGAGAGTCAGCTAGGTGCCGGGCATGTTCTGGGTATGCGTAAGCTCGCCCAACTTGCCCTACCTCCCAAGGAGTAATCACAAAGATCTGCGGCTCGTGCGTGGGGTGCAGTGCCCCAGGCTCGTCGTCAGTCCCGATTAGCGTCCGAATAGTATCCTGGATATGAGGCTCTGGCTGTTCGGATTCACCCGCAAGAGGAGCAATGGTTCTCTCCATGAAATCGGGGGCGGATATCGCATGGTCGGTGCCAGACTCCGCGAAATAATGTGCCTCCCAGAAATGGGCGACATACACCCCATCTCGTGTGATAATCACGACCACATTGCACCCGTTAAGCTCCCTCAGCCCGACAGCCATCCTGTCATTAGGGAATTGTGGCAATGGAATCCATTTTGCAGTGATGCCGGGATTCTTCCCCACCCATCCATTATTAGCCGTAAGCCTTGTCATCGTCCTTAATACCTCTCTTCGATATGCCTCTGGTTTCTCGTCTTCTCGGAGATTTTCAAAATCTCTGAGAGGTCTTTCCCTGAAGACCCGTTTGGTCAGACGATTGGCTTTGACTGAGTCTCCCCCCAGTATCACTATCTCAGATCCCTCGATCTGATCGGGTAGGTGATCCACCTCTTCAAGCGGGACGTCCGAGCAGTCTACGTGCCCTGTTGACACGAATTCCGTGGCTCCATCTTCCAAAGCGCATTCTGAATCGTTGGAGCATGCTTCATAGGAACACAGTCCGGTGGGGGTAGGCGTGGGCGTCGTGCTGGTTCCAAATGGGGTCGTGCTGGTATTGATGAGAGCCCTACTGCTGCTGGCCGCGGTGGGATTGCCGCTTGACGAGGCCGGTGGCCCATCCCAGTACAGGCACGGGTCGACGTCTTCCTCTTCTTGGCCTTCAGATTCATCTCGCCTATTTCTCCCGCCGGTGTAGTGGCTTGGCGGGAATTTATCGAACCAATTGTCCTCATCCCAGAAATCCTGTTCAAGCACGATGTTAGGGCCTGCCCATAGCCGCCAAGCACCGCGAAAGAACACCTTCGGTCGTTCTCCCGGTCTGGTTTCTTCATGCATCAAAACATTCCTCCTTGTTACCTCTAAGGCAATTTTCCTAAATATTTTCCTGTACGCGCGGGGGATTCGCCCCTTTTCCTCATCGGTCAGCTGAGCCTTTGGATCATAAGCTGCTACCAATGGATCCTTCTGCTCTGGGTATCCGTTCGGATAGATGGCTCTCCCCAGCCTGTCTGCTAGCCGCTGCGCATGGGATTGGTACCGGAATGCCTTGCCGTGTTCGTCGTAGTCGTGAGGTGTGATCACAACTATGGTGGGCTCTTTTGTACGATGCAGCTGTCCCGGGGCTTGGTCAGTTCCAATAAGATCCAGGAGAGAGCCAGCTCCACGATTTCCACCGCCCACCAGGGACTCAATGACGAGCCGATCAAATTCATCCACGTCAATTATTCGGGACTCTTCATCAACAAAGAACGACTCCCAGATGTGTACCACAAACACTCCCTTTGGCGTAATAATCATTGCCACAGTACATCCCGATAAGTCCCTTACTCCCACTGCTGTTTTATCATAAGGGTACTTTGGGAACTCCATCCATTTAGCGGTAACACCCCAATCCTGTTCAAACCAGGGATTTCCATAATGTTCTCGAGCTCTTATATTTTCGTACATCTTTCCCGCCTCTATCTTCAAGGCGATGGGGTCAATTGTGTCGAGATCGATTACGGTAAGTGGCCTTGCTGGTATAGGTCGCGCGCGCTTGGCCAGCTTACTCGCGAACCCACCATCTTTTGGAACCCCATTTACCATCTTCCCGTCGATGATTCTCATAACGGAGCCTGATGTCTCGGCGGGTAGCTCGTCCATGTATTCCACAGGAATGTCCTGGCAGGAGACTTCCTGTACCGTCACCATATTTGCGCTTCCTCCAAGAATGCATTCGGAATCTGCCTTACAAGCCTCATATGAGCATAGTGGTTGAACACTGGGAGTCGGTGTGCCCATGATAGTTGTTGTGGTTCCCGTGGCAAGGCATCCGGTGGTGAATACCGTTGACGGCGAGCAAGCCATGCTGTAGGAGCCGCTGCCAGAAATTCTGTAGGAGCCGGTCATAGACATGCTAGTCACCATCGGCTCACAGAAGAATTTGACTAAGGGAACTACGCTTTTGGCGCAGGACGTAGATGCGGTTGGGATCAGGGGTCTAGACGATGACATGGGCGTGGGACTGGGTGTGGACGGCGAAATAGATGGCGAGGTGGACTTGGCCGTCGTAGTTGGCTTGGGCGTTGACATGGACCCAGACTTGGACGAGGCAGGCGAAGGCTTGGACGAAGTGGTCGTGGTCTTGGGAGTTGTCGAAGCCTTGGGAGTTGTCGAAGCTTTGGAAGTCGTCGAAGCCTTGGAGGTAGTCGAAGCCTTGGAGGTAGTCGAGGCCTTGGAGGTAGTCGAGGCTTTGGAAGTAGTCGAGGATGTGACAGTGGACTTTGTAGTGGTCGTGGCCTTGGTGGTAGTCGTGGCCGCCGTGGTGGTCGTGGCTTTGGTGGTGGTCGTGGACGTTGTAGTAGACTTGCCGCCCTTGCCCTTGTCCTTTCCCCTGCCTAGATTCTGGTGTTTTCCGTTGTCGCTACCATTACCTTTACTGCCCTTTATCTCGATGTCCCCATCTGACCCTTTCGCCAGCGAAGGCAGGTTGGTATGAGCCGGTTGACCATCTCTCCAGGACGTGACGACGTAGGAGCCGGTAAGGTACGAAGTAAGAACAGTCTCAGCATTATCAGTCGCAGTGTTGTCAGGGTTGTTGTTTCGGTCATTGTTGCGATGATGTTTCTGGTCAACGGCTTCTTGTACGCCTTGTGCTGCTGCAAAAGCAGTAAAAAGGCACATGTATGCCAGGGCGGTTATCCACCTCATGGTGTTGCAAATAATGGAGAGAGGAAGATGAGAAGGGAAGAAAAGAGCTGCTTTGACGGGGGACAGAAGGGATCTTATAACCCTCCCCAGCTTATCAGCTCGGTCTTGAATAGGAAGTTCCTGTATGAGGCTGTCGAAGTTTTGCATGAATACATGTGGTATGTGAATAAATAGGTAGTGGTTAATAGGATGGCAACAGCCACGCGGATTGGTTGTGATTCAGGCAACTCTGAGGCTAGAACATGTTCAAAGTATCACGTTTATTTTTGGTCCCTCCAGCTTCCGCTAGTAATCAGGTCTTTCATTGAACTCTTCCACTGCTGACCGAAGATATGGCGGAAGTTGAGCTGGGTGCAACAGGTCTCAGCCTAGGTCCACCTAAGGCATGCGGAGAAGGTAATTAACACTACTATTGCAAATTAGGAGTAATTAGTCTGGTGAATATGTTAGCCATTGCCGATATTCAAGGATGGTATGTGATAGATACCTGAGTGGATGGGCGTATATATGGAGATAGTCTAGACTTAGATTATCACTCAGGCCAGACCCAAGCTCCATGGCATGTTAATAGCGACGTACAATAGTACTTCACTTTCCACCTGGGAAGGCTGGAGTCCTGATTTGTGGTGATGGCATCATTGCTGAGAAATGACACCAACAAAATGAAGCTTTTGGTGTACGCCGACGGGATGCAAAGACGCTTCTAAGGTTGGAGCGGATATCGCGTTCACGATGGGTTTCAACCTTTTCCCTTGCTATCACTTTGTAATAGCTTCATTCCTGGTAAGACCGACTTTGCCTAATGCCGGCAGTTTCAAAGCCCCCATTTCTACGATAGCAGTCATCGTACATCGCTCGGTGCATCTCTCCATTCATTGATTGCGCGCGATAAATTATTATCGGCACCTCACTGGGTCATTTCCCCATTAATGGAATTCGGAAAGCGCATTTCAAGAAATTATTCGTTAGCAGTTGGAATAACGGTGCTGAGATATCTTAATCTGATTTTGTGGAAATGGAAAACAGCTGCCAGCGATTGTCAAGCTTCACCCTCAGCCGGTAGACTCGTAGCAGAAAACCCAATTGGGATAGCAAAATAAGCACGGGCATTTCCAAGCCGAACTGCCGCAATTGTTGCTTTCATGAGCTGGAAATAAAGTAGTGGGGGCGTGAGTGACAGACGAACCGAGTGGCCGAGACCGAGGCTGTGCGGGGTTGATGCTCCTTATATACAACCATCACCGGCCATCCCCAGTGTTCCTACCAGGCTACCACCACCAGCATGAATTTCGAATACCCCCCAGACCTGGTCGCCCACCTCGCTTCCATCGACCAATTCATCAATTCCACCATCCTCCCACTGCAGCACGCTGACGACAACAACCGCTTCTTTGACCACCGCCGCGAATATGCGCGCACAAACTGGGAGGCCGGCGGTCTCCCACGTAAAGAGTGGGAGGAGCTGCTAAGTAAGCTTCACTCCCTCTCATACTCAAGATCAGCAAAAACTAACAATTCCTAGCCAAAGCACGCCACCTCGCCGACTCTGCAGGCTTCTACCGCTTCGCCCTGCCCAAAGTCTACGGCGGCACCTCGCACCCAAACACCAACCTCTGGATGTCCGCCATCCGGCTGCACCTAGCCTCGAACCCAACCTACGGCGGTGGTGTAAGTCTCGCCAACGACCTGCAGAACGAGCACAGTGTCGTCGGCAACTTCCCAGATGTACTAATGCTGCACCACTTCGGCAACGAAGAGCAACGCGCGAAGCTGATCTCCGCACGTCTCCGTGGGGAATTCAGAACCACGTTCGGTCTAACCGAGCCTGACCACGGCAGCGATGCGACGTTCATGTCGACTGCTGCGACGCGGAAAACCCAGAACGGCGTCGCGGGGTTCGAGATTAACGGTGCGAAGAAGTGGCAGACGGGCGCGCACTTCTGTACGCATATGATTGTCTTCGCGCGTACGAGTGGCAAGGACGGTTCAGCGAGGGGCATCACGGCGTTTCTTGTTCCTAGGGAGACGGAGGGGATTGACGTCGCGAGCTATGAGTGGACGTTTAATATGCCGACAGACCATGCGACGGTGACCCTGAACAAGGTTTGGGTTCCCGAGTCTGCGATCCTGGGTGCATTGGACAATGGGTTAGCTATTGCACAGACCTTTGTGCATGAGAACCGCATTAGACAGGCTGCTAGCTCGTGTGGGGCGGCGAGGTTTTGTCTTGATAAGGCGATTGAGAGGGCCAAGTCGCGCACTATCTGGGGCAAAGAGAAGAAGTTGGCAGATCATCAGGCAATTCAATTTCCGGTAGTGGAGCTCATGACACAGGTGGAGATGTTGAGGCTGCTGATTTTGAAGACGAGCTCGGATATGGATCGCGTTGTGGAGGAGTGTAACAAGACAGGGGCAACGCCGTGGATTGCCATTGAGAAGGAGCTCACTGATAAAGTTGCCATGTGTAATTATTGGGCAAACCGGTTAGTTTGTCAGGCAGCGGATCGAGCTATTCAGGTATTTACTTTTTCCCTTTCCTCTTTATCCACTTGTTCTATTTGAGGTTGTGTTACTGACGGTATAGATCCACGGTGGTGATGGATACTCGCGACACTACCCCTTCGAACACATCTATCGCCATTTCCGCCGGTACCGGATCACTGAAGGATCGGAAGAGATCCAGATGCGCAAGATCGCAGCTTACCTGTTCGAATTTGGGGGTAAAGTTAGTCGAGGGAAAGAAAAGACTAAGTTGTGACCTGGTGATTTATGCTTCGTCTCGTATTGATATTAGGTCTGCTGTTTCTGCCTCATAGGCATGTCTATAAAAATAATAGTCTCCTGTATCTACTGTAAAATCCCGGAATGAACGCCACATTCGTTCGCAATGCTAACCAATCATGTAAAATCAAGCTCATCATCACCATGCGCCACATATTGATACTTCATCATCTGCTCGTGGTGCACGTCATTCGCTTGAGAATGCACCAGCCCAAGTGGGTTGGCGTCTGCATCCGCGGTGTCATCCACCATCATATGGTACTCGTTCGGCGCAATATGGCGTACGTTGCTTTCATGGAGCGTGTGGGCATGTCCATACGGATCGCCCATGGCATCGTGGGTCTGGAATCGAGGAATCTGATGGATATTCATAATTTGAGGGTCTAATGGGACGGCAGTGTAATCGCTCAGTGAACCAACATGGCCCTGAAGTATGGACGAATGAGGTGCCACAAAAGGGTTTTGGTGATGTTGCATCGTGGAGTGTTGGAGAATTTGGTGGGTGGATATCGGCTCAGCTTGGGGTATGCCGTTCATATGAGCGTCTTGGACGGTCGGTTTGCTTCGATCTGAAGCGTCCTCATCCGTATTCATTGTGTCACTGTTAGGGGTACTATCGGTAGCACCGTTTGATGAAGGCACTTTGAGCGTTTCTTTGCAGTGGGGACAGTCACGAATGACGCGGCTGACGGTTTCTTTAATTCTGACCCAGTGGTACTTGACGGCGATGGCAGCGGTTGTCTTGTTGATTCCAGCATGCTGGTCTAGATGCATCTCCTTGGCAATCTCATATTGGTGTTGAGGGTCAGAGACAACTTCTTTGTCCTTGAGCATGAGCTTTTCGTTTTCACCGTCCTCCCCTTCAATGAGTTTGTAATGCGTGGCCGCACTCCGGAGTCGACTCTTCTCAGCTCGGTCGGCACCTCGAGGGTATTTGGAGTGCTTGAGATAATATCGAATTTTGTCGAAGCGGTCCTGCGTAACGGGATCTTCCCCATCAGTTCCCAGGTCTCGGCCGTAGATTATAGCGTCAACAAATTCCCCAGGTTGTGAGACGACCCTGCCAGCTCCAGGTACCCTTCCAATCCGCTTGAAGCCTAGTCCTTCCCACAGCCGGCAAGACGCCACATTGCTCTCGTAAATCAAGTTAAAGACAGCATACGTATACCCCTAAGACAGTCAGAATCCAGAAGATAACGAGTTCGTTGTCATTAATAATGCTGCAGCATCCGTAGTAGCATACTTACCAGCCTCGCAGCCCAGTCTAGATAGGCCTCGCCCATCAACCGACCTACACCCTTATTTCGCGCCGCGTCCGTGACAAGAAACATTCCGTTACAAACATGGCTACTCCTGCCAGGGTAGTTTGGTCGGACATTGAAACTTCCCAGACAAATCTTCCCCCAATCTGCGTTCCCATCCATACTCTGAACATCCTCTACATTCTTGATGTCTCCGATAAGCATGATCGCACCAAAGTTGGAAAACCAGTAAGGCGCAAAATGCCGTACTGGAATCGGTTCAACCATAGCATATGTATCACCCTTCTCAATCTCCCGGCTCAGCTGATTGCACAAGTACACGATCAATGACTTGGGAATCTGCGCGTAGGAGTGAAACGGGACCAGGGTCGCCACAGTGACCCGGTCCCTGAGAGTAAGCTGGCGAGGGGTAATCTCTGTTGAAAGTTCATCGTCCATGATTGCAAGACCGGCGTTGCCCGTTGACATGACACTTCTATTATAGGGCCCTACTTCGGGGCTGGGCCGATCACGAGACTGCTTACCGCATTAGTGAGTGGTCAACAAGCTACGGCGCAGTACTCATACTGCTCCGTGGAACAGGAAAAGGGGCCACGAAATACGGCAGCCTGGACGTCTGGACGCGGGGACAACGCAGGATTCAAAGGAAAAAGGGAGGGTCCTCTGTACCTTAATATAGCGTTGGAGGAAGCAGTATGTTCGGCGTCTTGCACGAAGTATAGCACCAGTTGATGCAGAACTTCGAGGACCGGTGAGTATTCTCGAGTCCGGAATGGAGTGAACGCAGAAGCGAAGTCGTCGTCCCGCCCGGAGTTATACCTTGTTCCACTCCGCCCCATCAAATGTCATGTGACTCGTCCTGTCAGGCGAGGCGCCTTTCCTAAACAGGAATAATGCTGGCCGCATCTGCACCGACTCATCCCACCCACCGATCGTGCCTAGTAACGGCCATTGCATCAAGAACGTGCTTGGAAAATGAAGATCGACCTCTCCGTCTACCTGGTCACGGACTCAACCGACTCCATCCTCAAGGGGCGGGATCTGTGTGCTGTTGTGGAAGAAGCTGTCAAAGGAGGTGTGACGCTATCTCCCCTCACCTTGTACTCTATTGACGCTTGGCAATGCAGGTGTAACGGTTGTCCAATATCGGGACAAAAAGAGCGACACAGGCGTGCAGATTGAAACTGCCCGCAAGCTCCACCAGATCACCAAGGCTCACGGAGTGCCCTTGATCATCAATGACCGTGTAGATGTCGCACTTGCTATTGGCGCTGAGGGCGTCCATCTCGGGCAAGATGATATGCGTACACATCCACTAGTTATGGTGTCCGGATTGAGGACTAACGTCTGCAGTAATCTCCGAAGCGAAGAAGCTTCTGCCGAAAGATGCAATCATCGGGATCAGCGCCTCGTCTATTGAAGAGGCGCAGGCGGCAGTTGCGGCTGGAGCGGACTATCTCGGAATCGGGACTCTGTTTGCTACACCCACGTTAGTTTACCTGCAGATAAAGAAGAAGCAATATGTGCTGACTGATCAGGAAAACAAACACCAAGTCTATCATTGGGACTGCCGGCGCCCAGGTTATTTTGGAATCCATCGCGGAGTCTGGAAAGTCGGTAGGAACCGTCTGTATTGGAGGAATCAACCTCTCCAATGTCCAACGAGTGTTGTTCCAGGGAAGCTCTCCCCATAAGAAGTTAGACGGTGCTGCCATCGTCAGTGCCATTATGGCAGCAGATGACCCCAAAGCAGCGGCCACAGAGCTAGCTCAAGCTATCGCCACTCCACCTCCATTTGTTCGAAAGTCAGAAGGACCTGTTGTGCGCGAGACTGCTGCAATGGTTGAGTCTGTGCCACATATTGTTCAGAAACTCGTTGAAGTCCACCCACTAGTGCACAACATGATCAACTTTGTCGTTGCTAATTTTGTCGCCAATGTTACGTTAGCTATGTGAGTTATCCCATTTCCCTGTCAAGGATTGGCTAACCAGCACAGTGGTGCATCTCCTATCATGTCTCCCTATGGTGATGAGGCTACAGACCTCTGTCAGTTTGACGGGGCCTTGCTCATTAATATGGGCACGCTCACCAGTCAAAGCCCTTCTGAATACCTTAAGGCTATCAAAGCATACAACCAACGGGGAAACCCAGTGGTCTATGACCCAGTGGGTGCTGGTGCGACTGAGATCCGACGTGGGGTTGTTAAGCAACTCTTGGCTGGTGGGTACTTCGATCTCATTAAAGGCAATGAGGGGGAAATCCGCCAGGTTTCAGGAAGCACCGCTGTAAAGCAACGAGGTGTCGATAGCGGGCCCAGTGCTCTTGACACTCAGGCCAAGGCGCGCTTAGCCCGTGACCTTGCTCGACGAGAAAGTATGTCTTCGTTTCCTGGCTCGGAGGAGAGTAATTAACGTTTCTCAGAAAACATTGTCCTCCTCACCGGCGCTACAGACTATATAAGTGACGGAGAGCGAGTCGTTGCCGTAGAAAACGGACATGAGCTCCTTGGTCAAATCACGGGCGTAAGTTGTCGAGCCTTTGTATCTTCAAGCCGACGAACTAACTGGAACCAGACTGGTTGTGCAGTAGGCACGGTGGCAGGATGTTTCATCGCCACTCACCCAACCGATAAATTGCTTGCGGTTCTCTCAGCTCTCCTCATGTACGAGATCGCCGCCGAAAACGCAGCTTCGAAGGACTATGTCCGCGGGCCTGGAAGTTTTGCCCCCGCATTTATCGATGAGCTGTACGCCATCCGACAGGCAGCCCTGAAGGGAGACCATAGCTGGTATGCAGGACGAGCAAAAGTTCACGACGTCTCTCTTTGAATTTTTGATAGTAGTAGCTTTCTTACGGCTGCATACATATATATAGACCTCACCGCACATAGATTCTATTCTCAACTTCATATCCACCAAAAGCTCACCAACGTGCCTACAATACAATATTGCCGTGTCTAGCTTTAAATTCTTACTATCAAAGCCCATGTACCAGTACCAAAATCATCTGTTGTTGGCAGTGTATACTGTAGCACGGGACAAAGTTGTCCCGAGCGGCGGGGAGTCGGGCATGATTCGGCACACTTTGACGGTATGACTCCAGAGGCGTTGGAACTTTTAGTGAAAGATCCCTTTCTCTGAGGGATCGTTACATTCAGCTAAACTGTCTTTTTTCAGCCCCTTCACGACCCTTCTTCGGGTCTCCAGAGTCTTCCCCCGGATTGTCCCATCCTCCACGAATTCTCTGCGAACAAAACACATTACCCCTCTGTTCAGCGTTGCCTCGCCTGGAAAATACCCCGCTCGCTCTTTCGCAAATATGGCTATCAATTCCGCTCCCCAGAGCTCACTGCTCTCCCTCCTCTACCGATCCTACCCCGCCGCCATCTCCCCGGATGAGACCGAGCCTGACCTCCTTGCCGCGAACCCGAAGCTCTTCCCCCGTGTGACTTACAATGACACCGAACACGCGGACATCAAGCAATGGCTGGACACAACCTCTAGCCTCCAGGGTGCTTTGAAGAAAGATGACAAGTCTGCTGTCTCGGACATACTTGCTCAGGTCAACACCCATCTCGCTACGCGGACAACCATTTTAGGCTCCAAGCCTTCCGTCGCAGACATTGCTGCGTACGCTCTCCTCGCCCCTGTGGTGGAGAAGTGGTCATCCGAAGAACGCACTGGAGAGCAGGGTTACCACCACATCGTTCGCCATGTTGACTTCGTCCAGAATAGCCGTGTGTTTGGCCTGCAGATCCCCGAGGAGGAAAAGATCAACATTGACGTGAACGACGTGAAGTTCGTACCGAAGCCAATTGATCTCAAGGCCGAGAAGGAGCGCAAGAAGAAGGAGAAAGCTGCCACGCAGGGTGGGGGAGCTGAGCAGACTGTTGTAGTGGGACAGACTAAGCCTGAGCAGGCTGCTCCCGATGCTGCTGGTGCCAAGGGCGAGGGTAAGAAGAAAGAGAAGAAGGAAAAGAAGGAGAAGGCACCGAAGCCTGCTCCTGCCCCCGCTGCCCCGCCTTCGCCATCTCTCATTGATCTCCGAGTTGGTCACATTCTTCGCGCCGTTAACCACCCTAATGCCGACTCGCTTTACGTTTCGACCATTGACTGCGGTGATGCCCCTGGCGCTGACAACACATCCTTGGACGAGGAAACCGGGAAGACTGTCCGTACCGTGTGCTCTGGTCTCAACGGACTCGTCCCTCTGGAAGAGATGCAGGGCCGAAAGATCGTCGCCGTCTGCAACCTGAAGCCTGTTACCATGCGTGGAATAAAGTCCTGCGCCATGGTACTGGCCGCCTCTCCCCGCGTTGCTGAGGGTGAAGACTCCCACGCTGGACCTGTTGAACTTGTTACTCCCCCAGATGCTCCCGCTGGTGAGAGGATATACTTTGAAGGATGGAACGATGGTGAGCCGGAGAAGGTGCTCAACCCTAAGAAGAAGGTGTGGGAAACCTTCCAACCCGGCTTCACCACAACCGACAGCCTTGAGATCGCATTTGATAGCAGTGCCGTTCCTGTTGCACAAAGCCAGGAAGGTAAGCCTGCACTCGGAAAGCTGGTTGCCAAGTCGGGTGGTATCTGCACAGTGAAGACTCTGAAGAATGGTACTGTGCGGTAAACATGAAAATCAGCCCTTTCAGTAAATAATTAAAATAGCAATGGATAATTAGCCAATTCGTGTTGGATGCAAGTAAACAGAACCAGTCCTGTATACTTCGTTGAGACGCCATACACGTGACCTCTTATCGAGGGGCAGATCACATGATCCACTTTTTTTGATTGCTCCTCGCTGTTCTTTGAGTCACAGGCGGGGGTCTCTAATCTTGGCCGCGACCAGCATTTCCTCTTTGCCGTTTGTTTAGTCAATTGGGTTGAAAATTTGTCAAGATGGCCGAAAACGCTGAGACCATTGATCAGACCGCCCGCGAACAGGAACAGGATGTGAATCCGTGGTCCGTCGCAGGCGGCACTGACGCCAGCGGAAACGCTATCTCAATTGACTACGAGGCTCTTTCGCGGTAAGCTCCAATGGCGGATGTTTTATCCTGATCGCTCGTCTGTTTGACTGACGAGATATATCTTAGAAAGTGGAACACCTCGCTCATTGACCAGGCGCTCCTCGACCGTTTCGAGAAGGTCACCGGACATAAGCCGCACCGCTGGCTTCGGCGCGGACTGTTTTTCAGTCACCGTGACTTCGAGAAGATCCTGACGAAGAAAGAGAAGGGAGAGCCATTCTTCCTCTATACTGGTCGTGGCCCCAGTTCAGGCAGCTTGCATTTGGGACACACAATCCCGCTCACCTTCACGAAATGGCTGCAGGATGTCTTTGACGTGCCGCTCGTGTTCATGCTTACGGATGACGAAAAGGCGCTGTTCAAGGATAGTTTGACGTTCGAAGAGACCTTGCATTTTGCTAAAGAGAATGCCAAGGAAATCATTGCGTTAGGGTTTGACGTCAAGAAAACCTTCATCTACAGCGATTTGATGTATGTGAGCAATCACATCTTGATGAACACCTGGGAGTTCTCGAAGTTGGTCACCTTTAACCAGGTCCGTGGAGCCTTTGGTTTCAACGAGAGTACGAACATTGGCCGTATCTTCTTCCCGTCTGTGCAGTGTGTTGCTGCTTTCGCTACCTCCTACCCTGAGATCTGGACCGACGAGCCGCTGAAGGAGCGAACAAAGGAGATTGCTGCGATCCAGTGTTTAATCCCTATGGGTATCGACCAGGACCCTTATTTCCGTCTGCTCCGTGATAATGCACACAAGATGCGCTACCCGTCGCCTAAGCCTGCCCTCATCCACTCCAAATTTTTGACTGCTCTGCAAGGTGCTGGTGGAAAGATGTCCTCGTCTGACCCCAACTCTGCCATTTTCATGACCGACACACCTAAGCAAATCAAGGTATGCTCCCTTGAACTGGGTTTTGGTACCGCGCTAACCTTAATAGACCAAAATCAACAAGTACGCCTTTAGTGGCGGCCAAGTCAGCATCGAAGACCACCGCCGGCTGGGCGGCAACCCCGACGTCGACGTTTCCTATATCTACCTGACCTACTTCGAGGACGACGACTCCAAGCTCGAAGAGATCTACAACAGCTACAAGAGCGGTGAACTCCTGACGGGTGAACTGAAGGCTCTGGCGATCAAGAAACTGCAGGAATACGTGGCAGAGTTCCAAGAGAGGAGGAAGGAGGTCACGGACGAGGTGCTCGATCAGTACATGACTCCACGGCGGCTGGAGTGGAACGGTACTGCGCAGCCGAAACTCAAGACCAAGTAGACAGACATTTGATACATCACAATACCCATTAGCTTTGCAATGCATACAACCAGCGTTGTCTACCGGTTATCTATTCTCCATTTTCCTATCCTGGTACAAGTCCAGCGGATTTCCTCAGACCCCAAAAAGTACCATGCATACTGTCCGCGTTATTAGTCTAATATTGTCGGTTCGGATGCTGGTGCATACTTCCAATGAGGAAGCTTCAACTGTTTCCCCGCACGTGGTCGCGCGTTCCTTTGTTGCGGATGGTTTCTCCCTGACTCGCGCCTTCCGTTTCTATTGTTTCTTCGGTGGCCCCTTCCTCACAAGGTAGTACAGATCAGTCTTTCCGACGCCCTTAGTCGTTCCTTCTTTACTTGGGCAGGCTCTCTCCTCTCGGTTCTATACAGGTATCTAGTATGGTTCCTCGTTGTATCGCCACTGACATATACAGGTATGGTAAGCACACCTAGTATTTGGGACCGTTGAGTGGCTGCTAGACTGTTCTTAAGCGCATGGTACTATAAAGCAGGTGCACGCTTATATTTTGTCTCTCAAAGCTCTTACTCCACTGCAATGGCAACTCGCCAAACCTGCCGAAGAATGTGGAGCTCAGCAATTACCAACCTCTTGAAGTCCTTTCATCTCCAAGCGCCAGCGGTCTTCATAACCAGGGGCTGTGTGGACACTGGGCACTGACACTACGCTTGCCATTTGCGCATCATCGGTACATGTCTCAATGGAGGAGGTCTCCCGGAAATGGTCCACCAGTCTAACAGGGGTCCCTGGAGCAGGATTCCTGCGAAAAAGCAAAAAATAATGAGCATGGCTGCACTGTGAAGAGTCGCTTTAACAGATAACAAAAACCAAGGACGTCTCTGGTATGAGAGTTAGGCACGCTCCGGAGAAACCAAGTTTATTTATTTTTCAAGTTGCACCTGCTGGAAACCTTCGCCGTAGGTGCGTAAGTGAGGCTGAATAACCCATGTCAGTTTATGGCCCCCATCGAATCCTTGTCTGCCTACATATTACCCTTGAGAGTAATGTCTCAATGTAGCCATAACCGCAGATATGGATGAGAAAAGTACGGCATAATAAACTGCCTGGCCAATGAAGGAGAATATCCGCTTCATCGAGCCCCATTCGGTCATGGCCTCGTGAACACGCCTTCCCGACAGTTTGGTGACAGCTTGGTGCCTGGAAGCGCATTCGTGGGAGCTCGAGCCCCTGGGGTTAAATTAGCTTGTCGCATCCACGCAGCTGGAACGGCCCGTTGACAGCCCAGCCTTCCGTGAACCAATTATATTGCCGTCAGCTTGCGAACTGAGTCGCGGACTGGAACTCAGCGCTGGGATGCTGATCCTGGGCTTCACAGCTCCGGCTGCGCTGAAGCCAGTGCAGCAGGGAGGCTCGGGCCTTTTCAGCTGTGCACACCCACAGGGCGTGTGTTGCCTACAGAAACCCATCTGCCTCCAGGTGTACGTCTTCTATAGCTGGAAGGGTCAGGTGTCTTGACCCAGAAGATGCAGCCATGGCGGTGTTCTTTTCTTCATATTTCGTTCTCACTACTCCTGGTCACTTCTCTGATCGGAAAGCACAATGTGTCGCATACGTGGAGAGGCGTGGTTCTATGAAACGCTGCGGAAGTAACTGGACGGTATCGGAAGAGGGCGTTATGGACATTGGAAACCTCCAAGGTAAATACAAGAATGAGAGCGAACCCGAGAAGCGAGCCGGAATACTTCGAGACATCGCCACATGCTGCCTGTGTGGAAACCACTTTGGGAAATGGGAAGCAGCGGTGTATCAATGGGAGAATGAGATCCAGTCACAAGCCAGAAATTCAGAACTCGGTAGATTCGTGACCTCTCAGCCGCAGCGAGGCCGGCAACGCTCGATAGACTTTAGGAGATACGGCCGCCAGGAAATAGAAGAAGCCTCGGACCTTATGAGTTTGCTGGAGCGTGAGGTTGAACATACGGAGGATGTACTTGAGCACATGAAGGCCGTTGACCGAAAAGCCATCAACTACCTAATTAGCCGTCTTGAACGAAGCCAGAAGGCAAAGGGGAACAAGAGAGTACCAAGTTCTTTCTTATACGTTTTTAGCCACCATGCTGCAGAAGACTTTTACAAAGTTGGCACTGGCAATGGGAAGCTACGGATTCGACAACAGGAGCTTTGCTACCCGGGGCTGGTTGTACAGTGCTTGATATTTTGCCCAAATGCTCAATTATTCGAGAATATGGTGCATGCCGAGTTCAGTGCCGATAGGTACTACCATATATGTGACGGCCACGGGACTCCCCAAAAGCATACAGAATGGTTCAAAGCTTCATTAGCAGACATATTGAACAGTGTCACTGCCTGGTCGGCTTTTTCCCAAGTGTTTCACGGTGAGAATATTCGGATTGATCGACGAGAGCCAATATTTTGTTTGCCGGGAGGCTCGCACGACCGGGCCAGGTGGACCAAGTGGGCACGATGGCAAGCTGAAAAATGGGTGTGGCAATCTCAAGTGGCAGCGGATGGTCGATATAGACAGGATTCTGATTATCAAGATTCTGTTAATATCCAAACTCCCATACGTCAGCGGCATTCTGGGATTGGAAGTGATACCGACTATCCCTCAAGTCCTCCCGAACTCACGCCTAGTTCGGGGCCTGGGTCCCCCGACAGCGGCTGCGATGGTCCACCAACACCCACCCCGAGCACTCGAACGAAAAGAGGAAGGTATTCTTCGCTGGACCATGTTGCCATTGCCGACGCGTCGCATGATTCTATGGCGTCCTTTACCACTGCCACGAGTGTTACCCATGACGGCTGGGAACCAACACTCGAGGAACGCACTCCAACTGAGCCGGGAGACGATTTCTGGTACCCAGAGTCTAGTAAGGATCATACTAGGTCTAAAGCCGGGCCGAATGATGTCAAGTATGTGAACTTTGCTGGTGTCACTGTACCCATTCCCCATTCGCAAGAGGACGTTTCGAGTGAGGACCCTCTTGACGTGGCAGAAAGGATGATGAAGTTGATATTCATTTGATACAACACCGGGGTTGCAGCATTATTAGCGCATTTAGTATCAAACATTTCTCTGTCTTTATATCAGTTACTCGCAGAGCAGGTAACAAGGTGATAAGCAACTCCGATTCATGCCAGTAATAGTATAACCCTAAGCCGTTTCTTTCTTCTTCCTCTTCTCCTCATCATGCAGAATCCCTCGCTCCTTCACCAAGGCCGAAATCGCAGTCGCCGTCTCTCCTCCCAACCGCTCAAACCCTTTCACAACACCCTCCCGATCCCCCGTTTTCATCTCCTGACTCATCTTATGCTTCCCCTCAATCTTGTCAATCCGGATCTCGATACCCACAATATTCCTCTGCATCAACTCGATATACTTCTCCGGCGCATCAGCCACCTTCCACGGCTGCGCGCGGTCACCACCCGTATACCACATAATCGACCGCTCCGTATGCTGCGAGAGATCGTGGAGCTGCTTCGCAAGGAACTCAGCTGCCTCTGGTGTCTTCGAGTCATAGTAGAGAGACAGCTTTCCATAGACCTGCACGGCGGAGTAGTTCCATGTCGGAACAACCTTTCCTGTATCGGGCTTCGTCTCGACGTAGTATTTAGGCGTAACGTAGTGGTCATGCTTGCCGTTGAAGACTACGAGGACTTCCTCGTCTAGCTGTATGATGTTTTCGGTGGAATTGGACTGTTCCTGCCCCAGGGCTTCGATTATGCCCTTTACCTGCGGGTTTTGCTTGGCGATGTGGGCGCGGAGTCGGCCAGCTGAGTCGGAGGAGTCGGGATCCGGAGCGGCGTCAAGGATGAAGGGGGCGTGGGTGCATTGGAGGAAGTTGTGAGAGGAGGATTTTACTCCAGTGATGAGCATGCCCAGGGGGTTCTCGTGGATGAACTGGAGGAGGGCGGCGGTTTCTTTTTCTTCGTGGACGGGTGGGATGAACATCTTGGCGTTGATTTATCAATAACAATAGCAATAGATTTGTATTTATTCTTGGCTGGCGATGGAAGAGGGGGTGATCCGTTTTATATAAACAAATCGAGTCATGCTGGTATAGAGTGGATAGCATAGTGGTGAGTCACTTGCTGGAAGGGCGCGAGAACATGGACTCGGACTCGCCGTGCTCAACGCAGACACAGCATCACCATGCCATAAAGAGCAAGACATACGCCGTCCAATAACACTAGAAACTACGCAAATTCCGGTGACAGAATGCGAGTCTCGGCCAATCACGGGGGATGAATTCCGGCTTATGGTGTGATCCACGCATCGTTCTTGCACACTGCATCGGGATTAGGCACACGTTCTTCGAGACTGCGCAACAAAACTGAAGAAAGATAAGCTGTTTCGATCCGCAGATCTATTCCGGCTGTACCTGCCATATTGGGCCTGGTTCAGGTAGTGCTTATTTTCTGGGAACTCAACGGCTTTAGCCCTAACTGGCAGCAAAATGTGTGATCTTCCACGCCTGATGGTTATCAACGGAGAATGGCATACAACCCTGGATCCCAGCCGCACGAAAACCATTCTTAGGGTATATATCTAGTATAACAGGAGAGCACGCCTTGGGTCCCTGGAAGGCCTGTACTCGACGTATATAGGACCCTCGTGGTAGTATAAATAATACCGTAGCCGGCTGACAATATGCGCATGGATGGCTATATAACAGATAAGAGACTCTTTTAAATTATGCCCCCCTCATTAATTATTTCAAAGAGTTCCCCAAAAGTAAGATCACAAATAGTAATTCTGACATCAATCACGCCAGAACCTCCTTCCAATTAAGCCTCTTCAGCGAATCCTCTGTACTATGCAGTTGATCCTGTACGCCTAGATCACTAGGAGTAACGACCTGATCCTCAGCCAAACCAATCGTATAACTTCCCTTCCCAAATTCATCTATGTACTTCATCATCAAGCCGATCTCCGTACCGATCGGGCCCCAGAGGCTCTCGTAGCTCTCCATGCTCGTCTCCAAGAAGGTCACGTCGGCGACCAAGACCTTGGCTAGCGCATCTGCCCACCCAGCAGGCGTGAGATAGTCCTCGACACCGAGAACATACTTTCCCATTGTTTTCTCAGGCTGTTGGAAGATGGCGTTGGCTATCAGCCCGACATTAGTTGTCTCATCTCCAACCATGGGGATAAGCGCTGATGACGAGCAGGGAAATGATATGATATACTTATGTGCCCCTTTCTGTAAGCTCTATCAGTATGATGCATCGTCATGAATTAGTGGATAATACTCACCACATAAATAGGCACGTAAGGGATCCGCTTCAGATTCGACCCGTACATCCCAACCCGCAAAAAGGTCGTCTTATCCTTAAGCCCATTCGCTTCATCAAGTATATACTCATCGGCCGGGACCTTGGACTGGAAATGCGGAATCTTGTATTTCCCCCCTGAAGTCTTCTCAGCGTTAGAGAGTGTCGACCAAATCAAATGCTTCAGCGTCCCCGATCTCGCAACTTCAGACGCAGCCCGCACGAGGTTCAATCCCTGGGTTGCTTCTAGCTCCTGTGCTGCTTCAGCGCCCTGCGTCATGAATATCTCCGCGCGGAAGACAGTGTTGGCAAAGATGAAAGTTGCGCCCTTGAATGCGGATACCAGGCTTTCGACAGAGGCGAGGTCGGCCTTTACGACTTCGACTTTGGGGCTACTGTTTGCGAGACGGGTCGCGTCTGGAGATGCGATATTGGATGTTAGGGCTCGGATTTTGTAGGGCTTGCTGGAGGCGAGGAGAGCGGAGACCACGCCGGACCCTTGGGCGCCCAGGGCTCCGACTACGACGGCAATCGGGGGACTCATTGTTCCAGCTATTCACATGTAACGAAGACACTGTTGAAAGAGCTTAATGGTGGTCGAATCTCTGCAGCGTCTTACATCCTTTTGTATGACGGAATGGCGCGGGCGGGGGTGGGATGACGATTCCTGTCGTTAATAAGCAGGCTCAGCTCTGACATGTCTGACAAATACATTTCATATTCTGTTCCACGGCTCTAATGGGGCTTTTGCTGGTAATCATAGAGTTAAGGTTAATTAATCTTCTGGGTCGTGCGGCACGCGGACGGTTCCCAAGAGGAGAGATGTACGGTTAGGGCAGGCCTTCGTTGGGGCATAAGTGTGTTATTGTGCAGCATAATTAGTCTAATGCTGTTATGCATGGAGTGAGGGCTGTCTGCTTGTCTAGGGCTTTATCAATGGTTGGTCGCGATGTCCTTATTCTCTCAAGTGCACTTGAAGACATACTATCGTCCAACTGTAGGAAATAGTAGTAAGAGTTCTCACTGGGAAGCGATATCGCCTCCTTCCGTCTTTGGATATGGGATCGCACTTGCCGTTATAAACGAACAGACATACACAACCAACGCTCCTTCCCTAGTACGCTCGCTGGGCGACGTACCTTCCAAATCAGCGCAATGGAGGGTTGCCTCCCATGTCTCTCCAACACTCTTCCCTTTCTTCCCAGAATCGACTACACAAATTGCTACTATCGAAGCTATCCAATCATCTCCGGTGGACCTCGGAGAGAATTAATTTCCAGGCAGGTACCGCTTCAATGACCTCACCAGAGCGAAACTGAGCGGTTCTTTTCTTGCTTTTTGACCGACCTGCTAGTCAAGGGTGACCTTCGCCCAGGCTAACGCAAAAAAAAACTATTTAGGTTCAACGTACCTTCCTCGCCGGCCACGGACCAGGTTGTCTTTGATCAACCGAATCAGGATATTTCCAGACGGGGCTGGAAGGACGGCTACACAGAGGGGCTGCTAGGCGGACTGCCAGACGTGGATTGTCGAGTCTGCGTATCAACTTGTCGAGGATTTTATTTTTATGAGCGAGGTTGTAAAATACGTTCGGGCAGTTTAGCAGTGACTATGTCTGCAATGGCATGGAATGGATTCGCCTGTATCAGGCTATTCATCCGTCTTCCCTCCCATGACCGGACATGCCCCAGCGGCGGTAGCCACATTGTCCGTCTTCAACCCATTTTCCTCTTTTGCAATCTGTCTAAACATATCCATCGGGTCAAACCACACATCAATCTTCTGCAACTGAAGTTTCTCATTCACCCTAGCAACCACAATCCCTTCGATATCAATCACCCCACCATGAGCCTTGACCCGAACAGTCTCGCCCTCCCTACCAAGCACATCAGTACAATCCAAACAGGCTATGGAAGTAAATAACGAAGACTCACTCATTCTTCCCCACATAATCACTCCCCATAACCCCCCAATGCCTCCACCGAAACACCACAACAGGCGGCCCACTATAAACCTCCTTCACCTCCCACGCAAACGTCGGCATCATCCTCTTAAACGACTTATGACTGGCCTCGAAGTCATTCTGCGCCGGGTCGTAGTACTTGTTCGGCGTGATAAGCGCGTTATACGTGCCCACCTTCAACATGTCCTCCCCCGTTGTCGCGGGCCCACCGTTCAGCGAGAAGGTGTAGCAGCTCTGGTCAACGGTGCGCCAGTCCGACAGCGAGGTTTTGAATGAGGCTTCGACTTCCCAGTTTTTGACGAGGTTTTCGACGAGCGAGGGGAGGGAGGTGGCTTCGTGGGTCATTTGTCTGGCTGGGGTGGGTTAGTGGTGCTTGCGTGCAGTGTTGGCTGGATGGGGGAAGGTACTCTGCTCGTAGTATTCGCGGGTCTTTTTATAGCTCGGTGGTCTACCATAGCGCCAGGCGGCATTGATGTCACCCAAGACAGCATTTGGGTCGAGGACATAATCTGGAAGGCCTTGGGTGTCTGCCATGTTGAGCGAGAAGTATGTATACTATTACGCCAGAGTAAACGGGAGGGAAGCTTGTTTGAGAAAATGGAGAAGAGGCCGACAGGTCAGACCTGGGCCGCTCGGTGTTTATTAATATATTAATCGCACAGCCCTACTGCCAGCCGGCATAAGTAGGAACGTCCTCGGTCGTACAGCGAACATTCTGGCCGGTGCGTACGGTCCGCCGTCTGTACCGCCACAGCGCCATCCCCCACATTAATATCAGGGATTACTCCCACCTATCCAATTAGACCGGCCTGATTACACCACGGAGCATATATATTTTTATAGTCAAAGTTAGATATAGTGTCGGGGCGTTTCAGGTCTCACTGTCTCACCGGTCTGTCCCGCGCACATCCCTGTCAAATCAGCTACGCTATGCTTGATCTGCACCGGCGAAGCGGCCCGGTGTGAGGCTCGTAGGGGCTGTAATAGGTTAACGCGACACTTGGCGATCATACAATGGCGTTGGAGCACAAGGAGGGGCATTTAAGTGGTTCTGGTTAAAGCACGATGCTGATATAAGTATCCGAGCCAGACGACGAGAATTGCAACTAACGGATCCTTTGGGTTGCGAGGGGACCACGATTCATAACCCAGATCTGGAATCTGACACACGAGTGGAGAATATCTTAGATGGGTTGCATTGGAATGTTGTTTAAATGAAGCAATTGGGTCGAGCTGTTGGGCTCTCCACTTGTGGTGGGTAACTGTATCGAAGCTAGGACTGGGGCCATTCCTAAGCGGGTCTTCGGAAGTCGGTTGGAACAGTTGGAGGACAGTGAGCCAGAAGGTCGTCTCACATTTCTAGGATTGAAATCATGTGTCTCTCAGCCATTAAGAGTGGGCTTAACTGCTTTGGTGAATGAGAAGTGTTGATATTCACTTATACTACAAGCCCTGTACAACCTTAATTAATCTTCATGTGTGAACTCATGAGATAACATATAATTCTTCACTTTTTATAGGTATTATGATCTAAAGATTCATCAGTAAATCACAAATAATACAGTTTATTTTTATTTTGCAAAACCTCACAACTATATTCATAGGAATCATCACTGATTGCAATATAAGATTGGAAAATCTGTTACCCCTGGGAACCCATCTTCTCATCCAGATATGATCATGACACCATCTAGCAGCATGGACGAAAGCATCCATTCTCAGCCCCCATTCTCCTCAGCTCCTTCAGAGCCTTCGACTCCCAACTGTACTGTGAAATTGCAGGTAGGGGAGCGCTGGTTTACCACCACCCCGGATACCCTGGTATCTAGAAGCACATATTTCGAAGCCCTACTATCCAGTCGCTGGAATACCATGAGAGAAGATGGATCCTACTTCATCGACTCCGACCCCAGTCTATTCGAGCATATCCTGCGATACCTCCGCCGGCCCAACGTCTTTCCAATTTTCTACGACCCGGCGAAGGGCCATGACCTTGTGCTGTACAACTCCCTGCTCGAAGAAGCCAGATACTTCGGGATCGACGCCCTGGTCAACTGGTTTGAGGGAGAAGGATACCTGGGCAACGTCACTGTCAACCACACCGTTAGTGTGATTGATGGGGAGCCGTCATTTCCAGGCATCGTCTATGACGAAAAACAAGATCCCAATACTTTGGTGACTTTCCATCCGCAATTGGTCCCAGTGAAGGTGTATGTGTGCCCGCGGGGGCTATATGTGCATCGTGGACAGCAGTGGAAGTGTGGAAATGCTTGCCGGAAGGCGCAAGGCGATGGTCCTCCTATGTACGAAGAAGAGATGGAGCAGAGGATTGTGGTTATAAAGACAACAACCACCGTCGGGGCAGGCGTGGACACTCATCATGATCGAATGTGTGGGGTGTGGAAAACGCATGGAGTGAATGGACCGAGCCTTATATAGGCAGAAGGGACAGCTGACCGAGTTATGTTGAAACGGTATTCATGTCGTTCGCTCACAGAGTTATGGCATATCTGCCTCGAAATGATGAAAATAATCATTATCTGTAATAACTATTCTACTATGTATCTGGAGAATTCTTGGTCAGTTCTATGTTCAAAACGTCTCAACGAGTGAAAGAAGGCTCCTACTTATAAGTAGGCCAGGGCTTATATGGTGAACGAAGAGGCCGCTAATCAACATCATGTTGGATACCTGTACATACTAATGGCGGCGACAAGTTCATAGAAATAGGTCACATTCTCCAAACTATCAGGTTGATGGAGCGTTAAGTAGAGTGTTCGTGGATGTGCTGTATGAGTTGTACCTGAGCTATCCCAATCAGGCTAGTGTGCATCACGCCAGAGCTCGTCATCTCTTATCTTTCCCTCCTCCGTCCATCAACAACTGCCATAGATTGAGCTGTTCTGTAAGCGGCCGATATATGATGATTTGCAGCGAGTTATTGTTCTCTTCAAGTTCTCTTTTGCACCAGAATGCCTCCAGATAGGGGCCGTGCCTCCAAGGCCTGCACTTCTTGCCGGAGACAGAAGACCAGATGCTACGAATCGGGCATTTCGGGGACACCTTGCCTGCGATGCGAACGACTGAACCAGAGATGCTCTTTTATAGATGATGTCGTCACTGAAGAGCCTGTACCATCGGGGTCAAACACTGATACTCGGTACGCTCAACCCGCTTCCCCGCTTGATCTAAGACTCACGGCATTCCAGGCTAGAGCGACTTGAAAAGACAGTCTCCCACCTTCTCAATCGGCTAGGAGATGATTCCTCGCAGCTCGCCCATGATACTCCTGCGGAATTCAATCCAGCCCAAACAATAACTCGGGATTCTGGCAACCCAATACCGAAGGGCAATGACCCTGCCGCCGCACCGGTCATGGTAATTCGCGATTTAGCGGCTGATACGGGTATCGAGCTGGCCAACACAACACAAAACGTATCAATAGATAGGCTCGTTTCGGCAGACCTTGCTCTTGAACTGATATCCATGTACGTATCTTCCAATTTCCAGATACCAAAACTGACGAAGCCTAGATTCTCAGAGAATTATGGGCGATGGGTCCTGTTTGACCCAGACGATGATGCCCATTCCCTGCTCCTTCGCGTCAGGAAATCACCCCTCCTTTTCTGCGCGTGCTGCCTAATCGCCGTGCGTCATACCTCGCAAGACCTCGCTGCCAATCTCGCTCCAAAGCTCTACGAGAGTGCGCGTTCTTTAATTCAGAGCGCGCTTTTAGTATCGCCACAGCCGATTGAGTTCTTCCAAGCTGTTATTGTTCTCTGTATGTGGTCTACTACAGTCGGACAGGTGCCCCTCAGTATCGACAGCTGGCTGCTGAGTGGATTTGCTCTGCAGCATTGTCAGTCTAGCTCACTTTTCTCTGTTGTCACCAATCCATCCTCAGCTGCATCTGAAATTGATAAATCTACTCTCAACATATGGTTCTTGTGGAACCATATTTGTCTGGTCCATCTTCACTATTGCGTCGGCACCAGCCGGAGGTCAATGCTACAGGATTGGCATATTGCACGGTGCCGTGCCATTGTTGCTTCGGACAGGGCAACAAACTATGAGCTGCGGATGGTAGCAGAAATTCACCTTTACCGTACTGTTTATGACCTCTTAACTGGCCTAATAGACATTTCGCAGTCTGTGGCGGGCCTTCTGACTTGGAGAAAAGAATGGCAGTTTGTTCTGGGTAAGTGTTCCGCATTTTCCTGTTACGCCTGCTAATTAGAACAGAACAACCAAGGGCACAATTCCTGATGATGGGCTTCCATTTCTCCCATCTACTTCTGTACGACCAATTTCTTAAGGCGAAATCCGTCCGATCACAGGAAGCGGTCGTATCTGAGATGATTACACACGCTACGGCGATCATTAGACTGGCCATTGACACCATGGACGAGCGAACACGTCATCTAAGCGACCACATCTACCACATGATCACATTCGCTGCAGTCATCATATGCCGCATTATGGGAGCCCCCGAACATTACCCCGAAATTGCCTATAAAGCCGAGGAGTTGGATACCCTGATATCAAGCCTGGTACAATGGCTTCAGTCCATCGGCCTCCCCTGTCATGCGGCCCATACGTTTGGGACCATTATTGCCCAAGTCCAACAAAAGGCGCGGCCTCAGGTGGACGCGAACACTTCGAGCCCCGTGCAGGCAGGCGATATATTACCTGACGAGTTCACTAGATTCTACTTCCCAGAGTTTCTCGGTGTCGGGGCAACGCCTAATGGAAGTTGGGATTTAGCGCCTAATTTCTCGTTCTTCTCCCAGGATTATCCTCTTCCGGATGGGATTAATTGACATTATATGCAGGCAGCTTAACATACTGAAAAGAAATTACAATTACTATCAGACTCGCAAAGACAGGGCAGTACTCTCAAGCTATAATAAGGGTTCGAACTCGCACATGCTCGGCTTCAGCGGCCGGTATAACGCTTCTCCAACCAACGAAAAACCGGAAAGGTGATGGCAGAAAATGCAAATGTCAGCTCGTGGCCAATGTTTGCTCCAGAGTCACCAATCAACGAAGCGATTGGTGCTACGTACCACGCAACCTTCATGCCTAGAGCGGCCCCTACGAAGCCAAAGGCAAATGCCGCTATGGCAGCCCACCCGAACGGTAAATACTGTCGGTCATTCCAAGCGTCGAGATCATACCCTTTCCACCCACCTCGGAACATGAAATGCTCTTCCATAACTAAAGTGATGTGAATCACTGTCCAATATCCGATGACACTCAGAAGAGTCTGCAGTGTATCGTCGAAGTACTCAGCTGCGCAGCACCCGATGACGATCGCGGCAACGAAGCCAAATGTTACGAGCACGACCCGAGGAATCTTCAGTGCCCACGGTCCAAAGTTCTGTGCGTGGAGAGCGAAGGAATAGTTATTCGGAATGTTGTTCTGAAAACCGTTAGCATATGCAACAATGTGATGACATCTGTGGTTCTTACTGGCACTGCGCTCAACGCCGCAAGAACCATGAGGAATTTTCCAAATCCTCCTGCTGGTTCCAACGCCATTTTAAGCAACCCTCCCACGCCAGACTCTCCATAGGCCTGCTTCCATTCGGGATGATTAATAGTCCCAGAATATAGCGCGGCCCCCAACGTTTGCACCAGGACAGTGGGTACGAAAATACCCACGTACGTGGCACTGAATATCTTCCAACGCGGAGTATTTACCGGCATTCGCACATTGAAATCGGCCGCGCAGTTGATCCACGAAACTGCAAACGAGAATATACTTGCCATGAAGGTGAGAACTGGGGCTGCCCTATCCGCCCCGCTAGATGGGTTGTTGTCGACTCCTGTTAGCTGCGAAGCGCCAGTACCGGCAGCTACACACCAAACAATCAACGGCGGAATCCAAGCAAACACATCAAGGCGATGAATCCAGCTTATGCCGAGTGTGCATACCACCCAAACAATAGTGCAAATAATTATCACTCCTGCCCAGGTCGGGCACCGTCCGTCTGATAGGGCGTTGAGAACAACCGCGCCGGATATCGAATTAATAGCATTCCAGCCGGTTGTTGCAACCATGGAGAAAACGACGACTAAAAGGTTTCCCCAATAACCGAATGAGTAGCGACTGTATAAGTTAGCAATTATTCAAATGCAGAGCGTTTGAGACACATAGAAACATACGAGAAAGTCGTCATCCGTAAACCTGTCAGCCCAAATGCAGCTGTCCACGCAGGTAGCAGATTGCTGACAACATTGATCACCAATATAACAGCGAAACTGTCCCAGAATGGAAGGCCAAGAGCACCGCCTAGCGAGCCGATGTTAAGGGTAGCGACTGCCATGTTCGCGCTCAACCTGATATATATTAGCAGCTTGTCGTGGTGCATGTCATGGAACCTACCAAAATGTGCAGGCATTCCAGAATTTCGTCGTATCATGCAAACGCTCTTCCTCAGTCACTCGCTCGATTCCTTTTAATTCGACTTTCAGCTTTGATTGGATCCAGGAAGATGATTCTGGTTCAAATGCGGAGACCCCGTCAGGGGAGCCGTCCTTGTCAACAGAACTTCTCTTGTCGGCCATTTTTTTGGTCTGGGAGTTTGGAAGATGAGTTGTTCGATTCCCAGGAGATCCATGATATATCTATGAGCTCCTTATCGCTAGTATTTGCTTCTTTCTCTCCGCGGTATCCCGATGCCCTCATCAATGTCGTGTCTTGAGATAGCGATTGCGTGCTTATCTTCCCGCCGGCATACCGCGGCATGCCGGTCCTAGGGCAAAATCCATATAACTTCCCCAAGCCCGCCCAGGATCTCTAGCAAGATAAATTGCTTGAATTCCTGCACTAGCTACGTCAATTTCTCATCTTCCAATCTTATTGATCGATTATAAACATTGCGCGATAACGATGGAGCAGCACACCTTCCGCCGCCGCGGCCTTGGGCTTCGCGGAGCCGACGAAAACCGCGTCTCCCCAGGCTACGTCCTCTACGCACCTCTCACCTCGCGCACCGCACACTTGATCTCAACAACAGGAGAAGAAGTCCACCGATGGACTCTCCCGCAGCGTGCTGGTCGCCACGCCCGGATCCTCCCCAATGGTAACCTCGCCTACAATGGCGTCCACCCGGACTCTCCCAACCTCTTCCCTATGTGGAAGAAGTACTGCGGCGGAGTCATGATGCAGGTTAACCCCAAAGGCGAGGTTGTGCGCAAATACACCGACCCCCGCGCCCACCACGACCAGAACCATCTCGACGATGGTACGCTCCTATACACCACCTTGGAACCCCTCACTGCCGACGAAGCAGCTCGCGTCCGCGGCGGCATCCCAGGCAGCGAAGCTCCTGACGGGACTATGTATAGCGACTGCATCAAGCTCGTCGACCCGTGGTCCGTAACCAACGACTCTTCCTCATCCGATTTCAATGAAACCGGAAAGGGAACAGCCCAAACAACCGGCGGCGCAAAACTCCTCTGGTCCTGGCGCGCAATCGATCACCTCGACCTTTCCAAGTTCCCACAACACCCCGACTACCCACGCGAGCACTGGCCGCTCATCAACAGCGTCTCACTCGACGCCAACGGCGACATAATCGCGTCTTCCCGAAACACCTCTTCCGTGTTTGTGATCAGCCGCGCCACTGGGGACGTGATCTGGCATCTCACAGCCCCAATTGTAAACCAGCAGCACTGCGCACACGAAGTTAACGCAGAAACGGGAGACATGCTTATCCTGGACAACGGGGTTTTCCGACCAGGCCTTGCGGTTCCATTCTCGAGAGCGATTGTTGTCTCTAGAAAGACAAAACAGATAACCTGGGAACATAAGGATCGTACCACGGGTGGCCTGGGCTTCTTCACTCCGTTTATGGGGTCTGCGCAGAAATTGGCAGGTGGGAATGTCCTTATTGCTGAAGCGGCGACGGGTAGGATCTTCGAAGTTAGTGCGGATGGGCAGGACGTGGTATGGGAGTTTGTGGTGCCACAGTTGAATGATTACAGCGGCGTCACGGGGGAGGAGGATCTCAAACAGATGGAGAAGATAGGCTTTTCGTATCAGAGTAACGCGGTCTTTCGGGCGTATAAATATGCGCCTGAAGAGGTGCCGTGGTTAACGACGTCCTGATGTAAGGTACATACAATTATGAATTGAAAAGAATGTTAAGATGGTTGGATAGATATAGTAATATTCATCACGATTGATATAATTACTTCATAAGTAGACGCCGAGACAAATCTATCCAACCGCTTCTAGGGGCTCTAAGGTAAGCTAGGAGAGAGAATCTACTTTCTCCAAAACAACCCCCACCCGAACATCTCCTCCCAAAAACCCCTTGGGGGTTCGATAAGACTTAATTCCTCCTCATAAGTCGTAATCTCCGGTGCTTCCCATACCAAGTCCGACTCATAAGGCTTCACGAACTTCGTCCTCTTGATTAATTTCCAGCCTGTGAATAGGATGGGGGCGAGGAGGACCATGGTGTAATTTGTGAAGAATGAATCAATTGTCCAAGGCGTGAATGACTCATAGCCGTAGGTGCAGACAACTGTGAACATCCATGCCAAGCCGATGTATCCGGAGTAGGGCTGAAACCAGCCAGTGTAGGGGAGAGTCGAGCGGTCGAAGTTTTGTGCGACCGTTGCGCGGTAGAAGAAGATGTACGTTACAGTGATGATGACATAGTTGATGAGGCCCGCCGCGGTAACAAGGTTTGTCATCCAAGTAAGCACGGTGCTTGAGGAGTTGGATACCTGCAAGAAAGATAGGAATGGAAAGGCCATGACAATAAGAAAACAGTAGATGGGCACGCCGCTTTTAGTGCATTTGCGAAGGACTCTCGGTGCTCGGCCTTCCAGGGCGAGGGAGTGCAGAATACGAGTCGCGGTATACGTGTAAGTGTTCCCCGCACTGAAGATAGAGGTAATGAGGAGAGCGTTGACAACATGAGGAAGACCCTCGATGCCCATGTTGGTCATTGCAATAACGTATGGGGAAGCGGCTGCACTTCCTGAACCTCCGGATTCTTCGAGGTGAATTTGGCGCAGAGTGGGATCGTTGTAGCCGAGAACAATTCCAGCGCAGAGGGCTGAGCCGATAAAGAAAAACCCAAATCGCCAGTAAACAGTCTTGAAGGCAGTCTTGATGTAACGGCGAGGGTGTTTGGCCTCGGCTGCGACCATAGAGATGTACTCTGGACCGACACATGCGAAGCCAGCCGACCAGAGACAGGCAAGGAAGCCTTCAAAGCGGCCCAGTGCCCCTGTAGACAGGGCTGTGTATTCCGCAAACGCCCCGGGATTGTTCCAGTGCCGAAACCCGTAAGCATCGTGGGCGGGATTTCCGCCGACCATTGTGACAAAGGTAAACGCGAACAGAATAAGGATCAGAAAGATTTTACCGCCGGAGAGCCAAAATTCGGCTTCACCGTAGGCCCTGACGGCGAGGATATTCAGAGCCCTAACTAGGTCAACATGGGCAAACTACAACTGGCAAAGGGAGTTTTGACATACCCGTAGAGAAAAACACAAGCACCGCAGACAGCCGCGACGGGAATATCGTCCCTCCAATAGGACATGACCAGCGAGATCGCTGTAATCTCAAACGGAATGAGGATCGCCTCGTAGAGGAAGAAATTCCAACCAGCTGTAAACCCCCAGGCATCGTCGACCCACTTCCCCGCAAGACGGATGAATCCACCGCTAACAGGCATGTAGACAGACATTTCCGTAAGACAATTTGTTACCATGGCCAGGAAGCAACAGTGAATAGTGTATGCGAGGAACAATGACCCAGGGCCGCCCTTAGCCAGGGCGGCGCCGATAGAGACGAAGACGGCGGTACCAATTGAACCTCCAATGGCGATTAACTGAATCTGACGATTTGCGAGACGGCGATGTAGCCCAGACGAAGTGCTGCCGATGGGCTCAGCGCGAATGTCAGCGCCATCGTCGGGGACGTTCTTCTCATAATCCGCTTTGGCGCTCATCTTGACGGCGCAGCGAAAGACAAAGAAAGGAGGGAAGGAAGAAAAAAATAAGAAAAAGGAAAAGGAAGCAACCAGAAAACGCGAGGGAATGGGCACTTTATGAGCAAGCGTTCATAGGTTACATCTCGCCCATGAAATTTTATCCCGCGCTGAATCTCTGGGCTGGCAGAGGACAGGAAGAGGCTTGGCCATAGAATCTGGCATCCTAGTCCGGCCTGCCTTGTTAATGTCGGTGTTATAGGTCCGGTCAGCACGCGATGGGCCTTGGGCTTGCCGCATGGGGACTTAGTACGGGGCTGGCGGGGGACGGCGCCGTTTGGCGACTGGGGCGTTGCCAGTGAAGCAAATCACAGGCGATGACAGGCGTTTGATCCGTGGTTGTGGCTTCGATTTCCTCTGCACGTGTACTAGCGTCCTCGGCGTGGTGCCCTTGCGTTTGGCGCAGTGAATTGGGTTGGAATGTGGACTGACACGCGGAAACTGGAATGTGAGCTGGCCCCTTGCAAGTTGCAACGGCAGCGAGAATCGAGATCGCAACGTGGGAGACAAAAGAGGAAGAGATTTCCCGGAGTGCGCCTTCCTATCTTGAGCAGCAGCGGGCTTATCAGGAACGAACCACTGTCAGCTATCTCAACCGTATGCGGTATTGAAAACCGGTATCTGGCGCGTATCGCTATCAGCAGGCTCCATACTAATAATACGAGTCTCTTATCGTGCCACTCGTTGCTTTTCCTGTTCCTGCCTGGGGCCGCGAGTCCATAGCTCGGGTTTGCCCGACACCATCGCGGTCCTTTGCCACTCCTTCTCCCCTGAAATACGAGAAAGGCCACGCATTGATCCCGTCCCAGCAGCCCATCGTTTCCATGGCATGCGACTCGCCATCCCTCTTGTCAGTTGCATCGACCTCCGGGCGGTGAGACCGCGAGCGATGACGTCGGTGGCTCTGCGCCCAGCCAGGGCATCACGAGATCCCCTCGCACTCATTCAATTACTCGATCCAAACAGGTCACAACAATGAGCAATGAGGAGGACGTGAAACGCCGCCTCTCGTCTCTCCGCAGACCCGTCTCACCTCCCCCAGCCCGCCCCGCATCCGGCTCGCTGGCTGCCTTGGAAGCTGGGAAAGAGAGCGTGAAGGATCCTCTGCAAACCGTCTCCGCACATCTCCGCAAATTCACTCGCAACACCACGCTTGGCGATACGAGTTCCTTGGGCTTGCTCCAAATCGATGATTGGAAATCCCTCTACACCCGTAACTCTCATCATTCGGGTCGCCATTTCGTCATCCATCAGCATGACCACCCGGTTGCTGGCCCGCACTATGATCTCCGGCTGCAGTTCTCAGAATCCAGCTCCCTTAGCTGGAGTGTGATGTACGGGCTTCCAGGGGACGCGAATAGCAGGCGGCTGAATCGCAATGCGACCGAAACGAGAGTGCATTCACTATGGGTGAGCTCTTTGAATCCTTTTCAGATGGTTCAATTGCGAGGGACCAAGCTGATCAGTATAATAGAACCACCTCATCGAAACCGCAAGCCCAAAGACAGGCAGCATGATCATCTGGGACACCGGCGAATACGAAATTATTCCAGAAAAGTCGAAGCGCAACGGCCGACCAGATACAGGACCCGAGCCGGAAACAGAGGAAAGTAGTGAAACCGAATCTGAACCTGAGGCAGCCCGAGACAGTCTCGAGTCAGAAAGTGAGAAACTGCGAAGGGCGTTCCAAAATGTATCACTCTCCTCCACTAGTTGAGAGCAGAAAAGTGGACATAGGGCTAATTGCTTCGCGGCGGACAGCACAAAATCCGTCTCCGCCTCCACGGCACCCGCCTCCCCAGTAACTATACCATCTTCCTCCGACGCGACAGAACCGATTTAAGATCCGCCCCGACACCGGAATCCCTCGCGCGCAAGCCGATAAAGCGGAAGCGGAGGCGGGTTATCACAACTGCCGAGCCAAGCAGCACTTCGAATTCCGAATCAGATACAGGGGTGGCAGACTCGTCCTCAGGACACATGTCGGCATCAGGAAAACGACGCAAAGAGGCCAACAAGACAGAACACTCCGACGCAGAGGGCGACAGCGCGACCGACTACCAAATCCGACTTAACAACGCGTATCCCGGTGCGGTAAACGACATCGGCTCCATCCATCAGAGACGGTGGTTCATCGTGCTGGATCGCGCCGGTAGCGGGTTTGTTCCTGACAAAGATTCCATTTTTGGTAAAAGGCGTTGGATACGTGGGGTTGATAAACGGTCCGGCGCGAGAACGGGCTTCGATCCATTTTACGTGCGTGGGCCCGAAGTGGAGAGGAGCATTGTCACTGGGCGACTCGGAGGCGATGTACTCAGCGACGAAGGCGTAGAGGGATTCGTACCAAGACGAGGCTGGAATCCCGTTCTGAACTGATGATAGACTTGTATTGCATCTGTATATATCTACTTCCAATTCTATATAACAAGCAAGATATTACAACAACACCGAAACATTCACCTCATTACTCCACCCAGCCTCCAATCCCATCTCTCTCCACGCCTCCTCGATATCAATCGCCAGAACCCGTCCATTCTCCTTCCAAACCGTCTTCCTAGGAACCGCCTGTCCTGAAATCAGAACCATGAAATGCTCATCAATATCCCACCCCTGTAGCTCCGAAAAGTATACCCCTAGCACTCCAAGCGCCTTGATCGAAACATCAACCCGCAACCGCCCATTACTCTCAATGAATACATCCGAGTTAACCAATGCCGCGACGCCCGTCATCTTACCCAACAAACCCAAAACAGCGACTTCAGTTTCGACCTTATCTTTCTCTGCCAATGTAAACGACCACGTCGGATAAGCCGTGAGAATATCCCATCCCCTCTCCTCCAGCTTCACTGAAACAGTCGAAGACGAATTTAACCGGTTTGCAATCTTCCCACTCCTGTGCGAGCGCACAATATACGTGCTCTGGGTGTCCTCCTCGTAAATCCCAGGGAAATCAGATACAGCGAAGAGTGCCGATTTTGCGGATGTGGTGACGTTGAACAAGCCGAGTATCCCGCTCCCTGTTCGAGCACGGCCGTTATATGCTCCCACCCGCAGGATATGGTCTTCCTTGATATCGTGGTACATATCGAGGGTGCGGCCGACGAGCCCGGGGCGGAGGGTTATGGAGTCACCTTGGGTCGTGGGGGCTGTCATTTGCTTTATGAGGGAGACGTTGTGCTGGCCTGGCGTATCTATGATATAGATCGGTCCGCCGGAGATGCAGCGCGCGGCGGCGTGGAAGGATGAGTAGGGGTTTTTGGTGCTAGTTTGGAACATGTCCCAGTCTGGGAGGATGTTTAGGTACCGCGTTAAGAGCGCATTGTGGGCATTGCAGAAGACGTGCCAGGGGTGCGAGTCTTCGATGTCTGGGAAAAAGTCGTCAGAGTTGCGGACGACGATGGTTGGTTTGTTGGTGGGTAGTTGGGAGTGGAAGATTGTTTGAGGGAATTGGGACATGCAGGAGATGACCTTGGGGCCGAAGTGGCGAAGGGATGAGATTGCCCAGGCGTCTGGGTAGGAGGCTGCGAATTGTTCCCGGTCCATGGGATTGCTGAGAAGGTCGAGGAAGGACTGGGCATCCGCCTTGACACCGGTGATTCCGGCGGACGAGAGGAAGGAGTAGAAGTCATTGTAGAAGCGTTGGATATCGGATGGATCGATGGCAAGCATTGAGCTTCTAATTGAGCTGTTGAGTTGGATTTCTCTGGTTTTGTACATAGATGCTAGTTCCCCGTCGGGAGAAATGCCACCCCAGTATCCGAGAAGTGCATGCCAGACGGCAATATACTCGATATTCGGGTGGAGTTCTCTGATCGTAGACACTGTCTTCGCAAGTCCGTTAGGGAACGCCTTTGGGTTCGCTTCGAATTGCTTCCAGCCACGATACCAAGAGTCCCCTCCTTCGTTGTCCAGCGACTGCCAATTGTCATCAATAATGAGGCCCTTGATATTGATGCCTTGATGTTTTAATTCGTCAAGGGCAGAGATGAGCTTCTCTTCGTTCAGGTCTTGTCCTATTCCATTCCAGGTGCAGTATGTTAGGCCATCGTACCAGCTTGACATCCATTGTGCTTTCTGATCATCATTGACGTTAATGTCATACGGCCTGACCAGCTTCCTCGCCTCATATACCAAAGCGCTCATGGCAATGTCAAAGTCATCGGCCGCGGAAACCAACACTTGAAAACGAGATGATGAAGGCTTATCATTCCGTGCTTTCACAACCACCGCACCGTTAGACCCAGAGCCCAACACCGTGAGAACATCGTCTACCGAAACACCTAAAATCACAACATGCGTCCCATCTTGCCGCAAGAATGAGCAGAGAATTGCATCTTCTGACAGGTCAAGCTTATCCTTACCCTGCCTCGGGCCCAACCAAGACACGGACAAACGAACAAGAGCAAAGAATCTCAATACGCAAGACGGCACCCCGAGTGGTGAATGCGCAATTCCCGAATGTCCATCTTTCGCTGGCTCTACAGGCCCTGATAAACTCCAGAGAGCGGCACCAGGCGCCTCGCTTTTGCGAATCCCAACTTTGATATCCGGAGAAAGGTTATCAAAATACAGTCCAAGACCCTCAAAAGAAGATATACCGAGCTCCTGCGGCTCTGGGCTGGAGTTGTTTGAGGTGAAGATTAGTTCGCCGTCGCCGACCTGTTGCTCCTGGTTCGCCCATCGCCATTCCGAATCTCCATTTCCATCTTGATGTTCACGATACCGGATAGTAAATTTTCCAATGCCTGACTGTGGACGAGTCATTTCACCTTCGAATATGTGCCGTTTGTTTGAGCCGTGAGCTTGACCGCTGCTCAAGAGCGGGACAGCTGTTGAAGGGCATTTCTGGAGAGGAAGTGCTGACCATTCAACGCCTCCAATATTATGCCAGATCTGAACTTCCCATTCCTCTGGGGAGTCAGGGCCAGGGCCAGGCTCCAGCTGGGCTGTGAACCTGATCTTCCCCGGCTTAGCGATGGGCTCGTCTGGTAAGTCGGGATGGACAACACACCTTTTCATGTTTGAGGCAGGTTGCTTTGCCTAGAGAGGGGTAACATGTGATTTGTACTGACATATCGCCGGCTGTCTATATATAACGCTGTAAAGTAATCTGATGCTGAAATAAGGTAGCTGGAGGAGCTAGAGAGGAGCAGCGGTCGGCATCACCAGAGCTCCGATAAGGATGGAGACTGATAAGGAATGCGGGGGTGATCCTCACTCCTCAGATCCTCGGCGGGGTGCTCTTCTACGCCGGTTTATTCAAGGCGGCCGATAGCGTATCATTAATATGGACAAGTCATAGACTGCACCATAATGATTTAGATAATTTAAGATTGGAAGCCAGATGGATTATTCGCGTAGACTAAATCCAAAACTCGAAGCTTGATCCACGTGTATGGCAATAACGTCATACGACCGCAAGGTACTCGTGCGAGAGCTTGACAATTTCAACAATTTATACGGCCATTATCGACGTTATATAGAAAGGATTACATCCAGGGAGGAAGATGGAATACTACTCAGCTGACCAGAAAGGGATCACAGGATGGGGTCAGGCATGTAATTATGCAGGTGCTGGGATTAAGGACTGGGATTAATACCCCGGGCACGGTAAAATTCAACGTTTCCGCATTAAGGTTTTGCCATATTGCATGGTTATTATATTCATTCGCGCATAATTCCTAGTCGCATATATCCTTCATTATATTCATCAAGTGATTAAGCGATCTGGATGGTCAGCTTTCCGAAGTGCTTCTGCGCCCACTGTTCACCAAATCGATTAGTATAGCCCAAAAGCCTTGTACGTATAAGCGACTCACCATGTACTCGTAAGCCTCTCGTGTCTTCTCAAGGGTAAACACAGTCCCGTCCACAACAGGGTGGATATTGTTCGCCTCGATAGCGTTGATCATGTCATTCATCAGCGCCTTGCTGCCAACATACACACCGCGCACTGTGCAGATGTTGCTCAGGGTCTGGAGAACGTTGGGGATGGTGCTGGGGTTCATTCCACCCAAGAAGCCAATAATACTAATGACGCCCTCGAACTTGATGCACTTGAAGCTCTGCTCCAGGGTGCCGGCGCCTCCAACCTCAATGATGTGGTCAACCCCGATGTTGTCGCGCGTCAAACCGCGCGCGATCTCGCCCCAGTTGGTTTGGGTCTTGTAGTTAATGACGTGGTCGGCACCGAGGTCCTTAAGGCGCTTGCCCTTCTCTTCGGATGAGCTTGTTGCGATCACAGTTGCGCCCGCTGCTTTTGCGAACTATATTTTGTCAATACTTGCCCATTTGGACATGGACGTATCGCGAGAACATACCTGCAAAGCAAAGATACTCACACCCCCAGTGCCCTGCACCAGGACGGTCTGGCCGGGAAGAAGCGGCTTCAGCCCATACAGCGCATTCCAGCTTGTTAGTCCCGCACAGGTGAGCGTGCTCGACTCAAGGAAGTTCAGGTTGGTCGGGGCCCTGACGACGCCGTTCTCATTGAAAACACCGTACTGGCGCAGGGTTCCGTCGACCGCACCACCGAGACCCGACGATGCCGCAGCAGCGTCAACGGGGCCATACTGGTGGAGCTGGTTGAAGAGAGTAACAACCTTGTCGCCCTTCTTGAATTGCTTGACCTTGGATCCGACCTCGACGACTTCACCGGCACCGTCAGAGCCGGGAACGACCGGGAACGAGAGCGGAAAGGGGTACTTTCCTGTTTGTTGCGAACTAATTAGTACATGTCCTAAACGATTGAAAGAGCAGACTAACCCTTGGGGATGATCAGGTCACGGTAGTTGAGCGAGGCACCATGGAGCTTGACAACGACTTCCGAGTCCCCCGCAGTCGGAACTGGCGCGTCGCCGTAAACGAGGCCGTCAAAGTCCTGCTCCCCGTTTTTAACGGACCATTGCTTCTGGGTAGAGGGTGCCATTGTGACGCGTGATTTCAATTGCAAGTTCTAGGTTAAAAAAACTGCACAGAAAACGGCACTCGGACGACCGGCAGAGCAATGAGGGGCAATCGCCTTTATAACAGCTCCAGCTCCCAATTTGACGTCACCCCATCACCAATTCTCCACTTGTCCTCAAAACAATTATTCAGCGGCACAGCAATTCTCGAGGACGATTGTTGATATCGGAGACTTTGTCCCGTGTGGATCAAGAGTAGTCGGGCTGGGCTGGCCGATTCATTCCCTGCATAAAAATCTATAACACCAGGTGTTATGCGCTGCACGACGTCTTTATGCGTCCACCGACGTCATTCTAGCCACTCCATCTATATATCTTGGAAGCCTTCAACACCATCTCGCACCCAGTTTCCTTCTTCCTCCAACTTTTCTTCCTTTACTATTCAAAATGTCTCTCAACAGCGTAAGCTCAGGCCTCGGGGCCCCCGTCTCCCAAGTCACAGGGAGTGTTCAGAATACCGTCTCGGAGACCACCAAGCCCGTTACAAACACAGTGTCGGACACAACCTCCAACCTCCCAGGAACATTCCCTAAAGACGAGCCTCCAACCAACCGACAAAATAATGTGACCATCCCCTCCGCGTCAGAACTCTGGACCTCCTTCATCGCATGGGTGAAGGGCCTCATCCCACGCGGCGTCGACATCTTCGAGGCCGCCGTACGCCGCTTCATCCAATGGCTTATCCCACCAGAGCGACAGGCGGCCATGTACAAGGCAGCAATGGAGCATCCGATCGCAGCGTCGTTTGTTACATGCCAGTTGATATGTGTGGGCATTCCGCTGATACTGTTTGTTGCTGGGACGTTGCTTTTTGCGGCGGTGGCGGCGTTGGTTTGGGTTGTGCTTTCGATCTTGATATTGGGTCCGATTGTGCTTGTTGCGAGTCTGATGGGTGTGTCGCTTTGGGGATGGGGGTGGTTTTTGTTTGGGCTTGTGAGGTGGCTGGATAAGTTGGTGCTTGGAGGGATGATGGAGAGGCTTTGGAAGGCACAGCTTCAGCAACAGAAGGAGGAAATGGAGGAGGCAAATGCTGAAAAGGGAAAGCAGGAAGGAATGCAGAAGGAGACGAATGAAGAGAAAAGAGATGATTAGGGGATTCTAGGTAAGTGGTGCTTGTGGTATCAGTGTATATTACGACGTGATTCTGTGTACAGCCTACTATCCAACTTTAAAAGTGTAATTATAACATTTCAATTTACCAACAAAATTATACAATTGTACTATTGATGTATATCAAGTTGTTTTCCCCAGCCATCCCCGCGACAGTTGTACTAAAACAGAGAGAATATAAACCCATGAAGAAGCCCGTATAGTATTATTATACTGTATTAGAGAGCAACCACCGGTGCTGATGAACGATTAAAAGAATCGTGTTCGCTATAAGGAATGAAGGAGATCGCATGTTCTATGGCTCGATTATGTGACAAAAGATAAGTGCAAACTATCAATGTGGTATATTGCCGAAATTATAACAGTGAAATATCATTAGTGCATAGGGCAGTCAATGTCGTCGTAAGAAGGCACACTACAGGGGCCGAACTCGTTACAGTGGGTGCTAGATTGTTAGGCAGATATGAATAGTGGTTGGAAGCCTTGGAAGGGCAAGCACCTCGCGTCCAGGATGATAGGTCAGAGGTTCCAAGTATGACTCCTCGGGGTGCTGCTTAGAGGCTGCGGTTGCAACAGAGATTCGAATATCCGACGGGGCCTTCTGGAGTGTCCGAGAGCCAATGGCTCAGGTTTAAGGAGATATTTCTTTTCTTTCTCGGCACGCTTGGTTAGATTCTTCATTTTCTTGTATATTTGCCTTGAGTCGCTTCGGGCATCGGGATTGACCACAAGCATCTCATCCATAACGAGGTCCAAGATGTCGTGCATTGCTCTCGAGCACAATTGGCTGTGTCTTAAATGGGCAACCCAGACAATAACTCCCGGGTTCACGTCCTGAGCATCTTCCGAGTAAAAGACATCCGAGGTCATTTCAGGGATGTCGGTGGGCCCTTTTCGCTGGCTGGAAAACTCGACAATGTCAGAGTTCCCGAGAACCATATATGTTACGAACTCCAGGTATAAACATCCAAGGCTCCAAATATCCCATTTGCGAGAGACTGGGTGTCCTCGTCGGAGTTCCGGAGGGGAGTAGGTAGGGGAGGCAACAACTGTGCTTGGGGGCACGTTGGACCTAGAGTCTCTGCCATGAACGCTAGCTAGGCCCAAATCCGCTATTTTCAGAATATTTGCGTGGCGAAACCAGAGTATGTTCTGAGCCTTGATATCACCGTGGCGCCCAAATCGGGTCTGTCCATGCTCTGGGTTTGTAAACTCGTGAAAATAGGCCAATCCACTGGCAATACCTTTCATCTGCTCCACGGACCATAGAATATTTTGATAAGTAAACGCTGGCTTTGGGTAATTCTCCCAGTAGTCCTTCAGACTTCCGTCAGCCCACGGGAATACTAGGTGATAACGGTTCTTCATCTTGTAAGTAAACAGCAGATCAATCAGATGGTCATGACTTAAATGGCCCAGGGCCCGGTATACGTTTCGTTCGGGTTGGAAGTCGTCATTATGGAACAAAAGCTTGACGGCCACAAAGAGGCCCTAAAGTGAAATTAATCAGGTTAATCACTGTTCCAACAAACGAAGCATTGACAGTACTCACGCGACGTGGGCGAACGGAGGAGCGTTCGAGCTCATGGTTGTCTGGATGAATGCAAGCTCGGAACACCTCGCCATAACCTCCCGCTGCAGATGCCTTACCGTCATGGTCAGCCTGATGGTCGAGGAACGGTAGTATATGTAAGTCGTCAAGTTCATAATGCTCGCCGCGTCGAAATATAGGACTCAAGAAGCGATACTGTTTCTTCTCCCAATTCTTGATAGCTTCGATGTCCCAATCCCTAAGTGCGTGCACATTTGTACCCTGTCGAGTGACAAGGGCCATTGTATGTAGAGTAGATATTTGGACCCTCTGAAATGGAAGATTATCATCCTGTATTCCCTCCCTAAGCAGTGGTATGATGTATTCCTCTCGCCTCAGCTCCACAAGAATTGCGAAGAGCCTTGTCGCATGCTTGGAAATCAGTTGACTAAGTGAAGAAATGTGTTCAACGTCTCCAAGCGATCCCTCTTTGAGAATTGCTTCGATGTTGTCTTCAACCAGCCGTTGCACGATAGGTCCAGCGACAAATTCCAAACGCCGATCGACGAAGGACTCCAAACGGTATTTTTTGAGACCCCGTTGAAGATTCTGCAGTGCGGTGCGACCATCATTGTCTGGCGTCAAAGTAAAGGACGATTTTTCTCGAAGTAGCGGAGGACTGGCAGATAATGGGGAAGACGGCTGGGGAACATTTTCAGGGTGCGACACTCTGGAAAGCCCGAATAACCAACAGATGAGTCGCACTAGACAATCAAGCAGATCAAGTAGGAAGTTCATGATGTTAGCGAAAGTATGCTGGCTAGTTGAGTCTCCCAGAGATGGCAGGGGCTGCACATTATGTGCAGAGCGAGCGGCAGGACGGGTATAAATCGGAGAGGCCCAGAGACAGGGGCTGTGCAGCGTCGAGAGAGAAAGAAAGAACGAACTACTTGGACCAAGAGCCACTACAGGAGGTGTCGGGCAAACGCGAGTCACGCAGGATGGTTCGTACTTCTGTAAAGCCCGGCGTGGGGGCTCCATGTGACGGAATGTAAGAGAGACGATCATGATCACTTGGTAACACTCGCGTCGCTAGGCCCGATCACCCCAGTGGAGTTCATACAGACGCCCAACCAACCACTATCGGCTCTCAAACCGCATCCTCCTCCACCTTCGCTCGCCTACGTCTGAACATCCTCCGCAAGGCTCTCCCGAGGGCTGTCGGTTGAAGCTGCTGTTCGTATCGCAGCCAGAGTTGCCAAAATGCAAACACAAAGAGCGTCAACGGCACAGCCACCGCCGCCATGCTCCAGGCGTTCTTCGACACTTGCATGTCTTCTCCGTCGTCCTTGACAAACTCAGTTGAAAAGAAGTTCTACGTTCGAGTCAGCCGGGGTCGAAAGGCAGAGGCAGAGCGCCAACGATCCCTACCTCCACCAGGGTTAGTGGAATGAACACCAGCCCGATTATGGCCACCTGTTCCATCGCCCTGGCACCCCGGTTGTTGCTGGCCTGATTCGTCGAGTTGAACAATGTTAGTGTACGGCCAGTACGTTTGAGTGGCCGCTGGAGCCCATACCATAAGATCTTTGATAGCTCGGCTTTCTTGATGTGATGCTGCTCCTAGCTGTTTTAAGGTGCGCAGCTCTTCGTACTCGACAAGATCGGACAGCTGGACAAGTCTTAGCAATGGGCTCAGCGTAAAAGGGCAATTGTTGACATCTTACTAGGCTCAGTATCGACTGCACACGGGCCTGCAACACCTTTGCTCGCTTTTGGTAATTCAGGGCCTCCGCGGAGTATCCTTCAAATCCTTGGATTCCTTTGCGACAAGTACAAGCACCTGGCGGGACGCAGAATCTCGAGCAGAGTTCTTGATATCTTTTCGCCAGGCAGCACAAGGTCTGTATTTTTATAGGTAGAATCACAAGCAGATCCATGACGCTATCCTCAAGTTGTTTCAGTTCATACATGTCTTTCTCCAGGTGATTTGACATAGGCCTGGTCCCTACTGCATCGAGTATTGATCCCGGCATTATACGAGCCGACTATAACACAGTGGATACCAGGTTAGTGCAAGATTCCACGGTGCTAATCAGGGTTCTAATATTCATACCATTATCTTCAGCCGATCTTCCAGCCAGCACATGTAATCCATCCACCCTGCCATGCTTTCGGCCACAAACCATCTATGAATGGAGAAGGCCGTATCTAGACCAGTTAGTGCCCCTCCGTGCAAGCTCTGGACTACACAGCTCTCAGCTGCAGGAGATGGCGCTATCAGCAGGAAAACAGAACTGTGTTTTTGACACCTCTCTTGATTCTGTATCAGTTTCTGATATACGCCCGTTTGGCGAATAGACCAGGGAGAGTGCGGCGAGCATCTCCCGTTCGGCTCGACCCGTCGAAGAACATACGCTAACTCTGGTACATTGTGTCAGCTTGAAATCCAACGTCTACCTTGAATGACAATGAAATCCGTACCTAGGTCTCTCAGTTGCGGTATTGGAAATCCATACTCATTCTCACGCTCCTTCAGCCCAAAAGTTAGAAGGACCCTCCAGAGCTCAGTGAAGACTTGGTGGCTGGCTATTAAGTGATCGAGGAGCTCGCGGGATATGTCCAGTGTTGACCAAGACCGAGCATGTCGAATGGTATATACCCTCAGACACTCGCTTGCTTTCCGCTGTAGTGCTACATCTAGCTCTCCCAGTCGGTTTATTTGCACCGGCGCTTGAGAGACGAGCCTCCCATGTCCATCGCGTTCGTCAGCTCTGTCAATGACTTGCATCTGGAGCTGTGGCACGCTTGAATTTGCTTTGAATATTTGTGCTGAGCGAGAATTCGCTCGCTCAAGTATATATCGTTCCATTACAGAGTGAATGGTTTAAAGGTTCGACCGTTTGTATATTTCAAGTCCAGATTGGGTATGCTGGGTATCTACACGAGGAATGTTTCCCTGACTTATACTCTATGCTGTCTAGGCTGGAATCGCTGCTGTCAGCCTAGTGCTCCTGGTCCCTTGGAGGCTCATTTGAGAGTTAAAATGAGTCGAAAGGGGAATTGGAGAGCCTCCTCAGCCAACCACTGGTGCCAGCACATACGCATCATGCGGGGCAGCTAGTAATGATAGAGACTTGTGCTTTGGTTCCGTCTGGGTCGAGTCATTCCTGCCCCACGATCACCGCGGACACTGAATGCCAGTGGTCGGTCGAAACAGAACCAGCGCGAGATATCGCAGCGCATTGGGGCAGCAGGGGGCATAGCCCATGACAAGCCGTCCTCTACAGTAGGACATGGCGCAAAACGGCCGTGAGAATTTTTGAGGCCTGAAATAAGGCAGTAAGGCCCAACAAAAACATGGCAGCATAGAGAAGTCAAAACCTCGTAGTACTATGCACTAAATGAAAGACGATATATATATGAAGTGACCCGAAATTCCCTATGATAATCGTTTTTTCCCCAGTCAATCTCCGCGCTTTCCAGCTCCAGCTTCCCTAGCGAGGATTTGTTGCATAACGTGTTATTATAAACTACCGGCGACATTTGTCGATTTGCTCCTACAGCTGCGTTAGATGAAAAGGGGCACCGGGGGAATAATTCGAACACAGACTTCTGTCAGACGAGGGCTTTCAGTGAACTTTCCTTCATTGATTCGTATTATATATTGATCGCGTTGCAACTATTGCAACAAGTCAAGAACAGTCGGGACAATAATTAAGAAATAGACGTCGGCTCTTACATCAACGCTGAAATTCGAAGCTCCATACTGCTTGCGAAGCAAAGACACCAACTGCCTCGGGTCCATATACCTGCCATTTGAGCGATGGGGGATAGGGGTGAAAGGGAAAAGGCTTGCAAGTGCCATCAAGGAGTCTGTGCGGAGAAACGACTGTGGATACGTTTATGTGACACAGTTCGTGATAGTTGATAGTATATAAATCGAGTGGATTCCAGCTGTAACAGGAGAAATACAAGAATCTCACAAGAACGAAGAGCCCGGGCAAACGGGCGGCCCCGGCAGTCTTTATTTAAATGACGCGCCTCCGCATGTAGTGGCTTGCACCATCCCACTTGAGCACACACTCTGGAAGCCTTGACCGCAATAATTGGCCAAGGAAGAAGATCCCAGCCGTTCCAAGATGACGGGCGGCTGCACATGTTTAATCCAGTCTACTATGGGCGGCAAGCATTGATTTCCTCCTGTAGTGCCGATTAGAAAAGAGCGAAACTTGGGCATAATGGGCAAGCTGCGCCTGTCGCAGGGCGAACAGGGATGGGAAAATCAGATGAAACAAAGGTTCGTAAATCTGACAGCAGACAGGCAGACTCACCGGAGTCAGACGCGATGGCAACGTCAGGTAGTACTCGCCGCGCCTGGTCTGTGGTCGTGTTCTGCATTAGCACAAGGCTATTTTTCTCGTGGGCGTCGAAGGAGGGCGGGAAAGAGAAGGAACTGCAGCCTCGCAGCTCGTCTCCAATCACTTTTTGGTGTGACACAGCCTCGGGCAACGAGGCGATCTGGGCACCTTCTCAAGCCTCACCGGAAGCCGTCGACACCCAGGGGAACATAGTTGGACTAGGCTTGCCGGACCTACAGAGATTTGAAATCCATTTGGCGCTGGGAACCGCCCTCTCAGAAACGCAATGAGCTTTCCCTTGTCGACATAACGGATGTCAATAAGTTGCTCCTCCATCTCGATGCTGATCTTCAGAGTTTAGAAAACGAAAAGTCGGGCAGTGAATCCAAAAGACAAGTCCACGCGATGAGGCGTATATAGGTTATGGATACCTGGGTGTCCGGTTTTCATGGCAACCACCTCCACGTCTGTACGCTTCATATAGGCACTCGCAGCACGATTGAGCCTCATTCCCGTCCGGAGGTCTTCTACCCTCGTTGATGCCCAAACAGTCGATGAACTGTGCTTGCGTGCATGGATCGCGACATCCCGGAGACTGGGAAAAGTCATGATTGGAGAATAGGGGTAAGCCGCTGCACGAAAATTCTCTAGACGCCAGCGATGACTCTATAGCAACAAATAACGAACGATGTTCGGCACAGATAGACGGTTAATCGGCTCTGGCTCTGGTCATAGTTGGGTTCATTGTTACTCTCCGTCACCCGTGCGCAACGTGGACAATCTGAATGGACTGTCGTGTACAGCACTTTATGGCATTAGGACATTTGATTCCGAAGCCTGGAGGAGAGTAACAGGATATACCATAGATGCGAACCACATGGTGGAGCCCGAACGCCTCCACTAGGTTATTCCGACGATGCCCAATCCCCGGGGTATATGGGCCTCTGGTCGGGAAGGTCACCAATACATCGGAACTAGTCGGGCCTTGTATGACGACCCTGATGCGCAGAGAAAGAGCGATCGATGTCGTCTCCTCGTGGCTGTCGGCCGCACTTTCCTAGGATAGCTATACCTTGATTGCTACGCTGTTAGGAAGGTGCGACTTGTTGGTTGGCAAGATAGGAAGGAGTCATTAGCGTCTACTCAGCTCCCTCGCGCCTTCCTTTCGAAACATGTAGGATAGACGGTCCCACTACGCAAGCACGGTTGTCTCTTTACAGGAAGGAGCGACCGGCATTGGAAGAACGATGTTTTGCGAGATAGGTAATAAGTGAGATGACATTTTATATATATACATCGACACCTACGCACGATACAGCCCACGCTAGGCCCGAGGGGCCATTTTACAAGTGACAGAGCAGCACATGGTAAAATATCAATTGATTACAATGCTCACTATATACATTGAAGTTAATAGACGAATATTGATAATCGGTACTTATGTTGAATTGATACAGACTTCGCATAACGTAGCTAGCTTCCATCAACAGGGAATACAACAAAGCATCTCAATTGCCAACTCTAGATTACAACTCCCATTTCAGATATCTCCATCTACGCACTTCCACTGTAAAGCTCAGGACCAGGCATAGGGTATTCGGTAGCACCCGAGTAGATGTCGAAGACAATACCCTCGTCATTAGCCTTGTAAAGGCTGGTGCCAACGGTACCAGCGGGGCTGTCGGAGCCGTCACCACTGACAACAAGGTTGAGGCACTGGGGGTAGGACTGGGCGCCGTTCTCTTGGGCAGCAGAGTGGAGGGCGATGATCTCGTGACGGAGGACGTAGTTGCCGGGGGCAATGGAGGCGGGGATGGTGACGGTGGCCGTGAAGTCGTTCTCGATGAGGTCGTCCGTGGTCCAGGTGTTGGTTGAGGCGTCGACGATCGCATCAGCTTGGATCTTGACCCATTCGAGGGAGGTCTTGTCGGCGGCAGAGCAGTCGCCGCCGCACTTGGCGAGGTAGTTGATGATCTAAGAAGGAAATGCGTTAGTCTTTCGGGCACTGAGGTATCCTGGGAAAAAGGAAACTTACGGGACCCTTGTGACTCTCGGGCCAGGTGTTCCAGGTAACGTCGATGGTGCCACCGGCCGTTACGGGAGCAGAAAGGGCACCGGGCTCAGCGCCCTTGTGGCAGATGATGTCGTCGGTGCCGAAAGAGTTGGGCTCGACAAAGCCGTTGTCGGTGACGGTGGTCGACCAGCCGTAGTTGTCTGGTGGGCTGTCCTCGTAGGCGTAGCTATCGGCGAGCCATCCACCGTATCTGGCACAACATTAGTTAACGCCACATTGATTGAGATTAGGGAAGGAAGCGTACTTCTCTCCATCAATGGTCATTCCAGTGACATAGCCGTGACCGGCAACAAGGCTAGCGGAGGCGAGAAGCCCGGCAATAGTGGCGATCTTGGACATGGCCATGGTTGATGTGCAAGGATATCAAATCCAAAGTTCAGATGAAACCTGCCAGAGGCTTAGAGAATAAAATAGAGGAGGAAGCTGGAGGTCGACGACAAGGGAGACAATAGCCAGGGTGTGTCTCGCCTTTTATATAGCAATTCGGCAAGGACCGCCTCCTGTCCGCACTTAATACGGAACAGCCGAGTATCCATACTGCCCTAAATTGCAGGGAGCCCGTGCCTCAGCCGTCACAGACTGATAGAAAGCGAGGCGTCGATATTAGCCGGAGACACCCCTGCAGGGGTGGAGGTATCACCAGATCCGCTTCTTCAACAGTCGCCAGCGGGGATGCAATATGTTCAGGTTCTGGGCAGCCAACCTCAAGACCGCTCCTGCTTGGGAAGAGCCAATGCACCCCTGTCACTGTCGCGATGTCACCCAACATGGCATTTCCGTTCTTTGCGGAGACAGAAAACACACGAGACAGAAGTTCGTAAAAAGCAGTCTAGAACTCTCCCATCAGACAATATGGCTTGTTTCATAACCCCCCCCTGCCGAACGTCTTCCCAGCACAATCCACAGCGTTCACCGTATATCTAACCCAATCTCTTGGCCAAATGTGAATCCTAAGCCACACTCCACAAACCGTGGAATACCTGACCAGGAGTGGGTGCCAGGGTGATGCTCTTGGAGCCGGGAATAAACAAGGTCAGTGCCAAAGGCAATCTATGAGCGACGATCCCCCAGGGCTGCCGGTTTGACGGACCGAGGGCGTTGAGCTGGCCAACTAGAAGCGAAGGCCCAGGGCGAGAAGCAGGCTGACCCTCTTCCTTGAAACGGGTCCATAATATCCGTAACAGGCGATGGAGACGGAGCTTGTTCCATGACAGCGCCATTCCGTGACATGAATAGAAATGATGTGCGGTTCTAGATAGCGGCCGTGGTGATTTGAGGACGCAGGTACTGACGTGCTGAACCCCTCTGTTGGTTTTGCAAGTCTTGTCACTGTATTCTCCCGGGCTCTCCCCGGTTTAGGCTGCAGAAGGTGGACAGGGACATTAGTCTACTGCGGAGAAGACATTGGGCTGCAGCCATCCCTGACAGACTGCCTGTATTCATGGATGATGGGGTTAGAACTTGGAAGCGAAGGAGAATGACATTGATGCCCGAGTCATCAAGCCACCCTTTCTGCAGCCCCCAGAGGGTCGACTGACTCCTCAAGTCGGTGTTGCTGAACGGTAAGGAAAGTGATCGGCGGTTGAAATTGGGAGGAGGCGATGGATGAGACGGCGAAAGATCCAGCCAAGGCGGAAGAGCAGCCTAATTCTTCCGGGCTAGTTTCAGGTCTCGCGATGGATCATTTGTATGTTTTCGAGTCGTATTCCGACTTATCCAGCATCCTGGCCCGATGGTACTGCTTCGCTTCTACGATTCTACAGTTTGGTACCAAAAAGGAACATGTCCAGCGAATACATCGGGCAGACCGTTGCGACTGCGCAGAAGATTGCGATGCAGAACACCAGTTCGGATATTTTCCAATGTTTTTATTTTTGCCTCTTCATTATTGTATAGACAGGAAAAGCCCCGACCAAGCCAGTCCCGTAAAAGAAGTCGGAATATGCAGGTCATCCAGTACAGCTGTATATCTGCCGTCTGTCGGCACACATCTACTGAACCAGATGCCAGAACGTTCAATCCTCCAATGCTAAGGCGGATATTGGCGATTCCGGTGCCGGCCCACAGAAGTATCCATCCCCATGCCACATTGATTTCCTCAAGACGGTCGATGGGTAATCACGCTCCGGAAAAATCCCATTAACCGCTCTCAAGACGACTCCATCTTCCGTTCATCCGTGAATGAGGCGCTTACAGAGCCTTCTTCTTGTCACCCTTGGAGACGTCGACAACCTTGAGAGCTGTAGTAATAACACACGTTAGTATGTACTCTTTCAATCAATCATGTGCCGCGCTGCCTTCCACCCTTCTCCGACCCCGCTATACGGTATAATTTATATATCCTGCGGAACGAGCGGGTCGGGACGAGCGGCGCGAGGTTGACAATGACGCACCTGGGGGCAGGCTCTGCTTGAGCTTGTCGGCCTTGTCGGTGTCCTTCAGGACAAGGGAGTAGACGAAGCGCTGGCAGCGGACCTTGAACTTGATCTGCTGGGCCTGGCGGTTGCGCTTGATGCGGGCAGCTAAGGAGTCATTCCTGATTAGCCATCGATTCATCCTCCCATCTTTCCGAGGTCGGGTGGTCCGCCGTGAAGCTGGAGAAAGCTCGAGCTTGAAGTTCGGGGTATAAACGTACAGGACGCATCCTTGCGGCGGCAGATCTCAATGAACTGCTTGATGTCGGAAACTTCGCGAGGCATGGTGGGCAAAGGTGATTGGCGACGTAGGTGGGATAATCGTCAAGAGTCTTTGGATAGGAAAGGAAGCAAGCTCAATCGCGGTCTCGAAGTCCGAGAGCCCCGACAGCTGGACCCGTTGTGTGGGATCTTCCCAATCGGGCTAGGGCTGCGATGACGAAGCCCTTAGTGTTTGGGTTGGGCTGGAGACATAATTACTCAGCACCTTTTTATGTTATTATGCTTTTCCCGATACAACACGTGATCTGGCTTTCCGGTGGCGTGTGGCGGTGCGGCGGCTAGGTAGCAGCGTCATGGGCTTGATCGTTCCATGCGATAGGATGGTCTGGTTGAACACATACCAGGTGTCCTGATCCATTCCTAAGTTGCAATTTCTCTATTCCTTCAGCATACAACAAATTACGATTTGGAAGCTTTTGAAAATGCCTACACCGCTGGATCGTGCGATGCATTCCAAAGTAGGTATTGTATCTAGAGTTTCATCGCTGTAACAAATACTAATAACAGAACGTTTAGAACCTCTTTCTAGGCATGCTTCCTCCACCCAGTGCGGGCGAATCTCGTCCACTAACAGCCACCAGGTTTTGCAGGCATGGTCACCGCAGCGGCGGCATGGGCGATTTGGGGCAATGAGATATTTCCTGCCGAATCTGATCCAAAAGGAGGCGAGTGCCTGCACCTGTATGCCACCAAATAAGACTAACCCTGAAAAAGACCCCGCAGATTGGACACTTGAAGAGATGCGGCGGTGGCTCCGTGCTGTATGGTAACCACCAATCCAAGTAGCGCATACATTCTGACAACTGGCAGCGAGGTCTGATGCCTGATCACAAGGCCACACGCGAGGAGCTTCTTGAACGAATCCGAGCAAATCTCCGGCAACCGCCGAAGTCATCTAAGTGATTTTCAATAAGAGGGTGCAAGGATCAATGAACCACTGTGTGGTGTAATGGCGCGTCGTTAATCATGTTCCGTTATGTTCGTCCGTCTTTTTTGTTTCCGTCACTTTCCAAGCACGTTGTATGATTCCCCAGTCTGTATCTCGTCGGAACGAATTGTATCTTTTTTCCCTTCTTCAAACCCTCCCTAGCCCGATAACATAGGTCATTCCGTGGTAAACACCGGCATAAAATCAGACGACGAGACGGAAGTTCTGCGTCTGAATAAGCCAATCCCGTCTGCGCTTTCCCTTCGGCCCATCGGTGGAAGGATTCGGGGCTAGGACAAAAGTCTCGCTGAATCCGCGTTGAGGGAGGTCGCGCGACTCTCCATACCGGACGTATCCAGTGACGATCACTAAGATCGAGATATCTTTCCTAGGATCCGGCTGTCTTCCTGTTGCATTTGTAGGATACTGCTTGTTGATAATTTGGCAATCGAATGACTGAACCTCATAGTGTGCTGGCGGCATCTGGTTGACAAATATTTCTTGGACCGCATTTCCATCCGCAACTGTGTTTCCGTTGAATACAATGGTGCATGGAGGGGCACCGTAGAAGGACGCGATTATAGCGCGGTTTGATTGAAGAGCGGGGTAGTACGACTGGACGAACTCGGTGGCCGCTGAGACATACCGATATGTTAGAACTCGTCTGCATATATACAGAATAAGTAAGTCATACCTTCTGTTGAGATCTTTGTGTAGACATCATCACTCGGAGGAGCCATGACTTCAGGTACGTCGTTTTCGGGCTGCGCCGGTATTGAGTTTGTGATAGGTTTGGAACGAAGGTTCTGGGGGCTGTATGTTCCTGGAATTTAAATAACAGAAAGACTGCAGTTATATCGCGGGGCGAATAAAGTAGGATGGGTGCGAGTGCAGAGGATGAAACCGGGGCTGAAGGGGCGCAAGAAAAAAAGAAGCTTGGGCCAACGCGGAGAAAACAAAACCTCCGAGCGGCCGCAAGTCACCCATCACTCTCCAGCTCTCAACATCCCTGGATCACCTGCGATTTCGCCAATGGCGAACTTGAGACGAGGGTTCCGCGCGCTCTCATGGGGAAATCAGCTGCTATATCCCCAGCGCCCTTCGTGGAAATGCGCCTCTTGCAAGATCATTCCTCCCGCGGTCGTACGGTCCGCCCGTCGCTATGCGACCACCTCTGAAGGAACTTCAACGGCGAAGCCGTACTATATCACGACGCCCATCTTTTACGTTAATGCCGGTATGCTATTCATTATCCATTCCAGTCACTGTTGGTCTGCTGCTAACCTGGTGCTTGTTGTAGCCCCCCATGTCGGCCACTTATACACCATGGTCATCGCGGACGTTCTGAAGCGATGGCGGACACTTCTCGGAGACAGTGAGGCACAATTGTTGACAGGAACGGACGAGCATGGAATGAAGGTTGGTGGATTTCTGGCAAGAGCCGCGACTCCAGGTGCTGACCTTGATGTAGATACAGCAGGCTGCGCTCTCTGCGGGTATAGATACGCAAGCGTTTTGCGACAGGAACTGCAAGACTTTCAAGGTGTGTGGCTCCTTTTTAGTATGGTCATTTATATTAACAGAAGTTAGGATCTGGCTAAATCCGCGGATATGGACTATAACTACTTTATACGGACAACGGAACCTGCGCATAAAGACGCCGTTCAGTACTTCTGGGTATGTCGCCAGTGCTGCAAGATGGGACCAACACTCATGGGATAATCAGGAGATGTTACAACACCGAGGTTATATATACACGGCAAAACACGAGGGATGGTACTCTGTCAGTGACGAGACGTTCTATCCGCAATCCCAGGTTCATCTCTCGTTGGACCCTGCCACTGGGCGGAAAAGAATGGTATGGCCTCCAACCCTCTATCACGAATATAAGTTGACCATATCAGGTTTCTATCGAAACAGGGAAGGAAGTAGAGTGGTCCTCTGAAACGAACTATCACTTTCGCTTGTCAGCTTTCCAAGATCGCTTATTAGAACTGTACAAAACGGGGTTCATCACACCGGAGCATTACGCTGGCGATGTGGTGAAATCGGTCTCCTCCGGACTGTCGGATTTGTCGATTTCGCGGCCAGTTGAACGTTTGACATGGGGAATCCCGGTCCCGAGCGATAGCACGCAAACGATTTATGTTTGGCTGGATGCCCTTATCAATTACCTGACAAAGGCCGGATATCCTTTCCCACCTGGTGAAGGCAACCGCGGGGGGTGGCCGGCAGATGTCCACGTCGTCGGCAAGGACATTATTCGGTAGGCAATCCTGCAGGACGATGGCGAACAGTGCTCACAGAAGTTAGATTCCACTGTGTCTACTGGCCAGCATTTCTCATGGCCCTAGATCTCCCGGTCCCTCGGAACGTTCTCGTCCACGGACATTGGACGATGAACCGGGAGAAGATGTCAAAGTCGACGGGAAACGTTGTCAATCCCTTTTTCGCGATCGACCGTTTCGGAGTTGATACCATGCGTTTCTTTCTGTCTTTCCAGGGAGGGCTTGCGTCAGATGCTGACTACGACAACGCCCACATCATCCGCGATTACAAGAAATATCTGCAGCAGGGTATTGGCAACATCGCCCACCGCACAATTGGCTGTGCGAAGAAAAACCTTCGGACGTATATCGTCAATGGTGTAACTGGAAAATCCCCCGCAACGCGTACAGATGAGGAGTACCAGAAAATGCTAGAGGAACTCTCCACCAAGGTAGCGGAGCATATGGAGAAACTCAACCCGCGCGCCGCGTTACAGGAGATCATGGCGGTAATCTTACAGGTGAGACAGATTCCCCTCGGCAAGTCGTATGCGGAGGTCTCCTCACTGACCCCATTCTCTCCTCCAGACAAACAAGTATTTCCACAACTCGGAGCCGTGGAAGAGTCCAGAACAGAACCAGCGCGTGCTGTACAACGTCGCCGAGTCAATGCGTATCACGGGAATCCTACTACAGCCCTTTATGCCTACCAAGGCTAAAGAGACCCTCGACCTCTTCCGAGTTGATGCGTCGAAACGGGGCATCTCGGATGCAAGATATGCATCTGACTCGGATTATGGTGAGGGCATTAAGAAAAAGATCTTGTTCGAGCCGCTCATCGTCGAGAATTAAACTGATCGACATTTGTTTAAGGGGATCATTTACTAGGAGACGGATGTCCCTCGCCTTAAGAAACCCTCCAAGGTCCCTTATTACGGTAGTATTCACTCTGAAGGTGGCTGGTGACTGTTTTGCTGTGGGTGAAAATTCCTGATACCTCCTCCCATGTGGAGTGGCGAACCATGGTCTAAGTGACCAATTCCCTATTCATAGACAAAAAGTGAGCAGATTTGCGTCATGTGGGAAGCCAATGATGTTCTAGGTCATCCACAAGGTTATCAGCGGGAAAGGGCTTCCTGATACAACGTTGTTTCCACGAGAGATACCTATCCGGGCGGGAAACCTTGGAACCCTCCCCCTTTCCCGCGGCAAACTGCTGGATAGCATCGGGAAGACCCAATTCTTATTGTATAACAGATTCGTGGGGTTTGGATATTGATGTAATAATATAATAGGGTTCATGGGCCTGCCTTGTTGACTTCGCGGTGCTTTTGTTCTTTTTTCTTTCTCGCATATCCTCCTGCTTATACTTCAAGATACCTTGGCTGCAGGTTTATACTAGTATACAACCCAGCAACAACAAAATCTCATCTTATCTATTCTTACTATACATTCCAAGCAAACAAAGAACATCTACGGACTAATACTCTCATCGTCTCTACCCCCCTAATACCAAAAACCAACCACCAAGATGGGCAGCATCAGCCTCGCCACCACAACCACGGACACAATCTCCCTACCACCACAAGACCAACCGACCTACAAGACACCATGGATTGAAACCCCCCTAGTCGAATCATCCACCCTCTCAGCCCTAGCCGGCTGCCGAATCTTCCTCAAGCTTGAAAACACCCAACCAAGCGGCTCCTTCAAGTCCCGTGCCATGGGCGCCCAGATCCTCTCACACCTGAACAACCCAGCCAACGCGGGCAAATCAATCGAGTTCTTCGCCTCATCTGGTGGTAACGCAGGGCTCGCTGCTGTATGTGCCGCGAAGACCCTAGGGTTCCCCTGCACGGTCGTTGTTCCACTAGCAACTAAGACACTTATGGTTGATAAGCTGAGAAAGGCTGGGGCTCAAGATGTGATCAAGCATGGGGAGACGTTCTCCGAGGCGGGAGAGTATATGAAGGAAGTTATTATGAAGCAAGGTGATGACAAGGAAAAAGGGAAGACTGTGAAGATTGCCCTGCACCCTTTTGACAACCCGGCAATCTGGGAAGGAAACAGCACACTTCTTGACGAGCTGGTTGAGCAAGTCCCTGCTGTTGCCGGTGAAGATCCCACAGGAGACCACGATGATATGATCCTCCCTGTTGATGCTATTATCTGCAGTGTTGGTGGTGGAGGGCTACTGAATGGTCTCGTTATGGGGATTGAGCGTCGCCGACAGCAACTCGCCAAGTCGAAGAAGGCTTCCACGCAGCAAGAATATTCGAAGTCAACACACTTTGTCGCTGTTGAGACCCGCGGGACGGATTCCCTTGCTGCTGCTGTCGCACAGGGGTCCCTTGTCAGTTTGCCCAAGATCACGTCGCAGGCGACGTCACTAGGTGCGATCCGGGTGTCGGAAAGGACGTTGGAGTATGCGTTGCATCCCCCGCAAGGAGTGAAGGTGCACAGCACGGTGCTGTCCGATGCAGATGCGGCACGAGGTGTGCTTCGTCTTGTTGATGACGAGCGTGTGCTTGTGGAGCTGGCCTGCGGGGTGTGTGTTGAGGCTGCGGTTGGTGATGCGAGCCGAGAGGAGTCCAAGGTGTCGAAGAAGCGGAAGAGGAACCTGGATGAGGGATATGGAGATGATCGGTTGTCATCTGGGGAGAACTCGGAAGAAGAAGTGTCGCGTGAGAAAGCACCCTCGACTCCATTACAGTCGAAGCTGAAGGAGTTGGTGCCAGGCATTGGGCCAGAGAGCCGAGTAGTAATTGTGGTCTGCGGTGGCAGCAACGTCACCATTGACGGCGCGGTGGAATGGAGATCAATGCTGAAGGAAGGCTGGGGGACTGAAAACTAGACTGGGTCATTTAAAGCGTTTCTTTATATATGTTTTAATCATTTGCCCGCGTACAGCTTGTCATATATTCTTCATCAGTTTAAGATTCAGTTTGCATATGTCTACATGATACAAAAGAACGCCAGAACCTGCTGGTTGATGATTCACGCAGAAGCTGCAACTTGTCCTCCAATCGACTGAATGCGATAGTTCCAGTAGTTCTTCCGGATAGGGTCGTACTTGTCTTTCAGCAGGTTCAGCATCCGGATGGCCTCGTCTGGGGCGGTGCCGCCTTGCGCATACACATCCGCTAGCCACTCCACAGCATGGCTGCTCTTCACCTCGACATCCGCCAGTTGGCCTTGGCCATCGCGCTTGTCAATAACAAGTTTCTGCGCAAAGTCCTTCCACTCTGAGAGCGGCCGACCGGCAGCTCGTAGTACACCCCGAGCATACGACCAGGGACTCCGGTTCTCTGGCGCCCGAACGATTTGCTCCTGGGCGTACTGCAATTCCTCATCGACCATATCCTCATCCACGACTTCATGTCGGCCCTTCTTGGCCGGAGGTCCGCTGCCGTGGACCATACCGGCGTCGGGCTCCTCGCTGCGCGGTCCGAACCGTAGCATATAACGGTGGTTCCAAGCAGAGTTATTCCTCAAGTCCGAGTTGAGGAGAGAGTTGACGTCCGCAATCTCACGGGGAGAATCCCACAGCCCAAAGTGCCGGACCAGCCAGTGTCGGTAAGTCCAGACGTGGTAGTTTTTGGAGTCCTGGGCGAACATTTCCATCAGAAAGTCCATCTCCTTAGGCGGTATAGTAGGGAAGTGCTCCCGCGATGCCATCAAAACCTGGCGATGATGCCTGCTGGGGTTAGTGGTCACAGTATATTAATTGAAGTAGATAAGGCCTACCAGATTTGGTAATTCTTTAAGTATTTCAGAGATACTCTATTCAGCCACTCCAGTTCCTCGATGAGGTCCTTCTCCAGAGCGAAGACAATCTTGGCACGATATATCCTTTTGAGTTTAGCTGCAGTCCGAACAAAAGTTTGGTGGTCACTCACCAAACAGTGTAATGTGCAGGATTCATTGAAATAATATCTTCGGTGAGCTTCAATGCCCTCTCGGACATTTCATTAGCGGCCATGACAGCGCGAAGGTATGAAGTTGCCTCGAGGTAATCATCACTGTAGGCGATGCTGGCCAGGGGCATGGCACCGGATTCAGAGCCATCATTGAGAGGGATGGGCTGGATGGATGCCCATTCAGGGTCGGACGCGTATTTTCCTTCCATATTGGAGTTTGGCCGATTTACACCTGCAAATTCAGGAGGTGTTGGGGAATAGGGGCGATGGAAGCTCTGGTGATGATTTTGGTGAAGTTGAAGTGGGGGACATTGTGGCCTGAGGCAGCGACAACAATAGCAACAGAACAATCAGCAGAAATCGAACAATCGATCAAATCCATGTTGTATTTAGGACAGTAAACAATGATGATTCCACAGATCGCAGCATTTATCGAGGTCAAACCTGGGGAAATCTCGTGACCATGGAATGCGTAGTTTCATCTCGATGTAAGCTTTAGCGCATCATCCGGACACTCAGTTAGTCTTCACTTATCTGGAGGAGTGGACTAGAGTCTTAGCTATCACTGGCCGACCCCGCAACTTGCAAGCCTTCTCTATCAGCTCGAGCGAGTGCCGTGCCAATCACTGCGCCCCAGCCTATCAACCAACATCCCAGATTGGAGATCTTCTCCTCTCTCCAAATCTCCTCTTTCCCTCCTCCCTCTCCTCTTTCTCCGTCACCATGCTCTTCTTTTCATCCTTCTTTTTTATTCCGGATTTGGTTGTTTTTTCCCAACCATCACGATGCGTCGCGTCAAGAAATCCCGAAACGGATGTGCGAGATGCAAGAGCAAGCGAGTTCGTCCCCTTCGAGTTTTCTTCGGAATAGAGCTTGGCCTGGAACCGTTTGACACTAACTTCTTCTTTATAGGTAAAATGCGGGGAAGAAAAGCCCCATTGCAGTCGCTGTACTCGCTTGGGCGTGAAATGCCCCGGATACGTTCAAGCGCTGCGCTGGGTCACCAACAACTCGTCCACGGAAGATGCCGGAATAGAGTCGACTGCTGAGAATGACCCTATTCAATTTGACGGCCATCTCGAAAAATCGCCCAGGAAGCCCAATCAGGGTTCTCGCCTCCAGTCACATCCTGATTCCGAGAACTATCTGAATCCGCAAACCCGGTCGCCCCTGGCTCCGGATGACAGTACGCTCCCAGATAGCCTGGTAGACGATGATCCAAATGCACTGTGTGATGACCTATGGGATCTCCAGCAGCCCGGAACCCTGCCAGAGCTAGCTGATCTATGTCCTGCGTCGCCGACAACTGCAATGTCCGCTGGGGATCACCAGCCACCTGATACATCTGCCATCGAGTTCGGCTCACCAGCAAGCCTAGGGTCAGATCCCTGGGCTTTCTTTTCGTTGGCCGCTCCAGCGCTCCAGAATCAATCCAAGGGCTTCCCGGGCTTCGACCCATCGTCGATTGTCCGCCAGTATCCTCCACCGTCTGGTGGTGGCTCCCCTGTGCGACCGGCGCCGCGGGATTTCACGTCAATACCCCAGCCCTTGAACAACCCATCCTGGACTCTAATAGAGTATTACTTCAAGGAAGTTGCAGCCCTATTTTCTAGCTATGACAGCCAGATGAACCCTTTTCGTACTACCGTCTCCCGTCTTTGGGGGTCCTCGCTTGCTATGTGCCGCACCATGCAGAGCATGGCAGCGGCTACCCTTGTCAACGATTTTCCACAGTTCGGCCCCATGGGCAAAAAGATGCGCAATGAGGCCATCGAGATCATTAGCAACGAGACGTCTATGGATGATAAGTCCCTCCTTGCTTTGCTCATGCTCGGCCAAACCGCCAGTTGGCATGATCCTAAAGACCTGGGCATTTCCTATTTCAACCTCCTACGGAGACATCTTGATGCCGCCATTTTAGCTAAGGCCACCAACCCAACAAACCGTGGCAACAATTACCAATTCTTTGAAGAGGCTCTCGTCTACTGGGAGATGCTTCTCTCCTTCGTTGCCGATGATTCTGCTGTCATCCAAGCTGCCCCAACCTCATCCAACACCGCCGAATCCCTTGTCTTACAGCGGGTTCCCCATCCTTGGACTGGCATCGCCCGCGACACCCAATACACCGTCCAAGAAGCCGGTCGCCTCGTAAGAGCTGAGCGTAGACGTATTCGAGCCCGTAAATTTACCTCCCAGGCGGACATTGCGGAAGCTCAAATCGCACTCGAAAAGGGCCGCGTGCTCGAGGAACGACTTCTCTCCCTAGCCCATCCTACAGAAGCAGAAATTGTCTCCCCAGGCGATGATGAAACCCCCGTTTGGCACCTTCTGACCATGGCTGAGGTCTACCGCTGCACAGGTCTTCTACAACTATACCGTGCATTTCCCGACCTCCTCCAACGCCGACTTCCCACCCAACAATACCAGCACCATTCACCCACCCAGCAGCAGGAGCAGCAGGAGCAGCATACAACATCAACACCCCATGAACCATTCCACCCCTCCCTCGACACCACCAACTCCAACACCTGGTTCAACGACCCCTATCTCCCTGACCCAACAACCCAACAACAAACAACCGCTCCAGCAGACTCCAATCCTTCCTACCACGATAGCTGGCTCACCGAATTCGCCCTAACAACACTATCCCGCCTGAAAACCATCCCTCTTGAATCTCGCACCCGCTGCCTCCAACCCCTCCTCCTCGTCGCCTCCAGCAGCGAACTCCGCTTACCTCCCACGCCATCAGACCCCCTAGCACTCTCTGCAAACGGGAATGGGCCCTGCATCTCCTCGCACGCGCTCGAAGTCGCGCGCACCCGCCGCTTTATTCTCGGCCGGTTGACTTCGTTTCTGCACGTGCTGCCTCCGAAGCCGATTAGTGTGTGTCTGGAGTTGGTGAATGAGGTGTGGAAGAGGATGGACGGCGGCGATCCCGATGTCTATTGGATGGATGTCATGATTGAGAAGGGGTGGGAGACGACGATGGGGTAGGTGTGTAAATATCTTGTGGCGGTCTACACCGTAGTCCAAGAAGTCCTAAGGGCTTTTGCCATGTGTTGTGTTCTTGAAAATATGTATGAGATACCCTGCTTGCTTACTTGCTTTGGTTTACATACTACCCGTGAAGGGCAATCTTTTGTTTTATATACGGACTTTCTTTTGGGATTTAGGGAAACAAAAAATGATTTAATTTGACCATGGATAGCTCCTGCATATATATACAATATATTTAGTATTATTGAGTGTACTACTTACACCGTAGATTGGGATGCCATGCCTGATTGAACACTCAGGCTTCTTTTCGGTTCTTTCCCCATTTCCATACACATGCAACCCAGAGGACAAATGCCAAAACCCCACATCCGAATGCAAAGATACAAAAATTCAAACATGTAAGGTGATATGAGAACGAGACATAGAAGGGAAATAAAACAAAGTATGCAGACACGCTGCCATCGGAATAAAAACGATAAATCGAAAAAGTGGAGACAATTAGAGCGGATTAAAAACTATGAGCACAAACTTGCCGTGAGCCATAAAGAATGGAAAGGAAATATATGGCGGAATATGTCGTAATAAAGTGAGACTGGCAATGTTGAGCGAGAGGGTCTCAGGCGGCAGCTCGCTTCCAGAATTTCCACCCTTCTCGCTTCTCCTGGACACCAACTCCAACGAGACGCTCAATACCTTCGGTTCCCTCAGCATTTTCGAACTTCTGCTGGTCAATCTCCTCACCACCTTCTTCGTCGGTTCCATTGCGTAAAACGGCAGGCCAGAGCACACCCACTCCATCACCACCAAGGGTAGTCTCATATATTCCGAAGTTCTCGTCCTCGAGTTGAGTTTTCAACTTCCCAAGGGATTCACCCTTTAACTCGGGACGTAGCAGGGTAATCGCGCATCCACCGCCACCAGCACCAGTCAGTTTTGTCCAACCAATATCGGAATAGTCCACGAGTTCACGGATTCGCTCTAAGCGCGGATGAGACACACCAAGGGAAACGAGGAACCCATGGTTGATTCGAATGAGTGTTCCTAGTTGCTGGAGAGTGCCTTCGGATAAACTAGCAGAAGCCGGATCACGGATAACTTGTTCGGCAGAGGTGGTAACGCTGTCAATGGAATCGAGAATGGACTCGGTGACTACTGGCCATTCCTTCCTCAATTCCCCCACCTTAGCGACTTCAACAGCAGTGGAACGGGCTTGTCGTGTGTCGACAAGCAGAAGGGGCAGCTCGGGGAAGGTGGGGAGTGAGACGACACTTGGAGGTTTTGAATAATCTCCGCGTCTAAAAATCACGGCCTTTCCGCCCGCGGATACCGTGTTGTCCACCCCACTGGGGTTGCCGTGGATGCACATCTCCCCTACAAATGCCCAACGATTGACTCTCTCGATTTGCACCTCAGCTTCATCCGGGGGCTGGTCGGGGTGGGGACCGGCAAGAGTGCGCATCTGAACGAGCAGCGCAGCACTCATGCACACGCAAACACTGGCACTGCTTCCTAAGCCCGCGCCGATAGGGATTGTCGACCGGAGAGTGTAGATAGCGCCAGGACTCTGCGGAGAGCCCAGCGAGAGAAAGAGGTAGAGAAATGCGCTAGCGGACCGCATGTGGATCTTGCGTATTTCCTCGGGAGCATCTGGGGAAATATCTTGAACATGAGGCTGTATTGCGTCGTAGAGTTCGGGGTCGAGGGTGGTGACGAGGTCGTAATAGTACTTCTTCTTAGACGGCTGCTGGAAGAGGTCCCAGGGCAATTCGTCGATGTTCCACGTATAGTTCAGGTCTGTATCGCGAAAGTTCAAAGTGATTGTGCGCTGCGACTTCGTGAGGGTGGTGACGAGGAGGTATGAACGAAGAGAGATGGCGGCAGCCATTGCGGCTTTCCCGTGCACGACTGCATGTTCTCCGTACACAATGACCTTTCCTGGAGCCGACACCATAAAGGCTGGGGCCAGTGGGGAGGAGGACTTTCTCTGCATTGGTATTCTCTTCAGGTCTGGGGTGGTTGTGGGGTTCGCGTTAAAGCTCCTGGAGCTGGTTGTGGTGGAGGGAGAAGGGGTGGTAGAAGTGTCGGAGCTTTCGTGGTCGTCGGAAATGGTTACGGTGGCAGTTGGTCGGAGTGGACGAGGGCGCTCGGGCAGAGGCGTGGACATTTCTGTCGAGTGAGTCTCGAAGACCGCGTTCGATTGAACAGAGAGCTGGGGTAGCACAGAGAGGCCGCGAGGGGTGGCAGACAACAGGCCAGCGCAAGACAGGGGTATATTAATGCGATCGGGCAGCCAGCGTGACCTGGCGGTAGGCAGGGCTGAGGGGTTGAAAGAGCGCAAAAAGAGAGAATTGAGCCACAGACGGAACCGACGGAGGAAAAGAAGTCGACAGGGACGAGTGGAGGAGAGAGGGAGTCGAGTCTGGAGTCTGGACGATGCGGCGCAGGAAAGGAAATTGAAGGCTCACCAACAAAAATAGCCCAGTGCCTTGACCTGTAATCTTCGTAATCCGGGGTCAGGTCCGGCGGAGCTTCGTATTTTACTGGAAGCTAGCCAATAGAACCACACAAAACTCGGTTTAGTCAGGACTTGCGGCGTAACCTGCGCGTATCAACTATCAAGCTCGATATCCGATCTCCCATTGTCATCGCTGCTCTTCTCCTCATGGGCTGATATTCTGGAACCTTGCTCTGCTCACTAACTGCTTCTGTTATAGTGTCAGCTGGCTGCAGTGGTTCTGGAATGAACCCGTGAAGTCGCCATCACTGCAGCCTCGAAATAGTCCGAGCGGAGGATTCAGCCACCCCAGTCGCGCATTCACAATAGCCATCGCCATCGCCATCGGCGAATATGCCATTGTTAAGAGATTCCCATCACGAGAACATCGGCCCTTCTACTTTAGGTACCCGACCATCGGGCCCATCTGAAAGGGGTAATTCCCGGAGTCCGATGGTAACTGGATCTCCACAACCCCGGACGATGATGAGCTTGGCGACTACCGTTCATAACCGAGTGTCGAGTACTGGGTCATGGCCTATTCATCGATCCAGCTTTCCAGCTAACAGCTGTCAAAAATGCAGCGACCCAGAAAACAAGATTCGACCATCAGGATTCACGACAAGCTAATGCAATGTTGATCGACATGGCGCTAGTCGAAGCCGCGACGTTGTGGCTGAAACGGCTCGATAAGTATACCTGCCCACGCTGGTCTGCTTAATTGTGTAGATTATTCGACTATCATAGGCAGATTTGTTCCGTTTCCCAATCAGTTAGACTTATCGGCATCATGATGCTCTACCAGCCCACTTCGCGCACATCGGATGCAGAATCACGCAACAATAAGCCAATGACAATTTCCCTCAATATCAATAATTAGCCCCCATCAAGATATAAAAGACATAGGAGCCGCAGGCAGCAGATAGCCATAACCACGAGGATTCCATGCTCCTATCATATGCTCCTGTCATGTATGATGCCCATACTCTAGGTACTAGGTAGGTGCCTAGGTACCTACTAAACTGCAAAAGGCAACTGCGATCGACTTCCACCTCTTCCTTCCTAATCGAAACTGTCTTAACAAACTCTTATTGGAGGAAGGAGCGCTGGATTGCGCCTCCCTAATATTGCACTTACCAGTAGTACACTGCCTGTCCGAGGAAGGTGCGACGGGCTTTCAAATTGCCTATTCTACCAGCTGAACTTGGAATTGCAGGGCTCCTTCCTACCTCGGCCTACAAGGGAAATGAACAGAAAGCAATGTACAACTGCGCAGAAAGTCATTCATAATGCTAGGTACCTAGACATACTTAAGGAGCGGCTATCTGCATCCCACCTCTCGTGCAGAATCCCCTTCTAACGTGAACCTCGCTCCCATCACCACATATCCGGCTCCGTAAACAGTGGGAGTAGAGCTTCTGCTTCAAACGCAGCAGCGCTGGTTGTTGTAGCAAGGGGCTGGGTCGTCATAGAAGACAGGACGGAAACCACGAGGGCAGGGTTGGTTTCTGGCAACGCAGCGAACGCCCTTGGAGCTACCCTGGGCTCCACACGAAATGCCGAGGGCACCTGGGAGGTAGGTTAGAACCGAAGTTATAATTTCTCCAGGGGGCTCTGTGGGCTCTAACCGGTGGCACAAAAACTATCAAGAGAGATATTAGAACAGGACGGACTATTTCTAAAGGGTCGTTGCGTGGACTCACCTGAGCACAGAAACAATGGCGACAGTGAACTTCATTTTGCGTTGAAGCTGTTGAGGTAATTTGTATCAAGATTATGAGTTGAGAACTGGAGAACTGATGATAGACGAGATTATAGACGAAGAGGAGGGAATCATGCCTCTATTTATACGCCGAGTACCGGCCTACATTCTATGGTATAGAAGCCATACTCTCCTCACATCTGGAGGAAAGAAAGGCCCAAGTCAACAAATCATTGATTCAACAAGCAACGTTCAGCCTGGTATTCAAGAACGCCCAGAATGTCCAAGGCTCGTGTTCCAGTTCGGGCCAACCCCAGAGAATGATCTTCACAGATCAGCCCCAAGCGCACCATCCGGATCGCACCCCCGGAGTTTGCTCTGCACCACTGACACACAGCATGACAAAATATGCGCCCTTTTGATCTCCGCTCGGCCACCTGAGAGGTCTCTCCATGCCTCGTGAGTCGTGAGATCTCGTATATGCGCTATGCAAGGCTGTCTGGAACGTTGCAGCTACATTTCTTGCTGAACTGTAACCATACGGTGAACTGCCGCCTGGGGAAATCGGAGCTAGTTGCCTTGGTACTGTCTGTCATCGATTGGCAGGGAAGTGATCTGCTGGTTTTTGGACAGGGGTATCGCGTCTAGATCGTCGATCGATATCTGAATGAAGACAACAGGGCATGCTCAGCCTTGGTATTCTCGTATTCATGCATTCTTTTCTTCTGCGTCTGAGACTGCCGAGAACTTAAACAAAACTACCAAGTAATTGATTGCTACGTAAAGCAATTGTACGAGCAAATCATGTCAGCAAGTGGCAACTTGGATAACCTTAAATGCTCTCACGGGTGCTGACAAGTATACCTTCCTTCATTTCTCCCAAGAGATAAAGTTTTTGGGATAGCTGACCTCGTCCTTGCATAAACCAAGAGCTGTACTCTGGGTAGATACCCCGGTGCAGATAGGCTCAATGCGTGGTGGTGGCAGCATGGAACCCATCACAGGACACCCTTACATCACGCATAAAGATCGAGAAACCACTTTGATGTTCGACGTTCTGGCCAGCTGCCAGCATTTTCCTAATGGGGCTCTAATCCACGATACCCTCGATGATGGGGAATTGAATCCTTGCAAGGGAGGCACCGCCCAAGCTTGGTGTCTATCAAGGTTGGATGCTACACCAAAAGTACAAGCTATGATCCACGGTCCACGTCGGGTATTCCGAGTTGCTCAGCTCTCATACGCGAATAGAGACAATCAAAGAATATTTTTAGGCAAACGGCATCTCCCAGCCGAACCGCGAGATTGTTTCCATCCAAATAGGTCCACGCTTCTCCCGCAGACAGACTCCCATTCACATCAGATGCACACTGAGGATCCCTGCTCTTCTATATCACCTCAGCAGCAGCCATCGTAGAAGGGACATTACTAACTAGCTTATCACAACCCAGAACAGTGAACCACTCAAGTTGATACTTTCTTCCAGAACATCACAGCTCGCCATGAACAATGCCCACATGGGGTAGGCAGAAACCCAAGAAGGGGCCCGTGCAGACTGTGAATCTGGGATAGGGAGGCTACGAGGACAGGCAGGTAAGTTGTTTGGATTCCCTGCTCTCACGGAGCGCGTCGCCGAGGGCGTAGTGGAGGTAGATCCAGGTGGCGGACTGGAAGGCTTTGGAGTGGAGGTTCATGAGGTTTGTTGCATGCGCGTCAGGCTGTGTTTGCTTTTCCAGGTTGGTGAGAACGCCATAAAGGCTGTGACTTGGGTTGTTTCTTTGGGATGGTGCTTTTGTTGATGTAACCGCAGCCGGGCTTGGTTGCTGATTGAGGAGATGATGTCGAGTAACTCGTGGGATAACCCCATGCAGGGATTTGTTTTTCACAGAGTCGCGCCCTGCGAGGAAGCGAATATGGCGGGGACTCCGGTTGACCATTCCAGACTGTCGAGATACTTTTTCCTTTCACCATTGCTTGTCGTGGCAGTCATGGTAGTTCCAAGGAAGGTCCAGCCAGCGATATTTCCGCTCTGTCATCTGGTCGTAGCGAGGGATATCTTGGCCTGCGTACTGGTTACGGAGGATATGCGCGGCCCATGCGATGCCATATGGAGGCGACCTTCTGACTGGTAACACAGTGGAAGCAAGACTCAGCGCTATGGGTTGTCGTAGTCGACGAGAGATCGCCGGATAGTGCAGGTGTGGCTAACTGGGTGCAGTCAGTATGTTGGCGCATGGTTGTACAGGGCAAACTCACGATAGTGGGAAGGAAACCGGTCGATTTCTGCTAGAGATGGGCAGTGAGCGACATCTGGGCTCAGCCTTGATCCTTTGTAAACTTTGATGCCCACCGAGAGGTCCACCATTCCCCCGTGATCCGAACGAGTGCGTAAGAGGCAGCCAAGGAATGAAATCGGTCATCTACTGCCCTGTCCTCCTGGAAAACCCCGATTTTCGACTGGGTGATGGTCGTTGCCCGTGGCTTCTGCACCCCTCTCATGGCCATACACATATGGGCACATTCCACAATCACAGCTACCCCTTCAGGGTTGAGAATTGTATTAATTACCTGGGCGACCTGCTGGGTGGGTCGTTCTTGCACCTGGAGCCGCCGAGAATAAACCTCAGCCATTCTGTTTCACTTTCTCTCCTCCACATTGAAGGCAGGGCGTGCTTGAAGACGATGCGCCGTTTGGGGCTGGAGACTCTGCCAGATTCGTATCACTTGCAGGTGTGATGGTTTCAATTGGCCCGGTCATCTCGAGGAGTAAGTACAGCCGGTTGATTTGAATCGGTTAACTTGGTCTTTCAACAGAATAAAAAAAGGATAGCAATAGATATGGAGTGATAGACTCTATGTTCCAGATAAAGCGGAGGCTGAGGAATTTCTGAAGAACCGTTACCGCATAATCAATGTTTGGAAGCCATTCAAGGGGCCCGTTCAGTCAACTCCCCTGGCATTTGCCAGTGGCTCGTCCGTTGAGCCAGAAGATCTTGTTCCTATTGAATTTCGCCTTCCGACGCGGAACGGGGAGATTGTCGGGGTTAGGCTTAACCAAAATCAACAGTGGATGTACTGGACCAGTACCATTCATCGGGTTGCCTCCCATCACATTCGCCCAAATACGAACCAACCGTGTGTGGCCAGATACTGTTCATGGTCGTTTGTATCCACGATCTCCCTCGTGTTCTTTCCTCTAGGTCCTCGGCGATACTTTACATGGAAAAATAGTGATTCGATGGCACTATCAATGGCATGTCCGGGACAGTTCGTTCACTTCGGGGGTACATGGGATACCAAAATGCAAAGGACTTCCCCGGTGGTAGGGCCAACAGACCCTTTTCGAGGACTTCTGTGACGTTGGTCTTATTGCCAAGGAACACGTTGTCGCAATAGTAATAGTGCGAAGCAGGGTTGAATGTTGCCTGGTCTTTATACAGGCCGTCCAGCGTCTCATCTTGACACGTCCACTCTGCGAGTGTTCCGGGGGGTCGGCTCTGATGTAGCTTTTCCAGCGCCTTTCTGGCGTCTTCATAGTCTTGCTTCATAGTGACAAATTGAATCTTGAAGCAGACTTCGCCGTGGGGCTCAGAATAAAAGGCCACCATTACGACCTCGGTGCCCTGGTCAGCACTTGGGATAATGGATTGCACCCATTCAAAAGCTGGACGGTACATATTGGCTGGAGAAATGTATCCGAATGATTTGAAGCCATGTGTCGGATACGGCAGCAGCTGTAAATGAAATCCGGTAATGATGGCTGGGAAGACATCAAACCAAAGTTTATCTTTTTCTCAGAAAAGTAAATGTATCGTCACTGTATTACCGATACCACACCAGTCCGCTGGGTCGGGCCGGAGCTGTGGGACAGATCCACCCAGATTAACTCCGCTTACACGACCCGCTTGGTCACATCAGTCTTCTGCAGAGGATTCATCCCCGCGCGAGGTGATTCGGATCTCTTCCCCTGCATGAACTTTCTGCTGAAGATGTTGGTGTTACAAGACTGTATAGTGGATCCCTGCTGATCTTTGTACTCCCCAACTTGGGCCACTTCACGGACAGATCACTTGTCGTGTATGAAGCATAATATCTGGAAACATATCAAGTGGCATACGTAATGAAATTGGTAAATCATGTCGTTCACATACAAGTGACGTCGCCCAAACACATAGTAAATGATGAAATTGTATGAATATATTGGGTATGCTATTTCCATTGTAAGAGCTATAATTCCCGTATTTACGTGGAGGAATCTGTTGCAAGTGATTGTAAGGCCTTGTTTAGGCAGAAATTTGATGCTTTTCCCCTTGGCGACCCTCGAGATCCTGCGGCTTTTGTTGGTCCCCAGTGGAGTGAGGCACATTACGAGCGAGTAATGTCTTTTATAGACGCTGGTCAGCAGTATGGGACAATGACAATGGGCGGGAGCATCGAGGATGGTCTCTTCATCAAGCCTACCGTGTTTGAAGATGTACCGGAGGACTCGCCGCTTGCCAAAGAAGAGATATTTGGTCAAAAATGAGTGGCCATGGGTCTGGTGGACTTCTTCACAGTATGGAAGAGTTCCTCGAAACGAAAACAATTCTCATGAAGGGCACCTAGACTAAGCCAAACAGTGAACTCATATTGTACTTTCGCACCTTTGTTGAGACAGGTCTTTCTGGACAACTCTTAGGGTTTATTGGTGAATCGGGGACAAAATATATGGGTGTACTTTCATTTGACTGTAACGTAGTGGCCGTGTAATGTGTAGTTTCTAATGCACTTATAACTCCAGCTCCATTAGATTAATTCAACTAGCTGGTTTCAGGGCATGTTTCTCTTATTGCCTTCACGTTAGGAGCCCTTAAAGGTAAATCCCGTTGGAGACGGAGAACCAGAGATACGAGATAGCGTTATCAACGAAACTGAGATTACAAAGAACTCTTGATGGGCTCGCCCCAGCCAGGCATGTCATTCAGATCCTCGGGGCTCTCCGGATGAGGATTCGTTGAATAATCCGACAGCTGGACGCCAGGCCTCCACCTCCACTTCTGTGCAATTTCGGGGTCCAGAGTGCCCTCCATCATCTCAACAATGTATTTCCCCAGCACTGGGAGAAATTTAAATCCATGCGCAGAGCCTCCGATGGCAATTTTGAGGTTTCTGTGTTTGACATGGGGGGTGATGAGGAAGTGGTAGTCGGCCATGTCTCCGTCCCTGAAACCGGATTAGTCTGTATACAATAACGACAAGTTTCGCAGCTCACCAGCATATTCGAGTTTCAATCCACTCTCTATGAGCCAATTTTGGCACACAGGTCTCCATCCATTTACGAAGACGAGCCTCGACTACAGCGGGAATTCCATCCTGTGGGTTGTCTGAGCGGTATCGAGGAAGCGACATCCCATTCAGGGACTTTGCATAGTTGGTGACAAAATGGACAGCACCGATTTTCATGATACCGTCTTCTTGAGGTGGGAATAGAATGCCTATTCAAGTCAGTGGTTTCCTACGAGGTCAATGTGGGCTGGCGTTTACCTCCTTCGAGATGATCCAGAATGGGAATGTTTTTATACTCCTCGACCTCATCCGGGGTAAGCTGGATATGGCCCACTGTATGTCCCTTTGCCACAATCTGGCCCTCGAGATCCAAAAGAGAACCAGCCGCAGCACCGGCCGCGAGGATAATCTGGCTCCCAAAATACGCCGTGCCATCTCCACACTTCACCCCGATACAAGCTTGATTCGCATCGTAGAGCAGCTGCTTCACGTACCCGGAATCTCCAGATATATACTTAACCCCGGCCTTCATAGCCTCTCGCGCCATTCTCACAATCCCTTCGCGCGCATTCACCCACGCGGCATTCGGACTCCAATAGGACTTCCACCCCTGGAAGTCTCCGTCCATCACAGGCCACTGCTGATGGATTTCCTGCGTCGAGACGAGCCGCGGGGGGTCAACACCTAGATCCCTTGCGCTTTTTATGGAGGCTTCCACGAAAGGCGAAGAACGGTCCGTGGCCCCAATGATCCAACCGCTGGGGTGGTACAGCCCGGCAAATAAGCCATTCGGCTCGCGCCAGATGTCTCTTGAATCGCTGGCCAGCTTCGTGTATAGGGGCTCTGGGTATTCGGTGCGGACGACTTTGTTGATGTCATTGCCAGCGGCCTCGAACGAGGGAACGGGGAAGCGGTCGAGGACAGTGACATTGGTGTAGCCTTTTATAGCGAGATGGTAGGCGGTTGATGTTCCAAATGTGCCGCCTCCGATGATGATTATCGGCTGGGAAAGCTGGGAGGTCATGTTGGATCTGGTAGTGGATGGTACAAGTAACGGTGAAGCGCGTTTATTTGCAGCCTTTTATGTCTGTCTTGTGCAGTCTGAACCCAGACTATGCCGTATACCGTGTCTAGAATAGTGCAACATGTTACTCCAACTGCTGCATTTCTACTGATAAGTCCCACCAATGAAGGGACACAAACGAGTCATATTGGGGTACTGAGTTAGCGTCACTCGCACCGACCTGCCTCTTGTCATTGTCTTATCCCACTTCCGGTCTATGAAGGATACACTCGCTATCATGGCTCCTGGTGCTGTTGTATCTGGATGGCTATAAAGTCTCCCTCGCCCTAATTCGATCCTCTATCTAACCCAACAGATGCCCTTGTCTCTAATGATGCAGAAAGACAACAAACATGACTTCGCCAACCGGCCAGTGGCCGATACCGACAGTGGTGTAGGGGAAATCACAGCGGTGCGCAACGATTCAGGCTTCCATCGAACTTTTACTCCGAGACAAATCCATGTATGCTTTTCTCGTCATACTCATCACAGCCACCTAACTGTATAGGTCATCTCTCTCGGAGGCCAAATCGGAGCAGGCCTGTTCATCTCGACCGGGTCCAACCTGCGAGATGGCGGCGCTGGCTCGCTTTTGCTGGGCTTTGCAATGGTATGCTCATGCGTATGGGCAGTCCTCAACACCGTCTCCGAGATGACGATTGCATTCCCAACTTCTGGGAATTTCATCGACTATGCCGACCGCTTCGTCGATCCGGCCCTGTCCTTTGCTGCTGGCTTTTCCATGTGGATTGGCTGGACAGCCATCATTGCCTCGGAGGCCACTTTCTTTTCTGTCATTGTGAACTACTGGGCTCAGAACTCGGTCCATGAAGGCGTGTGGTGTATGCATGCATTACCTATCTATGTGAACGGTCTAACATTATACAGTAACGGTCTTTCTCCTGCTCATGTTCATCATCTTCAGTCTGCCAAATGTTGTCTTCGGGGGGTTCGAGTACTTTACTGCGATTCTGAAAATCCTGGTCCTCATCATCTTCATCATCGTGGGAGTTGCACTCGTGTTTGGCGTCGGGCCAGAAGGCACCGTCCACCACGGAGAAAACTGGCAGGATGGAAAGGCCTTTTTGAATGGATTCAAGGGATTCGGAAACAGCGTCTTGCTAGCGATCCTGGCAATCGGCGACAATACCTTCACCGGGTTTCTCGCTGGCGAGTCCAAATCCCCCCGGTTCTCTGTGGCGCACGCTGTCTTCCTCATCCCGATCCGAGTCACTGTATTCTATCTGATCTCAGTGGCCCTGATCGGGATCTTGATTTCTCCATACAATGAGAACCTTCTAGGGAGCGATTCGGGCGTTGCCTCCTCCCCATTCGTGATTGCCATCAACCAAGCCGGTATCAAGGGCCTCCCTGACGTCCTCAACGTGGCAATCATCTTCGCCGTCGCAGCCATCGCAGCAGAAAGTTTCTTCATCGCCTCACGGATCCTCCAGTCCATGGCCCACCAGGGCATACTCCCCGCCTGGGTGTCGAAAGTCGACTCGCGCGGACGCCCTCGCATCTCCCTGGCCATCACGAGCGTTCTCTGCGTGGCCCTCACATATATCAATCTCAGCGGCGAGGGGATAACCGTGTTCAAATGGCTATCGCAGATTGCTAGCACAGGATACTTCATGGTTTGGCTTGTCATATCAATTACATCGTTTCGGTTCCGTGCAGCTCTCAGGGCTCAGAATGATCCTCTGTTCACCGAGACGTATGCATGGAAATGCGCCCTTTGGCCGTTTCCGCCGGCTTGGCTGTTTACCTGCTGCTGTTTCTATATCGGGACTTCTTTTTACCTGGCCTTGTATCCTATTGTAAGTTTTGCCGTTGTCTTCTCTGCTTGGGGTGGAGCTTATTCGTTTATACAGGGATCCGATACACCAACTGCATACTACTTCTTCCAGTACATGTTCGGAATAATCTTGATCATTTTCAGTGCAGTTGGCTACAAACTGATATTCCGCACGAAACTACGTGACCCTCTAACAGTTGACCTGCAAGCAGGGCGGCGGACTCTGGGGGTCGAGGAGATTAAGGAGCTGGACGAATATAAAGCTATGCCTCGGTGGAGAAAATTCGTGTCATTCGTGCAGTTGTGGTAGTTCTATATAAATCAAATCTATGCAGTTCTAGTATAGTCCACCTCCCTATACCCATCAACCTCCTCGCTCCTCAATTCTGTCCTCCTCAACTCCCACTCCCCAAAATAATTCGGCTCCTCGCCAACCCTTTTAAACCCCAGACTCTCAAAAAGCTTCAAACTCCGCTCATTCCCTTGCCCAATCTTAACACTCAACGCGACAAACTTCATCTCCCTCACATCGCCCAACGCTTTACGTGCCCCCTCATCCCCCCTCACAAACTCCCCCACCACCTCCCCCTCCCGTTCAAGCACATACCTCAAAAATGCCAGCAACGCAGCCCTCCCAAACCCTCTCCCTTGGTCCTTCTTCTCAGCAACCATCAGCTCAATCTCGCCAATGATTTTGGGCGTTTCAACGCCCTCGTCCCCATCGTCGACTCTCAGGAAGAGGTTGATGTCCCCGATCATGCGCGCGGAACCATCATCCTCGTCTGTTAGGCTTGATCCCTGTTCACCCTGGTTACCACTAGTAGTAGTGGCGGTGCTGTTGTTCCCTCCGGCAGGACGACACATGATAAAAGTGAGTTTATCCGCATCATTCCGCCACGACTGCTGCATGGCATATTCCTCGTCTAGACTTAGTGGCTCTGAAGCCGTTGCTTGTTGGATTTCCTACTTGGGTTAGATTTTCCCTTTTTTTGGTATTATTGTAAGGCAGAAGCAGACCTCGTCTTTCATCCACTCGTGATACCGCGGGACGTGCCATTTTGAGTACGGCACTAGCAGGACTTTGGGGGTTGAGATTGCTTTTAATGGTCAGTAGGATAGTATAATTGCATTGGGGTATTTACAGACCAGTTGTGGCGTTTAGGAGCATGGTCGTTTCTTTAGGGAGTCTTGAAAGTGTTAAAGTGGTGAGAAAATGAAATGCAGTGCGAAGTGTCGGATGAGGTGGGGCCGTTGATTCCCCGACTTTGCGGTATTTAATATTTATATAGTTCAGTAAGAAATTAATAGACGTGTTTGGATAGCTTTTGGCGATAATTCTATTTTGCAGTGTGTGTTTATTGGGGTTGTATGTATCTCTAGGAAGGCATACTTCCAGTTATATATATATATATATATATATATATAGTTCTTGTTCCTCTCAGCCAAGAGCATAATTTGTTGTTAATAAACTCTAGGAGGTCAATATAAACATCAACTTAATTTCCATTAAAGTTCCACCCTCTAATTTATCGTTCTTAGTGCTGATGGCCTCAGCAACGAGCCTAAATCGACCCTGGCCATCGGAAAGGATCGCACGATGGTGGGGAAGGACAGCCATAATCGACGGACATTTCGAACTGACTCAGCGGATGTCATGCAACTAAATTAGTAGTCCCCGAAGCTCTTGGGGTGTGCGTAGTCTGATTTATCCCGTTTTCGTATGGTGGGGTTGGGAAGCCGTTGGTTATATCTCCTGGCCAACAAGTCCGTATCTTTATACACTGTACACAGCATTCATTCTTGCTTTCATTGCAATGACATTCCCCAACCGGCCTCAGTTCTCTGGGTTCATGAGGCCCTGCAGGGTTGAAGGGGGAGCATCTGATTTACAGGTCTTGGGGGAAATCCCAAAGGAAATCGACGGTGTCTTTTACAGGGTTATGCCCGATCCCCAGCTCCCTCCATTCATTGAAGACGATCCTGTAAGTGCTATCTAAAGGGTTTATCTTGTAATGTACTAACTCGGCCGACAGTGGTTCAACGGCGATGGCAACATCTCTGCATTCCGCATCAAGGACGGCCAGGTCTCTTTTAAGCAGCGATATGTGAGGACGGAAAAGTTCATGCGTGAGAGAAAAGCTCAACAGGCGCTTATTGGTTGGTTGACAAGTTTAATTTTGCTACCTTAGTCCCCAGTTGCTGACGGTGGCCAGGCAAATATCGCAATAAATTCACGGACGCTGTAGAGTTTCAAGTCCGCAGCACGGCCAACACCAATATTGTATACTTCAACGGACAACTCCTAGCATTGAAAGAGGACTCGCCTCCATACGCTTTAGACCCAGCCACGCTGGAGACGAAAGGTCTCTATGATTTCGACGGCCAGCTGCCGAGTCTGACTTTTACGGCGCATCCGAAATTTGATCCCAGAATTGGCGATATGGTCTGTTTTGGATATGAAGCCCGGGGCGATGGAACGCCGGATGTTTGTTATTATAATGTCGCCCCTGACGGTAAGTTCACTGAAGTCGTTTGGCTGGTGGCACCGGTCGTAGCTATGATACATGATTTTGCCGTTACGGAGAACTGGGTGTGTTAACAGTCATCCCATATCCATCTTTGAGCAAGGACTTACTGCAGCAGGTTATCTTCCCGCTCATCCCCCAAGTATGCGACCTCGAGAGACTGAAACGAGGTGGCGAGCACTGGCAATGGAGCCCCGAGACGCCGCTGTATCTCGGAGTCCTCCCGCGACATGGAGCCAAATCCACAGACGTCAAGGTCGTTGCCCTAACTGCAACTATATACTACACCACCAGGCCTAACTCTCTCAACAGTGGTTCCACTACAAAAACTCTTTCCCAGGACACACCGCAAACGCATACGAAGACGCACACAGCAATCTCATAATCGACCTCGGCCTCAGCGACAAAAACGTCTTCTTCTGGTGGCCAGACGCACAAGGGAACAGTCCCCAACCTAGCTCCATCCACTCGAATCTCGTGCGCTTCTGCATAAACCCACATTCAACAGCAGATACAGATCTCGCGCTCGAAGAACCACAGGTCCTTGAAAGAAGTAACTCCGAATTCTACCGGATCGATGACCGCTTCACGACCCGCCCCTACAGACACTGTTTCTTCACCATGATGGATCCGGCCCTGGGTACGGACTTCCCGCGCATAGAGCCAAACCTAGGTGGTGGGTATCCGCTGTATAATGCACTTGCACACTTCGATAACCAAATCGGCGAGACGGAGGTTTATTTCCCGGGGAGTACGCATATGGTGCAGGAGCCGGTGTTTATTCCCCGTAATGATGAGGCACAGGAGGGGGATGGGTACTTATTGGCGTTGGTGAATAACTATGAGGCCATGGGGAGTGAGTTGCATCTAGTTGATACGGAGGATTTTAGCAGACTGAAGGCGAGGATTTTGTTGCCGGTGCGTTTGAGGCCGGGGTTGCATGGGAATTGGGTTGATGGGAGGGATATTGCATTGTAGGAAGACTTGAAGAGGACGTGGTTCATCATCATGAGTTCAATAGGTTCGTCTATATACGGCTTCATGCATTATTGGTTCTCTTCTTTTCCGGCAAAGGTGCCGAACTTGACTACTTCGACCTCCAGGGTTTCGGTGTCGACCAGGACTAGCTCGCCCGATTCCCGGAACTTGGGGATCGATACAAAGCGGACCGTTGGGTAGGATGAATCCTCCTCGGTCCCGCCCATCTCCGTGTCCTCGCCGCTGAGTTTTAATGGCGCGTCGCCTTCTATAATGCCGGTCTTGAACCGCGGTTGGTTACCGGTGAAGAAAAGATGCGGGCAGCTCTGCATAACAAAGGGGTCGTGTGTCTGGAATGGATAGGACCCTGTATCGATAGTCAATATAGAATATCCCAAACGAAATCAACCAGCTTGAGAACTTACATATTGTATCTGGAGCTGTGGGAACTCCACATCTCCACCGCAGCATGGCCTCCATGATTCGTACCCTAGCTTCCACGTCCCCGTCGGTGTCAATATTCCCATCCTCATCTGCAAAGTCCAGGTATCGAAGCACGTCATCCACATTCTGCCCACTGCTACCCCACAGCCGCCAGCCCTCAACATCTCCTTCCCAGGGGTTCGTCACGCTATCGAACCAGCCGTGTTCCGGCTTCTCTTCTCCAGTTGGTGGCGCCGCGCAGTAGGCCCTCGCACGCGGGAACATTGCGCGGTGGATTGGCTGCTGCGGCAGCGCAAAGTTTGCCGGGTCGCTTTCGCCTGGCATGAGAGTAATGGGTATACTAGGTAGAAGCTCTGCGAGAAAGGCATCTAGTTGTGTAATAGGCGACGCGTTATACGCGGAAGCGTCATATCCGTACTTCTTCTGCTGCGCAATCTTCTTTCCCGAAGCCCCGTTCTCCAATGCCGGTGCCGCCTCGATGGTACTCACCCCGAGTGAGTTACCGGCAATGATCAATCTGGTAATCCCGCTAGCATCTGGTAGTGAACCCGCCTCCCCCTTTTGAGAAGACGATCCTGTGTAGCCTAAAAGATAGTCCGCCAGGAGCTCGAGGGTGAGGCTGTCACTCGAGGTTCCCGTAATACCAAGACCACTAATCAATGCGATTTTCCCTTTCTTCGACTTCTCGGATGACGATGCGTCGTCTCTCTCCCATCGTCGTGGCTGTCGAGCGAGATCAGGAACCTTAATATCAACCGCCTCGAAATCTCCATTTGCGTTCTCCGTCCCAAGCACAGCAATGATGGCCCCCGTTGCTAGTTGGACCGAGCTCAATTTGCTTCCCGTCAAGCGCAGTCGCCCGGATTCGTCTTCAAGCATGATTTCTGTCAACTCTGGGTGTGATGGGTCCTGGTAGGTTCGGCGGGGTGGGGGAGCTGTTGTAAAGTTCTACTGGGGATCAGAATGGGTTCTGCAACAAATTGAGAACAACCTACGTCTTTCGTAAGATCGTCTAAGATATTGGGCTTCAATGGCATCTCCATATATATTGTGCCCGCAACCCAGCAAAGTTCTCCTTGTCGAACATCGAGTACTCGTTCCACGCGACGGGCATACTCTCCTGCAATCTGCAGTCCCGCAGTCAAGTTAGCGACAACAGAAAGTAAATCTCTAGGTTCAAAGGGCGTATCGTACGTTGAATCCTTCCCAAGCTTCGACCGCAACTGCTTCGACGGCTGGCTTCAGCTTTGCAAGCCGCAAGAAGTACATATCTCCATATTGCTGTTGGTATTGCCTCTCCTGGCCGGGAGGAAGACGGAACGTATCTAAAGGATTATACACAGAGGGATTCCGTTGCGCAAGCTCATGTTGTTCCGTACTAAGGAAATTGACCATAATTAGCGAAGCAAATGACAAGCTTTGGGTGCGGAGATGCGAACCTCGGAGGACACAAGAACTCTTCCTCTGCAGCCATATTGTGACGAATTAATTTCCCGCTAGTGCATTGGCTGTTATCAAGCAAAGATTATCGAAATAAACCTGCTTTCGTAGTGAGTTTATGGGAAGCCGATTGATTGACTGTTGCGGACTTGAGAAAGTGGACGGAACGCGGGAGACGCGTCTTTTGGCGTTTCTGCCATCATTTCCGCTTTGGGCTACCTCCTCCAGCTTCACCACTCTTTCCACCCTCTCCAGAACCCTATCGAACCTCAAAGGACTGATTCTTTTATTAAACAGTTCCTAAACTTCGCTCGCTGGTCTACGCATTCCTTGGTGTCTTGTCTATTGCCTCAGCTCGCTTCGAACACCAATAATCCTAGCCATGGCAGCGACAATTCCAGATTAAGTATGCAGGAAAACCAGCCAATTTCTTGGAAAGATTCTTCATAAAATGCCTCAATCCTACATTTATTTCGAAACATCGTTGGCCCCGCTATCAGACCCAACCATGGGCACAGTGTCGACCAAAAAGCGCAGGTTGATAGTGATACCCGTTCAAAACCGTCGTAGTGTACACTTAGAGATCCACCAACCTAATGTTAGCAGTTACTGCAATTCAAGCTTCAGCCTTTTCAGGCCACTTCAGTTTCAATTTCAAGCCAATCAACGCGTTCAATTTGGAGAGCAGCATTGAGTGCGAGGAGGCATCTGATCCTTTCCAATTTCCGGATGCCTCATCCCTGGCTCGGCTCTCAAATCTCACCCAGCATTCCGATCTATACTCACCGAGTCCTACCATTGGCTGCAGAAAAAATGATAAGAGTGCTCCTTCATTGGCATTTTTTTCTTCTCGAGTGCACTTAGATGTATTGGTGCGTCCGAGTGCCGCAGAATGAATGGCCGAGGCCATCGTCCACTGGCAGGCACGAGACCATCATTCTTGACCAAGGGCATACTCGACGGTAGAATTCTTGGGAAGGAATTTCTCGTATCTTCGCGTCGCGCATGATAGATGGCCTCGGTTCTATTAATCTCATATCTCGAGGAGCAGGGGCATCCTCAAGGCTGTAATCTTCTCAACTTCCTGCCGACACGTTCAATATGAAGATCATATCATCTATAACCCATCCTCTGGGCAACCTATTCATTCTGGGCCTATCAGCATTCGTTCTCGCCTCAGCCTTTAGCTTCGATTCGGCACTGCGCGAGGTATACCATAACATAGAGCGTCGCAGCCTACCGGGCTCTCTTGCGCTTGCTCCAACAGATGCAGTCGGAAAATATCAGCCTCCGCCAGGACCAGTGGTGTACGGGCCTTCGCCTGCGACAGCTTCATCACCTTCAATACCTGAAAATACGGACGAAGATGAAAGCACACATGGGTCACATCGAGCAATGGCGGCTACAGATGGCTCTGAAGACTCCGAGTAAGACTACTTTCGTTGCATCTCTGTTTCTGGAATGGCAGTTTAATCCTTCCTTTTTCTAGATCACACCTGCGTATTCCCTCTGCGTCGGAAATGGATGCAGTGATATTCAGGGCTCAGACTGGATTAGGGAAGAAAAATGTGGCGGAATCACTGGCAAGCATTATAGTGTCCATGCTTGTGGTGCTGCTCTATCTGTGATCGGCTTCTCGAGGCCGAGTTACCAACTCGGTTGTTGAGGGAAACAGTTGGGGTCTTGGGGAAGGAGAATTGTCAACTGCGACTCTGGCGTGTTTTTTATTGCACATAGATACCCATTGCGAGGCTAAACAATTTATCTTTCGTGCTCATGCCGGTTGTATCTTACGCTTGACACTTCAAGTAGATCGACTAACAACAATCTACTTTAAGCCCCGCATTAGCCGGGATGGTTCAAGCTTGGACTAAGGGGTATAGGACTTGCACATTTCAAGCATTATGTATAAGGATAATGCGCGGCACATGACTGCATAATTGCACCTACAATCCGAACGCAAAGTGTACCGCTAACCGGCAGACCGAAGATCCCAAGAGATGGGCCTCGGTCCGTCTCCCGCAGAGGCTTTGCTTCCCCGCATCTCCAGGAGCTCTCCAGTTCCTCTTTCATATGGGAGCGGCCGAAATCGAATAGCCGACAGATTTACCAAGGGAAGGTAAATTTTGTTCCTATATATCCCCGGTGATAATCCCCTCCGGCCTCACACTTCAACCTCATTCTCACTCTTTTCCGCTCCATCTTCAAACAGGGGTCTATACAATAGAAAACAACAAGGTACGCGCCTGGTCGCAATCCCTAATTCTCCCAAATACAAACTAACATCACCGATCCAGGACAGAATCAAGCCGCCAAAATGTCAATCTCAACGCCCCTCACCTCCCTCCTCGGCATCCAAAGCCCCGTCCTCCTCGCAGGCATGGCAAAGGCCTCCGGCGCACCCCTCGCAGCCGCAGTCTCCAACGCCGGCGGCCTCGGTGTCATCGGCGGTCTGGGCTACACCCCAGACCAGATGAACGAGATGCTCACGGAGCTCAAGTCCCTGCTCAAGGACAAGTCGCTCCCCTTCGGCGTCGACCTCGCCCTCCCACAAGTCGGCGGCAACGCCCGCAAGACAAACCACGACTACACAAACGGCCAGCTCGACCAGCTCATCGACGTGGTCATCAACCACGGGACGAAGCTCTTTGTGTGCGCTGTTGGTGTCCCGCCCGCGCATGTGATCAAGCGTCTCCACGACGCCGGGATCCTGATCATGAACATGGTGGGTGCGCCGAAGCACGCTGAGAAGGCGCTCAAGGCTGGCGTGGATATCATCTGTGCGCAGGGCGGAGAAGGCGGTGGACATACTGGGGATATTCCCTTCTCGGTGCTTATCCCGGCCGTTGTGGATACGGTGCAGAACTATAAGAGCACGCTTACGGGACAGACCCCGCTGGTTGTTGCTGCTGGAGGTGTTAACGATGGCCGGAGTCTGGCGGCGGCATTAGCACTGGGTGCGGCTGGTGTGTGGGTGGGGACGAGATTCCTGGCCACGGAAGAGAGCGGTGCCAGTAAGCTGCACAAGGAGGCCGTTGTTGGTGCGCAATATGGAGAGACCAAGAGGACGCTTGTTGTTTCGGGACGACCGCTGCGGATGCTCCCTAACGATTACATCAAGGAATGGGAGAAGAAGCCCCAGGAGATCGCCGAGTTAACGGCGAAGGGTATTGTGCCCCTAGAGCATGATTTCAATAACGATAAGGACTTTGATATTCCTTTCCTCATGGGCGACGTCTCTGGGATTGTCAAGGAGATCAAGCCCGCGGGTGTGGTCCTGAAGGAAATGGTTGCGCAGGCTGCGGAAGTCTTGAAAAAGAGTGCCGCTTATGCGACGGGCCCTGCGAGCAAGCTTTAAGTAAGATTATATTCTTTATTTATCTATGTATTTTTTGAGCCGTGCTTCAGCTTCCATGCCTCATAGATATGGGCGGAATGTATATATCTAGGAAATTTTATGGTTTCAGATGTCTCATTGATATACATTTACATAAACTGCAACGTGAACAGAACTCGGAAATCATTCAGCAATAACAGAGGATAGGCGCATTGGGCGAAGTAGGTAGGTGGGTAGTTCACACACCTGATGCCTGGTTGAAAAACAAGTGCTGGAGAGAAGAACAGTATCCGACTGGAGTGTGTATAGCAACACGTAGATTTCCAAAATAAACCAGCGCTACGTTCAAGAGCTGTTGATATACATCTCTGTCCAATGGTGGCATTTCAATCCATCACTGCAAGACTGCCGGATACTAAACTTGACGACACCACTCCCTACATTGTTACCAACCTCAAAAAGGGCAAAGAAACTGGCCCTGCTTTCCCCTCCTTCGGCGGGATAATTAGTGGCATCCGTTTAACACAGCTTTCCCATTCGCTCGTGCTTCCAAGAGGTTCGGCGGCGGTGGCGGCCCGAATACAGGTTTCTCTGGCTGCTGTGGCAGGGGGTGGTCTCCGTGGTCTCCGTTGGCGCTATCGATTTCATAATCTTCGTCACTGATGCCCTCTTCGTCTTCCTCGTCTTCGTAATCCTCTTCGTATTCGCTTTCCGTCCCCTCGTCGTCACCGTCTAAATCCACAGCAAGATTCTGCCCACGACCTTGGGCCTGCATTCGTCGGCACAGCGCTTCAAGGTGATGACTTTTCTTCCGCCACTTGTCGAGTTCTTCATGATTCCTCGTTCGCTCCTCGGCCATTTCTAGTATGTTTCGGTTTGTCTGATCGTGTTTGCGAGTGAGGGTGAGATTTTCCTTTTCCAACCGTTTGGTCTTCTTCGACATTTCCTCCATCTCCTTGCGAAATGTTAGGAACAACTCGTTACTGTTGTTCAAAGTGTCCTCAACCTGGAATATCATTATTACCGGGAACCAAAATGGGTACTATGAAGCCATACCTGTTTAAACTTTTCCACGTAAATATTTAGCTGGCTTCGCAGTTCAGACTCGGTATGCGAAAACGTAGATACCTGGGAGCTCAGCGCACGACAGCGAGCAGCTTCATTCTCCGCCGCACGTCGTTGTTCTTCGTATTTCGCGGTAAGGCACTGGATTTCTGCATCCTTGCTGCGCAATAACGACTTGTAGTGTAACTCGCGCATCTCGAACTTTTCACCAATGGTTTTGATCTTGGCCCGCAGGCTTTAACAGGTTGTCAGACAGTGTACAGAAAATAAAACGAGCTAGACCGCAACTTACGCTTCGTCGAGGTCGATGTCCACTTTGTCGCTTCGAGGATTGCCCTTTGCCGCCATAACATCTTGAATGTCGTACAAAAGAGAGTCAAGTCGCTCATTGACTATCGCACGGGCCTTTTTCTCGTTCTCCTCCAGTTTTTTGTTTTCATCCTAATTCCCCCCAAAAGTCGTCGATTAGCCCAGGCGCTAAAATCCAATCGATCGAGCCGTAATTGTATTTTTAAACCCACCTTGACTTTCTTGTTTTCTTTCGTAAGCTCCCTACAAAGCTTTTCCAGCTTATCCTTCATAGTAACAGTTTTGTTCAACTCCGATTTGCCCTTGTCTTGGTCCTTTTGGAGCTGGTCCGCACGCTTCTTACTCTTTGCATAGTCGCGGTCCAACTTCTTCATGTCGGCCAGGAGCTCCGTGTACTTTTTATGGACAGTCTCGAGTCGGGTCATCGGGGATTCGATATTGGTCAAGAGCTGGTTAAGATCTCTGGTGGCCTTCTTCACCTCCCGTTCTATAACCCAGCAGTGTTGTTAGCCAATGTTGCCACGCAAGGCCAAAAATATCCGAACGGCCCAAATTGTACACTCCGGGGTAAACCACGCACCGATTTCTTGCTCTTGGTCCTTTTCTCCCGCCGCATCCTGCTCCAGCTGCGAGATCTTGGCGGCAAGAAGTTTTGAAGTTTCGTTGGGGTCCGCGACCTTCTTCCCCTTGTTTTTCTTCGACATAGCCGTAGCCGACATGATTGGGGAGTCCACTTTGGATATTCGGTCCGGGGGATGTTCGTTGCAAGTTGTATGGCGGAGGTCGCGTGGCCGGGCCTTGGAAGGAAAAATGCGAACACGGAACGGCTGGGCGTGGTCTGGAGTTTAATGGATGGCCGGGTCTCGGGCCGCTTCGAACAGGCGAGCAGAACCCAGATCCGTGTGAGTAATGTGGCGCCTGGAGGATACCCAGACGCAGCACAGACAATTGTGACTCTTGAATTCCACGCTGGGAATGAGCGGAGAACCTTGAGAGACTTGCTAGGCTCGCAGAACTCGGAGCAACCGGGACTTCCGATCCTATAGCAACCAAGTTCTGCACGGCCGAGAAATAACCCAAGAACGGCAGCAGAGAGTCGTGAGAGCCTGGTTGAACGGCAGGCAGCTAGCGAGTATAAACGAGTCAAGGACAGTCGGTCGAGGACTTGTTGGAGAGATCGAATCCAATCTCGTAAGAGGGGGTTAACGCTAGCCCGATTGGAAAATATTCTCTTGGCATTGCGCAGTTTGTCATCGCAGCCGACATCCGGCCGCAACTCTTCCATCCATTCTCTCCTGCCTTTCTGCTCAGAATTAGACAGCGGTCATCCGGAGGCACTCTTCTTCTCTCTTCACTGTGCCGTTTGTTTGCTCCTTAGCTCTATCACTTGGTCCCGGCTGGACCGGTGCCGTTTCCAATACGTTGCGCCATCGACAACGATCTGTTTGAAACAAATCCTCTAACACCTTCCAAAGTCAAGGGACTGGTCTGCGCGCCCTTCTATTGCTTCGGACACACTTGACAACATGCTCCGCTCATTCCTGCAGCTGGGCAGACAACGCGCTCCGGCCCTCCACAGACCTTGCGGGCACGTATTGAGGCCAGCCACGTCATTACCTCGGTGGTCTCAAGCACGAACGCTCGCTTCAGTATCCAGCCTACCGGGCTTGCCAGAAGTTGGCGACCAGCTCCACGGGTTTACCGTTGAGGAGAAGAAACATGTCCCCGAGCTTCACCTTACGGCTGTGCGATTAAAGCATAACAAGACACACGCGGATTACCTCCATATCGCAAGGGAAGACAAGAACAATGTTTTCGGCATCGGATTCAAGACGAACCCTCCGGACGCCACAGGTGTGCCGCATATCCTGGAACACACCACCCTCTGTGGTAGCGAGAAGTAAGGCTTTCCCCATCCGAAGAAAACTCAGTTGCGGAATCTTGAAATAGACACTGACTTCTGGCCTCCATTAGATACCCGATCCGTGACCCGTTCTTCAAGATGCTCCCTCGATCTCTCTCTAATTTTATGAACGCCTTCACCTCATCCGATCACACCATGTACCCGTTTGCCACGACGAACCTGCAAGATTTCCAAAACCTCTTATCAGTCTATTTGGATGCTACCATGCACCCTCTGCTCAAAGAAGAAGACTTCAGGCAAGAAGGGTGGCGTCTAGGACCGGAAGACCCTCGGGCTATCCAAACTCTGGAGGGTGGTTTAAAGCCGGAAGATATCTTGTTCAAGGGTGTTGTGTACAACGAAATGAAGGGTTCGATGTCTGACGCCAACTACCTTTATTGGATCAGGTACCAAGAGAGCATCTTTCCTGCAATTAATAACTCTGGAGGAGACCCTCAAAACATCACAGACTTAACGCACAAACAGCTAGTCGACTTCTCAAAGCAGAATTACAACCCCAGCAATGCTAAGATCCTGACTTACGGCGATATGCCTCTAGACGGTCATCTGAAGCAGGTTGGTGGCGTCTTGGATGGATTTAGCAAAGGAGAGGCGGACACGTCCGTTAAGATGCCGATTGATCTCCGCGGGCCTGTCAACGTGACTGTGCCAGGGCCAATTGATACGTTCGCCAGTGAAGACAAACAATTCAAAACTTCCACGTCATGGTACATGGGTGACAGCACGGACATTGTCGAAACTTTCTCTGCCGGTATCCTCTCGTCTCTGTTGCTGGATGGATATGGCTCTCCCATGTACAAGGCCTTGATTGAAAGTGGACTGGGCTCCTCGTTTACCCCCAACACGGGGCTCGACACTTCCGGTAGAGTTCCTGTTTTCTCGATTGGTGTCACCGGTGTGAGCGAGGATCAAGCTCCTCGGGTGAAGGAGGAAGTTCAGCGAGTCTTCCGGGAGTCTCTCGAGAAGGGCTTTAATGACGAGAAAGTCCAGGGATTCCTCCACCAATTGGAGCTTGCCCTTCGGCATAAGACCGCGAACTTTGGTCTTGGAGTTATCCAAAAAACTCTCGGATCTTGGTTTAATGGCTCAGATCCCATGAAGGAGCTGGCCTGGAATGAAGTTATCGATGCCTTCAAGAGGAAGTACGAAAAGGGTGGCTATCTGGAGTCTTTGATGCAAAAGTACCTCACCAATGATAATTGCCTAACATTTACGATGGTCGGCAATCCATCATTCAACAAGGAATTGGACGAAAAGGAAATGGTCAGGAAGGAGGCAAAGCTCAAGGAACTGATTGAGCAGTATGGCTCGGCTGAGAAGGCTGTCAACGAGCTTGGAAAGGCTGAGCTACAGCTACTTGAGGTTCAAGAGCAAGCGCAGCACTCTGATCTAAGCTGTTTGCCGTCTCTGCGAGTCGAAGATATCTCTCGGCAAAAGGAGTACAAGCCGGTCCGCGAATCTACTGTTGAGGATACGGATGTTGTCTGGCGCGAAGCTCCCACCAACGGTTTGAGCTACTTCCAGGCAGTAAATGTTTTTGACGACCTCCCCGACGACCTTCGCCTACTACTACCGCTTTTCAACGACTGTATCATGCGACTTGGAACTCCGACCAGGACGATGGAGCAGTGGGAAGACTTGATAAAACTCAAGACAGGTGGAGTCTCGACCTCAACCTTCCACACGTCGTCACCAACAGAACTCGGTACATTCAAGGAAGGCCTCCAGTTTTCTGGCTTTGCGGTGGACAAGAACATCCCAGACATGCTTGAAATTCTGACAGCCCTTGTTACCGAGACCGACTTCACCGGCCCTTACGCACCAGCCATGATCCAAGAACTTTTGCGATTGTCCACTAATGGGGCGTTGGATGCTGTAGCAGGGACGGGCCATCGATACGCATTGAATGCCGCTGCAGCTGGCCTTTCTCGTAGTTTCTGGGCGCAAGAGCAGACTTCAGGCCTTGCCCAGCTGCAAGCTATGGCAAACCTTCTACGGGATGCCGAGACTTCTCCGGAACGTCTAGCGGAGCTGATCGAGAAGCTCCGTCTCATTCAATCATTTGCTATTTCGAAAACATCCGGCCTCCGTGTTCGCCTTGTCTGCGAACCAGGAAGTTCAAGCCAGAATGAGTCGATATTGCAAAAGTGGATTTCTGGCCTACCGAAGTCTCCTTCACCCTCGACCCAGCCTCAGGGTCTTGGCTCGGAGTCACTCGTCACTAAGGCCTTTTATGACCTGCCCTACAAGGTCTACTATTCCGGCCTGGCTTTACCAACAGTGCCATTTACACATTCCTCCTCCGCGAAGCTGAGCGTCCTTTCTCAGCTTCTCACTCACAACTACCTACATCCCGAGATCAGAGAAAAGGGAGGTGCCTATGGAGCAGGTGCAACCAACGGTCCCGTCAAGGGACTCTTCGCCTTCACTAGTTACCGTGATCCCAACCCCGCCAATACCCTCAAGGTCTTCCAGAACAGTGGTGTCTTCGCGAGAGACCGTACCTGGTCAGACCGTGAAATCAATGAAGCTAAACTGGGCATTTTCCAGGGCCTTGATGCCCCGGTTAGCGTTGATGAGGGAGGGGCCAGATATTTCATGAATGGTATCACCCATGAGATGGATCAGCGTTGGAGAGAACAAGTTCTGGACGTCACAGCAAAGGACGTCAATGAGGTTGCCCAGACCTTCCTCGTCGAAGGCAAGCGGCAATCCGTCTGTCTCCTAGGTGAGAAAAAGGATTGGGCCGAGTCTGAAAACTGGGAGGTCCGCAAGCTCTCCATGAACCCCTCCGATGTTTCCGACGTCCCCGAAGGAGATGCTGCAGCCTCGGCCTAAGCATCTCAATCAATTCACCTGCATAGATCACACCCTCGTGACCATGGGTGGTGATCTACATTATATAAACCTACATGTATTTCTACTAACGTTCTGATGAAAAAGCATGTAAAATAGACATCTACGTGTACAATATCCCATCTCTTCACCTCACGTTATACATAATATTCACGCAAATTGTCCTTTCTCTCCTCTTCACAACATCCACTTGGGCTCATGCACTCATGTCACTCACAAGCGCGGAACAAAGAACAACCAGACCCATCTTCAATCCTAGCCTACCTCCATGGTCGACAGATGGGTCGATCGTCCAGATGGACAAGCGCAATATCAATGCGGAATGTGAACCTCTTTTCCAGAGACGGTACACTTCCCTCCTCCGTTTTTCAGACCCGCCCTGGGTTTTTATAACCACGCTGTCAGCCTACGCAGGGCGGACTAAAAACGTGAGAACAGACCGTAGTTGGCCTATGAATCTAGTTTAAAGATCTACAGGTGCATCGTGGAAGAAAAGAAATAAAGGTATGGCGGGATAGTTCCTCAAGAAACTCGGCCAGCTGGTTTAGGATTTCCAAATCATAAATCATAACCATAACCAAGGTCGTAGTATACAGGTAGAAATAGGTTAAGTGGTATCACAAGAAACAAATATTAGTTTGAATGGATGTGCTTGAATGGCCTGCAAGCCAGTTGCTTTGAATGGGATACCTGCTCCCTGCACTCTCAGTTTCGGTCATTATCAGTCTTAGAGCTCGGGGCGTCATCCTCGGGTTCCGGCACTGGCTCAACGGGTTTCAGACGTACGTCTGAATTTCGACTAGGATCGGAGTGGGTAGAAATCTGTTCGATACTCTCAGGGCTCATGGGTGTATCGGGCAAAGGCGGGAATGGCTCGGTTCGTGAATCCGACTCGGAGAATCGCGAGTTGGAGTCTTGTCGGGCCACTTTGTTGTTAAAGGAAGAGTCTTGTTTTCCTTGCACATCGGAGGTGTTTACAGGCGAGGCGGAGTGAGCGATGCCTGAAGGCTCTGTTTGTGATGGAGATATCGAAGCGGTCTGTCACAAGGTCAGCTTGCAAATACTGGTTGAGTCGCGGTTGTTTCTGAGCACACCTTGACGTCCTCTATACCCATGCCCCGGTGCAAAGCCAGTTGCCGCGCGGCGAGCCGTTTTTGTACAATTTCCAACTCTTCTTCCCGTGCAGCCTGCTCATCCTCTCTCTTTAAATCGTCAATCGATATTGATGCCATATCGCGGGAGAGATCTGCGAAGGAGCTTGGAGGCGATCGCATTCGACTGGATCGCTTCTTTTTCTTCTTTTTGTTTTTCGAGCTCTTTGAAGATGTGGTGGGTGCTATGCTGAATGTACCAGAGATAGACCTCATGCTGTCGGGCTTACTCCCTTCCTGGTCATCCGACTCCAGTCCTGTGCCCCGTCGGGCCAAGGCCATAGCAAATTCATCGTCCAAGGGTACCGCGTCCTCCTCCTCGTCGCTCATGATTAAATCCCCTCGGGAGCTGAGAGAGTTTGCGGTTTCGCGGGATGACTGTGTTGCACTGCGATACCTCCCATTGTTGCCATCCACGGGCCCTTCGCCGGTCTCCTCGCTCTCTTCAATTAGAGGATCCTGCTCGTGTACTTCTCGTAGCCCCGTTGGGTGTTCTTGAAGGTCAGCGGCAGAGGGCCTATATTTCAGACCCCGCGCGCCAAATCGCCAAGGGAATCGCTCGAGGAATCCCAGAAATGACGAGCTCGGAATAACAGTAGGATCATCGCGCTCATCCGGTATCAGAAGTCCGCTTTTCCTCCTACTTGCGCGACGGGCACCATAGCTCATCCTCCGCTGCCTGCGAGGCTGGTCGGGACCTCCCCGCACTAGCCCGCTCCCAGCCAACAGACGGTCTAGTTCGTCTGTACCCCATCCTAAAATCGTATCATCCGCTTCTTCATTCTCCCAGTCGTCGTAAAAGTCGAAATCTGGGTAGCGACGGCGATGGCGGCGTCTGTGGTCTTCATGGGTGGAGAGACAGGGCGCAGTGCATGAGCTGAGACAGTTTCCAATTGACGTGAAACAAGGGAATATATAGTTATGTGAAAATGTATAAATCCTCTCCTGCGCTGACTCATTTGCGGACTCGAGATTATATGAAATCTGGTTGATTGTCTGCCTGACTCGAGGGTCTCTCGGTCGCATCATGGTGAATGGTGGTTAGTAGGAGACCTAGTCTCCAGGCATCTGAAGATAAAAGGTCTGTTCCTCCAACTTCATCTAGGAGGCCCCATGGACAATCAAGTGAGCGCCGATGGAACCAGACTGTGGAACTCTGTAGGCCGATAGCGTTTTGAGTCTTGGAATTGGGGGAGACAAGGAAGGGAGCTGGAGGAATGAACAGATCCCAGACGGGGTGCGGATGCGGGCAGGGCAGATGTCATCCGACTTAGTCAGCCCACGCCCGGCAGAGAGGGGGATCATTATTATGAATATTCTGGGCGTTCACATTCTCTGATCTACAACTATACACAAGATGGTTTATTACATTCGTTTTCTCAAAACCCCGAGGCTGCAGAAGCTAAAAACTGGTTCTATTTCCGCCTCTGCACTTATATGCATCACAACAGATTTAGGCGATGCATTCCTGACGCAGGATGTGGATTTACTTGTAACACTCCGTCCTGCTCACAATGAGAAAAACACTATATGTCAGGAACGCCTGCATTGGCAGGGAGGGAAGCGTGAACTCCCTATTTCATTGGGATCACTCCCCAGCAGCATCTCACAGCGACCCATGGTAATGGAAGTGACTGCATCGAAACCTGTCCGCGTCACAGATCCAACATTGTCAGACTCTATGCTGGATCAACGCAGTATCCCGCTAGTAATATCCTGCTGGAGTGCACCATTCGGAGGCCCGCAGTCGCTGGTCGCCGAGAAGCTGGTTGAACGACGCTTCCGTGTGAGCCAGTCTGTGCAACTGAGTATATGGGAGGAAACCGGGAATAGCATTGCACGACATATCTGGTGAGACTATACTCTCCGGATTTTTTTTTTTATATCATTATCTAAGTACCTTCCCCCACGCGTTCAGGGATGCAGCAATTTCTTCGGTCGTATATCTTCAGCAGATCATTGCTGGGAATCACGGATCGTCCAACCCTGTGCTAGAGGACCTTTTGCAACCTGGACGCAGTAGCCCTCTCAATGTAATTGAGCTAGGATCAGGATGTGGTATAGTTGGTATTGCTTTAGCGAGCCTTCTACCGCAATGCTCTGCCCTGCTCACAGACTTATCCGAAGTTGAAGATATCATCACTAAGAACATTGCTGTTGCGCGGCCGGCGCGTGCGTCAGAGATCAAATATCGGCCACTCGAGTGGGAGGAAGACCTCCCGGATAATCTCTTCGATAGCACAGCCATTGATTTAGTCCTTGTCTCGGACTGCACTTACAATGCCGACAGTCAGCCGGCACTAGTGTCAGTGTTAAGTCGACTGGTCCAGGTGTCTCCTAACGCTATCATCCTCGTAGCTCTTAAGAGACGGCATGAAAGCGAGAGTGTTTTCTTTGATTTGATGGAATCCGCTGGGCTATACGATCTACATTTGCACCGCACCAGGGTCCCCTCCGAGCACGAACAATGGGATGAAATTGAATTGCACTGTTATGGCAAACGTGCCCAAAAATAAATGCAGCCAGTAGGCTTGGTCAGGATCCCAATCCCATGTCTCCGTATAATCGGAAGCTGAATTGAGATTTCTTCAAACCTCAACTTTCTATCGACTATGGACATAGGCATGGATACAAAGCTATCTGATCAATGGCGACGGACAAGCTCATAAAGACATTTTTCAGTACGGAGGGATATAGTCAGACTTTCCACGACAGCCATTTGAACTTCTGGCTATCCCATGATGAAGCTCTTTGCAATTTACGCAATCGTCGCCATCCATTCGATTTCAAATCAACTGTTTCTTGGGCGGATTCAGATGATTTGTTCAGGCTATAATCGTACTCCCGTCTCATATGATGCCTGTCACTCTGGCAGTATTTCGAGGAATATTTGATGCATCCCACCCTAGTTAGAAACCGCCAGCGTCTACTTGTCAACGTCGACAATATGGGCTCCAGTGTAGAGTCTAGCGGCACAAAATCGTCATCCGTATGCTTCAACGCAAGACTTCGAAACATACCACGAACAGTCAACGGCAATGATATCTGACTGTCGGGGCCGCGAAATATCTGGTTGCTAGCAGTCAGGCTATGTGAACGTTGCGGAGGCATGACAGGCAGCCCATTCCCTGGATACCTTTCCCCATAGGGGCCGGAGTACCGAGCACAGTTGATACTCCGCTGGATGAATGCGCTATAGTTCGGTGCCAATGTTACCATGCATAGTGGAAGAAAAGCAAGCCGGGTAGCATCATTCCCTTCTGGTGACGGATTGGATGAAACCTTTGCGCACAGCGCCCACAGGTCCGCATACAAGGAACATACCACATAGACATCACCACCGGAAACCACAAATTCATCTGTCCTTTTCTCGTAACTTTGGAGTAAAGTATACTCTGGGCCTACGCCAATGACCAGCGAGCCCTCCTCAATAGCCCATTGCTCTCCCAGCCCTAGTCGAATGTCCTTATATGAATGCAAGCGAGTGCAGAACACGGGCTTCTTCTGGTAAAGGGGATCTGGGAGTGTCTCCGTTGATACCCGGCAGTCGGGCAGAGTCGATTTGCCATATGGATTACAGTCCTTTTGCTTATTTTTGTTAACTTCTATGTCGGTCTCTGCCCTGCCAAGTACTTACCAGGAGAGGAGTCTCGTGGTCCGAGTCGGAATCATCAAGAATCACATATGATGCCGTATCGGCTTTCTGGTTATTGGACAAACTCAGAGAGCTAATGGAAATGTTGTCCTCCGTTTCTCTGTCACTACCATTCAAATCCTCAGACATGTCCGGCGACGAGCTCCCATCTTGGAATGAACTATAGCGCCAAACCGGCGGCCGATGGAAATACACGGCGTGCCGGCGCCTTTTGCTCACCGAGTCTTGAAAATATTTCGCTTCAGATGCTAGGTATGAGTCGTCAACTGAGCTCGAGGTGACACCGTCGCTAGAAAGGTTACGCATGTTGTGGAACGATGCACAAATAAGCTGAGTAGATGCGATGTTTTGATATGAAAACTAGACTGTGCGCTAAGTCTGAAGAGAAGTTTGTTTGGCCTAAATTTGAAATCTTGAATACTTGAAGAGAGCTCAAGGCGCCTATGGCTTAGCTGGATTTGGGGAAGGATGTTGGACTCGGCCGCGCCTTCCTTGCCCTCACCCTGACATTATTGGCAAGAGCGCAGAACAAGTCACGATCGTTGCTTCCTTTTCTGTTCGCAGTTATACACTAATAACGTTGAGTCTCGCATGCTCAGCCATGTCTCCAGGGCAGCCTATCAGTCTACATTGAAGGTTTACCATAGTATACTGTGGCCTTCGGTAATAGTGACTGATCCACATGAAAGCCCAAGCGATGTGTCCGAGAATAGCTTGTTAGTTGGTTGAGGGTTGAGTTCGTGCCGGACCACGGGCGCACGGGTTGATCGCATATACTGCGCCAGCACTGAACTTATCCCACCTACCCTCAATAAACGTTGAGACGTTGGCTGAGGTGATGTTGAGGTTGAGCAGAATGCGGCGATCGAATGAATAAGCAGAAATAACCTCGGCCCGCCCAGTGGCTACATTAGCCACGATATGCAGCGGGGATTCTTCACTATTCCCAACATTCTTCTGCTGGAAACATAAATAACTACTGGCTGAAGACCGCGTTGGGCTTTGTTTGTTTGTTCTGAGCGAAAGAAATCATAGATCGCTTGATTGAACCATGGCTGCCCCAAAGGTCACTCTATATTATGACCTCGTTAGTCCGTTCGCATACATCGCGTTCAAGGTCCTAAAGGTAAGCCCATACTATTTATACACCACCCCAAATGTAGCTATAACGCCATAATGGAGCTGTCTGACGCTCGAATAGAATTCTCCAACTTTCAGCAAGTGTGATGTCACCTTTGTGCCTATTTTTCTCGGCGGGCTGATGCATGCCTGCGGAAATACTCCACCCATCAAAATCAAAAGTGAGAAGGCCGCCTACACATACTGGTATACGGTATAGCTACTAACGATGGCCTGAAGACAAGGATAAATGGATCAACCAGGAGCGACTGCGCTGGGGCCATTACTTTTCAGTGCCTATGACAGAGGCAATGCCAGAGGGGTTCCCACCCAATACGTTGGCGCCTCAGCGTGCTTTCGCAGCTCTGGCTCAGCAGAATTATTCTAAATTAGCTTCTGCTACCGAGGCGCTTTGGGAGGAGTTTTGGGTAAAGGGAAATATCAAAACATCGCAGCCTGAAGTGTTTGTGCCGATTCTTGAGAGGGTCTTAGGGCCATCCGAGACAAAGGCAGTCCTCGAAGCGGTAGGCTCAGCCTTTCCTTCCTAGACACACCACAAGCTAATTAAATCAGGCAAACGGGCCCGACGTCAAGGCACGCTTGAGTGCCAATACACAGCACGCCTTTGACTCTGGTGCATTCGGTCTCCCCTGGTTTGAATGCACCAACTCCAAAGGTGAGAAAGAAAACTTCTGGGGCATTGACCATCTTGGTCAGGTAGTTGATTTTCTGGGACTGGACCGCTCCCTAGAGCATGGACTCAGAGCAGTCCTGTAATCATGCATCTAAGCAGCATTAAATTCATTTCCTCATGCAAACCACGGTCAAATCGATGTGGCATAAGACTTATATTATACATTCAATAGAAATCCGGCTTCGATCACTTCCGCTTCGTCCCAGCATTGCTCTTATGTTTCTCTCGGAGGAATGCCTCTATTTTCTCCCTGTCTAGACTGTCGATCTCTTTATGCTCTTTATCGGAGAGATTTACTTCGGCCTGGCCTGGAAGGAGGCATTAGCAGTATTCTTAGGATCCAACAGGCACATAGAACCTACCAGACTCCTCGGTGTTCTCCCCAGCTGCGTAGGATTGGATTGGATTCACAACATTTTGTTGCACCCATTCACCGGGCATGGATGCAGCGGCGTAGACGGTATCTTTGACCTGTTCGGCGGGATTTTCAGACATATTGCTGTCGGTGTCGAGAAGCTGCAACAGCCATATCAATTGTCCTGCTTTTGGAAGCAGGGGAACGTGATGACGTCACCATCTCTGTGTCTATACTTGGCGGGGCAGTAAGGCAGTATCAAATACCGAGCTAAACCGTTTACGTCAGTTCCAGGCTTTGTATATCTCCATGTCCTGAACCAACATCTTCAAACCCGTTTTAATGTTCCTCGCAAATGCCCAGGATAGGTTGAAGTTGAAGTTTATTCGTTATTCGATTGACTGGGCTTGCACTTCACAGTTGAGCTCGACGTACGCAAGGAGAGCCGGCGTTGGAGCCTCGTATATTTAACGAGCTTGACATTGAATTGAACTACTATAAAAAGCTTCTCAATCTCTGTCATGTAAGCTCTTCAGAATTAATGACATTCAATAAGATAACATTCTTCACTTGAACCTGGCAAAATGCCATTCCCGTACAAGTACTTTCTCATTCCGTACATTAACACTGATCTCCACATATCCTATAGCCTAGCGAAAGATGAGCGATAGGATTCTCAACCCTTCAACAAGAAAACCCATATAACCTTTACCGGCGCCGTTCATCTTTGGCCTACATTCCACTCTCTCTTACTGGCCAGCATATGAGTGGCGAGTCTTGATCTATCCCATCGGAATACACAAGCGGTGCCGGTGTAGGGCTCGTCCAGATTAGGAATAGCGCACATACAACTTCCCCTCCATCTTTTGCTGAGCCGCCAAGTCCTTATCATTCACGATTCTTCAATCTCAACCCTGCATCATCTTCTCTCTTCCGAAAAAGAAAAAGAGAAAAAAATAGAGAGAAAAAAAATTATAGAAGAAAAGAAAAGAAACCAAAGAAACCACAGAAACCATGGCCCCAGCAATCCCAATAACAATCCTAACCGGCTTCCTGGGCTCGGGCAAAACCACCCTGCTACTAAACCTCCTCCCGCAACTCCCCAAGAGCTACAAACTAGCGCTGTTGAAAAACGAATTCGGCGACGTCGCAATCGACTCCCAACTCGCCTCCACCTCCGCAATATCGGGCGTCCGCGAGCTCCTCAACGGCTGCATCTGCTGCAACCTCGTCGGCCAGCTCAGCGACGCCCTCGAACAGCTGCGCTCCGAGGTAGCGCCGGACCGAATCATCATCGAGACCAGCGGGAGCGCGTTTCCTGCCACGCTCGCGATGGAGGTGAACCGGCTTGCGCGCGAGAGCACGGATCCGGCGACGGGGACGGGCGCGTACGTGCTTGACGGCGTTGTCTCGGTGATTGATGTGGAGAATTGGGAAGGGTATGAGGATACGAGTTATACGGCGAAGCTGCAGGCGAAGTATACGGATTTGATTGTGTTTAATAAGTGGGAGGCGGTGTCGGAGAGGCGGTTTGATGATGTTTTGGATCGGGTGGGGGATTTGGAGGTTGAGACGCCTTGGGTTAAGAGTGACAAGGGGAAGGTTGATAAGGATGTGCTGCTGGGAATTGATGGGGCGCTTTTTGCAAAGGGGGGTGAGGAGGATTTGGATAGTGGGAAGGTAGACGGGCATGACCATGGGCATGGGCATGAACATGGGCATGAACATGGGCATCAGTCTGAGGTGGAGGTTCTTTCTGTTACGCTGCGACAGACAGGGGAAGCGGGAGAGGGTAAAGGGACGATTGATGTCGCTGCGCTGGAAAAGCTTCTCTCTTCAGCTCCAAAGGAGGAGGTTTACAGGATAAAGGGGATTTTGAAGTGTTCGACACAAACCCCTCCGGCGAGCTCGTCGGACGACTTGGGCGTGAGACCATCGGCAACCTCCACAGCGGGCGAGTCGGTTTACTATATCCTCAACTGGGCGTTTGTGCGCTGGACGTGCACCGCCTCGGAAGTTGTTGCCGAGGCTGCAGACACCACGGCGATCGCCCGCATCACACTGATTCTTGCGCGGTATGAGTCTGCGAAGTGGAAGAAGAAGCTGGAGGCTGGGGGGTTGGTGCAGGGTGGCGAAGGCTCTGGGGCGGAGCTGAGTGTTGAGCGGCTTGTATAGCTTCAACATTCCTGGTTGTGTTGTGTTGTGTTTGTCGGAGCTGGCTCGGCATGGATAGAATTACGCTGTTTGTTAGACGGGGTTGGAACCCATTTAGACGGAGAGATACCACTTAAAAGATTACGCATATACACGAATAGACAGGTGATGTATGTAAACTTTTCAACAGTACCATTGATTAAACATCCAGGTCTACTCTGTTATATAATATAATATAGAGCCTCCCGGTGTATTGGCACCAAACAACAATATAAACAAGTCCGGTAAAGACAGAAAGGCGCAAATGGACATGGTAAAGCAAAATCAAAAACAAAAACAGATATCAGACTAGTATTCAAGAAGAGCAGAGGCGCCCGCTTCGCTGGAGATGTAAATTACCTCGTGGTTGTCGGAGAAGCCGTTGAAGCGGGTCGCACTGCACTTGGTATAGGCGCCCATCTCCTCAAAGTAAAGCCAGTCGCCAACGTCCAACAGGCCGGGAAGCAGGCTTCGCTGGCTTATGACGTCAATGCCATCGCAAGTGGGACCCCAGATAGAGTAGGCTACATCCTCCAGGCCTCCCTGAGATGCGCATGTAAGGATGCGAGGCTCGGGGTGCTGGTGGTCAAAAATGATGTTGGAGAAATTGCCGTACACACCATCATTGAGGTAGATCATATAGGCGTCCTTGCTTGCCTCCTCGGGGTCCCGTACATCGCGGCGTGCAATGACATTGGCGGCCAAAGTGAACGCGGTGCCAACGTAGTATCGACCGGGCTCGGCGATGATGCGGACGTGCGGTGGGAAGTAAGCCTCCAGTGCCTCGCCTAGGACGCCGGCAAATTTCTCAAAGGTCTCACCGGTGAAACCGCCACCAACATCGAGAGTGTGCAGCTCATGGCCGATTTCAGCAGCTTGGTCAAAGACCAGGCGGGCATCCTGAACGGCCTTGAGGAAAGCTTTGGGGTCTTCCGCGCCAGAGCCCACGTGGAAGCTGACACCAACGACCTTGAGCTCAAGCTCGTGTGCCAGCTCGAGGAGTTGACGGGCTACATCCAACGAGGCACCAAACTTCATGCTAAGACGGCACAGACTGGTCGAGTCATCGGTAAGAATGCGGAGATAGAGTTCGGCATCGGGAAAGCAAGCCTTGATCTTATACAGCTCGTCCGCATTGTCAAAGGTCATCTGTTTCACGCCCACGTTGGCGGCGTGGCGCAGGTAGGACTTGGTCTTGCAGGGCTGCGCGTAGATGATGCGACTGGGGTCAACGCCGGTCTGAAGAGCCATGTCAATCTCCGCCTTGGAAGCGCAGTCGAAGCCGTTTCCAAGCTTGGCCATGAGGCGGAGAACCTCCGGGTCGGGGTTGCACTTGACCGCTGTTTCTCGTTAGCAACCAACCGATAATGTCATGAGTAGAAGAACATACCAAAAAAGGGACGCACACGGCCTAGGTTCATTTTCCAGCGCAGATGCTGGCGGTAAACCTCACCCATGTCTGCCACATAGAAGGCATCTTCTTCTCCAGGAGCACATCGGTCGGTGTCGACTTCAGCGGCTCGTTTCTTCAGGACATCCAAAACAAGATCCTTGGCAGCCAACCGAGATTGCGAAAGTTCGCCCTCTCCATGATTGCTGAGTTCAAGACCTTTATTGACATAAAAGTCCGGTTTGTCATAAAGGTTCGTCATGCATACTTCAGCAGGTACGCAAGCAGTCGGTGCCATAACCCTGTGTTGCAACGGAGCACGGGATATGACTTGACAAAAAAAAGATGAAAAGTTGGTAGATTTAGATACGCGACTGCGTGCTAGGGAGGGCGAAAAGTTTCGCAACCGTAGTTGACTGGACCAAGCCTCCTAGACCCTTCCTCCTTAAGAGGAAGAACCGTCAGAGAAGTCCTATGCGGCAGCTCAATGGGTGAGGGGAAAATCTCAGTGGGCGTCAGGGTGTGGGAAAATGGCGCGCCGATCGGAGTGAATACTCGGGGGAGCAGTAGCAGGAGGGGGGATGTTGTTAAGAGTGTCTCGAAGACGTCGAGGGGATACAATGTGACGGGGGAGCAGGAAACCGGCTGTGTGAGCCGTGGTGACTGGGGCCTTTGGAACCAGAGAATCCCAAAGGCGAGTTGGAGGAGGGGTAGGTAGATGACGAAGAGCTCAAAAAAGGGGAATTGGTGGACTCCCGCGATATTTATTTCGTCGAGTTCTGATTGAAAGAACCGGCGGTCAGCTTGTGAAATGAAGGGGGAGTATGAGAGATTTATTTGTCCTGGGGCGAGAGGCTCGGGGGAGCGACCTCCACCAGTGGGTGCAGATTTTTAACGACGGCGGCCTGGCCCTGGCGAGACTTAGGGCAGAGGGCACGGGCCGTCAGGCAGAAACGGGGGGGGAAAGGTCCAGAACGGGGTTTTGGGGTGGGCAGGCAGGGATATGACAGAGTTTCGGTGGAGGGAGCAAACATACCTTTCTGTTGGTGGAAGAGAGAAAGGAAAGGAAGAAGGACGAGGAAGCTGGATGTCTGGATAATTGGAGGCCTGGAGTTCTGGAGGGTTTGCCGCAGCCCGTGTGGTTCCTGTGTGACGGGACCGTACCTCCCGTTGCCACGTTGAATCGCCGAGATACCGTATCTTACCGCCCCAGTACTAGCCGCAATGTCAGGTTCGCGTATGTCAGAGTTCGGTTCCGTTCTGTACTCGAAGTCGCCACCAGTCATGAACCGTCGTATTCGTCCTCTCAAGGCACTGTCCGGGTATTATTCTGGGTGGTAACGGATCGTCAGAGCATCCTCCTGCATTAGCGTTGTCGATGCTTTGTCCTCCAGCTGCGAGCTGTGAGCCTGTGACTGCAGTGACTCAGTGCAGGGGCAGGACCAGACGTCATCGGCCAGCCACATAGCGGTCTGCAGCCCAACGAGACCAGCTCTCTTGGACGCCCGTTCCGAGATAAGCCACCAGCTTGTTATGCACGAGGTGCTATTATTACTAATTGGTGCATTCTAATGCATCAGTGGATTTTCATGGCTGCACGAAGTATGCCCCTCGAGTGCATGTAAGGCGCATACATATACTGATATACTATCTGAGAATGTCTTCTTGTACTGCAATATCACGTTCTCGGTCAAGGGCTCTTGTGACCCCGATGCAGCGGCGACGGGAGTCCCAATCATGGCTATAACTCGGATATATAAACTTCTTATCAACTGCATTCATCTCTGCTGCTTTCCATTGCGGGCTTTCTTGTTTAGCACTTTACGTACACATTCTGACTAAAAATACTCAACTGAGAGCCAATAGTATTCAAACCGTCCTGCTATCTAATAAAGTAAAGGGCTTCGACCTCAGACTTTTCCCTTTAATGGACTTGCTGGGTTTTTGTAGTCCACTGCCTAATGTAGTGGATCGCATGTTCATCCCGGGCTCTATCTTTGGACCCACGAGGCCTCTAGGCTCTACTGCCGCTGGGAAGTGCTCAAAAGAAAGCAACTACGTGCATGGACTAAACCTCCTACTAGAGCCAGTTGCCGGACGTCAATGCGAAGCTTAAATGGAAACCAATTGCCCTTCCTGAAGAGATAATTAACCCATTAATTGATCGCGTGAGGCACTGGAAGCTCAGGTACATCATTATAACACAAGGATGCCCAGCCGGCCCGTTCCCCCTTCAAGCCTGCGCCGCGCACCGCAGAGCAGTTTCCACTCCCTGATTGAACAACGATGAGGGTAACACGCACGAGCACCAGGGTCGGTCCTTGGCCTCATTTCCTCCGCCAGTCAGCCCTATCTCCTGCTATTAATTCCCCACAGAACTCCCAGTCCGTGGAACTTCGAACCCTGAGAAAGGAAATTATCGACGATATGCAGCGCCGTTTCAAAAGCAGTCTGGGATTGCCAATGGCCGCTATAATGCACCATGCCCCCCATCCAGCCCGGTCTCTTTCGTGCTACTCTTCCCTCAACCATCTGCATCATTCTGGGTCGTGTTGCGAGACGTGTTTGGTACCTCGAGGATGAACAGCTTTGACTACGGCCCGCCGAATGGCTTTACGCTGCGGCGAAACTCCACTTGTTCTGCAAACGAGCATAACTGCACCTACAATCCCTGGGGAGGCAATGAGTGGCATAATTGCTGTCCGCAGGACTCTTACTGCGTCGACGGCGACAACTATATTTGTTGTCCGACTGAATCAGGGTGCAGAATTAATCTCACGCAAGATCCGCACTGCGCAAATAATGAGACATGGGACCTGTGGATCAACTACTTAAACGATGGCAAAGATGAACATTACTTCTGCTGTCCGCCTGGCCAAGTTGGTTTCTTACAGACCTTGGGCGAAGATAATAGTGGTGTCGGGTGTGCGGATCCCCCCCTGACTGGGAGCGATCAAAAATCACTGTCTCTTGTGGCGAGTGGTAAGTGTTTGACTGGGAACGCTGGACGGGGTTCCCGTCTGTGTATACATACAGGTCAAGAGTTAGAGAGCTAATAGGAAGGCCCGTTGACCACCAGGTACCCCGAGCGCATCGCGAACACCCTCCACGACATCCACACCCACAGGAACACCCACAGAAACACCAGCCGAGACAACAGTCGAGACAGACGTGGATACAGCACCCTCATCAGGATCTAGCAACAAAGGGGCCATTGCTGGCGGCGTTGTCGGTGGGTGTGCTGGACTCGCTCTTATAATTGCGCTGGTTTGGTTCCTACTATATCGTCGGCGGAAACAGGCCGGGCCTACAGTAAGCCCTGGTGCTAGCACGCCAGCTGAGAAATTCAATAGTGACCCCAAGGAGCTACCTGATAGTCCTGCTAGGGCTGAGCTGCCTAGCCCTGGTGCAATGGCCCATGAGCTGCCCGCAAATGAACGCTAATATTACCATCTATAACCGCTGTCACAGAGGTGCGGGGATAAAGCCTGTCTGGGATAGTTTTATGTGATATGTTGACATTTCTTTTATACCCCTTCTGTACAATTTAGTAGTTCACTTAAATTATAATATATTGTTACTTCTATTATAGAAGCAGAGGACTCTTAGCAGTAGCTTGTGGTAAGTTTTCCCTGTCACAAACAACAAGTAGCCCTAATAAGTGTACATGTCAACTCGTAAGCATATACAAGAGCGGCGCCTTTATCAATGACAAAGCCTTCTGGTACTAAATAGTATTGTTCGTTGCGGGTGTTCTTACAACCATATGCATTCACCTACTATGTTGGCCCAAAGGAATGCCGGTGTTTCACCCAAGAAAACAAAGAGCAGGTAGCTGAAACTCACAAAAGCTATTGACTCGCACATCGTTACACCTACAAAGCATATAAAGCATGAAAGCGTTCTCATAGTGAAGATATAAACCGCAGGCATGTCTTCCCCTGGCCACCGTCCACCCTTATCGAGAATACAGCGGCACAGAGGTCACATCTCTATATCCACCGGATCTCAGTGCCAATTCTTGTTGCTCAAAGGACGGCTCAGGATGTCTTCTATAAACAAAGCTTCCCCAAGCCAGCAGTCTCCCTCGCAGCCCCAAGACCCCATCGCACTGTTCCACAGCGCCGCCAGAAAACTGCCATTAGTTGTCAAGAGCGGCTTGAACCGCGATGTCCAGGGTAAGGGTACTAACGTCGACAGAGCCAGCCAGCCAAGCGACCTTAGACGATCCAACGCGATAGGTCGCGGAAACTCACTAGAAAAGGCACACCACCTCGACGTCGCCGTAGGGTCAGTGTCAAGATCCTCCTCTTCAGCAAGCACCGCCTGCAACAGCAAGCTGAGAAGCCGCGCCAGCGACAAGGACCTCCCGCATGTTCTGCGCTGCCTGGTGGACAAGGGATACACCCGAACCATGATCGGGAGGTACCTTGTTGAGCTGCTCCTCGGGGCCGACTCGTTCTACTCCGGTCTTATTGCGAGACTGGTTGGGGCGAACAGGACGTACTCCGAGATATGTGTCCAGGTGTTCAGACGACTCGATCTGAACAACAAGGATGGATGGCCCTTGGAGTGCGAGGTCGAGATGGGGAATGGCAATTTGAGGCCTGATCCTTCGAGACCGGCTAAGTGCTTGTATTCGGATGATTCTGAGCCGGCGATGGGTTCTCCGGGTCAAAATTCTACGCGGGACAATCTGTCGATGTTGAGTGATGTGAGTGACGATGACTTTGAGTATGTGGATGTGGAGATGGGGGTGGCACGCACGGTGGATATTTCGCGGCATACGGTGCATCTCGTTGATTCCCTTCGGCGGTGACGACTGATTGTTGATATAGATATTTTTTGACCCTTTCCCAGGTACACTAAGAATGAAATCAATAATTGGAAAGTTCATTAATTATAACTCCATACTATGTGCAAAGTGGTATCTAAAATACATAGGCAATGCCGATGAGCATCAGTAATACAAATCGCTGAAAAGTAACTTAGACGTAGAAAGGTGTATATGCTTGGTCAATCGACTCCAGGGTGACAACACCGCAATCATAGCCATAATATCCACCTCGCACCTGAAGCCATGCCGTAAAGAAGCTTTCTGAAAAGTTTGAACGCCACGACAATCAACCACACCCACCACAATAATCCAATCAAGGCCCACTCAAGCATCACGAACCCCGTGCGTCGCAGCCAGCGTAGTCGGCGGTGCCGCTTGCGGAGGCCGTGTTCGAGTGTGTCACTCAACTGTTTCACAGCAAGCGTGCTGGTAGTGTTAAGCTGCATACTGAGGTTTTCAGCTTCCTCAGTCGCAGCACGAACACGAGTGTTTAGCGACTTAGTAACCAAGTCCTCAAGGGTGGAAAGTTGAGACTTTAAGGGCGAAAACGCATCCTTTGGTAGGCGCTCGATTGAGCCTTCAAAGGACTTGTGGGACGTTTCAATCCGTTTGAGAAGTCTCTGGCTTGCTAATTGATGCTCATGGGTTCGTGGGACGGAGGGTATTGACATGTTCGAGCCAAACGAGCGTTGAAGAAATTCAGGTGGAGGCCTGCGCGCATTCTCGGCCCGGCGAACAATCTCTCGAGCTTTTATACCCGATGAAAGGAGAAGAGCGCGAGTGCGTTCAACTTCCTGTTTGTCGGGTACACCGGATTCGATCGAGACCGAGACACTGCGGTCAGATATGCTCCAACTCCTTGACTGACCAGGAAGTGTCGGACGTAATTCATGCGGAGACGGGTTTGGGGTCGGCTGGGCTTGTGCTAGACCGGTTATGGGAGGACGAGCAAGGCTGTATGGGACAGAGTTGTCCTTGATTCGACCCTTTTTGATCTCTTCACGTATGGTGTGGATTTCCGGTCCAAATTGCATGAAGCGATGACCGCGTCTCACAGAATTGCCTGAATGTTTGCCCATTGGATTGCCTGCATCTCGTTGAAGGTCCAAAAGTCGACCCTGGGAGCTGGGGAGACTAGTTGGGCCAACCTCATCTTCTTCATAACGTTGGCGGGGCTCGATAATTGTCGGCGGGGTTTGCGAATAATTCTTTGCTAGAGATTTATCCGAGTTTCTTGGTGCTGATCGACCAGGATCGTCAGAAAACGCGGGCAGGCGGCGTAGTATAGCTCTAGGAATTCCGAGTTTCTCTCCCTTCGCTTCTTCTTCTTCATCATCAGACTCGCTGTCATCGGACATCACAAAGGAAGACTGGCGTGAATGCCCTACGCCATCCTTTTTAAGGATAAAGTCTCCCATTTTCGATACCTCATTGCCGACTTTGCCCGCAATCTTCCCGGGCCCTTTGAATATCCCACGCAACTTGGATTCATGTGGAGCTGAATCTTTCCGTTCATGATGGTTGGGCCTCCGGCCATCTACATGGTATGTCGAGGCTTTGGTGGGAAGAGGCGGGGGTTCGGTATCAATATGAGCAGAAGATTCCGTAAATGGCATGCTGTCCTGGCGTACGCCTTCAAAATCCACTGAGCTGTCGTCATCAGCACCTTTCCTGTTAGGACTATTTCGGTTATGGCCTCTTCGAGACCCAACTGCCCGCGAGAAGCCTCGTTTCGCGGGCGATGGGGATCGACTTGATGGAGGAGATAGATTAGATGCAATGCCAGGGAAATACCCAACATCCATGTCTGCGTTAGGCCTATGGCCTTCTATTTTCGCCAATGATAGAGGATCATAGCGGTCGTCTGCGCTTGGACCGGACGACAACGAGGCCCTATTCTCATTCCAACTCTGTCCGTGCCGTCTCAGAGGCGAGATAGATCTCCCAGGAGATACTGCATCGTTCAAAAATGAATTACGATGTGGCTTCACGTCTACGCTAGAGCCTGAGGAGCTCCGCGGCCGAATTCTGAGCTTGCGCTTTTTGGAGCCCATGTCCTCCCCAGATGGACTGCTGCTTCGACCTATGCGCCGCGAAACCTTGAACCTGCTTGATTGTCTTCCACGACCAGCATCTTTCATGTCAACCGATAACCGTTGGCGTGCATCAGAGTGAGAGGTATGAGACGAGGGTCGGCCAGTACTAGCAGAGATTTTGTCCTGTACCTGCTCTTGGTTGGGGTCATTGACAACCAAAGAAGATGGATCCTGATAAAGTGTGTTTCCATCCTTATCCGTCAATTTGCTCTTGTTTTGCACATCTTCGACCCAGGCTGCATCGGCAAGAAGCTCGTCGGGAAATATTATCCAGTCAGACTTGGGCCTGCGGGTCTTAAGGCTGCCTGTACGGCTTATGCGTCGGAGGCTCGAGGGTGGTGAGCCGGCAAAAGCATCAACATCGTCTGCCTCTTGATTCGAGGGCACGTCGACATGCCCCCCTTGGAAAGGTGGAAGTTTGAGGCACTCAAGGTGAGTCCGCGTCTGGTGACTGTACTGGCCCTCAACTGAATTCACCCAACTGTGAATTTTATCGACATCGTTCCATCCGTCTGCCTCAGGATCAATGGGACAACGTTCACGGAACCTGACCTTGCGATTGCGGATTGCCTGAAGTGGATTGTAGACACGATGCGATGGATATTGCGCACTTTGTGAGGAGTCGGCTGTAGACTGACCCTCGTGTAGGCTGAGGGGTGGGAGAGAAGGAAGTAGACGTAAATACTCATGGCGCAGCTCAAAATACCGCCGGGCATTTGCAGCTCGCGCCAATGTCCCCGCCGAGAACTCTTGCGGTGTGGAATCGGATGTTACGGACCTGGGAAGTGAATTCAACACATCGTTAGTTGCCATGTGTGCGCGAGATCGGGTCAGTTTCAATCGATCATCGCCTAAAGGGTTGCTTGCGCCATGGCCGGCATATGAGCCGTGGCTAGGAATACTCCCTGCGGCAGAAGAACGACCGTCGCCTGATGACCCCCATGTGCCCCCGGGTACCTGGCTGGAAGCGTGATAACTAACATTCCCCTTCCTCCTCGACTCACTTAAGTTTAAAGCGAGGTTGACAATTTGTAAAGAGTCCTTATCCAAGCCTAAAGCAGCTTGGTCGTCATGACTCTCCACGTTGCCAGTCGTATGATCGGTAACACTCCGGCTCTGAGATTCTGGAACCGTATTATCCTCAGCAATATGACAAGAGCCAGTGTCTTCCTTATCGTCTATCGCATTTGGACCGACATCATCCGACCCTTTCGTAGACTCTCGATGGCGACTCCAACGGAACCGAGATCGTTTCTTGGAAGCAGATTCAGATTCAACTGTTCCGCGCTTGCCTCGGCGATCGTCTTCTGAGCGATTATGATGCTGGCCGCTGGTTCGGAGGCTCTTCGATCGTGGTATGAAGGAATCGACAAGGAATCCGCCGGAGCTGGCCGTTCGCCGCGGGTTTCTGGTGCCTCGCTCTTCGTCGCGAGAGCTACCCCCCACCGACTCCCTAGTACCTTGCTCCGGAGTCATCTGCACAGCTACGTGTCACTTGTACTTCGTCAATAGTCGATGTCATTTCCGGTTTTCACGGCTCTCCTATGTTCTCCACTCGCATCATTTGGGGAGGAATGACGAAGGACTGGTCACGGTATCATTCGTGGTTCTGCGACCAGATACCAAAGTGATTGTGGCAGCGAGAAAGTGGCGCGTTACAGCAAAGAAGAGAATGCATACAGGGAACTGGTCGTGAATATAAGGTAAAATATTCCCATTATCGGGAAAAGCGCAAGGCCGCAAGAACAACAGCATGATCGTCATTGGGCCTCGCCTCCTGTCCGGACCTTTCCCCGTGACGGGCGGCTGCAAACACAACAAACATTAGACAACATACAAATGATACAATTACTATTGAAGTATGGGAACAAAAGAAATTCTACTAGCGTTTGAGTCTAGAGAGGTGAAAAAAAAAAAAAAAGAACTAGAGATACATGTCCTGTGCACAGGAAGAGTTACAATCAAGTAAAGAAGCAGCGGATGATATCTATCTACTCCACCCTTAGACACTGAAGGCGCGCCTCAGTTTCAATCACCTAGTTAAAGCTTTTGTTAGCCTGGCTGCTCTATAACATAGGAACGAACAACTTACTTCTAGAGCCTGGTTCACCTCTAAAACCCGGCGCACATCCGCGAGCCAATCCTTGCTCAGGATCTTGGCCCACCCCTTCAGGGCGTTCATCTCACGCGCGGCATCATCTAGGTTGCCTTCTTCCAAGAGGTTCTCCGTGCGTAGGAGAACACTTTCAACGTCGTCACTTCCAGCGGCGGCATCCTTCTTGAACATCACCTTGCTCAGGACAATGCTCGCTGCGTGGCTTGCAATTCCAGCGTCCTCAGGAAGCAGGCTGGCCTTACGGACTTCGTCGGCGACCCGACGGAAGCGTTCAATGATTTGGGATGTTGAGGGGATACCACGCTGGTAAGCTGTGGGGTTGATGGATGCAATAGCCGCTTCGACAACTGGGTCTTCTCCCGCGAGCTCCTTAACAGCAACCAATTCGCGCACAAACGGTCGAGGAACAGTTGAGCGCTCAAGAGCAGATCTGACAGCGTCCACAGCGACTTGAAGTTGTTGGGTCTTGAGATTGGTATCAATCACCTCCCTCCATCCCGTGGTGAGTTTCTCGAGTTCAGCAACACTGGTAGTGAGCTCAGATAGCTTGCCAAGGCGACCCTCTCGCTCCCGTTCGACTAGATCCTTCACCTCATGCAGATACTTGCGGTTAAGTTCAATTGCCTGCTCCACAAGTTCATTCTGAAGGCGCTGTTCTGCGATCTCCTGAGCTCTCTGCAATTCGGTTTGGACTTTTTGCTGGTATGCGAGCGCAAGCTTCTCGCGTTCGGCTTCGAACTCTTCGCGGTACTGAGCAGCGTCGTTCGTACGGACGTCGTCGAAGCGGCGGATGAGTTCGCGAGCAGATTCATCGAAAGTAGCGTGGACCTTCTCAATTTCCTCTTGGGCAGCGCGGCGTGCCTCATCCCGGACTCCTAGAATCTGTTCACCAATCTTTTGGAGCTCTTCCTTGGCCTTGGCTACAGGCCTGGAATATTTAGCCGAGTCCGCGTCAGCGCTAATCACGGTGATGATGTCGTTGAACGTCTTGACAAGCTCTTGAACAATCGGCTCATCTCCCTCGCTGACTTTAGCAAACTCGAGCGTTGTGATTGGGGATGAGGAGGACTGCTTGGGTTCCTGCTTTGGCTTTTCGGGTTCACTCGGAGCTTGCTTCTTAACTTCCTTGACCTTGGCCGACTTGTCTTCAGGCTTCGCTGCGGCGGGCTTGATTGCTGCCTCATCAGCTTTTTCTTTGTTGACAGCACTCATGTGAGGACCTGGCTGAGATACATCGGTTCCCGATTGCTCGACTTCTTTAGAATAGAACCCACTCTTGCTTGGGATAGTGACCCTGCTGCCTTCATCCCGAGGGTTGGGCAGGCGGTTCTGATTTCTCAGGGTATTCGGGAAACGACGGTAGAAATCACGTTCCTCAAAGTAGAGTACGGACTCTTCGCCATAGGGGACGTATTCCGTGAAGAAGTCGTGGAAGTTGTCGGATTTTAGTGCTAGAAAGACACCTCCGCCATAGGCCAAACCGGACGTAAGGATAAGGTAGATTAGGAATCGTCGGAAGCGACCAGTCTTGCGAACCGGAGCAGGGGTTTGGTTTTTAGGAGCATCTGCATCTGCGTGAGTTCCCAGCATCCAGAATAATTGTTACCTCAACCATTTGCGGCGAGCCATTGATGCGTACCTGAGTTCTGTTTCGCGCCGGTTTCGGGGGGAACTGCAGTGTCGGAAGAAGGGGTAACAGGCGTGGGAGGCTTCGAATCAGCAAAAAATCGCTGTGCAGTCTTAAATCAGCTTGGTACAAGGTTGAGGAACAGTCGAAGTGTTTTCATCACCATACCTGACCTGCTAGCCGGCTACTTGCTCCGGCTCTGGACAGCCATTGGGGGGTTGGCCGTTGACGAACCGAAGACGACAGTATCTGCCGACTCTGTATAACAGAAGAACGCAGCATGATGAGCCGCACAACTGTTGGCTAAGGAATGGGGGCGACTCCGTTGAACGGGATGATGATGGGAGGGAGAAAACAGCGGATCGGAACTCTTGGTGCTTTTACCTTTTGCGGTCCGCTCCGATCCTGCACAGCCATACCTAGTGGCTAAGCTCCGGCATCGTCGTACCGCCTTCACAATACTACATACTTTCCTGCTACTCATGATCTTAGCTGGACAAAATATTGAGTAACTAATACTGTATTTCGGTTTCTTTGGAATGGAAATTTTGGCCTTATTTTTATTTTTTTATTTTTTTTTTTAATTCGGTGGAGTTATTCACCATTGTTGTAAATCGAACGGAGGGCGGGTAATCCATTACCGTGTCGTAGTTAAAGCCGGAATGCTACGACAATGATGTCAGCACCAAGTTCCAGCATTTGGCACAATATATTATATGGTCATAGCATACTAGATAATGCAGAAGAAATCCGATCAAAACATAAAATGTAACATAAATTGAACCCAATCGAAGAAGAATACGGACGCCAGGAACATATGGAGAAACAGAAAGAGGTACAGTGAAACAACACCCAACCTGCCTGAATGACTGGGAGATTGCCAAAGCCACCAACCCCTTCCATGACCAGACTCGTACGCAACAATGATTATCTGATACCCTGCTCCAGTCAACAAAGAAGGTGACGAGATAACGGATAACGGGGATCAGGGTATTGGAAAGGCGCGGCACGACAGGACTGGCCAACCAGAGCAAAATTAACCCAGACGCAGGTGTATTAAAAAGTGTAGAATTGTTTTCGATTGGCACAGTTGATTGCGCGCGCTTGACGGCAACCAGACAGTCAAGTTCAGATACGTGCACCTTCCGTGTCTAGAGAAGGAAAGGATAAACAGCAAACCCCAGCAATAACAGATACAAGAAAGCAAAGGCAACAAAAAGCCTCTAACAATTGCAAGCACCACCACTTTGGGTTCCCGGCGCTTCCGGCCGGAGGTCTACGCCAGGGCGGGGCGCTGTTCGCATGTTCCGAGGTCCGGCTTGATCGAGTGGGAGCTTCTTTGCGATCGCTGTGAAGAGGTCGCGCACGTTCTCCGACGTTTTGGCGGAGGTCTCAAAGAATAGCAAGCCGGCTTCACGCGCATATGCCTCAGCATCGGCCGTGGGGATTGCCCGCTTGTCCGGATTCTCGGTGACGAGATCGAGCTTGTTCCCTGCGAGAGCGATAACGATGTTTTCATTTGCTTGGCGTTGTAGTTCTTTGACCCATGATTTGGCTTTATCTAGAGATGACTGTTCCAGATTCCCGGTTATTAGCAAGGCGCATAGGCAAAGGGAGAGCATCCGAGAACATACGGCCTGGGTGATATCATAGACAACGACGGCACAGTTTGCATTGCGATAATACATAGGAGCCAGGGACTTATATCTCTCCTGACCAGCCGTATCCCAAATCTCGAACTTCACGGTTGTGCTTTCGTCCAGCGAGATGGTCTGTGTAAGGAAGGCAGCGCCGATCGTCGATTCTCGATAGTCGTCGAATTGGTCCTACAACATGTAAGCGGTGCCACGCAGGAAATATCTTCAAAGTCATGCCTTAACAAATCTCAACACCAACGAACTCTGGAGCGTAATAAGTCAGCGACCGACAAAATAATGAAACTTAAAATGGCGAAAGTTGGATTCACCTTTCCGACGGCAGATTCTCCTGAAGTCGGTACCACGTTAGCGTTTCTGTGATATAATATGCCAAACGAAGAGCAGTAGATAATGGAAGCTAACCAAGCAAGACGAGCTTGAACTGAGCGAACCTAGCACCTGGGCGGGCGCCTGCTGGGGCTCTGGAAGCCATGATAGAAACGGTCGGTCAGGTAGCTTTTCTGATAGAGCCTCGGGTATTTAAAGCAAGGAATCAAAGAGGTCGAAACAGCCGAACAGTGCGCTCGACAAAGTGGAGTAGGAAAAGTAGGGTGGATGGATCGAAATGTAGGGAGACGATGGCGGGCAGTCTATGAAGAAAGTTGAAGATGGTAGGCAACGGCAGCGTTGTTGAGGTTCGCTGATGACGAAGGGGAGATCAGCCACAGTTGCCAGCCTGCCATTGCTAGTGACCGAGACTGCGACTGTGACTGGCGGGCCACTGGTCAGCAGCGGGGCGGTGTCGGGCGGCTTGCTCTGTCGGTGTTCCTGCCTGGGTGCCTTGGTTGATTGTCACGTGCGCTCCATGGGCGAACTCTTCCATCTTCTCGTGCGATGATTAACCTTTATTTAGAAACAGGGTATACAGAACCTGGAAATAGTACGAAGAAAAATAATCTAGAATGGGCTATATAAGGTCTTTCCGGTGGTTCTCACCATGATTTCAACTACGCTTTCCTGGCTTTATCGGGGATACATAGCCTTATAGGTTACTTTTTCTACAATGTGAAGAAAATTCGGCAAGTTGCTAGGATCTTGGAGGCAGGAATAGCGGGGGATGAATACAGGTAAAATCAATGCCACTGAAGCTCCCTTTGGTGGAGCTAAAGAATAGGGCGTTGGGAAGGAGGGGAGCAAGTATGGTTTGGCTGAACCCTGGACGTTTCTTAAGTAGCGATATTTGCATTTATGAGGCAATCCACTAGTTATTTGTTCTGGGCTCCTTGTCATATGGCAGTACTATCAACCTGTTTAGCATGCTAATCAGCCGGACACAGTGAAGCCCAGGCAATCGTCCAAGCTCTAGTCCAAATGAACGGAAGACACATGTGGGGAAGATGTTAAGGTATGTAATCTTAGGGCGGCACTGCTCACCTACCACAAATGGAAAGCGCCCTTGGTTGTCGGGACCGGGTCTGTTCCTGCCTGTGCTTGTCGATTGCCTAGGCTTTGCTACTGGCTGTGGGCGAGGTGTTCACTGCTCGCCATCGTTGCACATGCTTCCTGCATCATAATTCCATTTCTCGGAAGTAGCTGCTCTCCTTTTCTCGTTCATTCTTCTCTGGAACCTACCCGTCCTCTCCTTCTTGACAGCATGTGCTGAATTTCCCCACCATCTCCCTACCACGTCTTCCACGCTCGTTCGCTCTTCTTAGATTACTCCCTCGCCAGCCCCGTCACCTAGCCACCACTGGTGGGCATCGCCGCAATGGTACACTCAGTCCTCCCCTTTCGAGACATCAACCTTCATGCGTCTCCTGCGCATTATGCTTTTACATCGCCCTCGTCCCCCGATGCTCCAACACTCGTTGTTGAGCGTCCAACGGGCGACTTGCGCCTGAACAGCGGCACATTGTCTGGTGCTAAGCGCATCTCCAGCATCGCTGGTATCCTTGGTATCATTAAGCTAAAGCTTGGTATGTCAATCCTCTCAAAGCACTTTTTTTTTTTAATTGTAATCAATACTCATTCATTTATTCCTCAATAGACAAGTACATTATTGTCATCACCAAAGCTCAGCCTATGGGACGGTTGCGCGGCCACATGGTCTACAAAGTCGCAGGTACTGAATTTCTTCCTCTCCGCGAGCGCCCACTGCACGACCATGACGAAGACACGTACTTGGCAATGTTGAAGGAGTTGCTTCGAACCGGGCCTATGTATTTCTCCTACGCCTTGGACCTGACCAACAGCTTCCAGCGTCAGTCGCAGAGCGACGCCAGCCTTCCGATGTGGAAGCGAGCCGACGATCGCTTTTTCTGGAACCGGTTTATTCAATCAGACCTGATTGATTTCAGTCTTGGGGAACATAATACAACAAGTGTCCGTTATGGCCCGCAACCCGGTGCTGATCCTTACATCCTCCCGGTCATATTCGGGATGCTGCGTATCACGCCCGCTAGGGTCAAGTCTACCACCTTCACTTTTGCACTTATCACCCGCAGGTCGAGACATAGAGCTGGCACACGATACTTCTCGCGCGGAATCGACGAGCAAGGACACGTTTCGAACTATAACGAGACCGAACAGATTGTAATCCTGAATGATGCTACTGGTGGTCTGTCTGGGTTTGCTGGAGGGCAGGCTATGACCAAAGAAAAGTCTGCCGATTTGGGCCAAGATCCTCAAGTCCTGTCATTCGTGCAGACGCGAGGTAGCGTCCCTGTGTTTTGGGCCGAAGTCAACAACCTGAAATATACACCCAAACTTCAAGTGCGCGGAGTGGAAACTGCGGTCAAGTCAGCACGCAGGCATTTTGACGAGCAGATCAGGCTCTATGGCGACAACTACCTTGTCAATTTGGTGAATCAAAAGGGAAGGGAAGAGCGCGTCAAGAGGGCTTACGAACAACTAGTTCGTGTGCTGGTGTCATCATCGAGCGAGGTGACTGAGGCAGATGACGAATCCTCAGAAAAGGTGCATGTTTTGGAACCAGACCATCCGCAGAAGGAGATGGACCGTCTGCATTATGTCTATTTTGACTTCCACAATGAAACAAAAGGCCTTAGATGGCACCGCGCTGAGCTTCTCATGGATCGCCTCATCAGCGGTCTATCTCAGGGCGGCTATTTCCGTGGTGTCGAAAACCCAGGCGCTCCTAGTGGACAGTTGGAAGCAAGAGCGCTCCAAACCAGCGTTGTCCGAACGAATTGTATGGACTGCCTGGATCGTACAAACGTCGTCCAAAGTATGCTTGGGCGCTGGGCGTTAACAAGACAGCTCACAGAAGCAGGAGTCCTACGCGCCGGAGAAGCTGCGAACGATGATCGCGATTTTGAGAACTTGTTCCGTAATATATGGGCAGATAACGCCGATGTTGTCTCCAAGGCGTATTCTGGAACCGGTGCTTTGAAGACTGACTTCACTCGTACTGGCCAAAGAACCAGAGCCGGCATGCTTCAGGATCTAAACAATTCGATTACTCGATATGTGCGGAATAACTTTCTTGACGGTCCGCGTCAGGATGGTTTCGATGTTTTCCTGGGAGCCTATCTCTGCCCTGAATCCACTCTGGGAAATCTTCAGATCTTTGTCGACCGTCGGCCGCTTATAATCCAGTCTATTCCATTCATTTTTGCCGCGGGTCTTTTTATGATCATCGTGGCCGCATTTACACGACGTCTCCCCGACTCCACCGTTTGGCCCCTGCGGCTATTCGTCGTTTTCTGGATGATACTCGCTGGGTGGTGTGCCCGATTCATGATTACCCATGGGATGCTCTATGTAAGTATCCGAACAATAATTCACCCATTTATCCCACAGCGGGCGCTAACATATCGATTTTCAGGTGAATTGGCCCAAATTAAACACACCCCCGGCTGGTGCGGAAGGCTACCAAGATGCACTGATCAAGGCCCGTTCAGATCCTGTTATTGGTCAATTGCTTCCGTCCAGGAAACATCAAAGAGGCTTAAGCAATGCTCGCCTTGGTTTTCTGGAAGAAGGGAAAACGAGGGTTGAGTAAATATGTTTTTGCCGGTCCCCTCGCCGGCAGGTTCTTTTACTTTGACGCCCCCTTGTCTTGTTTACTTTATTCCTTCTCTTGATCTCCTAATGCTGGGCATATCATTTTATTCACGCTCTGTTTTCCCTCTTTTCCACCATAACCCCTCTTGTATTGGTTTTTCACCCATTCGTTCTTTTCCCCACCGGTAACTCGGAGTCATAGTATGGACATCACGTAGAAGTAGACAGAATCATCCCCTTTGTATTATCTCAGCATTCTTAATAGAAAGACATAGAACGCAAGAGTTCCCAGCATGTATTTTACCACCCGACTTCTCTTAAATACTCCAAGCTCAGGCTTATATGCTTCATATCACGTGATGTAACTCACCGAGAACCTGTTCTGCCGGAGTTAATCGAATCAATTGCCCCTCCATAAGGAGGGATTCGTCACGTAAGCGAGAAACCCCCTCTTGTACTGCATCTGATGAGGGGGATTCACATCTCCAGTCCCTTCACGAAGACACAGCTGCGATCTTTGTCGTCGCATTCATTCGCGATGTCTCGCGATTACGGGGTAGGTTTGGAGATCGGTTCCAGCAGGCTTCACGATACAGAGCTGATTATTTTCCACAGGCTGCAATCTCAGCCCTCAATTCATTGCAATCTAATTCCGCAATAGTCAAGGAATTCAACAATCCCGATACCAGACGTGCGCTCAATCTTCGCTCTCTACCGGAGACTGTCGAATGGCTTCGTCGCATTGGGTACAAGGTTTGCGGCTCTCTCACAATGGAATTGTTCGCAATTGATTGCTGACGAGATTACATTGGCGTCATTCAAATAGCCTTCTGACTTGAACCGCTTTAACCCGATTCATGTTGCCGGCACCAAAGGCAAGGGCTCGACTTCGAGTTTTATCTCCTCTATTCTCTATCAATATACGCCATCGCAAACATCCTCTCCCACACTCAGCAAAGTCGGACTTTACACTTCTCCCCATATGCGATTTGCGCGCGAGCGGATTAGAATCAATAACGAACCGCTTTCCGAGGAAAAATTCGCCCATTACTTTTTTGAAGTCTGGGACCGTCTCGATGACGCTGCTCGAGTCGCCGGGGAGGACCCGAGCGACCTACAAACAAAACCTCAATACTTCAGATACCTGACTTTGATGGCATTTCATGCGTATCTCAGTGAAGGCGTGGATGCCGCGGTCATTGAATGTGGAATTGGCGGAGAATATGACTGTACCAATGTCCTTGAGAAGCCGGCCGTCACAGCCATCACAAGCCTAGGAATCGATCACGTTGCTCTATTGGGGAATACGATTGAAGAGATAGCATGGCACAAGGGTGGAATTATAAAATCTGGCACTAAGGCCTTGAGCGCGCCACAACCACCAACCGCCGAAAAGGTTCTGTGCGATCGTGCTGCCGAAAAGAACACCGAGTTGGAAATCGTATCAAATCACCCCGACCTGACTAAAGATGGGAATATTAAGCTCGGTTTGGCGGGCGACTTTCAATATGGCAACGCTACACTGGCTGTCGCGGCTGCTGGTGAGCTCCTTCGAAAGGTCGGAAAACAGGATATCACCTCTAGCTTTATGGAGAAGGCCTTACCCGTGGGGTTTCGCAAGGGGCTAGAACAGGCGCAGTTGGAGGGAAGATGTCAAACCCGGCATGAAAAGCATGTCAGCTGGTATATCGATGGTGGCCACACTCAAGAAAGCATAAAGCTAGCTGGTCAATGGTTTTCTTCACAAATTTTGGCCAACTCTTCATCGGAGGCCTCGGCAGCAAAGAAACTGCGGGTCATGATTTTTAATCAACAGACCCGCGACAGCAACGCATTGGCCCAATTACTCTATGACACCCTCAAGGCTGCCCTCAGCTCTGAATCACCATTCACCCATGTGATCTTCTGCACTAATGTCACTTATAAAGAAGCCGGTTATCGACCGGATCTTGTCAGCATAAACCAGGATGGTGCCGCCGTCGAAGCGCTCCAGGTTCAAAAGGGACTAGCGGAGAAGTGGAATAGCATTGATCCTTCCGCAGAGATCAAGGTCTATAGCACTATTGAAGAGGCGGTCGATTTCACTAGGGAACTTGCGTCGAAGGAGCAAGGTCGCGTCCAGGGCGACGAAACTCCCATCATGACTTTCGTAACTGGAAGTCTTCATCTCGTCGGTGGTTTCCTAGATGTGATCGAAACAAAGCCAAACGCCTGATAATAAACGATTTCCTTATCGATGAGCATCGGTGCTCAACTGTCCCATGAATCATGACTAAGAGTTCAACTTTGCATTCTAGGTACCATTCTATCATTCTGACTGGGGTGTTTTGCTTGGGTCTGATTTAACATCTCGGCGAACAAGCGGCGTTTAGTGGTTTCAACACAACACATTTATATAGTGGCGCCTCTCAAAATGGAGCGCAGTACTTGTACATAAAGAACAGCTGTTCTATAGATATTAGAAAACGGATGAGGCTAACGTCTAACCCGCTATGAGCAAAGACAATCTCGGTCCTAGCTAAATGATGAGAGCAGCAGAACGGATGAAAAATCCGGCTGTTTTATGTTTATAAGAGTGACAGGGAAATACCAAGATTTGACTTTGTGGCTATCATATGAAGAGGGTCTCGTTTGACACCTCCGCAAAAACGAAGGCACGAACGTGGGGCTTGAAAACCTTCGGATTCCCGCTCCCAGCCAAGCTTCCTCCTTCACCCCTCTCACCGCAGCGCAATGTCAGACCCCCAGGATTCCAAGGGCAAGGCCCCTCAGGTTCGTTAACCCAGACCTTAGATTATGCTTCCTGTCCTTACCAATTCCTCCTCTAGAAGCCCAACGATGCGGAGCAAGCCGCGCCAGGTGGAAAGTTAACCCCGCAGGCGGCCGAGGCCCTTTTGGAAAACAATCCCGCACTGAAGAACGAGCTGGGTGTGATGGATAAAGACAAAGCTGTGGAAGCTCTACGCAAGATGGATATTTCTGAACTCTTGACTGGCCTTTCCTTGTCCGGGAAAAACAAGAAGGATATGGCAGCATTCAAGTTCTGGCAGACCCAACCCGTACCCCGTTTCGATGAAGCGGGCAGCGCTACCGGTGGACCGATTAAGATGATTGACCCCGAGAAGGTATCCAAAACGCCGGACCCATTGGTCGAAGGGTTTGAGTGGGCCACGTTGGACCTGACGAAGGAAGACGAGCTTCGCGAGCTCTGGGACCTCCTTACATACCACTACGTGGAAGATGACAATGCCATGTTCCGGTTTAGATACTCCAAATCTTTCCTGCACTGGTAAGTCGAAGTCTCAGTATACTATGCGGAATTCGGTCCATTAGCTGACATATACTCTGAAAAATGCAGGGCCCTGATGTCCCCAGGCTGGCGCAAGGAATGGCATGTCGGTGTTCGTGCTACCAAGTCGCGCAAGCTCGTGGCTTCGATCTGTGGTGTTCCAACTGAGGTTCGCGTGCGCGGGCAGAAGATCAAGGTTACGGAGATCAATTTCCTTTGTATTCACAAGAAGCTGCGCTCCAAGCGACTGGCACCCGTCCTCATCAAGGAGATCACCCGCCGTTGCTACCTGAACGGCATCTACCAAGCTATCTACACTGCCGGTGTTGTCCTACCGACCCCGGTGTCGTCCTGCAGATACTACCATCGCCCTCTGGACTGGCTGAAACTTTACGAAGTCGGCTTTTCTCCTCTCCCAGCGGGCTCTACCAAGGCTCGTCAAATCACCAAGAACCACCTCCCTAGCAGCACGTCGACGCGCAATCTTCGGCCCATGGAGGCGAAGGATATTGATGCTGTTCACGATCTATTGGAACGTTATCTGAAGGAGTTCGATCTCAACCAAGCCTTCAACCGTGAAGAAATTGCCCACTGGCTGGTGTACAAGGAGAACCCTCAAAAGGAGCAAGTTATTTGGTCGTACGTGGTTGAGGATCCGGAGACTCACAGGATCACGGATTTCTTCTCTTTCTACAACCTCGAATCAACTGTAATCCAGCACCCGAAGCACGACTGTGTACGTGCGGCGTACCTCTATTATTATGCGACCGAAGCGGCTTTCTCAAACGACAAAAAGGCCCTTAAGGACCGGCTTCAGATGTTGATGAGCGACGCTCTAGTCCTGGCTAAGAAGGTAAATAATCCTGCTTCCTGTCTATATATCTCACAGTCATAGCCATTCCCTGCTAACGGTCTCAACAGGCTCAATTCGACGTATTCAATGCGCTCACCTCTCACCATAACCCTCTCTTCCTAGAGCAACTCAAGTTTGGTGCTGGTGATGGCCAACTTCACTTCTACCTATACAACTACCGAACCCCAGCAATTGCCGGGGGTGTCAACGAAAAGAACCTGCCAGACGAGAAGCAGATGGGGGGTGTTGGTGTTGTTATGCTGTAAGAGCACCCTTGCTTTATCCTTGCTTCTTGTATCTACTCTTTGTCCAGAAACAAGTGAATTTCCAAGGTGTACGAAAAGACTATGAATCCAAGAATCCCATTCAAATCTATCAAAGTAGATAGGCTAGAAAGCGGTAGTGATCCCAAACTAGGGAGACGAGGGCAAACCGATTGTTCTATCCTCTCATGAAATGCAGATATTGAAAGTAGAGGCCAAGTAAATAATGAAGAGAAAGGGAAACGATTGTGACTAAGATTAACTCATGGACCCTACGGAGATCGTGGCCTGACATTCTATATTTATCCGATTTTCCGATTGCGTAAGTGACGTCTCGCCCACGCCCGCTCTGAAATCCTGGGGACCCCTCAGCATCAACAAAAGTGTAAGAAACCAGGCTCATTCATCTCGTCGACATTATCTACAATTTCTAGCAGCTTCAAACTACCTAGTCTACAACAATAGCACTTCCAACATCTATTAGACCGCATAATCGCTTGAGATCGACTTCGTTGGCGCTAGATGGCCAATTTACCAGTCATTAGGCAAGCCGTCACTATACACGCCTTTCATCCTAAAAGTTGGCCTTGAAAACGCGAGCCGGTTTCGGTTAATGATACTGTCTCGTTGTCTTCGTATCTAGACTGCTACTTCGAACAAAATGGGCGTTGGACAGTCACGCGAAGATGCTGGGCATGCTTCTCCAGGTTGGTGCCTATTCTTGCACGCTTTAGGAAACTGAAGCTATACACCTTTTTTTTTCGTCTGATGCAGAAGTGACCTAATACAGAAACAGAAAATTTGAGCCTCATACTGGCGGAACGTTTTGCAACAAAGTGCTTCACGCCCTTAGAGCTCACCCACTTCAAAGACAACTTCTTTACCCGTGCAACAGAACAGGATGGACTCAAGTACTGGAACGAGAAAACACTCTCTGACTTCCTTGGTATCCCGGACCAAAGTGACGCCCATTGCCCTTTGGATGCCGGCCCAGTTATATTCCGCATGGTTTCGTATCTTGGAGCCTTTCCTTTCCAGAATTCCCTGGCCCCTAGTGTTCTCACGTTTGAGGCTATGGTTAAGGTGGCCGTGTTGCTGACGGAGCGATACGGGAAGGTTCTTCGTCGAGGGCAAAAGAACAGGATCAGGTTGTTGTTTGGTAGCCTTGCCGATGTTGGAAGAAAGGAAGTTGAGGGGCCACCGGAGAATGAGAATGAGAACAAGGCTGAAGATGCACCCCGTTCACACGCTCCTGGGTTCGATGTTGATGCGCCAGCCAACGATAATTATGACGAGGATGAGGATGATGACCTCGCGCTTGCTGCACTGGAATCGTTGGATGCCATCGAAGTTTTCAAGCACGACTCACGCATAGATAGGAGACTCTATGAGGCTCGTATCTCTGTGAGCACTTTTCGTCGCCTTCTGATGCTCTTGCTAGTTGTCGCCCCATTGAAGACTCTAGAGGATGTCAACCTCTATATGGCTGATCTTACTGAAGAACGAATGAAAACTGTACGAGAAGAAACGGATAGCATTCTGGCGGCCTTTGATCAAGAGTCGTCTGGAGGGATCAGTTACAAAACATTCGCAGACACGATTACCACATCTTTTCCCTACCTCTTCGACCCGCTAACGCCATTGTTTGAACACCTTCTTTTCAGCAAAAACTTAGACTTCGCTAGGAGCCGCGGAGGTGATACCGCTGAAACGGACCCAGCTTCATCAGATTCGGGACCTGTGGAAGCTTCATCTATACCAATTACGGTTCCGGGAAGCTTCGAATCAGCCATCCTGAGCTCCAGCATAGTGTCCCACCTTTCATTCTTCCTTCCTTCAACGTCGGCCGACAAAAACATTCTTCACGGAAATGTCCGCCTTCACCCGGTTTTCTCAACCGCAGCACACGGTTCCTCGCTGACCTCCTTCTCCCACAACGTCCTCACTTGGCAATCAGGAACACTACTCCTGCTCGAAGGATTAGACACCGATACAGGCAACTCACTCAAGATAGGCGCATACCTACCCCAGCCCTGGAAATCACCTACATCGAGTCACAGTACCTCGAAATTCTCCACTTCCGTCCTCCACTCTCTCTTCCAACTCTCTCCTCAACACGTCCTGCTACCAGGAAACCCGTCCTCATCCGTTCTTGATACACCAAATACCCCCATCGCCTACTTCTCAACGCACCACGGCATCTCAATCGGCTGCCAAATACCGCCTTCCTCCAGAACCCAAAAGCTGCCACCCACTCCCCACGGCGCGGGAAGTCTTACAATCGACACGGGTCTTGAATTCGCAGACTTCCACGTTTCCTCTTTCGGGACTAACGGTGTCTTTCTACCCCCCAGTGCACAATTATCAATATCTTCCTCCTCCACATCTCCATCCAAGACGCGTATCGAAATTTATAACCTGGAAATATGGGGCCTGCTCCCTGACCCGGATGGCTCATCATCGAACGGGCAAGAAAAGAAGAGCGCCGTTGAACTGCAACAAGCGAAATGGGATTTCGAGGCTAGAGAGGCGGAGCGGAGACGCCATGTCAATTTTAATGCCGGAGGCGCAGATTCCGCTGTTGAGCAGGCGAGGTGGTTGTTGGAGACGGCGGGAATAATTGGGAATGATAGCGGTGCTGGGAGGACTGGGGGAAGCACTTGATATAATTAATTATTGTTGTTTGTACGTAATTCTTGGAGTTAATTTCAAATTTCTTTTCATGGTCCATTGATGTATCGTTGTATGGAGTGGTTTATTATATTTGTGAATAAAGAGCTGTACAAGGCTTAGTATATTCTATGCCCAGCACGAGGTCTATTTAGGCAGGGCGGGAGAAGTAATTGATATCTATTATATAGTGGCTACTCCAATACACATGGAATAGGAAGGCGCAGTCCGCTTCCAAAACGATATAAGCGAGACAATAATCCATCATATACCCAATGGCAAAATACCAGTCGGTGGCCCGTAAAAATCCTTTAGTTCCTCTTCTTCTTCCTCCTCTTCCTCAATGGGTCTATCGGTATTCTCAGCATCCGAGTCTTCGCCAACTGTCCTTCCTCGCGACAGCTTACTGCGTCCACTGACAAGAGATCCCGGTACGGGCGTGTTGCCTTTCTTATTATCATTTTCTGACTCGAGCTCTTCGGCAGGTTGCTCGCGCGGAAGCTGGTAGGCAAGGAATCCATCGGGAGCTCGCTCGGCGCGGTCCATGACTTCATTCATGTACTTGCGCACCTCATCTTGCGGCTTCACAACTCGGGCTAACGGTTCTAGAACCTTCGGGTTCGCGCTGTAAATGCGAAAAGTGATAGGTTGATAGTACTCTTTCAGGTTCGAGGGCTTCTTGTCATCGTCTGCCTTGGCGTGGGCTGGCGATTTGGTCGAGTCAGTTGCCTGCGAAGTCTTTTGGTCGTCTTGCCCACTTTGAACGCCTTGCTTGGAGTCTACAGCGGGAGAGTCCTTATTCTCTGAAGGTTGAGTGTTATTGTCGCCTTTTTTGGCGCTGCCATCCCCGTCCTTGGCTTTGTCCTTGTCCTTCTGGGTTTCTCCGGCCTTGTCTTTGTTTTTGTCAGCTTTCTTGGATTTCGACGCTGATTTTCCCTTTGCTCTCGAGGGGCCGGTGTCCGGTGCGGTTTCAATTGGGAATGGTGTGTTGGGATCTAGTTTCCGGACTAGCAAGAAAGAAGCAAGAACTATGGTGCCGCCAGAGAGCCATTCTAGAATCGAATTCTCTGGGAAAAGGTATCGATCCCCCGACCCCGCGTGTCCTGAAGTGCTGCTTCCATATGGAGTCAACGGGGAAGTAAACTCAAACACTACCGATTTGTAATTCAGTCTCGGCGGGGGTGGTGGCCGTGGCGGAGTAGCACGATAGTATGGGGTCGGAGATCCGTATTGCGGCGGTCGGGACTGAATTGGCTGACTCTGATATGGCGGTTGTTGGTACTGATATTGTGGGCCTGGCCTCTGACCCATTGCCTGAGGCTGCGGTTGCGGCGGCGGAGGTGCCATTGGCTGTGTTCCAGGGGTTTGTTGTGGGCCAGAACCAGTGCTTGGGGTCGAGACAGGAGGTGCCGGTGCTTGTGCTGGGACTGGCATTGGTGTTGGAACCGTCGTGCCTGCACCGGGTTCCTGTTTAACCTGGGGGGTTGCGGGCGTAGGCTGTGAAGCAGACGGTTGGCGGCTTGCTGAGTCCGTATTCGCGTTCTGAGGAGTAGAATTGGACTGTGGAGGCTTAGGTATCTGCACTTCGACTCGAGGGTGTGATTGAGGTGATTTTTGTGGCTGCTGTGACTGGGCTTGCGCTGTAGTGGTTTGCTGTTCCTGCTGTGGAGGTTGTTGCTGGGGAGTTGCTGGCGATGGTTGCGATGGTCCCTGCGGTTGTTCCTTCGATGGCGGCTGCGTTGGCGGCTGCTGTTGCGCTTGGGCTACCGGTTGGGAGGGTCGGGGTGACGGTTGTGCTGCTGTAGGGGTTGCCGGTTGCGATGATTGCTGTTGTGATGATGATGATTGTTGCTGCTGACGGCGTTGTTGTTGCTCCCGAGCTCGTATAATCGCATTTAACTCGTCTATATGTGCTTGGAATGTGCGCAGTTGTTCCTGCGTCGCATTTGTCGAGGCAACCAATCTCATCAAAGCCTTCAGTTCAGGATCTTGTGCAGCTCGCGTGGCAAGCATTTGAATGACGGGGTCGGGATTTGGTTTTGGTGGTTGGGGAGGAGGATTCTGGTTAGCAGCAGGTCGCTGCGCAGACTGAGGCGCGGAAGGGCGCTGAAGGGGCTGGTTGTTTGGGGTTCTGGAGGGCTGCGGAGGCGGCGGGCGCCCGTGTTGGTGGCCCTGTTGGGCTGGTGGTGTGCCGTGGGCGGCTTGGGGCGGATGTGGTCGTTGATTCTGAGCGGGGGCTTGGGGGTAAGGATGATACTGCTGGAAGTTGTTGGGATGGCCATAGTGAACCATTGGCCGCTGTGCCGGGGTATATTGAACTGGAGGTGGCGCGTTGGGGTCTTTGACCGTATACAGCATCGCATCGAAAAGGTGAGGCCCGACCACAATATTACAGGGTCCAACCTTTGACATCGACTCTTTCGGCGGGTTTTTGCCTTCAATTTGGTCCCTCTTCGTCTTCTTGGGCTTTGTCCAATAACGCTCGAGGATACCGTCGCTGAGCCATTTCTTTTTCGACCTTTCTAAAGAGGTCAGAAGAACCGCGCTATGATACCATCAGTTAGTGCCTGGCAAATAGAATAAATATATTTTCATCGGAGGAAGGAAATCCATACCTTTCCGCGATTGATTGGTATTCTTTGAGCGACAAGTCCGCAGACTGGGCCGAAGGGAGGGTCGGAAGAGGCTCCCCATCCTTAATTTTGGTTGGGAGTGGTGGCTCGACGATTTCAACGGGTGTATTCGGCGTGGAAGTGGGTGACGAAGCGGCAGCAGGCGTGGAAGCTTTTCTTTTTGACGTCTGTTGCGCTGGTGATAATGCTCTCGTGGTTGCTTCGGAGACTCGTCGCTTCGCCGCAGGTTCGCGACGTTCACGCGCGGAGAGCCTGCGTTTCTCAGCCATGTATGGCGATCACGATGGGTTATTAAGAGACACGAAGATAAGGGAGCCTATCGAAAAAAGTGGTGGGCATTTCGCAGGATGAGCGCGATGAAGGAGTTTGGGAGTCGAGGATCCTAAAAAGACGTGGAAGATCGGCCGCGGCCTGGCTTCCCTTCAGCCTGAGGCACCAACCAGTATCTCTTCACATGAGTATCGCCGACGAGCCTAATCTCTCCATCCTCCAGCTCACCAACCACAGGATTTAATGTCATCTTGGAATATTGACATCGCCTTTCCTGGATAAACTCATTTTGACTTCGCTCTTTAATATTGCTTTTGGAGCTGTGGTTATGCTCTTCTGCTCTCGTTAATTAGTCTGCGCAAGTATGTACATGCATTCCATCGATTGCAGGATTCTGGATTCGGAATACAATCAGAATAATTTCTACCTCTTGTTAAGTTCATGCTTGCTAATATTATATTCAGGTTTGTCCCGAGTATGGTCGAATTTAACCCCATCCTAAAAAAGGCGTACTGGTTGCTAGCAGCTAGTGGCCTTATCTATGTGAGCATCGTCTGCTCCCTGACCTTTGCGGAGGTCCAGAGATTGTATGTCACTGGTTCTATGCGAAACCCTCTATTAGCAATCGAGCATATGGCAGCCTCTAATTAGTGTCTTGGCTGGGAGTAGTGCGGTCTATCTAAACAAACTCAATCCCACCCTATGGGAGGACGTCAATTTGGTGGAATCGTTCGGGTTCTTGAGTATGTTGCTTATTCTATTTGTGAACCTAGAACCTACTCAATTGGTTTCCAGCTACTGACCTCAAACAGGGACGCAAGTTCAGCCATTCAACCTAGTCACGCCAGATAATGAAACTATCTATGGCTGGCACCTTCTTCCTTTGCACATGTGTAATGAGCATGCAGCCGAGCTAGATGTGAACAAACCCGCAGGCCCTGTGGACGACTATACTTTAACTCCTGCCTTCAAGCTTCTGGCCAACGATCCGAATGCTCGGGTGGTTGTGAGCTGTGAGTATTGGAACTTGATTTTGGGGCTCAAATGCAACTAACCAGCAACATTCCTACAGTCCACGGTAACGCTGGCCATTTAGGATCCGCCCAACGGCCGGAGACATACCGTATGCTTCTTGGCCTATCAAGTTCTACCCACCCAATACACGTCTTCTCCATCGACTACCGAGGATTCGGGCTTTCCACCGGAGCACCCACCGAAGAGGGCCTCATTACTGACGGAGTCGCCCTACTAAACTTCCTCACGTCTAGCCCGCTGAACATTTCGCCTTCCAGAATTACAATTGTCGGCCAAAGCCTCGGAACGGCAGTTAGTGCTGCAGTGGCAGAGCGTTTCTTGCTTGGCTCCTCCAATCCAAATGCCGTCCAACCCACCATCAAGGACCCGGAGCCCTTCGCCGGTGTCGTCCTCATAGCGTCCTTTAGCAACGTACCTAACCTTATCGAGTCGTACAGTGTCAAAGGAATAACTCCTCCTATACTTTCCCCGCTACGCGGCTACCCCCGATTTCAAAATTGGGCGAGGAGCCACATCGTAGATCGCTGGGATACTGCTGCAAGAGTCGCAAGATTAACCGGCGCTGACGGAAGTATGGCTAAGTCTAATCCGACGTATGCAGATAATGGCCTAAAGCTAGTTATCTTGCACGCTCAAAATGATGTCGAAATTCCCTGGTACGAGGGTGTTCGTGTCTTCGAGGCCGCGACAAACCTTTCTCTCCCTCTAGAGTCCTACATCCGGTCTCCTTTATTGGAAAAGAACCCTGATAAACCTGCGCTGGTTAAGGAAGTCTTGTGGAAGAAAGTTCACTACGGAGGTATGTCATTGGATTCTCGCTATACTTGATAAGTGGCACAACTAACGTTTGATTTCAGGCCATAACCGTGTGGCCACATTTTCTGAAGCCGCCTTTGAAGTGCTGAGGACATTTCACCGATAACGCTGTGCTATTTTGTGATACATAACTTGATGACTAAATGGGTTTATGGGAAGCATTCCGCACGGTATACCTGCGACTGGAGAACATCTAAAGTTAGGAATATAATGGCTTCCATAGTCTTGCACGTTGCATGAGAGGAGATCTAGGATCATGAGATTAATATATACAACTTAGTAACAAAACATCCCTGCTTTTATCCTAGATTATCGCCCAAAAGAAAGCCATGACGGCGCCAATGTGATATTAAAACATGAAAGGAAGACAAGCCCACAGGGTTGGTCTATATTGGAGAGTAAAGTAATACATAGTTCCAAAGTTTGGAAAGAAATTCATCGAAACGTCCTCATCTCTAGATTCCCCTCCATGAAACATAGAAGGGTGGGTATGATGTATTCAAATGCTGGAATACCCAGTTTATTTCTTGTGCCTGTCGGCTTGGGCCTGTAGGTACTTCTTGATGAGTTCTCTCCTGTAGAAGGTACTAGGTTAGCCAATAGTTCAAGTAACTATAAATGGGGTTGGAAGAAAACGTACTGTTCCTGAGGAGGTGCCTTTTCGTAGTGGCTGAACTCCATGGTGTACTCGCCCTTGCCTTGGGTGGCGGCACGAAGATGGGAACTGAAGCCGAACATGCCGTTCAGGCTGCAGTCAGCGTAGACAGTGAACTCATCGACACCGACTTCGGAGTCGTTAATGGTAGCACCACGCTTGTTCAGGAGACCAATGACATCACCCTGGAACTCGGCAGGCGCAGTTACTACAGTCTTCATCAAAGGCTCGAGGACGGCAGGGCTACTCTCCTGGAAAGCCTTACGGAAGGCCTGTTGAGTGGCGTTTTTGAAGGCCATTTCTGACGAATCGGTCATGTGGGTGGCACCATCGTTGATAACCATCCTGGTCCCGAGAACCTTGTGGCCGATGAGAGGGCCCTTGTCACAAGAGAGGTGGAATCCCTTTTCACAAGCGAAAAGGAACTTCTCGGAAATAGTTCCACCAACAATTTGTTCTTCAAATTCGTTCTCTTCGAGCTTACCGGTAGGCTCCATCCAACCAACAACACGAGCGAAGTCACCAGGACCTCCCGATTGTTTCTTGAGTAGATGGTCGAACTCAACACGTTGACCAATAGTTTCTCGGTAGGCAACCTGGGGTGGGCCGGTCTCGCAGTCGACGCGGTATTCACGACGCATACGTTCAATATAGATGTCCAAGTGAAGTTCACCCATTCCAGAGATCAGAGTTTGCTCACTCTCTGTGTCGAACGTCACTCTGAAAGTAGGGTCCTCTCTTTGGAAACGGGCCATAGCCTTAGAGAAGTTGTTATAGTCCTTGCTGTGCTTGGGCTTTATCGAAAGCGAGATAACGGGCTCCGGAACGAACATCGACGACATGGTGTAGCCAAGTTGGCCGTCGGTGAACGAGTCACCAGACGCACAGTCAACACCAAACACAGCACAGATCTCACCAGCTCCGATTTCCGATACATCTTCCATTTCGTTGGAGTGCATGCGGACAATGCGGGGGATTCTCACTTTCTTGTCGGTACGCGCGTTGTAGACGTATGTACCCTTCCGGAGGGTACCTTGGTACACACGGATGAATGTCAGCTGTCCAAAGCTGTTCTCCTCTAACTTAAATGCAAGACAGACCAATGGAAGGGAGTTATAGGGAACAAGCTTCACTTGGGCTTCCTTGCGCTTCTTGTCAAGGGCAAGGTTTTGGACTTCGGACGGGTTGGGCAGATAGTCAATTACACCATCCAGCATAGGCTGCACAGACTTGTTTGCAAGCGCAGAACCCATGAAAACGGGAGTGAACTTCAGGCCAATAGTTGCCCGGCGAATAGCATCCCTTATCTGAGTCTCGGTGGGCTCGACCTCGCTCAAGAAAAGTTCTGCCATGTCATCATCAACATCAGCGAGGATTTCGATAAGCATCCTTCTCCTCTCCTCGGCAATCTCCTTGACCTTCGCCGGAATTTCATCCTTGATGACGATTTCTTCACCGCGAGGGCCGTGGTTATAGATAGTCTTCATGCGAACCAAATCAACTACGCCCTCGAATTCGTCCTCAGCACCAATAGGGACCTGAACGGCTGCCGCGGGCATCTTGAGTTTAGAGTTAATTTGATCAATAGCCTTAAATGGGTTAGCACCCATGCGGTCCATCTTGTTCACGAAGGAAATTCGAGGGACGTTGTAGCGTCTCATCTGACGGTCGACTGTGATTGTCTGAGACTGCACACCGGAAACAGCGCAAAGAATCATGACGGCACCGTCAAGAACGCGCAGCGCTCTCTCGACCTCAATGGTGAAATCGATATGGCCGGGGGTGTCAATCAAGTTCATATGGTATTTCTGGTCCTTGCCCTCTTCATCCTTCTTGACCCAGTCACAAAATGTAGCAGCCGACTGAATGGTGATACCTTTTTCACGCTCCAGGTCCATGGAGTCCATTTTCGCACCGACACTGTCGCGACCTCGAACCTCGTGGATTGCCTTGATACGGCCGGTGTAGAAAAGAACTCGTTCTGTACATGTGGTTTTACCACTGTCGATGTGTGCCTATAGGAGATCGATTAGATATCCATTCATCCCTTGGTGTCGACAAGACATGCGACATACAGCAATACCGATATTGCGAACTCGAGATAACCTCTCCGCCTCTACGGGGTTAAGGTTCTCGATAATTGCGTCCTGTGACAAGCTGTCTGGTGACTGAGCAGCCGCCTCCAGACTGAAGGAGAAAATGGTATTAGCGAACGAGTATAGAATATAAAACGCCTCAGTATCATTGTAAAACTTACACAGCTGCCGCAGTACCCGATGCATTTCTTATTTGTTGATAACGCCTGTTCAGGACTGACTGGTAGACCGGAGTCGCGGAACGGAGAGCGGCCGTTGACGCGCATCGCTTGGATAGGAGAGTCTGAGATTGAAGTCTGATGGGAGATCTGGTCAAACCAGAAACAGCACGGTGTGGCAACCGCGCAATAGAAGGACACCTCATGGCTGTCAGCTAATCGCACCAGGAATTGGCCAAGTAATGATGCTTCAACCTCCAGGGCGCAAATCTCCGTCTCTCCTCCGAAAAAAAGTTCGGGGAAACTCAGGCACAAATCACGTGCCGATGTCGATCGGTAAACACTCGGAGCCAATTCGTCGAACAAGAATCGCGAAAAATCTACGAAAGTACCACATTCTACGTCTATTTTCATATGATCCATTGGAATTGAATAACTCGATTCTACTAATTCATCTATTCTTTCTCGGGTTTTGACAAGGGACTCGCACGTATCGATATTAATTGCTTTCGTATGTATTGTTCCCGTATGTAACAGTACATGACTAGCGTCAAAACATCACCGCCTTCCCCTTCCTACGGCGCCACCAATTTATACTCGTTCGTTGGGGTGGCGTATACGGAACTTTGGTCTATCACGACTCAGAGGTTGTCGCACAATTTCGGTTCCATGACAATCGGATAATTTAGAATTTTAGCGGTGACTACCGTGACATGATCTGGCCAAATGCGGGCATCGCTGAAATTGTTCGCTGGGGTCTCTTCCAACCGGCCATCAAAGCTTAGGAAACCAGCGGTTAGCTTAGACCATGTGAGTTCGGTATAGCCATAGTTGGTACTCTAGTATAGTACTAACAAATAATTAGTTTATTCAGAGGCAGCGTGTTATTTCTCTATGGCGCGAAATCGTCAGAGCATTACACAGTTAGTGCCGGGTCTATCTCGAGCATATGGTTCATCCTCCGTGCTGACAGTCTGTACCAAGAAATCCCTAATTCTCCCACTCGAAGAGAGCTAAGAGATTACGCTCGTACTGAATTTGAGCGTCAGCGGAATGTTTCCGACTTGGTTGGTCTCTCTTGGCTTGAGCCGTGAAATAAAAATGCTGACTTCTCTCACAGCAGCATATCCGGTACCTGACTTCGGTAAGGAAGGCTCTTGATGTTCAATTGTACAAAAGCCCTGCTGACCAGATTAGACGGGAAAGTCTGAATTTGACATGATGAAACGATATATCGATGAACAGGCCACAGCTTGAGGCTAATGCCTAGGCGAAAGAACAGCCGCAACCATCCCCAGACACAAGAGCACTTTATTGCCAACCTTCATGCTTGGATACTGCCTTACATCATGCAATGTGCAAAACCCAAGGACACGATGCAGTTGTTCTAATACACCCTGTAAATAGTACACAGCTACAATAGGTGGCCGTGAAAAGTCATAGATTACGCCAGGGGAAAAAAGAACATAAAAATTCAAAAGCATATGTACAATCCCAAACGCCAAAGTTAAATATAGGAGAGCGAGTTTAGTAATACATGTAACCGAACAAATGCATATTCGCGGCCTTATTTCCGACTTGCGATCAGTTCCCTCACAGCATCCAACACTCCAATAGACTTCTCTTCAGAGGGTTCAAGAGAAGAGCGAGCTGCATCGAGCCCTGGGGATACCGGCTTCTTGCCCGCTTCCTTCGCCGCCGCTTCCATAGCAGCATGACGCTGCCTCCATTCCTTATCTTCCTTGTCTCGAATTTCCAACTCACGGACCCACGCATCTCTCTTTTCCTGGGCCTTTTGCAGTTCAAGGGCCTGCTCGAATTCTTTCCGCTCCTTCCGCTCGGTCTTGAAATACATTCCTCCAGCACACACGGCGACGAGAGTAAACGCTTGGGCATAGATACGGGCGCGGAACATACGGTTCATCTCAACTGAGTCACCAGCCTTCATCGATCGGTAGGCGCGGTAGAGCGCATAACAGGTAGCAGCACATCCTAGGTTCGGAAGGTGATAAGAGTCAGCCAAGTTTCTTGTTTCTTCCTTTTCCCCAGGATCGACTTACCTAGTGGAATTAAAGGTTCCTCCTTGAATCTTCTTCCAAATTTTTGGAGGGGCGTCTCCTCCTCGAATTGACTAGCAAGCGGTTGTCAGAAGATGTCCGCGTGCTCGAAAACACCGGGTTTGCAAGTTCGCGGGAACGTACGGATTGCCCTCGAAAGACGAAGGAAGAGGTCCGCTCATTATTTTTGAGTCCCTAATTGATATAGGCGACTTGCTGAATCAGTGCGCAATAATGCTCAGCCTTGGAAGTTCCGCTGTTGGCTGATAGGGTGTTGGAGATATCGCACCTGTGACGTCGGGAGCATTCTCATCTCCGCGAGGCACAATTTCGTGTAATTTCGGTATTGTATCGACTCGTACGGTGCTAACCAACATATACTTAAGGATTACTTAGTACTATATCGCAAGTGAGCAACACTAATAGTTTAAAATAAGGAGAATCCCAAATTCCTTTTTACATTATATTCAAACCTTTATATCACCAAATGTGTAGCCTTCACAGTCGCACAACTATCCATAGTTCTTGCTTGACGAACATACTACAAGATGCGGCCTGAAAGCTTAGGCTGCTGCTGCTGCTCACATTTTATTCGGCGATGAATCTTAGCCAAACTGGACTTGTTATTAGTACAAATCAAGGGCCGTTTCTCACTGGTGGGTGTTGGGTTTGAAAGAGAGAGCTGGTACGTACTGATGCGGCCGGCTTTAGGGTTAGCGCTCCACTATACCAGTACGAGCGGGATCATGCCACTCTGTGAGACGAGGAGGTGAGGAAGCTGCTTAGGGATTTATTTCGTAGGCTCAAAGCTGTTTGAAGGGCAGCTTGTATAGGTAATTGCATCGCACATGTAATATTGGAGAGAAAATTATACACGGCCTGACGCTCGTGGTACTATCAAGTACGAAGTCAACTACAACTGGACACAGGTCACAAGGTTTGGTTGGAGGCTTTTTCTTTCCCAAAACGGGGATGTTCACTCTAAACCCGTGGACATCGGTATGGAGGTACTATTTCCAGCGTTCTCTGGCCCCTCCGTGACCGCAGTTTCGACGAACCAGGATGAATGGAATACGGGTTTCACCGTACATTCAGAGATACCAGCTGACGGACGGAGCGAAGAATGACAGCACGTTATTTAGCCACCAGTAGAGCCCTTATGTACGCCAATATCTGTCGATAGTTACTAGCATAGAGCAAAGTACTTCGAAACACTTCGCACCCCAAGGCGGAACGCAGTAAGGTTGGCAAGTATACTCTCCGATTTAGGAAGGTAGGGCTGGGACGCAGGGTTGATGACATAACCCCCGCGCCGATCACGGAATTTTTCTGTTTCCCCCGGAGAAGCAAGCTCGAGTCATAATATTCTCGCTCGAATCCATTCTTCCACAACGGTTTAATATTTGGAGCGTTTCTATACTTCCCATTTTTATACCACGTAACTACTAAAACGAATTTCTCAAAATGACCGACCAAGCGTCTGCGAATGGCGCAGCGACCCCAACGTCCTCGAAGTTGAGCACCCTGGCTCTAACGGAATACTCTGCTATCCCCACCCCTACCTCGGAGAAGGATGAGTACAAGGGACCTGAAAGCCCGCCATCATGGGACATTCCTAATGCCTTCCTGCTTCCCAATGGCTACCCGGATGTGAGACATTTTCTTCCCACTCCAGGTTACTTTGCCTCTGACATTGTTATCTCTAGTATCTTCGCCTGATTTTGACGTCCCGCGTTTACGAGATAACCACCGAATCCCCACTTCACCATGCCGTCAACCTTAGTAACCGCATGGAATGCCGAGTGCTCCTCAAGCGGGAGGATATGCTCCCTGTATTCAGCTTCAAGCTCCGCGGGGCATACAATAAGATGGCTCATTTATCCCACGAGCAGCGGTGGAAAGGAGTTGTTGCGTGCTCAGCAGGTAACCATTAAATAAACCGGGCTATATAAGGCAAAAGCTGATCGAATCTTCCTGTATAGGTAACCATGCCCAAGGTGTCGCTTACTCGGCTCGCAAATTGAAGATTCCCGCCACCATCGTCATGCCCTCGGGCACACCCGCCATCAAGCACCTGAACGTCGCTCGACTTGGCGGTAGCGTTGTCCTCCATGGAAATGATTTTGATGGCGCTAAAGAAGAAGCCCACCGCTTGGAAAAGACGCATGGCCTTACAAGCATCCCGCCTTTCGACGACCCCTACGTTATCGCTGGACAAGGAACCATTGGAATGGAAATTCTGCGCCAAGCAAATTTGGAAAAGCTTGAAGCCGTTTTCTGCGCCATTGGAGGAGGAGGTTTGATCTCCGGTGTCGGTGTCTACCTGAAGCGTATTGCGCCGCACGTTAAGGTGATTGGAGTGGAAACACACGATGCCAGCGCAATGGCCCAGTCAGTAAGCGAAGGTTCCCGTGTACTATTGAATGATGTGGGTCTTTTCGCGGATGGCACAGCTGTCAAGACTGTTGGATCGGAATGCTATCGTGTGGCTCGTGAAGTATTGGATGAGATTATCCTAGTCTCCACCGACGAAACCTGCGCTGCCATCAAGGATGTGTTCGAAGACACACGGTCCATCATTGAACCCGCGGGTGCTCTCGCCATTGCAGGCTTGAAGAAATACGTTGCGAAATACCCTAGCCCTCACACCAGCCGTGAGCTGGTTGCGATTACCTCGGGTGCGAACATGGACTTCGACCGATTGCGGTTTGTTGCAGAGCGTGCCGCTTTAGGTGAGCGTAAAGAGGCCCTCCTGAGTGTCAAGATCCCTGAGCAGCCGGGTGCTTTCGCCAAGTTAGTGGAGGTCGTTCTCCCACATGCCGTCACTGCGTTTAACTACCGCTATGCTGATGACAACTCTGCCGATGTCCTCATGGGTATTTCTTTGTCCGCTTCGACTGGCCGTGATGATCTGGTAAATATTATGGCTGAGTTAGCCAGAGGCGGTATGGACTCGAGAGACCTCAGCGATGACGAGCTTGCTAAAGGGCACGTGCGGTTCTTGGTTGGCGGACGTAGTGATGTGAGCAACGAGCGCTTGTTTATGTTTGAGTTCCCAGAACGACCAGGAGCGCTCGCCAAGTTCCTCAGGACCCTTCGTCCCAGTCAGAACATCTCCCTATTCCACTACCGGAATTATGGTGGCGATGTTGGCAAGGTTTTGGCTGGCATTCAGTGTCCTGAGTCTGAGAAGGAAGATCTCGAGGCTTTCCTACGTGACCTTGGGTATCGGTTCACTGAAGAGACCGAGTCCGAAACGTACAAAACTTTCCTTCGTCGTTAAAATTATGTTCGACGGTTTATGTGTTCCTTGAGCCATGCTTTTCACTCCTACACAGCGAATTATTCGGCGTTCGGATTGTATTAGGGCGGGATTGGTGATTTTTTTTGGGGGAGCATTGTCAAGTTCAATTACTACCTGCTGTATAGAGTTGTAATAGGGCTATTCTTATGCCCATAGTTAGAACCGTAACTTCATGAGTATGAAAGGTTATGCCACAAATATCACGGTTTTCCAATACACTTTTCATCCAGAAACTCGAATATTATCTCTAAATTTTACATTTATTTATCCTCGAAAAAAGGTAATTCAGAGAAAGGACATTGATGGACCAATCAAACCACGAGAGTCGCAGTAGCTCGGAAGCACGGCAATACCAAAATTCCGATATCATTTCATCCGAACCCTCAGACAACCCCCAAGGTTAACGGCAGCGAGATCCAAAAGACCCAACGCCTCAACTCGAACCGGTGAGATCTTACCCGTCTCTGCGATAATTATCTCCGGGGCCTCCACGTGCAACAAAAGCATGGTCTCCCTCCGTTCTGTCCTCGGTCCGTCGACCGCCCTCCTCCGCCAATTTCTTCCCCGACACAGCAACCTCCGAGCCCTCGCGCGGCCGTTCTCGCAATTATCGCAACTCACAATTAACAATGGTCTGCGGCTGCTGCGCTCAGGAAATGGATCTACGAAGTCGACTGAAGTTGGTGTCGGTGCTGTTTCTGCTGTGAAGCAGCTCGAGCAGGTCCGCGGGATGAAGACGCGATCGTCTGTTAAGCGGCTATGTGAGGGGTGCAAGGTACGTACCCCATTCGGTGATTTACTTGTGGAACGGAGCTCTGGTGTCGTTTGTTCGGATCGTGAGAGTTGGGCTGACGAGCTGTTTTGATAGCCTGTGCGGAGAAAGAACCGGGTTTACATTATTTGGTGAGTTTTGTCTATCTAGACATGAGTTTGATTCTGTCTGATTAGATTGACTGAATACTAACGGATGATGCGCGCAGCTCGAAGAACCCGAAACACAAGCAACGTCAAGGGAAATAGATCTGGTGAAGATCGTGAAAGGGAAGAAAATATCGACTATGAAGGCTTGTTCGCTTGGGAATTCCGAACTCGAAAAGGGTCGCAAAAATAACGACACGACGGTCACAGGAATTCTTTACGTACTTTAGTCTGTCGACTGAGGAGACGCACCTCAATACTCGCATTCTGGACATTTTGTACGGTTCAATGGGACATGACCAACTGGTTGGTTGCGGCGCATATGTTCTGTAATGTATTATTTGCATGTAAATTAGATTTGGGCAATATCGTTTTCCACTTTACTTCGGTATTTTCAAAATTCCGTGGCTTATTGTTACATATCCACCTACTTCAGCACTTCCAAGAAAGAACTGGACATAATCAAAGGCTATGTGCGTATACATTTCAAACTTTCTAATGTATTTGTATCCGTCAATATCATAACAAGCAAACAGCGCCAGTAAATTCCATCGTCTTAGGTATTTTTCATGACTGCAGAGGCTCGCCCATTCCACCGAACGTGACGCTCTTGATGGTAAGGAACTCATCAATACCATACTTGCTACCCTCACGGCCAAAGCCACTCTGCTTGACACCGCCAAACCTAATTATATAATTAGCTCTGCAAGTGTAGATTGAGTTAAATGCGGTTGAAAGGGGGCAACTTACGGAGATGCGACATCACTGATAAGACCGGTGTTGGCGCCAACCATACCGACTTCCAGAGCCTCAGCAACACGGAAGATGCGCTTGACATTGCCACTGAAGAAGTATCCAGCAAGACCAACCTCGGCCTTGTTAGCTAGATCGACAACTTCCTTTTCAGTCTCAAACGGGAACAAGCCGGCGACAGGTCCGAATGTCTCCTCAGAGGCAATCTGCATGTCCTTGGTCATGTCCGTCAAGACTGTGAGGTCATAGAAGTTGGGACCTAGGTCAGACAGTTTCTGGCCGCCAGCAACAAGCTTGGCACCTTTAGAAACGGCGTCTTGTACGTGCTGGTCAACCTTATCAACGGCGCGATCGTGGATGACGGGCCCGTGAGTAATTCCTTCCTCGAAACCAGCACCGACCTTGAAATCCTTGACCTTAGCAACGAATCGCTTGACAAATTCATTGTAGATGCCCTTCTGGATGTAAATTCGGTTCGCACAGACGCATGTTTGGCCCGAGCTTCGGAATTTGGAGGCAATGGCACCCGCAACTGCGGCGTCAAGGTCGTCGACATCGTCGAAAACGATGAAAGGGGCGTTACCACCGAGTTCCCAGGATACCTTCTTGACTGTGGATGCCGATTGCTTCATCAGAAGCTTACCAACGTTCGTTGAGCCTGTGAATGACACCTTACGGACGTCTGAGTGGGTAGTTATCGTCTCACCGACTTCTGGGGTGTTTTTCATAGATGTAACAATATTAACGACACCCTTGGGAATACCGGCACGGTTTGCCAATTCGGCAAGGGCGTTTGCAGTGAAGGGAGTCTCTCCGGGTGACTTAGTAACCACTGTACATCCGGCAGCAAGAGCAGGACCAATCTTCCGTGTGATCATAGCTGCAGGAAAGTTCCATGGGGTAATCAGACCGCAAACACCGACAGGCTGTTTGACAGTCATCACGCGGTTTCCAGGAACAGAAGCAGGAATGGTATCACCATAGATACGGGGTGCCTCTTCACTGAACCATTCGAAGAAGCCCGCGGCGTAGTTGACTTCTCCTTTAGCATCTGCAAGCGGCTTCCCGTTTTCCCATGTGATCAAGGTTGCCAGGTCTTCAGCATTGTCGATCATCAGTTGGTACCATCGTCGGAGCATCCTGGCTCGCTCACGGGCCAGGGTTGTTCGGAACTTAGGGAAAGCCTCGCTGGCCGCCTGGATTGCTTTCTCGGTATCCGATGCGTTGAACTCCGGGCATGTTCCAATTAGTTTTCCAGTAGCAGGGTCTGTGAGGACAATATCAGCTGTCGTTTCCACTACTAGCTATCTCGAGAGCTAGCGAGGGGCAGGCATACCGTGAACTTCGAATGTCTTTCCCGAGGCTGAATCCACCCATTCGCCGTTGACAAAGGCTTTCTGGATGAATAATGACTTATCTTTTAGCTACAAGAAGGTTAAGTTAGTTAGAGTTCTGGAAAAGCATTGCGGTGCCATGCTTACCGGAGGCACTGTGTACCCCGTCGCATAGAGTCGCCGAGCGTGAATATGAGAAGGCATTGTGTATGGGTATTTAGGTAGCGGTCGTAATAGCTGTCTTGAGAGGGGACGTATGATCTTTTCCATCTTTATAATATGTGTGCTTGACAATGTATCGGGGAAAAGACCGAGAAGATACCAGGAGCAGATGGAGTCTGCGAATCAACTTGGACTCACACCCGGCGCGAAAATTGATCGTTTGCAGTAGCGCTTTCCGCGATGGAAGCCAATCGGATGATTTTCCCAATATTGGAGAAAAAATTGACCAACCTGGTTTTTGATTTCTGAGAGTACCCAGGCCTCAACAGTGTCTCTTAAGTTGTGCTCTTCCCCATTCCTCCCGCCGAGGGGAGCTATAGGCCACGTGATTTACGTCATTATGAAGCCGTGATTTGTCTTCTTATTGGCCAATTTCTCCGGGCCTTTCCTTATCAATGGCAGTTATTACTGGCCCATGCAACCGATGTCTCGAACTCGGCCTTCGTTGCGACAACATTTGTCTGGGGAAGAGAAAGCGCAGACCCAAAGATTTAACGATATAGTTCCTTTAACGAAACAAATTCCAAGCTCTACTTCAGTCAAGCGATTTGCATACTAATAATATTATTCGGACATATCGGAGTCGTACCCAGACTGCACCCCGCTGCGTGTTTGCGATTTGTTTTCTTTTGGCTGGTAACTTGGGTGCATCGTTTTGAGATGCTGATTCAAATTCCATCGTCGAGAAAACCCTTTCGTATGGCGATTACATTTCTTGAAGGGGCACACCAAGTTCTGCTCGCTGTTTGCGCCACTGTCTCTGGGAGATGATGCCTTGCTAGCAGACTTGAGAGCAGTCCTACCAGCTGGTGAAGTAGAGCGTTGTTTAGTAGAGATATCACGACGCGGTGGTAAATGACTTGAGAGCGACGAGTGTCCATGGGGTTCGTCTTGTTCCAGTACGGCCAAGCCGCCTTGTGTAGAGGTCCACTCGAGCACACTCTCCATAAACTGTGGGCCAGGGTTTTCAGGGATCATTGGAAATTCCATATTCTCGCCGACCAGGGCGGAGAATCGCCGAACGGCACGCCGAAGGACGGCAGGCGGCAACTCTATCATGGAGGCAATACCTGCGACATCTTTCCAATCTGTCAGCCCAGATCGGCCATTACTGATTCTAGAATTAGAGCGTGATCCTGGTCTTGAGTTACTCTTGGTATGAGCATTGCTCTGCTGTGATGACTGGGATGTTCGCCGTATGCGCTTGCGGCCTCTAGAATAGCTTCGCTCTAGTGCTTGTATAGATCTTTTCCTGGAAGATGACGCACGCCCATGAATGCTATCTGCATCGGTATGGCTGTCTTCTGTTGGTGTGTCCCTGGAATAGACACTACTCATATCGGACGCCAACGATGAGCTCCGCGCTCGTTTTCTACCTCTTGACCGGCTTCGGGTTGACCGACCATCATCGGAGTATGATGCTCCATGGAAACGATGAAGTCCCATGAGCAAGGTCTCGAAGTGGGTGATCACATTTCGAGCAAGTGGTCGTAGTTTTCGCCGCGATTCGTCATCATCTAATTGGACCACTGGGCGAAGGTGTGAGCGCGCAGTTTCCTGCTCACTTTCCCACTCCGTTGTAGAGAAGCCATCACCCTCGCTCCGCTCGCTGGCTTTCAGATCTCCTTCGATACCAGATACACCTCCATCAGTATCTGACTGAGCACCGCCTTTCCTGTCTGGAACGGCTAGCGAGTCCCATTCCCTGGAATTAAACCGTTCTTTCGCTGTTCTCAGTAATAGCGCTATGATACACTCTTCAAGCTCTGCGCTAGGCCGCGGGTCTGACTTCATTCTAAAGGTCCATCTGTCGTCTTCTAGCCGTCGGAGACGCTCACCAGCGCGAGGGACTTCGTCACTAGACATTGGCCAGGCTGACCATTCTTCCAGCATGTTGGGTATTTTGGCGTTATCTGATTCATTATGGTTCGATTCACTCTCATCCATTTGATCCACATTCCCACTTTCCAAATTCGCAACGCCCTGCGACTGTAGCATATGGGCATTGTACAAATGAGCTGCCAGATCCCTCGCACGAACCCCATCTAAAGATTCGACTATTTCCCTGTCGTCTCGTGTCAAACTCAGCCATAGATGCGCCGGTCCATGGAACCTGTTAGGGCGATATGGAGGTGGCGACTTCGAAGTTTTACTTTCCCGTGTCCTCGGTGTAGATTTGCCGTGGCGATCAGGTAAAGTCTTGGCGACGGAATAATATCCCCTTGGAGAGTTTGATGTTTCCCTTTCACTAGTTTGTATGTAATCTAGATCATCATCGGATGCATCATATTCAGCACTCGGGCCACCAGTCGCCGTAGCGTAGCCGTCGAGTTGATTTAGGGTTTCATCTTCTCGAGAATACGGGTACCGAGATTGGTCGACAGTACCCTGACTGGAACCCCCAAATAAGGATTGGTATGGTTGGGCAGAAGGAGGAACACTCGAGTGTTGTGGTTGAGCGTCCGAGTAGGAGGACATGCCTTAAACTTCATAAAAGCATGGACGTCAATGGCCAGCTTTGAGGGAAATTGAAAAGAACACGCGAAAATAATAGTATAGCATGGGAGTATTTGTAGCCGCACCCATGGGCGCGACGTTGCTGGAAGGAACGAGCTATAGTATTAGTTGCGTCGGCGTTGCGTAGTTGCGGATGCTCAGTTGGCTCTGCGGGTGATTTTTTTGATACGGCTTGACGATAAGATAAGATTCAATTCAATGTTTGTCTTGTTTGTATACACTGATCACATGACTCTACGTGCATGTTTCACCAGAAAAAGAAGATTATTGATTGTTGAACTTCACAGCATGGAATAATATTGTGGTTACAATTATAATAGGCACTCTTGCATGGCAAGACCACAATGAAATTTTTGTACTCGGCCCGGAGAATAGACATTGATGCGGGAAGTTGTCACTTGGATCGTATGTAGTTATACTGCATTCTATATGGAACAGCTGCAGACTAGAAGTCTATCAAGTAGATATGACACAAAATATCAAATACGCCTAAACTACCGACGATTCCCATATTAATCAATGGATATCATTTCCATCACCTAACTTTTAGTACTTCCTCCTTTATTTTTCTGCGCCCTTCTCAAGCTTTCTCCGCTTAGACCGCAGCTTCGCAGACTCATCTGACTGCTTCTTGTTCGAGTACATCATCTTCTCCAGCAACTTCCGCTTCTTGCGGCTCATCATCATCTTCTGTCTTTCCAGCTCCTCTTCCTCTTGGCGCTTCTTGGAGGCGATCTTCTTGGCCTGGGACTTCTTCTTGGCGGCTGATCCATCAGTGGTGCCGTTGGACGAGAAGGGAAGGCCGGCGGCCTCAGCCTCTAGCTCCTTCTGATGTTGAGTTCGGGCAGTCTCCTCTTCCTCCTCGGATTCGGAACCAGCATCTTCGTCTTCAATGCCAGCGAAATCCTCTTCTTCTTCCTCTTCTTCATCACTCTCATCGTCGTCATCAGTGCCAGCGACATCCATGCCGCCATCATCAGACTCATCTTCCGACTCCTCGTCCTCAGCCTCGACGACCTTCGTGGGTGCAGATTTCTCCTCGCCAGCCTCTTCCATCTCTTCATCGCTCTCTTCTTCCTCTGCAGCATCGGCTTCACCTTCTTCTTCCTGCTCGGCCAAGCTAGCACGAGGATCATAGCCACCCTTCTTAGGCTTAACCCACGGGCTAAGATGGGGCGGGAGGGTGGCACCAGGGGCGTACAGGTCAGGGCGTAGGAGCTTTCCCTCATTAATTGAGTCCCAAATCCACTGGGGCTGGACATATGTGCGGCCGGGAATCCGAGTGCCAGGCTTCACTCTCTGCACGCCATTGGAACTCTCTTCGGCAGGGGCGGGGATGGCGGGGAGAGAAGCCTCAGGTAGGGAAGGTCGATCCACGATCTGGTGAGTGATGCGGGGGTCGGCTTCATTGTGGGTGAAAGCACCATCACCGAGAACGGTATCCCAGCCAATTCGCTTGCAGCCAAATGCACGGAGGATAAATTCAAGAGGAGCCTTCGGGGTCTCTCGAGATATATAAATTGTGAACGGTGCGAAGAGTGAGCCGGCTTGGTCGCCACTGAGATCCGGCTGGGGAAGGGTGTCAGCCTCGGGAGCCGCTGGTTCAAACCTGTCGATAGCGTCTGTGGCTTCTTCGGTAGCCTCGGTGATTTGTTCACTGCTGGTTTGATCCAAGCCTGCCTTCTTAATCACCTTATCAACCTTCTTCTGGACTTTGGCAGAGACTTCCTGATTGGCAGCATCATTTGAGGGCTTGCTACCCGCTTCAATGGCCTTCGGGGTTTCTCCGACTGTGCGCCCTTCCAGAGTGAAAGCCGCCAGTTCTGCTCCATTCTCGTCGCTCCGAGTGTCAAACTTCGGGGGATATCTCAGGCCAATCGAAGAGTACAGGCGATAGTTGACGAAACCCAGCAGGGTGGTGTAAAATTCAACGAAAGTGGCCATAATCCGATAATCCACATCGCCATTGACTCTCTGCACAAACCGGTAGGGAACCAACCACATGATATCTTGACCTTGGATTGTTGCCTGGTAGTAAATACCTTTGATTGAAAGGAAGGATTTGCGCAGAGAGTTGGTCGTGATCAGGTAGTGTTGGAACTCGTGGCTAAGACGTTGGCACAGTGCAATGGTCTTGGGCGGGACGTTGTTGTCAGAGGGTAGGTTCGCAAAAAGGAAGAGAAGAGATAACGCATCATCGAGATCTCTTAACGCATCAATGAACGTAGGGTAACGCTCCTTGATAACATGGTCCAGAGTCAGCTTCGGCGCATGATGTTTCTCCAGGCGGGCCGCATCGCCAACTTCTCCACGTCCAAGAGATCGAGCGATTTTCTTCGCAAGCGCTTTCTGGTCGCGGAATTTCCGGAGCAACGGCTCGTGCAGAAGGTATTGGATATCTTTTGTGTAATAGAAGGTGGTGTTCTGAGTAGAAGATTTGGAGGCCTTCTTCTTGCTGCGAGGTTCACGGGGATAAATTCCTGCAGATGGGCATTAGTCCTACTGATCAAAGCATCGTGACGAATTGCAGATACAAACCTTTGAAGATGCACAGTCGACGGAAGTCTGGCAGCGAAATCTGAAGTTTGCGCACCGCCTGCGTTCTGGTGATATAGTTTTTGGCCTGGCCAGAAGTTCCTAGAAGGCGGATATTAGAATGAGATACTTAAAATCATTCGAAAATAACATCTTACCCTTCTTCTTAATTTTCGCCATGATTGCGACTAGGTTGGCAAAACGGGGTGGAGGTGGAAAGGAATTATTCTGCTCTCTCAAAAATTTGAACTTTTTTTCCGCAGAGAAAAGCTCGGATGGTCCGTGCACCAAAACCCGCGGAGGCTTGGCACGTGAGGATGAATGGCTCTGGACAGGTGGAGGACCAAACCAACTTCCTCGAACAGCCCTGGAGCCTCAACCAAGGGCTCATTCTTGCAGTGCAGTGCTCGGTCTCGACGGTTGACTCAGCTATCATGCCCGTCGATCGCAGGAAGGCTGCTGTGTTTGGCGGCGCCCTCGCGTTGCGACTACTGCTCTTGCTTCTGTTTCCCTCCCTGCCTGACTTACTGACAGGCCGAGTGGAGGTCTCGACACCGGTGACCAGCTTCAAGAGGCGTAAGTCTCCATTGAGCCTTCCGATAATATGGGGACTTGGTTAACATGAATATTATAGTCCAGGAAGGTCTTTTTCTTTACAACCGCAATGTATCACCTTACGATGGAGGCGTCTTCCACCAAGTAGGTAGCGGGGATCGAGCACCTCCAATGCTCTGCTAATGATTTATGTACAGGCTCCGCTTCTGCTTCCAATATTCTCCCTTTTGCCGAATGCCCAAGATTGTCCCCTTCCAACTGCGCTTTTTTACTCGCTTGTCGACTTGCTCAATGCGAATGCTCTAGTCACCATCTCCGATTCCACACAGGCGGTTTCCGGCAGATTGTACTCGTCAATAAGGAAGCATCTCAAATGGGATGGGGCTGTGGTTGCCGCTTGGTATGGAATTAAATCATATATTTAAGTAGAAGCGTGGTGCTGATATGGACCAGGTTCCTCTTTAACCCCTTTACTATCGCAACATGCCTCGGACGATCAACCGCAGTATTCACCTCGACCGGGATTCTCTATGCCCTTTCCGCAGCGGTTCAAGGCCACAGTCTCAATTCTATGTTCGCATTAGGATTTGCGTCGTATCTGTCGATCTATCCAGCCCTCCTATTCATCCCTCTCGTCCTCCTTTGCTATGATAGACAGGCCCAGCGCAGCCAAAGCTCTCCCTCTATTGCTCTGTTCGTGATGAAACATTTCGCGGTCTTTCTTCTGAGCGTTGCGGGGCTCCTTGGGATATCTCTCCTAATTATTGGCGATTTTCCCATGCTAATCTCTGCAACATACGGCTTCCAACTGCTCGTTCCAGACCTTACCCCCAATATTGGTCTTTGGTGGTACTTCTTTATCGAGATTTTCGACTCGTTCCGGGATTTTTTCCTCGGTGTTTTCTGGCTCCATCTAGCAGCTTATGCCGGTAGTCTCACTGTGCGGCTACGTCGACAGCCTTTGTTCGTCGTCACCTCGCTACTGGGGATCTTTGCGGTTTTCAAGCCGTATCCGAGCATCTCGGATGCTTCACTATATTTCGCTCTTCTCCCGCTTTACCGGCACATCTTCCCTTGTGAGCACCTCATTTACCCCATTCCAGCGTTGTCGTTCCTGTAGCTAACCCAACTAGTGATGCGCTATACCTTCTTCTCCGTTTCGGCTATTCTCTATGCCTCGCTGCTGGGCCCTGCTTTTTACCATCTCTGGATCTACGCCGGCTCTGGGAATGCCAACTTCTTTTATGCAATTACGCTTGTGTGGAGTTTAGGTCTATCACTCGTCATTGCGGATACGGTTTTCGCTGCCCTCCGCGACGAATGGGAACAAGAGAACCCAGACAAACGCGGCAAATCCGTCAAACAAGTGTAAATATACTTCTATCTATAAAATGTTCATTAACGGCTAGACATATTTTAGCGCAAGTTTTTGGACATAATCATATAGTCTGCCTCCTTCACAGTTCCATTTCTTAGCTTTCGCGGGCGCGGAGAGCTCTCATCCTCTGTATATCCCACCCTCATGTAGAATTTGAGCGCACGGCTATTTGATTTGAAAACAGTCAGCATCGCCTTCTCGAGACCAATAGCCCGTCCTATCCGTTCAAATCTCTCCATTAACTCCTCTCCTAACCCCAGGCTCTGCACTTCCGGCATAAGGTGAATCTCATAGCAGTATAGCACTTCATACCCATCTTCATATGTAACCATGAACTCAATGAAGCCTATAAATTCCCCAGTATCTGAGCTTTGGTTGTCTCCCTCATAATTTTCATATCCACTGGGAATATCGGATGTTGCATGGCGTCGCAAAACCATGTACTTCATATCAGGGAGCTTCATCTCTTTCTTCTTTTCCGAGGCGGACCAGCCCATGCCAGAGTCCTTGTATGCGGCTGATGATGTCAACTCGATCAGCTTAAAGCATGCGTCTAGGCCAGTAGCAGGAATTGTGGCTGCTGTGTAGACGGAAATATCGTATGAGTCGGGTCTTTCGCTCTCTAGTACCTGCATGGGCGGGTTGTCTTGTGTTTGCGATGCGTTCTCTTCATTTTGTGCTGGGCACCTTTCACCAGCTAGCCCCTTCCTCTTTTTTTGGAACCTTAGCTCTGAGGTAGGAATATATAAGGAAATGAACTCCTCCCGCGATAATGCATTAGTGCGCTCCACTAATGGGAGTGGCTTTGGTTTTGGTTTTGGTTTATCTAGGAAGATGTGTTAGTTACTCCCATACATAGATTTCGTCCCCATTCTTAATGGAATGAACGGAAATATGAAAACAATATAGACAGAATAAACCAAAGTTTCTATCCTACTCACTGGATGCAGTTTTTGTAGGTTTTTGCTTTAGTCCCTCCCGGATTTTCCGCGTCGCGCGGCGAATTGGTGGCATGGTTGTTGTCCGGCTAGGGTTTCTGTAGTGAAAAGATTCTCTCCCAGCTTTCGTTTTCATATGATTCCTTTAGTTCATTTACATAGGTTTGGGTTGATAAAGTCAATTGTTGTATCTGGTTTAGAGGTGCTGAGTTCTGAAGGTGAGGTGATGATGGATACTTCGCGTTCGCGTCGGAGTTGGGGTTAATCTCCGAAGTATACCAAGATTCGGACAATCCTTGTTAACGATCAGAGCGACGTATATTTAAATTTCTTGTCTTGATGAAAACAATTTCACTTAATTTAGATCAAGTATTCGGTAAATTCTTACTGAATCGCGATAACGCTTTTTCGAATCAATTTTCATCGCGCATAAGTAATTTAACGAGGTCTGCATTTAATTTATATATCTTGGAGACATACCAAATATATACAGAACAAGAATCACAAATTAGCAATTAAACCTGGCAATTAAAGGGGCTCCTCTGAAAAAAAAAAAAAAAAAAAAAAAAAAAAGGAAAGCAAAACCCACAGCTACGGTTACGGTTACGGATGCTGTACCATGGGCATGTACTATATCTTCATTGGCTTGATGTGTAGAATACGACGCTGAGACAATTGTTATATATACAAGCCCATCATGCAGCCGCTCTTTGCTCTGCGGCATATTGTTCTGCTCGACGTTCAGCCTCCTCGGCTCCCAGCTCCCCAAAAATATCAATTCCCCATCGGAAGGGATAGTTGTAGCGCTGGCTCCTGTCAAGCTTGTTGAGGGTTTCGAATTCGGCGTCCGGAATGACAAAGTCTGAGTGTATTAGACTTAGTGATGGAAATATAGGAATGCCCATAGGGTTTATACCTTGGAAGTTGCTTTCAATGCGGGACGGGGTGACACTCTTTGGTAGCACAGATGTACCACGCTGCACTGCCCAGGAGATCAGGACGGCTGCCGGGTCTTTGCCTAGACGATTTGCAATTTCTTTAACGGTGGGGTCATCAACCACTCTGCCATGTCACCGGTTAGTAGCAACGAAAAATAGTATTTGGGTATGAATCTATTGAAAAGAGAGGGGAATACCTGGGTGCATTATAAATGTTGTTTCCGAGAGGACTATAGGCGACTGTGAGGATATCCTTGTCTTTGGAGTACTGAGTAAGCTTCGGCTGCTGGAGGTATGGGTGAGCCTCAATCTGGTTGACAGCAGGAGGGATCTCTGCTGTTTTGAGCAGTTCCTCGAGCTTTTCGACGGTGAAATTGCTGACACCGATACTCCTGATCTTGCCCGCTTTGACGAACCCTTCCAGCACCTTCCAAGTGTCAGCTGTAGGCACATCTGCGAGACGGAAGCGTTTCGTTGTAGGGTCAATTGGAGTGAGTGTTTCATTTGTGTGCTCGAATGCGACGGGCCAGTGAATCTAGAATTTGTTAAAGAACCTTCCTCTAGCAATCTCGAAACTGGACATACTAGATAGAGATCAAGATAGTCCGTCTGAAGATCCTTCAACGTCTTGTTGAGTGCCTCCTCCACATTTTTGGGGTGGTGATGCGTATTCCACAGTTTACTCGTGATCTTTAGGATAAGGTCAGTTCCAAATCCAATAGCGGTCCAAAAACAGGTTAACACTAACGAATATCTGGTCTCGCGGCACTCCAGATTTCTTCCATCCATTTCCCACTTCGTTCTCGTTTAGGTAGCATGCAGCGGCATCAATATGGCGGTACCCTGCGCGCAGCGCCGCATCGACGGCATTCTCAACTTCGTGAGGTTTGGATAGCTACTTTGTTAGTGATACTGGACATGGAAGCGTCTCGGTGCAATAAGCGTACCCAAGTACCCAGACCGACTGCGGGAATGCTGTGCCCCGAGTTGAGCTTGAAAGAGCGTCCAAGAGACATGTTGCGTAGTTGGAGTCTGGAATGTATGCTGAGATTGTCGAACGTGAGGAAACGAAGACGCATGGTCTGCGAGATGAAACCCAAGGGGAGGGGTACTTATACCCCTCCTCAACCCCCTGGGCGCAGTTGGCGGATCGTCGCAATGTCTCCGATTATGTTCCAACCGCGCTATAGTAATCCATCGCGATTGCGCAATGGCATACTCGTCATCTCAGGTACCGATCTCGAATTTCCCTTAATTGCATAATTAACGAAGCTACGGAATGCATCTTAAGGCCATGGCCCTCTTGCCCTTCAGGAAAACCTGCTACAAAGATATAAATACTTGGTAGTACCGGTATCGCCTCTACCGGAGAATAGCCCAAATTGCGCTGTAGATACTAGTGAATATCGGAGAATTGTATTTGAATTTAGAGAGAGCCTGGCCATTAGGTGTATCTCATACGACAAAAAGATGGTTTTGCGATTTCTAAGTAGGGATATGTAATTGAATTGGTGAACATTAGTATTGACAAGTTGAAACTATAGAAAGGCGGGGCATAAACCGCGCGGTCACGGGATAACACACTTGGCGCTGCTGCCCCGCCGTAATAATGAGGGCCCGAAAAAGAAGTGGGCGGGACGCTTTGAGTCAGTGAATATCCCAAGCCCTGATCGAGTCCGCCAACACCGTCTGCCCTCTTCCTCCTCACGCCGGTCTATGTGCCGTGGCCTTCAATTGCAACCATGGCGTCCGATTTAACGAACCCCGTCCTTGAGGCCTTGTCCACCTCCGAGGAGCCGATTATCTCCAGCAAAGCCTTCCCCTCCACCCCCTCACTTCAAGTCAAAAGTGCGCTTGATCGGCTCGCTTCACGACTTATGGTCGAATATGAGGCAATCAATGGTGAGGCTATTACTCTGACGAAAGAAGGAGAGGATATCGTTGCCAATGGCAGTCACGAAGCTAAGGTTTTCCAGGCGGTGCTTGCTGCCATGGATGGGTTGAAGATCAAAGATTTGCCTGGAATTGTCGGGAAAGAAAACGCCCAGATCGGACAAGGAAACGCTTTCAAGAAGGGCTGGATCAAGAAGGACAGTGATGTCTTCCGTGCGACAACCGACACCATTGTCGACGACACTCAAGCCAACCTATTAAAAATTAAGGAAACCGGGGCCTTATCGGACGGCAAACTTCTGGCGGAACTGAGAAAGCGGAAGCTTGTCACTGTTCAGAAGGTCATTACCTATAAGATCTCAAAGGGCCCCAAGTATGCCAAGGAACTGGTCAAGGAGGAGACAGACCTGACGGTTGAGATGCTCCAGAATGGGTCATGGAAGACTGCCCATTTCAAGCCTTACAACTTCAAGGCCAAGGGTGCCCCTCACCCCTCGGGTGCCTTCCACCCCCTCAACAAAGTCCGACAGGAGTTCCGAAACATCTTCTTCGAGATGGGTTTCGAGGAAATGCCGACCAACCGTTTCGTCGAGACCGGCTTCTGGAACTTTGATGCCCTATATGTACCCCAACAACACCCCGCTCGTGATCTTCAAGACACCTTTTACATCTCCGACCCCGTCACGGCCGACCCTCCCCGCGCAGACCCTGATTTTGATCCCCACCGCCCTAAGAGCGTGTTCAAACCCTCTGGAACGGAGAAGAAACTTGATTACAAGGAATACTGGGAGAATGTGCGCCAGGTCCACGAGGAAGGCAAGTACGGGTCGATCGGTTACCGCTACCCATGGAGTGCGGAGGAGTCATTGCGGCTGGTTCTTCGCACACACACCACCTCCGTCTCGACATACATGCTCCACAAGCTCGCCGCCAACCCTCGACCAGCCAGATATTTCAGTATTGACCGTGTCTTCCGTAACGAAGCGGTTGACGCAACACATTTGGCTGAGTTCCACCAGATTGAAGGTGTCATTGCTGACTTCGGCCTGACCCTCGGCGGTCTCATTGGCTTCATGGAAGTGTTCTTCGCCAAGATGGGCATTCACCAGCTCCGCTTCAAGCCTGCCTACAACCCTTACACCGAGCCCAGTATGGAGATCTTCGGTTACCACGATGGTCTAGGCAAGTGGGTCGAAATCGGAAACAGTGGTATGTTCCGGCCGGAGATGTTGGAGCCTATGGGTCTTCCCAAGGACATGAGAGTATACGGATGGGGTCTCAGTCTTGAGAGACCAACGATGATCAAGTAAGCACCCCTGAAATAAGTAACATTGAGATCATTAAATCTAACATTGGGTCCCTCCCCTTCAGGTACGCTGTGAGCAACATCCGAGAGCTGCTCGGCCACAAGGTCGACCTCAACTTCATCGAAACAAATCCGGCGGTAAGATTAGAAAAGGAATAAACGAGTCAGAAACGAGAAAAAAAGATGTGCTACGCAGTTGGCGATTCCTATCATGATTGAACATAGAAGAGGCGCTCCAAAAGAATTAAAGCATTATATACCCTTCTCAATCCATGGATCTACGAACGAAACCAGTAGAGCATTATAATAAGCACGGTATTCCGTTCACTGCCTACACACTGCCTCTCAACTCAAACCAACCACCAAGACTGGTTGCCCAACAGGCAAGGTCGACCTAGGTTCTAGGAAGGGAATGTTCCACCCGTATCTGTGCCCCAGCGCACGTCTCTGCAGAAGTGGCTCTTCAGTAGGCGGTAAATTGTAATCTTCGGCAGGTATATGAAGAATATTACGATTCTACCTTCTCGCTCATGGAGAGGAGCAGATGTATGTTACGAGAACATGCAATCCGGTCCCTGTGTGAGGAGGTATCGAGTGCCGAGTTGCAGTAGAAAGAACCCTTGTAACCAATCACATGCGAACAAAAAGACCCAAAGCCAGCGAGCTGAGTTTAAGTGGCTAGAGGAAAGAAAAAACATGGATAAAAGTATAGCAGATAGAAAATAAAAGGATTGGAATGAAATGGATTTGAATTGATTGATTCTGAAGATCAAATTTTAATTCTTTAAACTGAACATCGTATCAGGCGTAGGACCACAATACAGGATATATCATGATCACCTTCTCATCTCATTCCTAACGGGGGGAAGAACGATCATTAGTCTCACGCTCAACAATTTCTTCTTCGTTGTGTTGGACGTCGGAAAAACTCACCAATCCCCAACACCGTCCTTTTTCCATTATCAAACGGTAAAGAATTTACCGCTGACGGCTGGCAGTCCACACGTTCCGGATGTATCCATCGCGCTGGGTAAGGCGGTTGAAGGAGTCGTCGCTCTCGCCGCGGGCACGGATGAAGCCGCACAGAGCGTAGGTCTGGTTCTCGCCGGTGTAGCGGCCGTTCTCGTCAACCTTGCCGATGGAGATCTGGACGGAGGCGTGGTCGTTGGCCTTGATGATGCGGTTGGTGGCGCTGCACTTGCGGGGGACGTAGCTGGGGGGAAAGAGAAATGTTAGTGCTTCGTTTGTTGCGCCTGCTCGCTTGTTTTCGATCTGCTTTTTTTTCTTCTCCTCCAAAGGACGGCGAGCCAAAGCCAGGACAGGTAATCGGGTCAAAATGTTGCGCAGAAACTGAATTAATTCATTCGGTAATCCAAACGCCCATCGAATATCCCACCACCGTCCTCGCTTGGTCCCAGGTCCCAGTGCTGTGCTGAAAATCCGACAAAATCAAGGAATTGTGGAAAAGGTGTACGTACAGATCGACGATTTCTCCCTTCTCGTTCTCCATTTTGGCGGTTGTGTTGTCTGAGGTCGACGACGAACGGTGATAGACGGAGGTGCGCTGCGGGTTGGACTGAACGGTCGTGTCGAACTTTTGGCTTGCCGTGAATTCGGGCAGCCGGTTGTGTGGGTCATGTGATTTTTGTCGAGGGCTAGTGGGACCCAGCTTGTGGCGGTGAGGGGAGTGGACTGTGGCTGGGTTGTTTTACTGTGGCTGATTCAGAGCAACGCATGCCTGATGTTTCGGGTGTCGACTACCACTATAAGTAGACCATCAAGCCTGCAACTAGCTGAAGATAACTCGTATTATCTAGTAGTATATAGACAGTATATGTGTATATAGGTTATATATTAGATGTTACTCTTATTCCCAGGAAAAACGTCTTTTTTCCAGGCCATACTAAGTTCGCGAGAACTGCCATCCTTAAACCGTACGAATACCACCCGATCAAACTCTCCCCGACGTTCTGTTCCCTGTAGCTCCGGGCCGGGATGATCTAATTTCATTATTGCACGTCCATCGTCTGTAAATTTACCAACTTTTGGAGAGATACACTTCTCCGTCCACGGGGGGCTGCTGGAATGGGCAAACTCTATCAGTTGAGTGCGCCTCTGCTGCAGCTCTTCTGCGGGGGCAGTTCGAGTTCCCTTATCCAGGAACTGTGATACCAGACTCAATAGGACAAACTGCGGTGGGTACAGAATAATTTCACCTTGCCCTGCTTGGCGGAGCCATTCCGATGCAGGTAAGAATTGCGCCTCAGCGATTTCAACTCCTCCGTCACTCGTTGGAGTTTGGATTTCTTCGCGCTCACCCTCTGCGGGAATCTCACTTAACAGTGACTTGTCTGACTCCAGAGGCAGGGGTAGAAAGTAGAGATACATCTGTGTGGTGTAGCGCTTTGGGACATTTGGCGGGGTGACCCATCGTGTGAAGGGAATCAGATTGTCTTTTTGTTTTCCATATTAGCAGGCATAACAACGAGAAAAGTTGACTAATGTCATCTAACCTATATCTGGCACAGCCGCAGTATTTTGCTTCTGTAGCCATTCTGAAAACGTCGTTTTCTTCTGGTGAATCTCCCGGCGGCCCTTGTCGCGCTCCTCTTCTCGGACCGCGAGCATCTTCCCAGAGCTCTGGTCCTTGGCGAGAAGAATTCCGCTCTCCTCGAATAGCTCGCGGATAGCGGCATTGCGGTACCAAGACGCATCTTCATGCCTCTTCACATCTTCAGGCGGTGGGCATCGCCCGTCCTGGAGTGAAAGGTTCCCTCCAGGAAAGACGTGGGCAGAAGCGAACGACGTAGATGTCTTGACGCGATGAAGTAAGAGAATCTCATTCGTGGGGGATATCAAAACCACACTGCGCAGCGTTAATTGGTATTGTACTCACCACCAGTGGGAGGTTTTGGTTTCGCGGTAAGAGCAATACGGCAACTCACCTCGAGCTGGGCCTGGGAGCAGCCGGCGGCTTCTTCTGCTTGGAAGGCATATTTCGGGACGAGGCAAACCGGGATTGAGATACAGAAGAGCTCGGTCTAGAGCAGTAGGATCCAGCTACAACTGTCCAGCAAGCAGACAAAATTGGTCGTGGGTTAGTTGTAAATGATCGCAGGCCTGTGTAGCCTCGGACAAGCTCCAGGTGGTGGTGAATTAGCCGGGCGGAGCGTGGAGACACATGGGGTCCAGGGTTCATGTCCGCTTTGGCAGATGCAGCCGAGGCGCTTTAGCAGGGAAGCAAGGTAACTAGCAGTCAATGAGAGCAGCAACAGAACGAACCATTGATTGATCTCGATCGCCGCGAGTGGTAGAGGTGGCTGGTTGATCCTGGCTACCGAAGCGGAAGTTGAACCTCGGTCGGGCGACCCCGCGCTTAACCGATGGAACATCACTCGACAACAAAGTCTGAATATGAACTTGAAGCTAAGATCAGAGAAATTCTGTACTCTGAAGAAGGCTTGGTCTCCGTCGGAATAAGCTCTGATTTGAGTGGTGGCTCAAGCTTCTTCCCATTGATCCCCACCTCAGGCCAGCCCTAAGTTCATCTGGGCTCTGGGCATAAACCGCATATTAATGACTGTTCACCATAGACCAGTTTCTGCGTAAACTCTAAATACAGTTTATTGCTCTGAGCCAGTCCATTAAATACACTACAAACAAGCCTGTACCTCGGAGCGCCAACCATGGATACGTCGAGAGGCAATTCTACCAGGCAGGGTGGCCGTGTGAGGCAGGAGCACCCCAAAATGGACAACCAGCAGCGATTCTTGACGTATTGATACCGTATCTTCAAATAATTACAGTCACTTCACATCACTCAGTCACTGTTTCGACTTGCAGCTCCTTGTTTGCAGCCTATGGGTTTCTCGATTTGCTCTGATATTCACAGCTGGCAGGTCAGGAACCACAACTGCTCAGTGCCCTGCCTAAAAATAACAAACTCAGTGACAGTTACTTCTCCCCGGGCCAGCCATGGTATTTCAGGAACTAAGTTATGCTCGCTCAATCGGAGCTGTCCTCCAGGATCACGTCCAATATATTTTGCGCAAAAAAGCTTGACCACTACGGTGAGTCAACCGAAACTTTTCCTCTGTTAGCTCGTCTATTTAATCATCTCTGCCACTCCCCTGTCCCTTCCCTTCTTCTTTCCCTCTCCAACTCACTGCCATTCCTCGCTTTCTGGTGTTGTTTCTCAAGGCGTTCCAGAGACTACTCGTTGGTTTCACTGACGCAGCAGTTGTTCTTTGCCCCCCTTGTGCTTGACCATCCTGGAATTGCTACAGTGTTCTACTTTCTCGGGTGTTTGTCTTCAGTTTCAGCAAATAACTGCGTTCTGGGGGTGCTTGTCTGACCTGATCCCTCCTTGGACGATGTTCAAGAGGCAGTTGAGTGTTCCTAGCCCTTCAGTTTACTGCCTTTACTAACTTATCAATCAGCACCAGTGTCTACTTAAACTCTCCTGGTTGGATTTGGGGCTGCCTTTCAGGCGATCCAGCTTCGAGGTTGAGTTGCGGTAGGTGGACTTTCTTTCTTACCTGTCTCTGGGTTGCCTCTGGTATTGACGGTAAACAGTGCTGTTTACATCCCCGAGTCTGTGGTCCCTGTCTCTGAGTCGTATACTGGAGTGGGGTGGGCCCGAGTTTATAAAGGCTATAGAGGCTATAGGGGCTGGGTGAAGCGGTGGGACTGACGGCCAACGGGCCAGGCCAGGTACTAACTTGTCCGGCACCGTGCATGGGAGCTAGACCCAGTTGGAGACACCTAACTTGACTTCTAGCTTTTCTTGTTCAACACTCCCAAGGCCTTGGTAGGGTGGCAGGGTCGGGCCTGGGACACTTGTTCTTTTTTTCAAAGACGTGAGTCATGTAACTTCCATGCCCAAATCACTCAGTGTATGGATCACTGCTAATGTATTCTTCTACACTGCTTCATCAGGCCATTTGTCAATCTATGTGGCGTGGGGTATAAGGGTTGGATTGTTTCTGGAATGGGGGAAATCATGGAAGATGTATATAGTCGTGCTTCAACTTCATTCAACCTCATTATACTTCTATCGGTAATGAATAGGTTCCATATTACCCACCAAATAATACCATATTTACGTATTTAGTCAACCTGACTGAAAACATTTCCTGCCTTAACAAGCGCCAAAATTGGAATCGAGATACTCCACGCCCACAAACCCGTCCGCACATAACTGATCGCCTCGGACCGCGCTCCCATATACGTCGCCATGTACAAAAGCCGCACACCTATGTACTCCAGCGAGAGGATATTGAGTTCTTTTGTGGGGAGCTTGGCAACATTCCCCGCTAGCTAAATAAATTAACAGAACTTTTTGTTAGTAAGTAGTCTCCCCCCGGAAGATGGTCATTCATCTCGTACCATAGCAACAGCAAAGAGAGGAACATTCTCCATGGCGTTTAGATGAGCGCCGCGGGCTTTGGCGAGCTGCGTCCATACTTTATCTGTGACTTTGCCTTTGAGACTGGACAGGTTTTCACGTGGACTAAATTTGCCAAAGAGGGTGTTGGTGTTAGCGAGTAGCTACATAGGCGGGGAGCTGACACATAGGAGGAGGTGGGAGAGTACACACAGAATGTTGCTGGCCATGCCGTTTGCGTTGGCCATCATCTTGACAAAATAGTAGCCGTGGGGGATCAGGCCGACCCCGTATGCGGCGACGATGGAGTGGACTGAGTAGTTTGTTGGAGTTGGAGCGGACATTGTGATGGGCTGATTAGGGCTGATTAGGGTTTGGGGAGGAACTCGAATTGAATATTATTGATGATGAGACAGATAGCTATTGGAAGACACTGGGATTTGAGCTGAGTGATTTCTTGTCACATTGACTACTGGCTTGGGGGTTTATATATGCTGCACTTTTGTGGTTTTGCATAACGAGACTGGTATAACGAGCCTATTACTATCGCTTCATTCCAACCACTCAGGGAGTATTGCAGTAAGCCTAAGGTTACATGAAACAAAATAGGGACATCTCGTATTCGGCATTTCCTCACCATAATTTGCGAGCGCCGGAAATGACACCAGCGATTGCACTGCGTATAAGAAGGTCTCGTATCCGCCCCGCTGGAAGCATAACGTTATGTTCTCTTGCGGCCACTACCCCTCTCATTCAACCATCAACGACAAGGTCAATTTTACATCCCACTTGCGATATACCAGCATAACCTGCAGGCGATACTAATTCGAATACATTGAATTCTGCGTAATGCCGCCAAAGCGGGGAAATCGGGACTTGGCTGTCCCTGACATAACGGAGGATGCGGCGGAGAGAAAGAGAGTGCTGAATGTGCTAGCGCAGAGGAGATATCGTATGTTTCACATCCTTTCTCCGGTATTGTCATTTAAAGCTAAGAGAGAACAGGAAAGCGAAAGAGAGATCGCCTGCAGACCCTCCAGGCGCAGGTAGAGAAACAGGGTGACGGAGCTGTGGAGGCAACACATCCCCAAAGGGCTCTGACAGAATCTGAATCCCCCGACCAGCTGCCTCTTCAAAATGGCGTAGACAAGACGTATTTCAACGATTTCGATTTGTCTCAGCCACTGCTTGGCCAGACTGTGGAAGACTCTGCGATTCAAGATTGTCTGGACGTCTCTCATCTCGGTCTCCCGGCGCCTGATATGGCACCATCACCGGGGTTCCTTTCACTCCTATCGACGCAGGATCCTTCACAGGTTTTTCCTATACAGGGAGTTTTAATGAATGACGATCCTTTTGCATCCCAAGCTCCGCTGTCCCATACTCCAAGTGGATTCGACCCTGACGATAACCAGCTCTTCAGCTGGCCCGACTCTAACCTCTACGAACCCGACAATGCACACAACCTCTCAGACCAACTCCAGATATCTGAATCATCCATCTTCACTTTCCCAGATGATCACACACTTGAGATCCCATCTCTTAAACTACTGAACGCTGCAATGAAAGTCGCCGTCCGTCTCAACGTCGCCCACATGCTCTGGGACCATACCGCAGTTAGCCCTTTCTATCAAAACCCAGCAGAGAAAGGCCAGCAGCATCCATCACCACCCTCTCTAACATCCTCATCCTCTTCTTTCACATCTTCTCCCAGATCATCTGGACAACCGTCATCATCATCATCCTCAACAACACCAAACCCCATTCCCCAAGACAACCTCCCACCACACCTCCGCCCAACCCGCACCCAGCTCCTCCTCCCACACCACCCCGTGCTCGACATCCTCCCATGGCCCAGCACGCGCGACAAACTGATCCAAATATTCAATCTCCCTCTGCCTCTGCGTCCCAAATCCGCCCAGGACCCCTTCGGGATGGTCCGGCTGGTCTATGACATGGAAGACGACAGCGGCGAGGGGATCCGGATTCACGGCGCAGATGTGTTTGAGCTTGCGTCTTGGGAGATCGGGCAGGTGGTGTTTGAGCGCTGGTGGTGGGCTTTTGAGGGTGGGTTGGTGGAGAAGTGTGATCGCGCGAGGAAGGGGAGGGGCGAGGGGGGTTTGGTTATGGGGGTTGGTGGGTAGATAATGTGGCACTACTATTGAAGTATGGTAGGGTAAGTTAGGGTAGGTTAGGGTATCTAGAAATGGGGGTAGAAGATTTAAGATTTTGTATTAGATCTACGAGAAACCTTTTACATAGTAGGAAATGAGAATCTAGCCGAAGAATAATCATTTGTTTATCCCCGTCTAACTCCTAAACCACATGTCGTACTTTTTTTCGAGTTCATGCGAATAACATAACGTCGTCGAGTGATAAGAATACCAAGAAAGGATCATGGAAAGCGTCAACAAGAAACGGAAGATGGCAATATACTCAAGCTTTTACCGCTTATGAGTAGAGCTTCTTGTCGTAGCTGTGCAGACCGTGGATGTTACCCTCGGCCATGGCACTAGCGCTGCGGACTTCAAACCGGACGGTGCCATTGTCCACAGATTCGTGAAGCTCGTTGACGCTCTTAACGCCGATCTCCTGGAGAGAATGCTGGACACCAGCAACGAGGTAGGGGATGAACTTGGTGACGGAGCCACGGTCGAGAACCGAACCAGCGACACCCTGCGCGACGAGGACACCAGCCTTCTCGGAAAAGTACCGGGCAGTCCCGGCGTTGCTGGCTTTGGTGTCCGTCTTGGTACCAGCAGCCTTCTTGTCCTCCATGGCGGCGATACTGCCCATGCCACGGTAGGCCTTGACAAGCTGACCCTCGTTGCTGACGAAGTATTCACCGGGAGACTCGGTGGTACCAGCGAGAAGACCACCCATCATGACAGTCGAGGCACCCATGGCGAGACCCTTAACGATGTGGCCAACGTTCTCGATACCACCGTCGGCGATACAGGGAACACCGAAGCGGGCGGCAAAGTGGGAGACGCGGCGGACAGCGAGGGCCTGGGGACGACCGACAGCCATGACCTCCTGTGTGATACAAGCACTGCCGCTGCCCATGCCAATTCTCAGGCCATCGACACCAGCAGCGATCAAAGCGGCGGCCTGGTCCCGAGTCACGACGTTTCCACCGATGACATCGATTTCAGGGTAGGTCTGCTTGACGAACTTGATCATCTCAATCTGGAACTTGCTGTTACCTTGACTGCTATCAAGGATAATAATATCAAGGCCAGCTTCGACAAGGAGCTTCAGTCTGTGCTTGTCCTCCTCGCGTGTTCCGATAGAGGCAGCGCAGATCAGCTGCTTGGAGGCAGGCAGCTTAGAAGCATTGGGGTAGTGGAGGTTCTTCATCAGATCGCTCCGGGAGAGAAGGGAGACGAGGTTGCCACCCTCATCGACAATCGGCAGCTTTCCCTTCTTGGAGCTACGGAGTACATCGTTAGCCTCAGCCAATGTGGTACCAGCAGGAGCTGTGACGAGGTCGGTAGACATGACAGCAGTGACGGAATCATCGAGGTTAGGGTGGAATTGAATGTCGCGAGTAGTAACAATACCCACGAGCTTCGAGCGGAGTGTTCCGTTATCTGCGAGTAAATACTCGTTAGCCTATTATATTGCTTGATGATATGCAAACTTGGAATGTGATCAAGTTTAATAAGAGTCAGATTAAAATCTGTTTCTCTACATTGCAACTCTCGTCGCTTCGGTGGAACGAAAGTTATATAGAAAATAGATGGAAAATCATCATGAGAGAAGGAAATTTTGCGAATAAATAGAACTTACCAGTAACTGGGAAACCGCCGAAACCCCACTTGGCCTTCAGGTCCTTTGCTTCTCCGACAGTAGTCTTGGGAGAGAGAACAACCGGGTCCAAGATAAAACCGTTCTCGTAACGCTTGACCTTCCGGACCATCTCAGCCTGGTCTTCTGGAGCGCAGTTGTGGTGGATGACACCCAAGCCACCCAAAAGAGCCATGTGAATGGCCATGTTGTGCTCGGTGACAGTGTCCATGGGCGACGACAGGAGGGGAGCCTTCAATGTGACACGCTTGGTGACCGGGGTGTCCAAAGAAACATCGGAAGCAGGAAAGCCTTGCCATGAAGTTCAGTCACTGATCGTGGTTTAGGGACCAGCGCGTGGCTTACCGATATATCCCGGCAGAACAAGGAAGTCATTGTAGGTCAAGGCACCGTGCTTGTCGGAGTCAAGGAGCGTATCAACATCAAGACCGTCGCGGGTGGTATAGTCCTTTTCCAGGACCTCCAGGGCCTTTGTGTAGTCCTGGAACTCGGCCTGCATGGCCCGTCCCAGTGAGTCACCGTTGGCAATAGGCATTTTTGGAAAGAGGGAAATCTACGGTCTCTATCAAAACACGTAGATGGGTAAAAAGAAAAAGATGAGATATTAATCAACAGATCGACGATAGAAACGTTCTGTTGATGGAGAAGGTCTTCCTTTCCCAAAGAAAAGAAAGAAGAAAGAAAAAGAGAAGAAAAATTTCGAGGAGAAATACTGCCTCTGAACTCCGTTGCCGCACAAGCTACTGCAATTCAGCCATACCAAAAGCAGTGTTGCGGATCGAATTCACCTGTTTCATTGGCCAGCAGTTGAAATTTTTCAAGGCGGTGAGAGAGGGGAGCTTGATGACGAATCAGCCAGTCGAACCCCGCCGAAGATTTGGGTGGCAGCACTGGTAACTAGTGGAACTGGAAGGCACCTAAAACGTCGGGTCCTCGAGATTCTGCTGGACTGGCAGTGGCAGGTCAGCTTACCAAGCATGTGTAACAGGGCCATTTATCTTCATACAAAACAGTTATATGGGGTGGTAAAGGTCTGGAGACGAGCTGTTTTCCGTCGCTGTTCCGAGGCACGAGGTCCACAGGCACAGGGGCGCAAATTTAAGTATACTGTCAGCAGAATGCATAGTGCGACATGAGTGTCTTTGTGTAAGGCCCCAGAAGAAATATTGAGAGAGGTACACGGGAGCCTGTCATTCCACGGATGTATTTCCAATTCATATTGGGTCACTTTAAACCGAAACACTGAGGATGCTAAATACTGGATAAGCTGAAGCAACGATACAAAGGAGGCCATGACAACGGCCACGGCCGTCACGACATAAACTGAACGACATCAGCAGAAACAAGGCCATCCTCAGTACCTGAGCCATGGCTTTGCTGCAGCAAGCGGCTTGTCCCATCCTTCCTCGTTGGTCCATACGCTCATACTTTCCACTTCATCCTTACCCAACTTGAGACCATTGTAAAGATGCTAGGCTAGGTTAATTTTTGATGTAATCGAAGCCGCATTTCCCAGGCTTACAGGAAATAAGCCCTCTTCTGGCCGCGGCCCACAAACACGACCTTCGGGGTCTTCAAAACGGATGTCCCGTGCTACGCGGCCATACGGGATCCTCAGCACATAAACGAGAGGTTCATCTTTGAAGAAGATTTTCAAAGTGTTGGGCACTTGAAGCGCTGTTGAAAGGTGCACAAACCCAGACTTCAGGTCGATTTCACTGACCGGGAGCTGATCCGGAAGAGGCTCCCGCACAGGGGCGGTAGATGGGATAAGTTTATATAAGTAGGATGGTTCGGCTGCGCTCATTCTGATGACGGTGGGAAAGTTAAATATTCAACGTCTGGATATGATTCTTGTAAGAGGGGAAACTTGGAGACAGCAACTAAGTAAGAATGACGAGATGAATTGCTGCCAAGCCTTCCTTATTCCCAGACGAAGTGCTTGAGGCTTGAACCAGGAGATCGATCCACATCATCTTATCTCGGGATAAAGCCAAAACAATTTATTGACTGTGGGACAGGGACCAGACAGTATTCATGGCCATTTGAGATGATTCCTCAACCTTTCCCCGTCGTTTTGGGCTGCACGACGGAAAAAGTAACGCCAGATCGACGCAAGGGGTCCTATTGTTCGATCTGGACGCCGAAACTCGCGAAATACGAAACATTTTCCGAAGAACGTGAGGACACTGGCATCTTCTTATTGTTTGCCCTCAGCTGCAAGAATTGGACGATGATTCAATTGTCAGAAAGCTCGAGCTTTGGAGATCAGCCTTGGAGTTTGGCGCTTGTGTGGCTGGTCGGCGATAAGCGTGACGATAACCAGCCACCATACCCGATCGGGAGATTTGTTTGTGGGAGGCTGGGAACTTGCTTTCCTCCCGATCTCGTCCTTCCCCTCCCACTTGCGATGCTTTCTCTCTCGTCCTGTCTTGACCTTGACGAATTTCTCAGTCGACAATAAAATAAACGACTTTTTTTTCCTTCTATTTTTCTTTTGTCTTTGTCTTTTCTTTCTCCCTCTCTCTTGCCTCTGTGCCGAGAATCTGGACCTCTGCGGGACGGAGACAACCCGTTTCTATATCAACCGATCCTCCCGCTACCTGGGTGCTATGCAGCTTCTCCCTTGAATGCGCATTCCGTCCAAGAAACCGCACAACCCAATCGCTGTCGCACCCATTCCGCCCATCGACAGCTTCGCTTCGTGAAGGAGGCATGCGGCCTACTGAAGCCAATCATCCCTTTCTTCTGATTCTCGTCGCATTCCTGTTCTCGGGACGGTACCAGTGATGTCCATGCACACAGCGTCGCTTCGCCGTGCGCAAACCGATCTTCCGACACAAACTTCGAGTCCCCTCCGCCATGACTCGACGGCTTCAACAAATTCGTCAATCTATTCTGTCTCCTCGAGTTCTTTTGCCCCCAGTCGCACCAGCACTGTCTCCTCAAACGCGTCCATCGGTTCGGCCACTGGCCTTGGGCATAAGCGCGGCAAAAGCGAGGTAAACACAACAGCGATGCACCAAAATATGGGTGGAGGTGCGCCGGAATGGTCCAACGCAGGCGCAACATACAAAGATATTCGCCGTTCGCTGCGGCCGCTCACCCAAGCTCCGAACTCTTCTCCTCCAGCAAACAAGCATGTTTCATTTCGCCACTCCAGGAGTCAAACGGTCGACAATCCGCAGTATTGGAAGGAGAATCGCCCACAAACTCCCGAAACCAGCTATGGCCATAACCAGGACATTGAACCCTTCAAGGAAAGAGGCTCTCCCAACGTGATGACTTCCCCAAAGCCTAGCTCGCCTCATCCTGAGTCCCCTCACGCGAGGTCCCACGTTAGAGCGAACCACTCCCATAGCGTTTCCAGTCCTCATCCACCCCAATTAACAGCCGCTCTCTCGGCTCCAGAACTGGAGACGTTCCAAAAATCATCCACGGGTCACCTTCGCGCCTTGTCGAAGTTTGCAAAGTCTGGTGCCACAGAGGAATTCTCTATTGATACTTTCACACCTTCAGTTGTGGGACTTCAAGGACGACGGCGACTGAAGAGGTCTGACTCAGTAGCTGCCAATCATGGCCCAAGAACTCCTCAACGACCGACCACATCAGCGTGGACAGCTGGGCATTGGATGGACGCACAGCGACAATTCTTGCAGGCTTACGAGTACCTTTGCCATATCGGAGAAGCCAAAGAGTGGATTGAAGAGATTATCCAACAACAAATTCCACCGATCGTACAACTTGAAGAGGCCCTGCGTGATGGTGTTACCCTAGCTGAAATCGTACAATCAATGTACCCCAATCGACCCTTGCGAATTTTTCGGAATCCGAAATTGCAGTACCGGCACTCTGACAATATAGCCTTGTTCTTCAGATTTCTCGACGAGGTGGAGTTACCGGAGCTCTTCCGGTTTGAGCTTATCGACTTGTACGAGAAAAAAAATATCCCCAAAGTGATACACTGCATCCATGCGCTGTCATGGCTATTATTCAAGAACGGTCTAGTTGACTTCCGAATGGGTAACCTTGTTGGTCAACTGCAGTTCGAGCACCATGAACTAGAACAGACCCAGAAAGGCCTCGATAAGGCAGGGGTTAGCATGCCAAGCTTTACTGGCATGGCCGCCAACTTCGGCGCTGAGCCAGAACCTGAACCCGAGTCAGAAGAGGACCGAATCGAACGAGAACTACACGAGAATGAAGATTCTATTGTCGACTTCCAGGCTCAACTTCGAGGCGCCATGTTACGCTTAAGCTTGGGCAACTTGATGAACGATCTATGGGACTTTGAGCCGCTTCTTGTTGAGCTCCAATCCATGATACGAGCAGATTGGACAAGACAAGTCGTTCAGTACCGCATCGATATGCGAAGGTTTGCCGTCAACCTCCAGGCAAATTGCCGCGGGTTCATCGTGCGACATCGCCAAAGGGATACTAAGCAAAATTACAAGGCCCTCGAGAAAAACATTCTCCAGTTTCAAAGTGCAATCCGGGGATCTAAAGCTAGAGTTCAAGCAGACTATCTCCGAATTCAGCTGTTGAGACAGGAATCGGGAATTAAACAAATCCAAGCTGCTGTCAGGGGTGCTCTCCAACGTAAAGCCGTCTGCGATCTTTACGATGACATCTCAGACGCAGAGGGACATGTCCAGTTGCTGCAGGCTGCCATCCGTGGAGCTTTACAGCGTTCACAGGTCTCAAAGCAGTACGAGGAGACCCAGTGTGCGGAGGAAAAGGTTCAAGGATTACAGGCAGCAATTCGCGGTGCGTTGCTGCGTAGCCGCATGAGCGCTCAGTCAGAGCAGATTGCGCAGACCGAGGAAAGTGCAGACATCGTTCAAGCGGCAATTCGAGGAATGCTGCTTCGTCAAAATATCACCCAGACGCTTTCGTCTCTCGGTGCCGAAACTAGGTCGATAGTATCTATCCAAGCATACGCCCGTGCTGCAGCCGCCAGAAAATCGCAGTCGGCATTGAACGCGTCGCTTGCTAAGGAGGTGCAGGGCTTTATTAACCTTCAGTCTATGGTCCGTGGCGGTTCTCTGCGAAAAGACATTGCGACTACACGAGAGGCGCTGGCTCAACATTGTTCTTCATTGATTGACATCCAAAGCACTGCCCGTGCTAATGCCTTGCGGTCCTTCTTGGAGTCCCAAAGGGAAGCTCTCGCAAAAGAGAGCACCTCTGTTTTGGAGGTTCAATCGATGGCCCGCGGTGTCATCCTAAGGATGCGCCTAGAAGAGGATCGGTCAATGCTGCAACAGGAAGAACCCGCCATCGTGGAGCTCCAAGCACTCGCCCGCGCAGCTGTTCTACGGATCCACGTTGGAGGTATTCTAGAGCAGCTGGACGATTGTGACTATGAGATCAGCGAATTACAAGCGCATATCAGAGCCATGATCGTCCGAGTAGATGTCGGTCAAACCCTCGCTGAGCTTGCAGCCGAAGAAGACATCATCGCCGATTTCCAGTCCCGAATCAGAGGACACGTCGTCCGGGCGAAATTTGAAGAAAAGCGCCGTTACTACCAGGAGAACATGGAGAAAGTGGTCAAGGCGCAAAGCTTTGTGCGGGGCCGAATCCAAGGTCAGGCATACAAGAGTCTTACTAGCGGCAAAAACCCACCTGTGGGAACGGTAAAAGGATTCGTACACCTTCTAAACGACAGCGAGTTCGACTTTGATGAAGAAATCGAATCCGATCGCACCAGGAAGTTGGTGGTCCAGCAAGTCCGGCAAAACGAAATGGCGGAACAGTACATCAGTCAGCTTGATATCAAGATTGCTCTTCTGGTGAAGAACAAAATCACGCTGGATGAGGTTGTCAAACACCAGAAGCACTTCGGCGGCCACGTTGGGAACCTGCTTTCCAATACAGAGATCTCCTCGAAGGACCCATTCGATCTCAAGGCTCTGAACAAAACTTCGCGGAGGAAATTAGAATACTATCAAGTGTTCTTCTTCCTCCTTCAGACGCAATCTCAGTACCTCGCCAAGCTTTTCCGACGTCTCCGTGAAGTAAACACCCCTGAAAAAGAGTACGAGAGGATACGGCACTTGATGATGGGTCTCTTCGGGTATTCTCAGAAAAGGCGTGAGGAGTACTACCTCATCAAGTTGCTAGCTCGTTCAGCTCGAGAGGAGGTCGAGAGCTTCACTTCAATCCACGAGTATTTGCGCTGCAGCTCCTTCTGGAACAAGCTTTTTGCATCATATATCAAATCTCCTCGTGACCGGAAATTCATGCGAGATGTCCTCAGCACGGCAGTAAAAGAAAACATTGTCGAAAACTCCGAGTTGGACCTGGAAAGCGATCCGATAAATATCTACCGTTCCGCTATCAATAATGAGGAGCTCAGGACTGGACAGCGCAGTCGACGTCCGCTTGATATTCCGAGAGAAGAGGCCATCCGAGACCCCGAAACAAGGGCGACTTTCATCCAACATCTTCAGGATTTGCGAGACATTGCAGATCAATTCTTCGCTGCGCTGGAAGAGCTTCTGTATCGCATGCCCTTCGGTATCCGTTACATTGCCAAAGACATGTACGAAAGTCTACTCTCTCGGTTCTCCAACGAAGACCCAGGGTACATCCTTCAAACGGTTGGTCATTGGGTGTGGAAAAATTATTTCCAGCCCGCAATCATGGAACCAGAGAAGTTCGGAGTGGTGGACAGGGGCTTGACGCAAGAGCAAAAGCGGAACTTGTCGGAGATTGCAAAAGTCATCGCTCAAGCTTCATCTGGGCGACTTTTTGGTGCAGAGAATGTATATCTTCAGCCTTTGAACACCTACATTGCGGAGTGCATTCAACGGCTGGGGGACATTTGGGGTGAATGTAAGTATTTAATTCTGAGGAATGGCTGAATGTGAGGCTAATAGATATGCAACAGTGATCACCGTCCAGGATGCCGAAACATACTTTGACATTGATGAGTTCAACGACCTTTACGCCAAAACAAAGCCAACCTTATACATCAAAATGTCTGATATATTTTCTATCCACCACCTGGTGGCTTCCAACATCCACTACATCTGCCCCAATCCGGACGACTTTTTGAAAGAGGTGGTCCGCGACCTAGGGAACGTCAAGTCAAACGAGAGCGAACTGATGAGCGTCAACTCTTCTGAAATTAATTTGACATTGATCCCAAAGCTCGCGCAAACCGAAGGTGAGGCGCAATCGATCATAATACATCTGTATTGTATACTGACAAGTCTACTTAGACCCGGACGCTGATGTCAAGGCTTTGTTCATGGAGACCAAGAGATGCGTGCTCTATATCATTCGGGTACAGTCTGGAGCCAACCTTTTGGAGATTATGGTGACGCCGCCTACCGAGGAAGACGAAGGAAAATGGATGACACTCGTGCGTGATGAGTTGAGTGCCCATAACACCGACCGAAGCGCATACTCCGAAGCAAATAGCCTAGTTGATATCGCCTCCATGAGCTATTCAGAGTTGAAGCGAACGGCCCTGGAAAACATCTTACAACTTGAACGAGCAGGAAAGATCCGCCGCAACAACCACTACCAAGATCTTCTTAATGCCATCGCCATCGATATCCGAACGAAGCATCGCCGCAGAATCCAACGCCAGCGAGAATTGGAAAGTGCACATATGACCCTTAACCGTCTCAACGGTCAAGCTGTTTGGTTGGACCAGCAGCTCAAGACATATAACGATTATATTGAGCAGGCAATGGTGACACTGCAAAGCAAAAAAGGCAAGAAGAGGTTCCTCATGCCTTTCACTAAGCAATGGGATCACCAACGCGAGCTTCAAAAAACTGGCAAGGTATTCAAGTTCGGATCATACAAATATTCGGCCCGAAATCTCGCGGACAAAGGAGTCCTGGTTTATTGGAAGGGCTATACAGAACGGCAGTGGGATCGCGTTGACCTGACCATTTCGAGTAATGAGGTCGGCGTCTTCACGCTTGATGGAAGCAGCGGTCCTATGATGGTCCCCGGAGCCAATGCCCAGGTTCCCTTGGATGACCTCCTACAAGCTCAATTCAACAATATGCAGTTCCTCGACTTCTTTGACGGAGCCCTGCGGGTCAACGTCAATCTGTTCCTGCATCTAATTATGAGGAAATTCTATAATGAATAGTTACCTCAGGCTCAGGGTGTTTCGGTTGTTTCTTTTTGGGGGGAGTTCCTTGTCCTTCAAACGCATGATAAATACTCCCTACATGTTCTTGCATTGTCTTTCCTCATGATATCCCCGCTTCCCTTCATGGTATGTTTCAAACCCCCAAAGCACCCACATGTGGCTTGCATTAGACAAGCTCGGGGCAAATCTTATTATTTTCTCCCTACTTTTTTACTTTGCTTTTTGAACCTGTTAGCGATGGTTCCCTTGTGACTTCATTCTCTACGTGCTGGTCATAAAGTCGGTGCAGTGAGACTACCTACACGATTACCTTCTCTGTGATGATTTGAACGAAACATTTACTTATGTGTGTATGTAACAACTAAATGGCATATTATAATGTTAACCCAAGAGAAACTGTAAACGTGAATTTGTAGATTTGCCTCGTTGCCGTAGCTGGGGCGTCAGGGGTGCCACGTGACGTCTTGGGGCCCGACGGCGGACGGGGTGGCCAGCTGGAACTTGATTCTCTCTTGCAAGGCGCCCTCTGTCCTCGAGCTTCAATTGTTCTCTCCTAGGCTCGGCCTCCCCTGTTTTTTTCAAACTGATCGTGTGCGCCAAACTTCGCTCCTCCCAATCGGCGCACCATGGATTTCGATAATCTCAAAAGCCAGGTCAGCAACCTGACCTTGTACGATCTCAAGGCGGGAGTGCGCAAGGTCCAGAATGGTAAGCACCGGCCCTCAGCACGATGCCTCAATAACCCCAAACTTTAGTTTCTGTATTTTGGAGCTTTAATTATGTACTAACAGTCCGCAGCCGTCATGAATTACACTGAGATGGAGTCCAAGGTTCGTCATCCTCCCGACCGTCCCCATTCGCGATGTCGGCAACACTCCGCGCCCTGACTGTGGGGTGCCACTGTTATGGTATCCGTCACTCATACCTGCTAGGTCCGAGAAGCTACAAATAATGAGCCTTGGGGTGCCTCCACAACGCTGATGCAGGAAATTGCTACTGGGACTCATCACTAGTCAGTTGGCTTCTTTGGATTGTGTCGCAACTGGACTTTTACTGACCTTGTATGACTTGTTGATAGCCAACTACTTAACGAGATCATGCCTATGATCTACAAGCGATTTACGGACAAGACATCAGAAGAATGGCGGCAAATCTATAAGGTATAGACCACCCAGATAGGACCGCTTCCCCCAACATTGGCTGACGACGTCTGCTTCTCGAACTACAGGGTCTCCAACTTCTCGAATTCCTCATTAAGAACGGATCGGAGCGTGTTGTCGACGATGCCAGATCCCACCTGTCCCTCATCCGCATGCTCCGCCAATTCCATTACATCGACCCGAATGGCAAGGATCAGGGAATCAACGTGCGAAACCGTGCGCAGGAGTTGGTCAAGCTGCTTGGTGACGTCGAAATGATCCGTGCCGAAAGAAAGAAGGCTAGGGCTAATCGCAACAAATTCCGTGGATTTGAGGGCGGAGCCGGAGTTGGAGGTGGAATCGGCGGCGGGATCGGAAGCTCGGGGGGGAGTCGCTATGGAGGCTTCGGCAGCGAGAGCCTCTCCTTTGGCGGATATAGCGGAGGTGTCTACGGGGACGGCGGTGGCTTTGGAGGCGCAACCGGGGACTTTGAAGATTCCGGACGACGCTCCAATCGATTTGACGAATATGACGAGTACGATGAGGCGGACGCTGCTCCTGCCCGGAGACGTGCCACCAGCCCTCCCCGTGCCCAACGGGAAGCCAAGAAACCCGAGGTCCCGAAGGCGCCTGAGCCAGACCTACTCGATATCCTCGATGATGAACCCACCGCTGCCGCACCGGCCCCTGCACAAACTAGCTCCTCCGTTGCCGCCGGGAAGCAGCCCGCAAGCAGCAATGGCCTTAATATGCTCGACCCTGCGCCGGCCGATGATGACGATGACTTCGATGATTTCCAGTCAGCCCCCCAGGCAGCTCCCTCATCCAATACATTTGGTATCCCACCACCTGCTTCAACCGTCAGCACGAATTCCACCACGCAGTTTGCTGCCCCACGGCCCGTGTCGGGAACACAAGGGTCCAACTTGGATGGCATTGTTGGATTCACTTCTATGACACCAACACCAACCTCGAGTGGATTCACATCCCCTACCCTTTCTACTCAAACCTCGAGGCCTGCCGCGCAGCCCGCCGCGCAGTCCAAACCTTCTGGGTACCAGGCGGCAACCCCCAACTACTTCACCTCTGTTGCCACCCAGCAAGCACCGTCTTTAGGCCACCGACCAGCAATGCCATCCACTTCATCTTTCTCATCTGCCACTAGCCCTGCCACCCCATCCGCAGGAAGCAAGCCTGCGGCATCAAAGCCTTCCGGCGATGCATTTGGATCCCTGTGGTCGACAGCCAGCGCCAGTGCAGGAATTCAGAAATCCTCATCCAACGCCAGCAAAGGGCCGAACTTGGCAAGCATGGCGAAGGAGAAGGCAAGCGCAGGTATCTGGGGTGCGCCGTCCTCTGGGCTTTCCTCCCCAGCGCCCTCCCAACAGTCATCGCAGCAAGCACCGAAAACAGGGAGCTCCGGGCTGGATGACTTGTTGGGGTAGATGTTTTTTTTTTTTTTTCTTTTTTTCCCTCTTTCTTTCCCCATCTAGTTTTCTTTTCTAAACTCGCATTCTGCGGATTATTGGGCAATGCTACTTTGTTGTGCAAAATTTTTGATTCTTTGTGAGTATGTTGCTGGAAATAAAACTCGCTCGTCTATTTTCTCAATCAACGATGCTGCGGACACTGTCATTCCCAAGCTCCTGGACTTCTATATGTTGATTTCAGCCCTGTTTCGCCTTCCTCAGTGCCGCACTGTTTATTTTGCTACTGTTTATCTCGGACTTAGCGATCTCGATACGCCGGCACGTAAATTCCCGGTGAACCAAAATCTTTCACTTCTCTATTCCTCAACTAACTAACTATCCTCCTATCATGTCCAAGTACTTCAGGGTGACTGGTGACTGGTTTCACTTGCTCGGCAGTAAATAAAACATTCCCTCCTATATACTCAGCTTCTGTATATTCTGCCTGCCCACAAGCCATAGGCGCCATTTGCAGAGTCTACCCAATCTGCTGGTACAACAGGCTGGTGTGACAGTTATAGTAGCCTCAGCACATGGATCAGGCCTGCTTAATTGCCGATTTATAGATCAAGTCTCCGCGGGGGCTTCAGCCCTCTTGACAGGCATCGACTGTCTGGGGTTGAGCCTCGCGTTGTCCCACCATGCTGGACACGCAGAAACCAACACTGGACTTGACATGTCAAATGTCTCACATTCCTGGTGCTTATATTCCACTGTTTTAATCGTGTGAAATGACGCCGAGAAATTTCCGCGCTGATCCTCAAATTTCCCTCCCCCCTTGATCTTTTAATCCTGTGCCTGTTCCTTGGCTTTGCTGGAGTCTCACGCCCAGCTCCCCCAAGTCCCTCCTGCAAATCGAGGTGCACCAGTACCGAAACTTCTCAAGCGTAGGCTCTTCTGTGGCCAGAACAGGCAACAACTTTGCCGATTGAAACCTTCAAGTCACCTCCAGGTCACCACTCAGCCGCACGTTTGCAGAAGCTCCAGTGGCACCAGCCCAGAGGGCCAAGACCTCGTATTTTCCCTGTCAAGCGGGCCACGATCTGCAACATTTCGCCCTTTGGCGGGCTTGATTGGTAGTTGTCTGGGCATCCTGCTGCAGCAGCAGAAATCCTTTCCCAAATGTGTCGGGGTCGAGAGCGAGGATGGGCGGCCGTTGATCCCTCGTTCACGAGATGGGCGCTGCAGACTGCGCCAGGATATATACCTCCTTCAATACCCAACTCAAACCGTTTGACTTGATTTACCAAAAAATCCATCAAAATAACTTTCTCATTCTATAATGCGCCTTTTTAATCCCGTCGACTCCTTCGACGCGCCCTTCACCATCAACCGTCGCCAGTCCAGCGATTGTGGCGGCGGCGGCGTGGGAGCTGGAGAGTGCTTAGCTGGCTCAAGATGTATGCTTTCAACATTCTTTTTATTGTTTATATCGCATTTGAAGTCAATCCGCTCCATACTAATGCAAATCCAACTCCTTTAGGCAAAGGATTGGTCTACGCCAACCAATGTCAGGATACACCCGGCGATGAGGTACATACACAGCCCACGCTTCCTATCTCCCCGTCCTCTTCCTTGACAACATCAACTAACAGCAATACGTACCCATCAGTGCTGTCTCAACCGCGAGTGCAATTCAAACCGCGGGAGCGGATGGTGCAAGAATACCGATAACCAGACTTGCGCCGGCGAGTGGGTTCCCGGGACCCCGGTATGTATACTATACTTCCAATCCCTGCAATGATAAGACTAGTCACCTACCCATTTGATACCTAACTAACCCGCCCCGAAAAGGACCACTACCCCTGCCCAGGTCCAAACTACGTCGTCTGCTGCGTAGAGTGGGATAAGCTCAATAACTCAACATCATCCACGAATTCACCTACGAGTAGTTCGACGCAGACATCGACATCGACATCAGAAGTACCGACTGACACGGCCTCGTCCACGCCTTCTGGTGGTAATGGCGGCGGCGGCGGCGGACTCTCAGCATCTCAGAAGGGCGGAATAGCAGGCGGGATTGTGGGTGCCGTCGCGGTGACGAGTATAATTTTCCTGGTGTTTTTCTTCTTACGGAGACGGAGGTCGAAGAGGGCAGCGGCGGCAGCGGCGGAGGAAGTGCAGGAAGCGGAGGCTGCTAAGCGAGAGGGTGGTGGGGGGCAAGGAGGTGAGGCGGTTGAGAGGACTGCAACGACGACGACGACGACTGGTCCTGAGAGTCCTGGCGTAGAGGCGGCGATGCTGGCGTCGAGAGAGAAGCTTGAGCTGGATGCGTCGGGGCGCGCACTGCATGAGATGGAGACGCCGGCGACAGCGACGACGGCGAACTTGGACGAGAAGGCCGCGGTGCTGGCGGCTGAAACGAAGCAGGCCGAAGCGACAAGGTTGGCGGAGCTGCCTGGGTCTTTGGCGGTTGCAGAGATGCCTGTCCCTGAAGAGAATGCGGACAAACGTGACGGGGAACCCGGAGTAAGACGGGATTAAGTCGGTTGGGGTGGGTGTTTCTCGCTGCTCGGCTTTGTTTCTTAATTGCTGTTTATTTTCTTTCTTATATACCCCTAATGAAATGACGAACGATCTTGGCTTCTAATGTTTAATATTGATATGGTATGGTTGATATATTGATGACCTCCCGACGCTGGCGCTGAACAGTACTCCAAATGATATAAAATATGTACAATCTCACTCACATCACCCTCGTAACAAGCGTTGCGCAACCGCAGGCTGGCACTGCGGCTTTTAGACAATAAAGTAAGTATGATATGATATGCCACCCTCCCTCCAAGTCAAGTCATGGCGGCCTTTCCAGCCATGACCATTTCTATCATGTATGCAGGTATCTCGACAGTCTCGAGTTCCAACCGGGGAACTCTCGGATAAGATCAAAGAAATCATGCTGACCAACAATAAGTCACGGTCACGGTCATGGAAAACCGTGGTGTCTCTCTCGTCCCCTTAAAAAGTTTATATCTGTTTATGTCTCCATATAGGTCATTGCTTCCCCTCGGGAGCTTGCTCCGTTTCTGAGGGAGTTGTTGTGTTTGTCTCCTTTTCGTTACCGCCGGGAGCATCCTTCATCAGGGCATCATTCAGTGTGGACTCCCCGTTAGCTGCCGAATGGGTAGTCGGCGTCATCTCTTGCTGGGAGTCCGTTGAGCCCGAACTCGGATAGTCATCCCCGTATTCGGCTCCAGGTTCGCCATTTAACGAGGTCAGACCGCCCTCAATGTCGCGGACTAGACGGACAAACTCCTCTGGGACCAACCCACTCTCTCCGGTTCGAGGGTCCTCCGCGACCAACCATCCTTGGCCGTGGCGGTACGAAACAAAAATAACTTGGCCCTCTGCTAGTGGGAGCTCATTCTCGTGCTCTCGCGTGAAGTCGAAGAGCGCAACCGCTTTCCCGTGCATCTCTTCGTCCGGGCATCCAACTGAGAACTGGAATTCGCGCGAGTAGCGATGAGTCCCGGTATATTCTCCTTCAGAGTCGAACCCTGGCTGTCGGCCATATCCAGGATCATTATATGAGCCAATATAGGTAAATCGACTTTCATTCGGAGGGTAAGTGACAAGGTCGCCTCCTGGTCCATCGTCGTCGGAATCTTCATCATTCACGTAGTAGGTCTCACTCCCATCCGCGTTCATGCTGACCAACGTCCCGCGCTCATTATCCCCAGTCACACTCAAATGGCGGGAGTAAGCGTTCCCACCGGAGAGTCTATCCGCTCCGCCATTCACGTCCGTCCCGGTCGACTTGTTCTTGCGATGACGGGGCGCAGAAAAGACAGGACTGTGTAGGTCTTCGTCTTCGCTATACGGTGGCCCATCACCAAAGGACATGGCTGGAAGCTGCTGGTGTCCATGACCAGAGTCAGTACCCCATGGCTGTGTTGACCACTGGCCACGTGAGCTGTCCCACGACGCTGGGGGGTCAGATAACCGGCGGTGTTCGCTCACTGGACTCGAGAGCCCAGATGCAGAAAGCGGAAGCGGGCCATAATGGAAAGGGTGAATGGTGGGATATGCGAAATCCCGGACCAAAGCATAGGGCAAACTGGAATGGAATATAGGGAAAACATGTGACCCAGGGCGCGACCGATTCTGAGAAGCTACGGAAAGGTTAGAAAATGTGGAGAGGCGGTCCTTTGAGTATGAGGAGGATCGCTGGCGAGTCGACAATCTGACAGGTGTGTCGGTGACAAGGGGAGGCAAAACCGTGAGGTTAGGAGACGAAACAGCCTGCTGTGGAGGAGGGGAGGTTGTAGTAGTCATAGTGGCAGTCATCGGGTTTGCAGGAGACAAGAAAAGAAAAGGCAAAAAAACCGTGGCAAAAAGGCTGATGATTGCGCGTCACGGAGAAATCGAAGGGATATCAATTCGGGGCAACGATGGTGGTTGGGGGTTCACCCTAGATTCGCATCGCGATCGCCAGCCCACACCCTCTACAATATTCCGTATACTGGTTCGCAGAGTGAGACAGAAAAATTCCACAAGTATGTATGACCAGAATGAGCGTCTTTCGACTCAAGGGTGCGAGTAGTTGTGGGACGGCGATGCTGCTCTGAGGACCTGCGATTCGGCTAGGAGGGGCACCCGGCGGACTCCTTGCGTGTAGTAAAGGCACGACCCGACGCTTGATATTTCTTGTAGGCGAGACAAATCACAGATATCGAAATCGGAAATTAAGCAATAAATACGACGGTGAGGCGAGACGCCGAAGAGATAGAACAAGATGTCCCAATGGGTCACCGTTGCAGAAGGACGACGGTGAACTGCCTTATTCAAAACCAAACCCAATGTCGTAAGGAACAACGAGGCAGTTTCTCTGGGCGGGTAACTGAAGCAGTTCGAGTTCGCAGACGCTTGTTTCCAGATGCGGAAGGCCAATGATAGTGGTGGGTTTGCTTCGCTGCAACGTGATGTTTCGGATTGGTGTTTCTTCCGCGCTCGAGAGTCCGAATTGTCAAGGGTAAACCTAGGTGCTAAATATAGCGCAGCTACGCGCTGGTAGATGTCAGAAACGCTGATAGCCAACTCAGGCGATGCGAGACTCAGCGGAGAAGGGGTAGGAAAGGTGAGGGAGGAGAGAGGGGGGGTAAAAGGCACAACGAGTGGGAAACGAGGGGATGGGCGTCTAATTGCACACAGGAGCTGTATTCCTGCGTCCAATTGCCAGCGCCAGCAGAGCCGTCGGAGAAGTGGCGAAGGTACTTACTTAGTAAGGCTGACGACGAAGAAGACAGGTATTCAGCGGCAATGATGCCCTTGCCGTGCTTTGGGAATCACTTTGACCCTGTCCTCGACCTCGTTTTCAACGCTGCAGAGGACGAAACGAAGCGTTCAAGGGACCGGCGAGTGACGAGGCGCAGTCGGGGATTGCGGTGGAGTTCGCCGTCACTCGAAGTCGTTCGCTTGACTCTTCCTGCCCTGCAGTAACTGCAATGTTCCAATCCAGGGCGCTTATATAGATAAAAACATGCCACAAATTCAGGACAAGATTACTCGGCTATAATAATGAGATTATCCAAGTCAAAGAACACAGCACAGCAAAGCAAAATGTGTTCGATCTCCGATCTCGCTACTCGACGGTCCTCCGCACGTGATTGTTTCAGATCTACTCCGTAAATGCCTGGTGAATAAGGTATTAACAATTGCTGCCTTAGTATTTCCCAATCGGGCCCACCCAGATCTATCCAATCTACGGTTCGGTATTCCGATATATTTTGTTACAAATCCACATCGCATTACTATATACTAGTGAATCTACAGAGCACCATTTGGCTGTGGTAAAGTAATATTTGGCTGTATACTTAACGGTACCTCTTTTACATACATGTCTGGAGCTCTTCCAGAGAACCACTTCAGAACAAATGAAAGCAAGAGGAATTGAGGGTAAGTAAAAAAAACCCCAAGCTCACGACAGTGCGCCTATTAGTTAGGCCTGTCTAATCAAATGGGAAAGAAAGTAATCCCAGGTACTGGTTCGATCCAGCTACTGTACATATGCCACCCATCCCAGAAACCGTTTACCCCAACAAGGTGGCGTCGCTGACCGAGTCTAAGCACTGCCCGTGGGTTGGACATACTGCACAGATGTCACAAATGAAGTTACCGTGACTGTCGCCAGGGGTGGCACCGTGGATGACCCAGAGGGAGCTGCCGTAGTGTTCGACGAGGCCACCACTGATTGTGAAGTAGAAGTACCCCCGGTTGGCTCCCCTGATTCAGAGTTGAAGATTTCGTTGAATTGTTCCGGGATAGCCGCCGCGTTCAGGGACTGGTCGTGGTCATAATTCACGTCCTGGGCCGTACGACTGAGTGTGTTATCGGTTTTGCCGACGTCCACATCCATGCAGGTCGTATACATTTCTTGCTTTCCGTCAGGTAGACCGGGATCAACCCCAGCCGCGGTAGGCCAGTCCCAAACCCAGTAAAGCGTGTAAGGCGTACCGGATGGTGCGCTGCTCGGGATCTTGATGTCCGCTTGACACCATAAATCGCCTCCCATATCTTGGTCCGCATCATGTGGGTAGTCTTTTTGCCGGGTCGTAGAGATTTCACCACCATTTACTTGATAACAGCGCCCATCGTCGTAGTTACGTGTCCCCAGGAGAACGCCGCGGCCATCACCACCAGTTCCATCCGCAGTCCACACATTTTGAACGTCCAGAAGCTTTTCGTCTTGTTTCGGGTCCGCGGTGCCGTAAACATAAACTGTTCCACGATTCTTTGGCTTCCCTAGCTGAGTATCCGGCAATGTTACGTGGCCGTTTTCTTGGAAGCGGAGGGCAACGGCGGCGCCCGCGCTCGCCTGTAATCGTGGGTATCCATCAGTCTGGTCTTGTTTCCGTTGAGTCTCTGAGCAGAGACTATCCGATTTAGTGACGTTTGCCTCTCCGCCGCGTGGGAGTATGTAAGTCATAGATCCGTCATTGAACGAGCCATCTGAGCGGGAGACATAACCCCGAGGATACCCTGGGGAGCCGATGAAGGTTCCGTTTGATGCGATAACCATAAGCTGTTCCACCCATGAATGAGCACAGACTGATGTGAACAGGAGAGCTAGGAGGATCAACCTCTGCCCAATGCGGCGTGTGCTGTCCATGGATAGATGTGTGTATGTGTGTTCTACTTTTCGTATAGGGTTGTTTGTAATATCAAGAAAGGAAAACTAACACCGACCAGCGAGTTAGATCAAGAACGCTATCGTTCGAATCAGTGAAGTTGAGAAAGCTTCTGAAAACGGACTAGCTGGGGAGTTGCAAACCTTTATAATATGTCCATTGTTCTGGGTGTAGCCGCTATGTCCGTTCAAAATGTCTTGTGTTTCTTGGTTTGTTTCAACACAATGGGCAGAGACACAAAGGAATACCCTGAAGGAAGCAAAATCCGTCGAATAAGAGATAATAAAACCTCTCTCAGTGAAGCTCACAAGAGAAGATTCAGGCTTCGATGACAGCTCATGAAACAATAGATGTTCTCGAGTGGTTTTTCACTTTGTCTATTCCACGCCAGGCAAGATGATGGAAATAAAGGGCAGTAACAGAACCTGTGCCCAAGGAAATGAGTCATTTAAGATATCTCAATAGGCAGCTCTGGTTTATGGGATGCTCTCAATCGAAACCCATAGAACTGGGTTCTGGGCGCTTGGTGATACAGTGAGTAAAACAAACAAAGATACAAGAAAGAAGCAGAGCCAATCGATGCAGGCGCGATATTTTTGTTCCGGGACGCCATGCGAGATTGAAGACAGTCGATCACCAACGTATTGCATATATCATTTAAGTAACATGATCAAGTTGAGAGAGTGGGCACAGGACGATAGGCTGTAGATGCATGTTTTCAAGGACTCTGCTGCGCGAAGCCATCTAGCTCCGTTAGATCTAAACATGGTAGCCGCATAGTGAGTCTGGAAATAGCATCAGCGCGTATTAGCTTCGGCGGATTTCGCACATATCCTAGCATCGTGGAGTCGTGGACCCTTGATGACCCTTGCAGACATCGCAGATCTGGGGCCCTGAGAGTACAGGGTGTTCTTGATTGGGTTGGCGTGCGACTGATGGAGATTTCAAGGGACCCATCGATGGCAGTACAATCAATCGAGAGTGCCGATTAAAAAGCACGCTGTTTGGAAAGCAGAAGCAAACATCGGTGCTGTGGCATTCGACTGGTTGCTGTCCATCGAAAGTCGACATCTAAGCGCCAGCACAGACGCAGGCCCGCAAGGCGCGAATGGAAACAAGCAACAACGTGGGAAAGCCCTTAATCTCCCAAGTTTAATTTTAGCATCGTTGTGCTGAAGAAAAAGCAGCAAATGGATCTGGTCGATGAAATGAAGTTGACTTGGACGCTTGGTGTTCCTTCAGTAAATTATAGTCAAACGAGCCCGAGCTTTTCTCTAACAGCAGACAACCCCAGACAGACTGCCCGTCCATGACAATGACCACCCAGTCTGATTACTCAACTCTTTGCGATGGTGTCAATATGAAACATCTCTTCCCCGTTGCATTCAACGGTGCGACCGGGTTTAGATTTTGATTATCAACCAGAAAACGAAATATAAACGAAATATATTCTCGAGCCGCATCCTACGATCCACCCACGTTCAAGTTGCCTGCTGCTTCCACGGAACGGCTTTTCGGCTAGAGTTGTCAATGTCTCAGCGCCAGACTTCCCTTCCTATTGTCGAGCTACACAACAATCGGAATAATGAGGTCGCTTTCCCCTCATTCCACATTTGCTTGCGTTACGCTTTGAAAGGGCTACCATGTAGCTTGGGAATGTCTGTCTTCGCGTCTTCCGCATCAGCGCGTCTGGCCCAAATCTCAGTGCATGGCTCTCACATTGACCAGCGTAAGATAAGGCAAAATGAAAAGTGCCTTTGGAGAGCCCAGGCTCCGGTCTCGCAGATGAAAGATTGATTGATTAGATTAGAAAAAGTGGGTATTGCACGATGCCCCCCTCGTGGCTTCGCAGCAGCTCAAGAGTCCCACCAATCAAACCAACACGGCCTGAGAGACGAGAAGAAAAAATCTCGTCAGTAGTTATCATTATGTGATAGAAGTGGAAGCGCCGGCAACTCCTCGAGGGCTGTCGGGGTATACCGCCTTCAATTGGTTACACGAAGAGTTCCCTTGCATCCATGGACCCGTTAGTCTCCATGATGATAGGTAAAACTGAATCGCCGAGTCGGCATGAATGAACTCGGCTGGTAGAAGGAAGTCACATTCGTAGCGATTGTCGATGATGTTATCCCTTGCAGAAAGACACCTTCTTCATGGGCTCGCTATCGGGAACCGCTCCTCGGACTCCGTCATGGTCGGAGGGGTTGGGTGTTCCCTTATTGGGCTGCTAGCCGGGGAATGGACAGAAGTCGCATACAAATGAACACTGGAAGTCTCAAAGACAGTATTTAGGCGTCTGTAGTTCATGGATTTGTTGTCTTGGGGCCTGTGTCAACAGATAGTTCCCCGACTTTCGGTGATCATCTGCTCCCATCACTGACTTCACGCAATCTTCGATACACTACCATCTTCCTTGCATCCCGGGCATTATTGACTTGTAGCTTGATAAGCACGTATGTACAACTCGGCGACTGTCCATTTTGGGCGATTCCCGGTTTCAATTGGCCCTTTCATGTAACGGGCGCCCAAGAGTCAGCAGCCACGAACTACGAGACAGTCATCACGAGAAAGGCAGCTCCGATTGATGACGGGGCTTTCACTCCCCATTTCGTTTTGGAAGCTCTTAAGAGATACAACAAAGGTGTTCTCGTTCGCCGTTTGCCAGAGTATTTTCGACCCCGAGTACTTACTCCGCTCCACCCAAGGCCTCTATGGGGTTGAGTTTCGTCAGTCAGCTCTTCACCTTCAATTGATAGCATGCCATCCATCACAAAGTCCGTCGTCGAGAGAATCAGTGATTTAACAAGCGCACAGTCCTTTTGGGATCACTGACGATTGTCGTTTTGGACGCGAAGATCTTCAGTGCTGGGGGTACACCGTACAGCTGTGGCCCGTCGGTTCGGAATCCCACTTAGCCTGCTTTGGTCTGGAGTGGGCGAGTCCCGGTTACCAGCTTTTTGAGTCTGCCAGCTTTTTTATTCCCCCAATCTCCCCTTTCTGGTGGCACTTTCTTCTTTCTTTCCTTTCCTCCTTCCCTGGAATACACCCCCTGGACTGTCCTTTTCAACCTTGGACTGGCCATCTCAAGACCTCCCATCGTCCGCCTTTCTCTTTCCATCCCAGACAAGAGTGGCTCTCAGAACGGGTCCTGATTGGCTGCCGTCTCAGATCCAGCTCCCGCTCAGTCGGACCTCCTAAAAAGGAAACTCTGTCTAGGCGGCAAAATTCACCGGCTTACCTAACACAATTTTTCTTTCGAGATTCCAAGGGTCACGGTGGCTCAGGCGGTGCCATTTTTGTCGAGTCCATCTTCAGGGGTTCGGTGGCTGTCGTGACGACTCAACTGGCCTTAGTGTACAATCCGAAAGGACCAGCTCCGTTGGGAATCGACTCGGGGACAATTGGATTTAGCTGAATCTTTCTCCGGTCCTTCACCGACGTCTTGCACACTGCTGCGTTCTCAAGGTACGTCTCCAGCCAGCACCGCGGGTCCCTTGCTCCCCGTTGCTAGTTGCGCCCGCCGCGTCTTCTTTATCGTCTCCGCCCCCTGCTAGCGCCTTGCCATTGGGGGGGATTATTCACTAACGGCAAAAATTCTCAGGTCTTTTGAAGTCCGTTGGCCACAGCACAAATAGTCTCCTCTTTCCTCGCCTTATGGTATTAGACCCCAGAAAACATATTTAAGTTGCTTTCGGCCCACTGCCCAACACGGATTCCGTGAATTGAGTATATCGGATAGGGTCTTTCGCTCAGTGGCCCGTCCGCATCAGCACTTCTACCTAGGTACCTAGGTACCTTCGTACTCCGCTCACACCGCCTCCTTCCATCATGGCTTCTACATTGATTCGGAGGAACTTCCCAGCAACAGATGGAGGCAGTGAACCTGAGCCTTCGTGGTTGAAGCGTCAGGTTACCGGTCGTCTGCAGTCCATCTCTCGCCGCGCGTGCATCCATCCCATTCACACAATTGTCGTGATCGCCCTTCTTGCTAGTACAACCTATGTTGGCCTTCTCGAGGGAAGTTTGTTCGACTCGTTTAGGAACCCTAAGCATGCCGCAGGTCAGGTTGATGTTGACTCGCTTCTCCTTGGAAGTCGGAGCCTCCGGTTAGGAGAAGATACGTTCTGGAAATGGCAGGTCGAGGAATCAGCGACACAGGAGGAATACGAGGTAAGGCATTCCCAAAGTATTCGGACCGCGCTTTGGTTCTAATCGTCAATATCTGCCAGGCTGCTCAGCACCTCGCTTTGATGACCCTGGTCTTTCCGGATTCCGTGTCGAAAGCAGAGTCGTCCGCACCAGTTGCCGACACTATCGCGGTGCCCACCAACACCTCTGCTCAGCGTCTTCCGCATACACCTAACCTTTTCTCCCCGTTCTCCCACGACTCGTCTCTTGTCTTCACTCTCCCATTTGACCAGGTCCCTCAATTCCTGAAGGTGGTTCAAGAACTTCCTGACCCGACGATTGATGGCGAGGAAGGGGAACAAAAACAATGGATTATGCGTGCTGCCCGGGGTCCAGTTAGTGGCCCGCGTGGGTCGGTTAGGTTTTGGCTTGCAGATGCGTGGAGTTCCTTTGTTGATCTGATCAAGGTATTTATCATACGAATATCCTTGCAGGTGTCATTCGCTAATAAACAACAGCACGCCGAGACAATCGACATTGTGATCATGACATTGGGTTACCTTGCGATGCATCTCAGTTTTGCATCTCTCTTCTTCTCCATGAAACGGTTGGGGTCGAAATTCTGGCTGGCAACTACAGTACTGTTCTCCGGCATTTTCGCCTTTTTGTTTGGCCTTCTCGTTACAACAAAATTCGGTGTCCCTATCAACGTGCTTCTTTTATCGGAAGGCCTTCCGTTCCTTGTTGTGACAATTGGCTTCGAAAAGCCGATTATTCTCACCAGAGCCGTCCTTAATGCCTCGGTAGACAAGAAGCGTCAAGGCCCAGCCACACCCACTCCTAGCTCTATCCAAGACTCCATCCAGACTGCGATCAAAGAGCAAGGGTTCGAAATCGTGAGAGATTACTGCATCGAAATTGCGATCCTTATTGCGGGAGCTGCGTCTGGAGTCCAAGGTGGCTTGAGGCAATTTTGTTTCCTCGCTGCCTGGATTCTTTTCTTCGACTGCCTTTTGCTCTTCACTTTCTACACAACCATCCTCTGCATCAAGCTTGAAATCACGCGCATTAGACGCCATGTTGCGCTCCGTAAGGCCCTGGAGGAAGACGGCATCACCCAGCGTGTTGCGGAAAATGTCGCCTCAAACAATGATTGGTTTGGCTCAGGATCGGACAATGGCAGCTCTGATGACACTAGCGTCTTTGGGCGAAAAATAAAATCGAACAACGTGCGACGATTCAAGATTCTCATGGTTGGAGGTTTTGTGCTGGTCAATGTGGTGAATATGTCCACAATTCCTTTCCGAAATTCAACGAACTTGTCCCCTATGCGCAACGTTTTTGCTCCCACGCCAATCGATCCGTTCAAGGTTGCCGAGAACGGTCTTGATACAATCTACGTTGAAGCCAAGAGCCAGAAGATGGAGACAATTGTAACGGTTGTCCCACCTATCAAGTATAAGCACGAATACCCCTCTGTACATTATGCAAAGCTTGGAGAGAGCCAATCTCTTGAGATCGAATACACCGACCAGCTCCTGGACGCCGTTGGTGGCCGTGTCATTGACGGCCTCTTGAAGAGCATTGAGGACCCAGTCATCAGCAAATGGATCATTGCTGCGTTGACTTTGAGTATTGTTTTGAATGGCTATCTCTTCAACGCTGCAAGGTGGAGCATCAAGGAACCGCAATCTACCGCACCCAAGGAGCCCGTCAAGCCAAAGGTCTACCCAAAAGTCGATTTAAACCCTCCTGGCCCTAAAAAGAGCATGGAAGAGTGTGAGGCGATGCTCAAAGCGAAAAAGGCAGCTTACCTCAGCGATGAGGAACTGATCGAGCTCTCCTTGCGTGGAAAACTCCCTGGATATGCCCTGGAGAAGTCTCTGGAGAACGAAGACCTTATGAGCCGGGTTGACGCTTTTACGCGGGCGGTCAAAATTAGAAGGGCTGTTGTGTCAAGGACGCCGGCAACGTCGGCAGTCACCAGCTCCTTGGAGGCCTCGAAGCTGCCTTACAAAGACTACAATTATGGCCTTGTTCACGGTGCATGCTGCGAGAATGTCATTGGTAACCTGCCATTGCCCTTAGGAGTTGCTGGACCTCTCACCATCGACGGTCAGAGCTATTTCATTCCCATGGCTACTACTGAGGGTGTCTTGGTGGCTAGTGCCAGCCGAGGCGCTAAGGCTATCAACGCCGGTGGTGGTGCAGTAACTGTCTTGACTGGTGATGGCATGACTCGCGGACCCTGTGTCGGCTTCCCTACGCTTGCACGAGCAGCAGCAGCTAAAGTTTGGCTCGACTCAGACGAGGGTAGGAACATCATGACAACTGCATTCAACTCCACTAGCCGCTTCGCCAGATTACAGCACATGAAGACTGCTCTTGCCGGTACCTACTTGTATATTCGGTTCAAGACAACTACTGGTGACGCCATGGGTATGAACATGATCTCAAAGGGTGTCGAGAAAGCACTAAATATCATGGCAACGGAGTGTGGGTTTGATGACATGGCCACCATCTCTGTGTCTGGTAACTTCTGCACCGACAAGAAGGCAGCTGCTCTTAACTGGATTGATGGTCGCGGAAAATCGGTCGTGGCAGAGGCCATCATTCCTGGCGAGATCGTCCGCAATGTGCTCAAGAGTGACGTGGATGCTCTTGTGGAATTGAACACAAGCAAGAACCTGATTGGCAGTGCGATGGCGGGTAGTTTGGGTGGATTCAATGCTCATGCGTCCAACATTGTCACTGCAATCTTCCTCGCAACTGGCCAGGATCCTGCACAGAACGTCGAAAGTAGCAGCTGCATCACGACCATGAAGAAGTAAGTACACGCTGCCCTCTTGGGCCTAGCAATATCCCCCGTTGAACTGCATACTAACAATTCTTGTAGCTCAAATGGCAATCTCCAGATTGCCGTATCTATGCCTTCGATCGAAGTCGGCACCATCGGTGGCGGCACTATCCTTGAAGCTCAGTCCGCTATGCTCGATTTCCTCGGCGTTCGTGGCTCTCATCCCACCAACCCAGGTGACAACGCACGTCAGCTAGCTCGTATTGTAGCAGCTGCCGTGCTTGCTGGCGAACTGAGTCTGTGCTCCGCACTAGCGGCTGGACACCTTGTCAGAGCGCATATGGCCCACAACCGTAGTGCTGCTCCCACTCGATCAGCGACCCCAGTTTCAGCAGCTGTTGGTGCTACGCGCGGACTGTCGATGACGTCTTCTAAATAGATATCAATATCTATTGGAGGGAGCCAGCTTTCTCCGTCTCAACCTCTACGATAGAATACGACACCATTAGGCTTGTCTCTGACAGCCAATCTTGACCCATTTGCTCTCGGTCCCGGTCCTTCCTTTCGATCCCGGAATTCATTCTCTGAGCTCTTGATTACACGTGGGCTTTTCTTTTGGCAATCATTAGTCAAGGGCATGACCACGATTGATTTTTTTGGGAAGTAAATATACTGGAGTCTGGGTATTATAGAACACCGCAGGAATCACCTGAACAGCAAATACCACCAAAACGCAAAGGATGCGAGCGATCGATCCTTCCAGAGAAGCAAGAGCGACTGAGCTGATGCTCGTCGGAAAACATTTGAAAACAGGTTCGAATATCATTGTTCGCAATGTATGGATATACACCTAAATTATACCTCCTAATCCAAAACCTCCACCATATTACATCCGTGTTTACGGATTCCAATACTTCTGGTATCCTAAAATGGGATCTTGCATATTAGCCGAGTACTTGCATACAGTTCAGTAAAATAATGTGAATAATGATTAAACAACCCACAATATCAGACAAGGTCGAGACTTAAGACTGGAGACTCCGTAATCCGGAATAATTAAGTGATGAAGCGTGTGAAAATGATGATTCTTTCCGCCCAGACTCCTGAACTAACCATAGCCAGTAGTTAGTGGAGCGGTGGCTCCAAAAGGGATGGAAAGCAGAGTCTGGCCGGCGGTGGCCGCTTAGAATAGACGAGCCGCTGGGGCGAGATTTCGCAAGATGCAAATCATTTTCCTTGGAGGGTGAATTTAATATCCTTGTTTGTGCTCCCGCTTCCAGGAAACCCAGCTCGTGGCATCGATCCCCAAGATCTCTCCCAGTCTCCGGACGGACACATATTTCGGCAAATAAAGGAGAGGGCTATCTCCCTCGCGACCTTGAGGCTTGTGGTTTACGTTCGCCCCGGATTCGGAGTTGTTGAAGTCTTGAAGAAAACGGTTCTAGGCATCCCACTCCCTGTCGGTGAGCACCGCCACATCGGCGACGACAAGAGACTAAATACCACACTAACTAGACGGACCAAAACTCAGGATCGGTGGTCCTGGGGCGCCCGGTGGATGTTGGCGCCACGAAAGTGCCGTGATGAATTAACTGTTGAACTTCCAGGGTTCTCGGCGGCTGTCACACCCGGTGTATGGATCGCTTGAGAACCAAGAGGGAGGAGGACAAAGAATTCACACGGTATTGTACTTAGATTATTCGTCGAAGGTCGGACTGGAATGTAAATAATATTAAATGAATGCCAGCTTCGATTAAACTTGCCTTTCACTCGCCAGTGTATCAAAGGCTTTCAAGTTCCGCCCCTTTTTGAAGCCAATGATTCGTTGGGAGACTGGAGATGATGGTGGTTAATTTCAAGGAAATAACGGGAATAATGGATGCTGATCCCCTTTCTTGATGAAGAGCTGGCCCTTCTCGGTTCTTCTCTGTCAGTTGTGCTGAGGTGACAGTGTGACACTGGCAGAGATCGGGGATTCTTTCTTTCTCCAGCTTCTCGTCTCGCCGACTCTGAGATCTTGCCCCCTCAGAGTCTCGCGCGGCCCCGTCTGTCCTCCACTCTTTGGGACTTTGGAGTTTGGATCGCTCATCCTCTGACGGTCTGGCCGGTTGTGATCCTTTATTTGTTTCGTTCTTCTTTTTTCTTCTCTTTTTCTCTTCATTCATCGGTTCCTTTGGCATTTGTCCGTATCGGCGGTCTCTCATTCCTCCCTCGCCATCCACAACGGCCCATTCGCTTCGCCTACAGCCTCCTTACCATTCGCTGTCCATCTTACTTCTCCCTTTTTTGGGTGGAATTTGCATCCCTTGTTGTATAATTCTTGGACGGCTCTCGCTCATTACTGTGAAATACGATCAGAATCCCTCGTTTTTCGACGGTGCCGCATTTCCTCCCCGTAATCGTCGTTCCTCCCCCGATACCGCCCTTGTCCCTCGGAAATCTGGATGTATACGAGTAACAATACGACCGATTGGTGGGTTGAACAACACTTTGCTAGCACACAGTTGTCTCGAGGGAAATAATATATCGGTCATTGTCGCTTGGATCCATGAATGGTCACTCAGGGACCATGTCGCCCGTCTCCGTAGACGGAAGTGACTGGTCGGGCCTTAATCAATATCAGAAGTCGGATGCGCCTTTCTCGCCGACCTTCTCGAATCGCAGCAATCTGGCGACACCTCCTACCTCTGGCGTGCCGAATCCACCCAATAGTGCCGGTCTTCCAAATGGGTCGTCGTCTTCACAGTTGAGTGATTCGGGAAACCCATCTCCGCCCAACTCCGTTGCTGCGCGATCTAGTGATGGCACCTTGGGAGACAACCGCAGCAGACGGCAACGGCAGGTCGAGGAGATTCTAGCCCAGCATTATTCCGCCTTAAGAAGGTTCCTCTTTTCAAGTTATCGGGACGACCGAGGCAAAAAGTCAAGCAAAGCCCAGGATAAACTTCTCCGGCTCTCGCCCACTCAATTTCATGAACTCAGCACAGATGTCTACGACGAGCTACTCCGGCGGCAGCAGGCTATGCCATCTCCCAGCCGGCCGCCTCGCCCTGAGGTTCCCGCATTTCTTCCTCCGCGAAACGATTTCCACGAAAAGCGCAATCAAGCGCGTCAAAAGCTTGCCTCGCTTCAACATCAGCGCTTTAGGGACCTCGCTGCCGATGTCTTCCATGAACTAGAGCGGCGATTCCCGCAGTTCCCCGAGAAAGAGTCTCGCCGAGCTAGCCCTGCGCCCAGCATGCGTGGCCGTCCACCACCAAATGGGTATGGCCCTGGGGGTTACCCTCCACCCCCGGGCGCTCGGCGCTCCCAGTCACGGGGCCCGCCCCGAATGGGGAGGGGTTACCCCTCTGGTGGTCCTCCTGGGAGTCCCATGTATCCTCCTCGGAAGATGTCTCTTAGTAGCACAACTTCTGGCATGAATGGGGAAGGACCAATGCCCAAATCCTTTCAAAGTAATACCATTGTCCCCAATAAAAGTACCATGGTGGAAGATGATGATGATGCCGCTGGCACCGAAGACGACTACGATTCACGAAGTGATGCATTTGCTCTGGATTCATTCCTACGCAGTAGACGTGGCACTGCAACAACGATCGGCGAGGGTGATAGGAAAATGCTGGCTGATACACAATCACAAGTATCAACACTGCAGGACAAGGTCAGCAAACTCGAAGAGTTACTCAAAACCAAAGACGAGGAAATTGCCAAATCTCAGGGAGGCCGCGAGGAAGTTAATAAACTTGAGGACCTGCTTAAAGCGAAAGAGGAGGAGATCACGAGGTACCAGGAAGATCAAGATAAATCACAGGTACGTATTTACTTGATGATCCTATGTTACTTCACTTTTCTGACGGATTTCCTATGCAGATAAGCAACGCTGAACGGCAGGAATGGGATGATATCAAGTATGAGCTTGAGAACAAAATCCATAAGGCAGAAGACCTGAACAACTCGTTGCAGTTTGAACTTGAAAAGGTTCGAGCAGAACACGCGGCGATGGAAGGCTCAAGACAAGAAGGCGGAGATTCTGAACTGCAGGCTCAGTTCGCCGGCCTTGAGGTTAAACACCAGAAGCTACAAACCGAGCTGCGCGAACAACAACAATTGACTGCGGAAGTTCGGCGGGAAGCCGCAGGTTTCTTGATGGAGATGAGGGAGCTGTCGGAGCAGAGTCACTCAAGGTTGGAGCATGAGGAACAATTATCCCATCAAGTCCATAAACTGGAAGAGGAAATCCAATTCTGGAGGGAACGCCACGCGAAAGCAAAGGCACAACTTCGGCACCTCCGCGCATCCACTGCTGGCATCTCAGAGCTTCGTACCGATGTCAACACCGTGGCCAAAAACAACGAATTCCTGCAAGATGATGGACTTATCAAAGACGTCCATATCACAAAGTTCCAGATATCTGTCGATGAACTCCTTCGCATTGCGCGAACTGATGGCCACCAACATGTTATGCCCCAAGTTAATCCTGTTGTGAAAGCTATCCGCGGTATTTTGCAAGATATCCAGCTCGCTCAACATTCTGAATCTGCCGAATACACGAAAACTACGCGCAAAGTGTCTGCAACTGCGAATAATCTAATAACTGCCGCGAAAAATTTCGCCAGCTCAGGTGGTCTCTCTCCGATTTCCCTTCTGGATGCGGCTGCTTCTCACTTATCGACTGCCGTTATTGAACTCATCCGCATAGCCAAAATCAGGCCTACGCCAACAGATGAGCTGAATGACGATTATGAGGAGCAGTTTGCACAATTGAGATCGCCAGACTACTTCAGTGTTGCGCCCAGTCATAGCAGGTTGAGCCACAACTCTGTTTATAGCGCCATAAGCGCTCCACCAGAGTCAGAAAGCCAACCCAACGGCGTGGGTATGAAACCCGATTACCAGGTGGAACAAGAAAACCATGAGCTTCAGGAACTGAAGGTGAGTAATAAAAAACTTTTTGCAATTGACCGTACTGTTCACAGTTGCTGACCTTCTCAATTATAGTACTACGTGGAGGACCAAGCCGACGGATTAGTCCAATCGATTCAATCCCTGGTGGCTAGCATCCGTGGCGAGGAAAGCATGACTACTGTCCGTACCCATGTCTCGGCTATCGCCTCGATAGTCACGAATGTGTCATCATCAACAGAGCACCTTATTAGTCGACCGGACACAAGCCCGGTTCTTCGACAACGTGCTGGCACTAGCATTGAAACTCTCGAATACCAAAGAAGCCGCCTCGTTGGCGCAGCCGCGGAGGGCGAAGGAGCAGCCGATCTTGGGCAGCTCCGTGCAGCCGCCAATCAATTGCCACCTATTGCCTTTGAAATTGCACGCGAGACAAAGGAACTTGTCCAACGGTTGGATTCGACGGACCACGGTGATGCCGAAAACGACGACTTCCGGTAGATGCCGTTCTACCGGAGCACAACCCGCGGTCATATTTACGGCTCGCATATGTTTTTTTTTTTTTTTTTTTTTTTTTTTGTTTTTTTCTCTGCCTCAACCATTCCTTTTTCATTTCCCAAGGATGTTGACGTTGACTGCTCGATCTCGCGGTTTCGAAAATTTTGCACTGATCATGCATGAAAATGAGCAACTATGTGGAACGAATAGTTAGACTTGGTGGATTACGACCCTTTTACTTCGATTTATTCCCCCATTTAGCTTCATGAGCTGTATTTTTATTCCCTTGAACCGCCTGGTTTTATACTTTTTATTTAGCGTTCTTTTATCTTCATATCTTCGGTTTGCTAACCACCATATTTGTGATGGCTTGGCTCCGTCGGGTTTCTTTGCATCTAGACTTATATATTCTTACTCATATACTTATTGTGTTATCTTATACTCCAGATGTCTCAGATATCTGTCTCAGATTTGGGGCTCGGCCCGGCAAAGGAAATCAACTGTACTATCGATTCCGTCGGAACAGGGGGTCACGTGCTCAAGCTCCACGGAAGCTACAAAAGCAAACGGAACCCACGGCAGAAACTCAGCTTTCGCGTTGCTTCCCGGCTCCAATCCAGCTTTCTCTCCTTGCTCTGTACTTATACTGTACAACAATCTACATTCTGCTATTATTGATTCCTTCTGTAATATACGGCCCTCGGTTTGACTGAAAATTTTCTGCCTTCACAGCGTTTCCAGTTCATTACAGGTGTTTCAGTCTCCTTCCATCCGATCGACTCGTGATCCTTCAATGTGAGTCTCCTCTGGGACAATCCATCGGTGCATCCCTTTCTACCCTCAATACGCTGTCTGCCTTACTTTCGGACATCTGGGAGTTCGGTTTTCGGAAAGGGGACTGTTCTTCCTTGGAGCTGCATATTCGGCGAGTTTGGACTAACGGAATGCACGGATGCACAGACCACCAACCACCGAATCGACCCGGCTTCTGCCCCTCTAGCAACTATGTTCGCCCGCAGCCTCAAGTCAATGGTGACCCCACCTTGCTCCTTCTCTGCTCGACCCCTCCCCTCTGTGCTCAATTGCACACGCTCCCCCTTCCTCTCCCTCCGACCTTTCTCTCAATCATCTGCGGCCATGGCTTCCCAGGTGTTCTTTGACGTGGAATATGAGCCCCAAAACGCTCAGGGTACAAGTACGTATACGCCCGCCCCGCGATTTACCCCTCGTTCTATGTCCTTTGCGTGAGCTACGGACTATACTTGCCCCTCTGGTTTGTTGTTCGGATGCCAATTGCCCCATTATTTACCCAATTTGGTCCAATGGCCAATTGTTCATGGCTAACTGTCATCCTGCCATGTTATAGCCAAGACGGGCCGCATCGTCTTTAACCTCTTTGACGACGTCGTTCCGAGGACTGCCAACAACTTCCGGTCGCTAGCCTCCGGTAAAAATGAAAAGGGTTATAGCTATAAGGGGTCTCCTTTCCACCGTATCATTCCCAATTTCATGCTCCAGGGTGGTGACTTCACCCGCGGTAATGTTAGTACTCACCATCCGGTAACCAAAGATGTTACCTGGCTATAAAAGCAATTTTGAACGGTACTAACCGAGGACATCTCATCATTTAGGGCACTGGCGGCAAATCTATATACGATAGTCCAAAGTTGGGCGAACAATTTGCCGATGAGAACTTCCAGCTCAAGCACACCAAGCCTGGAATTCTCTCTATGGCCAACGCCGGGCCCAATACGTATGTTTTTTTGCACTATAGCAGACTTGCCTGCGATGAACCAATTGCTAATATCGATTCTAGAAATGGCTCCCAGTTCTTTATTACCACCGTCGTGACCTCATGGCTTGACGGCAACCACGTCGTTTTCGGTGAAGTCGCTGATCCTGATTCCTACAAGATTGTCAAGGAGATTGAGGCTCTCGGCACATCGTCCGGTGCAGTTAGGTCCAAGTTCAGGCCCACAATTGTCGACTGCGGTGAAGTTGAATAGATATCCTGAGTTTATCGTTCGAGTCGGATATTTTTGGGTGCTAGCAGCACAAATTTGAGCTGGCAATAATTGTCAGCTACCCGGTTGTCGCTGTCACAGATTGATCGCGCCCTGAGGTGATTATGACAAACAACAAGGTCTTTTCCCACCTCGTGTAATATATAACGTTTATACAATTAAACTATACACGTCAAAAGCATTCCTTTGTACAATTATCTCGAAATAGACCAAGGTAAGAAAAGTATCTGTCTGAAGATATTCAAGAGAGAAAAAAAGTACAGGCAGCTGGGGAACCCCGCTTTGCATAGTGGGGTAATCTGGTGCTGCCCCTCCTTTCAAAGCCCTAACAAATAATAACCCCGACATCCTCAAGGAACAACACGAATAAACCCTCTGAGAAGTCCCCAAAAGCAGCTATACTGCTGAGCCAAATGAATCAGTACTCTACTGGGAGCTATGCAACTTTTTTACCATCCACCGGTCCACCTGGGCGGACACGTATGCAGCTCGTTCAGGACTCCTCGTACTTAGTCTAGTAGTGCTAGCACTGTTAGCAGCAGCACCAAAGACATCTTTATAATACCACTCTCGAATACAAAAGCGCGCCGTTGTTGTGTTTAAGAATGGCCCACTTTTTGGAAACCGACAAGTTATCAACATTGCCGTTGATGGCGGGAAAAGTATGAAGCAACTGCGCGCTGACGGGATCCCGAAGGTTGGTCTCATTCTTTGACTCTGATACTATTACTGGCCATCCGTTCCTGGAGAGAAGGCCACGAGTCCGGCGGGTCTTATGCCACTCCAGTATCTGATCTAAATTACCAGTGACGGCGTTCCAGAGCTTCGCGGTTTTATCGCGCCCCTATTGCCATTTGGCGACCACCTGGTGAAACGGAGAGAAGGTAAGTTGATTCGTTAATGGTGAAGTTTTGTTATGGCTTGTCTGTGGTCGGATCCCAGAGCTTGGTGGTGCTATTCGGTGAACTTGAAGTCTCTACTAGGGCTTCGCCGTCTGGGGAAATCCCTAAAGACTTGACACTGTCATTATGGGCAACCCACTTTTTCATCTGGACTCCTGTTGTGGCGCTCCAAAATATAATGTATCTATCGCGGGCTCTTCAAGGTAGGATTTGACTGTCTGCTGAGGGTTTATTCCTGGGTGCCTGAGATAGCAGGAGTGGCGCGTGGTGATTCTAGAAGATCGCTATAAGATAACCTCGACAGGCGTCTTCCCGATTCGGATACAGACCATGTCCGAACCTCTCTCAAGCCCTAATGGTATACAATTGCGGGATTGGTTGGCAACAGGATATTCAGATTATTGTCACACGGTGGTATAAGTATGTAAAGACTCGGAAAAAATGATCCGAAGTTTGCTGGTTTCATTATGACTAGATACTATGTACTTTAGCTGATCACTGCCTAGCTAGCAGGGACAACTATGCCTGGAAAACTCATGGTTTATAAAGCCCAACGTCGGGGGAAATTAATATCAACCACAGCATTTCGTAACAGCCGTCGCGTCATTTCTGTTCAGTTCGTTATATGGTTAGTAACGGTCCTTGATCTTGTCTTCCCTCCATCGAACTCGAGAGTCCAAGGATAGAGATAGTAGCTGGGATTAAAAAAAGGGGACACAACGTACTCCTTCGATCCACCACCAATATATTCCCACGAAAAGATGAACGAGCCCAGGAACGCCCCAATAAAGATGCAAATGATTATATACCCGTTGAAGTACATGGCCAGCAACATGACGAAGTATGCAACCGCAAACTGCAGCATATGCAACAAGGCGCGGACAATTTGTTCGATGAGGGTTGGGCGGACGCGTATCGATTTGGATGATGCTGCCGGTGGGCATGCTGTTGTGGATTTCTGTGTCCCAGATGCATCGGCGCTATCTGATGAGGATGAAGCTGCAGGGTTCTGTGCCGGGGCGAGATACTGGGCTCGCATTTGCGCGCGATGGACGATAAAGGCATCGTATTCGCGAGCAATGCGGCGTAGGAATTCGAGGACTATGACGAGGCAGATGACACCGATGCAGGAGCCAGCGAACATACCGCGCGATCTGATGTGCCAGCTGCTAGCGAGGAAGCCTGTATCATCCGTTAGTTTGTTTTGGTTGTATAGCATGGGGTTATATCGGATGAGTGAGAATCGCACAGGCATCGATAGTGTTCCAGTTCCATAACATCTGGATAACAGATTAGCTTGGACAGTTTCTCTCCTTAGGGTCAAGGATTAAGTACCGAGACAACGCATTGAGCACCGCCGCCACCGCCGCCCATGTCCATTCCTCCCATATCCATGTCCATGCTGCCGTGATCCATTTCTATGTTATGCTGGTGTTGCGCTATTGCTGAGAGAGATGGCTATCAGCACAAGGCGTGTTCAGTAACCAGAGCTGGCAAGATGGCAGTTTTAAAACGTGAACTGAGGAGGGAGAAAGTAAGAAGAAATCAATAACGGGCGAGCTGTGGTTACATATATGCAAGTCCACGGTGCAACAATTGACAGCAAAATGCGGCAAGACCTTACCTCGTCTATGAAATTCAAGTTCAGACCCTCAAAGTAACTCAAATCCGCGCATTAGTAGCCTTGGCCTGTTATCCGGCGTGGGTTGATTTAATTTGGTCCGAGTCGAGGCTGTGGGTATCCTGCGCCTCTTGGGGGGAAACAAATACAATCAGACGAAAAGTCGTGGAGCACTGGTGAGACCGAGAGAGCAGACAGCCTGGTCAGTGTGCTTGCTATAAGGCAATGGGGGCGTGGATAGGATGGAACGGGCGAGGTACAAGATAAGCCAATCGGGTCACACCACCCGTGCGCAAGATTGAGCACATTTTCTGGAGCTAAATTGCTAGCCCACGAGGGCTACTTGGAAGGCAGTGGTCCTCTGGCAACTAAATATGGTTTTCTTTATCGCATGACACAAAGGCCTGAAGGCTTCTCTGCCATCCTAACCAGAGCCAGAAAGTCAGTCCTACGCTGAGCCACCGCCTGTACGGCCTTGCTGCACATCCTACAACTCTGTAACCACTACAAGCTTAAGGGGGTTTTATTTTTGTTTCCAAATGAGACACTTGACGCTGATCATTGATATTTGGGCTCTGGAGTAACATGCTTGCGCCTTGTACGGAGTACATACAAGGCCTTGGCAGAAGAAAAAGAAAAGGCTGTGGAGCCACATCACCTTTGGCTCGATCCTTTGATGACCCCATCAAGAATCTCGCGAATCTGCTTACACCCGTCTACCCCCACAGCTAACATCGTCTCGATGTATGTATGATGAACTTTGGAGTCCATTGTCAACATTGATACCTTCATGTCATCCTCCTCCCCATCCGTCATCACAGCCGGCACCGACGTCGTTGCAACAGTGAGGAATGGGAGCTCCTGCTCTTCCGGCAAAGAACCGTCCAACAACGGATCCAAGGTGTCGTCCATTGGATCTCTTGGCGTAGAGGCACTGCCACTCATACCGGCTGTACATCCGCACAGCAGACCAGGCATTGGTATTCCAGCATCGACAAGGGCCAGCGTACAGGCGTTGACCGCTGCGGCGAGAAGTGATCCATCCACTGATAAGACAGAGACGTGAACACTGATTGTACTGTGGGGGTAAAGATAGGTGTGAAGATGCGATTGAAAAGCGGAACGCAAGGTTGAGGCAATGCGGCCGGATTGCCTAGTCAAGAATAAAATAATCAGCAAACGGTCGGGGAACCGGTCACCAGATAAGGTATGTGCGCATGTCTTTCTTACCTGTCACTCCCGCCTGCCCGCCTTTTTCGGTCAACGCTTGCAAACCCTGCGATGTTCACATCGACCTCCACCACTGCGCCTGAGGATCCCGCAGCACCACCGGTCGCATCGCCTCGGCGCCCTTCTGCAGGGCCATGTACAGAACATAGAATAGTTGTATTCCCCATCGCCAAATAGGAGGATCCAGAGCTAGCGGGGTTCGTAGATATTTGTGCTTGAATCAGCCGAAGCTCGTTCCATCGCCGGCCGTCAAGGCGCAGTTTCGTGAGAGGATATGTCGTAGAGGTGTCGAGAGGCATTATATTCAGATTCGGTCAATATCCGTTCATCGACTTGTTTAAAATGAGAATAGAGCGGGCTTCGATTTAGTCGTGTTGATGTGGAATGGCAGTTCCCCGCACTCTGAGTCGTTGGTATTTTTTCGAGGGGTCTGGATAATTGTTGAAGATTGAGATTGCGTGGATAGGTTCAGTGAAGGAGGTTCTAATTATTAACTCAACGTCTTTCTATATGGTGTAAAATGGTAGCGAGTAGGTCGTGGAGTTCAAAAAGTGAGAGGACTCTAGGCAGTTCAACTTTTCGGCGACAAATTTAATTTGACCTCAGCGGCTTCTTATCAACTTATCGCCTCTCCGCATTCCTCGGCCACCATTCCACCTGCATTCCACCCACAAGAAGCGACCTTCTTCATAGTTCATCCTACCTCCCCCGTCGACCGTTGATATATGGTGATGAATATGTAGCTAAATATGGTGTCCACCGACGATCTAGACGACCTCGACGCAATCACAGTCGACTCTTCCGACGACGACCTAAACGCGACGCGTCCGATAAGGGACAATGCTTTCACTCATCACGCTCGTATGTCCTTTGGCTTCTATTGACTCTTTGACAAGCTAACAGAAACCGCACTCAGATCCTCCTAACAAATCTGAAAATGTGACCCCCAAACGTGAAAATGCTTCTCCCCAACCTTTCCGCTCTACGCCGGCAGTAGCTCGCCCAAACTCCAGACCAACCCCTCCAGATCAAAAGATCCCGGTGGACGATACTACCGACGGAAATAGCAGCGATGGCAGTTCCTTTAACGAAGGCGAAGCTATCTACAAGGAGTTCAAGAATCGTAAATCCCGCAAGCGAAAACGAAGCTCTATAGGCGTGCAGAAAAAACAGCCGAGCAAAATGCCAGCTAAGGACGCGATCGTCGGTAGAGTAGCAAGGAAGAAGGAGGCTAAGGGAATTCGACCAAAATATATGCGGAATTATGGAGAAGAGGTGTCGTCCGAGGATGACTTAATGGAACATACACTGCCCGACTACCTGCAAAAGCGTCGGCTTCAGTTTAATCGGCGGTTGGAGCACCTAAAGGACTCCGGGTTGAAGCTGCCCCCCGACTACGACCGTGTTTACTTCTCTGATGATGGGCGACTGGAGCATCTTCGAGAAAAGCCGGTGTTCAAGGATATTAGGCCTTGCGGTGCATATAAGGACATTACCTTATCCTACTCCCTAGGACTCATTCCAGCACCCATCGCTCAGTGGCTTCGTCCGTACCAAATAGACGGTGCTGAATTTCTGCATCGGCTGTTTGTCTACCAGAAAGGTGGAATACTTGGGGATGATATGGGACTAGGCAAAACTGTGCAGGTGATCGCATTTCTTACCGCCGCATACGGTAAAACGGGAGATGAAAGAGATGCTAAAAGGATGAGGAAAGTGCGGAGAAGTGAGGGAAACCAGTGGTATCCCCGGACACTTATCATATGCCCTGGTACCTTGATAGAAAACTGGAAGTCTGAGCTCTCTCGCTGGGGTTGGTGGCATGTGGATGCCTATCATGGAGAGAACAAAGATCTTGCGCTCTATGCAGCAAAGTCTGGTCGTGTCGAAATACTGATCACAACGTACAGCACATACCTGCATAACAAGGATTCCGTGAATATGGTCGACTGGGACTGTGTTATTGCCGACGAATGCCATGCAATCAAGGAGAGAAGCTCGGAGACAACGAGGGCCATGAATGACATCAATGCTCTGTGCCGGGTTGGGTTGACAGGCACCGCTATCCAGAACAAATACGAAGAGCTCTGGACCTTATTGAATTGGACCAATCCCGGAAGACTGGGACCTGTGACCACCTGGAAAAACAAGGTTTCCGAGCCACTGAAAGTCGGTCAATCCCACGATGCTACGGTACAGGAACTAAGAAGGGCTCGTTTAACTGCCAAAAAGCTTGTTGAGAACTTACTGCCGCAGTTCTTTCTCCGTCGAATGAAGACGTTAATTGCCGACCAGCTTCCGAAAAAAGTCGACCGTGTAGTGTTCTGTCCTCTAACCGATACCCAAGCAGAAGCATATGAAAATTTGTTGAACAGTGATATAATCACTTATATCAAGTCATCCTCGGATAAGTGCGATTGCGGCTCCGGAAAGAAGGCCGGTTGGTGCTGTCAACAGTATCTACCCTCTGGTATCCGTTGGCAGAATTATGTGTTTCCAGCCATACAAATCCTGCAAAAGCTGAGCAACCATCTGGCTATCCTGATTCCACAGAGTACGGATAGTTTCGAAAAGCAGGAAAAGGACAAGGAGATGTTGGAGATTGCGGTACCGAATCAATGGGAGAAGCTTTACCGTACAAGAGATTCAATCTTAAACTACGCTGATGCTGAATTTTGCGGTAAATGGAAAGTCCTTAGGAGGCTTTTGAAGTGGTGGCATGGAAATGGAGACAAGGTTCTCGTTTTCTCGCACAGCGTTCGACTTCTGAAAATGCTACAAATGCTCTTCAACCATACAAGTTACAACGTCAGTTATTTAGATGGGTCGATGACTTACGAGGACCGGGCCAGGGTTGTTGACCAGTTCAATTCTGACCCACGACAATTTGTCTTCCTCATCTCAACGCGGTCCGGCGGCGTCGGGCTGAATATCACATCGGCGAACAAAGTTGTCATTGTCGATCCTAACTGGAACCCATCATACGATCTCCAAGCCCAGGATCGGGCATATCGAATCGGCCAGACGCGGAACGTGGAGGTTTTCCGACTGATTTCGGCCGGCACTATCGAGGAGATCGTCTATGCTAGACAAATATACAAACAACAGCAGGCGAACATTGGATACAATGCAAGTTCCGAGCGCCGGTACTTTAAGGGTGTCCAAGAAAAGAAGGACCAGAAGGGCGAGATTTTCGGACTACAAAACATCTTCGAGTATCAAAACGACAATATCGTGCTACGTGACATTGTCAATAAGACGAACGTCGCAGAAAGCAAAGCCGGCGTACAGGTCATGGATGTAGATCTAGAGGTGGAAGACACAAACTCCGAGGATGGCCCTCGAAGCAGAAACACAGATGCAGACGACGAGGCCATGAGCCAACTCGCGGCTAAGATCTGTGGTGACGATGAAAAGACCTCCCCGAAACAGTCCACCTCGACGCCGACGAAGCACGACCCCGTCCAAGCCATCCTGGCCGGCGCCGGTGTAGAATACACCCATCTCAACAACGAAGTCATCGGCTCCTCTAAGATCGAAGAGCGACTAAGCCGCCACGCCCAACTAGCCGATGACGACGTGGCCAACATCCAAGTCTTCTGCGGGGAGCAAGAGGAATGTGCCGGTATGATGTCCACCGCGTTCCAAAAAGACGGGCGCCCAGTTCGGTTCAAATACCACCCTCCCGAGGACGTTATGAAACGCCAGTTTTGCAGCATGGCAAGGCGGTTCGGGTTTCCAAATGCCACTGAGTTTGCGCTTCTTGTGGAGAGTATGACGCAGGCTGAGCGGCGGGCATGTTTGGATCGTTGGTATAAGGAGCGGCGGCAGATTCTCCTTGAGCGGTCTTCTGAAGGTTCGACGTGATGATCTTTCGTCTAGACCTTATTGCGGTATTGCATTTTGGATGTTTACTTTTATGACGGGACATGACTGATGACTACATGTAATAATAGCATAGCATTTGAAGCGTGGGGATGTTTCATTCGTATCCTTTATTATTTATTGTTCGTACAAGAGTCAAGGTTGAGTACTCATAGACCCCATCAGCCAGTACTATAACCAAGCCAAGGTCCATAAGGCTGGCAAGTTCGGCCACTTCTCCTGCCATGATCCAAGAATCTCGGGCACTTTTTCATCAAAGCTCCTCCGAGCTTCACCGGTTCCGTTTTCCCAGCCCTGTGCGCCAAGCGCTGTTTGTTCCTGGACAGCAGCTTCGTTCAAGCGAGTGGCTAATTCCAGTATAGCCTTTCCACCTACAAGGGCCTCCTCGTGGTTATCCTTGATATCCACATTGAACACATGCACAGGACGGTTCAGAGAGGAGCCTTTGTTCATGAGGTCGTCAACGACGGCGTCCCAGCATCGCTCCTCGCAGGTGATGATGACGTCTACTATGCCTCCTTCAGTTCCAAGTGCGCCCTTATCGCCCTTGGAAACATGGTCTGTCCTCGGTAACCCGGGTACCCAGTCCTGGAAACGCTCAGGACCCCATTTCACGTTGCGATTGCGGTCAAGCATGTTTAGGATACCGTTATTTCGGTACAAGCGCTCATCCTTAGAGAGGAGCTCATCGTACATTTGGGAGTAGGAGGTTGAGTTGAAGTTATAGACATTAGGTTGGGTGATAGAGGGGCCTGGTAGGCGGACTAGGGAGCCCGTTCCAAAGGAGATTACTGGGAAGGGCGACGCTGCAGTAGATAGACGGAGGTGTGCCTCCATCGAGCGGTTCTGATTTGATGCACATACGGTGCAGAAGCGAAGCTTGTATGAGTCCCCAGCTGTTTGCTCCGTCGAGTTTGTAGCACTACCATCTGTGGTTGCGGCTGCGGCTGCAGTTGGAACTGCCTCGCGGGGTGGTGTTGCATGTTCCTGAGCCCCTGTGCCTGCACCAGCTAGTCGTGGATCATAGGCCATCTTGTTAAGTAGGTACTTATGAGAGGCTTAAGGGAGACAAGCGGGATCAAGATAGATGTGAATATTAAGAAGAGTGTGTTGGTAAAAAAAAATTCTCTCGCTGTGATCTAAGGAGGTCTGAAAATACGTTTGCTTGGTGGTCCCTGAAAATATTACACAGAATTAGCATGGCCACATCAATAGAAGATGAGGATTTCAGTGCGAGTAAACAAAATTGTAACGTTCAGAAAGATGAAAAGCGTAAGTAAAAAGGTTGTCCGCATGGTGAGCTAGGACAGCTCCAATATATAAGGAATCATCATGTAATTGTGTTTGGAGAAAAAGAAATCAAGCTCTGCCTACCTTTGAGATGCCTATCATGATAGGGAAAAATGAAAACTACGGTGTAGAACAAAGTCAAAAGCAAGGGCCGCAGCCCCAATGTGAGCGAGTGAAGAAGACACCGAGGGAAGTTTTGTTGCTGGTGGTGGGAGTTTTGTGTCACAACTGCTGAGTCAGAAAATTGTCTAGACTCCTTTTGTCTTAGCTTGTGTTCAAGCTCTCAGAGCGATTATGTCGGTCCGTCTCTTATTCTTGCCAGCGAAAGAATCAACTTGAGTGACAAGACACCGTTGTCTTTGGCACTAGCACGTCGGAGCCTTTAAAGATGCTCATTACTTTTGGCTGATAACCCTATCCGTTTTCAAAATCCAGCGATCGACCGTCAAAATGAAGGCCGCTCTGATCGTAGTGGACATGCAAGAGGACTTCTGTCCGCCGGTAGACTCTATCTATGCCTGTTGTCCGGCTTTCCCTGTACTGACTATGCTCCATTCCTAATATAGAACGGTTCGCTCGCCGTCCAAGGTGCCCGGGACTTGGCTCCCATAATAAACCTCCTCTTAGCACACCCTGGATTTGCTGTTCGTGTTGCCTCTCAAGATTATCACCCCCAAAACCACATTTCGTTCGCGACCAACCACCCATCGCCTAACAACCGTCCCTTCGAAAGTAGCATTACAATGACCAATCCGGTCTCGGGAAAAGAGACGGAGACCAAACAGCAGACTCTCTGGCCCACCCACTGCGTTCAACAAACACCAGGGGCTGACATCATCCCTGAGCTTGATACTACCAGTATCGAACTATTCGTCCAGAAAGGCATGGACCCGCGAGTTGAGATGTACTCAGCGTTTGCAGACGCTTTCGGAAATCAAGATCCCGCAATAGTGTCTGTAAATGCCAATCTGAGAGCGTTTTTAACTGACAGGGGCGTGACGGATGTTTTTGTTGTCGGGGTTGCAGGGGATTTCTGCGTCAAATACACAGCCCTTGACGCCGCGAAAGCAGGGTTTCGGTGCCATGTTGTGCAAGATGCGACCGCATGTGTGGTGCCGTCCGGATGGGAGGAAACGATGCGAGAACTAATTTCAGCCGGTGTGTTGATTGTTCGATCCGATGGGCCCGAGATAGCTCGTCTTCCTTGACTTAGTTTAGTGCCGGGGATACGAGAGGCATGTATATAGCGAACGTACACCGTAGACTTGGTTGAACGAGGGCATCCAGCCAAGAGAAACATGTGGCAGGCAGTTCCGATGTCGTTTCATGGCAGACCCTGCAAGTGGCTGCGGAACGAACTTGCGACAGATAAGACTTGGTTAACGGTCGACTAATGCAGGTGGCGCCACATGGGAGAAAGGCAGCAAGGTTATCTATATGATTCGCATCATCCCTATTAGCTTGCCAAACAGCCACTGCTCCTGACGATGAGCTGTTCGCTCAATGTGATAGCTCCCCACCAGGCGTCATCTCGATGCTCTCATTATTGATGATAGGCGCGTCAATCCCTTCTTGAAATGTCTGAGTGCGGGTCTGCGACCGGCAAGGCCCTCCGCCCGTTGACCAGCCTAGGTGGACAGTCTAAGAGATCCAATCAAGCTCCTCCAACTATCTACGCACCTGTGAATTCCTTTGATTTAAACCTCACCGTCTAAGCTGCTGTTCTCGTTCTCCCCACCTTTCCCTCATGTCTTCTGTCCGGTGAAGGCGCGCATCACACCGACTACGCCATGTCCAACACACTTGCCACCGTAACTGCTGTCGACAGCGAGCCTCCGAGGCGGCTGAGCACTTCTCTTCGATCTCCAGCTGGTGACATTCCATACTGGAATGTCAATGTCGGTCCGGCTCGCTGGACGGTCGAATGTCCCAGTTTCTTGCTAAACCAGCCGGAGAAGAATATCGGCATTCTCTCGACGCCCGACGAACGATATCAACGACAAGGCTGGGAATTCGTGCGACAGATAGTCGGTATGTGGGCATGGTCACCCAGGCTTCTATAAGCTAGCTCTAACTCCATTTTCTGTTCTTTAGAGAACAACCAAATCGATCAATTCCAACGCCTACCTAGTGACCTGAGGAAATACCTAGAGTACAAGGAACAGATTATTGCTCAGTATGGGTCTATAATGCGATTTGTGGTGAAGGAACGGCTTCGTTGGGGGGAAGGAACTGCGGACGATCTGAAGCCTCGAGGTCAACCCTTTGAGTATGAAGGTTTGTGATCCTTGTAGATTTCGCATCAACCCAATCGTCGGACTAGACTGGGATGGGCTGACCGTGAGGGTGTGTGGAAGCAGAGGATATGCGAATCTTACACAATGATTGGCCATATGGGTTGGACGATGGCATTATTCACTTAGTAGTCTGGACAAAATTTGATCTAGAAGACGACCCAGCAACGGACGACTTGACACCGCGCGCAAGACAGGAGATTGACGACTTTGTGAAACGAGTATTCTGCTCGCGGATGGGACCAGGCCAGGTACGTAGGATGCTGCATGGCAGTTATTCCATGCACGACGCCAGTGGTGTCGTAACTAACGGCGTCACTTTTCGTATCTGCAGGTTGTATGGTTCAAAAACTGGAGGTCGCTCAAGTCAGTGCATGCTGTTGAACATTTCCATGTCATGCTACATAATCCGGATCCAGCCTTTGTCGAGGAGATCACAGGCGCAGACCTGCCCTGGTCCATAAGAGGCGTCTGAGCAGCCCCTCCTTGGATCTCGACCATTTCCCCGCTGAAGATAACTAACTCACACCCCTGTGGTAATAATAATCACGGTCTGAGACGCTGTGTTGATTCGACAGTATGACTATGGCTACGCAAACTCTCATGCAAAACCCCCCACAGCTGCCAAGCGATGTGGCCCCGCCGACTGACGAGAATCGGGTGACAACAAAGGGAAATTATAAATGGATTTGTGTCTTGTTCTGGAAGGACTCTGAGCCATCACATCACCTGTTTGGCGTCAGGGAATGGTGGCGGGTGGGGATCGTCAAGTGGGCAACCAGGCACATAAAGCGACGACGCCCCAAACAGCGGTGCGCAAATGACTCTCTTCTGTCTCTTCTTGTGATTTTTAAGATAGAATGAAATAAATCCTAGACACTTCTGCCCCAAGCGACCTCCACATAGAGATGAAGAACGTTGTAGCCAGCATGCCCAAGCTCCCCGTTGCGCATATCCGCCGCCGGTCGTCCCTCGCCAGTAAGTTCCGTCATCGTCGCTCCCAACGTCATTTTGCTCCCTTCCCCTCCTCGTTTTTCCTCAACTCGGCCTCCTCCGCCCTCTTCCCCTCCAGTTTCTAAGACCGTCTCCGCCCCGGCCGTTGGTTTCTATGCGTTACATCTAATTTAATCGGGACATTCTCGGTTCTTTTCTTTTTTGCCCACCATGTCCGCTGACTGGAGCTATTTCTGGGGTACTTCAGGTAACCGTTCATCGCTCGATGAACCCAAGTCTGATACCGTTAGCGGTGACGACGAGGTCGTCGAACCCGATCAAGGCAATGGTATGTAGGCCATTATTTCGTACGCCTGATGAACTGCTGTGTCACAAAACTGACCAGGTCCTTGAGTGTAATAGTCCTCAGCCACATCATTTCGCAGCTCCGGCCAGGAGCGGACCTGAGTCGAGTTGTATTACCTACCTTTATCCTTGAGCCCAGGTCCATGCTGGAGCGGATTACAAAGTATGTCTGCTCCATTGAATGTCTCTTCCACACATGGCGGCTAATCAAATTTCTTCAGTTTCATGGCGCACCCCGAAACCCTACTTCCCATGCCGACGCACGATGACCCTCTCGAGCGCTTTGTATCCGTTGTCAAGTTTTATCTGAGTGGGTGGCACATCAAGCCTCCGTACGTCGTCTCTTATTGCCTCTATTTATATGTTCTCCACGCTCGGAAATGTTCCCGCTAACAAGCTGGCACAGAGGGGTTAAAAAGCCGTTGAACCCTGTCCTCGGTGAAACGTACACTTGCTCCTGGGAATACCCTGACGGCACCCACGGTTACTATATCTCCGAGCAGACCTCGCATCATCCGCCCAAATCAAGCTATTTCTTTATGGCGCCGGAACACCATATCCGTATCGACGGCACGCTCAAACCGCGGAGCAAGTTTCTCGGTAACTCCGCCGCAAGTATGATGGAGGGAACCGCCATTCTACGGTTCTTAAACCGTGGCGAAGACAAGCAACGAGGCGAACGATAGTAGGTGGAAATGTGATTAATATTCTGCAACAAAGTTACTAACACAACGAACAGCATCCTGACGCAACCGAACATGTATGCCCGAGGTATCCTATTCGGCAAAATGAAGTACGAACTTGGAGATCACAGCTTCGTGAGGTGTCCTGAGAATAATCTAGTTGCCGATATTGAATTCAAAACCAAGGGTTACTTCTCTGGTACCTACAACGCCATTGGAGGAACAATTAAGAACGAAAAGACCGGAGAAGTATTATATGAAATCTCTGGTTTCTGGAATGGCGAGATGCATATTAAGAGTGTTCACGTATGTCCTTGATAAACCCTGCTCTCTCGTCTTCATTGCGCGCTCAAACGCTAACCTATTTAGTCGCATGATAAGGAAGTCCTTTTCAACGCTAAAAAGTCCAAGCCGACATTCCCCACGACCCGCCCCATCGAACAGCAAGGCGAGCGCGAGTCCCAACGATTATGGCAGAGTACCGTGAAGGCCATCATTTCTTCAAACCATGAGGCAGCCACGGACGAAAAGACACGGATAGAAGACCGTCAAAGAGAGGAGGCGGCGAAGCGAGCCGAACAGGGTGTCGAATGGCACCCTCGACTGTTCCGGGCCATCAATAGCGGGCCAGGTGGCTCAGAAGAGGGCGAGGAGGGTCTCGATTGGATTATCAATGCTCATGTGTACGTTTAGCCGCAACAGAGTGGGCTGAGGGCCCTGAAGCTAATGTGCTTTTCTACAGAGACCACCAGGACGTCGAAAAGGCAAAAACAGAAATCCTAGCCATTGCTCCGATACTTGATGGGCAAACGTGGGACGGTTTCGCGATCCCAGAATACAAAGCCGGTGCGCCGAACGGCGCTGGCAACTCGGAGAGCCAGTCAGAGAACACGAAACCAGAGGCCACGCCAGAAGCAAATCCAAGTAAAACCACGGAGAGCAGGGACGAGGCCGTCGAAGGAAAGGATTCAAAGACGTCAGAGGTCGACAAGTCCGTGGATACTGGGGAAAGCTCAAAGCCTTGATTCTTGAACGCCTTCAGTCCTAAGACCCCGGGCGCCTCCGCTGTGCTACATGCTTTTTGAGAAAAGGATAGAAAACCTCCGTCGGTGCAGTATGCCTGGGTATATTCCTCGTCGTACAAAGATGGCTGTGACGTAAGTGTACTTGCTACCTTTTTATCCGCCCGCCTGCCCCAACATTTAACCATGGAGCTGGAAGGGCCTTACTCATATGAGCCTTGAATATTTCAACATCCCGGCTTGGATCAAGATATCCACAGTCCGTCACCGTCAATTATACTGGATACCCTACTGCATTTTGTCTGCGCGAAGAAAAAGTGGCCAGCCTCGTTAAAGAGGATAAAATAATATAAAAAAGACCGAAAGCAATGTTTACAGGCTATGAACTATGGTAGAGAGGAACGGGAGAAGGTATATAGGAGTATCTGCTTATTATTTTTTTATGAGCCTAATAATATCTGGTATACCACAATTATTAATTGCTGTAGGCACGCGAGGCTCCGATGTAGCTTAACTGTACCCTGCAATTGTATGCAATATGCGTGCATACGAACTCCGTTCGCCATGAAAATGCACCAAATTCCAGAAAATGAGAAAGTAAAACGCCTCTACCAGTAAGTTTTAGGTATCTCACCAACCCAACCAACACCAAAGCCACACAAGAATCAAAAGAAAAATGAGAAAGAGGTTCAAGAATATAACTCCCCGCGCAGCCCAGCTCCCTTCTCCGCATCCCTTCGTCTTGAACTCTTCCCACCATCCCCCTGCTCCTCCCTTTCCTCTTCTAACTTAGCAATTTCCTCTTCGATCTCCTTCTCTGTGTCCTCTCTAAGCCCCAACAAGTCCGGTGGGATGACAGACATTTGCACGCTCGGCGCCGCTTGGAGGTATCTCAGTTGCTCGCGGATTGTCTGCACAATAGTCTGTAGGTAAGCGCGCGAGTTCTTATTCTCGAGTTTGCGCATCTCTGAGAGCGGTGGGAAGAGTGAAAAATCGGGGCCGAAGTGGTTCCGGAATGCGACGTTGTTAGGGATAACGGGATCGATTTTGTCCTCGGCGTCGACGAGAATGGAGGTTTCGTGCGCCCAGGCCCTGGAGACGTTGCGGGGTGTGTAGCCTCCACCGCCAACCACGAGGAGGGGGAGTTTGAATGTCTTTGTGAATGCGACGCAGGCGCCGTGGGCGGCGACGTTGAGGTTGAAGCAGCCGAGTCTGTCGCAGCCTAGAGAGTCGGCGCCGCATTGGAGGACGATCGCGGAGGGGCGATATGATTCTACGCAGGTGCCGATGACGTCGCGGTAGAGCTGAACGTATGACTCGTCGTCAATGCCGTCGTGGAGGGGCACGTTGACGGCGTGGTGAGCGCCTGGGTTGAGGGGGTGGGTTGGCCCAGTACTATCGAGGGGACCCGTGCCTGGGAAGAAATTCTCCTTGTCGTACTTGTGAAATGAGACTGTGAGGACCCGGTCGGAAGACCAAAAGGCTTGTTCGACGCCGTCACCGTGGTGGACATCGATGTCGATGTACATGACACGCGGGTGTACGCGAAGGAGCTGTAAGACGGCGAGGACGATGTCGTTAACGTAGCAAAACCCGCTGGCTTCGGCCTTTTTGGCGTGGTGCAGGCCACCGGACCAGTTGATTGCTATGTCGGCTTGGTTGTTGCAGAGCTTGCGGGCGGCGTCGATGGAGGCTCCGGCGTAGAGGGAACAGTATTGAAATAAACCGTCGAATATGGGACAGTCATCACCAAAGTTGAAGCGTACGATGTTCTCGCTCATATTTTTTGCTTCGTTTATCTCCCCTGGGCTAACTGTCTGAAGGAAATGAAGGTAGTCGGACGAATGGAAATCGTTCAGTTCCTCTGCTGTCGCGGCGCGCGAATGGTACAGGTCCATTGCATGGTGCATGCCGTATGCGAGCACCAGCTGTTTGGTGAGGGTGAGTCGCCATGGCTTCATAGGATGTGACTGGCCGAAGTGGTGTAGTTCTACCGCTGGGTTTGCGTGCCAGGACACTCGGTAGCCTGGTGGTCGCGCGACGATGCCTTCATGTTGGTGCTGGGCGGATTTGCGATCGACCGAGAGCGTAGGAGTGGGGTTGTACTCTTGTACAATGGCGGACCGGGGCATGAGAGTGGACTTTTCGGGATAGCAGACTTGAAAACGAGTTGGAGGTGGGTGGAGATGGGCAGGTTCGATGATTAAAGACTGGAATTGGGAAGAATGAAGCTGAGGCGATCCCCAAATCACAGGCAGAAGACGGATCCCCACCGCTTATTCAGCATCCGATGTCGCCCTCGGCCGCGGTTTAAAGTCCGCATGTATAAAGTGGCGCTTCAAGACAATACCCCGCTGCAGACAAAACTCGCAGCAGATTTTTCAGAAGAGGTTCAGTATAGAATAGGGAACAATTGCTGACTCCAAAGAAAAATGAACACCGCCGCCTCAAAGCTCCGCCAGGCCCTCCAGGACCCCAACGCTCTCATAACCGCCCCTGGTGTCTACGACGGTCTATCGGCCCGTATAGCGCTCAATGTCGGGTTTGACGCTCTCTACATGGTATGCACCATTTTACCACTGTTTACCATCTCCATTGCTGAGATGATGCTCACAATCAAATAGACCGGCGCTGGTACCGCCGCGTCCGTCCATGGTCAAGCAGACCTAGGAATATGCACGCTCAATGACATGCGAGCGAACGCTGAAATGATCAGCAACCTCTCCCCATCAACCCCAGTGATTTCAGATGCCGACACTGGATATGGCGGTCCGATCATGGTCGCCCGTACCACAGAGCAGTACGCCCGCGCAGGCGTCGCAGGGTTCCACCTCGAAGACCAGGTGCAAACAAAGCGATGCGGGCACCTCGGCGGGAAGATCCTAGTGGACAGTGATACTTATGTCACTCGAATCAGGGCTGCCGTGCAAGCCCGCAAGCGCATTGGAAGCGATATCGTGATCATCGCACGCACAGACGCCCTTCAGGTAAACGGCTACGAGGACAGTCTCGCGCGGTTGCGGGCGGCTCGCGACGCTGGTGCAGATGCCGGTTTCCTCGAGGGAATCTCCTCCATTGAAATGGCGCGTCAAGTGGTAGCCGACCTCGCGCCCTGGCCATTGCTTCTAAACATGGTGGAGCATGGCTCTACCCCGTCCATTACTGCCACTCAGGCTCGTGAGATCGGGTTCCGAATGATCATTTTCCCTTTTGCCGCACTAGGTCCAGCTTGTACAGCCATCCGGGAGGGGATGGAGAAGCTCAAGCGCGATGGTATACCAGGATTAGATAAGGAGTTGACGCCGCAGATGCTGTTTCGGGTGTGCGGGTTGGATGAGAGTGTCAAGGTGGATGCTGCCGCGGGCGGAGCAGCTTTCAACAGCGGAGTAGACCTCAAGTAGCTAGCTGTCACGGGTTTAGTGTATCTGCTAAAATCATCAATATAGATGCTGTGAACAAAATTGTTTGCTTTCTCAGGTTCGAGCAACATGATGCTGCCATCCAACACAGTAATACGCTGGTAATGTGGATGTGGGTAATGGATATGAAGGTATAAGTTCCTCAACAGATACACCACGATTCAATGCCAGTAATAGTGAAAGTCAGAACAGGGACAAGATCGCAGTCCAGTCCATGATGTGGTCGATGTTGCCAATGTAGTCAGCGGCTGGCGACATGAGTATACACCACGTGACCCGATGACTAATTGGAATGTCGTTCACAAGGTCGGGCAAGAAATGTAAAAGGTGCAGCCTGAGAGACTCAAACTCGAGAACGAACCATTCTGATGTTTCTGCTTCAAAGAGGCGTTTTGCGACCTATTGGCGCTTAATTTCCAACGAATAAGCCGAGCCTTGGGCCACTTCGAAAACAGCCGAATTCAGGAACGGTCCCTGAATCCATGCTTTCCATGAACTGGAGGAAATGAACGAGTTTCCCAGAGTTGCTTTCTTCAACTTGAGTTTGATAATAATAAGTAGGATCTGACCTATCATAGTGGTCCCTGGACAGAATCCGCAGAGATTTGAAGTTTCATCTTGCAGCCCATGGCCAATCCCGCGAAAAACCATGGTACTCTCGCCCACGGAACTGATGTTTATTTTTGGGGTCCACCCAGGGGGGTTGGACAGTGCGTCCGACAGCCCGTACACCATATGCCTTTTGACGCCCGGCCAAAATGGCGCTCCGGTTTCCTCTGTGAAATAACAGCCACTATAATACAAGACGCATCACTCTTTTCGATAACTGATCCAGTCGTCCAGTTTTACTTCCGCTGGAATAATGACCAAGGCCACTTAGGCCACTTGGCTCGCAAATCCCGCGTTGCCGGTCGGCACACAGTTAGGCTAACGACGAGCTAAGTCGGCAATCTTCAGTCAGCCGCGTCACTCTGTGATTACTTGCCCCGCTTCCTCTGGCCAGGCTGTTCGAGAACTTCGCTCACAAGGAGTGTTCGTCTCAAAAGAGGTCGCCCTCGGTATCAGCGGGTCATTTTTCTGAAGGGACGCAGACAACGAAACGGCCACGAACCCGAGACACATCAGGGCTCAGGAGTCAACTTTAATGGGAGATGGTTCGCCCAACTGTCTCAAACCTGTCGCCTTCGTATTCGTGCTGGTCTCCTCGTCTCCGTATCCAGTATTGGATATAGTTGCGGTGAGAGGCAGTCCAAGCCCACAGAAAATGCAAACAGAGATTTAGATTTGTTGCAGCAACTTTGTGGCTTTCAGAACACCACATCAGGGCGCCCTTGACTGGAGCAAAATGTCCAGAGACTCCCGGCACATCGTCGGTCATGCCAATGAGCATATAAATTACTGGCGTACAACCCACTCCGTGGGTCATAACGTGGCGAAGTAGCGAACGGCAGTTAATCCTGATTCCTGATTCATCTTTCCAGGCTGGGCGTTCTTTGAGTCTGGCTTTGACTTTTTTTGGTCTGGAATCTGCGTGCGATGTAAAGTGGAGGGAGCAAACGGCTGCCTGCCATCTGTCGTGGAGTGGTAAACCCACTATACCCGACTGCTCGCATTTTTGGCCGAAGAACCGGATCGATCGAAAACCCAAGAACAACACATCGAATTTGTTGTTTGCCGAGGGCGGTTGTGAGTTGTGATTCGCTTTGACTGGCAGAGATGCGCTGTTCCTGAAGCCTGAATCCCAACGGGGCGCACTGGGAGTGCCGCTGTCAGGCTCCGTAATAATCTTCAGATAACCACATGAAGAGCCCAGCGGCTTTACCGTCGGAATACACCACGCCCCATCTCTTCAGTGAGATTGGCTGGGTTGACCTGAAGATCAGGGCGAGAGCGCTCGACTCTGGTCAGTGGGTGGAGCCAGGAGTTCCCCCGCTGCCAATCACTACTCCCAATTTTCAGCATTCAGGCACCGTCTGTCCCAGCTGGCCAATCAGCGGATCGACCTTTTTTTAATTGTGATCACTCTTGTTTCAATTTAGTCGAATTTAATTTCAACACCCAGAGGGAGTTACCGTACCTTACTTCCAGGTGGGTATACTTCGCACACGCAAGCATTATTGCAGAGACGGGCACCTTTAATACCACTGGGCCCTCTCCCTCCTTCTTCTCTCTCCCTTCTCTCACCTTTCTGAAACCATTCTGTCGAGCTTCACTGTCCACTCTTTTTTTCTTCGAGATCGCTGTTGCGGTCCTCAAGTCATTCATTCTTCCGAATCACTCTCTTATCCTTTGTGACTCGACTGCGTTTCAGTTTCAAAAGAATCTCCTTCAGTTCACTGGGCTACATACCTGGTCTATATAACGCCTACCTCCCTTCGAGTTTCAACTGGGTCAACCAAAACAACCCTTATCAAGATGCAAATCAAGAACTCTATGCTCCTGCTGACGGCCATGACGGCTGGCTCAGCTATTGCACGCATGCACGGCCACGATCGCCGTCATGCCGCTCACCACGCACGCGAGGAGAAGCGTGAGGTCGGTGACGTTGTCACCGCTACGATTGACGGAAAGATTGCCACCTGGGTCAATGAGTACGCTGGTGGTGGTGCCGATGCTGCCACCGCTACCACAGACTCTGATGCCGCTGCCGCTACTGCTGAGACCAGCACCACCGACGCTGCTGACGCCGCCGCTACTACTACCGAGACTTCTGACGATCTCCCCGAAGTTTCAAGCGTTTCATCTGCCCCTGGCCATTGCGGCAACTGGCACGAAAAGTCTGACGAGTACTCCCGTGAGGGATTCGGTCTATCCACCCTGTCTAACGGCCTCGAGTACATCAAATACATCGGAAACATTGGGAACCCCTGGGGTAGCAACATGATTGACGTCGAAGCCGACAAGGCCTGCAAGTACCAGAACGTCGTCAGATTCGAGGGCAGTCAGACCGACCCCTGGACCATTGTCTTCTGGAACAACTACGGTCCCACTCGCAAGATGGACGGCTGGTACGGACATTCTGCCCTCAAGCTCACTCTTGAACCCGGTGATGTCAAGTACGTGGCCTTCGACGACGATTCCCAGGGTGGATGGAGTGCCGCTAAGGGTGAAACCATTCCTGTTGATGCCAATGGTGGTTACTCTGCCACTTGGGGTGAATTTGACTTTGCCAGTGACAAGAATGACGGCTGGTCTGGTTTTGATGTCTCGTGTATCCAGGCTCAGAACGCCAACCAGGAAGTCCAGGGCATGAAGATCTGTGAACATGGGGGCGAGCAGTGCTCTTACGTTACCAAGCTCGCTAAGAAGGTGAAGGACGCCTACACCTCCGCCGAGACTGGCTTGAACGGCATCGGTGGCAAGGTGCAACATAAGCCCGTCCGTCTCGTCGTCAACCTCGACTACGACGAATAAGCCATCAACTTTCTTGGGTTTTGGCGCTTGTCGTTTTATTCTTGGTCTGCCTTTCGCGTTTATACTCCCTATCAATTTATCTTCTCTTGGATCCTAGCAGCTTAGGAGCACGCTCTTATACCTACGATTCTTTCTTTTGGCTTTGTAAATAGAATTATACCACTTTGCTCTTCTAGTCGATATTAACGTTATGTACATTCTGCCTACATGGTTTTCCTTCCACGACATGATCATATGTCATCTAGATGTACATAATCACAAATCCAACCTCCGCTAGAAGCATCAGAACCTTCCAAGTCCCAACGTCAACATAGGTGGGCATCTACTGGCACCAACCTCTGAAAATTCAACCAATCTCATCCTTGATCCACCAAACTACGTAGTCTCACCTATTCACGACTCTTCTGCCCCTGGATATGTTTCGACCATATTCTCTCTCCCCCTCCATTGTGGTATTCCCTGCCCTGCTGTCTGCAATCCACCCTCCAACATAGCACTACTTCCTCCAATCCCTCGGCCGCAACCTCCCAGATCCAAAATCGAAAATAATAGCACTTTCCTGTAAATATCTTGCCCAAAAATAGTATCAGATCAAGATGTACTTGTTGTCAACCAATTGGCTTGCTACTCGCGTTCGAGATCATTCTAGAACATGAGCTGGTATTCTTAGTATAGTATTCCGTAAGTAAGTCATCATCCCCAGTACTACGTATACTTAGTATTTGCCGAACCTTCCCTGTGGAATGGCAGTCCCCCTTGTTATTTATTTATAGCACTAGCGAAATCATCGGAACAACACCGTAAATAAGGAGCCACCCCGTAACGGGAATCCATACGGTACACAGTTCCATACATACATATATACATACATATATACATACATACATACATACATACATACATACATACAGTAATATCTAAAACTGGATACGAGATCTCTCGGTCTTTCCGGGGGCGGCTCCATGGCTTTGGGGTCCGTGGTGTGGCCTGTTTCATCTATATATGGTGGTGGCTGATTTTCAGTGTAGTGGCTGGGCAGTCCATAGTGGGTTCGTAGAATGGTGAGTCCAAAAATAGACGGGATCCCCCATATAAAGTTCCTTTGTAGGGAAATACCTAAATATTTAAATGTCTTTGTTAAGGGATATCTCGTTCAAAGCCTCAGGGGGGTTCGTGCACCCAACAAAGGAAAGTCGCGTTTCTGAAGAAATACGAGGAAAGTGGCGAAGCTAATTGATTGTCAGAGTAGGGATATGACCAGTGCGATATATAACATAGCCTCAGATGGTTAGTTAGTAGTACTCTGGAATTAGGCAAATACTGCTCTAGCAAGGTGGAGAGGGTTCCATGGAGCTCAGCCCGGGTCTCATATATCCAGGCCGTGTGGGACGGTCGAGGCAACAAAGAGGACGGGAGAAGTGATCTCACTCCTCGAAGCCAGGGCTGGGACGTGCTGCATTGCTGTTGTAACCAGCCGACGTGACCCTGAGGCTGGGATGACCGTGGTGGAAATGAGGCCACTCCGGTTGAGACTTGAGACTGGTGAGACCGGGCTCAATGAACTATTGTCGGGTGAGGCCGAGACGCACAGCTTCTGATATCCCATGAATGATTGTTTCTAAATTTGAACTATAGAATGACATATGAAAGCCTCGATATCTATTTTACAGCGCTTGATAAGAGTAAACGCCAATGGTAATAATAATACACCTTCCAGTAGAACTGTGGCTAACGGACTCTTATGCTGTCGTATTCATGCCACCGAGACCAAGGAATTGGTTGGCGTCCATAAGTCCGGGCACCTCTCCAGGTTCTTCCTCGTGTTCCTCGTGTTCCTGGGGCTCGGGCGCTGAGGCTGAGAACGCACCTATGTGGACCATATAGCCGATTAATGCAGCAACACCACCTGTCACGGTGGCTACGGAAAGGAGGGTATCTTTCTTTTGTCCACTCGCATAAGCTGACAACGACTTGCTCTCGACATCGGATAGCCCGGATTCGGAGGATTCGGCAGTCTCATGTAATCGGTTGTTCATGCGAATCTCCTTGAGAATTGGCGTCGAGTCCGCGAGGCTAGTGAGGAGCGATGTTCCGATGCTGCCGATACTGACCCGCTCAGGCGCCTGCCACGGGAGCGATGAGCCTGCACCACTCTTAAAGGCGTCCGAAACATCCACAACTCCGTAGAGCTCTCGGCGCAGACGATCAACATATTGTGACAATCGCGGTGCTTTCCGCTGCATAGAATCACGTAGCCATGGGAGAGGCAGATCTGGGACCAGCGCGAGGCTCAGATAGCCCACCGCGAGACAGTCTAGGCTTGACGGTCCTCCCCCAGAAAGCAGATATTCCTTATCATCAAGCATGGCCTCAAGAGGCTCGAACAACTCCCCTGTCAACGCCTCGAGTCGGAACTGGTGCTTCTGTGTCGTCTTGCCCAGGAGATTCGATACTGTCTCTCGGGGGCGGCGAATGAAGTTCTGTGGGATGCGGCCGGCTGCCACATCGGCCGAGTGGTCTCGTTTTCGTTGTTCCTCCGTGGCTTCTAGGTCAAGCGAAGATAAGCCCAACGGGTCAGTCCGAGCTTTTGCCGTGGTGTGCAGCTGCGGGGGCAGGATCCATTGGTTCGGCCATTGAAGGATGGCTCCATACGCTGGAGACGTGTTATTGTAGTAGTTCTGGCTGGTAACGTAGAGGGATAGGTCGATAAGGGCTTGGGCGTGGGATTCCACGAAGGAGGAGAAGCTGTCGCCTGATCGTCAGTCGTGTGACTTCTTGCATTCCTGCTAGCAGGGGAAGAAGCATACGCAACGCCATCTGCTTTGTCAAGCGCGCTCAGATCGCGATCTAAATTCCATGCGCCACTTGAGTATTGCCGGAGGTAATCCACGATATTGCGGAACCTGCTCACCCAAGTTGAGCCATTCTTGAGAGCGGGGAGCTCTTCTGCGGGGTCGAGCAAGAATCGTTTCAGCCAAATTGCAGATTAAACAAGAGATGTTGGTAATGCGGAGCTCAACGTACGTGTAGGGGAGACGGTTGGATCGCTACTTGCGACAAGAACCCATGAGTCCTTGGGGACGGTCAGGGAAAAATAGGCAATTGTTGCGAGGCATTGCGCATCGATGGAGGGTAGTGAGAACGCGGGGCCCCAGACATGGAGCTCAAGGACCATTTTGCTTTGGTGAATTGGAGAAAGAAGGCTTGGTTTTGTCCCACGCTTTCCCCTCGTTCTGCTGTTTGAGGGGAAGCGTCAAGAAGATCGCGACAGGAAAGACACGCCGAGCGATCACGTGGATTACCTCCGACATTCTGCAGCCTCAGGCATACAGGCATTCTTCCCCGTCTCGAGAAACACAATCTGCAGCTTTCTGAACGTTTCGTCCACAATAGTCACTCCGTGCTGAATCAGGCAGTTCACTCCTATTTCCAAGGCTGAATAGCCTCCAGCAATCAATGCGATATTGAATTTCCGCGGTGCAAACCCCCACGGATGTATGTCTCAGACAACAAGAGTGAACGGCAGGATCCCGCAGTGTCAGACCTCCGGCTCATGTAGATTGATTCGACCAGGTGGCAATGGCGTTATCAAACCCCTGTCCGGATCCCTGCAAGAACGAGCACATTAACTTCAAGCGAGCAGCGTACCTACATCCGCCCCTCCCTGGCTAGCGGGCGAAGTTCGGATCACCACAACGGCCCTCAAGCACTCAAGGTGACACCAAGGCTCAGGCAGGCTGCTGCAGGCCTTGGGACGCGAGAGCCGCATCCTTCTCCTGCCCAACGGGGTTTAACTAAGGTAACACTATACAATAGCCCGGTCAGGCTTCCGACAGCCAATCTATTATTCTGCAACCACTAGGGTCCCGGCGATACGCACATGTTGCATGGCTCCGAGCTATCAGTCGCAGCTTGACTCACTTCGGACAAAGGTCAGCGCTGAGCCTGTCAGCAGCAACCTCAGGCTACAACGCTTCTGGAGTCTAGCACTCCTCCCCGGGACTAAGTGTTAGTGGTGGGCTCACCACCCAACCAGGCACATGGCATGACAAGACTTCCAGCGCGTGAAGAAGGTGAAACCTTGGACATTGTGGCACAGGTAAATCGCTCGTCCATGCGCAGTCAGTTGACCTGCGATCGGACTCCGTTGCGAACCTTATTTGCAGAAGATAATGGCGCCGAAGCCCGGGCGAAAGGCGTCTGGCCCTGAATTCCTCGTATTATTGATTTGTAGAAGGCAGTGGATGGCCTCATAAAGCGGAAGGTCCACCGACCGCAGTGAACTTGGCTGAGGCTGGCGCGGTCTGACCTCCAAGAGCACGACCACTTTGTACTATCGCTCCATCGTCATCTTGACATGGCTAGTAGCACTAGTATACCTGGGGTTGGTTATCATCGCCATGATTTGTATCGGCAATGTGGGCCTGGATGTGAAAAGCACGGGGTACAAGTTGCAACAAAAATTGTCATAGCACCTGTTAGTAGCATCTTCAGCCCATGCATGCGGAGCTATAGTACAACCACTAGCCAGCCTTTAACCCGGCAAGCCCGAGGTATCTGTAACTCACCAGTCACCACTCCCAGGCCGAAGCCTGAAGTGGCATCATGGATGTCGTACATCTGCACCCGGTTATCGTCAAATTACGTACAGCAAGAGGTGCTCCACCAGCAAGCTGCAAGAACAAGCCAAACAGGAAGCAGTCCGCGCAGCCTGATTTGAGATGAAATTAATGTGTTTGATTGTGATTAGGATCTTATCCACCTCGCCTATGAAATGTGAACAACAGATTTTCGCCCCCCGCTCCCCCTCGTCCTGCGTGTAGTAGTACTGTACTCTTTCTTGCAGCGAGGGGGGCCACAGCGAATGAGGCGGGGAAGCGAATTCCGAACTATCGAAATCGTGCATCGCGTTGGCATGGAACAATTAACCATAAGGATGTCCGGTCCGTGGACGGGACCTGAATGTGAAACCCACCCACATTATTATTTATTTATTTATTCCAAAAACTAGACTTGGCCAGGACCAGGATACGGATACACCGCCGTTGGTGCCGATAAGCAGACTCAGGGCTGAGTCGGTGACTTCAAGACGACCGTCAGCTTTGGACGGAGTCTGATCCTGTCAGCAATCAGCATCCAGCAGACGCCAGTTATCGTCAGGCACCGCCCACCCTGGGGCTGAGGAGAATGCGCTAAAACAAGAAATCGGAGGCGCTAGGTACCTTTAGGAGTAAGTCTGCGCATTGCACTGGTGTCAAACGGTCAGGCAACGATCCTTGTAGATTATCCTTGTCAAATGTGAGAGCCGAGAAGGGAAAATCGCGCTTGGCTAGCTGAGTTTGAGAGCTCATCGTTGCACAATATTGTGCGAGTATATTGTCAGACCCAGGGCAAAAACTCCTGGGCGGAGGTATGGGGGATCCAGGCCTACTACCGAGTTGTTTACTGAGTCAGAGTGGAAGTTAAGTTTTGTTCAGAAGGTTATCAAAATTAAAGTCCAGATGCTGTGCGATACTATGCTGTTGGGGTATATGAACTCTATTGTACATGCCGTTGCTTCAATCATGTAGGAAACGATCGCGGATAATTTAGAAGAGAAGGGAATAGTAGAGATGTGAAAAGAAAGGAAAAACAAGGCACTCTCAAGCCAGCATCAAGTAATTCATCCGAAAAAAAAGAATGAGTCAAGGGACGGCAGGCTGCGCTTTGACATGGAGTTATTGCGTCTTGGAGACGATCGAGGCGATGCCAGGAAACCGGGTCCGCCGAATCAGTGACCAAGATCGGATCCAGACAGCCACATGCAACAACGAAACGGCGTGCGGCTGTGTCATGATGCTGTCATACTGCTTGCGGGGTCGATTGCTGACAAGGCTGTTGCGCACAGCCAAGGAGATGCGCCGTTGTTGGGTGGGGTGATGGCTCGATATGTTATCGTCAAACAAGGCCCCTGCACCCGAAGAGCGAAGATCGAATACCCGCGTATACCGACAGTTAGGATTGCATGTCGTAATCTGAGAGCGCCATTGCAGAATTGGTGCAGTGCGCCCGCGCTTGCTCCATTGGTACAAGAATGAAGGATGAATTGAAGATAATGCAAAGGAGAAAACCGGAAGGTGAAGCCGAAAAGCGGAAGAAAGTAGAAAGATTATGCACCAGAAATCACAAATGTCGTTGCTTGAGATCGAGCTGGTCTATGCTGGTCGAAATTACAAAGCAAGTTGCCGATGGAAGGCGTAGATAGAGAAAAATGGCGAAGCATTGGTGGTAATGGTAGTAGAGATTAGGGAGGCCGTGGTATAGTTCCGATAGTAGTGTCATGATTTCCATGGGTGTCCCCGGCGCAACGGAGGTCGAGCAGGTTCACCTGAGATCGTTCCACACTGGAAACGTCGCATGATGGAATCGGTCGAGTCGCTTTGTCGTCAAGTTCGTCAAGATAGCCAGAGCAGCGGCTTACTTGGGAAGAGGAGGCAGAGGGCCCTTGGGGGGAGGTCCAGGGCATGGAGGGAATTGAGATGAAGCTCCGACGGAAGGCATGGTGGATTGGATTGTTTTGGTGGTTGGTAGTAAGATGGACACTGTGGTGTTTGAGGTAGGTGGTCTTGAGATAGTCGCGGATTGTCGGCGAGTAGACGAGAAGTTGTGTTGTGTTGAGTTGTGTTGAGTTGAGTTGAAGAAAGAAATCGCAAGAGCAAGGCCGTCCGCGCTTAATATATCGTGCTCTCTGATCCAAGCCCAACGAATTTATTTATTTTTCGAGAAAAATTCCCAGAAAATAAAAAATAAAATAAAATAAAACCGAACGGGAAGCCGCAAAGTAAAATTCAAAATTCAAAATTCGAAATAATAAAATAATCAATAGACAATAATGGTGAGACTTATTAAGGGCATCCCTGTCGAGTTCCAGCAGGCGGGCTCCACTGCAAACCGAACGGAGGGAGACGAACGACGTCAGTCTCTTACGCTAGCGTTGCGCTCGTCCTGGGGCCGGTGGGCTGCCATATGGCCTCTCCCCAAACGGCAATCCCAGGGAACTTTTCGAGAACTTCTTCCCGTCCTTCATTCGTGCTTCTCCCGCTTCACCGCCGAAGGAAGGCCGTCTTTTTTGCCTCCCCCTTTTCGCGTCCCACTGATCATTTCCCGAGGTCCTGAAAGAGGCCATCGGATATCCAAAACAGAGCCCACAGGGCAAATCAGAGCGATCAGGGGGGTGCCCACGGCCCACCGGACCTGTTGATGACCTACCTCTTTTTCTGCGTGGTTCTTTCAGCTTCTGCCTGGTTTGCACCAAAGGAGCCGTAACGGTGGGCCGAGCAAGCAGCGGTCGTTGCCGTCACCTCGTAATCATCCTTACGACGAGGCAACCTAGCTTCGGACTCTGACAAGGATCCCGGCCGAGCGGATATCAGCTGGACAGGCGGCACAGGTCTTTGATTCAGATTGTGCATTCTTGCCGACACGTGCTGGTTCGTCGATCTTGCGAAGGGCAAGGATGAGGAAGGAGACAAAGAAGGCGAGCGGGCTTCGACGAGAAGCCAGCCAATGTCGGGCCCGAATGGTGCTGACTGCCTGAGCGTCGGACCCAAAAGTATGAATCATCAGGATGAAGGATTCAGAAAGCGGAGATCTTAGCCTCAAGCCAACTCTGCCAGAATGCCGGGACATTTCCCAAGCCACCACAAGTTCTGATCCTCCAGAATCTGAAGCTTCACCCAAATCAAACTGCCAACAGAGGCAACATTTGACGCTGATCATTCAAATACTCGTTTCTCAACAAAAGGCGAGCTCCGCCCTTGCAGCCCCCCCAGTCAGGGGTCGTGTCAGGGGAATCTCGCGAGATTCTGACAGGTCGTTTCACCGACCAGGAGGGTTGCACAAAGAAGTATCCGTGATTGTTGCCAGCCAACAGCGCTGAGAACGATTGTCTCTCGCGTTTCCCGTACAGTGCCGCAATTGTTTCAGAAGGCTTCCGATCCAAGGAAAAGCTGGTCTCCGCGCAAATGAAGCGGCCAACGAGAAATCGCTTGTCCTTGCAGGTGATCATGCTAGCGCCGTTCGCACCGCTAATTTGACCAGGGTGTTCAATTGCGCTTTCTTAATCTTGATGTCACCTCCAAACCTCCTGCTCGAATCGCGGGGAGCCTCCCGATCGCCGTCGTCCCGTTTTTTGGGAGCAACACGGACTCGCACGAGGGAGCTGAGTCAAGGACCGAACAACGAACTCCGGGCGAAGTGTCGCCGTTGACCTGTCATTTCCTGGCATCTCGCTCGCGGGAAGATCCAAATTTACCAGCCTCCCTCACAGCCTTCCTAGGTCTTGGTTTCTTTGTCGGATTCGTTGCTGGTCACGATGGTCCGAGAGATCCTCCCGGAGCCTTAAAATTTCCCGTAGCGCTGTCAGCATCTGCCACGAGGCAAACGGCCCAGCGGTAGAACGATTCTACTTGAGCGGTCAAAGACTCGGCCCAGCATTTACTTTCCTTGGTGAATGCGTCTTATTGCACGGGAAGATAAAAGATAGCTACGACTGCAAAGTGATTCCCTTGTCTCAACTTTTAAGACTCGCTTATTTCCCATCCAATCGATCCCCAGACTCCCTACATGCACTACTGTAGACTTATGCAAGTCCTCCGATTCCCTGTCGATGGCCACTCACTATCGCACGGGCCAGAGTCGATCATCTGCAGATGCACTGGCGGATGAAAGGAGCAATTGTCGATACCCTTTTGGCTTTGTGACCCGTGATGTGCGTGGTGGAGGTGCACCTGCATGGTGTTTAATTGCGAGGTCCATTTCACCTCCAAGTCAAGAAAAATTATGATCACCATTGCAGGCGAAGATGAACTGCAATCTTGTACATCGGCGGAACATCTCTCCACCATCTGTGTTTGATGAACAGTCAATCATGAACAGGATCGCGTCATCGCCGAAACAAATCACATGGGCTTCAACCTGGAGCCTCCTCGACCGGTTATCGAGTCCATATCCGAGGAGCGCTGTGGCGAGCAACGGGACACACATATGGCAACGATGGCACGGCACAAGGGGAGAAAAGCGGTCCTCAAACGAAATGAGCGACCCGCAATTGGAGACGTTCTTTCCGCACCGTTGGCGAAATGGAGACTCCGGCGAACAACGACTGGATCTGAGCAATTCTTCCCCTGATTCGGGAGGGTCTACCTAAATCCTTTGGGAGCTTGGCAGCCGACGCAGTTGGCGTCTTTCACAGAAAACGCCAGCACTTGCAGCCTCGCAAGACGATAATTATTCATTATCGTTGCTAATTGTTTGGTTATCTGCAAAGCTGAAGGTCTTGTTGTTATTATCGCCCAGAGTTTATGGGAAACCCATGCGAGTAAGATTAGCAGCGATTCGGAGAATTCGGGCAAATCAATCGTCGGCGGGAATACGCTCGGCGCTTCCACAGTGGAACTGAAAGAGTCCTTCAATAATAATAATAATAATCAATCCAGATCGGAATTCCCAGCCCTTTCGGCTCCGCGCACTCCATCAGATGAAATGGAAGCTGCTAAGAATAATAATGATGATCAACCATGGTTCTCTTCCAAACGAACGTATCCATGGTTCACCGCTCATTAGCAGGCGGACCCTTGCAGGGCCGTTGGATTCCGTTTGGAAACCAAACTCAGACGGTCCAAACGGTCAACCCCGGGGTTTCGAAAAACTTTCGCTCCCAGCTAAGAGGAACGCCTGCCCAAGTGCCCATCCATCCGCGAATTCGCTAAAATAATCCACGTTGGGGATTGGAGCAGCAGAATGTGCGAAGCGGGCACACAATAATCTCTACCTTATCCACTTTGATAGGACGGTTGAATGACCTTGCAGATATTTCCAATTAATCGCTAAGCGCGCCAATAATATCAGCAGCGGTGTCGATAGGGAATAAGGATAAGCCTGACGACTTGGCAAGTTAACATCATATCGGATCCACGCGGGTTGGCGGTTGACAACCGACTCAAGACGGCAGGCTCATAATTTTGGGGCTGTGGCGCTGGATGACTTTTCTTGATCCTTGTCTGCATCATGCACCGAACAACACCCGGTTTCCTAGGGAATTTTCTTGGGCTGAAATTTGCTGGTGGATCTTGATATCTTCCGAGGTTCCGAATAGCAAACATTTCATGATCTTGGCAAAGAAAATCCTCTGGGACACCGATCGTGGGACATACATCGAATTCAGTGCTATCTCCAGGATGGCGGTGTTTCCGATCTCTTTGCAGCGGTAGGAGTCAGTCTATCCTCACTAGATGATGACCCGAAAGTCCGAAACGTGGTCGGTCCTGGACTCCTGGTCCCGTAGATATTATTCGGTTACGTTGCCGGTGGGATGCTGGAGCCTGGGAGAGCTCTGTTCTACACTACGTTTCAGGAACTCCTGAAACGTATTCGAGCAGCTCATGCTTGAGCATTGATCAATGATCACCTTGTCCCGCAATTCATTAGGTATTACATGCATGCGTACGTGGGCTTTGTGTGGAGAGCATGCCACACGGATAGTAAGATGACATGCATACGCCATACAATCAAGTTTGCGACGTGTCAAACCTGTCCTATTTTCCCTCTGTTGCAAAATTCGCGGCAGTGACACGCGATTTCAAACACTAGTCATACTTGGGCATATCTCTGGTAGCTTTGATTAGAGGTTCCCTAGTGGTAACGAGTTAACGGATATTATGAGACGATGGCATGGTTACAAGTCAATGCCGTGTCATGTACAGTGGTATATTGACATTATGAAACTAGGTGTCGTATAAACAAGGCATGTTTTCCAGTTGAACACTGAGAAACGGGCCCTTCCTTCGGGTCGCAGCTTGACTCAGTGATGGCGTTTCGGCTTAATTGCTGTGTCAACAGCCGACTTCAAACGGTGTCAGATCCATAGTGCAACGTCCCCGGCATGGCCGACAGGCAAGTTCGGAAATTCTCTGCGATTGCTTGTCGAGTATCGCTACGCCACCATGGGGCCATTTCTGTTTCCAATAATACTGCGGGATGTTGGAACCGCTAGCTGAAATGCTGCGCGGAGTTTAGTTTCAGGTAACACGATATGCATGGACCGAGCGGGCGTGTTCACCATAATGGATCATGCAAACCGGATCCCCGAGGAAATCAGTAGATATTGTGTTTTGTAAATATCGAACTCGGCTTCAAATCTGGCTGAAGTTGTGTCCACCGGAGCATTTCAAATCCATCCCACTGCTCCAGATATATCCGTTACTATCATCTCTCGTCAAAGTAGCATTAATATTGGCGTCTGAATTCATTCAATACTCTTGCCCTGTTTTTGCTTGAATCTTGGCTTAACTCAGAGCTAGTCGCATCCACTCCCGTGCCTTATTCTTCGTCGAGATCTCCTTGAGCCTGCGTGGATATCCATTCCTCCATCAAGATCTGGCGCTTAGGTTCTGTTGCCTCTAGTCTGGCCTTGCTTTTGTCACTTTTTCGAGTGACGAGCAAGCAGAGCATCCAACCGTGGATGTTGAACCCTTCATAGTTCGTTTTGAAACGTAGTTTCTTGTCCTCGTGCTCGGGTGATTCTGGCAAAGATTCATCTCTCTTCCGTTTCGTGCGCTTGCCCTCTGGTGGACCATTTTCTTCCTCTGAACCTGCTTGCGGGACGGCATGGATGTTGAACTCCGACTCGCTGCCACTCTCAACCAAGATGCCGTTGTCTGGTTTTCCACCTTCTCCCGTTATTGATCCAGTCCGATTGAGTTTATTCCCTGGCTCATCAAAGGCTTTGTGCCGTGTCAAGAGCGAATGCCGAGTTCGCGATTCTCTGAGGAACAATGCAACTTCGAAATCGTCTGGGTTTCGTTAGCCAGAGCTCGAACGAGCATACACTCAGCTCGGTATGTGGGTCGCACCTTCAGCGATCATATCTTTTACCGGCTTTCCTTTCTTTCGAGCAAACAGTCTCTCATTCTCTTCTCGCAGCTTCGGGAGGATTAAGGGTCGAATGGAGGCGAAGATGCGCGGCAGAACCGGGTCGCGGCTATCGAGTATCCATCGTGTATCGGATGGATCCTCGAGATAAATCCTACATTCGAGAACGGAGAACTTGCTGATACGTAAATACCGCCGAATTGGAGCCATGTCCGCGGCTTATAAAACGAACCGCGTGTGTCGTTCCGGCTGCGGCACCGGTCTGATGTCAGGGAACTGTGATTAATGACGTGCATTATCCTTAGTAAGTGCCGCATGGCAGGTTAAGTCACGTGGATATTTTAGCCGTACCAGCCAATCAGTAGGGGTATAATTGAAGCCGGCACTCCAGGTACACCCCACCAGCGTTCTCCCAAGGTCCTCAAAAACTCTTTGACGTCGAGACGCCGGGTCTGTCCTCAAGGTCCTCATGCCCACTGTAACCTCGATTGGTATTCCAAATCTCGTCTCCCACACCATGAGCCAACCTCTCCTCTCCCCCGCCTTCTCTTCAATTCGCATTCATATGCTCCCCTGGGGTCCCTAGCACAGGTCTTCTAGCTAACAAAGTGAGCTGTTCCTTCCAAAGTGCTCTCTGCGGCCCTTTCTGTCCCAGTGGTCTTGTCTACTCGGCGCTCAGTGGTCGTGTTGCATCCCACGAGTCAAAATAAGCCACCAACTACGAAGGTCCTCACGCTAGGTCCTGCTGTCCACCTCTCATGATCAATTGAGACTCGTGATAGGCCTAGCAACCTCCGAGCACGTCGTGAGGGACCACTTTTTGACAGATATTTCCGCTTGAGGCGCGATATCTCTGCGTGGGGGCTGGGTATAAATCCTATAAGACTCGCAGGACAAGAAAAAACCAAGAAGTCCCAAGAACACCAAGCCTACCAAGCTATAGATCTTCGTCGCAGCAGACTTGGCTGTCTTCCCTCGTGGATTTTGATTCGGTCTACATTCCTGTCCGACATCTCACAGGGTCCATCTGCATTAGGGGACGTCAATTGGCTCTCCTGGACCCTTTTTCCCTTGTCCTCTCGCTGCGGCATCTGAAAAGAGATCGGTACTCTTTCGCTGTGCAACCCTAGCCCACACAAGACACGATGAATCCTATTCCTTATCTGCTTCGACGGGAAGAGGGTGGCCCTGCCCCCGCTTGTGAAACGGGTAACGAGTACGATGGCCGCATGGGCGTTCGTATCTCTTCTATTTTCGTGATTCTTGTTGGTTCCATGTTCGGCGCCCTATTTCCCGTCTTTGCCAGCGGCTTTCGGAATTCAAAAGCCCTGGGCTGGGCCTTTTTCGTCGCGAAGTTCTTCGGTTCTGGAGTTATCATTGCCACGGCCTTCATTCACTTGTTGGGTCCTGCAGAAGAGGCGCTCCGAAATGAGTGTCTCACTGGCCCAATCACCGATTATTCCTGGGCCGAAGGAATCATCCTTATGACGGTTGTGGTTCTGTTCTTCGTCGAGTTGATGGTTATGCGATATTCTCGTTTCGGTCAAAGCCACGTTCATGATGATACCGGTCATGACCATGGCCACTCTGGTGAAACTAAGGCTACTGAACCTGCGTCACCGGATGTCAAGGGTCGGCTTCCCGGTGAGGATCACCTTGGTCATTCTCGAGAACACCACGACCTTGAGCTGGCTGAGAAGGCTTCTCATCTCGAAGAATACATGGCTCAGCTGACCTCCGTTTTCATCCTGGAGTTTGGTATCATCTTCCACTCGGTATTTATCGGCTTGACCCTGGCGGTGTCTGGTGAAGAATTCACAACTCTCTACATCGTGCTGGTCTTCCATCAAACATTTGAAGGATTGGGTCTCGGCGCCCGACTGGCCACTATCCCCTGGCCGCGCTCCAAGCGATGGACCCCGTACCTCCTCGGCATTGGATACGGAATCTCGACACCCATCGCCATTGCCATTGGGCTCGGTGTCCGCAAGTCATATCCCCCCGAAGGCTACACCACCCTCGTCGTCAACGGAGTCTTCGATTCGATCTCAGCCGGTATCTTGATCTACACTGCCCTTGTCGAACTAATGGCCCACGAATTCATGTTCAGCACATCGATGCGCAAGGCTCCCATCCAGCACGTGCTTGCTGCATTCGGCCTTCTGTGTCTGGGTGCCCTTTTGATGGCACTTCTCGGAAAATGGGCTTGATTTTCTTGGTTCTTTTCTTCTATCCACTTGTTTTGTTAATGCATTGGAAATGGGTTTACTACCACTGCTGGTCAGACTAAGTATATATATCGGGTTATATCTAGACGGTCGGGAGCATTTTGTTTACATACTCCTCATTTTTTTCTGAATGCAAATAGCCTCTCAAAAGATAGCTTATGTTTATTAGTTAATCGATTGATTAATACCTGCTCTCATCCTATGGATCTTAATTGTTTTGTTGTTTCTATTGGTTCCCCCGCCACTCTGACGCCGCCGGAATGGGTTATATATATCTAAGCACGGACCCTAAGGCGTTAGACCTGCACGGCATAGCTCGTCAATTGCAACTCGTTATTGTATTTTAACCTAAGTTATGGAAACTGAGCTGATATTATAATTTCCCACGGTAAAATGTCAACCGTCGCAGGAGCACTCTCTACGCCGATATTTTAAGAGAGCTGCTCGACTGGCTATCGTTTTAAGATTGTTACCTTCCATGGGTATCATAGTGTCAATATATAGCCTTTCTATCTCTATACACATGCACCGTATATGAAGTAGTACGGACTGCAAAATAAATCTAAGCACCATCTAATAAGACCGCGTTGATATCAGTCCATCGCATCAAGCTGATTCTCCGTCTCAACCGCCTCATGCTCCGAAACCAGAATACCCACACAGCACTCCCCCAGAATCGCATCCCAGTTTACCCACGGGTGTATCTCGAGGAATAATTTTCCTGAATCTTTCCCGGCACCCCTGAGGAGCTCGCCCTTCCCGCCCGGGTGGAATGGGAGATAAGGGCTGATATTGTAGACCTTCCCCTGGTACGACGTCCATGCGTCTGAGCCTTTCCGGCCGTTCTGGGACTTGAGCATCGACGGTGTTACTTTGATTAAGGTTGGCGGAAGATTTGCGCCGCGCAGTTTGTGGTTGGGGTTCGAGGTGAGTGCTGCCCAGTCCAGAGGGGAGAACCCCGGCTCGAGAACTGCGCGCTTCGAAGCTTTTTTGATTGGTTTGAAGGTCACGGGTGTCGGGGATAGAGAGTTCATGTTGGAGGCGGGGCGACTGCCTTGTGGTACGCGGAGGGACGAGGCGGCTGACGGGGGTGGACTGAGGGTGTTACTGGCGCTTGGCCGGGGAGGAGGGAGCCGGCCAGCTGGCGGAGAGAGGCTGTTTTGCGGTTGTGGCCGGGATTGTTTTTGTAGTGTTGGTGGTTGTAGTCTTGAGGGAGGAGGGGGAGGGGGCATTAAGGAGGCGTCTTTTGCGACGGGTGGCTGTGTTGAAGGACTCGGGCTGGGTTTGGCCATGATATTTAAGGGTGCGGATGGCGTTGTTGATGGAGGTTCTGGCGATGGAATCGTTATTTGAGGGGTTTTATCTTGTTGCGCTTTCTGAGTGACGAGGCTCTTCTTGTCTGTTTCGCCGTCGTTGAGCTGGAAGGAGGGGACGTCTAAGGCCGGGATGCTTGACGCAGATGCTTTCGGGGTCGTTTGAGACTCCTCAGTGGGATCATCTTCTGGCGCTGTTGGTTGCGATTCGGGGGTGATACTGGGAGCAGGCTCTTCGTCTCGTGCAGCGCGGGGAGCAGCCTTCTCTTCTTTCTCTTCGGAGGCGGGTTCGGGACGGCTTCGATCGGCGGCAGTTGGCTCGGGGAACCAGCTCGCCGGGGGGTGTCGATAGAGTATGAAGCATGTCGTCGCAACGACCGTGGCAGCGCCTACCCAGCCCATGAGGGGCAGATAGAGTCAACGGAAGGGTTTAATCCTGGCAAGATCGTGGTGTTTGTGAGTTTGAAGATAATTGACGGTTTAAAATAGCAACGGATGGTCCGTGCATTTCATCTCCAGTCCAGACTTGAGCCACTTATCAATCAGCGATTATCATCAGGGGGTGTACCTCAGGAGTCCTTTGTAAACTACATAAGCTGAGCATGTAGTAATATTCCTTTAGAATAAATATGCACACCGAGATGATTTTGCCCTCAAGATGCTCTCACCTGAGAGCGATCGAATCAAAAAGGGAGATTCACGTGACTTCGCGATAAGGCGCGTTTGTAGAGACGAGTAGAAAGCAAGATGGAGTCAACAGCGCACGACGCGTCAGGACTTTCTCAATGGATCCTCTTGGACCCATCTTAGATGGTCTAAATACTGCTCAGAAAACCGCCGTCACATCGCCAGCGTCAATTCTACAAGTTCTTGCCCCTCCGGGATCGGGGAAGACCAAGACGTTGACCTCGCGCGTCGCCTATCTACTCGGACACGATGGATACCGCCCGCAAGATGTTATTTGCTGCACATTCACTATTAAGGCCAGTCGAGAGATGCGAGAGCGACTGGCTAAACTTGTGGGCGATCAGGTGCAGTCAAAACTTATCCTGGGAACGTTCCATTCGATCTGCCGGCGATACCTGGTTGTATACGGAAATTTGATCGGGCTACGAAAAGGATTTGGAATTGCGGACTCATCGGACTCTCTGGCTATTATACGGGTGAGTATCCGTGCTTTTGACTATATATCAGTTTTGTGGCGTGTTGCTTATTGGTCTTTACATACAGAGAGTTGTGAAGCGACTGCAGCTCGGGATTCAACCCAACACCGCGAGATCCCGAATATCCCATCAAAAGGCACACAACATTTCCCCAGACGAGGTCGCGACTAAATACAACAAGGAGAGCAAGTTCCTAGAACATCGCGAGTTTGTGCAAGTGTACCGGGAGTACGAGAATGAGCTAGCCACATCAAATCTACTCGACTACGATGACCTGCTACTACGATGCGCGGAGTTGCTTAGGCGGCACCCGGAGTGTGTATCCAATGTTCAGGTGGTTTTGGTGGATGAATTTCAAGATACAAATCAAATTCAATACGAACTAATGAACCTTCTTGCGTCTCGGAACAGGCGCATCACAGTCGTTGGAGATCCGGACCAGAGCATCTACGGGTTTCGTTCTGCGGAGATCAAAAACCTAACGCGGATGCAGCGGTTATACAGCAACACTGAGATTGTACTTTTAGAGGACAATTATCGATCCTCGGGTTCTATCCTGAAGTCTGCTCAGGATGTCATTGAGCAAGACTCGTCACGGCCGGCAAAAAAGTTACAGCCAACGCATAATTTTGGCACGCTACCGGTACTACGCAAACTGCCATCCGCCGATGCAGAAGCTCAATGGATCGTACTGGAGATTAAGAGATGTGTGGGTTTGACGGGAAAGCTATTAAACTATTCCGACTTTGTCATCTTACTTCGGTCGGCTTCGCTATCGCGACAAATTGAATCTGCCATGGGGAAACATGGTGTTCCTTATCGGATGGTTGGAGGACAGAGGTTCTTTGATCGGGTTGAGATCAAGCTGCTTTTGGATTACCTGAGAGTCATTAGCCATCCCGATAACACGGAAGCACTTCTACGCATCATCAACGTTCCATCGAGAAAAATTGGCGAGGAGACCATAAAAATGCTACTGAACAGCGCCCAGAAAGCCGACAAATCTCTGTGGGACTACATCAAGGATGTAGCACAAGGTCGCAGGTCGACCGAGAAGACTTTGTTGAAACCAGCCAGCCAAGGACTAAGCACTTTGGTTGGGATAATTGAGTACTCCAGAGACAAGCTCCACCAGTGCCCTGATCGATCGGCCCCTCGAAAGATGTTGGAGATTGTGATGAAGAAGCTCTCGTTCCGCGAATTTCTTACAGCAACGTATGGAGCGAATGATGAAAATAGGTGGGCCAACGTGGAGGAACTTTTAACTCAGGCAGACGATACTACCGGGTCTGAAGATGAAGATGAGCGGGATGAAAGTCTTCCTGAAATTGAAGGGCTTGCCCAGGAGCAAGCGCACCCTGGCGAGGAGGCGTTGTCTCAATTCCTAGCGAATGTGGCTTTATCAACTGAGGTCCTCCCACAAGAAAGTGCCCAGGGAGAGGATCAGGCACAAGAAGAAAAGGTCACCATTTCAACCATTCATGCGGCCAAAGGATTAGAATGGCCGGTTGTGTTCGTTCCAGCAGCGTACGAAGGGATTATACCACACTCTCGCGCCGAGGATTCTGATGAGGAGAGGCGGTTGCTTTACGTGGCTATGACCAGAGCCCAGGCGTTGTTATACCTGAGTTATCCGCTTCGACAGGCCCGAGATGGTACAGAAACCAGCGTGACGTCGTTTCTGTCACCAGAATCAATTACCCGCCGGCTTCGCACGGTTGGTCCGAAACTAGAAGAGAAGATTGTTTATGGCATTGCAGACATACTGCATCGAGAACGTCCGTCGGTCACCGCCATGGTTGAGGGGATTGGGTCACTTCCTTCTGTATACGATGATCAATGGACCGAGGATGGTCAAGAGTCGCCCAACACAGTCATTCGGTGGAATGGTACTCGGGCGACTGACGATGAACCCTCTAGCAAACGGCGGCGGTACAACAACGGACAGTACTCGGCAAGTACGACAAATACGACAATAACAAGTATGTCCTCGACATATACCATGAGCGGCTCAAGCTTCATGGCACCTACTACCATGTCAGCGGGCTTTTCAAGCGCTCGCGAGTACATAGCTAGCACGGCCATGAAGTCGGAGCAGGAACAGTCGGCAGAGGTAGAGCGCAAGAGCAAACCGAAGCCGGTAGTTGGGACTCTGAGCAACCCAGCCCCCCCGTCTCAGAAAAGCATTTCATCCTTCTTCGGTCAGCCAAAGTCCCAGTCTATACAACAAAACGAGTCGGGTGCAAGGCGTGGACAGCCGCCGCAGCCGCCGCAGCCTTCGCAGCCTTCGCAGGGCCGACTTGCTACCACAGCCTATCCTAATAGAGACGTACCCTCGATCAACGCACGCCCGGGAAACACTATCCCCGCGCAGTATATCAGCCATCGCCCTCCAACGCAACATTTCCGCCCGCCTCGTCCGGCTCTTGAACCTTCTGATCCCAACCGCTACACATGGTTGGCTGCCCCTTCGAAACTCGCGGGCAAGGAAGATGCACGAAGCAGTCAGGTGAGCACTGAGGTCATCGACAGGAGCGATAGTCGCAAGGAGTCTGCGACAAACGAGGCGAGAAGCTGTATTGGGACGGCAGGGGCTATGCGGCCAGCGACCACGTACCACACAACAACGATGTCAATGATGCAGTCAGGAGGGCATGCCGCGAGGAGAACATTAGGAATTCGACGTAGTATGAACGGATGGGAGGAACGGATGAAGAGGGAGAAGTGAGAGCAAGTGAGCTATAGTAAGGGGGGTTGGGCGTGTAGCCCGAAGTTGACTTGGGTGTTTGGGCACCAGCTGCCTGTTGTCGACTGTGGTCGTACAGAACCAAACTATGACGCAGTGAAGTCATGAATACACGGACAAGTCAACAAGCGCAGGCGAACGGCGAACACCGCAAGATGGCTGATCAATAATACTGGATGTCCAGAGTATGCACCATGATACCGTTTAGGTATACAGACAACTCAACGATAATGACGAATCATCAAGCCAGGCTTACTTGCTCTGTAGACAGTACTTACACTCCGACAGTATGACCTCAGTCAGTTTCATGTGGTCTCGATGTCAGCCAGCCAGCCTTCTCACCTCACCGCTCAGGTTTAATCTCGCTCATCGGTCCGCAACCTACCGCATCTACTGGGACGGGTGTCCCTGAAACAAAACAAGAGCTCCCCCTTGACAATTCAGTCTAGATGTGGAGACCAGAGATCTAGAATCAATGATTGTCACCGGCTAACCTGCATACCCGGCCATCCAAGTACGTATGGAGTTCTCCACGCCGAGTCCGTGCATTGCTGAATTCAGCCAAGGCTGAAGCGGTGAGAATGAGACGCGAACCACACCATGAAGAGAACCACAGTCCGGAGTACTCCAGGCAGCAGAAGATGTCGGTGACAGGAGCGAGAGAATCGAGCTGGATGCAGAATTCAAGACTGTCCGTTGTAACACAACCGTATGCCCGACTCCGCGGTCTACAAATCGAATCGAACGGAATAGTGATCTACATTGAAAGCTAGCATAAGATTGGGGAGGAGAGAGTGGAACGCTAATAGTCCTGTATAGTTAGACTACAGTCCAAACACGGTCGTAGACGAAATGAATATCATTCCAACGAAAGCCTCATGCGGATACGTACTGGACACCGTAGACTCGACCACACCGAATAATCCCTCGTCCCTGCAGTACATTCTCGAACTTGCTCGAGACTCAAGGAGGCTGGAGGCCGACGTCTGTGGACATGCTCCGTCAGGTACGTACCTTACTTCGCTAGAGCTGGTCTTTAGCTCCGCAATTGACTGAGTTGTCCTCGTTCCGAGTCCTCCCGTGGGACAGAGCAGCAACGAGGCGGAATTGCACCCATCATTGCTTTTTCTCTGCCTAATTTGCCCGAGAGTCGACCTTTCCAGCCTCGTTGACTGATCTGGATGGCACCACGCAGCCGAGTTATCCATTTGGTCTAGTCTGAAGGACCTGGGCTCTCATAGGTCGGGTCAATTGTTGACATGGCTCGAAGCGGTTAGAGAGGTGTCTGTCTTAGTCATCGTAAATTAGCGGTTTAAGCTATTTTGGGAATGGGCCCGAGTTCTTTATAAATAGGAAGGAGAGTGACTGATCAAGTGACCTTTTTGTTACGCGCTGTTGGATATGGGTATTGGTACGGTAATTGCCCAATTAGAGGCAGGATAAGGGGTATGAGCGTGTTAAATACAATAGGGGGAGCTGTCCCAATCTTACTCTCCCATCAACAGCTCAGGCTGTGCTGTATCGACACCGTGTAGACAGCTTGTATGTAGACAAGTAACAAGTGACAAGACAGAATCAGCCTCACCTCGTCCCAATTGCCACAGTGGCGAGGGCCAGCCTCAAGGCCCAAGGGAGCCTGGGACAAGATCGCGAACTCACGGTCCAGAGACCAAATTCCAGGCCAGAAAATGGCCAACGGGACATCCGGTTTGCCGCCTCGTCTTATTTCGGCTGGGAAGGGCTCCCTGAATATCGCGCCCCTGGATGGCGCTACGTAAGGCGCTTTCCCCCATTCTGCAATGGCGTTCGTGAAATGCTGCGATGCAGAGACTCCGTCCGGGGTCATCCAGCCAGCCGGATCTGGTACAGTGTATACACTAGTTAAGGTATACTCAGTAAGATGACTGATCTCAGGCGCTGCTGCTGCTGCTGGCCTGCTGCTAATTTAGTTTGCTGCTCCATTCCCGTATCTGGTTTGAATCCTTATTATTGATTCACGCGATTAGCCTGCTGCTTCGTCTGGAACCTATTCCTCTTTGGTGCAGCTTCGTCCTTGCTTCCGGAGAGCATACAAAAGGCCTCTCTCTCCCATCCGTCTGTCCCCATACTATCATCAAACACATCTACCAAAGCCATCATCTCTCTTCTTCAAGACCACTTCATTTCACTTCTAGGTTCTTTGTCGTTGAGCCTTCTGCCTAGCAACGCCAGCCATTGTGCCTTGCTCCGCCACGACCTGTCAACCTTCTATATATACATATCGGGTTCTTTCAGTTGCTGTTAAATCTCCCTTCCCCACGATATCGATCGATTCAACATCCATCCCTCTCAACTGCCATCAATCCTGCCATCAATTCAACATGCCGCACAAAGTCAACGAGTCAAATTCCACGCTGTCCAGCAGTGGCAGCAGCACCAGCGGTGACCAGGTGGTGGTCGTCCCCAACCTGCGAGGTATGCATGCATGTCTAGATCGCGAATCTCACCAGTTACGGAGGTCACTAACACGCTGGTCTGCATTCTACAGGGTCTAATAATGCCGGCCCCCGGAAATCACAACCCCCGGTGGTCATCCATAACCACGGCGGTCAGACGTACGATGAGACGAGGCCGTCTGACTGGGATAGACAGCGATGGAAGTAGACTGTTTTGCATCCTCAGTCTGGCTGCGATTCAAGCTGCTGGCAGCTCGAGTAGGACGGACCCCGAGCCTGGAATCAGGAATGTGGCTCTGGCTCCTCCTGCATTACTCGCCCTATCCGCGCGGCTTGATACAGAAAAGTGAGGCGGCGATCGACACACCGTCACTTCAACTTTCCCTTTCCCTTTCTTTTCCTCCCTGTACAATTATTCTTCTTGTTCTGGACTGCATGGCCTTGCATTGTTTTCTTCCTGCCCTTTTTTTTTTTTTTTTTTTTTTGCTGTCTTTCTCCTCTTCTCACAAGCACACGTGTTCCTCCCCAGGTTCGCCAGTTTTCCCCAAACCCTTCCCCAACCTTCCCTTCCCCTTGCCCTTCCAAGTTGTATATTAAACTTCCCTTTGCTTTTTCCTTCTCTCGTTCGCATAGCGTGGGTGGCTCTTTCTTTTGTTGCTGTGCTGGCTGGCTGGCCACCGTTCTCATGTCATGTCACTCCTTTATTCGCCGACCTGATCACCTCATCGCTGGAAAGAGAGGGAAAGAAACCTCCTCTCTATCTGTCTCGGTGATCACTGACCAGTCTATCCCCGACCATCCACCACCCTTCATACCAATCTCCCTCTCTTTTCAGACGGCGCATTTCCCAGTCGGCTGCTGCCTCAGTCGGATCAGGTTTCGGTTTTTACGATTATCATCATCATCATTACTACTGCTGCTGCTACTGTACTATACCAGAACACCACCCTAGACGATACAATTTCGGGTTATTCAATATGAAGATATATATATCATCAACATCGTGACTACTCTTCTTAACTTAAATTAGCCTTTTAATCGACTTAACCTAAGCCTAGGCACTAATTTCGAATAGATGAAGGTAGTTGGGGCCGAGCTCCTCGCCACACCTCCCCCTGTCGCAAGAAAGACGGTGAGCACTGAGCAGGTAGTCTACCAGTAGCCATTCATCTTGTTCATCCATCGAGACACCTCACAGTAGCTTCGCACCTCATGATGCCGAATTCACCGTCCTCGGCTCTTTCTTACTCTTGCAGCTGTTTGCTTTTGCTTACCCCGGACAATCTCCGTCTATTTGATCAGGAGGTCAACCTACTTTCAACCTTGTCTTTCCCCCATCGTATTCTTCCACGCCCTTCATTCAGTTCGATCCTCCTCCCCCTTCCTAGCCCAAGGCCTCAATGCTTGGCCGAATACCTAAGGTAGTTTAGGAACAGCATTTTAGCTGCGCCGAACTCATCCATTAATTGGCAGCGTCACTATCCAATGTACGCATGTAAGGTAGCTAGCTCTGCCCAGTGCAGTGCAGTACTGCAGTGTAGTCTGCGCACCGACCGACCGAACTCTTGCTGAGTTGGCAATGGTACTGCCACATGTACTAACTCGTACCCCATACAGATGAGATAGGGTGTCAACTTCCCGTTACCGACTTCTCTCTGCACGGAGGGCGTTTTGACTCTTTATTTTCTTTCTTCCTGGGCTCGTCTGCGACAGTAGTGTTAATATGTTTACAGTCCTACAGTCCTGGGATTTTGTTTTTTTTTTTTTTTTTTTTTTTTTTGAAAAAGAGAATTGTATTCATATTCATCTTTTCAATGGATCGGTGCTTTGCTTTGCTAGCCTGCCGTCCATGGGATATGGGGGGTTGTGCTAAACTATCTTCTGTAGCTAGTTTACACACAGAAAAAAAAAACACAAAATGAAAAAAAGAGAGCCTTTTTGGGCTTCTCTTCCCCCTTTTTGCTGGTCTCCATTCTTTTCGCTTCCGGGGGTGTCAAATATCGTGGGGTAAATGATATTTTTTTTGCTCGTTTTTGTGAGAATCCTTGTTTTGATGCTTTTTTTGACGGAACCTCCTTCCACCAACCAAGAAGAGTGCTCATGCTTGATAAGTTAAGCACTCGCAGACCCGAGGGGTGCAGGTGGTGATAAGGTAAAGCCACATTAAGATCTTTATATGACGTGTTTTGTGGGCGAGTGTTGTGTGATGGGGGAATAAAGTCGAAAAGAGAAAAAAAAATTAGGAGTCAGACGTCGTCCGCACCATCCCGTAAAAACAAGAGACAGATGCAAGCGAGTCCATAAGAACTCCAATGGGCTTCGAAATGAAATAACGGATAAATTTCAGGCAGATAGATGCAGTCTGAACTCGAGATGCTCGCGCTTGCAATGCTAGATGTCAAGAATAAAATGGCAGATAGATGCAACTTGGTACACCCAAGGTATGATATGTCACAACATAAGGAGAGGGGTATGCAATTTTTTGCAGATAACAAAGAGAAAATGATTGTAAGAAAAAAAAAGGAAAATTCCAGGTCTGTCCGTGCAAGACAGCTGGCGGAACCACTCCAAAGGTTTTATGTAGAGTAAACCAGATCGGTTAAAAGATGGCACAAGATTCGCCAGGACGTGGTAGGCTTTGAAATACTAGCACAGCCTAATATCCTGTGGTGAAGCTCATTTGAGGTTGAAGGAATTGTTGGGACACGTAGGCCGACTCCTGCTGGTAGGGGTTGTGGGTCATGTACTGCTGCACACTAGGTGAAGGTGTCGGCGACGGTGAGCATGCGCTAGGCACCTGGACTGTCTTCACATAGCCAGCATTGCTACCATTGATGAAGGCCTCATTTTCGGGGGTGATTGGCGGGGTGATATATCCGTGTGGCATGTTGGAGGGATGAGGAGCCTTCTGAGGAGTAGCGAGCCCAATTTCTCCTTCATATGGCTTGGATTCAACGTCAACCATGTCGGAGGGAGGGCTCGGCGGCGAGTAACTTGCGATCGAGGCCTGACGAGCGAGGAACTGTTCGAGGATCTTCGAGACCCGGGAATAGTGAGATGAGGAGTACTTCCTCGCGAGCACCTGAGATGGCTGGTGAAGCTGTTGTGACAGACCCACCAGTGTCATCGAGTCATACTGCGAGGCCCATTCCGTGTGACGGGGTTGAGGACGGTTTAGGATGCACCGTGATAGGGCAAGGGATGCCCTAGCAAGGTCGGAGGATGGCTTGGACACGAACTCGCGGTGGAACATCGAGATCTCTGCAATATAGAGAGCTAGATGCTCGACCTCAGGGTCGTATGGAGTGTCCATGACTGCCGTCTGAAGGAAGGTGTCGACGGTTGGGTGTCCAATTGTCCACCCAAGAGTTTGCAAGACATGCCATTCCATCTGGATGAACATGTCATCGTCGTACAAGGAGCAGCACATGGACTTGAGTTCCCGGATGGTTGGCACACGATCCTTCTTGTCACCATACTTGGCCGCAATCAACAAAGCTGCACAGCCAACCAGTTGGTAGTGTCTCTTATAGACAACACGCTTGGAGCAGTATCTATCGAGAAGGTTGACGGTCAAGAACAGGGTCGATGGCAGTAATTGGAAGGCGGTATGAGCTTCGATTAGGAAGTCAAGAAGGTAAGGACGCATGAACCACTGGATTTCCGTTTGGATGTCAATTGATTCAACATCAGCAAGGGTAGAAGCCTGTGGTCACGTCGTGATTAGCCATGATCTCAAGGAGCTGCGAGGGGACCTGGATAACCAACATCCATGTCCAGCATGTGGGACAACACGTCCTCACGGTATTCCTCGCTCGTAACCCTGGACAGTTCATCGGCGATAGCATACTGACGCTCGCGGGCAATCAGCTTTGCATGTTCCTTTGGATCCATCCGGGGAACAGGAAAGTCCTCGTATGATTCCACGAAGAATGTGTCACAGGGTTGGTAGCTCGAAGTTGGGCGTTTGTGGTAGGCCATTTTGTCGAACTGGAAGGGGAGTGTCGAATTGAATAGTAGTATTCAAGGAGTGGATCTGAAGAGCACCGTGTCTTGCAGGGAACGACGGAATTAAGAGAGCGACAGTCGTCAAATTAGTTGTAAAGATTAAGGAGTGGAATTAGTTGGGCAAGTATTAAAGAATGACCAGCAACGAGATAATAATCTGAGTACTGGGGTAATGACGGCGAGCCAACGGGGTCGAAGCCTTCAAGGTAGCTAGAGCTAAAAAGAGAGACTGTATTAGTGAAAGAATTATTAAGATATTAAAACGAGAGTAAAACGGTAAAGATCCCGAAACCAAAGAGGGCAAGGAGAGAGATGGAGGTTCGAAAAAAAGAGAACAATGCGTTCTGGGGGAGCCATATAAGGAATCCCTTGGAGTTGAGTACTAACCCAGATTAAAGGCCTTCGGGCAGAGGGCACAATGCAACCCTTACCGTGACGGCGTGTCTGGCATCTAGGCTGGGGCAAGACGCAGGAATGATCCGTCGAGCTTGAGTCTGGAGGAAACTAGCTCGAAGGGCAAAGGACGAACGAACGTCTTCACCCTAGGAACCAGTGTATGATCGCGGGCCTGGAGTACTCCGGAATGTGGAACAGGAGTACAGGCACGAACCCTAGGAAGGGGTAGGGATACTGTCAGGGGGGAGCTCAGAATGCAGCAATATTCACAACGTACAGATTATTGCAACCCAGCGTCCTGCTAAGCGTCTTCGTACAAGATTAGAGTGATTCGTAGGATAGAAAGCTGCGGTTTGTCGAAATCCACATTCAAGGGATCCGGTAAGGTCGAGTTCGGTAGGTGCGAATTCGAATTGAAACTGTTCCTGGAGACACCGAAGTAAATAGTTAGCCAACCAGTTTCAAGCCATCGGTGTAGATTTGCATTTTCGAATTGACGATAGAGGCCAGTGAGAGCAAGACTGCTCGGTATGTAATGCGCTGGATCGTCCGTCTAAAGTATGCAACCAGGGGACGCATTCCCATGACGACCCCCTTAATTGGAGGTCAGAGAGAAATGAAGCCCGTGTGCCTTAAATAAGCATGGATTGTCCACGCAGCGGCGATTTTACAGAGAGTATATCTCTGGTATCCTCATTCATGATCATCTGTACATGAGTTTCGCTAACCATCAGGCGATTGTGTCCCACCCCAAGAGGTGGGCCCAATTCCCACTGACCGATAGACTATTCCATGATATTGCATTCCGCTGTCTGACGCAGGTTCCCAGGGTACATTGTCTCTCAGATACTGGATTGCAACGCTCCTGCTCCTGTTGTCCCAAGGTATACGAATGTTGAATCCGTTTTGAACCGCAGTCTCCACCAGACGCACAATGATCTCGACAAGGCTCGCTCGTTGCAAAGAAGAAGAGTACCGACGTGGATTGAGATTGAGAGGTGATATTGCGGCTCGAGGTTTCATGCTCCGACTGGCATCTATGCGGATGGCGTGGAACGGAGTTGGATGAAGGAAAAAAAAAAAGCAGCTCACCTTCCAGCAAATCACAACCGCAAGAGAATCATGTACACGAAAAAAAGCGTCTTTCAAAGGGAAATAATGAAAATGAAATCAAAAAAGACCCTTCTTGTTGCTCTTCTAACCGGCAGAAGCTGAATCAGGGGACTCTAACCGACTATGCCAGGGAATTGACCTCGACTGTCAGATTAGGGGGGGAGGTTCGCCGTTTGAGTTAACAAACGTCGAGGAGGTACGCGTCGAAGCGGAAGCTGACGGACACGGCTCGACTGGAGAGCTGGTGCAACGGATGCAGGATTAGGTCGACAGACAGGACGTCGTCGGCTGTATCTCTACCTGGAGACCAGTCTCAAATCTCTCCGGGGGAATTGACGAGAACCGGGGGGAAGAGAGATGAGAGGAGAGGAAGGGAGAGGAGACGAAGATGGAAGAAGGAGAAGGAGGAGAGAGGAATGAGGAGGAGCGGCTTCTCTCTCCAGGCGGGTGTAGGGGGAGAAAAGAAGAAGAAGAGGATCAAAGGGACGAGGGCCGGAGATACAGGTCTCGAGAGGGTCGGCTGAAGGTGAGCTGCTGTATGGCTGGAGCGCGGTATGGTAAAGCGTGACGGGTCTCCCCTGTAATTGAGTGGGTAAGCGTGTAAGTAAGGTGGGCTCGGGTATGGTATCGCGTATTTGAACCTTCAGCTGGGTCAAATTTGTATGGCTCGTATGGTTCCCGTCTTGTTTCAGCTGGTCTCAACAAATGCCAGTCTATCGTGCTTGCGAAAAGAGATACCAGTCACCTTCTGATTGCCCCTCGAAGCGCGTTTCGCAGTTGGCCGTTGAAACAACTCAATGCAGGGTAATGCCCGCTGGGTCAACTACTGGCTCTTACGAACTATGAAGCGGATTGCATGAGGAAAGTTCATGATGCTTGATGGTATTACTGGGCCTCGCTGAAAGTTGAATCGATGAGATCGCATGGAGGAGACTGCAGAGGAGTCCAGGCTTCCAGCCCGCAGTGAGAGGCGCTCCTTTTCCAGAACCTCGCAGGGAGCTCGGAAAGGCGAGAGCCAATTTGCTAGACGCGGCCTGAGCCCAGATGACGCCCTTACTGGAAACGTGAAAGTTTATAATAGTACCTAATAAGTTGTATTTCTGTCGGCTGCGACGGAGTACTGGTATCTTTACACACTGCACCGTGGTAAGACCCGTAGTAGAGGCCACTATCGAAGTGCCGATGTCTATGAACTCGGGTGAGTATTTGATTCTCCAAAGAGAGTGTGAAAGAGGGTCGATGTGTCTGAAGGATGCAAAGCATCTGGGAAACTGACTTCAGTGAACACCGATAACCTTTCTGACGTTGCAGTCCCCCCTTCTGGAGGAGCAGCCAAACGAGTGGTCCTTGTTGGTTGTGTGCAGCACCCGCGTTGTGCTGTGGGCGCCCGAGTGGGGAGATCTCCGGCCTTTCCAGCGAGTCCAGCGACTCGTTCCCAGCCTGTCCTCCTCCCTGGCTCCAGCCAGGAACACCTCGGCTGCTTGGCGCGGCGACTTTTATTCCCCTCGCTGTATTTTATCACAGAGCGAATTGTAAGTGTGGTAATTTCTACATCTTTTGGCCCTCCCATATCAGCCGCGTTTCGTTAACTGACCAGTCCACACTGGCCACTGCACTGGAGCCGTAATTTTAGGCAACACCGGCTCTGGCCTGTCGATGCCTCCAAAAAAGCAGTACTTGAGCGACAGACAAACGCACAACCACCTTCTTTTTGATTCTGAGTCGAAGTTGCATTATCAGACATCCGTTGGCTGCTTTCCGATGAGCTCGGTGGTGCCATTCCTTTGGGAATTGCACACGCATATCACAAGTGGGATGAATGCGATTCGAGGACCATTTTACGGCTCCCGCCCACATTGCGCGCTATCAATTTCCTTTCAGCTGCTGACGGCCGGTAAAACTGGTTCGCATGTGTCGCGACTTGTACGAATTGTATGAAGTGTACGCCTCCGTATGATGACCGCAGAGTGCGAGTACAGAGTAATCCCAAATTAATGCCATATCCATTCGTATATGCAGTGCCGTGTCTCCAAAGTGCTCCGCACTGTTGCCTATCTATCAAATCGACTACTTGCAAAGCTTGGGGTCATACTTTTGCCCGTGGCTGATATTTCTTGGTCTTGAAACCCACCCGAACCCATCGCTGTGAAGGACAGAACTATTGGAAGTTGGAACCATTGCGACGCAGTCGATCGCAGGCTTCAACACGACCCGGGATGGATGTAGTGCCGTTTACACAATTCCTGTATCGCTCTCTACATATTACTCGTACTTAGTTGTTGTTTTGGTCCTGGCGCGACGGTTGTTACAGCTCAACACGCTGCGCCCACGCACTGTCAATCTGTCATCCATCAGTCACTCTAATCTTTGTACTCCATGAGCTATAATGCCTATTTGAGCAAGCACGCGACACGTCCACGTCCTCGTCTTCCGCACTTAATGAGGCTGGTCCTGGTCACATCCATTTTGATAGCCCTCCGTCTCCTGGCCTCGGAAATAAGGAGCTCAATATTCTTTTTTTCTTTGACTCCCACTTTTTATTCACCAAAGTTCGGAAGAGGCTGGTGTGGCTGATGGCGTTACTTGTCACTTGCTTCCCCACTGATCCGAACTGCAAATATCAAGTATCAATCTGCCACCAAGGACCGTTGTCATTGAATTTAATCCTCCGCGCTGCTGGTCATATCCCCTCGTTATCCCTGTGCTCTCCTCGTAACGAGGCGTTTTGGGGATGACGGAAACTCCTGGGCCCGCCTTACTTCGGAGTTGATCTTCAATGGCCATCTTTGCAGCTTTGCCTTGTGGAATTGCGAGTTGCTAGCTCTGTGACTAGGACAAAGAGTGACGCCGCCATGTCCAGAACCACCAGGACGGCGGCTGTTTGATTCCGCTCACCTGGGCAATCCCACGGAATATCTCCGATGTAGATTTGCTGGCAAGTGGCTGCTTTGCAAAGGGGGCTTACTCATCACATACTACTGGCGAACTAACGGCGCAGGGGCAAACAGTTAAACAATTCGGACAATGAACAAGGATGTTCCAAGCCTACAATATTAATTTCCAGGCTTTTGCGCATAAGTGACTCGTATTCGTGGAGAATCGGGAGGCCAAGCAGGCCAGCACGAAGTGACGAGCCAACAAACGAACGAAAGCCCAGCCATTATTGCATGATCGCGGGCCTTCCTGCTGCAGGGGCTGGATATCAAATGAATTGGATCGAAATCTCCTTGCGATTGTCCCTGCAGTCGCCCAACTCCAGCCTTCAGATTTTCATTTTCATTGCAGGCGCCCTTACGCTGTGCTTGTGTGCCGAGTACGTTGCGTTGCGTAGTTTAATTTCGTTCTAAGACATTGGAAGGCAGATTGAATACCTGTATTCAGGCTGAGCGTGTGTAACTCGCATCGATACCTCACTAATACCTGCAAGGGTAAGCCGAACTGCAGTCGCCATTATTTCAACGAAATTTGCTGGGCTTTGATACTCATACGGCCAAGGACACCGCATTCGGACCCGAGATTACTGCGCACTCCTGCAGCCCACTGCGGATCCTGAAGTGCCTGGAAGATTCACTTGTTCGCATTTCGGTCAAGTTCCTCGCCGCTCTCTAGCCACGTCGTTCGCTGTCACGGCAGTTAAACAATAATGATGAACATCTGATGAACATCAAATTACGAGTACTTTGACATTCTGAGACGGCCCAGCGCGCCTCAGGCAGGCCGTCGTCTTGGACTTGGAGATCTCATCTCCGTGATTATCCCTCTCTCCAAGAGCCAAGATTCATATCCCACAACGTACCACAACAACACTCGCGGGCCCGGAAGGAACGGGAGAGAACTCGACCTCCCTACCAATTTTACGTAGTCCAATCTCCCCATTAAGCAAGCCTGACTCCATTCGGCGTTCACTATCCGGACTACTGCAGCAGGTATGCAAAGAAAAAAAATTCGCGGGTGGGCCGAGTGGAAACCGAGAGAAGGACGGAGGTCTGAAAATGGAAGGCTTCTAGAAGGATTACGGAACAGCCTCCCGGGGGTTGTACGGTGCATAGGAACCCGGTTTTTTGGATACGTTGCTATTTTTTGATATGTCAATTGTTTAAGGCTCTATGGAATACTGTTTGCTAGTATCGCTGCGAGGTTCAGCAGGTTCAGCTATCAGAAGATAGTCGTTGCCACTCTTGACATCATTTAAAGTGACTGCCCAGTGTGATGTGTTGTGTCTGGGTCTGGTAATAACTACTATAGTCAATGATCGTTTGTTTGCACTCTGTACAGTAAGTTAGCAGTAACTCTTCATCTTTCTCGTCTTGTATGGAGACCGGAGCACATCTCCTGAATTAGCTAACTAGTCACGACTGGGCAGCCCTGTTAGTAACAGTAACGAGAATTGTCCTGATGATCCACTACGGTTTCTCAAAGTCAAGGCCCGGTTGTGGTAGACGACGAGGGGTTGGATATCGGCAGAACGATTCGGTTGACGAACTGTTTGAGGAGCTGTCTGAAGGGGTCGAGGGAACCTTCAACCCTGCGCTATCTTCAACTTAACAGCCTGAAAGAAGCTTGTCTCTGCGAATTAAGCGCGTGTCGAACAAACCTCATCATGAGATTGAGTTCGTTCCAGCCAATAGGGGCCACTGTAATCAGACTGTGAATTTGCCTTTGCCCCCTGGGTCGGGTCTCAGTTTCATCTCACTTTTCCAGCCCCTCCGTTCGAACTTCGGCGTCACTTCTGACTTCTGACTTCTGACCGTTGGGCGAAAAGTGACACAGAGACCCTCCTGGTAAAAAAAAGATTTTTTAGCCTCACCGGAACTGCGGAGACGCCTAACCGTGGATTGAGGGCTTTTCAGCGTCTTCTTGATGGTTCTGCGCGAGTTGACAGCCTTGGATGGGTCTAATGGAGTCAAAGTCGCCTTTGAAGCAGGTAATGGAAGACAGTGGTAAGTAAGTAATTCATACATACATGACCAGGACCGGCAAAATAACAGCCTTACAAAAGTACAGGTAAAATACCCCAAGGGGCTAAATAGAAATCAAGCGGGCCGGCTGTAGCGTAAATAAACGACTCCACCTCACCCCATAGAACGCAGGCCTCCGCCTCTCACTCACAGACACAGTGACGCTCAGGACGATGATTCCTGCTCTGCGCCTGGGTGTTCAGTCCCAAGCCCGGGAACTCGGCGCAAGCGAACACGCGAATTGCATCGTTATTAGTCCAATTGTGGCTCCGCACAGGTCCCATCGGTCGCCGGAGATTATCGACCAAAAGTTTGGCTCGCGAGTTGATCGAATCGATAGATCCTGCGCCCAGAGAACCGTACCAGATCCATGGCGTCATTGATTGACTCGCGTCCCACGTTTCGGGCTTTCAGCGCGCCCCGTTCTGGCCTTTTGCAATCACAGATCAACAATCTTCATTAAAGCCTCTTTCAGCTCTCCCTCGGGGTATTGCAGGGTCTTCCTTCATGTTTGTGAATTGCCACTTGCTTCATCAACATATACCGTCGTTTGAGGCATCCTGAGCATACCTTGGCTATCAATTGAGCGCTGTCCCGCTGCCGCTCAGGACAGTCCACTCTTCGCCCGCATTTCTATAAGGGGCCCGGGGCCTCATAGAAGAATGACATAACGACCGGGATCAAAAGCCTTATCCGCGGCCCTTGGCAGCGACTCAGAAAAGTCCTTTACGCGCGTTGATTCGAGGATCGCGTTAAAGTCAATCGCGCTTATTGCTAATCTGGCGTGTTTGTTCCCAGTTTTTGAACTAATCCTGGGCCTTTCTCCAGTTCAGTCGAGGGGATCCCGGCTGGCCGAAATCCAATCCAAGGAAGCCTGGCCCATCACTTGGAACGCGCAAGACTGTCAATCCTTCCAAGGCACTGTCAGCCGTCTCACTACTGACACAGTGACACCCCAAGTCCGAACTCGTTCCTCTGATCGATGCGACTATGGGCTGGCTTCGGTTGCGAGATTGCGATTGCGAATCGGCAAACTCCTCCTTGACCAGCAAGTTTTGTGTGTGCGAGGCGAGCTGAATCGTCGCATCAGCCACCTCCTGAACCAAGGATTCGTCTCGCCATTATTGAACTATACGTAGTAGCCGATAGGAGCGTCGCCCAATACTTCAAACACTGCCAGCGCCTGCCATCACATGCACCGCCCAAGGCTTGGGGGAGCACCTGCGATGATCTCTGTCGGCATCGCAGCTCTAACCGGGACCCCGTAACTCTATCTTGATTCAAGTTTGACACGGCACGCGAGTGGCATCTTTCATGCGAAGTCGCGACCACTACTTGTTTGGTCTAGAGTATGTTCGAGATCGCCATTCTCACGGTCTCCATTTGGCAATATCTTACACCTCTGCTCGCGCAATGCTTGGAAGGCCGTCGCGTTTATTCTCAAACTCGAGTAACTGCAGCAAGGATATAGGCCGCTAGCTTTGAAATGATACGAGAGACAGGCCTCCCACGAGCAATGATGTTTGATTGGACTTGTCATCGTGAGACGCCGGCCAACACCTATATATAGAGCATCATCAATTTCGAGCATTCTGCCTTGGGCTGCCCACGTTCGTCTTGTCGATCAAGGCCAATGAAACCTTTATCCAAACTCACTAATTCGACGAGATGCCCGTGACTTGCCACCGTTTAATCACCCACAGCACAAGGTTTTACCCCTTCAGGCTTGCTTTGTGGCGAACGGACACAATTGGTGCGCAGTATTGTAACTGGACGTCGAGTCAAGACTCAAGAGTAAGATATCCATCTACCTACTTTACACCAGCTCCGAAGCCAACGCCCGCATTGATGTGCCGCGAAAACTACAGCGCAAGACAACAATGGTGAAGCACACAGGTCGTGGTGACGCCCAACGCGGCTCATCTCGAAATACCCCGCACCCGGACCGACGATCGAGTCGTCGATTCAGCTGAACTTGCAAGCCTCAAGCCACTCGGCAAGACAGTCCTTGCCACTCACACGGTGCGTCGCGGATGCTGCTGGGAGCATGCATAACGCGGTGCAGTCAATGACCAGCCTCTCCTATTTTCAGCCTCTGCAATTCCTGGGTGCAGAATAGCAGCCCCTCCTGCGGGAATTTTATCCCTGCGGAATCGTGACATTCTCGCCCTATCAGGCCGTTTACCTTCAAGGGCGGCATATTTAGCCCAAACCGCAAGCCGCGATGGCACAATTGCGACTGGGGTCTGACTGACGTGGCAGCCTTTCAGGCATCGAATTCTGGACCACACACTCGACGTGCATATGTCTGTCACGCTTCCTTCGCAAGACGCATTGATATTCGTCTTCGCGACATCGAGGTCCAACTCGTATCTTACCGAATTCCTGTTTTCATCAGTTTCTGATACCCAATCCCTGCGCGTCTGCTTCCATCGATGCAGCTCTTCCTCCAGAGGACAGTGGGTGTAAGAAGACGGATCCCCGTACGCTATTTTAACTTGGCACCCATGCAATTGTCCTCCACGCCTCAATGAGACGCCTAGAGACAGTCTCCCATCCACTGTGTTGTCAAGTCTGAAGCTTATTATATGATTGTGAACGGACTGCAATGCAACAGTCCGGACTGGTTGGCTGTCGCTGCTGGCCGCTGCTTATCTTGTTCCACAGACTCTCATAGGTCAGGTGCATGCCGCCGGATGGGCTGCTTTCATGCGAGTCATGCCCGCTTGCTCTTGAAAACGCGCGCACGCGATGGACGAGTTGTAACTTTTGGGATAACCAGCGCTGTGTGGTGGCGGTGATGCTCGGTGAAAAATTACGGCCAACAACTGTAGAGAAAGTGAGGGAACAATTAGCAATAGAATTCGAGGGTCTCTTGTACTTTGCGTGACTTGGACGAATCGTTTGCTGACTTGGTCCGAGGTACCACTGACCTCAAGGGGCATCGTCTCAAAAAGGACCTGACCATCGCAGCCTCTCGGGCATCAGACATACTCGTAGGTCCAAGTAGACTTCCTCAGACAGAACGTGGTTCAAAGAGAACCGTGTTCCATCACTTTGGCCATCGCTCACGTGACCTGGAGCTCCGGGTGGAACCTCCGCAGACGCTAAAATTTGTATCAAGAAAAAAAAGTAGAATACCGCCGAGTCCAACAATCGACCGGACGAGCTTCAATCCAAACCCACCTAACCTCCGTATACTTTCATCGGAATGTCTGCATAGCGGTAGGCTCTTTGCTTCGAGCCAGAGTACCGTATTTTCTCTCAATACAACTTCATCGCATCCACCTGAGCGTGGGACACCGCAAAACCAACGGTCCTCGTCGCCGAACCTCTCCTCCCCCAAAACCCCTCACAGAAGTTTGTTTAACACGATAAACGACGCATAATGGATATCCACCGCTGCCGCTTCGTGCCGTACAACCCACAAGCCATCAATGCGCTCGCATTCTCCCATCCCCCGTCCATCGGGCTCGGCGGGAAGGGCGTCCCTACCCTCCGCCTAGCAGTCGGGCGCGCCAACGGCGACATCGAAATCTGGAACCCCGCGCGCGGCGCCTGGTTCCAGGAGACAGTCCTCCGCGGCGGAAAAGACCGCAGCATCGAGGGTCTAGTCTGGACGTTGGATCCGCCAGAGCCAGGGCCGGATGGGCAGAAAGTTGCGGGCCGCCTGCGCCTGTTCAGCATCGGGTATTCGACGACGGTGACGGAGTGGGATCTCGAGCAGGGGCGGCCGAAGCGCCACTCGAGTGGGAACTATGGAGAGATGTGGTGTCTTGCGGCGCAGCCGCGGTGGCAAGCCGCGAAGGGACGGGACAACAAGCCGATTCCGGCGGCGGAGGGGGAGTTCACGGGGCAACATTTGGCAGCGGGGTGTGCGGATGGATCGATTGTGTTGATGTCGACTGCGGATGATGATATGCGGTTTCTGAAGACGTTGAGGCCGTCGACGAAGAAGCCGCGGGTTTTGAGTGTTACGTTTCAGAACCGGAATACAATTGTTGCAGGTTATGCGGATAGCTCGATCCGGGTCTTTGATATTCGCAATGGGCAGATTCTCAGGACGATTAGTTTGGGCAAGGGTCCTACGGGCGGGTCCAAGGAGTTGCTGGTTTGGTCCGTGAAATGTTTGCCTGATGGGACTATCGTGTCTGGTGACTCTGCTGGCGAAGTGCGGTTCTGGGATGCCAAGAACTATTCGCTTATCCAGCGGCTACATAGCCATTTGGCGGATACTCTGGATATTGCGGTCAGCGCGGACGGAGAGACGGTTGTCAGCGGTGGTGCCGACCAGCGCACAGTCGTCTACAGAAAGCAGCCTGGTGAGAAGGGCGATAAGAGCAGCCGATGGGTGGAGATGACGCATCGGAGGTATCACACCCACGATGTGAAGACGTTTGCTGTCTACGAGACAAAAAACCTCAGTGTCGTGGTTTCTGGAGGTATGACACTTATATATTACCATCTTATTGCGCCCAACGGTAGCTAACTGCAAACAGGACCTGATGCTAACCCCGTCGTTCTACCCCTACGAGAATTCGGAAAAGAGCACCACCGAAACCTCCAAAGCCTTCCCCAAGTACCTCCGGTCGTTTCGTCGCCCTCTTCTAGATTAGTAATGAGCTTCTGGGATAGAGAGGTCAACATCTGGAAGGTGTCTCGTGGACCTACTTCAGTACACGAAGTCCCTGATGGGCAAAGACATCGGCTGGTTGGAAAAGTTCTGATCCAGGTAAGGAAACACAAGTTCCCAAATTATTGTGTACATGGATTCTGACGGTCTTTTCCGATACAGGGCGAAGAAAACATCACATCTGCGACGCTCTCCAATGACGGAAAGATCCTCGTTATAGCTACGGTATCTAGCATCAAGGTTTTCTCCGTAAGACGGCGCAAAGGTGACGAGCGAGGAACACTGCGTGTACAAAAGCTCGAGATCCCTACCTCGGTCTCCGAAACTGGCGGTCGGCTCGTAACAGTCTCCCCAGACAGCCGGTGGCTCTGCATTGTCCGCCCTAACAGCGACATCTCTCTCGCAAGGATACAACCCGCTTCGTCGGCTCAGGAGAAACCCCAGGTCTTTCCCCAACTAGTCAACCTCCACAGAGCGCCTCGCCACGCTCGGTTCGAGAACATCTCACACGGCACCCTGGGCAACTACGAGCGAACAGTCCGATGTGTTGTCTTCTCGCACAACAGCAAGATCCTAGCCTCGGGCGATATCTCCGGCTGCATCGACACCTGGACTCTCGAACAAGCCGCTGACGAAGAACCCAAATCCAAGAACCGTGCGTCAGAATCCGATGAAGAATCTGACTCTGACGATGAGGATGACTCCCCAATTCTAGAAGGCGAGCGCTGGCGCGCCATCGCCGCAGAATCCCCGATCCCCCGTCTCAAATCCAGCGTCGCCCTCCTCTCCTTCAGACCTCCAACAACAAGCCGCTCCCTCCTAACCAACGGCACCGCAGAGGAAGAATCCCGCCTCATGGCCCTTACAACAGAGCACCAACTCGTCGAGCTCGACGCCCTCGAGGGTAAACTCTCCGAATGGTCCAGGCGCAACCCCAAGGCCTTCCTCCCAATGGACTTCAAAGGCGTCAAGGACCGCGCAATGGGCTGCCTCTGGGACCTCTCCGATCCCACCCGGGAGCGCCTTTGGCTCTACGGCACCTCCTGGCTGTGGATGTTCGACCTCAAGCACGATTTCCCAAGCACAGAGGAACTCGACGCCGCCGCAACCGCCGAAAACAAAGCCGCAGAAGCAGAAAACTCGCAGGCCCTAACAAAGAAACAGAAACAGTCTGCTTCGCAGAAGCGGAAACGCGACGAGGCTGCTGAAGATGCTGCGGGAACGGGGAAGAAGAATAAAAAGCACAATACGGGCGCAGGTGATAAAATCCCCCTCACCGAGACAAATGTTTTCTTCGACACCAAGGCCCGCGCCTTCGTTGGGCCTGACGCATCGCAGGGTGAATGGGTGTCGCTTGAGAAAGAGCGTGAGCGCGCAACCGACGACGAGGAAGAGGAAGAGGAGGAAGACAACGATGCCCGGCTCGCGCGGCTGCGGAGGGAGAATAATAACGCCACCAATGGCACTACTTCTACAAAGACAAACGGTACAGACAATCAGGTCGCCAAATCCTCCGCACCGTCCCGCAAGTGGTGGTATACGTACAAGTATCGTGGGATTCTAGGAATCGTCCCGCTGAGCGCTACCGATGCCGAAACTGAGTCGGATGAGGACCGTGACGGCAATGCTAATACTGGCTTAGAGGTCGCTGTCATCGAACGGCCGATGTGGGATGTTGACCTTCCGGATCGCTATGTGCGTGAGTACGAGTAAAGCGAGGGCGAGGATTTCTTCCTTCTTGGCTACCTCCTTTTTTTTTTTTTTTGCATATACACCTCTATTTCTCTCGATATCCGCACAGCTGTCCATGCTACGCTAGCTCCTAATGTATGCCATTCGACGCTGTACAAACAAACAACCCAAGAAAGAAAGGAACGATGTTAGATCCGATAGAAAGGAAAGGTTGAGAATCGGGGGATCCATCAGTTCAGTTTCATTCATGTTATTTATTACCATCTTCATTGGCGAACAGGATATGCTGCTATGTTACATTGCATTGTATAGATTTTGACCTTGATTTCAATTTAAAAGTGACATTGGCCTTGATCTAGAACCTTGCTCTTAAACTAGACTGGCCACTATACTATATGGACTATCGATACGGTGGATCCCTTGCTTGTGATATTAGTCGAGTTCAGGTTTCCTCCTTCCGCTTGGGTGGCGAGGATCTAGAATTTGACTACCCAGTGCTGCCTAGGGGGTACAGTGCAGATTCGAGACATGAAGGTAGTACTCAAGATAGGGGGATATAGGATTTTGGGTCAGACTGGGAGGCCAAGACGGTGTGTTACGCTGGCCTTCAGTTGTCCCAGCGAATTAGATGCATCTTGCAGCTACGAGCCTGAAGGAGGTAAAGAGCGAGGTGAAGGAGGATAATGAGATATTGTTTTTTGGTGTGCCCAAGTTCTTATCTAAGAGAAGCGAAGGCAATTTATCCTTCAGTCCGATGAGTTGAGATGTCAATGAGGAGAAAGTAACCCCTGCTGCAGGCCACCGACCTGATGAAACGCGCGCATTTGTATATCATTAAACAGAAAACTCGGCCGTTGAACAAATAGAGAAATCACGAGAAAAATAAAAAAGATAACCGGCAACACAAGAACAACTCCGACCTATTCGTTCCATAATCAATGGCATATGCTCGCTTTTGAGACATTCCTCGTATGAAAGCAAGTTTGTATAATGAAAAGATATCAATCTCTCAGATCCTTACACTGTAATAGTTGCCGTTACGTGGACACGGGGTATCTCATGCAACGTTTTAGTAATGTCGACCCCGAAGGACCTGCCACGTCCCGTATTGGCAGGCTGGGATTATAAGGAGCGGCACGGCTTCTGGTCGAAGACCCCGTTTCGTCGTGTTGCAATTGAGGATTGCAATCGTTTCCACCCCACCCGTCGGACACCCACATTGACAGATGGACGTGGCGCGGTATAAGTACCAACGCCAAGTTTGACCCGCCAGTCTAATAATGAATGTTGACTACGCGGATTATGGCATGACCAACCACTGGATGGGGAGTTCCAGATCGCGTGGATGGTGACATATGGTAGACGCTTTGGCAAGCATTCACTGCGATGTTTTAATAGCTTTGGGCCGATACGACAGCGGGCTTGAGGGAGTTAGCAAGCTATACGCTGAAAGCGAGAGGCAAAAAAGCAAATTGCACGAGCGACAAAAGCACTGCAGTGCAAAACGAGCACGAGAGTCTCGGCAGCGTCACACGAGAAGCGGTGCTTATGCTTGGCAGAAAGAAGGACAGGTGAGAATCAACTTACAGGACTGTTGAGCAGGCTGTTCCGCTCTTTCCGTCCCTTCTTAATATGACTCTTCAGTGCTGCAGAGTCCAAGGGCTTCAACAACTCGAAGCTACATAACAATTCGCCAGAGACGGACATAATGGCACCCCAATTATCGAATTCCCCACAATACTACATCATGGTCAGTAAGTAGATTCAAAATGGCAGCGGTAAAGTACTCACGTTAGGCGCAGAAAACACCGTTACCAAGATCCGGTCCTGGTAGAATTCATAGCCGTCCTCAACAACCATATGGGCACGACAGACTAGGTCAAAGTCATGACGCTGTAAGAAGTTCATAATAACGTTCTTATTGAAGCAGTAGCTGACTCCGCGCTCATTGGGCTCCCAATCTTCTTCCATATCGGCAGGGTCACTCCAGAGCAAGTCGTTGAGCAGCCCATAGTCGGGAACGTCAGTCGGGCGGGCAATCCCACGGATATCATCCATATGAGAGAGACTCGGCGAAAGGCCACCATGAACGCAGAAAATCTTGCCAGCCACAGTAGCAGCGATAGGTAGGCAGTTGAAGGTGTCGACAAAGGTTTTCCAGATCTTGATATTGCAGCGCCGTTTGCACTCGTCATAGAAGCCGTACACCCGAGTCACGTTCGCACATTCGTGATTACCGCGCAAGAGGAAAAAGTTCTCGGGGAATTTAAGTTTATAACAAAGCAGGAGAAGAATGGTCTCCAAGCTTTGCTTCCCACGATCCACGTAATCACCCAAAAAGAGGTAGTTGGAAGCTGGTGGGAAGCCGCACATCTCGAACAATCTGATAAGATCCGTGTACTGGCCATGAACATCTCCGACAATCTTCACGGGTGCTGATAATTCCAGCAGAGCAGGTTGAGTGAGGAACAGCTCTCGTGCGGCAGTGCAAATGGCCACAATTTCCGCATTTTTCAAACAGACGGTCTTTGTGACCTTGGTCGAGTAACCGGCATCGAGAAGACGAGTAATCATATCATCGAGGTCGATGGACTTGAGTGCGCCCATTCCCATGCCCGGAGACGAGGATGCATCAGAGTGAAGCGGGGTCTTCATGATAAAATCTAGAATCGGATTCGACTGATCCTCGCGTTTGATAAGAATGGATTCTCCCACTTTAGCTTGAGCCCCCGGCGGTGGCGCAGTGGACGGCGGAGCATCCGAGACATGGTCAACCTCACCACTCTGCTTCATGGCATTTACATCTTGGTGCCCTCGTTTCAAGCTGGTTGACATGGTAGGAGAGGGAGGTGGATCCGGAGCATCTGTGGGAGATTGAGATGCAGAGTCGGCTGATGCAGGCCGACTGAAGTTTGTGGAGCTGCGCCTACTCCCGAAAGACTTCACGGAGCCTGCATCTGACTTGTCATCCGAGGACAGCGCGGACGTAGACGCACGGGGACTGTCAGTATTTCGAATCTTCGACCGGATCGACCCTCGAAAGGATCGGAGGGACTCTTTGGTATCAGATTTGGAGAAAGATGGGTACGACTGTAGCGAATCCCCAGGGCCAGAGTTGCCCTTGGAATGAGATTGACCCATTTCTGCAAGGAGATATCTGCCAAGATCTGACCCTCACGCTCGAAGAACGGTATAGGTTCGAGTAAGAACCACTGAGCTTCTGGAATGCTAGGGGCGTCTTGGCCGTAACTTTGCTAGGCAGAGGGCTGAGATTATATAAAGGGCGATGGAATTCCGCGGGAAATGCGGAGATAATTGCTCGACGTGCGAAGAATCCGATGCGCGCTGAACCCGACGTTGGACGAAAACGACAGCAAGCACGGGCGACCGTGGCGAAGGTCTATTTGACGAGAAGTAAGGACGAAGAGATGGAAAGAAAAGAGCCGATTCACTTCGCGAACTTGATGCTGGAATAAATGGAGGCGGAAGGAGAGAGGGATAGCATCTCAGCTTACAAGCCACCAAGAGCTCGGATCGACCGATGGCAAAGCTCCGATTTGCGGACAAATCGCTTCTGGAGACGAAACGGTTAGCAACGAGGCAGTGAAGCAATAATCATGAGACGGCCTGTTGCGGAGTGGAGGGGAGAGGGGCAGTATGAGGGATTTGAATTGCACAGCTGTGAGACTGGGACTGGAGTTTGCGGAGTTGGGTGACGGGGATCGATCAGAGGAGCCGTCCGCGATGCGTCATTATGTGGAGGACGGCAGACGGCAGGGAAGGGAGGGGCAGACGTACCGAGAGCACACGGAGGGAGGAAAGGACAGGAGCAGTTAAGCAGAGACAGAGAGTCGACAGGAAGAGCGACGAGATGGGCAGATAGCTTTTAGTCCAGACAGTTTGCCTCCAGGGCCGCAAGACAAGCGGTTTGATTCGTGAGAGTGACGGTCTCGATTGCTGCAAGGCCACCGCTACTGCCGTTGGGTGGGCTGTCACCGAGTCTCGGATCAAAGTCGGGCCGGGGCCGGAGACTGTTGACTATGTGGATGCCTGGAGATCAGTCCGGATGGGTCGCTACCAGGCCGGCGTGCAATTATAAGAAAGTACCTGTGCTGTTGATGGAGAACGGTTACTGCTGCCCAGAGGCCAATTTCAGACACTGCTGCCGATCGATATTGTCATGACCTCAGCGCGGAGCACGAGCCGGCCAGAGCTAGTTTTATAGACTACGGAACCAAACGCCCGCCTCACGCTTTTTGCTTGTTTCCTTTTTTATATTGTCTAGGATGCCTCTAAAACGCCTATTCTATGCTTATTGAAGCATCTGAGTCACTAAAACCTGTACCTCGCGAGGGCCCGTCCCCAGCACAGACTCCCAGAATCCAGTCATCCTCTCATCTTCCCCTCATCGGGTCTTGGCTTCGGTTGCATGTGCAATCTTATAGGTTCTCCATCTCACAACCCCGTCCGTCGAGATCCCACAGCTTTTCTCTGTGTGGGAAACAAACCCCGTCGCTGACTGAGGCCATAGAGCGATGGTCAGCCCTCGGTGAACTCCGAAGATACCCGAACCTCGCATGGCCACTCGTCGTGGCTGAGGTCGCACAATTTAAGATCAAAATCCCCCGTGGTACCTTTGCTTATTCCGTCCTCTTTTCCCTGTTTTTCTTCTTCCTGGGCGTCCGTTTCTGGGTCGGCGCCGAGGAGTAATGCCGCAGTAATAACCAGTAGTGAAGCCTAGTCAAACAATGAGGGAGTACTCGGACCCACCAAGTTGTGCCCTCCTTGAACTGCAGGAACACCGCCAGTTTATCTCCGAACTCAGTCCAGTTGAATCAGGGCTATGGTTGATGCTGCCAAGGGCCAGTTTCTGCGCCAAGATAACGCAGCCTTATCTGTTTCGTCACTCCCACACTCACCACGTTGCAACAGGACTCAGTCCTCGCATCTAGATCTTGGCGCCTCATCGAAAGTGGACAATGGACCGCAGAATATCCAGTCAGGGCAGACTTGAGCCTCCTCTTGCAGGGCGCCCACATATGAAAAGGGTGGTAGCAACAGGTTGCTATCAATCCATACTTCAGGTCGATTCCCTGAACCACAGTCATTATCCCAATTCCCCACGTGAATAATGCATGCCACATCTGTCAACGAAACACGACCCTGGAAGCAGGCACTTGGGAAAAAGCAAAGAAACGGACGGCTTTAGAAATAAAAAGAGAGAAAGACATAATCATAATCATTAGAGTTCGCCACTGAGGTAGATCGTGTCGAAAATTGTAGCTGAACACCGCCACCATCATGATTGCGGGGTCTGGATCTCCTCCAACTCGATGCTCGTGATATGTTGGCCGGGCACGACCACAAGACCAATAAATCGACTCGTCATATTTAATTTTAGCTTCTGGGACTCTTCTGGGCTCTCAGGTGCCGTATTCAGGGCCGCGGCTGCATCTCGAACAGCAGCCGGCGTTGGATGGCGATACTCGTGAGTGTTGGCGAGAATGACATTCCGATCCTATTGCGCCGAGGGAACGAATCAGTAAACAAGCTCGTGAGCTATGAACTTGTTGCTTCCCCCCTCAATGCATGGCAATGGGGCAAGTGATGGGCAACTTCAACGTCTGGCTTACCGCATCTGTACACTTAAACACGCCCACGAAAACCCGCGAGTCTGTCGCGTGCACTCGCAGTGTCTGGCCGATCAGAGATTCCAGATATCGAACGGCCTGGATTTCATCCATTGTGTCTTGCCTTCTACCAATAAAACCGTGTTGTCTGGAGATGGTTTCTTTTTTTTGGCTCTGGCCTGAATAGGTAGGCTCGGTACAAAGCAACGGGGGAAGCTGGCGATCTGGACTGTTCTGCGAGAGCTGGCCTGCTGGATATCTGGATAGCCGTCGATTGGGTGTTCGATCAAGTCTAGACCTGGGTCTGGGATTGGATGAACCTTTGTTCTGGCGCTTTGGCTGGACCGGTGCGTTGTGGGCTGGCGCGTTGGTGGTTCGAGCAATGATCGCGTTGCGTTCTTTGTTAAAATGCTTTTGAGATGGCTGCCCGCTCATTGATGCCTAAATTATCAGGCATAAATCTCGTGAGCTTGGTTGAGCTCCCCGCATATGACGCCATTATATAATCGGAAGATGTCCGCGTCTATGACTGCGAGACTGAGAATTTCTCATGTTGGCTGAGCATTGATTAATTTTATGCCCTAATATTTGAACTCTAGTCTCCAGAGTATTGACCTTGAGCTTACGATGCCGATCAAGTACAAAGTTTTGGTATAATTATCTGCCCCGCTATATTGTGAGAAGCTGTACAGACAGGGGAACGGATTTAACCCGTTAGGAACTCAACACATTAAATATGTACACGGCCGTGTCACAATTTGACACTCACTCAGTAGCTTAATTCGCCAAGGAAGGGCTTCAGAACAAGCGAAGCACCGTATAAGAGGGACCACAGCACCGCTAATGATCGCCAGCAATCACTGGCACCTGGGTCAAACATAACGCTCCAAAAAAAGTAAGAGGGGAAAACAGCAAGACATGGGGTCCGCATTCGTGGGACCAGGGTATAGAGCAAGTATAATATCGAGCAAACCGGCTCGTAGACACATCACATCCATCCAACGGGCCCTGTCCACTGCCTGGGCGCGGGGCTTGACTCGTTACTCTCCGTTTCCATATCGATGTCCATGTCTCGGTCAACGGGTTGAGGAGCGAGTGTCATCGCGTCGCCGTCTTTCGAGGTGAGTGGCGAGGCGCCGCCAAAGCCGGGGCCTTGCGGGAAGACGTTCCCACCTTGCAAGACTTCGCTCGAGAATTGGCTTATGGGCGTGGAAGGACAGAGCTGGCGAGTAGTTTGGGCAGGACGAAAGAATTGAAGCAATATCTGTTGACGGCTGTCGGCGGCAGGGGCTGGGGTGTCTGTTTCCATGTCCTCATCTTGATTTGCCGGTGGGGTAGAAACCTGCTGGGCTTGTTGCTGGGCTGTGAACAGCAAGCGGAGAGTGTTTTCTGTTTCCTAGGTCAGCATGCCGCTTGAAAACGTTGAGCTTCGTTGGTTGTCTTACGATATACGGTTTGGTCATCGGGGCGGTCATTTCTCACGCGCTTCCTTGTGCGACAGTGGAGATGTCTGGGGCTGTCATCCATAGATGGCAGACCGATGAAGCCCTGAGCAGATTGCGGAGATGCAATGCTTGGGAACGAAGCCTTGCGCTTGAGAGACATGGTAAATCTGAGCGGATGGAGGCGAGTTGAGTGAATTAAGTTTTTTTGCCTGGTAGATTTAATCGTGTGTAGAGGCAATTGGAGCAGAATAGGTAAGTATTCTGAGAAGGACGGAGGACTGGTTGTGAGAGTTTAAATTGAACTTTGAGTGGAGGTTGGAGGAGGAATTTGGGGGTTTGAGGTCGGAATGCGCGTGAGGAATCCACGCGTGCTGGCGTCGCAGTACGCAAAATATGCACTATTCCCCATCAGGTTTAATTGCGCCCAGCCATACAGTAAACACCACAAAATAATCACAGAGAGTTCATTGAATGAAAAGTAATTAATTTATCTAGCTGGATATTTTTTTGGAGTTTGTTTGGTGGTTTTATTGCCGATTAAGTGGAATAGAGGCCTGTATAGTTGATGACATCGGCAGTGCGGGGATATATATAGCGCTAGAAGAGAGGATCTACTCTTCCGGTTGTTCAATTTTTCAGGCTCTTTATTAGCAGATGCATGTAATTTGAAAATAAAAACAACCGTTGTCTCTAAATAAAATAGCTCTTCCATGTTAGTAATTAACTCAATTCAAACTGAATCCGTTGACGGATGTCTCGGTATGTTGGATCTTTGTCATTGAGCCATGACCAGCAGCACTTGTCTTCCCCGCTTCTCCCCTCAGCAAACATCCCTCAGTCTGTTACTTGACTTCCACCAAAACATCCGTATTGGGCTATATATTTCTAGTACTTACTAAGAACTGCATAATGAGCTCTAGAGCTGCCTCGCATTCTGGTTCTTGGTACTCGGGCGACCGCCGTACCCTCACGAGCCAGCTTGATCAATGGCTAGCTCAGGTACCTGACAGCATCGAGGGGTTGGGCTCTCTGCCAGTGTCTGGGGCACGTATAGTCATTGCTCCGTATGTATTGGCAAGAGCCTATGCAAAAGCCCATAGACTGATCCCTGAGTATCTAGACATGCAGGATATGCGTACTCCGGGCCTTGTGCCGCCTACGCCTACCGGTCCCTGGATCTGTCCAATGCGTGAGCCGTTCCCATCTCGATAATCTCCCTTCACATCTAAAACCATTATTTTTCAGGAAGCGAATCTTCATTCTTGGACCATCGCATCATCGTTATTTCACGAGTCTTGCTCTCCCCAAACTGACCGGCTACTATACCCCGCTATCTGACGACCCTCTCCCGCTTGACACCGAGCTTATTGACCAACTCCGCTCAACCTCAGCTGTCAAGCCCGATGGCTCAACCATCAAGTTCGAAGCCATGTCTCGGTCTGTCGATGAAACCGAACATAGTATCGAGCTTCACCTCCCCTACATTCATCGCCTTCTGCAGCTGCAACACCCCAACAAGTCAACTGCAGAGTACCCCCCACTAGTACCCATTCTAGTGGGGAGCACCTCGACAACGACAGAAGGTGCCTTTGGGGAATTGCTTGCCCCATATCTACAAGACCCAGCCAATGCCTTTGTCATCAGCTCAGACTTTTGCCACTGGGGTCTGGACAGCTTCCGTTACACATACTACGTCCCGCAAGCTCCCAAGCCGGGGCCAAGACTGCCGTTATCGTCGGATGAATTGCCCCAACCAGACGACAGTGTGAGCGACATAGAAGACAGAATCGAGGTCGCCTGTGCGGGCCATCACCTCCAGCATAAAGACCGCATACGGAGAGAAGAACCCAAGATCCACGAGAGCATCTCCGCCTTCGACATCGCAACCATGGCAGCAATCGCCACCGGAAAGACCGCGAAGTTCACAGATATACTTGAGAAGACAGGCAATACGGTCTGCGGCCGGCACCCCATAGGCGTCATAATGGCCGCCATCGAAGCGGCCGGGGCGCAGGACGGCGTGAAGGGGAAGTTCCACTTTGCTCGGTATGAGCGCAGCAAGGACATCAAGGACGACATCCACAGCAGCTCAGTGAGCTACGTGTCGGCATTCGCCGTGGTGTAACAATGTAATCGCATCCACTGCATCTGCTTTAGTTTTAGTTACTGTATCCCGTAATTGTAGATCGCCACCGCTGCAATCCTGATAGAATGATCGATTCTCGGTGGTAGACTAGTCATCCTCTTTTGGGCGATCAAACTGAATGATAACTGTGATTCTTCAAAGTACTAATTTCTGTCCAACGAATTCTATCCACTATCTGTTCAGGCAGACAAAAAATAATGAATCCCAAGGTCATGACGCCTCATCGTCTTGCCTATACTGTCCGGCCGCATAAGACACAATCACCGAGTTGAAACCTCATCCTCTTTACCAAATGAAGCATAACAGGCCCATAAAGGAGCCCAGATAAAAAAAAACCTGCGGTAATTCTTTCCAACCCCCCACCTCTTTATTCGGTAGTATCAATGAAATAAAAGTCAGGACGGCCATTAGAAACACAACCGCAGTCCAAGCCACTCCCACCCCATCACATGCTAGGGACATTACAGACGAATTCTCATTCACATTATCACTCCCAATCTCCCTCTCCCCCTCAACCAGGCGTTGAAACATGAATGATGCGGCAGCCCAATTGCCCATCGTCACACAGCGCTAAAGTGCCGCCGGCGGCCGGACACGCTCTACACTGACTGGTGGCTGCGGCGCGTGACGAGAACCAATAATGGTCACCATGGGTGAATCTGAATCTAAGCCTGAATCTGTACCCTGCCGGGATTTGAGACCCAGAGACTTGATTCCTGTGGGTTGTAGCGGGGGATTTCATTTGACTGGTACTGAGGATCTGAGGTGATTGTGGGATATCCATTGGGTTCTCCAACAACTATTCTATTTATCACCCATAGACAAGGCAAGACATATAGTTGAGAGTGGAGATGAGGACTGCTTATGTTGATTCTTTAGATCTCAAACGGCGTTGACGAGGGTGAGCCATGCTGGAGTGTGAGTGGTGGGAGGAGGCGGCTGGAATCTCGACTTGTTGGGTCTGGTGATGGGATCGCGTGGCTATTGGCAGTTGAGCTTGTCGAGATACAGGGAAGTTGGTGTAGTGTAAATGTAAGCTGATGATGAATTTGGAGGAGGTTCTTGACTCTTGATGGTGTGAGTATGCATGGTTTAGATAGGAGGTTGTGATTGCGACTATGCCGGGATATCTATTGAGGTTGCACTAAAAGACGAAGACGGAGTTTCAAGAAGAATAAAGTCTTTATTAAGATCAGCAGTAAGTAACTGTGGTTCTACTACTAGCGTTGGCATTGAGTAAGTGTATACTCCCCGGAGCAGAGGGAGTAAGTGACCGCACAATAACGTCTCTTACCAACCCAACTCAACACCATCACATGTAACAAGTCCCCAATGTTAGACAGTCATCCATAATCCCTGCCCATTGGGGCATTGGCCAGCCTTCAGAAACGCCAGGGGTTAACTCCTTCCCCCCGGCCCAGCCTAAAACGCAGATCCATCAGGATCCTTCCGTGCAATGTGACCTCTGATGTTACTCGCTGATGAGCACTGCTGATTGCACCTGACAGCCTCTCTTGAAGAGAGTCTTCAACACGGTGCTTACCAGGTGTGGAGAGTCCCCTTAGATCTGGGATTGATCTGCAGTTTTCGGGTTGTGAGGAGTCTTGGGGGCCTGGGAGGTCAAGTCGAAGGGGTGTGACGAGACGACGATTTCGGGCACCATCTCTTCTGGTTGGCCTAATGGAATAACGGAGATTTCGTAATGGCGGTTAGAATGTGGTGTGGTAAATATCCTGGCTGCTGGGGTAGTGTGGGAGAGGTTCAGGGTAGGGAGGCCTCGATATAAAAGGGACAACCGAGGCGGTGGTTTTGGATTGACAACTGTATATACAAATGCGGTAAAGTCGATGCTACTCAGAGAAGGTAAGTTTATGTCTACTTCCCTGTTCGTTTGGTGCATTTCGTGTTGCTGTCCCTGTTCCTTCGGACGGTTTCATGGCTTGGGGGCTAGTTCGTCCAGGAGACGGTTGTATAGATATATCCCCCATTGTTGCCCGTTAATTCAGATTCTCGTTGCTAATATGTTGACTTTACTTTTCACTTGGAACTGCTGAGCTGTGGTTTATAGTTGAACGAGGTAGCTGACAGCCCTAGATGATGCATCTGAAGACCCTCGTCCTAGCCCTAGCGGCAAGCGCCGCAGCGTTTCCACAGCTCAACACCCCAAATACTCACAAGAACGTGCGGCAAACCAATGAAACTGACACTGGTAGACTCGTATTCTGTCATTTCATGGTAAGCCCAGCAGAGAAGCCCTTGAGCCCATGACAAACAGAGCGCAGCTAATAGGAAACAAGGTTGGCATTTCAGGTAACCGCCAAAGCGCCTCCGACTATGACGCCGACATGCAGCAAGCAAAAGACCTCGGAATTGACGCATTCGCACTGAATATCGGCATGGACGAGTCCACCGACGCCCAGCTAGGCTATGCCTACGAGTCCGCCGCAAATAACGACATGAAGGTCTTCATCTCGTTCGACTTCAACTGGTACACAACCGACCAGGCAGCGGCCGTCGGGTCCAAGATCGCAGAGTACGCGGACAAGCCGGCACAGCTGAAGGTTGATAACAAGGTATTCGTCTCTTCGTTTGCTGGGGATGGCGTCGACGTGGCGACGATCAAGTCTAGTGCTGGCACGGACATCTTCTGGGCGCCGAACTACGAACCCGGCAACGGAGACTTTAATGATGTGGACAGCGCTCTGAATTGGATGGCTTGGGATAATGATGGCAACAACAAGGCACCGAAGGAGGGAGCCAATGTGACTGTTGCGGATGGGGACCAGGCGTATACAGATGCCCTGGGAGAGAAGCCCTACCTTGCCCGTAAGCGTGTCCATGGTATTTTAATGCGCCAGACTAACAAGGATAGCTGCATCTGGCTGGTTCTACACACACTTCGGAGGCGAGGTGTCGTATAGCAAGAACTGGGTGTTCCCTGGCGACCTGCTGTGGTACAATCGCTGGCGAGAGATACTGGAGCTGGGTCCCCGGTTTGTGGAAATCATCACTTGGAACGACTATGGCGAGTCGCACTACATCGGGCCTCTGTCGTCGCCTCACACCGATGATGGAGCTTCGAAGTGGGTAATGGATATGTGAGTTTCCTCGCACCAACTGACTCTATAGTTTCTGAGACTGACTGCTTCAGGCCGCACGGTGGCTGGCTGGAGATGTCCCGTCCTTTCATCGCCGCGTACAAAGCAGGCCAGACATCGCCCGACGAGTATATCCAGGATGAGAAGCTGATTTACTGGTACCGGCCCACGCCCAAGGACGTCGAGTGCGACGCAACCGACACCACGATGGGTGGAAACCCTGACAACTCGACAGGGAACTTCTTCCGCGGCCGACCCGATGGATACGATGTCATGCAGGATGAGGTCTTCGTCGTCTCGCTGCTCAAATCACCTGCTACAATCCAGGTCACATCCGGCGACAATGAGGAGAGCTTCGAGGCAGAAGCCGGAGCGGGCGCCTTTGCTGCGAAGATGGGCGTTGGGAAGCAGACTTTCTCGATTGTCCGCAATGGCGAGACAGTTTCGTCTGACACCAGCTTGAAGGACATCGTGGGCGAGTGTATTTGCGGCATCTACAACTTCAATGCGTACGTTGGGGTTGTACCGCCTGAGTCGACTGTTGACCAGCTTGACTCGACGGGGCTTGAGTTGCTGTCGGAGGGATTGAAGGCCCCCTGTCCGACTAATACCTTGGGAGGTGGCTCAGGCGGTTCTTCTGCTGCTCCTACTCAGACTGGTTCCAGTACTCCCACTCCTACTTCCCCGGCATATCTATAAGGCTGCCTATTCTGCCATTCATTGTTATTCGTTTTGGGATCCATCTAGTATTCACTCGCTTACAGTAACTTTGCGATGTCTACCAGTTTCAATGATAAAAGTCCATTACAACGATCTCGCATGCCTGTTTTCCCTCTTGGTAGACTTATCAGTCGGGACGGCCCGGGGCGACCCTGACTCCGGTTTTGGCCGGCTATCTCTGCCAAAGCAATCAATGAGGAGCAATTCCCCAGAGCACTAGCAGTCTAGCAACAATCACCAGTGCTATCTTATCTCTCCCCGGATTTAAAAGACAACCACTGCCCGGCCAGTTCAAGACCTTCACCGACTCTTCTAATCTACCTTCTTTCTCACCATGGCCGCTTTATTAGACGTGTTTCCCCTCTCCTGTCGCATCTCCCGATTCTGCGCTCAAGCATCCCTGCAGGTCACGCATCCCCTCCTCACAGCCACAAACAACGTTGCCAACTTCTCCAACTCGTGCGTCTTGCGTGATTGCGACTTCTTGTCTTTCCAAATATCGGTCTGAGCCTGGCTCTCAAATATACCGCTCTTATCTTCTGCTCGACTTGATCGCGACTTCAAAATGGTTTATTAACGCCAACACTCCATCTCCGAGCTGAACCCCACCACAGTATAGCCATGGCACGAATAAAACAGGGCGTGTTCTCCTGGGAGGATGTACTAGCCCATCGGTACCAAAGTCTGTCTCTGTTTCCTTTCGCTTCATTGTCTCGGGCCTCATGAGCAAGGAAGTCGGACACGACATACTAATCAAACAACCCAAGACAATAAACCTGCGGCCCTCCCCCGCCCCCGGAGACAGAGCGCACTCTCTAGTCAAAGTCAGTCGCAAACGAGACAGTCCGAGACAAATCTGTGCTGGGACATCCAGCTGCAGAGCTCGCTGCTCGCAACGCTCTCCCCAGAACTGCGGGTCATGGTCTGGGAGCAAGTCCTCGGCGGCATGCGCATCCACATTATCCAGCGGGCTGATAGACGGATGGGCCATATTGTCTGTCCGGCCTTGGAGGCCTGCGATATCTGCCGCGGCGGGCTACCTCCGTCTTGTTGCAAGGAGTCACGGCCGCATATCCCGGGCAGCGGCCTTCTTGCTCTTCTGTTGACATGCAAACAGATGTAAGCAGCAAGCCAACTCTCCATACCTATCTATGGCCAAGCTAACCATCCCAGCTACTCGGAATCAATCCACCTCCTATATACTCTCAACACCTTCGAGTTCAGCAGCACCTGGTCACTCACTTACCTCCATCCCACAATCCCCGCAGACCTCTGGGACTCCATCCGCGTAGTCGAGCTCAGCTGGGCCTTCCCGGGCCACTGGCTACCAAGCAAAGACCCCGTCAAGTCGGTATATTTCTCTGCAGGACGCCAGCAATGGATCGATACCTGCTGCGCTGTCTCCCGTATGAAGAGCCTGCAGTCATTCACCCTGCATTTAAGCGGAAGCTGGTTCAGCGAACCCGTCGAGAAACTCCCTGTGTTTCTAGAGCCGTTGCGCAGCTTGCATCTAAGACAGAAGTGGCAGCTGCATCTGCCGAGGCAGCCGTATTATGTTAAGGAGATTCGCAACATTGATAGCGATTTAAAGAAGAGGGGGATTGATTGTGTGGTGCAGGCTACTTAATAAATGCAGTCGGGCATTTTTGGCGGCGAGGCATATGTCCTTGGTAGCCCCTGTGAAGTAATCGAGTTATGTGACAAATACCTAGCACAACCTCGCTGGATATAGATAGTGAGATACTTGACGAGGAAACATTATTCCTATAAGTAGAGAATCAATGGTGCTTATAAGGAGTAAAGAAAGAATAAATTCTGAAGATAATGGTTGTTTGATACTGCAAAAATGCCCTAACCTGAGCCAGCCAGGCCACTAACTAACCATAGGTAATGAAACCAGAAATAAATCCGGCAATCGATCCCACATATATCCTATAGTCCTTGCACCCATTAAGACAATGGCTGTCTTAAAAGAGACGAGCAAAAGCACCCGGCAGAACGGTAACCCTACTTTACGTACCTAGAAGGCCTGCCACTGGCCGGTACGCTTTGGGCGTTCCCATACAGTCTACCGAGGAAAAGAACAACCGAGGAATAGAATACCAGGTGGAGTTGCGCCCTGACTATTGAAAGAGTTGAGACACGAGCCGCTGTCCACTGCCAGTGTCGGTGTTGGTGTCACTGTCCAGGGTCCACGTCAGTCCACCAGTCCACCAGTCCACCGCGGGGAACTGAGACTAAGACACGGGTACGTACTACTATACTGAGTTGTCATGCAAGTTGCAACGGTCCACCATCTCGTGGAGAAACGACGAAAGGGGAAGACTACGTAGGCTACGCAGACCGACCCAGGAATTGCTTGGTTAGGACGCTGTTACAGGAGACTAGACCCGACTACGTAGATGTGATTGACGCTCATTCCAAGATTTCCAAGATTCAAAACGATCAACAAGCATTCTAATAACCAATTCCAATTGTCTCGCCCAATCACTTCCACAAGGAACAAACTCTTCAAGTCAGCTGGATGAAGATGGAAATCTCATTCCAGTCTCCAGTCTCCAGTTCCCACTTCCCAGTCACCACCAGGCCAGTCCAAGTCCACGACCCCTGACCCAGAAAACCAGTACTCCAGTAGCCCCGTGTTCGTAATGAGACAGACTGGAGGACGCGTGCGAAGCCCTGTCGATCCCCGGGTCTCGCGGGCTCGGGGCCTCGGATGGTCTTGATCCGTGCACCCGACAAGCCTGAAAAGCCTGAGGTGTGATTGAACAAGTTCGAACTTCGAAAAAGCAATACAGCCTTGAAAGGCTGGACCAGACTCGGGTGCACTAATCCCAAAAAAGACGCTGTGTGGTTGTTGTTTATTTATAGGAAGAGGGCGCGCCAATCAGGGCGGGTTGTGACTGGTGGGAACGCGGGGAAGGCGGGCGAAGTCAATTCAGCGTATTATTTCATTCTGGTATTCAGCATGCAGGTGAATATTCAGTGTGCGCTGCTTCCGTCCTTCAGCTGGGTTGAGATGTTAGCCAGCTCAAGGTTATTCTTCGCTCGAGTAGACTACACTAAAGAATGAGGGTGCCTGAATCCGCCTGAGGGTCGAGGTGAGACAGTTTGGCGCAGGATCGCCCATCGCAATTAAACCTGAATCAGTGGCAGACACGCCGGCACTCAGGGTCTGCCCCACTAAGGGTTGTTATGGTCGGGGCCAATTTTTCATGTCTGTATCAACTGTATGTATTGTTGTCCACGTATTTTCTTGGCTATGGACTGCAGCGCCTGAAATTCAAAATGGCTTCCAGGTATAGTGCAGATACAACAAAAACAAAACGGAAATTGAAGGTGAAGGAATGATGATGGTCCACCACGGATTATAAAAAGTGTAAAAACCAAAATATATCGCTGTGCGCCCCTATCCCATGCCGAAACCCAACCATGAGATGATGACCGATTATATTGTGCATTTTGCAAGTAAATGTCGTATGCCATGTAACCATGAGTTTGAAGTGGTGATAAGAGAAGGAAAAAAAAAAAAGAAATGATTCAGAGACTGAATGAGACCAATGAGAAATGAGAATGAGGTATCATCACAATAAGGAAATGGTAGAGAGACCGTAAAGATGAGTTTGTAAAGATGAGTTTGTAAAGATATGAGTTTTGAGTTATGCGTTGTGGTGAAAGTCCACGCTGAAAACCTCGAGTCAACTGCGTTTATGCGACTCGGGTCATAGCTGAGAATGGATGCTCCATGTTATCGTGTTCATCTGCGAATTCGAATAGAATTGGCATCCCCCAAATAACAGGTGCAGAGCTTGGTGGGTTCGATGGTACAAAATTCGATGATGAGCTGAGGCCCAGCCATAAGCGTGATCATCAAGTGGTTACACATCGCACGCTTCAGCCAGATTTTTCGTGTTTTAATCGGTCGGACAGTGCCTTCAGTAGGCGAAGCGGTGAAAGGCTGGCGGGGCAGACTTCACCACCTGGCTCGGCTCTGAGGTGTTCCGACCGCGATGGGTAGGTGACTAAAAGTTTCGTGCTTCAACCACATTATCGGTCGCCCTGTGATCCATCTGGGCCAGAATGGCCTGATCGTTGACGGTTGTTGGCCCAAGCCGCGGGCGTGTCGACCGTTTGCTGTGGCCTCTTCACATCGTCCGATCGGGTGGTCGAGGGGTTGAGTGCAAGGTTGTTCAATTCGGCGGCGAGGGAGCAGACAGTGTACATGCGTAGTTCCCGTTCTTCGCGCTCATCTTCCTTGAACAATCGTCGCTGCTCCTCCTTCGATCGACCTTCACGGCGCATTTTTCGGATTTCTTGAATAACCCACACAAGCACCTCTTCCGAGACACGCGCTCGGTGCGCTCCGTGTTTAGCAGGGCTTCGAACATATCGGCGGGTGACATCCGTGGCGCCGTCAATGGAAAATGCAACACAGTAGGACATTTTGCGACCCCATCCTATAACAAGATTAGCACATAAACCCAAAAAAAGAAGCAATGGCAGCGCAAGACAAACCTTCAGCATAGAGGCGAGGCTGATCCCACGTCTCTTCGCATGCATCTACATGGATCCAGCGTCGCTGGTGCTCGGAATAGACCTCCGTCCACACGTAATCCTCCGAATTCCACACCCAGCGTACACGCCCACCAAGTGCTCGGCAGAACATGCTGAAGCAGTTTGCCCACTCTCCTACACGGCCTCGCCTGGTTTGTAGCAATTGCCATACGTCGGAGTAGCGGGGGAATCGCTCGTAGGCGAGACAGTTTTGGTCTGCACATTGGTATAATTCGACTCGAGTGGCTCCGCGGGCGGCCTCGTCCTGCGTAGGAGGGGCTCGACCGCGGGCAATCGTCGGCAATGTGCAACGCGAGCAGGGAGGATTGTTGACCCATTGGAAGAAAGACCGCTTGAACCATCTACATATGGAAAGTTTAGTTAGTCAGGGCCGAACTTAAATGCGGAGGAAGAAAGAAAAAAAAAAAAAAAAAAAGGTGGTTGTTGACATACCTTAATAATGCCCTAATGACGCAGTCCTGGTAGCCCCATTCGGGCTTTCTCCTGAGGCTTCGTGCTTGCGCCTGGATTATTTGACTCTCCTCGTCCGCTTCCGAATACAGCTTGTCGAGGGGAATCATGGCAAGAGCTTCGTCCAGGAGACCGGGGTTTTCGTACTTTGTTGGCGTCACGGACAGGACGTGCAGTAGATTTCGAAATTTTAATCCGTTTTGATCTTGCGGGGGATGAGGAACGACGGGGAGATTCCGTAGTGATGGCGATGGGGGTTGCGACTGTGGTGGTGGTGGTGTTGGCGTTGGAGGTGCTTGCGAGGGATGAGGAGGTTGCGACCGAAAGGGCGATGGCGACGGGGATTGCGTGCGAGAACGAGACCGGTTCTTCTCTACCAGACGGTCGAATCTCTTGTGGCGCATCAGTTGCTCAAAAGCGTTGGTGAGTTGGGCTGCATCGAAGGCATCGGTGGTTGGCGCCCGCCGGCCATGGTGATGCCTGCCATCGGCCATGGTGAAGGGGGTCAGAGAGACCAGCGGCTGGCTCGAACGCTTTGAATCTCCAGGGTGAGTTGGAATCGGGTGGTCTGATGGTCGTCCGTTGTCTGACTTGTATTAACGAGCGACGCAAATCGACAAGGCCGATTAAGGGACCGAGGTGAGGGTGAGAATGGTCGGACGTTGATGGGATAATGATCAGGGACAGAGCGAGACTTGGGAGAGTTGAGGATAGTCACACACACAGCCCAGCCAGGCGGTCACTGGGCTGTGCTTGGCATTAATCAGCGTTCTCGTACGGTAACTGGGCCGCAATGTTACCGCTAGCGACCGATCTGCCAAAAATAACACAGATGCTGCGGTCGGCGCTACACTCGACAGGATCGCGATTTCTCGACGGACAAGAACGAAACAAAAAAGCAGACGTCTCGAGGCGAGAGTTGAGGCCGAGAAAGGTCGTCAAAAGAGCGCAGAGCTAAGGAGAAGAGCCGGGACAGCAGAAAAAGAGAGGCCTGGCAGGCGCGAGATTGCAGCAGCATCCACGCCAGCAGTCCAGCGAAGCGTCGTCAGCCTGGGGCTGCTCCCCCAATCAGCGCCCCGCCACCAACACAAGCCGCGTGTGTGCCGCCCCGAACGGGTTTACGCTCCTGGCCAAGATCCCTTCTGCTGCCCGGCTCATGGCCCTGCGATTATAGAGAGCTACATTACCATTTCCTGTCCCAGTGTGCCTGAACTCTGATCCTGAGGATTCGTCGCGATTGCTTGGCGTTCTCTGCCGCTGTTACCTGCGCAGTACGTGCCTGTACCGACTGGGCCTGCTCAAATCAAGGACGTGCACGCTGCGTCGTAGACAGCTCTTCACTTGCGGCTCCAGGGTCGTCGCTCTACGGAGGATTTACCCAGTGATGTCGTTGCGTCTCCACCCGCTATGCGAATAAGGCCCCGTCATATTGGACGCTTGAACAGTTGGTCGTAACTCTTGCACGGCGTACGAAAGCTTCCTCCACAAGCTGATGTAGTCTACGTGGTGATGCACTGGAGAGCTGATATCCGGTCTGCGCTGCATGGTGCAACAATTCGGATTTCTCAGAGCGACGGCAAGATTCCCAGCCCTAGGAATACAGGCGATCATCGTCATTTCCCACCGGATGCGTGTCTGGGCACGTCTCCGCGGATGAAAGACTCATCTCTGATCCGTACACTCACTTAGAATTACGCGGCTCCCGATCAGCAGGGAAATGTCAAGTGTCACCGATTTACCATCTCAGCCAGTCAGTTTCTACAGTGCAGATTTCTCTCAAAGTCTGGTTCAAGACAACGGGATATGGTTCGGGTCACTCGGAGATATGTCGCGGAAAACTGCGAAATTTCCCAACCCGGTAATAAACTCGCTGTCAGTGGGTACGAGCTTTTCTTCCTGCCTCCGGATGACGAATCCCGACCGAAGCGGTTGAGGTATCCACGAAGAAGGCTGTTCGGAGTCACTACCGGCAGACTCATGGCTACTAGTATTTTCGTAATCCTGCGTGATTGCGAGAAAAATTTTGAGCGATTGCACCTGCAGACACCTTTGCACCTGGTGAAATCTGCTGAATACACTTCAATAACAACGGGAAAGGCTGGTGTCATGTGGAAGATGAGGATGATCATGGCGATCGAACCTTGAATCGGGTCTCCTACAAGAATGGCTTCAGCCTTCTTCCTCACGCTTCACCTGGCTTTCGGTCCCAAATCTGTATGCCGCTGAGCAAAATTTTGGTGTGGCCTCAGGAGGACACGCGGCACCTGCAATCCTTGAACCCATAAATCCGCATCTCCACCCGTCCAGTTCAGAAATTTTTTTCCTCATGAAGAATGAATGCATGTATAAATTGCATTTTTAACGCTCTGCACTGAGTTTGCAGTTCCGAGGCACAGGGTGACAGGATCGCCACTGGGTTCGAAGAAGCAAGGCAGGTGTTGAGCGAACCCTGGATTACTTCAAGATGATGTCGAGCGGGCTGTCTCACATACCGCGCAAAGCAGCAACGAGTCCCTCGCAGTGGCCGCAGTGGAATGATGTGGCGGAGACGCGCAAGCGTCCGTCTTGGCACTGAACAAGATCTGGCTAGAGCTGGCCATGCGCTCCACTGCGCTAGTCCAATTGCGGCCGATCAGCGCTGTGTCACGGGACTCTTGGATGGACCCTTCAGGTTCGTCTTGTTCGCTTCTTTCGTGCAAGGTTTCATACCTGTGTCCGGTTGGCCTCTGCGCAGGGCCAGACCGATCCATCGTTATTCGCCAGTTCTTACAAGATGACTGCTGGGCTGGGGAACTGGTGACTTCACCCCCATCAGGGAGAATAGTGGAAGTTCAACGACTCTCGTGGACGGTGTCAACTACGCGAATCGACGGGTGTTTTACCTCGAGTCTCGACCCGACCGGGTCAAGCTGATTGGCACTTCAAGCTGCCGAGGTCGATATCTGAAGCTGCCCAGACCTGCCTTAACATCCATGATCCAAATTCCAGAGATGTCGCACCATTTGCCATCTTAACTATCTCGGCAACCTTGCCTGGAATTGGCTTCATTCTTTGTGTATTCGAATCTTCGAATTGCTTCAAGGAATGTCCGATGTTGTCACTCGTGCCACCCGGAAATCCAGGTTACATCGAACTCGCCTTCAAGAGGGACCCCTGTCTCAGCCACGGGAAATGCACGCCAGGCCCCCGGGCTCGATCGATCTTGGTTCTTGAACCCTCAAATCTCCGCGTTTTCCCCGTGGTCTGGAACGGTCCAACTCGTCTGCTGCACGTCGGTAACCTGATCAGAGGACCTGCTTCTGTTTCTGTGCAGGAGCAGAAGCGGGCATTATGCCCTTCGCCCGTAATTCTGTCGGTAATTCTGTCCGTAGTTCCGTCCGTAGCCCTGCGTTCGCAGTTTCCTATTTGGATCCGGGATGCTCTCGAGTTCAGGTATCGAGTCTGTTAACTGACCTGTATGTCGGGGTTAGCGGGCTTGTCGCTGCCAGCTGGGCTGATTTTATCTCGCAGGCATTGAGATATGGTCCTGCGTGCAGCTCCGTTCTGGTTTCTGTGTTCCTTTGTGGAGTGGTGCTTTAACAGCGTTTTGCATGCTGACCGAGTAGTCATGTCTGGAACTCGCAAGTCTACTTATGGCTACAACTATGTCAAGTAAATGAAGAGTGCATGATAGTGAAGTCTTGGACCGTCGAAGCACATATTATCAATCCTGCTAATATAATTCTCGATGTCTGGTAGAATTGCGAAATTTGAATAGCGCCACCAATCGACAAAGGTGGTGTGACGACCGGATGGTTGTATACTGGAGTCGACCGGAACCAAATCATCCGATTGCTTGCTGGGTTGTTTTTTGCTGCGATATGCTATTCTGTAGATGAAGAAAAACAATTTTTATCATCTATAGGCATAGAAACAGGTGTACGATAATATTAAACTACATGTATACAATAAATATATTTTCGACTAGACCGCACCGGTACACCGTCAAGCCGAATCTCACCCGAACCAACTCGCCATCCAATAGACCGAAATACGGAGAGCATGAGATAAAACTTCCCAATGATATCTCGGAAGATTGGTAGCTCCAAGAGTCGAGATGAACTGATGTCGTTTTGCTTAGAATCGGGGTGATTGTATTGGGTGAACGGCAGAGCTTCTGATTGGCGAATGGGCCGCGCGCGCTCCAACCACGACGCCAAAAGACACGAGCTGAGCGTTTGACCTTGTATCGACATCACCACTGGAGGCCTGGCTGCTTTCACCTGTCCCATCTATTCACTCTTCCTTATTTTGTCCTGTTTCGGTGAACCCTCTGCGCGAGCCCCCCCTCCTCCGCATCTAGCTTCGCCCGTAGCCTGGGCGACGACGACTGCAACCACAACCTTAACCTCAACTTAGCTCCGAGCTCCGACAACTAACTACCTGGGCCGACCTCCAACTTCCCCCATCATCCCCTCCATACTACGCCCAACGCACGCATATTTATCTGGTTGTTTATCTCCAAGCTTATCCTACCACCCTGCACTGTTCGACCCATCTCCATCAGCCCACCGTCTTCCGGGGGCCCTGTCCTCATCATGAAAGCTACTCCGCTGCTCATCGCGTGGCACAACGACAACGCTCCCATATATTCAGTCCATTTCGATCCCAATGGCAAGGGTCGTTTGGCTACAGCTGGAAAGTAGGTTCTCTGATATCCCCCAAACCGCTTGTGCCGCGAGCTAATCTCTTTCCGCCTCAGTGATAACAATGTCCGCGTGAGTTTGACTGCTACCCCACCCGATGATCCCTTTGCCGGCGCGATGACTCTGACCTGCGAGAATATAGCTGTGGAAGGTAGATTCAGTTGGCCAGGAACGAAAAGTGGCCTATTTGAGCACATTGGTGAAACATACACAAGCTGTCAATGTGGTCCGATTCAGCCCGAAGGGTACGGTCCTTGGAGCGAATACATCCCTTGCTATCTTATTCTAATACCGTCTAGGTGAAATGTTGGCGTCGGCTGGGGACGACGGCAATGTACTGCTCTGGGTGCCCTCGGAATTGCAAACACAGCCAGGACTAGGAGAAGATCGGACGGACGACAAGGAAACATGGCGTGTGAAGCACATGTGTCGGTCTTCGGGTGCGGAAATTTATGACCTTGCCTGGTCTCCCGATGGTGTTTTTATCATCACGGGGAGTATGGATAATATTGCTCGGATTTATAATGCACAAACTGGTACGATAGATTGTTTCTATGGGAAGTGCAAGAGCGGTTACTGATTTTGAATGTGACAACCAGGCCAAATGGTGCGGCAGATTGCTGAGCACTCGCATTATGTTCAAGGAGTAGCCTGGGATCCGCTTAACGAATTTGTCGCGACACAATCATCCGATCGATCTGTCCACATTTACAGCCTGAAGACGAAGGACGGCCAGTTCACTCTCACCTCACATGGGAAGTTTCTCAAGATGGATTTACCAGCACGGCGCATCTCGCGTGGCAGCCCTGCTCCTCCAGATCTCTCTATTCGATCCCAACCCGCTACTAGTAATTCCGTCGCCGTTGCTTCACCTGCTCCTTCGACCCCAGGGACACCGATGACATCGCACCTACCTATGGACCCCCCTCCAGTGTCGCACAGCCGGAGGTCCTCCTTCAGCTCCTCACCAAACATCCGCCGCTCCGCTTCGCCAGCTCCGTCTCTACCTCTCCCCGCAGTTAAGCCTCTGGAAGTGACGTCTCCGGGTCTGAGCGGGCTTGGAGTCAGGAACGCCAACATATACGCCAACGAAACATTTACTTCTTTCTTCCGGCGACTAACTTTCACGCCCGACGGAAGTTTACTTTTCACCCCTGCAGGCCAGTACAAGACGTCGCAGGTTTCCCCAACAGATCCTGGGAAGACAGTGGACGAGGTTATCAACACAGTCTACATCTATACGCGGGCGGGATTCAACAAACCGCCGATTTCGCATCTGCCGGGTCACAAAAAGCCCTCAGTTGCGGTAAAATGCTCGCCCGTTTTTTACACTTTACGGGAGAACCCAGAACCATCGAAGCATATCACCCTGGATACTTCAACGGGGGAAGATGGTTCAGCTACTAATGATGCGGGGGCGAGTGGTCCGAGCGATAGCTCTACCAAGGAGTCGGCACCGAAGTCTGGCACTGGTGACGACTCTAAAACGGCGGCGAATCAACTCCCACCTCCTGTATTTTCTTTACCTTATAGGGTCATCTATGCGGTAGCCACACAAGATGCCGTTTTGGTGTATGACACGCAGCAGCAGGCGCCGCTCTGCGTGGTGAGCAATTTGCATTTTGCTACGTTTACAGATCTAACCTGGTCAGTATTACTCGACCACTCTGGAAAATGGCCACTAACAATGACCAGGTCGAATGACGGCTTGACTTTAATCATGAGCTCGTCTGATGGTTTCTGCTCTACTCTCTCTTTTGCTCCAGGTGAACTGGGACAACCTTACACCGCGCCAATAACCGCACCACAAACAACTGGCACTTCTGCACAAACAACGTCAACTTTACATACTCCAACGGACCCGACGAAGGCCCCTGCACACGCAGTTCCACCGCCACCCGCAAGCCCCGCGCGCTCAAATTCAGTATCATCCGTCACGACGCAGCGCGCCTCGCAGCAAGCGGAAACCGTAGTCAACAACCCAACCCCGACTCTTGGAGCGGTGCCGCTCGTAACCGCGACACATTCCGCGCAGCCGCCGGCAACTCTTCCCCTCACGACACCGCCTGAGACACCACTGTCAACAGCATCCCAGGGCGAGACCAGCAACGCCAGCAGCACGGTCCTAGGAAAGCGAAGCGAGTCCGAAAAGGAGGAAAGCCAGGACCCTAACTCAGCTGAGCAGACACAGCTGCCAAAGAAGCGACGAGTAGCACCGACGCTGATTTCAACAGGGACAGACTCAGCCTCAAATGACAGGCCCCCTAATACGGATGTCGGGGGTTAGTTGTGAAGGCTCACCCAGTTGCATTTTCTCCATGGTATCTTTGCATATCGTTTAAATCCATCCATCTGTACTGTCGATGATATCTTGATGAATCATGTGGCTCCTTTTGTTCCGGTGGCGTCAATCCAATCTCTTGATACCTTGTTTCATATCGGAACCTGCTCTTTCTTCGCTGGCTGTTCTTTTGGTAGAGTCACTTAGGCACCGAAGTATTCAGATCAAGATCTTATGTAGACGCTTGTAGCTTGATTTGATCATATCATCCGTCTATGGTATACATTACTTGAGGTCACGCTCTGATGTTTATTCTTTTGCTGTCCTCTGAGTATACGATGAGGTTGACGTACCCCGTCAATATCATGAGGTACTATTTGATATACCGAATTAGAATCATATCCTGCTCAATGTCCTTTGCCATTGCCACCACTGTTGAGGCTAGAAGAACATTCTCGTCCAGTAGATTCAAGACATAAATCGTAACTTCATTGGGCTGGGATTGTGCCCTAACAGAACAATAATATGGTATATACAGTACACCCAAATACAGCGCTCAAAACTCCAATTCCTCAACCTCCATCCCACAATCCACACACTTCTTCGTTCCAATTCCCGTCTCGGGATCCTGTATTGATCTCCCCCACTGATGTACATGCCTCCCACCCCTCCCAATCTCATCACCAAACGTCCCGCCCGCAGCACCCTGTCGATTTCGTCGATACGCTTCAACCCGTGTACGCTTCTTAAGGTCGTCGAGTTTTGTCTTGAATTTTGCTTCGCGCCGTCGCTTTTTCTCGTTTTCTCGTCGTTCGAACTCTGCGTCTAGGGCTTCTGGTGAACCCCATTTTTTGGGCGAGAATGCGTATTCTTCGACTTGGTAGCGCAGGTATAGCATCATGTTATTCCATGTTGATTTGTGCGGATTTGGTCGTTCGAGATGGGGCAGCAGTTCTTCGTCGCGGAGCTCAGCTATAGACCCAATAGTCAGTACACCATGCCATACTATGCCATATACCGGTTAAAACGGAGGGAAACTCACGATCCGTCAGAAGATAATCCTCCTTCGCCTCCGTCTTCGTCAAAAGACTATATTTCTCCGGAAACTTCTCCTTACAGGCATGACAAACCCGACACTCCAACTCCTCCTCCCACTTCCAATCAATCTCCAACCCTCCACACTCGCGACAAGCCTTCTGCTCGCTCTTCTCATCCAACACACTAATCCCAGGCTCAAACGGCCCCGCCTTATCCCGCCGCAACGACCGAAGCAGCTGCTCCCTCTCCCACTCCTTCTGCGTCATATGCGCTGGCTTCTGATCCTCCCCATCCTTACCATCCCGGACATGCAGGGCCTTGTTAAACGGATCATCCTCCTCCGCGAGAAACCCACCTTTCGTATCAGTCATCTTGCTAAAGTCATACTCGACGAATTTCGTGAAATTGCGCGCCGGCTTTATGGAGTTGAGCGGTCCGTTTGCGTCATTATTGTTCGCATCGCGAAGTGTAGATGGTGTTTCCGAGGCGCTGGATGTAAGTGACGAGTAGGACCGTTTCACGCCCTGTGTTGCTGTTGGTGCCCCCGAGGATCTGGTAGAGCCTGCGCCAGCTCGCGCCTCGGCTTCGCGCTGCTCTCGGATGGCCTTTGCTTTCATGCGGTTGACTTCCTGGTAATGGTTTTATCTTAGCTTGCGCTCATTGATTGTGGCGCTGTGGGGTTGGATTTTGGAGGGAGGGAGAGAGGTGAGATACTTACGATTCGCTTTAGTTGCTCGGGTGTGAGTTCAGCCCGCGTCGGACGTGCCGGTGGAGGCGGTGGTGTTGAGGGTCGGTCGTCTGCCATGATTTCGAGGATTTTTGGAGAGTATGTCTGGTTGGGAGGTGTGAATGACGAGGTTGAAGAGCAGCTTCTTGTGTCAGAGGTAGAGCCGCTTCTTTGAAGGCTTATCGATAATAAATGTCACGTGGCGATAGAGACAAGGCTAGTCCTAATTTGGGGCGGGCTTGGTGGGCTCAGTCGGGATTGGTCCGATCTCGATCAGATAACTGGGATACCTGTGATACTGAGAGAAGGATTCCAAAATGCAAGTAATTCTATAATAGGTGACGTATATAGGAGCTAGGCTGTTATAAGCAGTGTGACAATAGCGAATAATATCGGTGCTACCAAAACTATCTCTTGATTTCACATCCTTGCCGGTATCAAGAAATAGCTTTACCACTGTCTCATGGCCAATGCAGCAAATGCCAGTGATGTAAGGCCATTAAGACCTTTGATATCGATCTCTTTTTCAAACCCCTCCGCAAGCAATAAATTGAAGATATGTGCTTACCCCAAACATGATACATGTAACATCCCGAGAATTATTGCTGGCGTGGTATTTCCGAGTAGTTTGAAAATATGTTCCCTCAGATTTCGCCGCATACACTAAAGCGAATAATCCTGAATCGGAGAGTAATAGCCTTCATCTTCGGAATACTCTTCATGCAAGAGCAGGCTATATTCATGGTCGGATATCTGTTTTTACCCAATACTCCAAGGGAAAAGCATGTCAAGCAAATAGAGGCCATTGTCTCATGAGTCTCAGCAAAATATTCGCGTTCGTCCTCCTTGAAGTACTCTTGCGCTGTATAACGGACTAGTAGGATAATATTACCCCTTTGTCAACGGTAAGAAGACCAGCACAGATCGAAAGAAGGTATATTGACGTGTTCATAACTTAGGACGAGCTATTCATGAGGCGGCCCGAATATATCCTGCAGGAGCATTGGATCCCAAAACTCATTAAGCTGGATCCATGGCAAGTCAGTACAGGAAGATGGCAAATATCTCAAAATGAAACAGGCGGAAAACCTACAAAGCCATCAGTCGAGTCAGGCGTCACCCACGGGAACGATGAGCTGGGCATTGTCAGCCCCGGAGACCCGATGTCACCACCAACAGCAGCACCACCACCACCATGAGACCCCTCGACGCGAGTACCGCCTGGAGACGGATTAGGAATACTCGTGATATGAGATCCGTTGGGCGTCGGGGCGAAGTGAATAGTCCGGATCGTTTTATGATTCTGGCCGGCGCGCTCGATGAGTCTGGTCCGCCAGCCGAGAAGCTCGACGTCTTCACTTTCTTCTCGTTCTTCGCGGCTTCGGTGTCTGTCTGAATTATGGTCATGGTCATTATCTTGCTGGGAATTGTTGTTGTTAGTATGTTGTTGTGGAGTTGATGCTTTAGAGATCTTGGATGAGGCCCTGGCGCGGAGTTTCATGAGCCATTGTAGATTGCGGTTGTAGCGGGGGGTGTTTGCGCCGTTTCGGATTAGGGATGTGAAGAGATTGATGGCGGCATCGATCTGGCTTAGCACAAAGGTGCCCATGGGATTGCTTGGGTCGCGCAGGACTAATGTCCCTAGGCATAGGGCTGAGCCGAAGACGTGATACTAGGGAGTATGAGATTACTTCTCCTTATCTGAGAGAACAGTGCAGTTGCTTACCCAAAAGTTCCATTGCCTTGTACTAACAGCAGGAAAGCGAGTATGGATGTCGTTGACAATGGCGATAATCATCTAGACATGTTAGGCTGCTGCTGTGGGATGATGAGTGGATAGGCTTACTGCACAACGTTCTATAACAGTCAGAAATGACGGTGCGTATACAGACTTGACACGGTCATCTATTTCTTCGTAGAGCGCTTTAGCATAATACGGCCGATGGAGGTTAATTATTGTCTCGGAAATATTGAGCGCAAGATTCGATTGCTAACCAAGTCAACTTGATTCCAAGGGTGGCAGGGGACAGGACAGAGAGACACACCTGGAAAGAAATGGTCATTGACCGCCGTGATGGTTCTGGGGATGCTGCAATGGCAGCTTCGAACTGAGGGTACCGAGAGGGCATTGACAGCAACGCGGTTCGGCATCGAAGGGAGAAGGGAAGATTGCGTTCGAATTCGCAGCTATACAGAGTCAGTTTGCGAAAGAGTCTTGATAGTTGAGACCTTACAGTCTGACGTCTAGACCGATGACATCGGAATACGCGGGCTTGCGCACTTTCATCGCCATGTTGAGAATCCTATATGAAATTAGCTACTGCATGCTGCAAGTCTAGCTTGGGGTACACACTCGGACGACAACTGAGAAAGTTCAAACCGGAGAATAGAATAACTCTTCTCCCCGCTAGCATTCGGCGGCTCAGACGGAAACACGACATCGCAGTGGTCGGGATTGACAGCACACCTTGTTGACTTAGTTAAGCTCTATAATGTATGAAGGGGGGCATACGGTCTTGAAAAGCAATGGGCCTGGAAAGTATCGGCGGCATTGCACTCCCAGAAGACCTTGCGTCTTTCCTCGACCACATCGTGTGGCAGATTCCAACAGGCACCATCTCGATGCATGCCCATCTATGTAACGAATCAGTTTGATGTTGATGCCACAAGAATATTAGTAGTGCCTACTGCCTGCACTAAGCGCATCACCAAGCCCCAGAGCGGCCAGGCAATGTCACCGCGTTCGCCCTTGTCTAACTGCCTATTCATATGTAAGCGACGAAGAAGCTCTGAGTCAGGTTACACACAGATGCATATGCGCCATTAGATGCTAGATACATTAGCGCAGGATCAGCACAAGAGTCTCGAAAACTCACCAGTGTTTGGAGTCCGGCGACCATGTTATTTGATAAAAAGTTGCCCTCGACCAAAGCGCGTTCCGAAAGGTGTAGCCAGTCCTCGGCAGACGGGTCATAGTTGGGCATCTCGATATTGTACAAGGTACCTTGAGCCATGATGATGAAAACGAGGGCAATTTCTTGAGGATTGACGCGGGGTGACAATGTGCCCCCTTCTGACAGTTTATAGACACGATTAAATGTCTTTTCGAACATGGGTTTGGGAGCAACATCATGACTGCATTTCGTTAGTGGTCCATTGGCATCACATCTAAAAGATAGACACCCACTGCCAAGCACAATAGCGATAGTACGACTCAGCTAGTGTCCAGGCCTCTTCCCTGGGAGGCAGATGAGAAAGCAAGTCCTGGGTACTAGTACCGGCCGCTGACGTGCTGAACGGAAAAGCAATGGCGGCAGTGCCAAAGGTTGGATGGCTGGCCTGAAGGGAGGCTGCCGACTGAGGTACTTTCGGAGAGGGAGGACGAGTGGCCGAAGGTGAGTCCGTTACGATTTGCGTTTCCGACTGGGGCTACTTAGCACTGAGCGCCGTTAACAGCAGGAAACATACATCTTTCAACCATTCACTGCCTGCTGTAGGACCGAGATACTTGGATCGACCCCCACTGCCCAGCATCAACGTGCCGTGAGAGCCGCTCTGCTCGTTGACACCGCCAGGGTGGAAGCTGCTTCCGCTTGGATTGCTGTGCCAGGACCCAGAAACTCTGTCTGAGGGCAGCAAGGGGTGACTTTGGACGGTCTCCGGCTGACGTCCGGGAGTGAGAAAGGAAATACCTTCAAACTCGTCTGGGTTTTCATTATGTATAGGAGTATGGCCTGAACCATGCCGAAACCCCTGGGGCGATACAATTGCCTGTGCATTAAACTGACTTTGGGACGGATCATGCTGATGCGGTAGCTGTCCTTGCTCTACCGGCTGGTGCCTGACATCAAGAGGAGGTGAGCTGCTAGGAAGATGTTGGGTAGGAGGTCGCGGCTGTAGAGCTCGTCCAGCGTCTCGAGGCTGACTAGCACTCACATCGGATGCTCTCCTTTAAGACCAACTTAGCTCAATTCATACTAATTATGACGGAGAACAAACCGAGGAGGTGTCTCGTTGGTCGTAACCTTTGTGCAGAATTCAATGCGGTGGCGCCGGACACAGTTCGAGCACGGCACTGAGACATATGTGTTCAGCTTGTATAGTTCAAGCCAGTGGCTGCATAAGGCGTGACTAACCCTCCCGATCACATTTCATCTTCAGACGACGACATTCTACATATCGAATGTCAGTCCGTTGCCCTTGCGTCTACGCTGCAGCTGCATGTAGACTCACCTGCACAGCTGTGAGAAGGACGTTGTCTTCGCTGCTTCTTGCGGGGTCTCGGGCCCTCGCCAGCACCGCCAGCCCCATCACCATGCGGACGGTCAGCGACACTGTCCGATGGAGTCGATTGGCCCGGTCGTGGTCTGATAGCCATCATACGATTCGACTCATCGTCCATGAGCAAACGCGGGGGATCGGAGATGATGAGAGAGACAACGGGGTGGAGTCCGGGGAATTGGGGCGTTTATCTCCGGTCACGTGCAACACCCTACCCTAAGCCCGGATTGGTCATACCATCCCGGGATTAGGGCCGATGAATCGGACATAACAAACATGAGGGGTGGTCGAGCTCGAGTCTCTGAAAAAGAGGACGCTGCACTCGAGATGGAGGAGGGGAACAATCCTCTAACATCTTTACTTTGTATCTTCAAGAATGGCTCCAGGACTCGTTGACACCCTCCCGCCTGCCGTCCCTGGCCCCGTCGACACGGGCAGCCTCAAGGCTCAAGTCGCTGTCAACGAAGTGGGCAGTTCGGACAAGCCTCCTGTTGCTGATGACTTTATGTACGACTTCAAGTATAATCACGCTCTTCCCACTTCAGATGTCCTTGCAGTGGAGGTTCCTGCCGACTGTGATGCTCAAAAGTCAGCCGAGGGCATCGTGGCCCTCCTCTCCGAGGCCATGGGGACTGGCAATGCGCGCGCATTCACAGACTTGTTTTTAGAATATGGTGAGTTCTTTTCAAATGAAAGCCGTGGACACCTCTAACTCCTACGCAGGTGTCTGGCGCGACAAGTTATCGTTCACCTGGGACTACCGCACCTTCAACTTCCAGCCCGCGATCTTGAAGGCCGCCAGCGACCTCTTCCCCCAAACCAGGGCGTCTAATTTCCAGTTCCTCACGCCGGAACCGACCATTTCCCGACCATACTCGGACTTCTCGCAGCTGCAGTTTATAGTATCCTTTGAAACAGGACTTGTTTTGGCATCGGCTGTCATCAACGCGGTGCTCACAAAGGAGGGCTGGAAGATCTATACCATGCACACGGTTGCAGAAACCTTGAAGCAATTCCCTGAGGTCCCTCCAGCTGATGGCCATATGACTGGTCTCATTGGTTGGGAGAAGCAGAGAGCCAAAGATGTCGATGCTGCTGATCCGGAGGTTCTGATTATCGGCGGTGGCCAAAAGTGAGTCTTCATATATCTTGGTCGTTTATCTACATCTACTGACTTTAATAGTGGACTTGCGCTAGCTGCTCGATGTAGGGCACTTGGTATGAACAGTCTTATTATCGAGCGTAATGAGTCTGTTGGTGATATCTGGAAGAAGCGTTACGAGTATCTATCGCTGCACTTCCCCCACTGGGCTGATGACCTGCCATATGTCCCATACCCTAAACAGTGGCCTACATACACACCCGCCTACAAACAAGGCCTCTACATGGAATGGTACGCCTCAGCGCTAGAGCTGAACATCTGGGCCAAATCGTCAATCGTCAAAGCCGAACAAGACGCCCAAAACAACTGGACCATCGTGGTTAACAAAGAAGGCAAAGAAACCCGAACCCTGCACCCCAGCCAGGTAGTCATGGCCACCTCCCTCTGTGGCGTCCCCATGACGCCCAATATCCCCGGCATGTCCGACTTCAAAGGCACAATCCGCCACTCAACCACCCACGACAGCTCCCGCGACTTCATCGGCAAAAAGGTCTGCGTAGTCGGCACCTCCTCCTCCGGATTCGACACAGCCTTCGACTGTTCCCGGCGCGGAATCGACGTAACCCTCCTCCAGCGCTCCCCAACCTACATCATGTCCCTCACGCACTCCGTCCCCCGCACAATCGGCAACTACGCACCAGACGCCCACGGCAACAGACCCAGCCACGAGGAGCAAGACCGTCTCTTCTTCGCCACCCCCACAGGACCAGGCGAGGAACTCGCCCGGCGCAATGCCAAAGCCCTAGAAGACCTCGACCGGCCGCTCCTGGACGCACTTCACGCCCGCGGTCTCCGCACCTGGCGCGGCCAGCGCGGCACAGGCGGCGCAACGCTCGGCCAGACGAGGAACGGCGGGTTCTATTTCGATGCTGGTGCGTGCGAGCACATAATCAACGGGAAAATTAAGGTAGAACCGGGCTATATCGAGCGGTTCTCGTCCGACAGTAACAAGGTTCTCCTGAATGGGGGTCGGGAGCGTGAATTCGACCTCGTGGTTTTTGCGACAGGGTTCTCGAATACGATTGACTCGGTGCGTACGACGCTTGGAGATAGCATTGCGGACCGGTGTGGTCCGATTTGGGGTATTGATGAAGAGGGCGAGTTCAAGACTGCGTATCGTGAGACGGGCGTGGAGGGGCTTTGGCTTATGGTGGGTTATCTTCCGTATACGCGGTTCCATTCGAAGTTGCTTGCGATGCGGTTGAAGGCGCTGATGGAGGGTGTTTCGCCGGCGCCGTATAAAGAGTAGACTGGTAGATTCAATGCATTTGAAATTTCACGATCTGTGGTGCTAGAGTAACTTAGTATAACCTGCAAAGCCTGGTGCCCTAGGTTCCTTGCAGCGCAAATTCAAGCCCTTCAGTCTGATTTGGGCCTGCTCAAATGAATTAGAACTTTCCCAACGCGAGCTACTCGTCCCACTGTGCTGGCTCTTTAGCGTTTCGTCAAGTAAAATTTGAGTAAGAGACAGTCAATAATGAGTGTACTTCCAGTTAAGAACTGCGAACTGTGCTCTGAAAATACCAGATATGCTGGCACTATAATGGTGACTACCGTGCAATATTGTTGATAATACTATTGTCAGGAACTTTTTATATTGTATAATCTAATAAACTCCTACGCCTTGACAGGTCCATACCAATCTGCAAAACCCAGATCAAACCCCCACAGAGGCGTGTTGATGCGCTTCGCCTTACCCTTCGCAGCAAGACCATCAAGCACAGCCAGATCCTCCTTAGAAAGATCAACCACCTCCTTGTTACTGACAATGCGTTTCTCCGTCACCGACTTCGGAAGCACAACGACGCCTTTGTTGACATGGTAGCTGATGAGGACCGTCGCAGCCGAAACGCCACTCTTGTCTGCAATCTGCTGGATCTCAGGGTCTGACATGATAGGGGCTCCTATAGACAGTTAAAACACAGCCAATAAGCAAATACAATAGTAGATAACTATGGATATTGCATACCAGTAGACCCAAGCGGCGAATACGCCTCAAGCAAGATCCCTAAATCCTCACAATACCGCTTTAACTCATGCTGAGGCAAGAAAGGGTGCAGTTCAACCTGGTTCACAGCCGGAACGACAGTCCATTTCTTGCGCAGTTCTTCCAGATACGGGATGGACCAGTTTGCGACGCCAATGGCCTTGGCTTTGCCGGACTTGTAGACCTCTTCCATCTGCCGCCAGGTTTCGTTCTGGTCCCAGGATCGGTCGACGGAGCGGCTGCCGTCGGGGTTTGTGGGGAGTAGATCGCTTGTTGCGTTCTGGGGTGGTCAGTTCAAGGTTTTATACAGCGTGGAGGTTTAGATAGAGTACCGGGACGAGGCGAACGGGCCAGTGGATGAGCTGTGATACTGTCAGTTCTAAGTGATATACATGTAGTAGATCTTTATGACTTACATAGAGATCAAGATAATCGGTCCCCAACGCATCAAGAGTCTTCTGCAGACCCTCCTTGACGTTGGGCTGGTGCGTATTCCATAGTTTGCTGGTGATGAATATTTCTTCCCGGGGCACGCCGCTGTCCCTGATGCCCTGGCCGACCTCGTTTTCGTTTCCTGGAACAGTTAGAAAGACCAGAGAGTATTAGGTCAGTACAGCTCACCATAAATCCTGCATATTGTTAGCGGGCTCAGATGCTTGGTAGTGCGAAGGCAGGCTTACAGTGCAGCATCAATGTGTCGGTATCCATTTTTAAGAGCAAAGGCCACGGCCTTTGTTACCTCTCCAGGCTCGGATTTCCATGTTCCTGCACTGTATCAGTAATTATATATACACAGTAGACGAATCTGGGACGCACCGAGACCAACGGCGGGGATCAGAGCGCCGGTGTTGAGCTTGAAGTGTGTTGGGGGAGACATCATTAATTTCTTTGGAGAGGTAAACAAGATGAGATGAAATAGAGACAATCAGTGATTTATCAAAATATTTGTCTACTGCTATGATGTCAGGAGATCGGACGAAAGCAGTCGGAACAACCCCGATCGGGCGAAGTTGCAGTTATCCCCGACTGCAATCCTTGCAGCCGACCCCGGTCCGTCTCTACTTAGAACACGCTAATCTATCGCTCCCCTTAGTATACACGCCTATCCATCCAGGTACTCCCTAGTATACAGCCGAAATCAACCATGAGCTACAAGCTTCTCGTATCTGGCGAGCGGGCCAACTTCACCACGCTCGCACTCGACGTGGACAAGAAGGAGCTGCGCCTTCTCGCCAATTACCCAGCCCCCCACAATGCTTCCTGGGTTGAGCCATGCAAGTCGCAAGGGAGCACTGACCGTCTAATCGGGCTTTCCGAAGGCGAGGAGGCTGGTCTGCTGTATACATTCGAAGTTGACCACGAACGCGAGGCGTGTCGGATTACCAGCCAGCAGCCGACCCTGGGGGCTCCGGGTCACTGTAAGTGTTGAAGTATTATTGCTGTAATGGTGCTAACATCGTTAAAATAGTTATTACACTGCGCGATGGTTCTGCCTTTGCGCTCGCTACTGTGAGTCACTCGAAGCCTTGATTATCTCTGCTAACAGCGTCAGTATCTGGGAGGCTCCATTGCATTATATCCCATCAAAATCAACGAAAACACGCCATTTCTGTCAGAATCTCCACGAACAGAAGTCCTACCAGATTTCCCCTACAAATCCGTTGTACATGGTCCCAACGAAGGACGCCAGCGCCAGTGCCACCCACACCAGATCCTCGAAGACCAGCGGGGGATGCTCTATGCTCCGGACCTGGGAGCAGACCGAGTCTGGATCTTGCACCGCAACAGAACAAACCTTGAAATTTGTGGCTGGCTGCAGTGTCCACCGGGGACGGGGCCTCGACATGCCGTGCTAAGCCCGGATGGTACGCCTTCTGCTATCCACAGTTACGACATGAAGTCCGCTAATCGAATGTATAGAAACAATTATCTATGTCATCGGCGAGCTCTCGCATACAGTAATTGCCTTTGATCTATCGTCTACCCCCGCGGAAGGTATCTCGCCCATCGACGGCTTCGCACAGAACATTATACCTCCAAGCGTCAATTCAAACCATCAATTCATGATGGATTCCGCGGAGATCTGTCTACATCCGAGGATACCAAACGTCCTCTACGTTAGCAACAGGTGGGAGAGACACATTGCTCAGCGAGAGCCTCATCTCCAAGACGTTCCCAAGGAACTGCCTCCGGGAGACAGTGTTGCTGTCATCCTACTTTCAGAAAACGGCAGGAAAGTAGAGACTGTTAACCACGTGAGGACTAATGTCGATGTTATCCGGGGTATGCGGCTTAGTGATGATGGGAGGTATGTTGTGGTTACTGGCCAGGAGGGTGGTGGAGTTGAGGTCTACGAGATCAGTGGGCAGAGAGGAGATGTATGGACGCTTGTTGCTGGGCTGAGAGACGGCGGGGCCTTGGAAAGTGGGATTAAGCATGCTGTTTGGTTGTAGACAGAAGTTACTTTAGGTCCCGATTATGGAGAGTATAAGCTGCCAATAGATTTGTCTTGTCTCGTCCGATCTATCTTTATTTAAGTCCGGTGGCAGAGAGTTATGTCCGATGTATACAACGACCCCCACGGTCTGTCCATACCGGCTCTATACACTGGTTCTTTAGAGACAAGAGAACTCTAGGATATACCGTAAACAGGAAATATAGCTGTTCCTTTCTGTATAGCGTAGCACTTCCGAGGAGCGAACTCCCATTCCCTCTAATACCACCAGGGCAATCAGCACAGTGCCAGAGTATTGGCTAGCTCTCACCGGCTTTTCGGGGCAAGACAGACAGGAACAAGCCGGTAAAACCCCGGGTCCATTCGGTGCATCCCACGTCCGGGATGCTGGCTTCCCGTGCCTGTAGCCGAGCTGAAGATATCTACATAGTATCTTTTGACCATAAAGGGTGTTCCTCATTACATGATTCTAAGCTCAAGATAGCTCTATCTCATAGTGTTCATACTATACAGAGAAGAACTGTCTACCATTGCAAAATCTCAAGTCGATAAATGGAGAGGCTGCATAGGATATCCCGACTGTGGGCCATCACAAATGCCTCATGGCAGCCACGTCTCCAATCTCCACGCAGGTTCCGTCATCCACTCTCTCCATGGGGACCCCAAGTCCGACTTCTACCTCTTACCCGGCTAGGGCAAGGATTTACCGTAATGCGTTAGATTCAGCGTAAGAGATGGACAACGGAGACTACTGTATAAGTACCAAGGATGCCCCCTATTCCGACATACCTCTACCGTTCAAGATATCCTCTTTAATCATACTTCCCTTACAATACAAATGGCTAAGCCGGATTCCCTCAAGGAAGACGCAATCGAGGCTGACCTCCAAGGCACCTCGCAACATGCCGAAGACATGACCGCAGACCGGGAGCCCTACGGCCCCCCAGGTCTTCAGGGTCTGCTGCAGAACCCCTTTGTCCTGCTCTGCGCAGCCTGCTCAGCACTCGGCGGTCTCGTCTTCGGCTACGACCAAGGTGTCGTGTCCGTCACTCTGGTCATGAGCCAGTTCCTCGACGTGTTTCCGCGGATCAGCGGTCCGGGCTCTGGATTCTGGAAGGGTCTCCTGACGGCAATGCTGGAACTTGGTGCTTTGATCGGTGCCTTCAACCAGGGCTGGATTGCAGATAAGATTTCCCGCCGGTACTCGATTCTGGTTGCCGTGGGGGTCTTCACTGTGGGATCTATCCTGCAGACTGCCGCCGTCGAGTATGGCATGCTGACCTTTGCTCGCTTCTTGGGCGGCGTGGGCGTGGGCATGTTATCCATGGTGGCGCCGGTTTATATTGCTGAAATCAGTGCGCTCCCCACACCTATACCAATATAATATAACAGGCATCGAACTGATTATCCTCCAGGCCCCCCCGAATGCCGCGGCACCCTCCTCGTCCTCCAAGAACTAAGCATCGCATTCGGCATCGTCATCGCCTACTGGACAACCTTCGGCACACGCTACATGGCCGGCGAATGGGCCTGGCGCCTCCCCTTCCTCCTCCAAATGGTCCCCGGCTTCATCCTCGCCACAGGGGTAATCTTCCTCCCCTTCTCGCCGCGCTGGCTCGCGTCCAAAGACCGCAACAATGAAGCCCTGCAAAGCCTCAGCCGCCTCCGCCGCCTCCCAGCCACCGACAGACGCGTCCGCCAGGAATACATGGACATCCAAGCCGAAGTGCGCTTCCACCGGCAAATCAGCGCGGAGAAACACCCTACCCTCCAGGGCGAGGGCACGAAAGATGCACTCCTCCTCGAGCTTGCGTCGTGGGCGGACTGTTTCGGGAAGAACTGCTGGCGGCGCACGCATATTGCCATTCTGGTCCCGTTCTTCCAGCAGTTTGTTGGCGTGAATGCGCTGATTTATTACTCGCCGACGCTTTTTGAGACGATGGGGTTTGATCTGGATATCCAGCTCATCATGTCCGGTGTGTTGAACACGTTGCAGCTGTTCGGCGTGATAGGGACTATCTGGACGATGGATACGCTGGGTCGGCGCAAACTGCTCTTCGCCGGGTCTGTGGCCATGGCGATTTCCCATATCATCATTGCTGTTCTAGTCGGGCTGTATAGTTCGAACTGGGCCGCGCATCAGACTCAGGGGTGGGTTAGTGCGGCGTTTTTGCTTGTTTATATGGTTGCCTTTGGGTCTACCTGGGGCCCTGTTGGTTGGGCTTTGCCGTCTGGTGCGTCTACTCAATCCAAATCCAACAATAAGTTCAATATAACTAATATCATGTGTAGAGATATTCCCCTCCTCCCTGCGTGCGAAAGGGGTTGCAATTGCGAACTGCTCCAACTGGCTCAACAACTTCATTATCGGGCTGATTACGCCACCTCTGGTCCAGGACACCGGGTACGGGGCGTATGTGTTTTTCGCGGTCTTTTGCATTCTCTCTGGGGTGTGGAGTTTCTTTTTCGTGCCGGAGACGAAGGGGCGGACGCTGGAGCAGATGGATCATGTTTTCAAGGATAGTTCGACGCTGGATGAGAGGGCGCGGAGACGGGCTATTGAGGTGGAGTTACTGGGGGAGTATGCTGAGGGGAGGTGAGCTGAAGCTATGGTGATGAGTTATAGATGTATATTAGGGCTAGACAGTCATTTTGATGAAGAAATCCCGTCCATACTCACTATTGAACTATGAAACTAAAACGGTACTAATAAGCTACAGCCCAATCGCATCTTCGTCCAACTTGGACAGGTATATCCCCGGGTTTTTCAACTCAAACAAAGACTTTTCATCCCTCGAAAGGAGTAGATCTTGGTATCGCTCAAACCCACATTTTTCGAGAACCCTCCTACCCGCACCGTTAGAGTAGTCACTCCAAGCAAACAGCTTCTCCGGCGTTGCTGTTCCATCCGGATTGATTTTGACTCTCGGCAGTTTACACCACGCATCAACGCACGCTCTCACTGCCTCGGTGGCGAGGCCACGGTTCCAGGTACTGGGGTGAGTCGAGAACTCTAGGGTTGGGGCTGGGCAGAGGGCGCTGACTCCCACCGTACCAATGACTTTCTCGATTGGGTCGTCGACGAGGAGAATGGCGAAGAAGAATTGCCGATGCCAGGTTCCGGATGCGTCTGGGGTTGTAAAGATTGTTTTCCTTATGCACTCTCGTGATTCCTCTACGTCTTTGTGTGGCTTTTCGGAACTGCTATATGGGGAGGTCCTTTGTTAGTAAACGAGCGAAAAATCCAATAAAGCTGCGGAGGAGGGATTGGCAAGATTACAAAAAATCGGCGACGGTTCGTAGACGTCGATACTCGAAGATGTCGTCGGCGTCTGACAATGCCAGAGGACGGAGGATGAGATGTTTGGTGCGGATGGTGCCTGCAGTGGCAGGGAGGATGACGACTGGGGGCTGGGAAGGATAAGGAAACATTGGAAATCCGAAGGTTGCCGTGCCTACCGAATCCATTATTTGTATTAGACAGTGGAGTATTGTAAGTGATATAATAAGATCAAGACAGCGAATGGTGGATTCAGAATAGCTAAAGAACTGGTGGAGGAAATGCCCAATATAATAGATATGGTGCTCCTTCCACTTGCAGTACATTGGCCTGCTCTTTCCTTTCCCAAGATTACTACATAGAATTACCATCTTAAGAAAAGTCACAAACTCGACTGATTCCACGAAGCCACCGACTGCATCATAGCCGCCATCTCTTTCGCCTCAGTAGGGACACGCGGAAGGCTATGTATAGCACTATGCTTGAAGGACCTCCGACTTTTCGCCTCACAGAACAATCCACAGAGAGCAGAAGTCTGCTGCATGAATACTGGGTCATGGTTACTACAAGCATGCAGCGTCGGGATGGCAAGGCGCGCTTTATACACATCCGGATGCACAGCGCATGGAATCTCAGGTATCGGCCGATCGGTAAAGTAAGTATCCGACTGTCCATGGATTTCCTTCGTGATAGCCAAGCTCTTCACAAGCATGAGGGCTGCATCGCGGGAGGGCTCGGGGAGTTTCTCTATCTCATCGGGGTTGCCAGAGCGTAGACGGCTGAGGTCCTCAGCGGACAATGAGCCGTACATACGCTGAATATAGGCCGGGTCGGTTGAGAGGATGGGTGGCGTCGAACAAAAGATTCCAAATTGAACTGGAAGTGGCTTTTCGGGGTGTAGGGCTGCCTGCTCGAGGAGGTAGGCGGCGATTACAGCTGAGCCCTGGCTGAAGCCGAAGACGCCATCGAATGGCCCTTCATCTGTGAATGTTTGGTGGATAAGACCAAAAGATGCCCTGAAAGACGCTGGACCGAAATCAAAAGACCAGCTGAGATAGGGGCCTGGGAAGATGTCGGCGACGCCTGTAGACGTGTTATTTCCGACCATGGCAGTCATTTCCCAATAATGGCAAGTATGATATACTTACCTGGAACAGGCGGGGTCTCTGCATTGCCAGCCAAGAAGTAGAATTCCCAGCTGGGATCGCAGTGTTTGATCAGTGCTGACATCTGGCGTTTCATGATCGCTGGGTTCGTTCCCCAGCCATGGAGACAGAGGATGCGCATTTTGTGGAACTGACGGTCTGCTTGCAGCTATTACTACCCACGTATTACTATCGAGTGGATAAACGGTGGATTCATTGAAGAAGTGCGAAGAGCTGAACTTCTCCTCATCTCATCAGCCGCATGATCATGCAGCAGGCTCTAGCCAGTATTGGTTTAGCTGTGCTGCACAAGGCTGTGAAGCTACAAATGGAGAATTATCATATTAACTTCCGTCAATAATTAGAGAGCTTGGGTTGTACCAGACATAGGCCTAATACTGTTAGAAGACGGGGACAAATCTCCAATAATACCGCCCACCGCAATAAGGGACTATCCGAATTTATTCAAGTCTATGGCCGTGAACAATGACGGGATGTAAGGTGCTGTCCGATATAAACCCGTCCGGCTATACACTCTGAGGGCTAGAAATCTCGAATAAGTGCACCAAGACAAGATTCAAGTCGATTCCCACGCTCGGTCCTGCTCACATAGCGCCACCTGCAGGGGGCTACTTGCTTCGACTTCCTCCATTGAAGCAAGGAGAAGATCTTCCCCGGATTCCAACCTCAACACTTTCAGCTTCGTGTTCAACAAGACTGGAGAGGCAGAATCAGTATTCTAACTGCAGTATTCAGCTGAAAATTGAGATGCTGTTTGACTACAGGGCAGTCGACAGAAAGGTCCAGGAATACTGACTGGGAAATATTCGTTGATCTAATTGACAATCTGAAGAAGACGCCTTGCATACACGACGCCAAGTACGAATACTGCGGAATCTGAAACCCAGCCTGCAAGGGAGCAGAAAAAGGCTGACGACGTCTACACGAAGATTTCCATATGGACACCATGTGTAGGAGCGATCAACATTCCTGGATATAATCCACCACGAGGGGGCTCGAGCATACCGTCTGATGAGGGCTATACGAGCCACAAGGTTTACCCCCAGATTCTTGCAGTGCTATTCCTGGCTGCATTCCACGGCTTGCAGATCTTCAGTGCCCAGAATATTAACCCATTGACATAGTTGCAGCTAGAATGTGTAGACTTGGCACCTTGTATACATCTCGATCAACATCGTATTCTCATCCACATCTCGATCAAGGGATACGCAAGACATGCGATGGAATACGAGTCCAGCATGAATACTGCATCCCTTGACGTCGTTATTTCTATCTTTATCTCTTTCAATGGCTTGGAAAGAATATAAATACCCCCTCGACACCCGTCCATCATCATCAACAGCCCATCAACAAGCAACCATCTACTCATACAAATATCCTACTTAAGACCAAACCTTCACCATCAAAATGCAATTCTCCACCATCGTCCTCAGCGTCGTCGCTCTCTTCGGCTCCATGGCCTTCGCCGCCCCCACTGAGAAGATCCTTGAAACCCGCAGCTCCTGCCAGGTCGGGGACATCTTTGACGCTGGTGATGCCGCTTGCAGTGCATCTGTATGTTCTCTCTTATACTAGGAATAATGAGAAGCTTGCTAATATATGTACAGTGCCTTAAAAACGGAACCTACCACGGCGGTTACTGCAATGAGAAAAAGTAGGACTTCTTCCTGGTATACCTGATTCTTTGGCTATGGATACTGACTGGCTGTCTAGGGTCTGCATTTGCACTCACTAGATTGGGCATATGTGGAATTTTGGGTGGATTTAGATTGACGGAGATGGAAGGTGTGTGGTATCAGGGTTGGAGGTATCGGCTTTGGAGTGGAAGTGATTGTTTGATTTTTATGTATTGGATTTAAATAAATTGACACTCGTTTGGATTGAATAAAAATACTGCCATTTAAGCCTTCATAATAGGAACCCCCTCCTCATCAAAATAAACCGGCACCCCATTCCTAAACGAAAACTGCAACGCCGTCGCAATCTTCGCCGCCTCATACGCATCCTCCGGAGTACAAGTCAACTCCGCGCCATCAAGCACCGCCCCCGCAAACTCATTCAAATCATTGATAAACGACTTATCATAGAGCACAAACGCATCAGGCGTCGTCGCTGCCCGCACCCCATGCGCGTCCCTCACCTCGACCCGGTCAATCGTCGAGTTTCCGTTAATAACAGCGTGGCCCTTTGTCCCGCAGACGCGCGTCATCCCCTCGAACCCGTTCGTGAGTGTACGGCCCAGATGCGTAGTTAGCACTTTACCGTTGGCGAACTCGACGAGCCCCCAGCCGTTGTCGCAGTCGCCGTATTTGGAGAGTTCGCTGTAGACGGCTTGTTGGCCCATGGCGATGACGCGGTGCACTTGCTTTTTGGGGTTGGGGAGGTTGGATTTTACGTCGAGGAAGTATCTCCCGATGTCGATCTGCGAATTTTGTCAGTTTTCTTTTCTTTTCTTTCTTTCTGCTTGGGGATGGTGTTAAAACTGACATCGTGGACGCCCATGTCGACGAATATGCCGCCAGATTGAGCAGAGAAGGTGACGAAGAAGCCTGCCCTTATTAGTTCGGGTTCTAGATACTGTGCTGTGCATTATGTGGAAGGCTACCTGTAGGGTCTTGCTGATCAAGACAGGAGGTTTCAATTGCATGAATCTCACCCAGGGAGTTGCTTTGGATCATCTGCTTCGCATTGCGGTACGATTCATCATCTGCCTGGTCAGAACAGGTACAGGTACACAATGATATCCCTGAGATTACTTACATCGGCGACAGAAAGGAACCAAGAACTTGAGGTTCGGCTTGGACGCGGCCTTGGCCAGAACCTCCTTGGTGGTAATGACATCGACCGAGATTGGCTTTTCGCACATAACATGCTAGACATCGTCAGAATGAAGGCTTCATATAGTAATATACTTAGACTCACCAGTCCAAAGTCAAGAGCTTTGATAATCAGAGGCGCATGGGTAGCGGTAGCGGTGGAAATGAGAACGGCTTCAGCGCCGCTATTCTTCATGCAGTCTTCTGGGTCTGCGAAGAACCTGACGGTGGATGGGAGATTATCCCTCGCCCATTCTTCGCTACCGGGCTTTGTGTCGCAGGCAGCGATGAACTCGATGCGAGGCTGCTGGAAGGCGATGATGCGGGCACGGATGGCACCTAGGCGGCCGAGGCCGATCAGGGCGAGCTTTAGGCGGGGTTGAGTGGTCATTGTGGTTGTGAGGATGAATAGAGTATGGGGATTGAATTAGAGGAAGTCCATGGCTTCTTTACGGTACTGTTATGAGGCTTCTAGATCTGGATGCTTTGGTCCGATGTCTTGATGTTAAGTCCGATGTGGGGATGAATTTTGTCCGATCACTCTGTATCGGGTTTTCGCATCGGACATGCCCCGACATTGGAGAGTAGAGACGGAACGATAATAATGGAACAATGGAATAATGGAATAAGGGAAGAAAGGCCTGAGTCAGAATATACCGCTAGTCGCCCTGAACTACAGACCCCATCATTAATGCCTCTACCAGGGTCCCTTCCGGAATGCGGCCCTTTCCTGGCTGGAGAACCAGGAGAGAATTAGCACTGGCCAGGCTACCTACCCGTGAGCTACGTTGTCCTACACCCTCTGCGCCTGTACTTGTCGCGTAAAGCCGTCCGTCTTTCCGCGACGCCGTGACGATAGCTCGATGGTACTCAGTGCGCTTTGGATCGACCGGGAACGGGTGCGTTAAGGTTACCGCTACAAGAGGCAGTCCGAACGACGGAGTGAGCCCTAAAGCGGCCTGCTTCTGACCAAGTCCCAGGAGTTTGTGCAGGGACGGCAGGACAAAGAGATTGAGGGTGACGAGTGCCGAGGCGGGGTTCCCAGGGAGTGAGAAGACGAGCCTGGAGCTGCGTTCCTGTTGTCCCTGTGTAGAGGAGGTTGGCTTGAATGGCACTGTAGCAAAGGTGGTTGGCTTTCCGGGCTTCATAGAGACACGGCCAAAATGGATTGTGCCGCCGAGATTGCGCTCAATGGTGGGTTTGAGCAAGTCGAGCTCCCCCATTGAAACTCCACCTGTAGTGATGATCACGTCAACGCTGGTGTTGGACTTTCCAACTCCGCGTAGAGCATTCCGAAGGCTTTCTTCGAGCTCACCGACTGGGGTATCGCGGGCGATTCCTAGGTCGACCGCCGGGATACCCCATGATTTCAGGCAGGACAATATCGAAGGCCGATTAGAGTCTCGGATCTGGCCTCCCTGAAGTGATCTGGGATCATCGTGCTCGACTAACTCATCGCCTGTACTCAAGACTCCCACAGTGGGCTTTCTGAATACTTTGACGGATTTTGTTCCTGTGGCGGCCAGGAGACCGATCTCACCACCAACAGAGGTGATCAGGTCGCCTCGTTGGAGAATCTTAGATCCAAGTGAAACGTCGCTACCTGGTTGGCGAACGTTCTCGTTGGGCTTGATTTCTCCAGTGAGGATCTCTATGGTGGCTTCCTCCGTACCATCAGGGGTTGAAGATGCCAGCAGGGTATCTTCGACCATGACAACCGCATTGGCGTTGGGCGGGAGAGGAGCACCCGTCGTTATACGGGCGATGTTGCCAGGCTCAAGCGGTGCCAGGACGCCACCTTCATTGGCGTGAGTAATCGACGCCACTGGGAAAACTCCCTTTGTAGTTTGTCCGTCGGATGGAGACTCGGGGGCTATCACAGCATATCCGTCGACAATACTTGCGAGATATGCTGGTACTGCCTCGGCTGCGTAAACATCTTCCGCGATAACGTACCCAACCAAGTCGATATTCACGGGAACCTCGACCACCTCTGGATCCGGTGTTTGAGCCGAAATTAGTTTCAGTGCATCGTCTACGGAAAGCATTGGATACGGTGACTCGCGATACCGTCGGTTTGCCCCTGCTGTGGGGTCATTTGATCGGCGTTCTGAAGGTGTAGTATGTGCCCTAGGGACAGTATGTCCATGGCCATGACCGTGACTGTGGGAGTGATCGTGATGATGGTGGTGATGATCGTTCTGCGGCTGAGACTTGACTCCGGCTTCAGCCTCGAGCTTTTTCACCCCTCCGGCGTGGAGTGTTCTTGAGTCTGCACCAGCGGCTTGGGTGCATGCATGGGGTAGCAGCTTGATGACGGCTTCAAGGTTCTCCTTTGCACCTTTGGGGGAGCCAGGTAGTGTAATGACTAGTGATTTATTCCTAGTCCCGGCAACAGGCCGTGCCATCATAGCAACTGTACCGGTTAGCTGGGCATTTTCAAAGCAGAGCAAGTGAACGTACAAGGTGTGACCTTCAGTGACGAGGCGATCATTCCATGCCTGAGTATAATTAGTATCAAACAACATAACTAGTCAATGTACATACACAAGACCAGGCGCTTGGCGATGGAGGAGAGGCGTCACTGCCTCGGGCGTGTTATCCTTGACGGCAAAGCCGGTTCCACCGCTAATGAGGATCAAATTGACTACATCAGGCCCATCAGTCCACTCGCACACGGTACGTTGGATCTGGAGAATATCGTCCGGCACTATTTTGGTGACCGGCTGGTCCCAGTTGTTTACCCCCGCAGCTGCGAAGACATCGTTTAAGGTCCCGACGACCTTGTCCGATGAGGGATCTTGCGACGCAGTATCCGAGACCACCAGAATGGCAGCCTTCAACTGCTGGCCCGCCATTTTGTTGAGATAAGAAGTCAACAGACAGCCTGGAGAGGAGAATGGCAGGAGGAGGCGGGGACAGCCGGGTCTGGTTGTTCCGGATTCCGACCCCTCACTGTGTTGTCCGCATTTCTTGACGACGACGATAACATCGCGTGAAGACACGTCCAACGACGCCATTGACCATGCGGATTCCTCTCCCCGAGTACAGTCTAAACCAGTTTATCCATACAGCACTCCATAACCACCGCCTCTTCGCTTCGGGTGTAGTATCGCGCTCGGACTCGCCGATATACGTCATCGGTAACCCCTCCGCCGACCTCGACTCGATCGTCTCCGCCCTTGTATACTCATATTTCGCGAATAAGCGTGTGCCGCACGACTGCCCCAGACATCATGTCCCAGTGATAAATCTCGACAATGTCTCTGCCGGCGCCGAGCTGCGCAGGCTGCGTCCTGAGTTGTTCAAAGCGCTTGAACTATCCCAGCGGGATGCGGGGAAGAACTTGGAGGATGGTTTTCTGACGGTGGCTGATTTTATAAAACATTTGAAAACGGGCGACCCAAGCCGTCAGCTTCAAGCCGACTCGGTTCTGGTGGATTGGAACGCATTGCCTATACGCTCTACGGATGCGGGGCGAGGGTCGCTACCCGGCCTGGATGTCGAGTTCAACGTTCTAGGCTGCATTGACCATCATGTCGATGAGGGATTTCTTCCGGCTATTGCCGATACGCAACCTAATCGTGTCACGCCCGCCGGGTCATGTACATCGCTCGTCATCTCAGAACTGGAGAAAATGCGACTCTGGGAGAAGTCGGATGCAGCTTCTGCACACGAAGAGGAAGTAGCAAAGCTTGCTTTGAGTCCAGTTCTCATCGATACAGCAAATCTCACGTCAAAGGATAAGGTCACCAAGTTTGATACCTTGGCGTACGATTACCTTCTTCCTAAAGCAAGGACTACTGAAGCTTCCTGGGATACCGACAAGTTCTACTCTGAAGTCCACGAAACAAAACAAAACAGCCTGGAGCTGCTCACCGTAGACGAAATACTCGGCCGAGACTATAAGGAGTGGGCTGAGCAACCTACTCGACAGACAGATCAATCCCCACTGAAAATCGGCATTTGCTCCATGGTCAAGTCTTTGCCCTGGGTGGTTCGAAAGGCAGGCGACCCACAGGCCTTCCTCAACTGTTTGGAAGCGTTTGCCGCAGATCGCAAGCTGGATGTTGTCGCTGTCATGACCGCCTTCAGCGCCTCGACGGACGGCCAGTTCTCTCGGGAGCTCCTTGTCTATGGACGTAACAGTCGCGGTGTAGATTCACTCCAAAATTTCGTCTCTGATGCAAGCTCAGAACTGGGATTAGAGACATGGTACTCACTTGACGGGAATGACCTTGCGCAGGACATAAAGGAGACGCTTGTTGCTCGTGACGAGGGTGTATGGACGCGTGCCTGGGTCCAAACGAACATTGCGAAGAGCCGGAAACAGGTTGCCCCGCTGATCAGAGGAGCAGCTGCCTCCCTCTGAGATTTGGTCAATAGTCATGGAAGAAAGTCTCCGTAACGGTACGCACCCAGTATTGGGATTCGAAGACAAGCATCCAGGGGAGACGATTCGCATCGCGGCAATTTCGGCTTCCCATAAATGGTCATGTTGTGTCATGTCTATCGTTGATCCAACACCCTTCTTCGGCCGTTCCAAGTTAGGTGACGTTTAACGCATTGGACGATGCCACCCATATGTAGACTATCCGACTGCAGCTTGAAGTCATATCTCACCTTTTCGAGTTCACCATTCAGTATTGCCTTCAATCTTCGAACGGGCTTGCTGCCAAAACTAGATATGTGCCTCACATAGCCTTCATTATCAACAGCTACCTACCGAACAACTCATTCCAACATTCCGTAGCTGGACTAAGGTCCCGATTTAACCCCGACCCGAAGATCACCCGCTTCCCACATCTGAAACCGAAAAGGCAACTACAAACCGAGGGATCACGGCGAGAGGCTTGCGAGCCGTTTTTTGTGTCAATAGCCTGCGAGTTTAACGGGTGGATCCGTTGGAATTTGGAATCTCGTGGCCAAAGACCAATGACTCGTGAGAGCTTGAACGAGTGAAATGCACCTTCTATATCCGGCTGCAACTTGTCCCGAGGAGCATTAAACCAATATCGCGCAATGAGGCCAGCTGAGCGTTGCTGGACGATGCGCGGCAGGGATCCCCTGGATGCTCGACCCATCGCTGCGGTTCGTCCAATCCAGTGATCATCACGCCGAGAAGTGAGATCCTTAAGTGGTTCACTCTTTGTACAGATTCCAGCTGGATTGCCACTTCTAGTAACCGGAATATGCGGAAATGAACCGCCTCTCCTAGCAATTGCGGCACAGCTGGACTCGTGGGCTGGAGGCTGATCCGGAATGGAATCAAGCAATCAGTCTCAAAGGAGGGATGGCGATGAGGCTTGCGGGCAGTCAAACAACCAAAGTGACGCTCGGCCAACCAGCTGTGATAGGACATAGGTCGCACGGCTTTGCGGTCCGCTCGAACTGACTGGATCAGCACGATGAAGTCAACAGATGGCAAAACGGGAGATCTGTGGAACGAACCGCAGCGCGAGGATAGGAGTGCACCGTGCACGATGCGCGGAACGCGCAGTTCCCTCCCCGATCGAGTCAGGATGACATCCTTGACAGGTCCAGGTCAGCTCTGGGTCGAAATTGAATATCTCGTGTGATTTGACAAATTCCAACAAGCCAACACGAGAACTGGCCACTCTGTAAGCTGCTTGGTCAGTTCGGGCCTTGGATTGTGGTGATCGGCCAATCCGAATGTGGCCACGATTCGAGTATTTGACTTTCTTTGTTCCCAGTTCCAGGCCGGCCATCGACCCCTGCGATTCAAATGAAATCTCGAGTATCTCTCGAGTCCGGCGGGACTGCTCATCCTGTGAGATGATCTTATTCTGTTCTAAGAGGGTAAAGGGGCTCTCATTTCAAGGGATTCTGCCAGCATCGGAAACGGCCGCCGAAACCTCGACGACAGCACGCGGCATCTTTGTTCACTCGACAAACAGCACAGGATGGACTTTTCAAGGATCGTGCATGAACCTGCATCTGGATGATCACAGCTTATTGAAGTCGATCAGCCGCTCCCAATATTGACTCGGCAGTGCTTGACGGCAACTGCGTTTGGGAGCCGCTGTTTTATACCCCCTCCATCCCGTGTCTGGTGTGGCTTCTGGCAATCAGACATCGCAAACATGGCCGTGCAGCAAGACACCGTATCTGAAATGCTCGACTTGCTGAGCGTTTCTTTACTCGCAGTCGCAGCATACAACACTTTGGAACTCCTGTTCTGGATATTCGACTTCTTCAAGCGCTGGAGGGGTCTCTATTTCTGGAGCATTCTGACCGCAACACTTTCCGTCGGCGCCTTCACGGTCGTCGTCGTTATTTCGACATTCCGAGACGTCCCTCCGATAGCTGTCGGTATCTGCATCGCCCTGGTATACCCCTGCATGCAGGTTACTGCGAACCTGGTTCTATACTCGCGCCTCCATCTAATCACGAAGAGCGGCACCCTCACTTTCACGCGCTGGCTTATCATTGTCAGCTGCATCGTTCTATACATCCCGTATATCACGATCCTGATTGGATTTTCATCTGGCGACAAACGATTCAACCGTGCTGAAGAGGTCAACGAACGGTACGCGGTCGCTGGTTCTATCTGCCGGGAACTTTTTATTTGCGGGGTATACATCTACGAATCCGTCAAACAGCTCAAGCCGATCATGATGATGAAGGGACACACAGGGCGCAAGGTCATGGTGCACCTGATCCTCGCCAATGGTGCAGTCGTCGCGCTCGACGCACTTATGCTGGCATCATTATTTTCCCATATACAGCATGTGGGCCAGCAGTATAACGGCATAGGGTTGCCTTTTAACTGCGCGTCGCAGAGTGTGAAGCTGAAGATTGAGTTTTCGATTTTGAACAAGCTGCTTGAGTTGCTTGGGACGCCTATGAATTCGCTTGACTGTCGCTCGCCGGGGCGGCTGAATGAGCAGGGCGATAGCCTGGTTGACATGATGCGGGAGAGTGCCGGGACGGGGTCAAGTTCGTTGGGGCCAAGCTCGCCGGGGATTCATCGTGAGCCTGTATAACCTTCTCTTTCTAGTTAATTCTTGTATATATGTGTAGATATGAAGACTGCACTGAACCCACATTATTATAATACACGCTGTAGACAATAAATTTCAAGATATACTGTTCAATTGCACGAAGTGAGGACCATCGATGTTGTGATTTGGAGTCGAGATGACCACCGTGCTGATGTTGATATGAGCCTATCACGGCGTGCAGCAGCGATGGTATAATTCTGACAGGTGTTGCGACATGTCACATATAAATAATCATTACATTCTCACTGTCAAAGAAAGCATACAGCAACCATGGAAAAGAACGCCATCTCTACTGTGCCTGTGCCTGTGCCGCCTGGGAATATAGACTCCCAGGTTGCCCAGGTCCTCCACACCGAGACCACGCCTGAAGAAGAGAAGAGGGTTCTCCGGAAGATCGACCTGCAGTAACTCTCCCATCCATATTTAAATTTCCACAAACTAATGAGTTAACAGTATAATCCCCGTCATGGGCCTCTGCTACATGCTACAATACATGGACAAAGTCACCCTCGGCTACGCCACGCAACTAAACCTGCAATCCGACCTGCACCTCCACGGCTCCGAATACAGCTGGTGCTCGTCCGTCTTCTACTTCGGGTATATGTTCTGGAGCTGGCCAAGCAGCTACATCTCCGTCCGCTTCCCGATAGGAAAGTACCTAGGGGTCTCCGTCGCGCTCTGGGGCGTGGTCCTGACAACACACGCCACATGTTCTAATTTCGGCGGCCTGCTGACCGCGCGGTTCCTTCTTGGTGTGACAGAGGCTGCGGTGGCGCCTGGATTCTCGCTTATCACGGGGATGTTCTATAAGACGCGTGAGCAGCCGAGTCGGATGGCGTTGTGGTTTCTGGGCAATGCCGTTGCGAATGTTGTCTCGGGGTTGATTGCTTATGGGATTGGGAGGATTGACTCGCATATTGCGGCGTGGAAATTGCTCTTTATTATCCTGGGGATTGTGACGGTTGCGTATGGGGTGTTTCTTGTGTTTGTGCTGCCGGATTCGCCGGCGAGGGCGTGGTTTTTGACGGATGCTGAGAGGAAGATTGCCCTTCATCGGACGGTGGAGAATCGGACGGGCGTTATGGATGAAGGCGAGTTTAGGGTTGAGCAGATGGTGGATGCGTTGACGGATCCCCAGGCCTGGTTGCTGGTGGGATACAGTGTTGCTCAGAATATCCCCAACGGGGGATTCAGTTCGGTAAAGATCCTTATACGTACTATAAAGATATAACTAACAGAACCAGTTCAGCAGCATCATCATCAACGGCTTCGGCTTCAGCGAGCTCAACTCGCTGCTCCTCTCAGCACCAGGGGGTCTTTTGCAGATTGCAGCCATCGGGGGTATCTGCTGGGCATCGACATACGTCAAGAAGAGCCGGATAATCACCATGATTGTGGTGATTCTGTTCGCACTCGTGGGTGTCATCCTGATGAACGCACTGCCCGATTCGAACCGCTGGGGCCGATGGGTTGGGATCTTCCTGCTGGGTCCCTTTGCAACGAGCATCCCGATCTCTCTGAGCCTGATTACGTCGAATGTAGGCGGATTCACGAAGAAGGCAACTGTCTCGGCGATGCTGTTCCTGGCTTATTGCACGGGGAATATCATTGGGCCTCAGCTGTTTCTGGATAGCGAGGCGCCGAAGTATACTGTAAGCACTACTGTATATCTCTTTACGTATACTGCGACTGACTACTGCAGACCGGCCTTAAAGGAGTCCTTGCTGGATTCGCTCTTGCAATATTCTTCCTGGTGCTGTTGTACATCTACTACGAGGTCGAGAACAGACGACGAGACAGGAAACACGGTCCAAGCAGTCCTGACGATACAGAGGAATTCCTGAACCTCACAGACAGACAGATACCGTCGTTTAGATATATACTGTAACAATAATATCCCCGATCGGAGCACAGTCCGATCTCCAACCCCGCACAAATATCACACCATATAATATCACTTCACATCTCCATCTATTTCCATCCTGAACACCTCTCTTTATTTATTCAAAATGCCCTACATAATCGGCCTAAACAGCGGCTCCTCCTTCGACGGCATCGACGCCGTCCTCTGCACAATCTCAACGGGCGAAGACGGCCACCCTACACCCCCCAAATTCATCGACGCCATAACGCGCGACTGGCCCGAAGACCTACAATCTGCCATCCTACGCGCCTTCGAAAACAACCTCTCCATCTTCGAACTCACCCGCGTGAATTACGCCGCTGGAGCACTCTATGCTGAAATCACAAATGCCCTCCTGACCAAAACAGGCTTGACGCCCGGAGATATAGATGTGGTCGGATATGACGGGCAGACTATATACCAGGAGCCGCCAGACAGGGCTAAAATGGGCGAGAACAATAAAGAGAGTCTGGTCGAACGCTGGACAAATGGATCCTACCCCTGCGGCCTGTTCATCGCAGAATCCGGCGTGGTTGCTGCACTAACAGACATCACGACGGTCACACAGTTCCGACCCGTTGACCATGCCCTAGGTGGATCTGGTGCGCCATTAATGCAGTATCTGGATTTTGTTGCATTCAGGAATGACCCAGAAGGAAAAGCAACGGCAACAGCAACGCTGAATATCGGCGGGATAGCGAATCTGCAGCTCGCGCATAGAGACAGGTCGAAGATGTTGGCGTTTGATACGGGGCCTGGGAATGTGATGATTGACCATTTTATGCGGGTAAGGTGTAATGCCGCGTATGACAAGGATGGGCAGGTTGCTGCGCAGGGAACTGTTCTAGAAAATCTACTGGAGCAGTTACTAGAAGATGCAAAGGGATTCTTCAGCAGATCTCCACCGCGGTCAGCGTGGAGGTTGGATTTCGGGTCCGAGTATGCGGATCGGATCCTTCAGGCGTACGCGTCCAGGAAAACAGAAGATCTCGTGGCGACTGTTACCATGTTCACGGCTGTTTCTGTGGAGAAGGCGCTGGTGGAGTTTGTGCTGCCTCGAGCAGAAGAGCTGGGTGGGTTGACGAGGGTGATTGTCAGTGGAGGCGGGACGAGGAATGGGACGCTGATGAGGTTTCTGTCTGAGAGATTGGCAGGGCATGGGGTGGATGTGTGTCTGAGTGATGAGGTGGGACTGCCGGCGGCGTATAAGGAGGCGATCAAGTTCGCGACGCTGGGGTTTGCGGCGAAGAGAGGCCTTGCAAATAACATTCCTAACGCGAGTGGTGCACAACGATATGCGGTGCTGGGGAAGATGACTCTTGCGCCGGGGGTGGCGAGGGTATAGTCCAGACTGTATGTAACTTTGATGGGATAGATGATATACAAGGACCATCCATTAAAGTCTAATAGACGAACACGTGTACGCACTGGCCTCGATGAAAGGGTTAGGGACTTGAACTTAGGTTTATATGGAGGGGCTGTGGAGGATACGATATAATGATATGATACAGTGGGCTGGTAGTAATGAGGATCTTCGGGGTCTGTGAGGGTCTTGTGGGACCTGCGAGTCGAATAAATTTACGAATGAGTGGCTTCACCAGGAAAAGATTCGATTAGGGTATTCACTACCAGATGGATGGTAAACTTTTGATAGTAAAGCGGCATATCCGTACTGGCCGCACAAAGGAGACAGTTTCTCAAAAGAGTATGATACAAGAAACAAGAAAAAGCTATAGAGTAGAAAGAAAGAAGCTAACCACCGCCACTCAGGAAATAGGTTGGTAGTTAAGAACCAAAGTGAGGCGCATTGAGAATCAACCCCATCAAGCAACCAGCCATAGTTCCCGCAATCGGGATAGTCATGATCCAACCCAGGCCAAGGAGGAAGACACGCTGCCAGTTCACCGCACGGAGGGTTCCGTTGCAGAGACCAACGCCGATAGTGGCGCCGGTGATGCACATGGACGTCGACACGGGCAGCTTGTACTGCGAGAAGACGAGCACCGTGATGGCGGCGCCGAGTTCCATCGAGCAGCCTCTGCTGGGGGAGTGGTAGGTGATTTTGTTACCCATGACTGTTTAAATCAGTATATATCTCTAAAAGGGTCAGGGGGTGAGACATACCCTTCATAATATTGTAGCCGTAGGTGATCAGACCAATGGAGATCATGATAGCAAGGACAGCAAGCTGCCAGACAGGGACCTCAGCCTCAGACTCACTGGCCCTGCCAGTAGTCCAGGCGGAGTAGAGGACAGCCCAAGGCCCAACGGAGTTACCAATATCGTTAGCACCGTGAGCAAACGAAGCAGTGCAGGCGGTGAGAACCTGGACGAAGGCGTAGGTGTGTTCAACCTCGTTGGGATACTTCTTAGCATGCGAGTAGACACGCTCCATACGCGCCCCCTCAGGCGTTCCATGCACACCAGACTGGGCGGCGTGGATATCGTAGTGCAGACCGTAGAGAAGACCAACGGTGACCATAGCCGGGAGACGCTTAAGCAGACGCTTGATATTGTGCAGCTCGTAGATCTCGCCGGAGCCCATGGGGTTGTCGTGGAGGGTGCGCATGGCCCAGGCGAGGGGACCGCGGCCGCGACGCAGTTTGGCGTGGAAGCGGGCTTCACCCTGGGCCATGAGTGCCTTGTAATCGACCTGGGCTTCCGAGGCTTCGGCCGAGGCGATCTTCTCGGTTTCCTGCGCGGGCTTGGGGAGGTGCTCTTCGGTTAGGGTTTCCGGGGAGCCGGGGAGGTCGTCGTCCTGCATGACGGCGTAGTCGGGGACGGCGGCGACTTCGGCGTTTTCGGGGGCTGGGCGGCTGAAGAGGAGAGGGCCGTAGACGAACATCCACCACTTGACGGAGTGGTCTTTCTTGATGACACGGGCGTGGGCGAAGGGCACGAAGAAGAGGGCCGCGAGCAGGCAGACAGCACCGCCAGTGCCAAGGGTGACGCCGACGATCCAGCCCTTGGGCTTGTCATCGAGACCAAGATTGGGAGAGCCCTTGTAGACGATGGAGAGACAGCAGATGGTGCCGGCAATGAGGAACCAGAAGGGGGACGACCACACAGCCCAGGGGGCAGGGTTCTTGCGGATGAGCACGACCAGCTTGATGAGCATGAAGATGATAGCACCGAAGCAGCCCGAGATGGCTGGGGCCATTCCAAGACCAGCAAAGATGGCGCCCAGACCGTTTCCTTTGTTCCAGCCCCATTGTACAGACGAGGCACCGGCCGTGGCAACACCCACACCGGCGATGGCAGAGACCAGCGAGTATGTCGAGGAGACGTGGGTAGAGTGGCGCGTACACCACATCACCCACGACGAGGCCGCGGCCAGGGCACAGGCAAAGGCCAGCATCTGGACTCCGGCGTTGCCATTGAAGGCCTCGGGGGGGATGATGCCGTTCTTGATGGTGTCTGCAGTACGGGCACCGACCGTCACTGCACCGAGGAACTCGAAGATGGTGCCGAAGACCATGGCCTGCCGGTAGGAAATCGACCGCGAGGACACACTGGTGGCCCAGGAGTTTGCAACATCGTCTACAGAGGTTAGAGAGCGAAGGGGAAGAGTAGGAGAGGGACTGACTGGCGCCGTTGTTGTATGCATCAAGCATAGCAAAGATGGTGCCGATGGCAAAGATGTACGTGTAGTCGGAGAGCACCATCTTGACGTTGACAGACTCGACACTGCAGACTGGGATGACTTCGAGTTGAGCTAGGATCAGCAGGACGCGGCAGCTTCTTATAACAGTGCCTGGCGCAGCCCACGTGTGAAATTACCGCGAGGGCCGTCTTCGAGAAGGACGCATCGAAGACGCCGGGGCGCGACATGGCAGCGCTCGCATGGACGATTGGCTGGCGATTGACTGGCGGGCCTCCACAGATGTCACGTCGCGATGGCCGTCGAGACCAGATCTCACTGAGCAGCTGGAGAATGCTGACAGCCCGAGCACGTTTGCAGACAGGCACATTCGATTCGACGTGACGGCGAGACAGCGGTTTCCAACCATGGCTTGGCTGCTTGGCGGCGGCTGGTGGCTGCTTGGCAGGGTCGATGAGGCGTTTCGCACCAGCCAATATGCTATCCGGACGGCCACACGTGGTGGGGCGAACCCTATCCTTGCGCCTCTCAGACCACCCCCCTCGACGCTTGTCCAACTCTTGACGGTCTTGTCTCATCTTGACTTTGCTTGACTTTGCTTGACTTTGCTTGACTTTGCTTGACTTTGCTTGACCTTTCTTGACCGGGCTTGTTTTTCTTGTCCTCTTGGCTGCACACGTGGTGGCCTTCCTGACTCGATTGGACATTAATGTAGTCTAGTCTCGTACGATCTCTGGTAGCGATGAGGGTATTATTAACAGATATATTTTCTCTATTGACAGAACTGCATTTGTTGATCCAACGTAAGCAGAATAGACCGCATGAACTGCAGTTGATGCTGCAAGGGAGGACCAGAGTACCCTGCCTTGCTTGACCTGCATTGTTATATTTACAGTGGAATGCATGAGTGAGCGGACTATTGATAGACAGTCACCGCCAGAATAATATTTTGAGCATCGTACACAGATGCAGCCTCTCCTCATGCCACTTCATATTCACCCCCGTCAGCTTCTCGACTGCCCTCTGCGCCGTACGCACGCTGTAACTGACATCCACGCAGCTATACTGCGGTAGATGACAGAACTGCCCGACCAGCCCGATATTCGAGATGCTGCTTGGAATCACCTCTGGCCGGTCTCCCACCGCACGAGGCAGTAATATCGCACTCATCCGCGGCATCACACGCGGCACCGTCACCGTCCTGCCCACCAGCTGGCTCTCGTCGACATGCAGATGCCCCAGCAGCTCAACCATGATCTCCGCTCCAGAGCACGTCACCATCGGCTTGTGCACATACCGTCCCTGCGTCTCGGGGTAGTTCGCAAAGCCCCAGAATACACGTACACTGCTGGGCTGCTCTGCAAAGACAGGCTGCGTCGGCAGACACAGGTTCATCCGCCACGGACTCTCCTGCAGCGCCATAAACGCCCCGGCATGTGGCGGACAGTCCGACAGTGAGCAGAGATGCTCGTACATCTCCAGATCCTCCGTCGTGACCGTGAACGACTCCAGCATCGTCTCCGTCTGCCGCGTGCAGAAATTATACGGGTCGCCGAAGCCGGCATTCTTCGCTTCCAGCGTCAGCCACAGCGACCAGTTCTCGTCGAGGGCTTCGTTCGCCTCCATCGCTGTCCGGAACGGAGGGCGCTCGTTTGTCCCTGTCGTCGAGCCAGATACCGTCGACCCAATCGATACAATCACGATATCGTCGTCCCCAATGGGCTGCTGCACCTCGAACCCATTCTCGATCAGATCGAGCCTCACAACCTTCCCACCTCCTCCGTCCTTTTCCGGACTGGTGATAATATCCTTAACCGCAGCATCAAACCGAAAATCCACATCCAGACTCCTTAGATAGTGATAAATCGGCAAAAACGTCGCCTCAAACTGGAACCGCCCCGTGATATCCAGACAATTCAGAATCGGCAGCCCATGGAAGTCTCGCAGATACTGACTGATCGTCCGCCGGAACTCACACGCGCCATGCCACGGCTGGAACCCAAACTGGCCCGACCAAATCGCCCAGAACGTACTGCTAAAGAACGCCGCCGGCATGAAATCCTTCACCTGCTTCCTCTGCAGCGCCTCGTCACTCTTCAGCAGCAGCCGCACCAGCGCCATCCGCTGCCTCAGCCCTAAATTCAACGTCTTGGTCGGAATAGACGTAAGCTCATCGTCTCTCTGTAAGAGAAACCGCGTATACCCATCCCTCCGACAAGACGACGACGAAACACGTCTATACCGCGCCGCCTCGATCTCGTCAAACACACTCGCCCCGGACTCCCTCACACTCGGCACAAGCGCCAGCACATCCTTCAGCGGCTCCCCGACGGGCACAGGGAGACAGCCCGCGAACTGGTCGTACCCGCCCGAGTGGTCTCCTCTATGATGCACGGCCTGGCCGAGCGAGCCGTGCGAGTCGAGAATGTGTATTTTTCGCGGCGAGATGTGCGCGAGCTTGATTAGATACAGCGCCGAGGAGAGCGCTGCCGTGCCGCTTCCTAGGATCCAGGCTTCCGGGGATTTTGAACTTTCTGCGGTCTTTTCTGTGTCGGTCATTGTGTGGTCTATGTGTATCTGGGCGGGTCTAGATTTGGGAAATAGTTGCGTGCGGGTGATATACGGGGATATCCTAATATATGGGGTTAGAGGCGAGGGTATGACGTGGGTCTGGGGAGCTGGGCTGGAGCTGGGCTGCATGTCGGCTACCGCGCATCCTCACTGGTGAGAAATTATTCCTAATCTGGGGCGCCGTTGAGATGGCGTGGAAACGTGGAATTGTGGCCGGATGCAGTGCTTGAAAGGCTTGGGATTGGGGAAGGTGGCGCTCTGATATCATCGTGACATCCTACCATGGTACACCTAACCTAGTTTATCTGTGCGTTTATCTTCAATCTGCAGGTAGCAGATATTAAGGCTAGAATATTCTGCAGCACAAGAATTATCGTTGCAGATGTTGGGCAACGTGGACTGTAGAGATACTCCGGACTCCGTACCTTCTTAAGGCCTTAAAACCACCGACGATAAATAAAATAAATAATTGTAAACCATTATTCTATTATCTTCATCATGTCTGCCATATTTCTCCTCCTCTTCGGTCTCTTTGGTATATATTGCACCTATCTCGAAGCCAACGGCACTGCCCTAATCCACGACCTCATCGCCGCTGGAACACTGCCCAACAGCCATATCCCTCTTCGCACGGTGTACACCAGATTCCAACCCCTGGATCGAATCCTCACTCATATCGTCGTCTTTCTATGGCCAGTAACCAACCAACACCCTCTCCTAACACTCCACGCGACGAATTTCCTAGCCGGCACAAACGCCATCTGGACACTGCTCTTGATAGAGGGGTATAGAAGGGGTAATGCGAAGACCGCCGCTTCATAGTACGTCTCTACCCTATTAAGGAAATAAATACTAAAGATTTAGTCCTACAATATTCACCCTAGGACAATACCTTACATCCCCCGTCGGGATATCCATATACACTACCCTACATCTCGCCACGTCAAGAACAAAGAACCCAACGAGGCATACTCTTGCTGTTCCCATTACTGTACTTAGGATTATACCAGTGGTGACAATCATCGGACTCATCGTCCCAGTTGCCGTTCTTCACTCCGTCTCGGATGATATGAAGCAGATCTTCATCGCGGCGTGGCAATTCTGGCCTGTTTATGCGTCGATGGTTATATTCTTTGCCTACGCAGTACTATCCAGATTCACCAAGGCTTCTGAGACTGAGACTGAGACTGATACCGATATAATCCAGCTCATATACGGCCTCTGCCTGTTCACAACCGCAATCCCGCATTTCAGATATATCACTTTCATATTCCTACGAGCTGTTTTTACGGGAGATATAAGATTTTTTTATCTACGGGATAGGTTCGACTTTGTTTTACAGAGACCGTGGACGAACCCTGTGTCAGTTGAAGAGGGTCTCCATGTCTTCCTGGATTGGAGTTATCTTGTTACATCTCTTGCTTTCTTGGTTTGGGCGGGGAGTTTATACCGCAGCTACAGTCGGACAGGATATGGGAAGCTTGCATTGCTTGTTGTATTGGGTATACTAGCAGGACCGATTGCTGCAGCGGTGGTGTTGTTATGGGAGCGAGAGATGGTTATTCTTGGTCAGTCAGATACCTCTACTCAGTCTTCTGGAGCAAAGAGTGGAAGTGGAATGGGCAAGTGGGAGAGGGGGTGGAAGGTTCTCAGATTTGACTGATTGAAGTATTGGAAGTAGATATCTGTCTTGAGAATCAAGTACAGCAGGAGATTAGAACTTGGGGTTAAATCCCCTCTTAGCTTGAAATCAATCGACCCTGATAAAATAAGCCTGATCTGACTGTAATATCGATGCCATGACGCCTGGGGCATTAATCCTTGTATAGTCCCTTGGTGTATTGTACCGTCGCCTAACCCGGTCGCACTCAAAGAAATATAAAAATCAATATCGTGGGGATAGAAAGTGAGCTCGGCGATCTGTACGTGTAAAATATCATCAGCTATCTGCTAACCAAGGTTCTCTGCAACTACGTACCAATCTACCAAAGATTCTGCTCGAGGATAGTGATTCCCTGCCTTTGGATCGAGATTGAATTAGGGCCAAATTCCAACACCAGCTGGTGTAGTTGAAGACCTATCATTGACATTAGGTATGTTACCAAGGCTATGTCTGAATACATACCGAGCTATCGTCGTCCTGGACCATTACGCGTAGTAGCCTGCTTGTATCATACTTCTGATCGCACACGAAGCACATATCATCTGCCATTGGCTTTCTGAATTGTGGGACTGCTGGAGACAGTGGAAGGTTGAAGATGTAATAATTGTTTGATGCATGGAATTATGTTAAGAAATAAATTGACAACCCAGTCTGTGTTGGGAAGGGGCGACCTGGTAACACTAATCTTAGAGTAACGCTGTATGTAAATAGCCGTAAAATACCATGGTCAACAGCTCTGTACTAGGTAAAGAATTTAATGGTTTTAACTAAGCAATAAATGTTCTACTCTAGCACGAAGCGAGAAAGAGAAGTCCAAGGACGATGGTTTCTCTCCATGCATCGTGGACCTGGTCTAGATAATCGCGGCATTGCCTTGGAAGCTCTCTGTAACAACAAACCATATTAGCACTATTGCGCCGTGACTTGGAATACAAGTGCTTGTCTATGGTTCTGGATTGCAGTGAATGTTGTGGAGTAATCCATATATTTGTGTTGGAAGTCTGGAACGGCCCACGGTATATCTGACCCCGATATTCTAGCTTCAACTGACACCCGGGATAACAGGATAGTGAGCACTTTGTATGTAAACATATAGGTCGGCTGGGTAATTATATCTGTCAAGGCGAAGTACTATAATCATACGTAATGAATGGCTTGTTGGGAGGTGGACCTTAGATGTCTCCACCGAAAGACAATTGCCGATAGTATATAACCAAGTAGCCGAGGATGTACAGCCGGTTGATGGGCTAGGTCTGTTAAAGTATAATTACTTGGATTTGTAGGTATTCAGTTATATATTGAGACTCCAGCCTCAACTGGCGGAGGCAAAGGAGGGCTGCTATTCATATTTAGGGTTCGGTGAGAGAAAGCTTAAAGCAGATATCCGAGTTGTCGGTATTTTATTCTTTTATTTTATTTTTGAGGGCTGGAGATTTGGTGACTAATTGGGCTGAGTTTAGGCTATTCATTCAATATCATTGTATATATACTCAAAAAATAATATCGTCTACCTAATTCTAGTCTAATTGATATATTCTACAAGCTCAGTCGTCCCGTTCCTCTCCAATGCCCATTTATATTATATCTAAATATTTAACTCAACTATTCAATCTGCTCAATCTTCCCCTTCAAGTCCTCCGGCTGCACTTCCTCATCGGCAGGAAGTTTGGTAAGTTTATTAGCGATCTTGACCGTGTCCAATATCGACACATCCTGTTGGAACAGATCCTCCAGTTTCTCCAGACTCTGACCCATAGTCTCCGGGTACAGGAAGTACACCGATACAATATAGGTAAGGCCTATAACTGCATACACGATGTAATACTGATACCCGATTGTAGACAGTGCAATGGGCGTAACCATTTGCACGAGGAAGTTCCTGATAAGATTAGCAAGGTCCTGCAATGGCATAAGGAACGTACCATAACCAGTGATTAGAAGTTGATATCGAAGTCATTGCAACACGCAGCCTACTCGACGCAACCTCTGTGCAGTATAAGAAGCTCGGACCGAGGAAGCCAATCGGGAAGAAGAGGTTGAAGAGGAAGATGAAGAACGAGCTGGCGATTGCAGCGCTCTTGTTGCTGCTGGAGAAGCTGGACGTGATGGCCATGCAAGTCATGCATGTTGTGACTCCGAATCCGCAGATTAGGAAGAGGATTCGACGTCCGAACCGGTCTATCGTGAACAGAGAGATGAAGGAGGCCAGGAACTTCCATGTCATGGCGCAGGCGGCTATGATACGGGTAATTGAATCGGATAGATTCAGGTTTTGTTGGACTAGGGTGGTAACATAGGTGGAAATGACCTGGGCACCAGTCATCTGAATCCAGAACTGCAGTCCTATACAGAGCATGCAGCGGTAGAAGAGCTTTCCGTCTTTCATGGTGAAGATGTCTCGGACGGAAGAGGCGTTGGATGCGGTACTCTCGAGGGAAACTTCGATAGCGGTGATCTCACGAGTAATTTCCCCAGCATTCTTATCCACTCGTTTAATTCGAGCTAGCTCCGAGCTAGCTTGCTCAACTTTGCCGACCTTGACGAGCCAGCGGGGAGATTCAGGGAAGAAGAAGATGGCGCCGCATAGGATGATAGAAAGCACCCCAGGAATGGCCAGCGGGACCCTCCAGGACACATCATGCTGTTGAATCCTAGAGAACCCAAAATTGATCCAGTAGCACACGGCATAGCCGCTAGTGATGAAGATTCCGTCAATAACAACATGTCTACCGCGGTTTATAGCCTGGGACGATTCAGACTGCCAGACAGGAACCATGGTCGAGAATATGCCCACGCCCATACCGGTTAGAATGCGTGCTATGAACAACTGTGGAAGGTCAAAGGAAGAACAGGACAGGGCTGCCCCAATCAAGGTCAGGATAGACCCAATGCATATCGTCTTCCGCCGGCCCAACCGGTCCCCTATAAACGAGCAGGATAAAGCACCAACGGCGCTGCCAAGTGTAAACGAGGAGACATAGATGCCTTGGATAACGGAACGGTGAGATTCTAGCTCGGGAGCTGCGTGCACGGTATCGAGGTCAGGGAACAGCTTGGTGAAAGCTTCAAAGGAAACAAGGGCGCCGACAACGACTTGATTATAGCCAAATAGGAAGAAGGAGGGAAACACCACGAAGGCTGTTTGGAGGAGATGCTGCCGCTGAGCGAGATCCATCTTGGCCGGGTAGACAGAATATGGAAGCACGAGGCCAGGGACGGACCCGGGTTTTGTAGCCCACGGCCACAATGCGGGATTACTCTCATGCGGGTCAGGGTCACTGTCATTTGGACTCCCCGTACGGAGTAATCCCGGGGTACGGGGACTGATGGGCCAATGATAAGCTTGATTGTTCTATACTGTGGAGGGCCGATTGCCTCTATACAGCCGACTCGGGTACCCGCTTTGCCGAGCCAAGCCCTAACTGACAAGCGAGCTGCACCTAACCGAGCCCTTGGCAGTGCTTAATTAGTCTTGTAGACTGATACGGAAAGAGCGGGTGCTTCGTACCTGCTTGGGATGACAAATTACAAAAGGAAGGAACGCTGATCACACTAAGAGAAGGAACGAGGGATGGATCCTTGATGGCTCCTTAAGAGATATAGAGAAGTCTAGAGGAGCGACTTCATTTACCAAAACAGAAGGTGCAGTTGTAACCCTAGTACAGCAGTGGTGTCTCTACTTCATTGGTTTATGATCCAATTACCTGAATAAACCTGGACTAATAGACCTAGAGTGATAGACTTAGACGATAGATGCTAGTAAATATACACAAACTCATCATTCTCCCGATCCGTCAAGTCCTTGAACGCATTATTCCCAACCGTCTCCTCCGCCCCAGCCTCTGGGATCTCATCCTCCTGGTGGAAGTGGTTCTGCATCGACCGGTCAACCATCTTCCCGGGCTTGCCATTCGCAATCCGCCGCTTCTCCTGGCGCTTGTTGAGGAGGAAAAGGAGCGCCCACTGGATCAGTATGATAACAAGCAGTGCGGCGAATATACCCAGACAAGCTCGTAGACCGGGGAGATATGCAGGCTCGTCCTTCTCGTTAAACAGCAGTGGGCCGATAATGTTCCCGGCAGCTGAAGAGGCGTTGAATAGACTCATCACGACACTGAGTTTTGTCATGCCGGCGGTGTTTCCCACGATCCAGGTCACAGTCAGTGGGTTCCCGCCGAAGAGAAAAGCGAGGAGATAGTATCCAGCCATGAGGGCGCCTTGGGCGGAATTATCACGGGGGACAGCGTAGAGGACTCCGAGACCCGCGACGACAGGCAGGATGAACAGCGCGAAGATGACGCCCTTCATGCGCGCCTTCTGGGCGAGGTAACTGCCCAGCAGGATACAGATGAATTGCAGCGCGCCAAAGGGCATATTCAGCAATGTCGTTCTGTACTTGTCGAACCCGAGGCCGCTGAGAATGAGCGGGCCAAAGACATTCGTCACGCTGGCTCCGATGTTCAGGAGCATCGTTATCGCGATCCAGAGATACGTCTTGATTTCGAGCGCGGCTTCGAGGATGTGGTGCATTTTGAACTCGCGGGTGCCTGTGCTGGTTTGGTTTGCGCGCAGGCGTTCCATTGCTTGGAGTTTCTCTTGTTCGTTGAGGAAGCGCGCGGATGCGATGTCGTTGTCGAGGAAGATGTATACGATTGGCGCGGAGATGACGGTGATGAGGCCGACGAAGAGGAAGATGCTGCTGTTGTCAGTAACTGGAAGTTTATAATATTGTTAGACGTACATCTGCCACTCCTCCAGAACATCAGACTGGATATGCCCCAGACCGTACGACAATGCAGCTGCAACGATCGTCGCGAGGCCATTCGTGCCATACCAAGCTGCCACGCGCAGCGGCTGCTCAGCACGGCGATACCACTGACTCGTGATAATACTAAACAAAGGCAGACATCCAGCCTCAAACAGCCCAAGCAGGAAGCGCGTAGCCATGAGGCCGCCAAAGTTGTGGCACGCAGCCATGCAAGTCTGCGCAACACCCCATCCAAAGACAAGAACAGGCATGAGGATACGATGCGGCACTTTAACAATTAAATACGACGAGAAAGGCTGCCAGGCCAGCTGGGCAATGGGCGCAATGGACCCGACCAGCGAGTACTGGTTGCCGGTCAAATTTGCATCCTCCTGCAGGCCGAACGTCGCGCCATACCCGAGGACCGTCTTGTCGAGGATTTGCAGGAAGTACACCCAGATGAGGATGACGAGGATGCGCCGGTCTGTCTTGTGTCGGATGTGCTTGTTGTCTTCTTCTGTGAGGGGGACGCGCACGACGTTGATCAGGTCCACGTCGCCGGGCTTGAGGGCGTCGTGGCCCTCGACGTGTGAGATGTCTGGCTTGTCTGGAGAAGCCATTGTGTATGATGGATGGTGTGGAGGATCACAGTGGATGTCCGTGGTATATAAAGATATAGGGTTGATGGTGCCCCCACGCTCCCTTCCCCGGCCCAACTCCAACTCCACCCCCACACCGCGGATTGCTGTGCTCGTGATGAGTGCTTCCCCGCGTTTCTGATTCTACTTCGGAATGACCTTGGAATATGTGACTGCTATATCTATAATCAAATTTGCTATGAAACTATCATAGACCTTTTGGCATAGTTACTACGAGATAGAAGTCAACCCAGTTGTCTAGCCGAGGCTGATAGTCATGAGTAATACAGGACAATTACCGATCCGACTATAGCCGATGAAACATTATGGGACGATTCCTTGGTTTGTCATTAGGAGCTGTACCGGAAAGATAGCTACGTAGTTGTTATTAGTGGTGATATAGTAGGCAGCACTGCTATCCGGTATGGTAAAGTTAAGGCTTAACATCGTAGCTCCTTAAGCTGCCCCATACTACGAGTATACTACGAGTATACGTCAACGACGTCATCCGTCTGGGGTACAGAATGTGCCCCCACGCCGCCCCATCCAGCCGACTACAACCGACCACTGCCGAATCTCCAATAACTGCTTCTCCCAATTCCCATTCCATTCCCATTGCCTTCTCTTACCGACATACAATGCATCGGCAATGACACCCGGAACAGGCAAAAGATCGTATCGCGCATGCTTGCGCTGTCGGCAGCGGAAGACAAGATGTGACCTGTAAGCCTCTCCCCCAAATATACTGGATAGACTTACAATGTTAGTGACAAGGTCGGCGAGCCGATGAAGGCCCCATGCGCGTCCTGCCATGTTTCCGGCAGCGAGTGCGTTCTCATCAAGTCCCGGCGTGGAGGGAACTTCCGTCGACAGAAGTCCGGTTTGGCCTCGAGTAATGCGACACCAACTGGTTCAAGAGAGATATTTGATTCTGCTGTTGGCAGTGCTGAACCTCACTCAGATGGCGAGGACAGTGCTACAGAGTCCGGCGATGTGTTGAATATGGAGCTGCGGAACCCGTCTGATGCATTGCAGATTCTGGCACTGTCTGGGGAGAATCAACGGAGTGAACCAAGAGATCCCTCTCTATCTGAATCTAATATAGCAAATTCTGGTCGGGGCTTAAACTCGGGGGAGTACAGGGCTGCCGCTCAGCCTGGGAAAGACCCGACTACAATATTCGATGACTATGAGCTGGTGCAAAGAGGTCTAATACGGCCAGGCGTAGTATATGAATTACTCCATCGGTAAGCAAGTTTATCATCTCGTGGCTTTTCTAACAGCCCAGATACTCTCACTACTATCATCCGTACTGCCCCATCGTGCCACTATACTTCCTCTCTTCGGCCAACACAGAGAAGATCCAGCGAACAGACTACTTCCTTCTCACTGCTATTTTGACGATTGCATCAAGAGACGATCCTCGTCATTCACTAACCCACCGCTACTGCTGGGACCATGCCCAGCGGCTGCTAATCGATGTACTGCTTTCGCATCCATGGACCCAGACTCCACGGACGGTGGAAGGGCTACTCCTTCTCGCGGAGTGGCTGCCGCATATTCAAGTCCAGGAGACTGCATCCGAAGCTTCGAAAAACCTCTTTAGCGAGGACAGGACCGCCTGGTCTCTTGTTGGTCTGGCAGTGCGGCATGGCTATCTCCAGCGTCTGGACCAGGGCGCCTTTCGCAGTACCGGCAACATCTCGAGAGAGCGCGCGGAGCGGAATAGACTTGTCTGGGCTTGTAAGTCCTCTATTATTAAGTTAATGGCCAGAGTCGTCTGACAAACCAGACATCTGGATAGCAGACCGGCAGATATCAGTGCGGATGGGACAATCGTTCTGGTCTCGAGGTCCATCGAATGGCGCGAGATTCGTTGCTCAGGACTTTCCTAGTCTGCAGCCTCGTCCTGAGACGAATAACGAGGACTATGCGTCTGTCTTGCAGGCTACGACGGAGCTGATTCAGATTCTACACAACGCCCATGCTATTCTATTCGCGTCCAAGGACAGAACCCTCGCTATGATCTACGATGGACAGTACTCTAGATATCTAGACGACTTCCGAGCAGCTGCTAGGACATGGCATTCCACATGGTCCCATATATCTGTGTCGACAAAGGTGCAAACAACGCTACTCATTATGTATGAGTATATCTGCCTCTATACAAATGCGTTCTCCTTCCAGGCGGTTATCACAAGAGCAGCAAACCCACGACTGTCTTCGCAAAAGGAACAGCAGAACAAGAAACCATTTACAGAGCTTCTATCCCACGGCATCATGTCCTCTCCTGATGGGCGGTTCATCTTTGACGCTTTCAGCGCTGCCAGAAACCTCCTTTCCTTGATGAACAGTCTTGATCCGCAAAATGTGATATGCTATTTACCATCGCGGTACTACCTGTACGTCACCTACATCTCCTTACCCTTTTAGAATGAAATACTAAAAAATAAGATACGGAGTCTACGCCGCCGTCCTCCTGCACAAAGCCGACTGCACGGGCGCATTCCAACTCGGAACCCAGCGCCAGGAAATCATCTGCCTGGTACGGGACTTCATCTCCGTCCTCGAAAAGGCCCCGTCAACAGAATCACATATCTGCCATAGCTACAGCCGCATGCTCAAACAGCTCTGGACAAGACGGGAAAGACGATACTCGAAATCAGCAGCCCGGAAACGCGGACAGACAGGCGAAGCCAACACGGTGTTGCAGAACCAGAACCAGCACCAGTTACGAAATGACCAGCAAAGCCCCGCGGGGACGGCGATGTCGAATTCGCATTCTACGCCAGAGGACTTTGGCTTGCAGCATATATTTGATCCGGTTGCTGTGGAGAATGACCTGGCGTTTCCTTCCGTTGAGGGCTATTTCCAGGGCTCGTTTATGCCCGGGGTTGCGGACTTTGGGTCGCCTTTTGATGGGGGGTTGGGTATATTGTCGGGGACACAGGATTGGGATTTACAGGCTGGATTGGGTTCGGGGGAGTTGTAGCATAGTAGTTATCAGATAGGATTAGCATGCTTGTACCTTGAACATTGCATATAAAACCCTACTTTCAACTGCCGTCCAATGTAGAGGAATAGAAATACCAAGAATGGCAGGAGTCCATAAATGCAAGAACCAGCACAGCCCCGCTAATAAACTAGACCTGATCGATGCGTTACATCGATCTTCAGTAGTGGGGAACCCACCGCAGCGCTTGCTGGTTCAAGCTCTTGATCCGCATGAGGTTTCCTTGGGGCCAGTTTCGCATGTCGATCTGTTCAGGTTACAGGGACAAGGGCGGCGCCAGCGTGTTTCACATTGCCTGGAAACTGGCTCCATCCTGGTCCTGGGGTTGTATTCGTGGGGGCCGTTCTGCATAGATCGGGACGGTTGAAGCTTAATGGGCCTTCGTCTTTTATTTAAAGCAGAGTCATCCTCTGTGGAAGATGTAAAAACACTTGACCCTATTCTTCTTGACTCTAGTTAACAATGAAGTCCATTCTCCTCCTCGCCGCCGCCGCGCCCCTAGCCCTAGCCTGGCTGCCGGATGGCAAAGTCCGCGGCGTCAACCTAGGCAGCCACTTCATCTTCGAGCCCTGGATCTCCAACAGCGCCTGGAGCGATCTCGGCTGCAGCGGGCAGAACTCGGAATTCGACTGCGTGCTGAAACTCGGCCAGGATGCCGCGGACAAGGCCTTTGCCAGCCATTGGGGGTCGTGGACCACACAGGATGATATCAGCCAGATGCGCGAGTATGGGCTCAACACAGTGCGCATTCCTGTCGGGTACTGGATTAAAGAGGATCTGGTGGATAAAGATTCAGAGCATTTCCCGCGCGGGGGGTTGAAGTATCTCGAGGATGTTTGTGGGTGGGCGAGTGATGCGGGGATGTATATCATTATGGATTTCCACGGTTTGCCTGGTGCGCAGGAGGCTGAGCAGCCGTTTACGGGGCAGGTAATTCAATCCAATCTCAATTGGCATTTCAGGGTAATATGTGTGATGTTGACTTGTTAGTACGCCGACACCCCCGGCTTCTATAACGACTACCAGTACGGCCGCGCGTTGGAGTGGCTCGAGTGGATGACCAAGACCGTCCACCAGAACGACAAGTTCCGGAATGTCGGCATGATCGAGCTTGTTAATGAACCTGTCCAGGATGCAGGCCAGGCGTCGAGCATGCGTTCCAGCTACTACCCTGATGCCTTCAAGGTACACCCCTATTTAATAGTTAATAGCAGTCCAAGAACTAATAAAACAGCGCATCCGCGACACCGAAACCTCCCTCTCCGTCTCGTCAGACAGCTATCTGCACGTCCAAATGATGAACGAGAAATGGGGCTCCGGCGACCCTACCGAGTCTCTATCCGACACTTCGCACGCCGCATACGACGACCACCGGTACCTAAAATGGGACTCCAGCGTCGAGGTCAACAAGGACAGCTATATCAGCGCCTCGTGTAGCGACGACCGCGGCGGGAATACACCTACCATCGTTGGCGAGTGGAGTCTGAGCGTTCCCGACGATGTGGAGGGTTCTTCGGACTGGGACCCTGAGAGTAATACAGACTTCTATGCGAAGTGGTTTGCGGCGCAGGTGATTGCGTATGAGAAGCAGCTTGGATGGGTGTTTTGGACTTGGAAGGCGGAGTTGGATGATTATCGGTGGTCTTATAAGGGTATGTCTCCTATCGCTGGTGGTTGATGCCTGGCTAACTGGTTAGATGCTGTGGATGCTGGTGTTATTCCTAAGGATTTGGATAGCATCCATGACAACTCGCCTTGCTAATATAAGTAGTATTCAAGTATTGAGGCAGGGGGATGGAACTGCTGTGGATGTCAGATGTCAACTAATTCCTATTAATTGATCCAAGTATAGTACACTGGATAAGACATGCAGTCTAATATTAAGCAAACAATAAGCCCCACACTCATTGCTAGCCGAACCTCGTGAAGTCGTCAAGCAACTGCAGGCTCAAGAATACGAGATGTGGATATCCAACCCGTATTCACCCCAGCTAAAGGCAATCAGGTTAGCCAGAAGACACTCCCCCGCTAATCTAAAAATAAAAATAAAAATAAAAATCCTTCATAAGCCTTGATGACCCCAGGTTCAATCATGATCTGCACCAAACTCTCCACACCCACAAAAACATCCAGCACAATGCAGCTCCCTTCCCTCCTCGTCGGTGCCCTACTGGCACTTGGCATCCACGCCGCCCCCGTTACAGAGGGCACAGACCAAAGCCCAGCCTCCGACGGAAATAGCCTATTCCAACGCGACTCAGGCCAGCTGTGCCGGATTCTCTACAGCACACACGTCAACTGCCGCACCGGGCCGGGCACGAACTATAAGAGCGTGGTGGGGCTGAATAAGGAGTATACACGGGGGTACTGGTTTACGTGTGTGAAATCGGGCGAGTGTATTACGCTGAATGGGGCGGTTAATTGGTACGTATACACTACCTTGCTGCTGCTATGTTATAGATTTGGGTGGGGGCTTATTGGTGTAGTGGGTGGGATTATTTCGAGGAGGATAGGTGCTATGTTAACGGGCATTATACGGATGGGTCTTGTACTCTGGGTATGTCTCCCCTATCCAAGGTCAGGTTGGTATAGTTGTTAATGTGTGTAGCCAAACTCGGCCGGTGCTAGGAAGCCTGCGAGGCTGTTCAACCTTCACGTCTATATGGATAGGTATTAGTACAGGATATAGTTGCATTGGAACGCGTGGCACCGACATCAGCCGGTATGCTTCACCGAGGCTATAGATATCCGAACTTCTCCAACTTCTCAATCTTAGATCCAATCAATCTTCTAATACCAGACAAGTATGATTCAGGAAGCGGGGTTGAATTGCTCCTTTTCGGCCATCGGGGCCGACGCCGATAGACTTATATCATAACTGATTAAACCCATCATCCCATAATGAAACTTACATATTCTAAATCCCAAAATGAAGTATCTTAGCTACATCATAACCATATTTGCTGCCTTCGCTACAGCCACCCCCTGCAGCAAAGAAACATTCAACCTCCCAAACACCAGTATAGACAGCATCTCCCACCACAAGAATGGAACAAGCATCCCCCTCCCCCTCACCGTCCCCTCCTGCGGCGGCCCAACATTCCACACCAACATAACAAACACCATCTGCCGCCTCGTCGTTAACGTCAGCACAACCCCCACCAGCTCCATCCGCATCGAAGCCTGGCTCCCAGACGCACAAGCATGGAACAGCCGGCTGCTAGCCACAGGCACAGGCGGGGTGGGTGGCTGCATCGACTACACCACACTCCAGAACAGCGCACAGCTAGGCTTCGCCAGTTTCGGCATGAATGCCGGGCATGACGGGAGCGAGGGGTATGAGTTCTTCCTGAACAGGCCGGAAGTTATTAACGACTTCGGGTATCGGGGATTGCATGTGCAAGCGGAGATTGGGAAGGAGGTTGTTAGGCAGTATTATGGCCGGGAACCGGGTAAGAGTTATTACCAGGGATGTAGTACGGGTGGGAGGCAGGGGTTGCAGAGTGCGCAGCTTTATCCGGGGGACTTTGATGGGATTATTGCGGGTGCGCCTGGGATTGACTGGTTAAGGATTGTTGCGTCTAAGGGGGTTCTGGCGAGGCGGGTTGGGTGGCCTGATATTGAGTCGGCTGGGTATGTGCGGCCGGAGCAGTGGGGTGCTATTGTTGAGAAGCAGATTGAGATTTATGATCCGTTGGATGGGGTGGTGGATGGGGTTATTGACGATCCAACGCAGTATAGTTTCGACCCTGAAGTGCTGGTCTGTGGTGCTGGGCTGCTGAATGACTCGGTCTGTTTGTCTGCGGCACAGGTCCAGTCTGTCCGCGCGGTATATCTCCCAATAGCAGACTCGACGGGACGCATTGTATACCCTGCCTTTGGGATTGGTGCGGATACGTCTGTGTTCTCTGATAACCAGGTAAATGGGAGGCCTGAGCTGGCGTATACCATTCTTCAGGTATGTCTATCTACCTATTATAGACATCGCTAACAGCACAGGACTTCTGGCGCGGCGCCGTGTACAACGACTCAACCTGGACCCCCAACAACTTCTCTGTCACAGACATGGAGACCGCCCTGGAAATAAACCCAGGAGGCGTAAACGCCGCAAGTCCGGATCTATCTCAATTCTACAAGAAAGGGGGCAAGATTATATCATACCACGGCCGCAGTGACGAAACAGTTACTCCGAGATTATCCATGGAGTACTACGTCTCTGTCCAGGCAGCGCTAAACCTCACCCTCGAGGAGATGCATTCCTTCTATCGGCTGTTCTATGTTCCCGGGATGCATCATTGTAGTGGTGGTCCTGGTGCCTCGGAGTTCGGACAGTCGTATCCGCTAGACGCGAGGGCTTTGAGTCCGGATCGGAATGTTCTTCTGGCGTTGGTTGAGTGGGTAGAGGGTGATACTGCGCCTGAGGTTCTGATTGGGACAAAGTATGATGATATCAAGGTTGAATCGCACAGAAGTACGTCTATTCACAACTACTCCTGCTGTATACCCAACTGACGCATTTAGAACACTGCTACTATCCAAAACAAAGTATCTGGAATGGATCCGGGGACCCAAGCACTGCTGAAAGCTGGAACTGCAGTCCGTAACTTTTCCACAATAGATACATCAACACGCTAGCTGTATATTTGCATTATATCCACCGCCTGCTCAGCAACAGCATAAAGCGTCGCCTGCGGATGCCCCCCAATACTCACAGGAAGCACACTCGCGTCCACAACCCTAAGCCCCTGCACTCCATAAACCCGTAGGCTGGAATCAACAACCCTCCCCATCGCCGCCGTCCCAGCCGGATGATGGTGCGCCATTCCTGTAGCCCTAATCCGGGCATCGTACTCGCTATCAGAGGACTTGGACGAGAGTGGAGGCATTCCTGGTGGAGGGACCTCGCACTCGATGTATTCCTTCAGTGCGTCAGTGTCGAGCATCGCCTGTGCCGTGCGACGCGCACCGTGGATAAGTACTGCGCGGTCAGCTTCGGTGTCGTAGTAGTTTGAGTCTACCAACGGTGGCTCAGCAGGATCGGGTGAGCTGATACTCACGCTCCCTCTGGACGTCGCACCGAGGAGCATGACTGAGGTGACGATGAGGCTACCGTCCATAGGCGCGTCCGGAATACCAGCTGGTGCATAGACGGGCAGTGTTTCAACAAGCGGGCGGCCAGGAATGAGAACCGAGTCGTCTGAGTTTGGACCGAAGCGCTCTCTATCCTTTTGTACGGCTGTCTCTAGAATTTCTCTTGGGACTTGCTGGTTCACAGTCCAGTCTGTGGGAAGACCTTTCATGAATGCTGGATCGGAGAGGGCTGGGCTTCCCAGCGCGAGACCGCGTTCGGGGTTGCGCAGTTTGTAGAGCTGATACAACGCGAAATGGTCTGTTAGGTTCTTTCCAACATTTGGAGCATCGACAGTGATCGGAATTCCATGCTTCGATAGAGTCTCTGCAGGTCCAATACCAGACAGCATAAGAAGCTGGGGAGTGCGCAGTGAACCAGCCGCCAGGATGATTTCCCTCCGTGCAGTAAAGCGACGACCATCCGCGAGGAGAACTGCAGAAGCTTTCTTCTGGGCCGATCCATTAAACTCAACTTTATGAACAGCGGCATTGGTAATGCACTGCACACCGTCGAGACTATACGCCTGGTACGCGGCCTGTCGCTCTCCACCATCCCATGTCTCCAGGAACTCAACAATCCCAGAAAGCTGTCCAGATCCTGCATCAGGGTTATACCTCTCGCCGACCTCAAGCCAGGCATCCCTAATCGGGTCTCGAAGTGGGTATCGTCGCTTTGGATCACTCGCAGACACAGACGTCACACGAACCGGACCGTCAAAACCATGGTATGCAGCATCAGCACTGCGGTCAAAGAACGACTCCGACCGGCGGAAGTAAGGCAGCAGTCCCTTGAAACTCCATCTGTCGTCTTTGACAGTATCCGCCCACAGGTCATAGTCTTTGGCGTCCCCCCTGCTCCATCCGCCGAAGTTGGTGGTGCTTCCGCCGCCGAGGGCTCTGCCTGCGTGGACAGTGTGTTTGCGGTTCGCAGTGTTGGCTTGTGGTGTCGTTGCATATGACCAGTCTAGATCTGAGTCCAGGAGAGAAAAGAGACCTGGGAAGGTCTTGACGTTGGGATTATCAGATGCGTCAGGGCCTGCTTCAAGGAGGAAGATATCTAACGATGGATCTCGCTGTTTGAGACGCGATGCGACGACGCAGCCTGTTAGTCCGCCGCCGACGACAATGTAATCTGCCTGAGATGCCATGTTGTCAAAAATTGAAAAATGTTTGGTCTTTTGGTTCGATTGCGCGGCTGAAATAGGTACTGGCTGACTGTCAGCACAGCCAAGACTGCTGGATAGTGCTTACGGGGTGGATACACCAGCTGCGCCTCACTGGTCTTACTTGGCAGAGGAACTGTTTGAATCTGGTTAAATGTCGCGGTCAGTTAAAGTTTGTGACATCATGATTTGTATAGATCGCTTCAATCATGTTTAAGCTTCAATAAGGAACTGTTTAGGAACGAAGGGACCATGGCATTTACTTGCTTTAGTAGAACCTTGTCGTGAAACCGGCCTCCTAGTACTGTTTTACCTGAAGTCTTGAATATTAAATATTCGCCGGCTTGTAAGTAGACGAGTGGATCCAATATAATAGTATGAACGGTGCTCCCTATCTTGTACACTTAGCAGACTCTATACATGTAGACAGCTTATCACATGACATGTCAAATCAATAGGTTCGGTGTATTTTATCTGTGAGTATAGAACAGAGGTATAATATAATATAAACATGAGGGAAGAGCTGGATGAGTGCCCGATATCTGTATTAGGCTGACATGCGCCACATAACAGGGATTACAGTAGTGGGCAAGATGACATTTCCCCGCAGCACTGGAACATGTCAATCCCAGAGAGCCGCTTGAGTTGTCAAAGCTCGGCCAAATATGGATCTTTCGGTTCTATCAAGTTTGGAAGGGTGGGATAAGTCCAAGTTCGAAGCTTACGCTAAGCTCCTACGACTGAAGAATGGCGGGCAGATTGAAGAAGCCTCGGATTCTACTGAGAGAGCACACGAGCAGGAGATCTCTGACCCAGATAGCCCGGACTCTGTCAACGTGAAGCCACTGTCACGGTTCGACGAGACCAAGCTCAAGAGATCTTTTCTCGACAGACTATCCGAGCTTGTTGCTAATGAGAAAGGAGGCCATTATGTCTCAGCGTCTTTGATGGTCGAGTGGCCGGATAGAGTCGACGTCCTCGTGGCGAGAAACACTGGATTCAGGAAGAACAACCCGAGTGTTCAACTCCTCGAGACCATAGCCTCCAGCCTGCGGGGCATTTCTAAGCTTGATCGCCGAGGTGTGTCTTTCCCCTTTGACAGAAAGATGGGCTAAGAGCATACTGTAGATCTAACTGCCATCTATACCATGCAAGAGCTTTGGGCTTTATTGATACGATCGTACGAGCCCCGGATAAGAGTTTATATTAGTGAAGTGAGACAAGCTTTCAAAAGGACCAAGATACCCGCCGATGCGTCTTCACCTCTTCTGTTGCGTCTTGAGGACTTTCGAGCCCTGGTAAGTGATATACCGCGTGTATCGACACAAGCTGGTCTCGAGGAAGCAGTTCACGGCGCATACGAAATCTGCTGCTTCCATAATGAGGAAGAGTTTGAGCGTATTACTTCCCATGCATCCGACGCCAGATCACTCAGAAGCGCTCTTAGATTTCTAAGCAGGCTGAAGACGTGCTTCAAGACGTTTATCCGAGGGGCAGAAAGGCTTTCGAACTTCCACAACCTCCGCATTATCCCAGTGACAATTTTGCCCGTCCGCGGAGCCAAAGCAAAGGGAAATCGTGCAGGCGACTGGTCGGTAGCGATGGCATTCTCATCTCTAGGCCTGAGTCTGGATGATAAAACCGTGAAATCTGTCTTTGGGAGTGGGAAAAAGAGGGGAGCCTGGACTAAGAACAAATTGCTGCTGAAGTTCGACAGGCTGAAGTCGTCCGTCTCCGAGGTACACGCAGAAGTACAGGTTGCCCTGGCTGCAACACGGGATGAATATAAAGGAGCCTCTGTTTTCAAATATGTGGGTTGCAGCAAGAGAAGCTGCTTCTTATGCTACAGATTCGCCTTGAGATACGGCCAGTTCATAACAAGAGGTTGTCATGGCAAGATCTACGATCTCTGGACCCTGCCCCAGGTTCCATGGCTTGTCGAGGAAGAACGCCTGAGACTCGTGCAGATCCTTGGAGGTATGGAGAAAGATATGAGGAATTCCATCCTGAATAAGACCATCAGCATCCCTCCTACCCAGGAATCCAGCATTGGAGGCTCCTCGCATGCAACCATACGACCACATTTTGACAATCCTTACACAATGTCACTCGTCTCGCAGCACCTCCAAGCTCAACGTACTTCGCTTGGTCCCGAAGAGACTGTTGGAAGTGAGGATCAAGATGATACTTATGAGCCAATGCAGGATCACTCAGCAGCACCAATGCCAACGTCTATACCAGCACCAGGTGAATGCCAGGGCTGTGAGCGAGAAACCTACCGCCGTTGTAAGCACTGTGACCGGGGTTGGTTTTGCAGCCAAAGGTGTCAAGAACGGATGTCTCTAAGTCACCTTGCGAAATGTTCTGCTCGCCCCATAACAACAGCAGACTTGCTGTTCGATGATGCAGTAAAAGATCAGTTTCCAAAAGATGAACAGACCCGTGAGGACTTTGGATTCAGTCGGTGTTCCCATCACAGAGAGGAATCGCACCTCTTGGGCCTGTACAGGGGGTTTCTTCTTTTGCGAGACCCCAAAATTGACCCGGTCAAGCTGCACGAATGGCAAAGAAAAGGCCTACTTGTCAGAAAGATCATTGAAAAGTTTTCCACAATCCCCGAGAGCAGTAGGGGGTCTTACTTCTCGTGGTTCCTCCGAAATCAACATATTCTCGACCCAGCGTCATCGTCTCAGCCTGATAGCCAGGTGAATCCACTCCAGCGAGCTCTCCATGCCGCAAACCCCTACCTCGAACCTGAAGATCGTGGGAAAGACCTCCTCCAGCTCGAACCCGCGGAGAAAAGGTATGCCTTCGTTCTTTATACGCTAGCTCTGGATGGCGGAAGCCCCAACCCAAACTGGGCAGAGCTCGATCTGTGGTATGACTTTGGCTTTGTCGTCTGTACCGACGAGCATTATGAAGGGAGTCTCGGGGCTCTATACAGTAAACTACTGGGTGGCAATAAATTTTTCAGGGACTATGATGAAAGTCTTGGGGTCAAGCGTAGCAGAGCTGCCGACTCATCTACCTGCCCTTTTGACGAGTTCTGGCGCGCATGGCAAAATGGGAAAGCCGCAGAGCTGTTCGACAAGTACGGCATGGGAGGTGACCTAGATCGGAATACATGGTTTGGCCTCTGGGGAAACTCCGGTTTTTCTCATCTAAGGGAATTTCTGTCCTACCCAGTGTCAAAACATGGACTACGACCTTCAGTATGGAGACTCAAGCACCTTCTGGCCTTGGACGACAATACACCCTTGGTGAACTTCCCCCAAATCGAAGCAGCTGCTCAGGAGTATGGATTCACGCCGCAGCTAGACGCAAGAACAAAGCTCGAACTACGCCGGTTCTACAAACAGTTGCTGGCAGCGGGAGATCCCCTCGAGGTCCACAGGGCAAAAGAACACGGTGAGCTGCTACGGTACGCGCAGAGCACTGTCAAGGATATTGACAATTCTGTGCGAGATGTGTTGCGGAAGATGGATTCAATGCGGGGATAATGACCTTTTCTATCAAGACATTTCTAAAGCATGAAACCCTTATTGTCTGATAATCGAGGGCTAATGTGTAGATACCGCGTCAAGCCCAAGAGGCCGAAGAGGCTGAAGAGGCTGACTATGACTATCAGGTCTGATGAAGGAAGCACACTTTATTCTTCATGGTTAACTGCCCATAACTGCATCGGTATCCGTGCAAAATATCGCAGTAATGTAGCCTTTGTGCCGTAGTAAAGATAAAGGCTGGGATGTGAAGCAAGGCATAGATCTGACTGTCAGCACAGCCAAGACTGCTGAATAGCGCGTATCAACACATGGAACGGTCGGATATGTATACGGACTTTTAGCTGAACCTGGCAAAGGGAGGCTTGTTCAGGTCGTACGGCAGGTCAGCAACGCGAATATGGGCATGTCAACTGGTGTTACCTTCTTGGTCTACTGATCTCTACGTCGAGATGCGGGGCTCTCGCTATATATACAGATACCTTGTATAGAAGAATGACCTTAAAATAAATCATGAATTCCCGAAAAGCCTGCAATAACTGTCCCATGTCCACCAATAACCCTCGCAAGTCACATATCGAAAGGTAGGCGCACCTATCCTCCCACCAAAACTTTCATTGTCGGCCAACCTACCTTAATCACGGGCAGGCGATCAGTAATACCTGGACCGATGGCCATTCCTGAACCTCGACCTGGACACCCGGCGACTTGCAGAACGGCGTCGATGCGACCTCTTGAAGCCACAAAACTCGAAAAGGCATCGGTATGTCCAGTGATTGTTGCTGTTAGTCTCGTGCTGCAGGCGAGATGGAATACCACAGAAGCAACGTGGGTTCCATTCTCTGTAGCCCTCATCGTCGTCGAAGACCAGCCTTTCGCATTTACCACACTTACGCATCCACCTGCCCTCGTTGCCGTTCACGCTATCCCGACACTGTGACTCGTACATGATCCGGCGACAACATCTCTCGCCCCGGGGGAGCAGGCGCTCTCGGGCCATCTTGGTTGAGTTAGCAGTGGGCTAGAAGATAAGTTGAATAGATACTAACCGTGCAATATGATGAAAGGAAGTAAAAGAAAAAGAAGAGCCCAGGGAGGGGGGCACAGACTAAATACCTGGAGAGGCCGAAGTACCAGCACTACAAAAGTACCACTTCCACCAGTTTCTTTCTGATTCTACGCTCTCTGTTCGAGGGCTGTGTTGGCAATGGAAGTTGGCATTGGGGCGACCAATGGCTGCCCTAACGTGCATGGTGAGGCAGCCATACAACCCATGCAAGCCCGAGTCAGGACGAATCACACCCGGATCTACTGCAAGCGACACCAGAAAAGGACAAGAAGGGTGCCAGGTGACTCAATCACCAAGCCACTCACGTGGTAAACACTGGCTCCCGACCGAAGGAGCTGTCAAATACTGATCCCGACTTGCTTTGGCCGAGAATCGGGGGCTATTCGTTAGAGATGCCGTAGTCGCCAAGCCCGAGGTGCCGACAAGACTTCAGGTCAGCTTGAGCATATGGTCTTGATGAATATGGTCTTGAGGTTGGGTCTGCCGGCTGTATGGTCACCGCATTATAGTTTGATAGTTAACTAGTCTGACGTCTTTTGGTGCTCCATATAAACCCCAGTAATGGAGCTTTGTATAATACTAAACTTCAAGTCAGGGATGTAAGGCATAGAACAACATGATAAGACTATTTATCCATAATAAGCACCGTTGAACAATGGTAATTGCACATGGCAGTTAAACCCACAAATAGGGTATTGTCGTTGCTCGTGTTCATGTTGCTCGTATTCACAAAGTACCGTTTATGAAACGTAGTAAGGGATCTTCACTGAATTCGGACATGCCTAATTAACCTCGGCTGCTTCTTGGGGTAATCCTTCGAATAAACGGCATAAATTGAGGGCGTCCTTAGTATTTCCACGACATTGTTTCAACATTCGTCTCTATACCTGCAGTTCTAGTAGTCAACATGGACTGGCAACTTGCAGCATCAAAGAAGAAGTCTAGCCTCGAGGCAGCTATCCCTCCAGAATGGCGCATCAAGCCACCTACATACGACTCAGTCATGTCATTCCCACGGCAGAGTGGGATCTTGACTGAGGAGGAGCTGCAGATCACCGAATCCTCAGCTACTCAACTAGTGGGCGATTTAGCTGCTGGAAAGCTGAGTTCAGTGGCTGTTACAACTGCTTTCTGCAAGAGAGCTGCGTTGGCACATCAAGTGGTATGGTAACTGCCATTTAAATATGGCAAATTGCTAATAGGTAGACCAACTGCTTCCATGAATTCTTCCCTGATATGGCCCTCGCCAGGGCACAGTATCTGGATGACTATATGGCCGAACACAAGAAGCCCATTGGACCACTTCATGGCCTGCCAATCTCCCTAAAGGACCAGGTTCGCATTAAAGTAAGAACATCTATCACCGTATGGAAAATCGTTAATTGAATAGGGCCTTGAAACTACCATGGGGTATGCCACCTGGATTGGAAAGAAGAACACCGAAGACTCCGTCCTAACTACCCTGCTACTCAATGCCGGCGCCGTGCTCTACGTCAAGACCTCCGTTCCCCAAGCCCTAATGGTAGGCGAAACCATCAACAACGTCTTCGGCCGTACCACCAACCCTCGAAACAAGAACCTATCTTGCGGCGGAAGCTCCGGCGGCGAAGGCGCCATTCTTGCACTCCGCGGCAGTGTATTAGGTGTTGGAACGGATATCGGTAAGTCTATCAAAAAGTAAAATTATTTGAAGTATCTAATAATAAAGGTGGCTCGATTCGAATCCCAGCAGCATTCAACTTGCTCTACGGTCTCCGCCCTAGCCATGGTCGTATTCCGTATGCGAATATGGCTAATAGTATGGAGGGGCAAGAGACTATCCATAGTGTATGCGGACCACTTGCCCATTCGGTAGCTGATATGCGACTTTTTGTCACGTCTGTCCTCTCCCAGGAGCCTTGGCTCCATGATTCCAAGGTAATTCCTATGCCCTGGCGACAGAGCGAGGAGGACACTATCAAGATAAAGATTGGGAGCGGTGGATTAACCCTAGGATATTATTTCTGTGACGGCAACGTCAGTCATCATGTATATACACTTGAAGTCCAGAACTAACTGCTTATAGGTACTCCCCCATCCTCCCATACTGAGAGCTATTCAGACCGTCACCACCAAACTCAGCGAAGCCGGACACACAGTCCTCCCTTGGGGGCCCTACGAGCACCCGTCCGCCATCGACCTCTTCATGTCTATCATCGGCGCCGACGGAGGAACCGTAATCCAAAACATAGCAGACCTCACACCCGCAACGCACTCAAAACTAAGCATAAACGATCTCTGGGACCTGCACCTCAGGAAATGGAACTACCAATGCGCATACCTATCGAAGATCCGGGAATTCGAGAAGAGAATCGGCAGGGAGCTCGATGCTATTATTGCCCCTGTAGCGCCGCATGCTGCGATCCGGCATAACCAGTTCAAGTACTATGGATATACCACTATTGTGAATCTGCTTGACTTCACGAGTGTTGTTGTCCCGGTTACGGTTGCGGATAGGGGTGTTGATGTCAGGAATGAGGTTAAGTCGTTGTCGGAGGTTGATGCGGTTGTTCAGGGGGAGTGTAAGTACTGATTATACTTGAGATTGTTCTGAGGCTGAGTTTTATAGATGACCCCGATGTGTATCATGGCGCACCGGTTGCTGTCCAGATTATTGGACGCCGTCTGACTGAGGAGAGGGTTATGGCTATTGCAGAGGAGGTAGGGCGTCTACTTGGATAAATAACGACAACTATCCAGGCGTCGGTGATTGTCCGGTGGTATTTAGAGGCTTTGTGAACTTGCCTGATTTCCGTGGAGATGATTCTGAATAAACAAAGATCTTTGAACTCATTTTGGTAGACATTTCGCTAGGAAGGCCAAGACTGTCTTTATGTGCCTAAGGGCTTTGAAGCCATTGTCTCAAGGTAAAGCATTCATCTTGTTGCTAAGATATTAGTGAATAGCGATTCAAACCATTTCCCAACAATAAAGACAGTATGTATAAATGAGAAGCCATCGCTCGGAATATTAAGACTTTGAATAGTAAGAAAGTCCAAACGAAACCATGGCTTCCCTATGCCCACCTTATTTCCCCACTGAGCTGGCCACTAAACTCGCCAAATATCTAGACGCTTACACCCTACTACACGTCTCTAAAGTCTGCCACTCCTGGCGCGATGTCTCCCTCCCCCTCCTCGACAAAGTGCATCTCGAAGACACTCTATCTGCCTTCGGAACCGCCGTCGACGACGCCAACCATGACGCCCTCATCTACTTCGCCTCCCGCATCCAGCGGAACAAGAGAACAGGTTTTCCAACCGGGTGTCTAGCCCTAACACTCGCATGCACAACCACCTGTACCACAGCAGTGCGCATCCTTATCCCCTACACCAGCATGCCCCCCAAACACCCAGGGTCCAAACTAGACCTCGACGCATGGGACAAGCCTCTATTCGAAGCCATGCGCCAGCAAGACCCAGGCGTTCTAGAAGTCCTTCTAGACAACGGAGCGCCGCGAGACAAAATCTACACTTGCGGACTAAGCCTAGAAGACAGCGTCTCGTTATGGGGTGAGAGTCCAACGCCGGAATCACCAAAGGCCTTCCTGCATGCGGCGGTGTTTCGCAAGTTTCCGGCTGCTGTTAGGTATATTTTAAACAAGGTTCGTGACTACCCGCCGACGCTTGATGCTGTGCTGAACGAGGCTCATCACGGCGATCGGCCGCTTTGTTCTGCTGCGGCAAGGGGATATACTGATATCCTTCGGATTCTGCTCGATTATAAAGCTATTGTCAACACAGACAGGAATGCCAGGACGACGCCGCTGGGTAACGCCGCCGCTGCGGGGCGGGAGGAAATTGCCAGGATACTGCTTGACCACGGGGCTGATACGGAGCTTTGCGGTAAAAGTGGGCAGACGCCTTTATTCAGCGCTGCGTATAATCCTATCCTAGAGAAAGAACATGCTGGTGTTGTCCGGCTGCTGCTGGGGAGGGGGGCGAAAACTGAAGCTGTTGACAAGCATGGCGATACACCGTTGCTGTGGGCTGTGAAGCATGGGTGTGAAGAGTCTGTCAGGATGCTCTTGGAGCATGGTGCGAATGTCAACCACCAGGATAAAGGGGGTATCACGCCACTTATGGCTGCTACCTGCTCGGAAGAGAATATGCCCAGTATAGTGCAGTTGCTGGAGGACTATAATGCGGAATTAGGCCCATGGTAACAGGCCTGACTGGTATATCGCGTTCAGAATATAGAATGCCCTGGGGTAATAAATTGCAATTAAGAGTTTGTGTTTTCTACTAGCATTGAGGCCAGACTGATTACTTGGACAGTATCGTCTTATTGTCCTTAGTACTATAATAATGATCTAAGCCTGGTTTCTTGCACATTCCTCATCTTTCCCCCCTTTCAGCCATCAGAATCCTATTCTCTCCTTATCTAGATTTCCGAGTGTGTATCTGGGAGCATAAACAGTTTTAGTACATGGATCCAAGCAGAAATGAGCAAGCCTTACCCTCGATCTTTTCCAATTCAAACACCGCAGAGTCCGAGAAGTGATAATCCAACTCCAAGGACATATCAAACGCGCGGGATACATAATGCCTCGTTACAGAGTGCTGGAAAATAAAAAGAGGCGATTCCTCATCAATCCTAGAGACAATGAACGGCTGCCCTTCTTGTTCTCCAAGGTTCAATTTGCATTTGTTGCCCAGCTCACACTGGAGGGACCCCGAGGAGGCGAGAGAGGTGATGATGGCCACATCATCGGCGAAGCCCTCGGTGTTGAACTCCCAGCCACTTGATGCGGAATTGACTGGAGTGCCAAGTTTCACCGAGTCTGCACTTTCAGTGGCAGGCAAAAGCGAAAGAGATTTGCCGTTGACAGTTTGCTTGATGTTGTCGCGAAAGACAAGACCGTGGGCGGGATGGCAGAGACTGGCCAGGATTCCGACTAGGGCGTATGCTTGCTTCATGATGGATATCGGATTAAAGAAGTGGATTATTGGGAGAAAGATGGAACGAGGTTGGACAACTTGCCGGGGCTGAAGGGTATTTATGCTGCGAAGTTGGCTTCAATTAGGCCGATCAGCTGAAACAAGCAAGGCATCACATACCTTGCAAGCTACATCGTGCATATGTTCCTCGTGCAGGTTGGAAATAGCGGTCTGGATTGGTAAATCGTAAAATGAGGCTGCAGCAGCACTTCGATCGTCATTGTACATGAAGGAAATGGTACATGAAGGAAATGGTGCATGAAGGAAATGAGTGGCGCAGCTGAACAGCTGAACTGGTCCGGCATTGCCATTGATTCATCGGCATAAGTCTACTCCGTAGGCTGATAAAAAGGAAATTGAGACCAGCAATCTGCAATGATACCAGTTTGTCCTCATCACCGATCGACAGACTAGTTATGCACATATCAATAGTGGTAAGCAAGGAGCTTAGAAACTCCGCAGCCGAGATTGATACACATGAATTCTCCGGGTCCCAAAGATGAATAGTAAGAAACGGGAGCTTCATCTTTCTGCATTTACTCTCCAAAGTTTTGCCAGTGTGGTCTTGAGTTGGGAAATCTACAAAGCGGAGCTGGGCTCATGGGAACAGCCCTGACTATGGTATATCGCGGTTCAGCGTGGAAGTCTATTCTGTCAGGATATTAATCAATCCGGCGCTGCAAGCAGTATTGAACAATACAGGACGCACCATGCTCCCTAGGGTACAAATTGCGGATTGAAGACTGTCCATTGTTTTGGACAGCATCAGCTTGATACCTTTATCCTTTGGCTGTACTTGTCCAGCTGAATAATTGAACAAGGCAATTTAAACAAGTTACATGTGATAGAGTGAGCAAGTAGTCCTAGGAGTGAATTCCCATGTAAGGTAGTGAATGCCACTATCACAGTAGTGATTCAAGCAAGTCCAAGCAGTGTATAAATATAGGATTCAGCACTATTTCGTAGTATCACTACTACTCAATTGCCATACATCATGGAGCTTCGACACCCATTTAACCTTCCTGCAGAGCTCGTTCTCATGATACTCGATCACTTATCACTACTTGACTATTTCAGTATTTCTGGGGTGTCATTGCAAGCACGAAGCTTCGTCCTGCCGACACTGCACGCGCTGACCCCGGAAGACAGGCTGCACGCGCTGAAAAGAGCAACAGAAGATGATCACCACGGCGCAATCCTGGTACTTTTATCCATCCTTGACTGCGAGATAACCGAGCCAGAACACAAATTCTTTATTCTACGAACTCTATTCAGAAGCAGCTACACCAAAGCCATGGGGACATGGCTCAACGATCTGGCGCCCAGTCCACCAACCGACCACGAATGGCGAAAAGAGGCGAACTGGAAAGAAACTTTCATGAGAAGCAACAGAACTGAAGCTCTAGATACTTGCCTTCGAATATTGCTCTCCGCTATCTGCCCTTATCGACTACGGATTCGACGACTCCGTCATAGATATATCGCCCTCGCTGTCAAAAACCGTGGCAAGCCTGCTGGCTCACAGCGCAGACACGGACCTGGTCAGTAATAAAAAAAAGGGGGGTCAGAGGCCTTGATGCACTGTTTTCAGATACTCATGGCAGGGTTATCTCTTAGTGAACATGGATTGTCAATATACCAACTATCTTTCTATCCTTCACAATAACTCACGTAATGTAGTGAATATTGCTAGCAAGGTAATTCACATACTCGGCAGTGAATATACTGCTATATCCTATAAGACCACCTTCAACTGAGCAATCACTATCTGTTTATTCAACATCAACATATTATATTCAACATGCCAGCCTTCAACCTGTTCAAGCTCCCCTCAGAGCTCATCTACATAGTCGTCGAGCATCTCCCCCCCTCATCGCTCACGGCATTCGCAGAAATCTCACCCACCACAAATCAAATGAGCACTCAAGCCATCAACGCTCTAACAGCCGACGCTGTAATAGAAGACTACAAGACGGCATGCAAAGAGAACAACCACAGCACAATCCTCCGACTCCTCCCCTTCATCCTCCCCGAACCCCCCCTCTCCATAAACGCCCACATCGCCCTCCTTTATACCTGCCGAACCAGCTGCGGCGAAGCAGTCAACCTCCTAGCCCGCAAAGGCATCCCGCTGCACGAACACAGCGCCAGAACACAACCCAAATCCACCAGCCTCGACCTCGCAGACTGGCTCGACACGCCCTTCCTCAGCGCCGCACGAAACACCACCACCGACGCTCTGAAAGCCCTCTTCGCCAACGGCGCCTCGCTGTCCAGCATCGCCTACTTCACCGCGGGGTCACCCAGTCTAGCCGGTATAGCCATGAACCCGGACCATTACCTGCACCATGCGGCGTCGGAGGGTCTGATTGCTGTTGTGAAGTGGCTGCTTGTGGAGTGTCCGGATTATGAAGATGTGGATATTGATGTGCCGGATTTTCTGAAGAGGACGCCGCTTATGTTTGCGGCTTTTACGGGCAAGGTGGAGATGGTCAGGACGCTGCTTGCGCTGGGGGCGAATGCGTGGCAGTGTGACTTTCGGGGGTGGGATGCGCAGCGCATGGCTGTTCAGAATGAAGAGTTTGAGGTTGTCAAGGTGCTCTCTGCGCATAAGCATGCTCTAACTCGAGGCCGATGCTGAGAGATTGACCTGCCTGGGTAGCATGTAATAACGATATTTGGTGGAAAACTTGTTGTCTGTATTTAAGCTGTCTTCAGTCTATTAACTATCTTCTCAACAATCAGTGTAGTCTCTGTTACTTCTACAAATGCCTTAGCACAAACTCATTCAACACCTTGTTCCCTATGCAGAGACTTTAGACACCACAAAGCAAATAAGTAGCCGGGCTATCTGGGATCTCAAAATCAACACTAGATTAGATCTGCTGAGCCTTTTGGTTCGAGGTCGAATTAGGGCCAAATTCCCAACACCAGTTCCTGTAGTCAAAGGACGCACATTTTGGGTTCTCAATGGTAAGCTGTTTTCTGAATCGCCTGTAACTATATCCGCTCTGGTCCAGCTCGGTCTGTTCGCTTGGACTTGGCGAGTCCCAATCCATATCCAAATCCCCCTGGTCATTCGATTCGCCGGCGTACTGGTCGTTATGCGAGTCCACCGCCCCAAGACCGAAATGTTCTTCTGAGGCGCTAAAACCATACCGAGCTGCCACTCGCTGGGCTGTATCATCATCGTCCCTGTGATAGAGATCCCAAAGATCTCTCAAGCGCTGCGTATCCCCTTCCGGGATTCCATCCGCCCTGGGACATCCCATGATGTCAAATGCTCTTTTGAGAGCGCCCAGTGGTGCGCCATCCCAGCGCGCAGGATCTTTGACTATCGCCTCATCTTGTCCCTTTCTCCTGAAAACAATCCTTGTGTATAGCGCGCCCCGTTTGGCGTATTGTGCGGCCGTGGGCACTCTCCGGACGGACCCATCCTTGCTCCGGCGGGCTCGATCACGCAGCTCAAAGAAGATAAAGAAATCAATGTCTTGAGGGTAGAACGTCAGCCTCGGGTCTAACTGGTCCTCATATCTGACATGGCAAGATGCGCATAACCCGATTCTATTCATTGCCGACTTGAGCTGGAAGTTGATGAGCCCTTTCTGGGCCAGGATCTGGACCTGAAAAATATAATTAGTTAAAATTTTACTAATTTATAGTCCCCTCTGTTTAATACGTACTGATCCATCTGTCTTTCTTATAATATGCACGCAGTTGTCGGCCTCTAAGTCACACATGAAGCACATACCATCGGCAGCCACCTTAATAGCTTTCGAGCTCGCTTGCTTTTCGTAGCTTGCGTGGTTACTGTGCCTGGTGCTTGCACTTCGGGCCATGGTTCGATATAGATTTGCAAGGTCGCTTAATGCAGTGGAGTGAACAGTAAGATATAGCAGTACCCTGTGTGCTGATGTTGAGGAAGGAGCGACCTGGAGCTGGCGCTGTGATTTAAAGACAATGACCATGGTCATACCACCAGGAATCTGCGAGCATAGCCCAAGAAAACTTAGTACACCCCAAACCTTATCAATACATTCTTGCTTATTTAATGGAGTTAAAAACAATATAGTACGCGTAGTGTAGTGAGGGTTACTATGGCTGAGCCCTTTGAGGACATCATTAACGTCTTATTCAAAAGTGATTGCTGATCCTCTGAAACAGAATGTGGGCTCCATGTTTTTAGAATTATAATACAGGAATTTAATATTATTAAAATAATATTAATAGCTATTCTATGGAATAGGCGTAAACTCCCCTTTCGCGTGGAAGTCTCTACTGGAGAACCCTACATTCACCTCCATCTTCCCCCTCGGAATAGCCCATTGCTGCCTCTCAACATCCCAGTTACTGATATCCCGCCGATTCAACTTGAATCTGACCTCCTGCGACTCTCCAGCCCCAAGACGCACCTTCTCAAACCCTCTCAGGACATTCACCGGCCGCGTTCCTTTAGGAGAAACATCATCTGGCATGCTCAGGTAGAGCTGGGGTACAGCTGCACCAGCCACTTTCCCGGTATTCTTCACTGTCGCTGTGATTTCATATAATTCATCCCATAGATGCGGGTTTCCCCCTGGGACTATCTTTGCGGTTGACGGCAGAGAGCTGATATCACCCTTGGACAGCGGAGTAATCTTGATATCGCCACTCAAGCTGAACAGGGTATATGACAGCCCATAGCCAAATTCATATTGCACCGACTTGTCAATCGCATCAAAGTGTCCTATCATAATTAGCCCATGCAGCAACCCGATATTGAGATACATACGATAATCGACCATGACCCCCTCTTTGAAATCCGCCTGCCACGCCTCTGGATTAGTGGTGTCTTGCAACGCCGAGGAATTCGCAATTGGCGCATATCCATAATCAGACTCTTTCTTCGCGATTGTATAAGGCAGACGACCGGACGGGTTAATGTCTCCCCAGAGGACATCGACGATGCTGTTCCCTGCTTCCTGGCCTGGGAGGTGGGCGGCTAGGATGGCAGTCACGTTTGGATGGTCAGCCCAGGGAAGCACATTTACGCCGTTGGAGTGCATGATCACAACGGTGTTGGGGCAGGTAGAGGCGATCCTTTCGACGACTTGGTTACCCTCCCAGTCCGGGGCGAGGGAAGCGCGGTCCTCATTTTCGGTTGCCCAGGATTTGAGGAAGACGAGGCAGATGTCTGGAGAGGAGGGTAGCAGTGCTTTCATGCTGTTGTTGTTAGTGCCGCACCTGAAGTATCTGGATATGGGGGGGGCATACTAAGGACTATCCTTCTCGATAATGGCCGTGTTGTTCAGGACATACTGAACCAGGGCTTTTTTTGTGTATCCCACGCGCTGCTTGATAGCTTCCAGAGGACTGACGATGTAGCTGAAGAGCCCTGAGCCTGAACCACCGGCAGTGGCCAGCACGCCGTACTCGTAGTTTGCGACGTCGTTGAAGTACCACACCGACATGCCGTTTGTGACATCGCCTGCGTCGTTGCCGAAGACTGCGATCCGCTTCGGGTCTTTCAGCGGCAGTGCGCCGTTCTTGTTCTTCAAGAGGACCGTTGCTTCAGCGGCGGATTTGCGGATGGAGTGACCGTGGTCGTGGCGCACGTCGACATTGGCTTCGGGGCCGAAGGTGTAGTTGTGCTTGTACTCATGCGCTGGGAGTTGTTAATATGCTTCAGCATACTTGGCAGTGTCACTCACGACTCGAGAACAAAACAGCATTGGTCTCCTTATTACTAGGGTCCATTGCCGGGAAGCCCTTATCCTGCTTCAGCTGGAAGTACGGCGCCATCACGCGTCGACACATATCATCCAGACGGTCCATGGTAATGGAGCCATTGTTGACTGCCTCGCTGATCTTCTCGTGGAAGAAGATAGGATAGTCTGGCGTCCCAGGCATATCCATGTCCTCACCGGAAGTGACGGCCACAACGCCGCTGTGAGTAGCACCCCAGTCCGACATGACATACCCCTGGAACCCAAGCTCGCCTTTAAGAATGCCATTCTGCGTCTTGCTGTTCTGGCAGCCGTATGTCTGGTTGATTCGATTGTAGCTGCACATTACCTGCACCCATCACCCATCATCAGCACTTAGCCAGTCATACAGTAGGAGTGAGAACAAACAACATACACTAGCAACACCAGCCCTAACAGCCTCCTGAAACGGCCAAAGATACAACTCATGCAGTGTGCGATCGTCAATATTCGACGAAACACTCTCAATCGTATCCCCATTTTCATCCTGACTCGGCTGCCTCTGCGTCTCCTGCTCATTCCCAATAAAATGCTTCGCACAAGCCTGCACACCCCTATCCTGAACCCCCTTAATCGTCTCCACAAACAACCCTGCTGTTAGATACGGATCAGGCGAGAAACCCTCCCAATTCCGACCCCCATGCGCAGAACGCCCCATCGGCCCCGCAACAGGTCCAAGCAAAACATGCGCGCCCTTTTCGCGGAACTCAGACGCCATCTCGCTTCCGCGGCTATATGCAGTTTTTTTATCCCACGACGCCGCGATTGTGATTCCGGCCGGGAAGACGGAGGAGTATGTCCCCTGCTCCAGACCCAGGGGACCATTGTGGATGCAGAGGCCGCTGAAGTTGAGGCGTGGAATTGGGGCGATGTTGCCGACGCAGGGTCCTTCTGTGCCGGACACTAAGAGGACTTTTTCGGGCAGGGTGAGTTGGGAGACGAAGGTTGAGGCTTGCTCGAAGGAAGTGGGCCATCCGCGTCCGTCGGCGTTTGCTGTTTATATCAGATCAGAATTGGATTGCGTGGTGGGTTTGAAGGCATACGCTGCGGAATCTCGTCTGCTGTTGGGCTGTGTAGGTAGTCATCGTGGTTGAATGCTAAAGAGCTGGATATGGGGAGTGCAGCGAGTGCTATGGCTGAGAGTCTTTTAAAGACCATCATGTACACCGTAAACACTTTATTCAAGAGTTGTTGTTGATATTCTAAACTGGATGGGGGCTCCAGGCTTTATACCCACACGCGACGATTGACATCATCCACGCCTTTCTCCTGGGATCGTCTGGGGAATTTTCCGGTAGGCCTGTCTCCCCAGTCTCCATCTTCTTCACGGCAGTGGATACGGATGAAGCGTTTCGTCTCCATATGCGGGTCCGTTTAGCAATAACAGGGGTTATGGACCATCCTTACGTCAGTAGAGTAGATCATGAATAACTACACTTAGAACTGATTTACTCCCCTGACAATTAATGCTGAGTTAGAGTATTGCACGAAGGTAAAATAGCGTTCCCTCTTGATGTCTACCCAAAGAGTAAGCATGGTTGACCCATGAAGTTGATACACTCTACCCAGATAGTTCCTTAGTCAGTCGACTATTCGGTTTCAATTCTGGGAATAAAGATCTCCATCCTGCTACGTGATCGTCGCATCTCTTTCCCACTACGAATAACGATCGGAGATTTTGGTGACGATCTCTCCTGTTGCTGGATTGCTGGGCTGTATACCGTATTTGGAGTATACGCCAGCTGCCGGCATACTCGGACTCTATATTACCTGGCAGCAGGTTCTTGCTTAATCCTTGACGGTACTAGATATATACTTGGAAGATGGGGGATACGCTGCTAATATGGGAACGCATTGATTTCAGGGTCCCTCCCCTTTGGCACGGAAACAGTGAAAGATGAACGGTCGGATAGCTGGCTCGAGCTCTCTCATTTGCTGCCAGGAGAGGACAAGGTTCTATCTTGAATCAGCACAGGTTGCTCTTATAATACCAACGGGGTCATTGCTGATACGTGCGTCGTAGCTGATGCGAGGACCATGTGTGGGTCTAGTATGCAGGCCCCTATGAGTAACATTGTTCTGCCCATAATAACAAGGATATTTGATAGCAGAACTACATTTATGACCAAAGCGCATGCAATTGGACTTTATGGGTGCTCCAAATATAGCACCTTCTCACTCAAGATACTGATCTAGTATAGTTGGCTACAAATACCGCATGACAAACTCATACAGCGCCTTATTCTCATACCCCGGCTCCGCATCAAAAACGTGGTCCTTCCCATGCACCCTCTCATACACAACATCCAATCCACAGCCCACCATCGCCCCAACAACTTCATCCGCCTGCTCAACTCCCACAGCACTATCCGCGTCCCCATGGACAATATAAGCCGGCGGCAATCCACACCCAAAAACATTCCTTGAGATCCGATACGGCAATGACCCTTTCTCATCGCTTAGAACACCCAACAGTCGCGCATGAGTCGCAGTACGCAGCATATACCCATACATATAAGCCCTTGCATCCTCTTCCGGCTTTAACCCCGAGTTCGCAACAACAGGCGCATCCACATCAAGAAACCCCGCCAATTCCTTTTCCTCGGGCACATGCTTCCCCTCCTCTGGCAACTGAGGCGTGGTAAAGAACGAACCCAGCGGATCCGTAATCGGATAAATGAGCGCAATAACCTTGGGCTTCGGCTCGACATACAACCCCGCCAAGAGGGCGAGATACCCACCCGCCGAACTCCCCGAGACGGCGAGGCGGGAGACGTCGGCTTTATCTCCGAGGAGTGAGGGGATATCTGTCCGGATGAATGCGATGCAGTCCTGGACGTCTTGGAGGATTTCGTGGATGCGGGCTTGTGGGGCGAGGCGGTAGTCGGCGGAGATGGCGATGTAGTTGTATTTTTCTACGCCGGAGCGCATGTGTGGGGCTATCATGTCTCGACGGCCTTGTCTGCTCTTGTTAATGAATTGTTGGCCTGTTGGGCTGTTTAGGGAGGACGTACAGGAGACCGCCGCCGTGGAACCAGAGGAGGATGGGGGCTTTGGTGGGATTTGGTGGGAGGTAGATGTCCATTGGGATCTGGAGGGATCCTATGGTTTTGTAGGTGATGGTAGTTGATGGTTTGATTGATGCCATTTTGATAGATGGTGAATAGATGTGGTATTGAGATGGAGAGTTGAAGAGGTTGTCTTCAGTTGTCTTCAGTTGTTAAGTGGGATGTTGACCCACTGCGGGGATCTCCAATCTCATCTCCAATTCTCCGCATTCTTTATAGCAGTGTTATATTTGAATACATATTAATATCCTAAGATCATTAGTAGGAAGAATTGTGTTACAAGAGTGTACAAGATTGTAGAATGTCAGGCAGCACCAGATGAAACACTATATATAATTTGTATAGCTATACTATACAGCAGTTATAGATCAACACCAGCCATATATATACTAATAAATCCCCCACTTCACAGCCTGCTGCTTGATATTCCCATTGCACTGCAAATCTCCCTTCGGCCCAACTCTCCCATCCGAGTTCCCAAACTGCTGAGTCGCATCATTGATGATATCAATCACATCCTGGCCCCCCACCAAAGTTCACATTGCGATAGGTGGAAACGATCGGTAATGGGAAACCATTACTCAACCGAATGAATGGAAACAATATCTCGCTTGGTAAAACCAGCGACACATGGCTGTTGATCTTTCTGATGATGATGGCAAGGTGTGGGAAGGTCAGGGAAGGTCAGGGAAGCTCGCTGCGGTGGGAAGAAGCGCAGTTTCCCGCTCCTTCCTACTGGGGCAATAGCTCTCATCCAAGAACACCAACGCGTCCAAGATCACACTTCCAAGACAACATCCTGGGAGCGATATCTTGCTTGGCTGGGGCTGTAGCCAATGATACCGTCTTCCTGCTGCAGGGGCCTCGTTATTCCAACACTCCGACGAACCAGGTCCAGATCCCATGCGATCTAGCTTTGTGCACTCGGCGCCGCACTAATATTCACCAACTCTCCACAAACTGCGCACTAATTTAGTTAGATTAACACTCGCTTGGCCACCCGCGATGATCTGTGCATCTCCCGAGTTCCTTTCAGCCTTCCTCTCCGGAGGCCGCCACATGTAAGAGCGCTTCTCGCTGCAGAATCCTCCATCCCATTCCATCCTCCTTTACCCACTGAGCTCTTGCTGTGCCTCATCATGCGCTTCTTCCTTCCCTGCGCCCTTTTGGGGGCCGTCGTCGGCGCTTCTTCGGACAGCGTGCTCGAGGTGGACTTGGTATTTCCACGCAACGAGACGTATGCACCCACCGACCGGTTCCCTATTGTCTTTGCTTTCCAGAACGCCAAGCTGGCAAAATACCTCAATCCGTATATCGATTACACCATCTGGAACTGGGCCAACCTGCCCGGGGACGACAACGTCGGCTGGTCGCATGATCTGAGGACCGTAAACTGGTCATCCACCCACGATCCCTATTTCGCATACAACTTCTTCTCCGAGCGCAGCTTGCCAGAGGGGCATTGGAAGATGGTGTGGTCTGTTAGCTGGCAGAGTTGCAACGAGACTGCCTTTTCGCATCCGCTCGACAACAAGGGGATGGTCTACAACTACACTACCCGGGGTATCTCGTTCACCATCAAGAATTCTGCCCCCAAGGTAGATCTCGTATCTGCTACTGCGAATACGGTCACCTGCTCCCCGGAAGGGCCTTCGGACTTGAAGGCAGGGGTCGCCATTCCCATCAACGTGACCGGGGAAACTATGGAGGTTCCGTGGTGGGTAGATTGGAGCGGCGGTGACACTTGCGCCGTGGTGGCGTCCTCTCTCCCCACGCCCACTGTGGACCCTTGCAGGGTCAAGGTAGACTCGGCGATTGAGGCGAGCATGTCTGCCTCCTTGACTGCCGAGCTGTGCAGGGGGCTTAACCCGCCACCTGACTGCCCGGAAGACGACGAGGGGGCGGCGCAGAAGCTGGTTGTTGTTGGGGTATCCACCTTGTTGGCTGCATTTGGGGTGCTAGCGGTTTTGCTTTCCTTGTGATGGGGGTGCATTGGGCTGGGATTAAGTGGGGATAGGGCTGGAAGTAGAGGCTAGACGGAGGCTGCGGCAGATTCGGGAGACAGATATTGAAACTCTGGGACATCAAGACTAGTATTAAACTATTACTAAAGGAAATGTCCCGACTTCAAGCACATCTCCGTATATCTCGCCAATTTTCAAGTTCCCGGTGCATACACTAGTACTCACTAAAGGCCAGTTCCCAACAAATTAGCCCATACCCCTGTTTTCCATTTCTAAAGCCTGGAACCGGATAATCGGAAGCCTCTGGCTTCAGGGTTCCAGCACGGAGCTGGAACACCGAGATTGATGATAGTATATTCTCCTCCCTTCTTTTGTCTAAATACACAATCTAACCACGTCACAGAATGCACAAACCTCTGGCTAGACTACTACGTCTGCGTGCACGTTCCCGGCGCAACAACCACCTCCGCCTCCCCGGAACCAACCGAGAACCCGTCTGGCCCTACGCCCCAGATGCCTGGGATTGTGAGCAACTGCAAGGACTTCCACCTGATTGAGGATGACGAGAGCTGTTGGTCTATTTATACAGGTGCGGGTCTTACCCTGGATCAGTTCCGGGAGTGGAATACGGAGGTGGATGCCGGGTGCACGAATCTGTGGCTTGGGTATTATGTGTGTGTGTTGGTGTTTGATTGACGTTACTTTCTATTATATAAAATTCAATTAGCTTTTATATTTTGGAGATATTCCTGGACTGTGGTTAATGTCCGGGTGACATGTGACTCGGTCTGCCCTAGCTCATAATATCTTGATCAGTACAAAACCGTTTAACAAGATAGGGGACTTGGACTGTTTCTAGCAGCCATATCTGCTCTGTTTATTTTCTAGTTTCCAGTGGGATGAAATACTAATCATCGAGTTGTAAAGAGGTACTACGTCCTGTAATTCTTACACTTTGACAGGGGTATATATAGTGTGAGGCTTTCCCCACCCCGAAGGTTCGCAGCTTAACCAAGAGCTGTCCATATATATACATTGTAGTAATGAGAGAATTAGAGTTTTGGCGGTAGTGACATTCTCCAAGAATAGGGGTTGATTTTTCTTAAATCATTGACTGATCCTAGAGTCTCGTTCACCGGGGCCTGCACGCATGGCAGGGAGGAGCAAACCCCTGGCATCCATTGCACCTTCCCTGGAACTTCCATGCTTCATGACACACTGTTGGAAGGTGCGACTTGAGTAGACCCGTTGCACCTTCCCCATCGGATTTGATCGTGGGCATATCAGATATCCCGGAAGACACTATAATGAGCAACTGCCAGAGTAAAAGTAAACCCGAGTCCCAGGCATGTCGTCAAAGAGGGCGTACTGCCTCAGCCGCTTCACACTTAGCCACCTTAGCCATCCCTGTTCTCTCTCCAGTCGACAGTCCATTCTGCATATATTTGCTAATCTGATTATATTGCTACATCAGCCCCGCATACAGTATCCTATGCGAGAGGACGTAGTGTCATCGGTGGCCCATATCCATGTACATTTGTACCTAGACAGTATATACACGTTATATGTCTTTAAATGGTAAAAAGCTAGGTTGGTTTCAGCTATGATAAATCTCTCTAATAAGACAAGCTAATTGCCTACAGCAACGCAACTAATTATATCAAATGTTACTGTCGGTATGCAGGATTTGGCCGTCTGGCACGTGAGGTGGGTGATCCTGGTGTACGATCATAAGATCTACGCTGTCAGGAAGCAAATCATGCCTGTCAAGGATGGCATGTACTGCAGACCAATCAAGCGCCTCCTTGGTTGAACACTTGGCACGGTCACCTCCAGTAAGGATAATATATTTATCTTAAGTTAGCCCCTTGGTCCAGCGAGAATGTCCTCTTCTTCTGCAGCGTCAGTATGACTGGTCATATTAGGTAGCCGTGGTAGCAATAATACAAGTACTGTATCGGGCTGCACGTCACAAGTCAATCTGACGTGTCATCTATCGAAATGGAAGAAACGAAGTATATCTGAGATCGCCGCTAGTCTTGGTTGGTTTTATGTTTAGCTCCTGCAATAAAGCTGCAGCTGAAGCCACACTTGGTGAGGTCTTGCGGCGCACAACATTCAATATATTATGCATGGTCCTGTAGAGGCAGGATTTCCAGGTCAGATTAAGTAATGCTATAACGGTCGGATACAGTAAGGCAATTAGAAATTGTAAATTAACAACTAAGGCATCATTGAGCCCACAGGAGAGTCGGCTACCCGTATAACGTGGGATGAGGCTGTGATCAGGAAGTTCAGGAACCGGCTGTGCTCGAGCCATCTGGAGAAGGGGGAAACCCCGGCCTTTTGCCGGTAGACTAGCCAGTTACGAACTGATCAACATATTTGTGGAGATAGCGTTGCACTGCTCGGGAATTTAACGGGGAACGGGCCCAGCGGCGGAGGATGCCGACACCCCTGTTCGGCCACGGACACGCTCGTATTGAGCTGGAAGCTGGATATTTCGGGGTAAATTGCACGCCCAGGGTCATGAAGAGCTCGGCGACCCAGTAAAGCTCTAGTTCCAAGAGCTTGGGCGAGGATGCAGAGGTGCATATTCCTGAGTGGAGACGCTTGGCTCATTTAAATTATGGCGCATTCTCCGCAGTGGTTGATCTCGCTCCGACATCGAAACCATATAAGGGCGAATAACCCCGTGGTAGCTCTAGCAGCTCTATCCAGGCAAGCATGTATCTCAAGAAGCTGCTCACGTCGGCCGCAGCCCTCACCGGCACGGTCTTTGCGCAGAGCCAGGCCGGGGTCGACCCCCTCGCTGACCCTGGCAACGACCTCTACGTCAAGGACCTTTCCAAGTGTCCTGGATACAAGGCCACCCACCACCGGCACACCCGGTCCGGGTTCTACGCGGACCTATCTCTCGCTGGCAAGGCTTGCAATGTTTATGGAACGGATCTGCCGGACCTGAAGCTGGAGGTCGAGTACCAGACCGACAACCGTCTGCACGTCAAGATATTGGACACCAACAACACCGTCTACCAAGTTCCAGACAGTGTGTTCCCGCGCCCTGGCTTCGGGCAGTGGACCTCTCCAAAGGACAGCAAGCTCAAGTTCGACTTCAAGCCCGACCCGTTCTCGTTCACGGTCTCTCGGAGAGACACCGGGGAAGTCCTCTTCGACACCACCGGCACCAAGCTCGTCTTCGAGAGCCAGTATGTCTATCTCAAGACGCATCTCCCGCAGAACCCGCATCTGTACGGACTGGGCGAGCACAGCGACTCGTTCATGCTGAACACGACCAACTACACCCGCACCATCTACACTCGTGACTCCTACGGAACTCTCCCAGGAGAGAACTTGTACGGCGCTCATCCAATCTACTTCGACCACAGACAGAACGGCACGCACGGAGTGTTCCTGCTCAACTCCAACGGCATGGACGTCTACATCGACAACAAGGGCGGCCAGTACCTCGAGTACAACATCATCGGCGGTGTCCTCGATTTCTACTTCATCGCCGGTCCCTCCCCGCGCGATGTCGCTGTGCAGTATGCAGAAATCACGCAGACCCCGTTGATGACGCCCTACTGGGGTCTTGGGTTCCACCAGTGCAAGTACGGCTACCGCGATGTCTACGAGGTTGCCGCCGTCGTTGCCAACTACTCCACCAACGACATCCCTCTCGAGACAATGTGGACGGATATCGACTACATGGACCGCCGGCGCATCTTCACCATCGATCCTGAGCGGTACCCAGCGCATCTCTACAAGGATCTCGTGGATACCATCCACGCCAGAGACCAGCACTACATCGTCATGGTCGACCCCGCCGTGTTCTACAAGGAATCCAATCCAGCCCTGGAAGCAGGTCTGGAGTACGACACGTTCATGCGAGACAACAAGAGCTCAATCTACAAGGGCGTTGTCTGGGCTGGGCCCAGTTACTTCCCCGACTGGTTCCACCCGTCGGCTCAGAAGTACTGGACAGAGCAGTTCGTGAACTTCTTCGACGGCGAGAACGGTCCTGATATCGACGCCCTGTGGATCGACATGAACGAGCCTGCAAACTTCTATAACCGTCCGTACCCTGGAAACAACACTACGCCTGAGGACTTCGCCGAAGTTGACGGCGACCCTCCCACTCCCCCTCCTGTCCGAGATGGCCCCGACGCTCCTATCCCAGGCTTCCCAGCAAGTCTGCAGCCAAACTTCCCATCCAACGAGAACACAGAACCAACCAAGCGCTCTACATCTCTGACCCCCCGCTCACAATCCCCCCGCAACCTCGGCTCCGGCCACTGGCGCCACACCATCCACCGAGACCCCAAAGCCGGCTGGCAGCACGGCCGCAAGACCGGCTCTGGCTGCGGTCCCAACGAGTGCAAGGGCCTGCCTCACCGCGAGTTCATCAGACCACCGTACATGATCCAGAACGGCGCGGGGCCGACCCTCGCCGACGGCACGGCGGACACGGACGTCGTCCAGAGCGGCGGGTATGTGCAGTACGACACGCATAACCTGTACGGGGCGATGATGTCGTCGCACTCGCACAATGCGATGCGGGCTAGACGCCCGGATGATAGGGCTCTTGTTATTACGCGCAGTACCTTTGCGGGGTCCGGGAGGGATGTTTCGCACTGGCTTGGAGGTATGTCTCATAACCCAACAATAAAGATGGATATGGAAGAATGCTAACTAACTCGTACAGATAACGAGTCTGGATGGCTGTGGTACCGGCTATCGATCAGCCAGATTCTGCAGTTCGCGTCGCTGTATCAGATTCCTGTCGTTGGGCCTGATGTCTGTGGTTTTGGTGGGAATACCACCGAAACACTGTGTGCTCGGTAAGTATCTTTATATCGTCAATACTCTGCAAGCTAACAAGATAGATGGGCAACCCTCGGCTCGTTCTACACGTTCTTCCGCAACCACGCCGAAATCACCTCGGCGGGCCAGGAATTCTACCGCTGGCCCACTGTCGCCCAGGCAGCTCGGAACGGAATCGAGATTCGATACCAGCTGCGTATGTTCCTCCTTACCCATATTCATATATATATATATACTTACTATATGTAGTGGACTACATCTACACCTCAATCTACAAGCAAAACCAAACGGGCACACCAACCCTTAACCCGCTATTCTTCAACTACCCCTCCGACAGCAACACCTACGCCATCGACATGCAATTCTTCTACGGCGACGGCATCCTGGTCTCCCCCGTAACCGAAGAAAACAGCACAAGCGTCACCCTCTACCTGCCCGACGACATCTTCTACGAATGGGGCACTGGGAAACCCGTTCGCGGGAAGGGCGAGTTCATCACCCTCGACGATGTCGATTATACCGATATCACGGTGCACTACAAGGGAGGGATCATCTACCCTCAGCGCGTGGAGAGCGCGAACACGACTGCCGCGCTGAGGCAGAAGGGGTTTAATCTTGTGATTGCCACCGGGACGGATGGGACGGCTGCTGGGTCGTTGTATCTTGATGATGGGGAGAGTATTGTGCAGGACAAGGTTAGTGAGATTGAGTTTGAGTATAAGGATGGCAAGCTCAGTATGAAGGGGAGCTTTGAGTATGAGGCTGGGGTTGGGATTGAGGTTATTACCCTGCTTGGGGTGGGTAAGCCGGACAAGCTTAAAGATGGGGATGAGTATGATGAGGAGGGTCGGAAGTTGGTGGTTTATGTTGATGTGCCTCTGACGAAGGAGTGGGAGATGACTCTTTAAGGTCTTAACTTAGGGCTCATACTTGGTACTAGCCTCATGTCGAATATTTAGACTTAAATGTCAGAATTGGACATTTATACATGCTACTCCCAGAGGACATGATATCATCTAGTAATTACAGCTCCCTCACTGTCTAGATACGATGAACCGTAAAGACATTACCCGCACGGCTTTCACTTCCAGATGGAGCTGCAGATCAATTCCAGGCTCGCTTTGTGCTTCTCGATCAGGTTTGGTTTGCAGATTGGGTTTGTGCTAGATCTGGCTTACTCGTGCATTGGTCATTATCCGCTGTATTGTGGTGTTTAACATGTACATATATAGCATAACCTATATTACCTATAACTATAAAATACGCAATAACATAAGAAAATAAGGATAACCTACGCCCCAATCCCATCCGACTCCGGCGGACCCTTGTATGACTTCCTCGCATGCACCGCATACCAACCCCCCGCAATCGTCGCAAAGCCCACCAACACCACAGACGCATAATTCATCTCCACCATCGTCGTCGGCACCGCCACAGGCATACTAAACAGGACAACCTGAAACGCAATCCAAGCCACGGCAACAACATTCACCACCGTCCCCAGTACCGGCGGACAGCTGAACCGCGCGCCATTCACCTCTGCCCGCCTTTGCACCAGACTAATCGCAATCGGGATGAGATAACTCACAGAAAGACCCATTACGCCGACGGACACGAATGCCGTAAAGGCCGAGGAGCTGCCGAGGTTAATACACCCTAGTAGTGCTTGCACGGCTGTTACGAGACACAGAGAGTAGACGGGGATCCGGGAGTCCTTTGTGAGGCGGTGCCAGATGGGGGAGAGGGGGAGGGCTTTGTCGCGAGCAAAGGCCCAGGTGCATCTGGACGCGGCGGTTGTGATGCTGATGCTGCAGCAGACGGTGAGGACGAGGACGAGGATGAGGATGCCTACGCCGCCGGCGTTGGAGCCGGTGACGGCCTTGAAGAGGACGGGCATGGCTTGGCCGTAGGGGGCGTTGATGAGGAGTTCTAGCGGGGGCAGGGTGAAGCAGATGGGGATGATGTAGGAGAGGCCTGAGAGGCCTAGTACAGGGCCTGCGAGACTGATGGCGCGCGGGACTTGGATGGAGGGCTCGGCGGTTTCTTCGGCCATGGAGGAGATCATGCCGACGATGGAGAAGGTGTATGCGGATGGGAGGAGGCCGATGAAGAAGGAAAAGTTACCCCAGCCGGAGATTGATTTGTTGAAGTCGCTAAAGGCGTATTGGGCGTCGTGCCGGCCTTGTTTGGCTTGCACGAGGAGCGTTACCATGATTACGATTAGCATCATCACGATCCAGCCTGCGCAGATGGTGTCGAGGACGTGCAGCCAGCGGTTGCCGAAGATGCAGACGAGCAGGACTGTGAGGAGGATTGCCCATAGAATTAACAAGAGCTGCCACGGCGCAGCCTCCCAGTCCGGGTTATACATAGTAATCGCGCTGGCAATCAGCTGGGCGAACCCAAAGTTCACTCCCAGGGCTGTCATCCAGTTGCCAATCACCCAGATCCAGCCGGTGATGTAGGATACAACTGTCTTGCCTTTGACGGCAATTTGGAACGACCAGTAATAAGGACCTGCCGCAGTTGGATACCGCGAGGCGAGTTCTGCTACTGAGATCGCAACACACTCGGCTAGACAGACCACCATAATCCATCCCACAAAGAGAGGCAAAGGTCCGCCCCCATAACTTGCATTCACGAGGGTGGTCCCGATCGCGAACGGTGGCGCAGCAATTGCAAGCGATTGGAAGACAAGCGTTGAGGTTGATCGTCTAGTATGGAGGACCGCCTCATAGCCCAGGGCGGCAGTATAGTTCTCGATGTGGCCAGAGGACACATCTTTGCCTTCAAAGTCTGAATATGTTTCTGATTTTGGCGCCATTTCAACTAGTTCACAACGTTATAGCCCCAAGATGTGGTTTTCTCCCATCTTATATAGCAAGCATAATCGTCAATAGACTTTCGCACCCCGCAATTCCCCTCTCGCTCGTGTCGGAAAGATGACCTCCGTTCGTGAAGCTGGCCCTGTTGCGGTAATGAGTCGAGCGAGCGACTGCAGGGCTGGATCTAAATACCCCAGAGTTGGTGTTGTCCGCAAGTGTCTTGCGGGGGAGCATGCCCTAATCTGGTAAACGTTTCCCCTACTCGCCATATTTGCCATCGTCTCCTCCTGAGTCAGAAATTACTTAAGGTTTGCCTAGGACATCAGTAGAATGCATAATGTGCGACCATGGTCTCGGGTAGTAGTATCTTAGGTGGTTCACTGGGCTTCGAGCTTTACTTCATTATTATGGATAGTGTATTTGAACACCAAAAATAGAGCACACTGGTATGTCATGTTGGTACATTGTAGACTACCAAAGCTTCTCCCAGATTTGGAAAGCACGACCATGGACGAAGAGGGCTTTGTATTTTAATTGACTGCTTGAACTTGAATCGATATTCAGGTAATATAGCTTAGCAAGGTAGTAAATGCCCTCATAGCAAGTTGACTCGGCACAGTGGGCAACAAGCGGAATTAGGGCTACCAAGACCTGCAATCAAGTTACCCTTACAACTCTGTAATCGACAATACAGGGTAAAAGCTTTAGATATCCATTCACTATGAGTAAAGTTATCATTTTATCACTTAGTACATGACTTTATTTCGCGGACTAGTTGGTTGACATGGTAGTTGGCTTGCTTGACAGATTTCTATTCAGCTAGCTGTATTAGTTTCGCAGACGGCACTGGCTGAGCTATGTGTCAAAATAAATGTCACCGTGTCGAAGGTACCAGCCCCGACGGTACGTCGCGTATTTACGGCGGCTGGAAGAGTACCAAAGCATAGTATCAGTCGGCCCGCCCAGGTTTTGCCTCCAGCGGACGGTGATATATTGGCCATCATTGGTACCCTTAGGGCCAACAATATAGGCGTTACACGAATTGCAAGCACAGTTGTTGTTCCGTGCCACGCCCCAATCGTAAGGCCCGTAGAGAAAGTTGATGAGGTCAAAGTGCGGGCAGAGGAGTATGGGCTCCATCTCTCGGCTCAGGGTAAACAATTCAGTCCTCAATTCAGGCCCTGCCTGGGCCCTCCAGGGTCGACTCAAGTGTAAACGGTATGTTTTCTGCACTTCCAACCTCTGCACATCAAGGGAAACTATCATCGTCATATAGACCAATGCATCTGCATGATAGGTAATTGAACACTGATGCACAAGGCAGCGCTTGCCGGAGCTGACAGAAAATTCGAACGCCGTGCGGATACTGAGAGGCAGCGAAGTATCAAACGCGCCTTCACGCAAGCTTTCCTCCAGTCGAAGACGATCGAAAAAAGTCAGGGCGATGCAGGGGCATAGATCTACTACCCCTCTGTGAGAACGGCATTGGCGGTTTTCAGGCGAGGCAGATGGCCTTACAAACCGGCTCCGTGGATGCAACTTTAAACAACCCGCGCAGTATAGCCAACGTTCATTCTCCAGCCGAAGCAGAAACTGATTGCGTAGAAGTTCTGGTTGGCTGAGTAGGGGCTCATATGTTCTACTCATCCTTGGCCAGGCCAGGCTGTTGTCTTTCAGGACATGGCCGCAGAGAGAGTACAGAGACTTGCAGGTAAGCGCCAGACAGGCTTGTGACAGAATAGACAACAATGGAAATATCACGAGCAAAATGTCAAAAGGAAGGTCCAGGAGTAAAATAGGACGGTGGATTTCAGCAAACGAGTGCACCGAAGTCCGTTCCACGGTCTCTTCGGCTGAAACCTCAGACTCCCCAGTTCTCTGACGCCTCCATGTAGCGTACTTCGCTCTGATGCCGAAATGGGGTAGGAGGCGTCGAATTCTGCTGTGAGTACTGTTTTGCTTCATGGCGGGCGTGATTGAGGAGGTATTGAAGAGGGTGGGATTGCATGTGCAGGCCAGCCCAGTTGTGATCTCATTTCGGAGCGTTGTGCCGAAAGGTAAACCTTGAGCTGCAAAGTTAAAGTGAGAGAAACCTTGGTTGATCGATCATTCGATCCAGAAAGCTTCACTACAAGTGCTGCAGCGTCAAGCATACGATGGAAATGGACTTTGGTAATCGGTATAGATAGTAGACGTCCCAATTAGGAAGGAGGCCCATCCGAAAGTTTCTCCGCTCCGACGCCGCATCACACAAGATTATTGATTGATGCTGCTCAGTCGATTCACTCACCGACAAGAATCAGTCCAGACATTTCCGACACCATGGTCTACTACTTCACATCCAACGTGGTGCAGCCGTCCGCCTACATCTACATGGGCAAGGACAAGTTCGAGAGTACGACTGCTACCCCGCTTGCGTCAAACCGTGCTGATCGCGAAGACAGACGAGGATCTGATTAAATTCGGGCTGGAGAAGGATGTCTGGTATGATTGCTTTTGATACCGCCTTCACTATTTGAGCTGACGCTAATCAAGAGGTGCATGCAGGGTTCGTCGCGCAGTCCCGTTTGAATATTCTCGAACCTAACCCCGCTCCAGTTCCACGTCGACAATTTATCCAGTGCACACGTATACGTCCGGCTTCGCGATGGCGAGTCATGGGATAGCATTCCGGAGGACCTCCTGGTAGACTGCGCACAGCTTACCAAGGCCAACTCAATCGAGGGTTAGCTACGACTTGACTGGTTCTTGTGAGGGGATCTAATCGGTGACAGGAAACAAGAAGGATAACATCACGGTCATCTACACGCCCTGGTCGAATCTGATGAAAGACGGGTCGATGGCGGCAGGCCAGGTTTCATTCCACAATCACAAGCTGGTCAAGAAGGTCTTCGTTGCGGAGCGGGAGAATCCCATTGTCAACCGACTCAACAAAACAAAGGTCGAGAAGTTCCCCGACCTCCGGGCGGAGAAGGAGGAATACGCCAAGGTGCAGCGACATGAAGAGAGAAAGGTGCGGGAGGAGAAAAAGAACAAAGAGAAGCAGGAGAAGAAGGAGAGGGAGCAGCTGAAGTGGCAGAAGGAGCACGCCTACGATGATATGTTTAGTGAAGAGAACCTGGAGGCCAGCAACAACCAGGACCGGGATCCAAACTTTGAAGACGACTTCATGTGATTGATATCGAATTACAATATACCCGCAATAGTCTCGCTGTTGCAATTACCAGCCAATAAACCAATAAGTAGATTATAATCACGTAGGTGTACGGTATACTCCGAGTCGGGAATGGCCGGGCCGATCCCCCAAGGTTCTTGGCCGCGGAATGCGGGCGGGACTTTTTGTAGACGCAAACGTGCATCACACACCACACCTGCTCGTCAGTTCTGCATCTCCCACGCATCCTCGCTTCGGCTCGTGACACCATGAATTGCCCGTCTCGCACCGACGATACCATCCTCCATTGCGACTGGAACCAGAACCCGCCGTTTCTGGCCCCGGATCTGACAACTCGTCAGGATCTGAACGGCATCACCAATGCCCGCGAACTCAAGGACGCGGGGGTGATGGGCCTGTCTCGGCACTGTCTGGACGATGCAGATTCACCGATAAATCGCAAGCTGGAATCTGACGAGTCCCGGCATATGCCACCACGGGCGTCCCTGACCCAGTCAGGTAAGTTTGAAAATATGGCCATCGACCGGAGCTATGCATTGACACCTGACAGGACGCCCAAAAGATCGAGATGAATTTTCTCGATCTGTCTTTAATACAATGAAGAGCTGGTTTTTATGGCTGGCTTCTGTTCTGGCCACAGCTCTTCTGCTCTCTGCCAGCGGTCTCGTCGACCGCTTGGCACCCCGTTCTCAGCGCACCATGCCTTTAGAGGTAAACAATGAGACCGTTTCTCAGCTACGGAGGCATTCGAAGCGACAGACCTGCGCTCAAGGCGGCGTCGACAGCAGTCAATACAACACCTCTTTACACGTCGGGGCTCTGTTCATCATTCTCGGCGTCTCGACTCTCGCCTGTGCTTTTCCGGTCCTGGTCACCCGCTTTTCTCGTCTGCGAATCCCACCAGGATTTCTATTTTTTGTGCGCCATTTCGGCACCGGGGTGCTCATTGCTACAGCGTTTGCGCATTTACTTCCGACCGCGTTTACGCTACTGGGCGATCCTTGTCTGCCGGATTTCTGGACCACCGACTACCCTGCCATGCCTGGAGCCATCTCACTGGGCGGCATTTTCCTCGTCACGCTCATTGAGATGGTATTCAGTCCCGTTCGACTTTCCACTGGCAAGCCGCCGAAGGAAAAGGATCAAGAGTCGGCTCTTGAAGATGTCCCCGAGCAGCCTCCCCAGCCTGTCCATATCTCGGGCGGCGCCAACCCAACAGAAGCAGGCGACTGCGATCGCAGTTCCCATTTACGTCCTAAAGGCCCGCTCGGTGGCAGGGCCTCGAGTTTCAGTCGTTCAATCAACCGCATCGAAGAAGAGACCGACGGGGTCTGTCGCATATCGTCCGCGCCAGAAGCCCACACGCTTCCGCAGGTCAGCGAGGTCAAGCGACTCCACGACCACCAGAGAATCATTGAGGACGACTTCCAGCTATCCGAGAAGCAGAAGTGGAACAAGGATGTCATGCAGGTGTTTATGCTGGAAGTCGGCATTCTGTTCCACAGTGTCTTCATCGGCATGTCTCTGAGTGTGTCGGTGGGGAATGAGTTTGTGGTCCTCTTGATTGCCATTGCTTTTCACCGTATGTACCTGGAATATTCAATTGTTCTTCTTACTAACAGAAGTAGAAACGTTTGAAGGCCTGGCACTCGGGTCTCGCATTGCCTGCCTGGAGTGGCCTCACAACGCCGCCCAGCCGTGGCTGATGTCGCTGGCTTACGGATGCACGTATGTTACTCAACCCTTCCATTATCCTACATTATCCTCATTGACTGTCTAGGACACCGATCGGCCAAGCAATCGGCATCGCGACGCATTCGCTGTACAGTCCCGATTCGGAAGTTGGACTACTGCTAGTCGGAACCATGAATGCCATTTCGGCTGGCCTACTAATTTTCGCCTCCCTGGTTGAACTGCTCTCGGAAGACTTTCTGAGCGACGAGAGCTGGCGGGTGTTGCGCGGCCGCAGCCGGGTGATTGCCTGCGTGCTGGTGTTTGGCGGGGCGTTCTGTATGAGTCTGGTCGGCGCATGGGCGTAAACCAATAGGCCCACCCGGGTGTTCTCGGCCTCGACCGGGCCGGTGCTGCAAATTCGTTCCTTTTTCGTCCCTGGCAATTGGCGCCCGCTTATTGGTCTACCCCGCTTATCGCCCTCACCGCCTCCGACAACGCTCCACTGTGAATCATTTTCTCTCCCCTCCGCCATCACTTTCTTTCTCCTCTATTGCTATACTGTCGCTGTCGCGGTCGCTGTTGTTTTCTTCTCGGTCTCGTCTCTCTTTGTATCTGGCCGCCAATGTCCTCCTCGCTTCCTGGGGACCGGGACCTTCCCTCTTCCCAGTATGACCTGAACACCTACTGGGGCCGTGTCCGCCACGCCGCCGACATCTCTGATCCAAGGTACTTCGAATTCAGGCTGGTGGTGGGATTAAGCTAACGCGCGCAGGATGCTACTCGTCTCTTCAGCCGGTCTGGACCAGGCGAAGCGCCTTATTTCTTCATACAAGCAGAGCGAGGTCTCGTCAATGAACGCAGAGTTATGGCGGGCAAAGAAGGTCGTGGATTCGACACTGCACCCTGGTATGTTCTGACGGCATAGCAATAGTATAAATGTGCTAACGGTTATTGGATCAGACACCGGCGAGCCTGTTTTCCTTCCCTTCCGCATGTCGTGCTATGTCCTTTCCAACCTGGTCGTGACGGCGGGTATGCTCACGCCAGGCCTTCAGGTACGACCGATAAACAGACAAAAGACAGAACAGACACTAATTGATAGACCCCCGGCATTCTCCTATGGCAAATCGCCAACCAGTCGCTTAATGTCGCCATCAATAACGCCAACTCCAACAAATCCACCCCCCTCTCCATGTCGCAGATCGGCAAGTCCTACCTCATGGCCGTCTCGGCCTCCTGCTCCGTCGCACTCGGTCTGAACGCCCTCGTCCCCCGCCTCAAGAAGGTCTCTCCCAACACCAAGCTCATCCTCGGCCGACTCGTCCCCTTCGCCGCCGTCTCCAGCGCCAGCGCGCTGAACGTGTTCCTCATGCGCGGCGAAGAAATCCGCCAAGGTATCGACGTGTACCCGGTCCCCGAGAAGGAGGGCGAGCAAGTCCAGAGTCTCGGGAAGAGCAAAACGGCAGCTACGATCGCCGTGGGCGAGACGGCAATCAGCCGGGTGCTGAACGCGACTCCGATCATGGTTGTCCCGCCGTTGATTCTCGTGCAGCTGGAGAAGAGGAAGCTGCTCTCTCCACGCATGGTCATGCCGGCTAACCTGGGGCTGGTCCTTGCGACGTCGCTGTTTGCGCTGCCGTTGGCGCTGGCTGCTTTCCCGCAGCGACAGGCTATCAGTGCGGCGTCGCTGGAGGAGGAGTTCTGGAACCGCGGAGGAAAGGACGGGAAGGTCGAGTTCAATCGGGGAATGTAAGCGATAAAGAAAGACATCCACCTTAGACTACAATCGCATATGGATAGACCGTTTCGGTTACTATTAAAACATTCATACATATTATACTCAACAGATTGAAAGAAATTCCACCCGCTATCGCCAATCCTTTTTAATGTCACTGCCGGTTCCCCCCCTCCAACTCGTGGACCTCTGGCGGTCTACTTGTGCTGTCCAGCTCCGGAATCGTCTGTGGCTTCGCAAACACACCCAGCCCATACTGCGCAGACCCCCGATTATACGGAGGCTGTTCATCGCCATTACTCGAGTAAATCTCCGACACCGCATGTCCAGACTCAGACGCCATCGGCGGCGACGAGGGCAAGCTGCTGATCCCCGTCGACGAGCCAGAAAGATACTTTGGGCCAATAGTTGTTCCTCCAGGACTGGAAAAGTGCGAGTCTACATCCACAATAAGCACACGCCCATTAGTACAGGTATTGGAGTGCATACCTTGATACGGCGACTGAGGATGCTGGTACCCCGTATACTCCCCATTATACATCGCCTGCCTTTCACCCTCCACCACACTCGTCGTCCGCCCATGTCCTCCAGGCGCAGAATCAATCTTACTCTTCTTCTTCCTCCGCAGAAACCACCAAATAAGCGCAAGCCCGATAACCACCGCTGCCACACAACCCACCACAATCCCCGCTATCGCACCACCACCTAACCCCCCATCCTCCTCATCCTTCCTATCCCTATCCACATCCTGGAAGAGGGTAAACTGGTCCGTCCTCGACGAAGACCACGCCGCCGCGCGCACATCATCCTTGGGACACCCATCGGTCGTGGCGCAGGGATTCGAAGCGCAGCAGCCCACGAACGGCGGATCTGTGAAGTTACACGTGAACCAGTTGTCGGACGAGACGTCGATGCAGTTGTTGGGGACGAAGCGGTCGAAGATGGCCGTGTCGAATGTCGCCGGGTATACGTCTGGGCAGGGGGATGTGTTGTTGCTGTTGGTGTTGCTGCATGGGTCGGACGAGCAGCAGCCGACGAAGTAGGGGGCGCTGGGGCACACGTACCATGTCCCGCCGGCGGGACAGGTGAAGGTGCAGGAGTTGGAGCCCGAGGAGCAGTCTGAGTCGGACATTTCTGTAGTAGTGTAGTGTAGTAGTGTAGTATATGCTGTACTAGAAGAGAGGGAGAACTGCGGGTCTTGACTGGGGACAGCTGGGACTCGCGTTTCAAAGAATCCAAAGCAGCGCCAGAGTGCAGTTCAACGGGTCAAAAAATCCAGACAGTCAGAAACAGATGCAGGTTTTCGCTCTGGTCAGACAGCTTAATAAGAGACTGGCGAGGCTGAACTGGTGAATGAGCTCACTGCACACAATCTTTGTTCAGCCGGCCCTCTGGCGGCGCTGGGCGTGGTTGCTGATTGGCAGCTGCGCCGCAGGATTCTATGAAAAGAAAGCCAGAACGGCGCCGTTTAACTGGATTCGATGCTAATGCGTGGCTAGCGCTGACAGCTAGTAGATTGCTTCCTCCGCCGAGAGCTTGGTCGTTCTACGGCTGAAGGTGAATGTGGATGTCAGCGTTGGCGTTGGGGCAGTGACTGACGGAGTGTCCACTGTCCACGTTCTTGACTTGATTGTGGGTTCACATTATATTAACTATTATATTTTCCCGTTGTCTCCTCTCGAACTCGGGGTCGATTTTCCTTGAATTGGAGGCCGTGCGACCAGCACTGCCTCGCAAGGTCAGGCCGGCAGCCACATCAGACGGGGCCTTGGCTGCATATCTCAGCCTTGTGATCCATTCAGCATCAAGACAAAGCTGCTCCAGAGTTCCGGTGTTTCCCTGTTTTGTCGATTGGGCTCTCCTGTCTCGCCGTCAGACCGCTGCTTATCAATGGTCTTTATGCAGACAACACGCGGCGAAGACGGATTTGGTATAGATCAATGTGGAATGTCATAACTAGCAAATTAAATACATTATAAATGTTGAAAATAGATTGAGTTACTGAGATTTGTTTGAGATGTGATCGGTCTTTGTGGTTGCCATTGACGAAGCCCTAATTCGACCACGAGTCTCAGCATAGAAGGAATAATCCTTCACAAGTTCCTCACAACCATCTCCATATTTCTCCATCCCTCTATCTTCTCTCCATCGGCTCCATAGCTAGACCCGCTAGGGCATTCCTAGTCGCAGTGTGGCGGAGTTCTCCATATTCTCTCGGTGCTGGATTCTCGTTTGCCGTATGCGTTCATTCACAAGCCAAACAACGCTCAATATTTGAAGCTGAAACAGTTCAATGAGAGGTAGGAGTATCAAGATAGCGTCCCGGAGGAATAGGAGGGGGACGGATCACTCCGCAGATTGTACTTGGTTCGTTTGACATTCGATAGAAGGTCTATATCAAGAAATGAGAAATAGGGATAGAGTAGACTGTGGATTCTAGGAATCTTTGATCCGGCACCCAGCTCTTTATAGCCTTCTTTGTTAGCCTTCTTTGTTCTCCGCGTGCAGCAAGAGATGCAACCACCAGTCCATCAGGTTAGTCCCAAAGCCTGTTCCAAATACTGAACAAAGAGTTCTTTATGACTTGTCAAGGGGTCTCGGAGCTTTCCCCATTGCAGCGCTTAACGTTTGCGTTTGGGTCGGTGTATATCTCTATAAAGAGTACTGGCATTCCTTGTTCACTACCGGGGACTCTGCAGCGGTTTAAACTAGTTCTCTTGGTCTCCAGGTATACACTTGTTCATAATCTTGATGTGAACATGAACATAACACTCATTACTCAGGAATGTCTTTCATGTTTGACCATGTCCTTCGAGACAAGTGTACTCGTAGTGAAGTAGAGTCGGGGGATTTAAACGTCAAGAAACCTTTTCAAAAATAAGCACCATCATAAGCCTCGTTATCCTTCAATATGTTTGCATCCCTACTCTCTGCCCAAAGGCAGAAGACAGCCACAACTCACATCGAGGGTCTTCCTCCAGAGGTGATGCTGATGATCCTGCACCAGCTAATTGGCACTGACCCAGAATACTCTTTCGACCCGATACTTTTAAGCCTCTGTCTTGTCAACCGCCGATGGAACGAAATATTCACGCCTCAACTTTACACCTGCTACCAGCTCGAAGACAATTCCGATGAATTCAGAACCCTCTGGTGCTTCCTGCGCACTCTGGTCACTAGACCGGATCTTGCGCAGCATGTACGCCAGATAACCGTGCGCAGGTACCTCATCCCGGTGATGATTGACTACGAGGACAAGATACAAAGCATCAAGAAGTACTATGACGCCAATGCACCATGGCTGCAGATGGCATTTAACCAGGCTGGTTGGAATGGGCCCTCTATCAATAGGTCTCGGTGGGGTCTCGACCTCGCTCAACAAGATCGAAACGACGTAACTCTAGCGGAAATTGCAAGACAGGCGATATCCAATGAGTATCCGGAGACTGACAAGCGAAACCGTCTTTTTGGGAGGACGTTTTATAAAGGCTACATGTCCCCACTCTGCGCTCTGGTCATCGCCCACTGTCCCAAGCTCCGTCGACTGGCGATCCCCGTCCACCTTGTTGACCCTTTCCTGGATGAGGTCCTATATTGGGCAACGTACGGTGCGGCAGACCCTAATCGTCCCGCTCAAATTGGCCTTCAGGAACTGGAGGGTCTTTCTTTGTGGCGACAGGAATCCTTTGGCTGTTCGCGCACTGCTGGCCATGCCGTGCACTCATTCGAGACTCCGGTCTGCGCACGCCCTTATTACCGGCTTCCCCGGCTGAAGCAACTAGATACCGACGAGGCATTCAAAGACCCCGGCGTGTTCGGTGACGTCGAAAAGCCATACCAGAGCAACATCCAGGATCTTTCCGCCAGATACCCACTGGAGATCTTTTCTGTCCCTGCTGGGACGCTGCTTAGCCGGACCTCCAACCTGCGCCAGCTATCTCTTACTCTTGTTCCATGTACTGTACCAACAACACACAGCACAGTCATGAGCTACTACTCCCAGCTCTGGAACTGTCTAGCCCATTTCTCCGACACGCTGGAGTACCTCGACGTCGACCAGGAGAGGGATATAAACAACCTCACCCCCTTCCCAAACGACAAGGACCAACCCTTCTGCCTCCCGCTGGCCCAATTCACAAAACTCAAGTACCTCGCCGCAACACCACTCCTCCTCTCCGGAAACCGCTGCAAGCACGAATTCCAATCCACAATCTCTTCCCACCTCCCCAAATCCCTCCTCGCCCTGGGCCTGTACTGCGAACTCTCAGGGCCAGGCAGCCAGGCCGTAATAACCACATCGATGGGGACAGTGACCGCAACAGCAACAACCGATCCTGCCTTAGAAGCCGAACTCCACCAGATCCTCACAGCGGGATCCGCAAATGGCTTGCGCGCCCTTGTCGTCGACTATACGCGCGGTTCCATCCCACACCACGGCAAACTGGACAACGTGGCTTTAGCTGCGCGGCTGCTGGGGGTGAACTTTATCTGTGAGACGCGGGCGCCGAAGTTACGACTAAGGCAGGAGCTGGTGATGTCGTATCCTCTCCCCGGTGGAGGGCTGCCGAAGAGTGCCTTTCTTTGGTTGGATGATCGTGCAGTGAATAAGGTGGTAGAGGAAGGGGAGAGTCCTTGGGTTGGTGGTGCTGGTGGGATTATCCCTCGTGGGGTAAAGATGTATCATAAAAGGAAAGGCAGAAAGGACAAGGACGAGGAGGTCAAGGACAAGGACAGGATTGATACTAGGCAGTTTTTCCTTCTGCTTTTGTTACTTTTTTCCCCTGTCCCGCTTTCTTTAGGGCTTACGCTCGGGAGATACATATTCAGGTCGTAGGTTAGCCAAATATAATGCATCAACCTCTAATCCAGTTTCAATGTCTATTACATCTAATCTATCACTAAATCCGACCCTCTATTTCCTGTCTCAGCCAGTCTCTCCACTCTTGATCGCTCAATATCGATCGTACCCGCGCCTCTAGCCACTCCGTATTGCCCCAGAATCCCCACGATGCCTGGAATCGACACCAGTCTACCAAGGCAGTCTCCCAGTGCCGTCTAAACGTGTTCCACTCGTAGCTCTCTCTATACTGGAGAAGACCCGAACGATACCGCTCCAGCAGTCTCTTCTCGCCATCCCGCATCGTTAACCGCTCAGGGAGAGAATCACCATCATCAACAAGCATATCCAAAGGAACCGAGCAAGTAAACAGTTTCGCAAGATCACAGACACCCAGGCCCAGCCCGACATACTGGAAATCGAAGAACGCCACTTCGTCTCCGCTCTTCGTCGTGAAGAGATTCTCCGACTTGACGTCGCCGTGGATATACGACTCAATCGGCCGTCCGTAGGGCGTTAGAACCAACGCAACCATCTCCGCTATGGACATCGATGAGTCTTTGGCGTTCCTGCACAAGGCATCTGACCATTCCGAGGATGTGTCCCGTGCTAGGGATTCGTACTCTTTCCGTCGCGTGGCAAGGTACGTGTATCCCCCGTTCAACCACAGTCCACTCCCAGCAGCATTCTTGTTCATGCCTTGTCTCTTTCTTGCCTCTTCAATCGGCGGCAAGACATACCCGTCCAGAGTATCCGGTAGTAACCCCCACGAACGCCCATGGAAACTAGAAAGCCAGTCCAGCGCTCCCTGGACTTGCGTTTCACTCAAGACGCTCCTCTTCTCGCCAGCGACAGGGTACTTCACTCGAAGATCAACCATGATAATCGCCATGATCCCATCCAGCCCTTCCTCCGTCTCGTTCTCGTCGTTCATCTCCCGCGTCGACGCAAGACATCCTGCAACTGCAACCCCACCACCACCAAACCGCGGCACCACATCACTGTAGAAGCACTGCTCAACCTCATAACTAAACATCTTGCGCAGATGGCCTTCATCCGCCGTATTCTGCTTCTGCGGCGGCGAGATGAGTTTCAATATCAGAGGGTAGACAGTCCCCGCTCCCGTAGACGATGACACCTGCACCCCGAACAGACTGTCCAGGTGTTTTGCTGCTTCGTCGGTGGTTGCTTTTGCCTTTATGGCGCAGATCTGGCCATACCCGGCCCAGAGGGTTTGGATTGTGGTGCATGAGATCAGCGAGAGAGAGTGTCGTGATAGCAGCGTTTGAGCGATGCGGTCGGGTGGGGGAGTCATGGTGCTTGCAGTTATTGGGATACAGTCATACAGTGTAGATATAGTTCTTTTAGAGGGAGATTGGTTTAGGGTTTATTTATAATCCTGTCCCGTGACTGGCTTAATGAATAACAAGAATCAATACAATAATAGAAATAAAAATAATTATTGAAATGATTTAATTGTCTGTTTTTTGGCAATGGCATCACGTGGGGTTAGTCAGCGGGTATACCAGGGAAGTAGGGCTTCATTCAGCAGTACTAACATCTGTCGATATTTGGTCGCAGATGACGATAATCTTGTAGATAGCTGTTCATTTCGTGGGAATAGGATAGCCTGTATATATGACTTTGCCGTAGTGGTACCAGGCCAAGCACAACGAGTGTACTATGACAATATCTACCATACATGCAGCGCAGAAACTAAAAAGGCCACAAGATTAGCTAGAGGACATGAGGTTACCTTTGTATAGTTAGACTGGATATCTTCCCAGAAGTCCAAGTCAGTGATTCGGGCCGGGCCGTATACGAGCCTGGGTCAATCACAGACAGAGGGGGCAGGACAATGTAATACTTGGGGCGAGTCAGATAGCAGTCTATTTGTCATGGAGACTGTATACTTGTCTATAGATACCTCATCGTATCAGAAAACTAATCTCCCTGCCTACGTCCAAATAAGCTGGGTCATGCTTGAGTGTCAGCTCCTGCCTTCTCTGTATGTCTATGGCTATCCTTTTCTCTTTCTAGCCAAGCAAGGAGTACAGTTAATAGAGCCAAGCAGCTGTGTTCAAATCGATTATAGGCTACTCACTTCGACAGAGGATAATCGAACTATACTCAATATCCTATAGTAGCATCTATTCACATCGGTTCCGGTCTCCAACATATTCATCGGATCCGATACAGCAGGAAACAACAGACAGCGGAGAATCCCCGAGTCTCCAACATTAATACTACAGGATTACAGCTCCAGCACCCGGACATCTGCCCGATCTCTCCGCACTGCACACGATGGTGGAGCCGATAATCACTCAGTGTATGTTGTGTACAGTGTACTCCAGCCGACGCCCCTCCATAGTAGATGCAATAACATAAATACCTTGCAACATTCCATCTATCAGACGAACCCAGAACACCAAAGCAAAAAGAAAGAAAAAACCAAAATGGCCCCGCGCTATCTAAAATCCAAAGCCAGCAGCCCCAATGCCGGTGCTGCCACATCCCCGCAAATCGACGTCCCGCGCATCGTCAAGGGCGTCATCGACGACATCCGTGCAAACGGCGACACCGCGGTGCGCACGTACTCGGAGAAGTTCGACCAGTGGTCGCCCGGGTCGTTCAGATTATCCCAGGCGGAGATCGATGCGGCGATCGCGCAGTGTCCAAGCCAAGTCATTGATGATATCAAAGAGGTGCAGGGGAATGTGCGGGCTTTTGCGAAGGCACAGAGGGAGTCGATTAGGGATTTTGAGGTTGAGAGTCAGCCGGTATACTCTTCTCGTTTTTCTTGTCGACTTTGTCATATGTTAATGGTTGATGCTGATGTATGAAGGGTGTATTCCTCGGACAAAAGTCGCTTCCGATTAACTCTGTCGGCGCGTAAGTGCACCAGCAAATGTATTTGTCTAGAACAACCTGACAGAAGTAGATACATCCCCGGAGGCCGATATCCGCTTCTTGCCTCTGCACACATGACAATCCTAACCGCCAAAGTCGCCGGCGTGCCCAACGTCGTCGCCTGCACACCCCCAATCCGAGGGCAGATCCCCCACGCTACAATCGCCGCTATGCACCTCGCCGGTGCAGACTCAATCTACCTGCTCGGCGGCGTACAAGCCATCGCGGCAATGGCCGTGGGGACGCCCACGATCCCCAAGGTCGACTTCATCGCGGGTCCGGGCAATGCCTTTGTCGCGGAAGCGAAGAGGCAGTTGTTCGGTGAGATCGGGATCGATCTGTTCGCGGGCCCGACGGAGATCCTTATTGTTGCGGATGGCAAGGCAGATCCGTTTACGGTTGCGACAGATATCTTGTCGCAGGCGGAGCATGGGCCGGATTCGCCGTGTGTGATTGTGACGACGGATGAGAGAGTGGGGAGGGAGGCCATGAGGATTATTAGGGAGTTGTTGAAGAATTTGCCGACGGCAGAGCTGGCGGGGACGTCGTGGGAGAGGTTTGGCGAGGTGGTTGTGGTTGGATCGCGGGATGAAGCGTGGGCTGTTGCTGACAGTTATGCAAGTGAGCATGTGCAGATTCTGACGGAGAGGCCACGCGAGGCGTTGGAGAAGATGACGGCCTATGGGGCCTTGTTTCTGGGTGACAAGACGTGTGTTTCATACGGTGATAAGGTGGGTTCTCTTTTCGTTCTTTTCCGTAACCTTGCTGACGTTGTAGGTCATTGGGACGAACCATGTGCTGCCGACGAGAAATGCTGCACGATATACCGGCGGTCTCTGGGTTGGGAAGTTCCTGCGCACCGTGACGTACCAGGAAGTTGTCAGCGAGAAAGCAAGTGCCGAACTGGGCAGGCTGTGTGGACGAGCAGCACGTGTAGAGCTTTTCGAGGGCCACGCGCGATCTGGGGATCTCCGGGCGAAGAAATATCTGGGAGACCAGTATGACTGGATCAAGAAGTATGACGAGACTCCCGGAAAGCTTTAGACTATTTAGCCATTATAAAATAGCTATTCACTCTACCATCGACGTAGACAAGCCTGATCATTGTCTTCATGCTTCCAGCACAGAGCTACTTTCTCACAATGGCCTGATACATGTCCACCATCTGCCGTCTGACATTCTGCGACAGTGGCCAGACCTTACCCAGTGTTTTTAGCGATCCAATACTCAGCTGGATCCTGGCATTAATGCCCTCTTCTCTCCCAGAGCCTCCAACAACGAGCAGAGCTGCGGTATGGACAATCATGCACATAGCCAGCGCACATGTAAAGAATGGTGTTCGATGATGGATAGCACTGGGGAGGGTTGCGAGGCCAGAAAGGATATCCGCGGCGCGAATGAGCTTATGGGAGTGGATGTCAAGACTCCGGGAACGAACAATCTCAGACCCTGATCCTTCGATTGGTTTTATGCGGGTGCAGGAGGTAGGAGAGTCGGCATTGAAGGAAGCAAAGCGCAGGCTGGATCGTGGGTGGTGAAGATAAATCAGTGCTCTAATAACTAAAATTAGCTTGGAGACTTCCTCTCAAACGTAGCCATACTGACAGGTAAAGAATCATCTGAGCCTGGAAAATCATCTCATCGTGGCTGGAACTGTCGTGTCCATCCTCGTGGAGCGGAGGGAGAGACATGAGTGATGAGGCTAGATGTGCGTCTACAGTTTCGACTTGAGACTCCAGGTTGCAGTCCAATGACCGGTTGAGTTCGAACACGGCGCCTAATTTCAGCACTGCGCTTATACGGTATGCAAATGTCGAGAAGCTCTCTCCTAGTGTCCAATTATTCTGGAGATCGTCTAATGTTTGTCCCGTTGGTTTTACCTGGAGGTGGTTAACAATTTGTCCTTCCTTTAGATGTTTTGCCCTTACGCTGTCATAGTTGTACAACTTCTCTGCACACGGTAGCTGTATATCCGTTGGTTGGCGATATAATCGAAACGAACTCTGCTCTCGAAACGCGGCTAAATACCCATCAACGACGTAAAGCTCCCAGTATGTCCTACGCCAGCTCTCCTCCATCGCCGAATGGCCGTAAGAATTCTCCCTGGCAAAGCATGAATTGTTGAGCCCAATCTCCAGCGCAAGAGTGCTGGCAGTTTGTACTAGTCGATGGGAACTTTTGTCATCGCAGTGTGAATGGTCAATAATTGCCAGTAGCAGTAATGCCTGAACTTTGAACCCATCTTGCATCGTCGGGTCGGAGAGAGAATTGGCTGCCTCTTGTTGGAATTCCTGCCTGAGTGCCGGATTGGGGTAATAGTGTGCACCAATATAACGCATGATGGAAAGCAGAGCCGGTGGTATCAGATAACAAAGCGGAGAGTTCAAAGCTTTTCTCGGTATCACAACAGGGTGTGAGGGATGAAAGTTCTGGTAGTAGAGCTGGATCATCGGGTCGTACGCCACCTCTGGGGTGACAAGCTCTGACTCCTGAAGGGTAACGAGGGTATCTTCGGGGATGGATAGTTCTTGAATATTACGGTCATCTAGGGGCTGAAATAATGATTTTGCCTCCAATATGTCAGTATTCTATTCTCTAAACGCCAGCAATGCGTATAGGGCTGGGGTGGTACATCTAGAGTCCTGTCCGTTGAGAACGCAGCATCGTCCAGCCAGTCTGGGAAGACATCCGGCAAGGTCGAAAAGACATTCTCGTCTATCACTTGATGCGAGGCATTCCTGGTGTTTTTTCGCAGCCCCCTCTTGGAGCGAACATATTGGCATTCGATATCGTTCGTCCGACAGCGAGTGCAAGCGGGCATAAGGGCATCGCACTTTACATGGCGACGCCGACAGGCAAGGCACGCAAGCGAAGAAGGCCTCGGGGGAGAATCACGCTTTTCTTGCATCGTTACTCGTCTCCCGTAGGGTTGTATATGGTGGTAGTATATAATGTCGGTGATGGAGCTACCAAAGCTCAACCGGTCTGTCTAACAATAACGACAACCTTCTTTGATAGATAGATTTATGTCTGACGACAATTTCATTGCCGGCTTTCAGTTCTCGGGGTACTGGGCATCCGTATCTCGGCCTCCTTCGAGTCGGATTCTTAATCCTATTCTTGATCCCGAGATCCCCGAGTCGCCGACCAATGTTTCATACATATGCCTTCACACCGCCGCATATGCGCTCCCGCATCCATGGAACGCTCGTCAGCGAATCAGATCCGTAAGCAGCCCCCCTTTAATTCGTCGAACACATTCGGTGTTCAAATGCCCCACTATGGACATGCTTTTGGCCTGAGCCTCCCGAGTCCCGACGCCCCATATCTACTACCGCGCAGATCATCCCCGATACTCCAGCAGGTGTTCGCTTGTCTTCCTGAGCCACCTCAGCCCATGAAAGTCACCGCCTAAGTTTTAAGAGCCTGAGGCAGGATGATATACCGAAAAATCTCACTCATCACAGCGCAGGCAATGCAGTTACCTGCAAGGAGATGAGCCACCAGACGCTTGGGCCAGGTCAGCCTGGCCAGGTCCCCGCGAGTGGGGATGGAATGTGCCCGGGGAATATCCCTCCACTTAGCGAATCCTGCCACCGGCGTCTTGCGGAGGCGGCTGTAACAAACACTGCCTAGAGTCTTGTCACAGGGGGGAGGAGGCTGCCATGGTTTGATCTTCGCAGTCGCGTGGCGTTGAAGGCGTCGTGTAACCGTGCACTTGTGCTCCCAAACAATGCTGGGAGGTGTACGCCATTATAACAGCTATAATTCCGCCATTTATGCACTTTGTCAATACTGTCAGCATGGTGATCTAGGCATCCAGAGTACCCAGCGGAATCTCTGGCGGCCTGCGTGGACCGCCCCCATAGGCTGCAGGGGGCAACCCCGAGATGGTCCCCGATATCACTCCGGCTTGGCGAGGCATTCCTCATTCTGTTCGAGAAGTCTGATACGTTTGAAACCCGTCTGCATAGGGATGATTGCTCGAGTCTTGGGCTGGCGGTGTTTGGAAGGCTGAGGTGACACTTTTTAGGTTGCTGTAACGCCTGATGAGGGCTCAATGTCAGCACAACCCGATATTATATTCAGCCCAGATCGTAAGTTACCTTTCCGGCGTAGCTATCCAATGATTTCCAATCGATGCCTCAAGTTAGACGGCTGTTTGACAGAATAACATATCATCAAGTGAATAGAACCAATCCATTATCCCGGCTGTAATTATTGTTCATAGAACATGACCGCATTGTCACTCTGGCTGAAATAATCAACGAGTGCTCAATACATGATACCTGAAGAGGACGAGATATGGTCAAGAAGTCAGATATTGACTGGTATCTTCTGTCGATTCTGAATGCTTACCCAATAATCTGTGCTGAGCAGGCCCGTCCAGACTGAACAGCACAAGCTCCTAATGACAAAATATCAACGACGCCGGATGTTGACTTCAAAATAATTGAAAGTAATATCAGCCGTGGTTGTTGAGGAAGTTGGTGTTAGTTGGGTTGTCAACAAAGAATCTCCGCCTCCCTGCCTTAGGCAGCCCAGTGATATCCCCTCAGTTTCAACATGCAAGCCTGCGAATTCATCTTCTCTTCGATCCGCATTGCAATCTATTTGTGGCCCCACAATTTCATCATAAACAAGAATAAATGATCACCCTATTCGGCTGCTCGTATTCCGTTGACGAGGGAGATTCTCCGATGTGAACCCTGCCATCCTCTACGAATCTGGCTGGACAGGACATCTCCATTATGAACACCAAGAGCTAAGATGTTACATCCTCAGATACCACCGTCGCACGCTCCAAGTCATAACGCTGTTTGGCAGAATGGCCTTGTCCAGCATCCATGTTGACAACTTTGGCGAGCTTGGATCGTTGATGGATCCCTAAAAATAGGCACTTCCTGTGCAGCGATCTTCCGTGACATCGCCTTGAGATATCTGCGTCTAAAAAAGAAAGATCGTCGGCATCGGCAGCCATTGTTGCTGTGTTGGGCCGGAAGAAGCGAGGAACTGGTCTTGGCCTCGTGTTCATCCAGGCTTGCGATCCTCGTATTGTCTTCCTCCTCGCCCTGCGTGAGAACACCGTTATTCGTCAGTCGCAGTGATCCAGGGCTGTTCCCCACATTACTCCTGATCGCTCGATTCTATATTTGTTGTGCTCGAAACACGAGGTGGTTCGACGGGCACAGCTGTGTCAACAGTCGGCTCAATCCCTCGTATTCACGAGATGATCGATGTGTTCGTTCAGGTCTTGAAACTCGCTGGGTGAACATCAATTCCCCTTCAAAAATCGAGAATACGAGAGACGTTACAATGAGATCCTATCTCGTGAAATGTTTCTTGACAAGATGATGATCGACGTCAACGACCCCAACCCAGTGCTGCCAGAATAACGTATATAAGATTCCTCAGCCACCGAACAAAGGCCCTCAATCATATCAACCATCTACCCAAACAAATTCATCAAATATCAATAACAATGAAGTACCTCGCCTCTTTCTCCCTTCTCGCCTGCGCTGCCAGCGCCCTTCCCTCCCTCGAGACCAGACAGGGCACCGTTGGCCAGGCAATCCTCGACAAGGCCTTGACTGCCGCGGGCACTCCTTACGCCTGGGGTGGTGGCACCTGCCAGGGCCCCAGCGAGGACAACCCTCCCTACGAGTACGGAGATACTGGATATGACTGCTCTGGCCTCGTCTGCTGGGCAGTCTGCCAGGTGACCGGCCGTGACCTGTTCACTGAGGGTCTCCGCGTCACCTCCACCATGTACTGCGCCGATGAGGCGACGCTTGGCTACAAGTATGCTCTTCCAAACATTCCCCAAGACGACAATTTACTCATGCCATCTTAGGAAATACCCCTTCGAGGAACGCCAGCCAGGAGACGCCGTCTTCTTCGGCGGCGAGTGCGACTGCGGTACTAGCGGCAGCATCCACCACGTTGGACTGATGATGTACGTTGAACTATTACCGGGCTTTAGAATCCAAAACACTAACGATGATGCAGTGACAACGGCGACCGTATGTGGAATGCTCCCAACGACGACGTCAACCAGGTCCAAGAGAACAGCATCTCCGGGTTCGGAGAGGCCGCTTGCCCCTATGTCATTCGCTTCACTTAAGCTTATATCGAGTCCGACGCCGAGGTCTGCAGTACCTAGAGTTGTGGATTGCTATAGAGTTTATTCTTCAGTACATAGTTCCCTTGCCAAGGGACCCGGGGGTTAAAACACACCAACCCACGCCATCCCTGGTAAGGTTTTTACTTCACTCGTTCAGGTTTATTTGTGTTATCTTGTCAACTTACTACATGTTGTTTTACTATGAAATACATAGAACATTTGCTCTCTTAACGTTACATCGCAAGTGGAGGTCCAGTCACATCTGTGGAAATTGACACCAACGTTGGAAGTTCGCCACGGAAATATCACCCAAGCAGACTTCTATTGGTCATCCAGTCCAAAAACATCATCCATAAAAGAGAGAGAGAAATGGGGGGGTTGAATGTCATAGACAGCCCTTCCTGTAGTCCACCTATCTCGCGCGAAAAAAAACTCAACGCCGTAATCCTGCAGCTAGTAGACAAATCACCCGCTCGCAATCGCGTTAAACTCTGAGTCTCTGACTCGATAGTCTGCAAATTAAGGCCCCATGAGTGGAGAAGTGCAGCAATGACTAAGATTGACACCCGCCGAACGTCATAATTTTAGACCTACCTAGATCGCATCTCATCTCATCTCGAGCCGCCCAACGCGCGCGGCTGATTCCACTCTTTAGATACTTCTAGAAACGTTGATTCCGCCATCCACCACAACCACCCCCGCAATCAAGGTCGCAGGGACCGGACGATGGAGAGCGAGCGCACAAGCGCTGGACAGGATGCAACCGACCAAACCCCCCAACAGCTCGCGACTCCGCTAGAGTCCAGCCCTGAAGTGCCGCTCCCAATACTGACGCCTGCAGCCACGCCTGCAGCTGCAGCGCAGGGTCAGGCTCAAGGCCAAGGCCAAGGTCTACCAGGAACAGCACCAGGTGCCAGAGTCGCAATCCCCAGACTTACATCAGCGACTCCAGCGCCAGTGCGCGTCACGCGCGCGTGCGTGCAGTGCCACAGAAAGAAGACCAAATGCGACGGCCGGAAACCGCGGTGTGAGGTTTGTATGCGGTCTGGTGCGGTGTGCACGTATTCCAAGTCGAAGCGTGAGAGCCAGCAGTTGGAGGTGAGATCGCTGGAGCAGAGGGTTAGGGCGTATGAGTCTGTTTTGCAGGAGATTGTTGAGAAGAGTAGTACTAGTAGTCCCGGTGCTGTGGATAGTCGGCGGGTTATTCAGGATGCTATACAGGTGGGTTGAGCTTTACTGGCTGTGTATGGTGTTATATCAGAGGCTGATTTGTGGTAGAATCAGTTTGATGCGTCGCCTGAGTTCTTTTCGACTCTGCTTTCTGCGGGCTCGCTGTTCGAGCAGGAGGTTCCTATACCTAGACCAGGGCTATCGCTTGGCCGAATGCATCTGGCATCGCAATCGAACGAGAGGCGCGAGGAATTGACTCTCCTGCAACAGCCGCCAGTCAAGACCACTTCAATTGAGCACTGGACGACACTCGTTGACAACGACGTCGCGAGCCATCTGCTCTCTCTCTACTTCACCTGGGAGAATCCGACATGGCAGCTTATCGATCAGACGCTGTTTGTGCATGACCTCGAGCATCGCAAAACTAGATTCTGCTCTTCTTTACTCGTGCATACGCTTCTGTTCTTTGGCTGTGTAAGACTCAACCACATCTGGGTGCCCTCAATACTAACGGAATCCCCAGAGCTTCTCATACAACCTCGACCGCATTACGGACCGGCGTGAAGAAAAAGTGCTAGGCGAAAGGCTCTACTCTGTCATACAGCGCCTCTGGCTACAGGAAAGAGATAGCGTGGACCTCCCCACCGCGCAGTCAAGCATCCTAATCGGCCTTCTCTGCTGTACCTTTGGACTAGATAAAATCGGCACAAACTATATAATGAATGGAGGCGAAATCAGCACACGGCTGGGTATCCATGAGGAAAACTGCCCGTACTTTTTCTGGGATATTGATGACAATCAAACGGCACTTTTGAATTGCCAGAGATTAGTTGCATGGGCTGTATTTGATATTCAAGCGTAGGGTTGCTGTCTTTTTCCTAATAAGGGCTTGCTAATCGGCCATCGCAGACTGGCTTGCCAAGTATATAGGAAGAAGCCTGCTTGGGATAAGCCGCCAGCTATGAGTTTCTCGCAAGAAGAGGCTGCAATACTTGATGAGGGCGTTGAGTGGTCTCCATATCCCTTCGAAACACCCGCCTCCCAGCCCTTCTTTTACACAGCTTCCTGGGTTCGAGGGGGGTTGGTTGCAATAGTCCACGAGATCGCGCGCTTTGCATTACAATTCCCTGGGCCTGTCTTGAGTGATGAATACTGGGAGTACGGGAATAGCTTATACCAGAAACTCCTCGACTGGAACGCAAAGCTACCCTGGAGTGTCCTTCCTCGCCATAATACCACTCCCCACGTTATATGCCTCCAGTCCGTCTTCAATCACCTGAAAGTAGCATGAAGGAATGCCCACTAACCCCTTCGCAGTCTCTACTACCAAGCAACGATCGTCTCCCTCTGCGAAATCTTCATCGTAAACGCCGACCCTAAATCTCAACCCCAGTCCCCCTTCAACCCAACCCTAATCAAATCCCTCGCCCTCGACACCCTTGCAACCCTCCTCCTCCTCTTCAAACACCACCACGGCTATAAATCCATCCCAATCGTGTTCCTCCACTACTTCTGCGTCGGCGGCATGCACGCCGTCTCAAAACTCCACCGGTCACACCCCAAATGGGGCCTTGTGCTTGAATGCGCCGTCGTGGGGCTCTGGCATATGAGTCTGGGCTGGGGCCGGCTATGCAAGGCATTCTTACGCATGATCGACCTGGTGCTTAAAGCGAGGAATCCGGACCCGGAGCTAGTGAGTGACAAGGTTAAAGCGATTTGTGGGATGATGGATGGGGGCCTGTGGAGTGGGGTTGATACGGAGATGTTGGCGGCGGATTATATGGTTTATCATGTTCCTGGGGGTTTGGGAGAGAAAGAGGGGATGGGGAAGGGGGTCAGGGCTACGGCTTTGCAGGAGCTTCTTGTTGCGATGGAGGAGTTGGATGTTGGTGAGAAGGATGCGGAGAAGTGAGATGCGGGTTAGGTACTTTTATTCTCTATACTGCATGGTTTGAATATGATGGACACGAACTGTATACTAGGCCTTTGGCGATGTTATATCTGCCGGCAGAAGGCATGATTCGGTTATTTTAAGTCTACTAAGCTTCTTCTAGTATTCTGGGCGTTTGGGCATGACTGATGGACTTAGGGCTAGGTCCATACTTATAAGAGATTTGTGCTCCGCTCAGTAACCAGGACACAAGGAGAATATTTGCTTGCCCATGTCGCAATCCTCAAGTCCATAGCAACGTCACTCAAACTTGCAATAGTGACGAGTCGCTATCTCAAGTCAGTCAACCCAGGTTCTCCGCATCAATGGCCCATCAGCTTACTGTTCCGTGTATAATTATTATAGTTAAAGTGCACCCTTAACATTGTACATAAAGTGATGGAACTAATGGAACCGACCGTCATAATCAGACATGCATAATGCACAAGCTGCACTATATATAACCGCCTGGACAGTGAGCCTAGCAGAGGATGTACCACGACCTGTCGTAAATGGAGCCACAGCAATGCCTCACTGAGCCCATTATAAAAACATCGAGAAAACCCTGAGTCTTATAGAACGGGGCCATTTTTTAAAATATATTGTCCGGTATTCATGATAAAGCCTGCTGGAGGCGAAATAAAAATTGACTTGCTAATGTAGCCAAATTTCAGAGCAAACATACAATAAGTTTCCATGGTCTAGTGGTTAGGACGGCGGTCTCATAATATGACGATTCCTATCTAAAGGAGTTGCAATCCGCAAGCACGAGTTCGATTCTCGTTGGAAGCACTAAATTTTTTCCCTCTTTTTTTTTCGACATCTTGCGTCGGCCAATCACGTACCATCTATATTTTTTTTGTTCAAATAAGCGATCGACTTCGGAGATGCTTCCTTTCCAGTCTTAAACCTGCCGTCAACGGTGATGTGCCCGCTCCCTTATCCACCAGATTACCCGACAGCTTGGCTGCAGAACAATATGACAAGATCTGTTGTATAGGCCGAGGCAGGCCATGTTTCCATTTCCATACTTTGGAACTGCCATATTGCCAAACCTTCCACTCCACCGCGGCCATCCAAGCGAGGTTACAGTCGTGGAGAGCGGATTATTAGTCAGTCGGAGTTAAGAGAACCAGCTCCGGCCGCCCATCGGATCACCCCATCCCAGCGCGGGCCGGTGTCGAGTTTCTTCTGTTGCTCTGCTTGTTGCACGTTCGCTCGGGGATACGACAAATACGACACCCCCAAACCTACGCCATTTGCACCACATTGATGCGACAATCGTCGCTGTCACTCTGCCTGTCAATCGGCTGATCAGCTCTCTGCGGGTCTCTCTTCCAGTATTATCCGCAGGCCGACCTGGCGTCTGGCTTGGGTTCGATTGTCCTCTCGTGCGTCCTATGAGATCCCCTGTTTACCTCCCGAATGCCCTCTCGTCGCAGCCATACAAAGTCCCGGAGGGGTTGTTTTCAATGTAAAAAGAGGCATGTTAAGGTTGGTTTCCTTTCTATACGCACTTCTACTTGCCGAGCTTTTCATCAACCTCGTTCATCAACACCGTTACCACTTAAGCAAAATTTCCTTGTATTTTTTATACATTCTTACAATTTCACTATAGTGCGATGAAGAGCTCCCAAGATGCAGCCTATGCAAAAAGCGCGGTCTGGACTGCGACTACCCCCCAACCGGGGAAGCAGACGGCTTCCCTCTCAGCCCACAGGACTCTAATGACATACCCTCCAGCTCCGAGGGGTGGTCCGCGCACACGCGGATGCTGGAGATGAAGCTCCTACACCACTATGTCATCGACGCCTCATTTACTCTACGGCCCGACGTGCTAGAAGCCGGGTACTTCCAGATCGCCGTCCCGCGGATCGCGACATCTAATCCGTTCCTGCTAGACATCATCCTAGCATTCTCGGCGCTGCATCTGGCGTTCCTCGAGCAGGGCGATAGCAAGTGGCTCGAGATTGGGCTCAAGTACCAGAATCGAGCATGCTCGGCTTTCAGTAGAGTGCTGGCAAATCTGTCGCCGGAGACGCTGGGCCCGGCGTTCATCTGCTCGATTTTCACCATGTTGTGCGCATTTGCGTACCCTTGTGTGTCGCAGAACCGCGAGAGCTTTGATCCGCTGTCGCAGGTGTTGGAGATTAATCGGTTGTTTGTTGGGTGTGCGTTTCTGTTTGAGCAGCTGGAGAATGTTGAGCAGCCGGAGGAGATCAAGGCTTGGCTTGTTTATAAGCAGCCTGAGTTGTTTTTGAGGAAGGGGAAGATAGAGGAGTAAGTCCCTGCTTTCTGTCACTTGTCGACCTGTCTAACATCGTGGGTTAGAGCGCAAGAGAACGAGTTTTTCGAGCACCTACAACGGTATGTTCTCTCGATTACCCAAGGCCGACAAGAGACTAACAGAGGGGACCAGGGATCTACTAAAGTCACTCGACCACCTACAGGGCACAATCGACACAGCCGAAGGCCCACACCAGGAAATGTACAAAGACACATGGGCGACACTGCAACAGATGGTCCAGGAGTGGCCACGGGGAAAGCAACAAGGCGGGATCCTCGCTTTCCCAATCCACATTAGCGAGGAGTTCATGGCGCGGCTGAAGGACGGAGACTGGACGGCGCGCATTATATTTCTGCATTACGGCGTTGGCATGCATCTGCTTTCGAATAAATGGTACGTTGGGATCTGGGGCCGTCGCCTGGTTGCGACGGTGCTGCCGCCAGAGGAAGAGATCCCAGAGGTCTGGAAGGAGACGGTTGCGTGGGCGCGCCAGGCAGTGGCGTACACAGTGCCGTACGACGGGGAGAAACGCAAAGAGAAGAGCGAGATGGGGCTGCGGTAGAGATGTACGGTGCATATGCTATATCAAATGTTGAGTAATCTGTAGACGTGAAGACGATCATTTCCGGGAATCTCCGCCCAAACTCCAACTCCAACTCCAACACTAGTTATCTACGAAGCGGGACCAGCCCGCCACTCGTTGCCCGCTGCTTATCAATTCCGTCGGGAATTCCTTGACCCAAGGAATTCTTCAAAGCCAAAATGGCGCCGCCGCCTCACTCTCCTGCCAGGTTCATCCATGATCTCCTTCGTCCGCACCGGTCTGGCGCAGCGTAGAGTCGTAGAGATCCCGAAGTGCAGGAGATGCAGGGGTGTCGCGCGCCCGACGTGGAGAAGCAGGTAAGTCCCCGGTCATACTAGTAGTACTACCTTGCTTCGTATTAGTAGCGATCACTGCTCATATTAAGCTATTATGGTGCCAGCAGCCGCTCCTCTCCAACAGGCCTTCTAAACCATCAGCCCCCGCTGATTCCAGCCTGTTTCACAATAAAGCAGGAACAAGCCCCTTGCCGACCATGTCGCGTGCCTTGAAACTCTCGCTCTGTACTACCCTCCTGCTGGTATTACTGGTTGTTCATCTCCCCGGTGTGCTTCCATCCCCGGTAGACCACGACTCGTCCGATCGCTACTTTCGCCAGCACGAGAGGTCCAGGTACGACCATGTCCAGGCTGGAATCCAACCCGGGAAGCGGGGCGCCGCTGCGAGCGAAAGTGCCATCTGCAGTCGGCATGGTACGGACATTATCCTGAAGGGCGGGAATGCAGCTGATGCAGTACGTTTTCCATTCTTCTCTTGAGTTTATTAATTGATGTTGACCGTTTCTAGATGGTCGCGACGATGCTTTGCGTTGGCGTTGTCGGTGAGCTCATTCCAACCTCTAACCTACTAAGTAATACCCTGGGATAGCTACTAATAAACGCAGGAATGTATCACAGCGGCATCGGCGGCGGCGGCTTCATGCTCGTCAAGGCCCCCAACGGCACATTTGAGTACATCGACTTCCGCGAGACCGCGCCAGCAGCAGCATTTGAGGAAATGTTCGACAACAACACCAGTGCCTCCACGATAGGCGGGCTAGCCAGGTACCTTATCCATGCTCCCTGGCCTACTCGCTTACTTAAAGTAAATGAAATCGATTGTTAACAAACCCAGTGGCGTCCCCGGCGAATTGCGCGGCCTGCAATACCTGCACAACAAATACGGCACCCTCCCGTGGTCTGTCTTAGTCCAGCCTGCCGTCCGCACCGCGCGATACGGGTTCCCCGTCGGCGCAGACTTAGTGCGCTACATGGATTCTGCGGTTAGCGGTAGCGAGGCAGGCGATTTCCTAGTCAACGACCCCTCATGGGCCATTGATTTCGCACCGAACGGCACGCGGGTTCAGCTCGGGGACACGATCACTCGCAAGCGCTACGCGGACACGCTTGAGACGATTGGATCGAAGGGTCCAGATGCGTTTTACAAGGGTCAGATTGCAGAGGCGACAATTCGGGCGCTGCAGAAGGCCAATGGGACTATGACGCTGGAGGACCTGAGCGGGTATAAGGCTGTTGTGAGGAATATATCGCAGATTGATTATCGAGGGTATCGGGTGGCGAGTACGACGACACCGTCGAGTGGGACGGTTGTGTTGAATATGTTGAAGGTGCTGGATACGTATGGGCCGCTGTTTGGGCCGGATAATGTGAACCTGAGTACCCATCGCATGGATGAGGCGATGAGGTTTGGGTATGGGCTGGTATGTGTTTCCTGCGTACCTAATTGCTCTGGTTGGAGGGGTCAGGCTTGGGCTGACTTGTGTTATAGAGGACGGTCCTAGGAGACCCGGAATTCGTCGAAGGGGTGTCCGAGTATGAACAGGATATGCTGAAGAAGCAGACTATCGATGATATCCGCGGGAAGATCTCAGACCTGCGGACGCAGAATGTGTCCGCATATGACCCAGCTGGGTTTGAGAGCTTGGATACGTATGACCTCCCACTCTCCTATTTTCAAAGCCCCGTCTTACAACAATGCAGACCAGGAACATCGCATATTGCCACAATCGACCACTCCGGCCTCGCAATCTCAGCCATCACAACAATCAACCTCCTCTTCGGTAGCAAGCTAGTCGTCCCAGAGACAGGCGTCATCATGAACAACGAGATGGACGGTTCGTATATTACCATTTTTCCTATTTATCCACCAACCCTAACATGCTGTATATAGACTTCTCAATCCCCAACTCCTCCAACTCCTTCGGCTACATCCCCTCCGAAGCAAACTTCATCCGCCCGCACAAACGCCCCCTCTCCTCCTGCACTCCAGCAATAGTCACCCACCCCAACGGCACAACCTTCTTCCTCTCGGGCTCCGCCGGCGGCAGCCGAATCATCACAGCCACAGTGCAAAACATCATCCACGCAGTTGACGAGGGCTTGTCAGCCGCCGAAGCCCTAGCCAAGCCGCGTCTGCATGACCAGCTTGTGCCGAATCAGGTGGCGTTTGAGTATGCGTATGACAATGCCACGGTGGCATTTATGAAGGGGCGAGGGCATAATGTTACCTGGATGGCGCCGGGGACGAGCACGGCGCAGGCGATTCGGGTGTTGGCGAATGGGACTTTTGATGCCGCGGGGGAGCCGAGGCAGTTGGATTCTGGAGGGTTTGCTGTCTAGGCTCCCGGCTGTCTAGATTTTGGGCGAGTTTCGACTCTAGCATACGGTGGTGTGTATGGAATGTATGGATGTCAATGCATTATTAGAAGGGTGGATGGTGGATGTTTGTATTTAAGAGAAAGATCTATGTGATGATCTCGAGCAGTCTGCGAGTGGGTTTATAAGATACCTAATACTCAACTACCTACTGTTTCAATACTAAATAGTTAGGCTTTTGCCATCTCAATTCAGAATCAGATAAGTATATTTCACTCTTGTTAGGCGGATGAATGTTTTCTAGTGAATACTTCTGCTGGGCACTTGGGCACGTGGTCTGTGCTCAATGCGCTTAAATTCCTCCAAGTCCGAGCTGCGTTCCCCGGATTTTTCAACGTCGCCGAATCACCAACACGGCATGTGGTGGGCTCATTCTTTCCCCCTTGTCAATAACTACATTATGTCACAGTATTTCTATGCTCAAATTCGTTGCCAGGCGTAGAAACCCAGCGCGCCGCAAAAGCTGGCTGATGGAGCCGCGGGGTGGTCTTCCTGTGAGTGAATTCAACATGCGAGCCAATTTCCATCTCTATGAATAGGTAGCGATTGTGTTAGTCCCTCTTTTGTAATGTTTTATCCCGCCCTCATATTCTCTCTCTCCCGCGCGAAACGTTTTACTCTGCCATCACTTACACATCCTTGTTTACTAGTCCGAATCACAAGCGACGAAGATAAACCATGGCAAGACCCGGACGCGAAGAGGATAGTAGCATCTCTTCCAGACGAACCCCGACTCCATCTAAGCGCAATGGCACAACGATCTCCAAAATAAGTGGTGCGATCGAAAACGAAGCTATCATCGCATCGAACACAAATGCCAGTCATGGCCGCGCCGAAAAGCCCATGTCCAACCCCAGCAGCACGCCGGCCAACGACCTAGAAGACAGCAATGGCGATGGCGCGGTGGAAACAAAAACTGCCTCTAGCTCCGATATCTCGGCGACTCCCGCGGATGATCTCTATACACCGCTGCTCATGTTCATCTGCGAACACGGTTTCATGCGGGAGAAGCGGTACCCCGTTCCACGGTCTGTGCGGGTTCGATTCGTACGTGATGTACGTGCAGAGGCACGGGTGCTTGGGTTCGAGCGGGCCGTTGTTGATAGGGTGCTTCTTGACATCAAGAGGTATTATCTAACCAAAGTTGGGCAATGCCATGTGTTTGATGACGGGGCTGCGTTTGGAGAGGAGGTTGATGATTCGAGCTCATCCGAGGGGTTGGATGTGAAGACAAAGCCTTCGAAGCCGCAAGCAAAGCGCAAGCGCAAGAGGAGCAGCGGCGAAGAACCTGCAAAAGAAACGATTCAAATCCCAGTAAAGGCCAGTCAAGGCAAGACCAAAAGGCCCTCGAGGCCCAAAAAGGGTGAGAAGGAGACAAAACTGCAAAATCAGCCCAAGAGGAGAAAACGCTCCTCAAAAGCGTCTTCAGATACAAAGGCTCTTAAGGCCGGTGCAGCTTTCGAAGACCCTATTGTGCTGGATTTTTAGAAGCCAATGATTTGCCGGGGTTGACTGCCGGCGATGAGGTGAGGTCGAAATACTTTGTGAAAAGCCATGTCTCGAAGCCTGCTGATGCTGAAGTTTCGTGCGAGTCCCCTAATGGACATTCTGTCCCAGACGGTGTTCTGAGGCTGCTTGAGGATATGGGTCTAGGTTCCGATCTCCTACTATCCGATTCGACTTTGAGTGACGTACCAAGTGACCTGGAGGATAGTCCTACACCGTCTCCGGCTCGCCTACCATCTCCGAAGTTCGGTGGTACTGATAATGATCCTAGCGGGATATCTGATGCCAAAATAGATCCCATTAAATCCTCCCATTTTACTGTCGATGTTAGAGAACAAACTCCGCCGCAGCTTGATTTTTCACTAAACCCTACACTCATCTCAGATAAAAAAGCTCGCTCAAAGCCAACAAAGGTGTCACCATATTTCCAAGGACCTTTAATTAACGAGGACTCTTGTCTGCCCTTTCCGCCAATTGATGCGCCGGCATTCGGCCTAGTCCAGGAACAACTCGCGCACGACCCATTCCGTTTACTACTTGCTACCATCTTCCTCAACCGCACGCGAGGAGGCGTCGCGCTCCCGATCCTATTCCAGGTCTTTGATAGATACCCCACAATAGAGGCCATGGCTACAGCAGACCCATCAGAACTAACAGCTATGATTAACCGCCTCGGTTTCCAAAACCAGCGCGCAAGAAAATGCATATCCCTAGCGCAGACATGGCTGGGCCGTCCGCCTTGTCGGGGTAAACGGTACCGGAAACTCAATTACCCAAGTAAGACAGATGGAAGAGACGTCAAGCCGGACGAATGCATCGACGACGACGACCAGCGCGTGGCTTGGGAAGTCGCCCATCTTCCTGGGGTTGGGGCATATGCGTTAGACAGCTGGCGGATTTTCTGCCGCGACGAGCTGCGGGGTTTATCTTCGGACTGGCAGGGGAGTGGTGCTGCAACGGCAGGATTTACTCCCGAATGGAAATCAGTGTTGCCGCAAGATAAGGAACTCCGTGCCTACTTGACCTGGATGTGGTTGAAGGAGGGATGGGTTTGGGACCGAGAGACGGGAGAAAGGACACCCGCAAGTGAGAAAGTGATGCGGGCTGCGCGGCGGGGAGCTACTGCTCATATCGAGGCCGGGAACTGGGTTCTTGAGACGTCTCCAGTGAAGCGTAGATAGGCTGGGTATGCGGGTGACACGACAATTGGCATTGCCTTGTCTGGCTACTGGATAGCACCTATAGATGATCTTTCCTTTGAAAACATTACTCCAAATATAAATGAATTTCTTAGCATTGTGTTTGCTTGTCATCGATACCTGACACTGCCACAATGTATGGACTACACGTAAATTAGCGCCTCAGGCGGCAAGGCTACAAGGCTGCCAGGCAGACAATCAGGCAACTCGATCACATTCACGAGCCCACGACGACAACAACTTCAGCAAACACCAGCCTCCCATTGCATTGTCCTCTTTCAACGCTTCAATCGTTTCGTCCAAAACGTTCGAAGCTCAACTGCATCCTCCAATTCAGCCTAGTCCAGCATCTCCAACGTCTTCGTCGGGCTTCCATGCAGCACCCAACACGTCGCTCCACTCAATCACCAGCCTCGATCACCCCGTCGCACTAGGCCTCGCTATTCTCGACTAAACGGGTCTCAGCGGGGATTCGCCTAGGCCCTTTCTCACCGCAAAATCTTCGTCCAACCTCCGCCGTTCACGATCCGATTCCTCACTATTCCCCGACTGCCTTTTGTGCCTTTCCCCCATGAGCGACGCAGGTCGCATGACTCCAAAGATAGCAAGCTGTTGGTGATTCCATGACATAAGCGCCGAGCTGCGAACCCAACCACTCAGATCTGCGATCCTTGACGTCGCCAGTCGCCTAAGCGCCAGACGAGCACCCGCACCCAACGTATCCAGGCTCCGAGAGACCACAGCTCCGGAGAGACTCGACTCTCGATTTATTGTTCACTTCAATGAGCTGCCCCGATCAGCAAACCTGTCATTCACATTCACGAGGTAACTAGTCAGTCACAAAACGAATTCGGACAAGGGGGGCAGGGGATAAAAAGGAAGAAAGACAGCGCTTCGTTGGCCGCCGTCTTCTCTCACCTTCCAACCCACGAACCTCCATTAATTCGAACCCATCCCACGCCATGTTCCTGCCACTGAGACTAAATGACCGCGATCGTAACAGGGAACGGAATAGGAAACTCTCATCCACATCTTCTACCTCTCTCAAATCAAAACACCGTCAACAAAGGACGTCGTCCCAGAAACAATCCAGCCGACCGTCAACCAAGGATCCAGAAGAACCCGAACCACCGGTCCGCTCCTCCACCCCTACCACCTCCGCTCCCAGGTCCCGCAAACAACGTCGGTCCTCCATGCCCGGCCTCGACAGCGCCAGCCGCTCCGGCACGGCTTCCTTCCTCGAGTCGAGGACGAGTTTGCCGTATCCTACTTTTTCGAAGGCTCATAGCAAGGAGGCCGTTGGCAAACCGGGCGTCCCTACACCAGATCCGACCGACCTAACCGAGCAGAACCAGGACGATGAAGACAAAAATGACACCAAACAGCAACACCATGATAGTCGGAATGCGCCGCCAAGTCCCCCATTGACGAGTGTGGATCAACATTCGCGAAAGGGGAGCACCGTCGACGATAAGGGGGAGAAAACCACCGAAAAGACGAAGGATGGGAAGACAAAAATCAGAATAAAAACAGACGTGAATCGGTCATCGTCAAGCCTGCGCGCTAAAAAGGATGACAGCAGCAAGACGAGCAAGTCGACCGTCCGACCGGAGACCCCGAAAGCGAAGCGCTCAAGTTACAGTAAAGACTCGCCATCTCGGACCGCCAGTCACAAGCCATCCAAATCAAAACTCGATCCAGATCGCAAGCGGAGCTCTGTTGTCTCTCCTCCTCGCTCTCCGCCAGTTCGAGATGTAGGCATGGAATCCGCCCACGGCTCCGACGCAACTATCGCGGCTCCTCGCCAATCGCCCTCTTCCAGAGTGAGAAGTCCCGAGAAGCCACCGTCTCGCAACCAAACGCGCTCTTCCGCGTCGAATCGCCCGGCTTCCGCAAACCGCAACCGCACACCGTTCGAGGCTGCAATGGATTATGGACGTCCGCCAACTACAGGCTCCACATACGGCACTCCACCTCCGCCGCCACCTCCCCCAGATGTCCCGGTCTCAAACCCTCGGGTTGATTATCTACTTCATAATGGAGGCTTAGATTACCAGGTGCCAAAATCTCTCCTCTTAAACACGGTGTTTGGCGATCAACCCCAAGTCCAGCCCCATCTAGCGGCTAGTAGAGTGTTTGAACCTTTCAGTCGTCTTCTAGATGACTATCAGCATGTTGTAAATAAAAATGGTTCGCTTGCTGTCGCTACAGGGTCTAGGTCCGTGGCTCGTCGCCTACTCGACCGACTAGAAGCTGTTTTTGCCCGCGACATCTCGTCGGAGTCGTGCCGTTGTCTTATGTGTGAACATGATGAGTTGGAGGATATCCCATCAGGTGTCAGTTGGGGCGAAGTACTAGAGCTAGTATCCGGTCGTCGAGAGCTTCCTAATTGGCCGCCATTCATCCTTACAACAGAACTAGGAGCTGCGGATGTATCTGGTGAAGAGCATATCCCTATGCAGAAGATGGACATTGACGTTCCGGAAGAGTACCGCGACCATTTCCTCCGACAGTCGCGCAAAACAAAACTCGCTGTTGACAATTGGCTGACCGAGCAAGTCGAACAGCCAACAAGTGCGCCAGATGAGGTGGACGATGAGACCCTTACTTTCGCCATGTTAACCCATCTTGCAAATGACCAAAGACCTATCTTCCGTGCTTTGCTAGGAATCTCGTCCACGTCGCCGACCCCACGACCAGATGGACAGCCCCGGGAACGGCCGCCTGCTCTTACTTCGTCATCCTTTGCAATTGAGCGACTGTACCGTTTGTCATCTAAGCCCCGGGATCCTGAAACCGCGATGTACATGCTGAATAACCCCGGAATGCACCATGTGCTAGCCACGCTCGCAGCCATCAGCGACGATGAGTGGGATATTCTGATATCAGGACGCTTCGACGGATTCCTTCGCAGCGGAGCCGAGGACTCTACTCCCAATCGATGGAGCAACAGTCGGTCAAACACCCCATTCAGTACTGGACGTATGTCTCGCGGTCCTACGCCCAACCCGCTCGACCGTCCAATGAGCCAACCACAAGGCGGACCAGGCTCTCCAGGTTCATTCGGCGGCCCGATCGCTCTGGACGAGGAAATGGAGATCGCCGCTCTAGCAGAAGTCGAGCGAGAAATATACGCCGGAATGGAAGCTCTCGAAGATGCATTCGAAGCGCTACACTGCAAAGCGGAAACCGTACGTATTGCCCTGCGCGAGCGCGGCGCTGGCCTGTCAATCGCCAACCAGAACCGCCGAGGAACATTTGTCGAAGCTCGACTTGGCACCCCCGGACCCCACCCATGGGAAAGTGGTACGGACGACGACTTCTTTGACGACGTGCAATCATTGGCACCTGATGACTCGGCCAGCAACATCAGCTCTAACCGCCGGCGCCGTCCGAAGCGACGTACTGAACGCCGCACACCCGCGCCCGTTGAGGAGGAAGACGAGGGTGAAGAGGGATCACACACCGGGCGACGGGATAGTCGGAACTCAAGGAGAAGATAAGGAAAAAAAAAAACAAATCTACTACCCACAATTCAATGGATGCATCAGACCGTTCTATTCTAGTTTTCCCTCGATTCTTCTCTCTTGTTTTGCATTCCATCTTCAACAGCGTGATGACACATGACACGAAGAAACGGCACGAAATGAAATCTTCTTTTTCTTTTTTACTGTTCTTCTCTTTTTTTTCTCATTTAATATACCAAGAGTTGGCTTGCCTTGTATTTCATTTTCCTCGCTTTCTATCATTTTCTAGGGAGAGGAGCCGAGCCAAATTGTTTTAGTATCACATTTGCTCTTTCTTCCAAGGTTGTTGTTATCAACAGGACCCAGCCAGGATTATGTTTGCTCTGGGGCATTTTTCATTTTGTTTTTAAATCAAATCTTTTGCGAATTGTGATCCCTGACGGCCGAAATTGTATATTTCCATGGCTTCCCACAAGGTTCGAACCAATTTGTTACTTATTGCTGCTGTCTTTAGCCTAGAATTGGGAATATAGGTTGCTTGCTACTGCCGTAATAATGTTTAGCATGCTAGGTTTTATTACAATTTCCGGTTATCCTTGCACTACACTTTTATAATCTTTTATTAATCTAGGGTACATCGCGATACATCGCATGATAAGATGGATGAAAATCCCTGCACAAAGCACTGTTCTGGTGGCGGGCAAAGCCTCCATACACGAGTGGTCTTGCTAATTGCCAGTTCAGCCGTTCATGGAGATAGATGGTAATCCCTACAGGTATCTAATATAAGACCATGCATGTAATTTTATATTTCTGCCCACTCATAGCTGGTAAAAGGCAAAGAGAGCGCGTGCTCAGCCAAGCGCACACAAGCAGGCACACCGAAATTATATATATATCCTCTCTACGACTGGCCCAGAACGAGATTGCCATTTCGTTTTCGGGATAGCACGAGAAGCCCCCGGATTGACCGTCAAGCTAAGCCAAATATCAACCAACTCCGAACATAAGATAGCCAACCTACTAGCAGAAGACTAAGCCCCGGGTGAACATCGGAAATTGAAGAAGTGTTCGTTGGCTACGAAGCTCGAAGGGAGTCCGCCCATAAAACCCGAGCGGAAATCAGGAGAGCAAAGGCACTGATGCCACTGAGGTATCTGGACTACCTGCTGCTGTTTGAAAGTACTCTGCCCAGAGTCACTAGAAAGTCTCGCAATACGTTCCCCTTCTGGATGTATCTTGCGAGTGAGGCCACATCAGGAGAGTTAATAATGACTTCAGAAGAGGCACCGGTTGGTGTCCCGATTAGTGTTGCTTAGTACCGTAGTTTTGGCGCCCAGGGGAAATCGTCGGGCAGACGACCTGATACGCCCGGCAAATGAAGCGGACAAGATGTCATGCGGTGAAAGTCACAATCCATTGCGGAGATATGGCATGGGTGTGTGCGATGCAGCGCACAGTCCCTGCTTCTGACAGTCGAGCCTCGTCGTTCGCGCCGAGGGACAGGTTATAGCGTGTCCGTGGCGATTGGGGAAGGTAATTGAGATTTCCATGATTAAGCCTCTTCCAAACCTTCTTCCACACCGTACCTTGGCGGGATCTATTGGCAATTGGGGACGGCAATCGCCAAGGGAAGTATTCCATTTTTCGCGCACTGAGGTCCTCGAATTAGAGGCCCACGCACAAACTCGCAGTGGAGTGTGGCGCTGCGGGTTGCATTGCTCGTGCTGATCTACGGGAGTGACCACTTCCCACGGCACATTATTTGCCTCAACTTGTGCTGAACGCGCACTCTTGTATGAAAATCATGAACGAAGCAGGGGAGACCGGCAAATCTGGCGGTACGAGATGATCGCATAAGTCTCGACTACACTGGAGAACGTGGCATTGGAGGAAGTCTGTGCGCAAGATGCCCCTTTGGTATCAAAATCGCACCCGTTATAGTATTTGGATCCCGCTGTGGTATTCGTGCAAGGTTTGGTGATAGTAAGTTTGCCAGATACGAGCGATGGAGCTGACATTCATCATCTGATCGCTGGAAGGATCTGATGGTTTTTATCGAACCATGGTCAGGCTTTCGATCGATGTCAGAATTCGGGAAACCAAACGACGGGGGTTAAAAACCATGCGAGCAACGAGCGAGAAATGTTGTAAATCTTATGACAAGCAAGGTTATAGTTTAAGATGTCACCCCTGCGCAAGGTTCGGTTCAGAACCATAGCGAGGTTGACCACTCTTCCACCAAAATCCTAATGTTTCCTACGCCATCCCTTCCGGGATCAAGTTCTATCATATCTTGCTGCCGAAGTTCCGAACCGTTGATGTCTCGAAGGTTCTTTTTCGAGACAACCTCCTTGACAGCGTGGCTGAAACAGGCGGGGACTCGAATGAGAGAGGAGTCGGACAATCTGCAAGGTACTAGCGAATCATGCCCAGCAAAAGGCCTGAACTTTGTTACTGAGGAGGAAAGGGGAAAGTCATGATGGAGTTTCCGCCACGGTGGGGTAGGGTGTCAGCGCAGCGCCGCAATTGCTTACGGACCATTGTCAAATAGCGCGCCGCCATCAACGCTGAAGTGAAAGTCAAACGACAGGCGTGGACTACTCATCTTCGAAAGCCCGTCTCCAGAATTGCATTCGTGGGGTCCTCATATCAAGGGGAAAGTTCGCCGCGAATTTTATTTAAAAGGCTGATTCAGCTGAACCATGGATCACCCTTCATCCGAAGTTCGAAATAGGAACCAGATCAGCATGCCCCACGTGTATGGTATGACAGCTGAGGCGTGGGAGCAGAAATCCATGACAACTTGAGAAGGTGGCAGAAATACAACTCGTGCTGCATGAGAAGTGCTTTCTGGATCCTCCTTCTAGCCAAGGGGCCAAGGCGACGCTTTGTCCCCGCAGAGTATCCAGGATTCAAGCTATCATAGTGTGCGGGGTCAAAGAGGAGCCCACAGCGGACACCGTATGGATGTTTCAAGTCTTTTTTGAGGCCGAGAACGAGTGTTGTCACTGTTGTCCCCCTGGTCTCAGATACATCATAGCGGTGTCAGGACTGGCTGTAAAAGAGCATCGTGCTCTGCGGAATCGTAGGATGGGAGTGGTATCATAGGTTAGCGATGCATGATATCAGCATTGTTTCCGATTTCGATCATCAAAGCAATACTCAGTCGAAGGGAAGGAAGACGAGAGAAGGAGAGTCAAGACAGGACCGCGGAGAAAGAGTCGCTCCGAGCCCCGAGGTGCACTCTTCTCAATTCTCAACTGCTTCACTCTCACTGGGACTCTGGAGATATTTATCAACACCAAACACAAGCCAAACGTGATGGGCCATCCCTAATCTCCAGCCAGTCTCACAGACCCCACCGAAGTGACACTGTGAGGTTGCGACGGGCTCGCTCGATGCCAACGATAAACAACGCTGGCTCTCTTGAGAACGCCGCATACAACAGGCGTTCCGATTGACTGGCTGCAAGGTCCAAAACACCAATTGCCTCACCAATCAGATGCACTTTGCACACCCCTCGCCGCTGCCCTGCTCTTGCAGGTGATGGCTATCAACGGAGATAAATGAAATTACTCGGCACAACGTTCGACGGCACATAGGGTGGGTAGAAATACCGGAGCCCCAGGAGGCTGAGCCATGTTGATGAAGATAGGCATTCGAAGCCGCCAACGCGCCAAAAAGAGGCTTTTCCTAGGCCGCACTAGCCAGAACCACTGATCCCCCTTCGAGAAGACTGATTGCGGATTCCGCTTTCACAAGAAGAGTTGGGATCTTCGAATTAATTGCCCAGAAACGGGCATTTATCCGGCACCCGCCCCAGAATTCACCCGATCGTCGCAGCAAGCGGGTCATAAACTCATCGTCGACACCGACTCAGTCAGACTGGACCTGGGTGGACCAACGACCGTTTGATTGGAGGAGTTATTCTTGATTGCCATGTAAGCTCTCCAAAGACTGCAGCTCAAGTTTCTTGTCTTGCGGGGTTACGCTCAAGTTTTACTGGCGTCGACATCTCTTGCATACAACGAACTCCCTCGGCGCACGCAAGCTTTCGCGCTAAGTCATTGTCGCTGGGCATCAAATACACCGTAGTATTAGCACGCGTGGTTTTGTTACGAGGCCACAGTCGTTTCATCCTCTGAGTCAGACGGCCCGTTTAACTTGTAGTTAACCAGGTTTATCATTCAACTCGAAAGGGAAATCCGACTTGCAGGAGGCTATGTGCAGGGTTCCGGCTCCTTTGCGAGTGAGGGGGGTTTTCAGGCCACCAACATGAGCATTATTATGCTCTTGGATTGGTCTGGCCCTGTCCTCTAGTCATTGATAGTACAAGAGAGACAATCGAAGACCTGGGGCAGCTATTCGTTGTCGTGCTTCGCTTTCCACTTTCCAACTCTCACCATGCCCTGATGTCGAATTCGGACCACTTCACAGAAGATATGCGTTCGTCCCTCTCCTGATTCGCTCGCACCTTGACGTTCCCCTGTCTGATCATTGGCGCCAGTCGCCCATCACTCTTCAGACTTCCTCGGACTCGGCCGCTCACGCCTTTCTCTGATCCACATCGTCTGAAATTTCGGTACACCTCGTGGGGAAGCTGGTCTCACGGCACATGGTGCAAACCCAAAAACCGCGCCAGGCTTAAACTCTGCTTCTGTGCGTCACTTGTACGCTAAATAGTCCCTTTTTCATCCTTCACGGCGCATTCCACCTCCCTTATAGTCTTTGTCATCCGTCTTGTGAAAGTGGATGTGCTGCCCCTCACAGTGAAGAAAGGAAAGGATGAATTAACCTTATTATTGTTGGAACCTGCAATTGCAACGTCGCCGCACGCCTGACTCCCCAAATACTCGACCAGTCCCGGTACATCTTCCCGAACCGCCATTTCTTGCCAAAGTGCCGGAGTACAACGGCCTGCACGAGTCCCCTCAGGTAATGCTTACGGCGCTTTCAGGCATTGTATTATACTGAGCAAAACAAAAAACGATGGGCCTCCTCAAGATGTTGTTTACCAATGGTGGCCAAGAGGGCCTCCATGCCCTCTTACCGCGGTTGGCCTATACGGAACATGATACAGGGGAACTCACTATCGATCCGCTCCCCAACGACCACCGTAAAGGCCTGATAGCTGTCTTCGTCATGGCCATTCTCTCCACCGTTGCCACCTTGATGTTGATCTCGTTTGTTACCTACCGACTCGTCTTCTGGCGCGGCAACTACCAGCGATATATCGGTTACAATCAGTATATTATTCTCATCTACAACCTGGTCATTGCGGATATTCAACAGTCTCTCGCTTTCTTGATCTGTGCAAAGTGGTATGCGGAAAACAAAGTAGAAGCTAGGACAGCTGCCTGCTTCCTCCAAGGGTTGTGGCTCCAGGTCGGAGACCCAGCAAGTGGAATCTTCGTGCTCGCCATCGCCTTCCATACCTTCTACATTGTGGCCTTGGGTAGAAAGCTGAGCTATCGAACGTTCGTTATCATCGTGGTTGGCCTTTGGGTTTTTGTTGCAGTTCTTGTCATCATCCCGCTTGCATCCCATGGAGCTGATGTCTTCGTACCCGCCGGGGCTTGGGTAAGTTCGGTTTCCATAATGTTTGTTTCCCTGGCTAACTTAGATCAGTGTTGGATTAGCGAAGATTATGAAGGCATACGTCTTTGGACACACTATGTTTGGATCTTCTTCGCCGAGTTTGGCACGATTACCCTATACGCTGTCCTATGGTTTCAACTTCGTCGACGTATCAAGCAGTCTGCTATCTTGGGGAGCAGTCATATTGAGAGTCTGAAACGCCTTCGTCGAGTTGTCGGATACATGGTTATATACCCAGTCGCTTACATTGTTTTGTCCCTCCCCCTGGCAGCAGGAAGAATGGCAACCGCACGAGGCGAAACCCCAAGCATCGTGTATTTCTGCGTTTCCGGTGCGCTGATTACAAGCTCTGGTCTTGTCGACGTCCTACTCTATACGCTCACCCGCAAAAATCTCATCATCGAATCCGAGCCCAGTGCTGATCGGAGCTATAACAAGTTCCCCAGCAGCAAGAGTCGGGGGCAAAACCTCAATAGCACCACGGATCCGAAGCTTATGCGGACGGATATCAGCGCTATTCGTACATACAACGGGCCAGACGAAGACGACCAGAGTCGTGACGGCTCAACGGAGGATATTATCAAGGGCGGTGGTGTTGAGCTGGCCCCCATGGGCAAGGTGTACCAGCACACCACGATCGAAATCACATCTGAACCCGCGTATCCTTCCAGCGGGGATGCCAGCGGTCGGGGAAGTCAAGAATCGCTGGATCCGGCCGGCAAGATGTCACCCACAGCGAGGAGATGGGGAAGATAATGACGGAACTATTATTTCACCTTCTACGATCCGATTTCTAATTTCCGGTTCCGACCACGCTTCGAACCGGCCATTCTTCTCTTTCATGTCACACTTTTCTTATACCTACATATATGTGGTTTAATTGATGCCCCATCTTCGACACCCTCATTGATTTATGTTCGGCGGTTCTCGTTGGTCCAGAATTGGCCCCTCAAACGGTTTTATTTGTCCCTTCCTCAATGCCCTATTTTGATACTCCCATTCTCTATTTCCTTTTCTCTTCTGGTTATTGCAGGATATACCCAATCTTGGTGATGAGTTCTATGAGCGGATTCATGTCAACCCTTTGAATACTCTTCTTGACAGCGGATTGATTTATATGATACAACCCTGTTTCTCTTTCTCTTTGTCCCTACATATCCTACTTTTATGTATATAGATAGAATATGCTGCTCCGCGGCCTGGGCTGGCTCTGAACACACAGACGGCTAGTTACATAGTGTACAGTGTACAACGATAGACAATGTAGTGATCTCCACTACACTTCATGATTCACTCCCCTATTCCACGCTCAATTGCGTGCACGACTCGCAAACCGTGAGCAATAAGCGCGCTAGTCAGAATGCGAATTCGACTTGAACACTGCGTAGATCATATTCCGAGGTCAGGCTTTACTGCCTAGGCATGTACGGAGCACTCACCGAAAGTGCATAGTGTTAGTAGGTACTCACACAGCCGCATCGCATCCGCATCCGGCTGTCAGAGCCGACTTGCTGCGTGCTCGGTATGAGGAGACTCGGCTAAGTACCGAGAACGGGGCAAGGAAGAAAATGATCACCGCCAATCGCAATACGCTAATCGAAAGCTGGTTCGTCATGTTCTATCCGGCGTAGGTTATTTGACTACTATTATTTATTATTTATTATTTCGGATTCTGGAGTCCGTCTAGCGCCGTGGAATCTGTGGATCGAAGGAGCTCAAAAGCTAGTACTAATATCTACAACTACAAGGGCCCCAGTGCAATTTCCAGAGTTCTGGTTGCCTTTTAAAGCTTATCTCGCCGGTTTGTTCTAATACAGAAGAGGAAATAATATAGAGTTTATATTGTAAAATTAGTATAGCATTTTTTTGACTAGGCTCCGGTGAGTTTTCTTGGGGATCTCCCCGATAGACGTTGCCTGGTTGCTTACCTTCCTTTATCACGCAGGTAAGCCTTTGCAACGAGGCAGGGATGGAGTCAAGGCCAGGGACAAGATTGGGAGTAACAGCATGAGACGCAGAGTGCTCTGTGCGATTGCATATACAATGAACCATGGTCTTAGCATACATTGTCGAGTGTCTATGCAGGTACTCGGCCATGCCCGCGGCACGCGGCACACGGCAGTCCAGGACCAGCCAGGACCAGGGCCAGGTGGATGACTGCCAACGGAATGTGGATTCCGAGTTGGGAGTACGGTGTAACCGTGTAAGTAGATGATATAAGAACGTGTTCCATGCAGATTGCAGTGATCGCGGATCCGTGATCTGATCCTTGGTTGAAGATCATGCCTGCACGGCTCGTGAACCCGTGAGTGCGCACGATCTCCAGGGTGTGGTATGTCGATCGACAACCCGATGGGGCGAGTCGATCGCCCTGCAGAAGGACATCCCCCTGACTTTACCACGACGGGCTGTGAGGATCTTGTATAAGCCTGGGTATATCTCCGGCGGGGGCATTTTAGGTTCTTCGAATCAGTTCTCTAGGGGATTTATTGTTTCTAGGCTTTGATTGGGAGGGAAAGGGTAAATGTATATAGACTGTTCATTTCCGCGGAGGTCCACTGGTGCTGCGGAGTGCATGACTAATATTGTACTCCGTACTGGCCACATAAGGGGTTCGGTGTACTCCTGGTGAATCATTAATTGACTGTGTACGGAGTAGCCTGCATTAATATGTATGTATATGTAACTGCCTATTTCTAAATTAGGGTATCAGATAGATGAACCCTAGCACATGACTATAAAGTCTGGTCGAACGGCGAATCGCCAGCAATGTCTCCATGGTCTAGTGGTTAGGACGGCGGTCTCATAACATGACGATTCCTATCTAAAAGAGTTGCAATCCGCAAGCACGAGTTCGATTCTCGTTGGAGGCACGATTATTCTTTTTTATTTTACTTTCCCCCCCCGTCTTCAAGCTGTGAACTCAGACCTCGGCCACACCTTGTCCTAAATTAAAAAACGACTTGCCACTTTTTAGTTTATATGAACTATCGGCGAACGCAGCGCTAGTCTCACCCGCCGACGGATCAGTGCAGGTGCAGTAGCGCCATCGGGGCTGCCGCTCCAGGTAAGCAGGCTGATTCCCGCAATGCAATGGGTGACACATTAATAGGACGATTCCTAGTCGTCTACGATGTTATTTGCTGTGCTGACCGCACAAGCATTGATAGAATGGATGATCCCTTGGATGGGATGAAGAACCTTGGGTGGGATGTCGCGGCTGAGTGATTAGGTTGAGATAATTTTAAAATTATCTGATTGTGCCACTCCCGCGCCCGACCGCGGATTCACTAGCGGAGAGTTTCGGTGCGACCGACGACCGTACGAGCGTGCGACACTTCAGCAACGGCCACCGATATCGCTGCGCTGCTAAGAGTCGTTCGAGTTTCGACGCAACAAGAGAAAATTTCTCGTAATCCCCATACCAATCACATTGGCCCAGGGAACCAAGCTGTTGGGAAGGATCAAAGAAGGGCCTAGCCATCTGGAAATTTTTTACGGAGAACATGCCACGCTACGGTTATTGCTTTTTATCGACATCCGGACAAACCCGAGACCTTTGAGCGGGAGACTGAGACAGAGTCGAGAGCAATAATTCCGAAGTCGCAACCAGTCCATACTAGGTGATTCGCCTGGTTGCCGAGCATTGTGTTGGGTCTCGGTTTGCTTCTATATTCAGGTCGAGCACCGGGGCGCGATTCTCGCGGCAAACGTTTTCAGCGTGTCAACCCATGCCAGGTCGGTAGTGGGTGAGCCAGTGCTGCCAGTCATGCCAAGGACGAACCATATGATCTCGACGGGACCCAAGAGGAACGCCAACAGCTAATTAGCTCTCTTGGAAACGTGGTGTTGAAGTCTGATCCCCTCCCCCCACGCGCGGAAAACCTCGTAGGTGCATCGCCAACACCCGTGACTTGTCGGTCGTGGAATCGCGAGCTGGAAAAGGAGAGACTGGTTGTTTCAGCCCTGGTTGTTCAGCCTGTGCGAGAGTCGTGGGTTGACCGGACTTTGTAATCCCTGCATCCTCCCATGCAGGTGCAACTGTGCATCCTTGTAAGTCTGTAACATAGGGTCATTTGGGATAATGAGGATGCCAATTCCATCATGACATTGTCGGGGGGTCCACAGTGGGCGAGAAGACGAAAAAGAAAAACCTTCGAAGGACATTGCGACGTCTCTGGGCCAATTGTAGCCGAGCAGGCGTGGGACTGGGTGTTGACTGAGCGAGTGATCAGAACTTATCTGATCGAAAAGCAGGCCTGTCCATGGCTTATCTGATCAGAGCACAATGTCATTGGCTGGCAAGGCTCCATCATGCCGCACTGAATCCACGCCAGGGAAAAAGAAATTCTCCAGTTGCATTCCGCCCCCGTCCTCGCTGCTGTCTCAAGTCCCTTGCCTATATAGACGCGACACCGGCCCTCCCGGATGGCCGCTCCTCTCTTATCTTGCTCCTGTTGCTCCTCCTCTTCCCCTTCCTTCCGCCCTTGTGAGTGTTGGTCGAGTTCGTCTTGAACACGACCCCTTTCACCATGGCCATTCTGGATAAGCTGGACAAGTTCACTTCCCGCGACCGTGCGGATGAGTCGAACCCCACGGAGCCCAAGGGACCCCAGAGCCCTCAGGAGCGTGTCGTACAGGACGGCGAATCGTCCGATCTCAGTCTGTTTGCTCAGAACGAGAAGGAAGTCGAGCAGAACCCGGACCAGATCACTCAAAATGCTCACTTAGGTGTGCAAAAGGCCGAGGCTACGACCTTGGTCTGGCCCAAGCAGGCTGTCTACGCGAGTTACGCCTGGTGAGTCTCATCTTCACCAGCCTTTATTTTCTTTTTTTGTTTTTCACTTGGCTTACATGGTTTGGTTCCAGGATCTGGGTGTGCTTCTTCTTGCTGGCTCTTACGTCGTCTGTCTCCGGCTCCGTACAACCCAACGCGTTCTCCAACTTCCAGAGCGCCCCCCAGGTGGCGACGGCGAATATCCTGGCAAGTATTATTGGAGGTGTGCTCAAGTTACCGATCGCGAAGATTCTTAATATCTGGGGTCGTGCCGAAGGTTTCCTGGTTTTCCTTGGCGTTCACACTGTCGGTTTGATCATCCTCGCTGCTTGCAACAACCCCGATTCATATGCGGCTGGATACGTCCTGTTCCAAGTTGGTTACAGTGCGCTGTTCCTCATCATGGACGTCTTTATCGCCGATACCTCCGGCCTGCGCAACCGTGCCTTCACTTTCGCCTTCTCCCAAACCCCTTTTATTTGCACTGCTTTCGCTGGTCCTCTTGCTGGCCAATCTTTCATCGATAACGCTACCTGGCGGTGGGGTTACGGCACTTTTGCTATTGTTAACACTGTCGCCTTTGCACCCCTTGCCATCGTATTCAAGTTTTACCAGAAAAAGGCTGAAAAAATGGGTCTATACAAAAAGGAAGCGAGTGGCCGCACCGTTATTCAGTCCATTATTCATTACACTCATGAGTTTGACCGTATGTTCATGACCCAGTTTAACTTTTCGGCCCGTCGGACTTGCTAACTGTTGTAGTGATGGGCGCTTTTCTGCTGATAGCTGCTTGGGTCCTCTTGCTTCTTCCCTTCAGCTTGGCATCGGGTGGATCAGCCACATACAACAGCGCCACCTTCATCGCCATGGTGGTGATCGGATTCTGCCTCCTTTTCGTCTTTGCCGCATGGGAGAAGTGGGGCGCCCGTGTCCAGTTTATTCGATACGAGCTCTTGAAGCAGCGCAGCGTGCTGGGGGCCTGCTGCATGGCTGCCTTGGCATTCTTCTCCTTCTACTGCTGGGATCTGTACTTTACCAGTTTCTTGATGGTCGTCTACAACCTTAGTGTCACGATGGCCGGGTACGTGTTCAACATCTACAACGTCGGATCCTGTTTCTGGGGTGTGCTCTTCGGAATCTACATCCGCTACACCAAGCACTTCAAGTATGCCTGTCTTCTCTTCGGCCTGCCTCTCCTCTTCCTGGGCTCCGGCCTGATGATCCACTTCCGCGGCGAAAATGAAGGCGTCGGCTACATTATCATGTGCCAGATCTTCATCGCCTTCGGAGGTGGCACCCTCGTCATCGGCGAGGACATGGCCGTCATGGCTTCCGCCGACAGAGAAGGTGTTCCCATGATGCTTTCCTTCCTCGGTCTCTTCTCCAGCCTCGGTGGTGCCATCGGCCAAGCCGTCGGTGCTGCCATCTATAATAACACCTTCACCAAGGCCCTCGAATCCGCCCTGCCCGACAACCTCAAGGACCAAGCCTTCCAAATCAATATCGATGGCTACCTCAAACAGGTCCTGTACCCCCTTGGCTCGGATCGTCGCAACGCCGTCAACTACGCCTGGGGTCAGAGCCAGATGTATGGTGCCATCGCGTCCACTTGCCTTCTTGTCTTGGGTTTCCCTTGCGTCGCTGTGTGGCGAAACTTCAATGTCGACAAGAAGCAGAACAAGGGTACCATCCTCTAGTTGGGTGCGCCGGGCTTCGTTTGTATATATACAGATATATAACTATTTATTTAAAACAAATGTCTCAGGTGCATTGGTGCACATCATCATAAGACAGTGCAGTGGAATGGGGATATGGATATGAATCTTTCGGCCGACTACTGACGGGACATAATAATCGGTCCCATCTATAATGCGAAAAGAATCTCCTTGGCTACTTAGTTTAATTATACCAAATTTTTGCCTCTATCATTTTAGTGCTTATTATACCAGAATTAGAAGCTACTATTTTATTCTGCTTTGTAAAACAAAAGCAAATGCAAAAGCCATTCAAATTGTTGATGCGAGCCACATGACACAGCGCGCTTCTTTACTATCCTCAGCCTTCGTATTTCCTCCATCTCTCCCAAGTACGAAGTTTTCGGATCCTCGTTAAACTTATACCATCTGTATACTTAATTATTATTACAGATGTTCGCTTTTCTCTTTTAAAGAATATCGATCTGAAGGACGGTCGTCTCATATACCGGCATATGAGGCCTCGTTGAGCTAATCAGACATCAGAGGACTTCCTCCAATGCTTCACTTTTGTGTGATATGCGGCGTCCATATTAGCCGCACTTCTGCCGCGCCCGGAGCTGTGCTAGCTGAAGATCTGGAATGGTATCAACAACTCCGTGTTGGTATGGCCTCCTATCTAGGACCCCAGCATGCCCGATAATGGCTAATGATCAGCAGCGCAAGGCAACAATGGTACGACCTCGGACGGTGCCGCTCTTAGCGGTGTCGGGTTCATCAATTCTCTGGACCAGATAATTGCGCCTTTGGACCGTCGGAGCAGTTTCAAGAATGCTCACGCGGACCTCGAGTCCTACGTCCCAATCTGGCATGCCTATACAACAGGAAGACCTCGCAGCCCCAAGTTCAGTGCCCGCAAGCTTAGCCTCATCCCTGGGTTCTTACCTGATTGGCGAAGCATCAAATGGTTGTAGAGCTTATACTTCTGCAGACATGCAATCAGTCAGTCGTATACGATTCTCTCGCGGGCATTTGGACCGCCCCCGACATCCAGGCGAGATATCTGGATTATGGTTTGATTACTATGATAGCTCACGTCCTTCAATTGCTGGCCAATGGCTCTTTGAGAGTGGCTCGACGAGGTTTCAAGAAGGGGAGATTATCAGCGAAATCACCGTATGGCTACCAAAAGACAGAGAATCCTTCAGCGAGAGATGCTACTTGGGCCGCGTGGTACGCGTTTTGATATCGACTTCGCTGCGGACTGCATCTTTTCCGGATGAGCTCCCCTTATCAACAGACGAGCTTATTGCCGTGCGGTCTCAGGAAAATTGCCTTGAAGAATTGGTTAGTGACAATTGTCCCATAATATTCGTTGGTATAGGCTATTGATTTTTTGGTTTCAATCTAGTCGACTCTCGTTTGGGTTTTTAACAATGCCTGGGATTTCCCACGCGTTGTCTCGAGTCGCAAACCCCTCTAAAGGGAAACTTACATGTCGGGATCCAAGACAAATCCTTGAGGCACGCCCGTGGCCTGCTCCACAACGAGCCCTATGGGAGGGACGTACTACAACGGACAAGCTTCTCTATAACCGCGTACCATGGCGGTGACAACCCGGATCGTATCACAGGGTTGACATTTACATATCTATCCGGTTGTTGCGGGGATATAGGGAGCATATCGCCGCATCGAACTCCGCATTCCTTGATATTTGAGGCCGATGGAAAGATCGAGAAGGTCGAATTATTGACTGAGTCGGAGTGCCTCTCCGGGATGGTTGTGGGTGTTCTCTAGCTTTACTTGATCTAATGGATATATACTGACGCAGACATAGATGTATTGCAGGAAAGAAAGCAACGGTGAGGCTCGGAGTCATTTACTTGGTGTCACCACACCTGCAAGGGCCGACATAGGTCTCATGGACGGTCAAGAAATCGATATCCCTCAGCGGAGATTTACAGTGCGTTATGGAGAGGACACTGAATGCAGCCCACTGCAAGGAACAGTTGCTGGGATATGGGGTTTTGAAATGCCGGAAGAACGATTAGTTGTTGGATTCGTAGTTCTGGAGGACTCCTAACCCAGATCGTACCTTTCTGTGCGACTCTACTAGTGGTGATACTAGTATAGACGATGTCACCAACCCCGCTTGTTTACATTCGCAGGAATGCAGATCCTGGCGATCCGGCACGTGCCTTGCGTCTCAACATTCGTCTACTCCCAGTATTGTTTATCTTCGAGTTCCTCGTGCTCTGGTGCTTGACTTCAAGGCTGTTCCTCTGTGTGGCTACCCCAATGCCACACTCCCGCCAACCATGCATATCCCAACATCGCTCATCCTCACCATCTTAGGGCTCACCCAAGCCCAGTCTCCCAACTCCAAACCCGACATTCTCAGCTACATAAACCCCCTAATAGGCTCCACAGACGGTGGAAACGTCTTCACAGGCGCCTCACTCCCCTACGGTCTGGCCAAAGCCGTTGCCGACGTTAACGGCCAAAACACCGCCGGCTTCGCGACAGACGGAAGCAACGTGACAGGCTTCTCAGCGCTACACGACTCAGGCACAGGCGGGAACCCTTCACTAGGCAATTTCCCTCTATTCCCGCAAATATGCGCGGACGGGGAGCTGAATAATTGTGTCTTCGACAAGAGCAAGAGGGCCAGTCCTTATCTCAATGACTCGGTTGTGGCTCGCCCGGGGTATTTTGGGGTTGAGTTGGTAAGGGGTGGGATTAAGGCAGAGATGACGGTTTCGGAGCGTGCGGCGTTGTTTCAGTTTACTTTCCCCTCTTCCGGTGCTGGTGCTGAGGGGAGTCCGTTGGTTTTGCTCGATTTAACGGATCTATGGGATAGTCGGCAAAATGCTTCTGTCTCTGTTGATGCCGGCAGTGGCAGGATACTCGCCAATGGGACGTTCCTGCCGTCCTTTGGTGCTGGGTCCTACAGGTCGTATACCTGCGTGGACTTCTATGGTGCTGACATCCGCGATAGCGGGGTTTGGGTGAATGACCGTGCCGGCACGGAAGTCCAGGAGCTGTATGTGACGAGAGGGTTCAATTTGTTCTACGTACAGGGTGGTGGATTCATCAGGTTCAATCGGCCGAAGGGTGACGGGGATTTGGAAGTTACGGCGCGCGTTGGGATGAGTTATATAAGCAACGAGCAGGCGTGCGAGAATGCAGAGAAGGGAATTCCAAAACCACTGGAGGATTTCAAGCGGTTGAGGGGCGAGGCTGAAGAAGCGTGGAGGGAGAAGCTGAGCCCTGTATCGATCAAGCCTGGAGGAGCGGATGAAGAGCTACAGAGGAGTTTCTGGAGCGGGATTTATCGCAACATGCTTGATCCGCAGGATATGACGGGCGAGAATCCGCTTTGGGAGAGTGACGAGCCGTATTTTGATTCGTTTTATTGGTGAGTGTGTTTTTCTTCTTAGGGGTTGGATTCTGCCTGTAGTACGTACCTACTCACGACGTGACTAGTATATGGGACTCCTTCAGAGTGCAGCACCCGCTTCTTACGATCATTGACCCTGAAGCGCAGTCGCGCATGGTTCGCAGTCTTTTGGATACGTATAAGCATGAAGGCTGGCTACCAGACTGCCGGATGAGCTTGTGCAAGGGCTGGACGCAGGGCGGATCAAATGCTGATGTTGTCCTTGCGGATGCGTACGTCAAGAACCTTACTGGCATAGACTGGTCTCTGGCATACAAGGCCATGGTCAACGATGCCGAGAACGAGCCGTTGGAGTGGTCATATGAGGGCCGTGGAGGGCTCCAGAGCTGGAAACGCCTGAACTATATACCTTATCTCGACTTCGATTACTTGGGGTTCGGGACGAACTCTCGCAGTATCTCGCGGACGGTGGAGTACTCATACAATGACTTCTGCGTATCGACTGTTGGGAAAGCTTTAGGAGAAGACGGATATACGACGTACCTCGCGCGAGCAGATAATTGGAAAAACTTATACAATCCGGATCAGACTTCTGACATCAATGGTACAGACAGCGGGTTTGTGGGCTTTTTTCAGCCTAAATTCTTGAACGGGACATGGGGATACCAGGATCCCATCGCCTGCAGCGCTCTTGCCTCCTGGTGCTCGCTTACAGATAATCCGTCTGAAACATTCGAGTCTAGCGTCTGGGAATACCAATTGTAAGTCGCCGCCCTTGCCAATATTGGCCAATGCAATCCAACCAGCTAACCAACGACCAGCTACGTCCCCCACGACATGGCCTCCCTAATCGAGACCCTCGGCGGCGAGGACGCCTTCGTTAAGCGCCTCGACTTCTTCCACGAATCCGGCCTCGCGGATCTGGGTAATGAGCCCGTCTTCTTGACGGTCTACCAATACCACTACGCCGGGCGGCCGGGCCTCTCGTCCGAACGTGTGCACGGGTACATCCCCTCGCGATTCAATACCTCTACCTCGGGACTACCAGGGAACGACGACTCGGGTGCCATGGGAGCCTTCACCGTCTTTTCAATGCTGGGTCTCTTCCCAAACCCCGGTCAGAACGTGTATCTTATCACAGCACCGTACTTTGAGGAGGTGAGCATTACGAGTCCGCAGACGAATCAGACGGCGACGGTGAAGAGCGTGAACTTTGATCCTCATTACAAGGACATTTATATCCAGAGTGCGAAGGTGAATGGGGAGGCGTATACAAAGAGTTGGATTGGGCATGAGTTCTTCACGGAGGGATGGACGTTGGAATTGGTTCTTGGGGGGAGAGAGAGTGACTGGGGAAGGGAGGAGAAGGATCGGCCGCCGAGTTTATCGAAAGGCGTTGGCAGGGCTTGAGTCTTGCATATTGAATGGGTAGAGTCCGGCGTACAGCTGTGAGCTTGCGAGAGGGATTGTGCTGACTGCTGGCATCGAAGAATTGAGATACAACAATTACAATTGGATAGACCACCTCGTATCCGTATCCATGATTGTGCCCTCGCATTCCGGAGTCCTCTGTATATAAGCAGCAATATGGCAGGGTTCATTTCTCTGCAGAATCCGACGTCATCAACTGCACCCGCCGACGAATCCCAGCAAAACGAAAGAGTAAACGAGGACGGAATGCAGGTGGCTGGTGCAAATCCCCCACAAAAAATCAGGGCTGGTCCCCGTGCAAGTGAGACATTGCAGCTGATTCCCCGAGGAATACGAGATCATCCATGGGGCCATTTGCCCCTTAAGGATGATCCGTTTCATCCTTCGTTGACCGTGTCAGGCTGCCTGCTTCTCATGAAGAACAAACGAAACAGAGACAAGATGCCTTAAGCTAAGCCAAGACCATAAAACACTGTTTTATGCTTATTGCTTACCCCCAAGCTTGTCCGCCTGGAGCTGAACTGAACTGTCGAATCTTACATCTCTCCCCTCATTCCAAGTAGGGCTGGATATATTTTAACCCAATTCCCCCCCCTCCACCCCTTTCTTATTTCCTTCACTCGTTCCATACTTTCTCTCACAATTGGCTATCTCAGGAAAGATAAATATTGCCAAAATGAAGTTCATTTCTACAATTTCCATCCTCACCTTCCTCGCTACACTCACCCTCACCACCGCCACCGCGGCTGAAGACCCAGGTATCCGGTGTGAATCTGAAGCTGATTGCCCTAAAGATCTGCCTGTTGTATGTATCTTGAAAAAGAGAATGTAGGTGTGGTAGTGTAGACTAACGGGATCTCTCATGTAGTGCTGCGGCTTCGATCCGAGGATTCAGTACTGTCTCCCCGAGAATACGGTTTGTTGAAGGGGATAACAAGCGCATCAACGTGGTGGAATTGTGATTGGAAGAGACAGAGGAAGAGAGGGAGAGGATCGGGGGCAAGTTATGGGTGCGATGCGGTGATATGGATTGGTCAGGCTAAGGTGCCTTAACTTGGCAGATATCTGAAGTGCTGGGCTTGGGCCAAATACTTTCCGAATTAACTGCCGAGGTGAAAATATTAAGAGACGCGGACGTTTTCCTTCTTTGTCTTTACTGGTAAAAGTAGTAGGCACCCTGGCCGCATCCATATCCCTGGTTAGGGCTAATGACTCGGGGTCGGAAAGAAAAGCCAGCTAGAGATTGGACTCCTATGTAGCCACTTAACTACAAGAAGCACAGCACATATTACTAAAAGTATTCTGGCCAGTACATGTCCCGATTAACGTCGAATAATCTATACTCTTTTGCTTTTTTTTTTTAACCCGTTGCGCCGCCCATGACATGTCGTAAGTACACACTTCAGGCTCGCTATGCTAAACACAACACGAGCATGAACGAACATGATATCGGAAATAATAACAAGAAAATAAGAGAGAAAAAAAAAAAGTCATGCAAGAAAATATAACGGAAAATCATGAGCTGTTCATGGCGTCGTTCGCAGCCTGCTCTCCAGAAATAGTAGCAGCAGGCACATTCTCAAGGTCCCTGTCAACCCCAAAGGTCCCCCCCGCCTTAGTCTCTGTCTCCCCGACATTATCATCAGTCTCCTTCGACCGTTGCTCCTCTTCCTTTTCCTCTTTTTCAACCTCCTCTTCCCAGCTATCAGCCACTTCAGCCGGCGGAGGCGTACCGCGCGCCTGTCTTGACGCACCAACGCCGGATCTCAAAACGAGTTTCTCCTTCCTCAAGTTACTCC